GGGATGACGTGACCCTGGTTCGGGAAGTGATCTTCGCGTGGGTAGCGACCACGCGATGTCTAAGACCAGCGGGCTGGCAAATGGTTTTTGCCAAACCCGCAATCCTTAGTAGCATCGAGATCTGTCTCGAAAACAAGACACTGGTATCGATCCTGGGAAGCTGGAGCCACCTGCCCGCAGTTTTCACCGCAAACTAACGAATGTGCTCTCTCTATTTTCCAACTGTTCCGGAAAGGGTATAGAAGTGTTCTATCTGGAGACATTTCGTTATCAACCCCAGATTGCTCAGCAGACGCGCAAAGTGTACGGTTCTTTCGTTCTGTCTTGAGCTTAGCTAGGTCTCGGAAAGAAGACGAGACAAAAAAAAAAAAAAAAGTTGTTTCTCTTGCAAAGTACGGGAAATACGGGATCTGGGATTGAGTACGCGAGCAGGTTAAACGGCTGAGATTGCCGAGAAGGCAAAAGACTAACGCTTCCAGTTCAGCGAGAGTTACCCTTCTCGGACAAGTGGCCGCGACAGCCGTCCTATCATCACCGTTCCCAAGAACCAGTTGTCCTTTTTGCCACTTGACTCTCAGCTCTATCAAACAGACCCTTGCTTTGCTATAGGGCTCGCTTAGACGTCCGATGTTGGGTGTGTATAACACGTTAGCAGTTGCGACTTGAGTGCGCTAGCACTCACGTGTGGCAAGTCGAATGGATACAACGCGGTTCTGACGGCCGCTGCCTCACGACGTGCTGTCTCCAGCTTGAACCCCTTCCTGGGCCCAACTCTTATGCACTGCCCCCCTCTCTGACAGCCGCCGTCTGATGTTTTGCAACACTATGAAGTCAATGATCTCAAGCCATTCCCGTGCGGGATCCTTTTTCTTATCAGGGTCCAATTAGAGGCCAGGCAGAATGTGACCAAGTGCAAGAGGTGGCGATTATACACAACTAAGCAAGCACCAAAGGAAGGGGAAATGAGCCCGCCAGAAGTGAGGCGTGAGCCTTATGGACAGCCGCAAAATAAGGCTCCGCCGCCATGACGATCGTCGTGGCTGGTGGGTATGTGGGTTATGTGTGAGTGTGCGTGTGTGTATGTATGGTCTGAGCACTGGCTTGACAAGGAGCTAACAAGTTGACAATATGCAGTCAGTTTCCGACATATAGGCACGGATAGGGGGAGTAGACACAATAACACACCCAGTCCAAACTTTCTTGTACCTTGGTCGTAATCTCGTGAGACTTCGCGATCCCGCGCACGGCCATTTTGATGAAGACAGGAAACACAGGCCATACCGGCGGCCCGTGCTGAATGAAGAATCACTAACCTCCAAGAAGAATAGTCAACCAAGAGTAAAAATTTCCCGTCCGCGTCAGTTACCATTGTTCAATAGTCTCGTATCCGTGCCCGCGCTACGTCGCCTGTGGTTCCATCCCGTCAAAAACTTCCGACAGGATCTCTCATCTTAACCCGGATGACTGATCTACAATCGCTTAGACGAGGCGTGGCGCACGGTACCGTCCTTTCTGACCCTTACCACTTTTTTTTTTTTTTTTCCTTTCTCCTTCCATTAGCCTATTTCCGGGCCACTCCCAAGTGTTCCAGGACTACGTGTACCATGGCTTTGAAGCTTGGCGACCCCCTCCGGGGGATAGTAGCAGGGGGGTGTGTGTGTGCCTCTCATTCTGATGGGAGACCATACGTGTATTGAGAACGGGGACCGAGAGCAAGAGTGTTGTTGGCCTGAGAGGCCTTCAAGTAGCTCACGCGTCGAACCTGTCTAGGAGCCTGTCGGTTCACGGGTAAATGGCTTCGAGACTAGGATTCCAATGTTCTAACGGCATATGCATATTGTCAAGCCTATCACTTATCCATCCCCCAACCATTTTCAAAACTTCCATGCGCCACTGGGGAGATGGTAACAATCGTAGGTTTTTTTTTTATTTTTGTTTTTTTTGGTTATGGAATAGTTCATTGTGGCAGTCGGCGCTTACAAAACCCAATATCACGTTCTGTGATGTGAGTTCCTACTTCTTGTGTGTTGCGTGCTGGGTCTGGACCCTGCCCATGAGAGACGTGACCAGACCAGCGTTTTCTCGTAGCGGCAGATCTGTGTCAATGGCGGCCGCGCCAAGAGATGAAGTGTTTTGATGGGCGTCATACGTTATCAAAGGTTTGTGTGAGACGAAAAGGAGGGGCAGTGCGCAAGCCGAAGGAGTAGGGGGACCACGGGGATATGGCCTGATGGATTAGACGCTTGCGAAGATGAGAGGCACTACGGTGGCTTTGAGGCTCTTCACACAACAGTATTGTAGGGAAGGCGCTGCTCAAGATCGGAAGATTACAAGACGGAGGGCGGGATATCACTAGGTTCATTGCGAGGAGGACACCGTTTCCGTACACCCATCTCATGATGATGCGACAATTAGCCGGAGCATGTGTCCGGGGCCACGAGATGACCTGAGGGCGTGTCTTAGCCCCGATACCTTGTTTGTTGTGGCTTGAAGAACGATGTGCAGTGTATGACGATTGAAATCCCATCTGCTTGGATCGTGGCTGAGAACCTCTTTACCCGATGTCGTTGAACCACTAGGCGAAAACGTGAAGGGGCATTCTCTCAGTCAGCAATACCCAGTGAAGGGATAATCTTGCAGCCGTAATGCCACAGAACCGCAGCGCTCGACCGGTCCGAGAACAGGTTGAGTCATATTAAACTGAGCCCAGGCCTCTGGGTGGACGGATTTCCTCAAATGCGCACGGCATCGAGTTCCAGCTTGTGCGAGATGAGAACGACAGCGCGTCATCTGCCACATTTCGGCAGGTAATGTGGCACCAAGAGACGTGATTGACTTCCAGGAACCATCACGGTCAACGATGTCTTGTCTGACAGGATCCTCTACTAGCTTCATTTCCCTTAACCACACCGGAAATTTCGTCGAACCTCTTGCCCTCGTCGGGCAGAGTTTGGACCACCATGACTCGACTCTGGCTCTTGGTGATTCATACGCTCACGCCGCCTCGGCGTGATCGTATCCAGAGGAGTGAAACTATCCAAAATCTTAAAAGAGAGTGAGAATGGACGGAACGCGATTAGATGGTTTGGTGAATGACCAGTGAAGATATTGTAAGCACGCGTTCGTCGCGGAAGGCGCCGACGTTGCATCTTCTCCCGCGCAAAAGCCGAGTTGGGCCTCCGATTGCTAAGCGCAACTATTGACAATGTAAGTTCACCATTGCGTTCGTGCGTGTGGGCTTTAGTTTTTGTTTGGGTTCGCCACGTTTCTGGGATGAGGTGTTCACGATGGTCCATGACCTGGCTTGTGCTCGAGTGTGTGGTCGTGCTTTATCAATATCGCCGAGGGCCAGGTCATGGTCCATCCAATGGGTGATGGATAGCAGACAAGGGGGAGATTCACTATGCGCAACAGGTCTCAAAGGAGAGGAGCAAGGACCATTTGGCGGGTTGGGCTGAAAGCTTGTGGGAGGGAAAGGATCGTGATGACGATCAAAATGGGATTTGGTTGACAAAATGAGAATGACTCAATTTCCTATTTGCAGTCCCAAAGTCCCCCTGTTCAAGCCGAAGGCGCGCATCAGGGAAAACACTTTACAAGATACATGGTTGGTTTGGCTGTCTCGCAGCTTCTCCGCTTCATCCGTTTGCAGGGAAGCCATGGGCTGCAGGCGTCTTTGTCAGCCTGACTGCCAGAGAGCATAGACTTTCCTCTTTCTTCGCATGTGTGTTAACTTGTTCGGGGTAGGGACGGGGCAGGAAGCATCGTTTCCGGAAATCCTTGTCTTAATCATACCTAACCGTTCATACATCTTCTCCATTTCGGCCGCAAGGAGCAGTAAGCTTTGGGCCGTATGGTGGCTTGCAGCACCACCATATCAATAATAAAGTCTTGAGCTGCTGGAATACATATTGCTAAATAGTGATTCTCGGAAGGGTGCCCGGAGTTCGGTCGGAAGTTTCAAGTGAAACACCACTGTGAAGAATAACGGCTTCCCGCAACGGGACCCTTTTGAGTTTCCTCAACCTCCACGGAGGAGCCCCGGACGACCACAAAGGGAGGCAGGTGACTCTCCAGATGGAATGGAATCCCCGACTTTAGTCGAAAGAAAAAATACTAAGGGCATTGAGAAACCCATTGGTTAAGTTAAGGTTGGGTTTTACTTTCACACAAAAGCTTTTGTGATATTGAGACATTGACAGCTTGTCCGAGCCACTTTTAAGTTGTTATGCGCCTCTTCTAGAACTGGAATCTGGCAGCAACAATCAAAAACTGTTAAGGTTGCGGGAGAGACATCGGAAGGCTAGAAACAACTATCATTACTGGCTCGGCCACACAAGAAAGTAGTCTAGAGATGGCTTGCCATGACGCTGCCGGGAGTTTCGGTCGTTTTGTGGTGAAGAATACCAAAGCTGATACTCATTTGCGACTCTTCCCGAGAGGTTGAGATGATTCTCTAACTACGATCTCATCTTTCAGCCCTGGGACTATGGCCGGCCCAACTTCAAGACGAATTGAAGACAAGACGATTTTGAAAATGAAGGCTTGCGTGCTGCCTGTTTGGTTGTTTCTTCATCATCAGTTGATATAAATGGTTTAGAGTTACGATCTGCCACAGCAAAGAGATGTGAAGCTTTCTTGAACGCTTCTTCTCGACGGATATTGGAATGGTTTGCCCTGGCGCCCACCATTAAATCGCCATGAAACAGATTTCACATCCAAGTTTGGAACCGTGAGCTTAAGTCAATCAAGCCTTTTTGAATAAGAAGTAATAATCAAGAAATGGAAAAAAACAACAACATGGGAAAGTCAAACATCGTGAAGATTCACAACTGGGCCGGACAACACCATCATGATGCCCTTTTTCACTATCCCACACTCCTACTACCACATTCTCGCATGCTCTCCATGCGAGACAACTTTAAAACCTTTACCCGCTGTGATACCTTTGTTTTACCTCGCTCGCAACATGTCCTTGCTCAGGCCTGACTTTCGGCAACTTAGTCACTAGGCTTGACCGGACCTCCGGGAATAGCAGACTGGGTGACGATAGGTCCACCCGGGATCGGCTTGTCCGGAATAATGGGGCCACCGGGTGTCGGTGTTTCGGGGATGATGGGGCCGACGATAACGTCTTGCCCGCAGGCCTTGAGAGCGGCAATGATGGCTTGCTCGAGATTCCAGATCTCAAATGGCGGCTTGCTGCCATAAATGAGTAAGAGGCTGGTCAGGGTTGCTCGGAGGCCAATAATGTCGGATTCTTTACACCCGCCAATTTCGAAAATTTGACGCTTGTTGGACGGGCCGAACGTAGTTGTAGCCTCACCAAGGACAATAGTATCAACATTGATCCCCTTTCCGGCAAGGATGTCGGCCAAGTGCAACAAGATCATGTAAGTGCCAATCGAAGGCTTGACCCCGGTGGTGAAGGGTTTGAGCAGGGTGAAGTAAGCTTCCTTGAGGGCGTTGATGTTCTCCTCACGCTGCACCATAATGGAATCTGCCTGAGTAAACCGTTAACTCTAGCCATCCTTTAAATTTGTAAAATTAAGCCAGCCAGAAATAAGAAAGACTTTTGGTTTACTAACTTGGCGTTTGCCTGGCCTGATGACCGGAGTTGGGATTGGAGGTAGCTGGATTGAGCCACCTGGGATGAGGATAACAGAGCCATCTCCTATTCCAAACTGGGGCGCAGCGGTGCTCAAGGCCGCCATGCCGAGCAAAGCCAGTTTGTAGGTGCGCATCATGGAAAGGTCACGTCGAACCAAACGTGAATGATTGATTTGTAACAGAGAAGACAAAGTTCCTCGTCAAGACAATTGAAGATAGAGATGAGAGGTTTATATGTTTCTTCGTATACAAGTATCGTGACTTCACTACCCACATTTTGAGGAACAACACCATTGCCACTCTATACTGGCGCAATGAGCACCCGATATCTGGTGATTGCGACTTGGCCAAGACCATTAAATTTAATATGTATAAATGAAAGCTGGAAAGTACGCGGAGGCAGTGAGATATATCCGGTGCCATTTACCCGGGGATGTCAGTCGACTTGCCTGCATCTCGCCGGGTTTCGCAAGCGGCCATGGGTCCTGCTTCTCGCAACTAAACTTCTCAGATGATGCAGTTTCACTGTAAAGGGTAAGAATTTCTGTGACGAGGCTAGAACCCGCTGAATATTTTCTGTTCTGGACCAACGGGTAACCCAAGCCCGAGGAGCCGATCGCAAAACTCGATTAGAATGGCTAGTTTTGGCCTTCCGGAAGAAGGGGTCCCTAGCTGCATGAGCGACCCAAAGAACCGGTATCTGCTGGTATCCTTATTGGGAATATGGAAAAAGTCGTTATAGCTGAGCTGTAGCACTCAACCTTGGTAGAGGCAAATTGTTAGAGATAGCCGAAGCAATAGAATACAAGCCAAGAAGACGCTATGTGGTAAAAGCAGGCCATTCGGCAAATTGAGAACCCCAGAAAGCTAACAGGGAATTCCTAGAAGACCCAACTTCAGTATAGAGCAATCACACCATGCTATATGCCTTCATAAGGGGTCTGAATGTTGGTATCCATGGCTCAATGAAACATGGATATGTGACCCATGGGCCTTGAAGGTCATGGACCAATGAGTGTTATCTTTTGGTGAATAGATTAGAAGCTCACATTCACTGCATTTACCTTACATACTCACGTTACTGTGACTGCCATTGGCATGCCAGTGGAATGCCTCAGGCGAAAAAGATGGAAAGTGTGAAACTTTAGAGCAAGCATTCAGCATATTACCATCAGTGTAGGGTTCAACCCACAAGTCTCGACCAGAGCCCAAATCTAAACTCGAATTATAAGGAAGTAATGAATCCATCAGAGGAGATAATTGAGGAGGACTAAATGTAAGTGTAATTAATAACGACCATTCTTCTGCCTATGAAAGTAGGGCTTTTCTCATTTGTAAAACTTGTTATTCAAACTAGGTACATGTACTTGATGCCCCCAATGCCGATGGCTAGACATTCCGTTAAAATATGTGACTAACTCACTTAGCTGCTGCAAGCACTCATAACAACCTAGATTGAGGTAACGGGGACGGTAGCCATTCCGCAAACATCTGTCACCAATCCCGCCAACTTCGAAGGCGTCTATGATACTGGAATGCGCGTACTTGCAACATGTGTTATTAAAAGAGTCGTTGAACCGCAGTCTCTGGGGCCAATAATTGAAGGTGATATGGGACCAGAAACCTCTTCGAAAGACCAGCTTAGAGAACTAAAATTAAGAAATGCGTTTTCAGCATAGTACCAGGATTTTAAGACAACGCCTATTTCATATTAGAATTAAAAGAGCTATGGAAGGTATGATTAAATTGTGTTACGAAAATTATTTGAACCTTAGGTCTCTGTGACTTAGAGTAGACGCAGGAGTCACACAGCTGTAATGGCTAAATGCATTCTATAGGTGACTGCCAAGGAGATTACAGACTGACGAAACTCACCCAGCGGTGTTGAGAACTACTCATCTTAACCATATGCTATTCAATGCAGCCCATAAACAGTGACTCCAGTCTAGTTCCGCTACACAAGGTCTTTAAATCGTTGAAGACCTTGCGATTTCATTCCATGCACCGACATAGGCAAGTAAATATTCCAGGGAAAGTTTACATATATTGGCTAGCTGGTTTGAATCATCAGAAAATAGGTCACTCATTATCAACTGACGTGCTCAAAACTCCCAGATACACCTGAGAAAGTATGGTTGACATCTTTGGTCAACGCCATCCAGACGCTGAACTTGAGCGACAGAGACTAGGCAACATATTCGGGAGTCTATAACTTGGCATATTCTTGAGGACCACAGTAAACAACGTTTACGGTCCCACTATGTTACCTGTATCATTGACCAAACAAATAATTTTGGTTGTTCTGCGTGAAAAGAAGTGTTTATGAAATAAAGAAAGAGACGGGAGCTGGTGAGGGTTAACCTTGTTTCTGGAAGAACCCGGCTATAATCATGAAAGCAACCGGCGTTGAATGTGAATAGAGTGAATACATTATCTGGGGGACTGTAAAATGTTATAACAGTAGATATGTAGCACAAGCCTTTAGTGGGAGGATTTAATCGAAGTCTAGATTTGTCACGCAAGAAAGACTGTTGAAAGTCGCAAATATTTCTTTTTCACAAATTAAGTACCTGAATTTAGAGATTAAGGATGAAAACTTGCCGAGTTGTTGACATCATTGGGCAGTGTCGTTGAAAATGCCTATGAGTTGAACGCTATTCTGACCCCCAGTATGTAAATTGTATACTGCTAATGTACTCAAATGATAACATATGGAAAAGTAAAGGAGTTACCTAAGACTGTAAAACTTATCTTGGAAGTCAATAACAGTCTGCAGGCCGTATCCCTGGGTCTACAGCCAACATCAGTATGTACACCATAACATTTCTAATTATCTGAAGAGACGAAGGGTGTATGCCCCTCAGAGATAGACTATAGTCTGAGGTTAGTGTTGTACCGGTGTTAGGGAACGTGTTTGGACTAAACATAAATCTTCCATGTCACACACGATGGTGTGGTAGGACGACTTTCATCTTGTAATCGAGTAAAACGGTATCAACTCAAGCTGGTGGTAATTGACCACAGCATGAGTATCACTGTACGCTCCAAAAATTTGGTCTGCCAACTATGAGAGAACAACCATAAAGTTTGTGAAATCCATCCAGGAAAGCCGACATCTGAGTGCAGCAAGTCTTTTTGAGCTACCTAGATCTGCCTGATCCGTCAATTTATAACGCAAAACTAGACTCATCAGGCATCACTTCAAAAGTCCCTCACACGCTTATAAGATCTCTGATAGTGTTGGTCTAATGAAGAAGCAAGATATTGGAATCGAAGAGCCTGAAGTAACTCTTGATTGGCTACATTAACCTGAGTTGAGCTGAAGTTCGTCGCACAGTGACTGTCATGATACCCCAATCCTCACCAATCTCCATTCACTGCTGGGCTCCATGCGTCTCCATGTATGATGAAAAGCAAGGATTTAAGACTATAGAGCTTGTTCTTCTCTACAAAAAGGTAAAACGATTACCAGATCTAGCTCTATCTCCACCTTAATAGGCGATATCTCCGCAGTCGATTCATATTTAGACACAGTGGACCCAATGTAATAAAATATATCGAATGAATAAATATGATGTTTGATTCTTCAAAAAGACAGACTAAGAACGGGTTATTTCACAAAGTTGTTTCTCAATTCCGCACTCCCCTTGTGACGATCTGTCGATGATTGATACACTGTCTATTTTGTTCACTTCCACTATGTCAGTGGGAATCATCACCTTATCAAAATTTCCATGGAAATTACAGCGATCTAGATTCTCACCCTTTGGGTAAAGATAAGATTATGTCAGTTCTGATTCAAGCGGCAGGGTGTTGGTTTTACAGCTCTGCTGGAAAAGTCAAATGGGCAAACGACAAACCAAATAATTTAGCTTGTTGACTGAAAGGTAAAGAATTCTTTCGTGAAACCACAGAATTTATATCGATTTCTAGTTGGACTGCAGACGTCCCAATGACATAAAAAAAGCACAAGATTGCTTAATTGAATTCTACTGGTCTTCGGAGTACGGAAATTCGTTTCATGATGTTAATTACAGAACAACCATGCTTGACAGAAAATGCGGGACTCGCTCTACACAGTTCTCGTCATTAATGACGCAGTCTGGATGGGAGAGAAAATGGGTGGGACTGAAAGAATACTCATCCTGTCGAGTTTATCATTGCTGCAAGTAAACTTCTGTGAGGGGAACTAGCCAGTCAAATGTTATGTTAGACTTTTTCTAGCTAACCCAATAATCTACATTATTAATACTTCTGCAGTCTAGATATTCTGACAGCGGGAGATGTTCTAGTAGCCATACAATCTACAACCTTGTAGTCAACGAAGCTAAAAAAACGGAGGGGTTGATAACTTATAGTCATACATCCTTTTTTTGATGGGTAAAAGAGGGGTGGTGCTCAATTGTGGATTATGTTACTTGTAGCCATCCATCACTCCATGAGGGAGCTAGTACATTAATGTCAGTGCCATTGTAATAGCTCATCACATGATTTGCATATTTTTTAGATGGCATTATGGTCATTTTTCTATACCTAGGAAATCTGTGAAGGTTGTGTACTTCCTAGTTATGAAGAGGTATTACCCACATAGTCATGTGAGTGGCCAAAAAGGTTAAAGAATGAGTTGAAAGAAGTCAAGTTACAGTCCTAAAATGGGGAAAAACCAAAAAAAATGAGCTTGACCGGCGACGGTAAGACAGACATGTAGTTCCAGTGTGATCGCATTGTCAATACACCATAACCCGAGGTTACATAGGTTCGGACGTGTTGCACGATCTAACAGGACTATAAGGAAAGCAACGATCGGCGAAAGACCGAATAGGTGAACTTTACAGACCTTCGCTTATAGCGGCATGAAGCTTTTCCCACTTTGAACTCTGTTTCCTGCCTAGCCTATTATGGGGTGTATCTGCGGAGAAGACGTAACCTTATTCTGAGTCCAGACGATTTGGAAGATACATGTGCTTGGTTGAAATTCCGTAGTGTATTGGATGAAGTGGGAGCCGATTATATACTTTTCCGAGCAGGTTGTTCTCCAAGTCTAAATGACATGACCAGAGGGCGAGAGGTACACAGTGCGTGAAGTTGGAGGGCTAGGAAGTTAGGTTATAGCGCTTTGTTGCATACAGCAAGCTGGACTCACTTTACATCACGGGCAAATCCGCCAAGAAATGATACCTCTGAATACTAACTGAGTTTTTTTAGAATGAAACCACTGTCTTTGGTGAGAAACGAAACATACAAGGGCCATGGAGAAAGCAATTTTGGAGCTGCGATTCATGCAGTCACTAATTTCATCTCAACCAACTTGCATCAACAAGTTACCGATTGGGGATAGGAGGATGAATTATGAATCTCCTTACATGGATCGTCTGGTGTTGCATATTGAGCAGGGAAATGAACTGCGTGAGAACACTTTATGGCGGCGCTGGGATGTTACGTAGTAGCCAGGATAGGACCCTTTTCTCATGGATAAGACTGTGCGCGTACCAAGTAACTAGTGAAACTGTTGTATTATGATAGCCAAAGCACTGATTATCCGTCGTAGCCACATGGGAACTTTCGATATCATCCGCCTCCAATAGAATTCAATACCGCCAATGATAGTTTCGGGCTTTTCGGTGGGTTTCCACAGATCATCGTTAGGCAACTTGAGATCTCCGAAAGCTTGCGAAAGTCGTTACTAACCTTCAGATTTTACATCCACGTGTTTGTTATCAAGGATGAACCCGAAGATCATCAGCCTAACACAATCAGTTGGGTTTGAGTTGTAAAAAGAGCTGCTTTCATAAGATAGAGAGTCGAAGACTATCTTTCCTCAGGTTCGCCAAGTAGTGTCAGGTTGGAAAGATTTGAAGGCATTCCGATAACCAAATAGATCTTTTATCATTACTGGTTTCTAAATCTCACGATGGATTCAATTTGGTTGTATTCAATCGAAGTCGATCATGAAGTAGCCACTTCTACTGGTTGCTTCACCACTTTACCAATCCGAATCCATCAGAGGAACGATATTGCAGATCATGCCACGAAGCAATCGATTCAAGATTGGAATGCCCACATTGGTGATGGATGGGAAAAAAAGTCTGGTTCGTCCTGGAGTCCTGTCGGGAACTGGGGTGCATTCATTTTCCCGGAGTCGCTGCCTGAGCGCCTGGGTGTAATCACATATTTGGCTAACATGGGAAACATTCATGACGGTAAGTCATGTATTCGAGTCTATATGGCCTTCTAATAACTGTAAATGGTCAGATTTGTGTGATGAACTACCCTACGAGGAAGCCCTCAAGGAGCATAGCACCCTCAGCGCCGCGATGGAGCTTAATACCGAAGGCCCTCGTCCATGCACCAAATCCGCTGACCGTTCAATGAAGATGAAGAGATATCTCTCAAAATGCCTTCTTGAAGCAATGGAGATTGACCGGCCCCGTGCTTTGCGTATGATTAACGCCTACCGATCTAAGTGGCTAGATGTTATGGAGAGTCGAGATGTCAATGAAATAGAAAGCCTAGAGGAGTACCTGAGTTTTAGAAATTTGAATGGTGGTATGGAGTAAGTTGGCTGATTTTTTCTCAGAAGCACCGCTTTGCAGCTGATATTGTTTTAGGGCTTTTTGGAGCATGGTAGAGTATGGCATGGCAGTCGACATTCACGAACTCGAGAAGCAGAGAGTTCGTCCCCTATTCCAAGCTGCTGAGTCAGCTCTTGTTTTGACGAACGACTATTGGAGTTGGGAACGAGAATGGCGACAAGCACAGCAGACGCAAAACCCCAGGATTGTAAATGCAGTCCACCTACTGATGAGAACCCAAGGATTGTCCATGGACCAAGCGAAACATAAGGTACGCGAGCAAATAGTGGCGTACGAGGGCAATTTTAAGCGCCTTAAGCACGAATTCTACTGTCAAAATTCCAACATACCGCTCTCTTTACAGAGATATGTAGAGGTCTGCGAGGCTATCACGGCTGGCAATCACTATTGGTGTGCGAATTGCCCCCGGCATCACGCTTGGCGTGATGATGTATCTCCAATCGATGACAAAATCTCTCTTAACTCGGCTGAAGAAGCTCTCATCGATGACACAAAATCGTCACCGAGCTTAATGTCTCAAGGATTCTCATCTGTCACCGATATGACACTCCCTGAGGATATCGGCTTTTTGGCAATAAGTGGAGAAAATGAGCCAAAGATTCTTAACGACAGGGCTTTACTAGCCCCGTGTGCTTACATCCGCTCAATGCCGTCAAAAAACTTGAGATCTTTGATGATTGAGGCTCTGGATCAATGGTTTCTTGTCGATGACATCAATCTCAATCACATACGAAGCATCATCGATTTGCTGCACAATTCATCCCTCATCCTTGATGACATTGAGGATAACTCACCTCTGCGTCGAGGGCTACCTGCTACGCATAGGGTATTCGGACAGGCCCAGTCAATTAACAGCGCCAACTTCATGTTTGTGCAGGCTGTTAAGTTGACCCGGTCACTGTCAAACCCCGCTTGCCTTGACATCCTCCTCCAGGAGCTTGCTCACCTTTTCACTGGCCAGAGCTGGGACCTGTACTGGAAATTTCATCTCCAAACACCTACAGAACAGGAATACCTCGAGATGGTTGACCAAAAGACTGGCGCGATGTTTCGTCTTCTGGCAAAATTGATGTTTTGCGAGAGTTCTCTGGACACCAGTACTGAGGCAAGTCATCTTTTGGATAGAATGTGCCGTCTTTTGGGCAGGTTCTTCCAGATCAGGGACGATTTCATGAATCTAAAATCCGATGAGTACTCGACTCAAAAGGGCTTCTGCGAGGACCTAGATGAGGGAAAGATGTCGTATCCTTTAATTCTGAGCCTACAGTATAGCCCAGAGTACCAAGACCACATTATAGGGATTTTCAGACAACAAATCGCAAGCACATCACTAGGGGGTGCTTCAGCTATACCTGCACGACTGCCGATGGAGACAAAGAGATACATCATGGGGCTTCTTAAAAGCTCCAAGGCTTTGGAATTGACATTGAATAAGTTGAGAGAACTTGAAGATGCAGTTGAGAGGGCTATTGGAGATCTTGAGAAGGTTCTGGACAATACAAATCCGGTTATGCGGGTTCTTCTTGGCAGATTAAGTGTCAGAGATATTCTTTTGTAGTGTTACATATTTATGAAATTTTTATTGAGCAACAGAGTTCAATTTTAAGAATGTTGAATTTTGTCGTAGGCATGAAGGGTCCGGTTCTTGAGCATCTGAATTGAAATACAAGAAGCTTCTAGAGTACATGTAAGTACTGATTTACACACACTAATAGAAATCGCAAGCAGGGAAGCATGTAATATGTTCCAAGAAAGAAAAAATGGAGAAGGGGAGGATCGAAATGTTTAGGAATTCTCTTAATGAGCCCCTCGTGGCAAAAAGCTCCTTTAAATACATATGCCGTATGTTGTAAAAAGAAGTCACAAGAGACTTATAGAATGGAGAAACAGAATAAAGGAGACTGAGATGTTCAATATAAGCGTCACAATTCTCATAAAAGCTATATCTTAAAGCCCTCCAACAGAATGATAGCGAACATGGAAGGGGGCTGCTTTCCACAGTCCCAATAGTCGCGCATCCCGTACAAAATTCTCGTTAGTATTGACTTGTTCCCAATGAAAACTCCATACTAGCTTTGAAACACATATTCGCACTTCCATATATGATAGATGAATGCCAATACAAGACCGTGAACCGATGGAAAAAGGCTTTGAAGCCTCTTTGTGGTCTCCGTCAAAAGCAGTGTCGTAGTAAGGATGACTAGAAGGAAGCCACCTTTCCGGATGGAATTCTTTAGCTTTGTAAAACCATCTCTCATCACGGGCAGTAACATGTGCAGCAGTGGCAATTACAGTCTGCATTTCATTAGCTCCCTGATGAGACAAGAGTAAACCGAGTATGAGCCAAACTTACCCCTTCAGGAATCCATTCCCCGGTAACTTTAGCGCCCGGACTTACTCTAGGTAGACCAAAAGGGGCAGGAGCAAATACACGCATGCCTTCTTCGATAACGGCGTTGAGATATCTCAACGACTTGGTTGATTCGCCATCAATCTCGCTGTGTTGCTTGAAGGTACAGCGGAGCTCATCTCTGAGCCGCCCCAAGGATCGAGGGTTCTGAAGCAGATAGTAGGTAAGCGCAGACATGAAAGTGGAGGTTGTTTCAGTGCCAGCCGCTACTAACGTGGTGCCCTGTGAGGCAAAAAATTCAATGTTGGCTTCCGGAGCTTTTTCGCGCAACAAATGACTGAAGAAGTCGAACCGCTCAACATCTGCACCCCTTTGAAGCCTGTTGTTGGCCTTCTCCCGAGAATTGGCAATGTAGTTGTTACGCATCTTTTTGCTCTGCTCATTCGCTAGGCAATATCTGACGAAGTCCTGAAGAGCTTTCCATCGTCGACGAACGACATAACTTAATGCGATTTGGAAACCGCTGTTAGCGAGCATGTTTATCCAGTCGTTTCCATTGCCTATGCCTAGTCAGTTATAGGCAAAGTTTTGATGCTACGCCAATAAACGACTTACCCATTTCAACCGTACCAAGAGTTTCCCCAAAGGAAAGGTCCACAATGACATCAAATGCAAGCCACATGAACCATTGGCTCATGTTCATTCCCTCATGCGCATTGCCATGCTTTTGAACTTGATATAGGAGAGAATCGATATGCCGTATAATAATGTCGCTTTGTTTCCGAAGAGCAGAAGAACTGAAGCCTGGGGAAAGGCGTTTTCTAATACCTTGATGCACATAGGGGTCAACTTCAGTGCCGATGGAACCGCCTACATCGGTTTGTTTATAAAATGTAGAATACTTTCGGAAAAACTGGGGGTGATTGATGTTTGATTGTCCGTAAATGTCCTTGATGGATTGTGGATGTGAGCAAGAGAGTTCATTTGGACCAATCCGGACGATATCACCAAACTTGGCATGCAAGGCCTCAATTTCCCAGGGCCAGTTGCCCAAAATCCTAGAGTGGGTTAGACAGTAGTTCGTCATAATAATCGTATCACTTACCAATGCCGGGAAATCCATAAGTCCTGGACACGACCTGAGAACGGTCCTTTCGCTTTGTTAGGCACTACCACAAAGCATCAGACAGCAGTACAAGAGCACTCACCTGGAAACCTAGCAAGAGGATGAAAGAAGAGATTATACGTGGATGATGCAAAGAGATACAGAAGGCTCTAATATTTTTGATTCACGAATAAGGCGTTTGTACTCAATGCGTAGTTTGTGTAAAGATGCCCGCTAGACTCACCAGAAAGAATACAAAAGCTGCAAACCGAGTAAAAAAGGACACCAGCAAAGCAAAGATGTCGTTTGAAGAATGTATGAGGTCAAAAAGATATTGAGTGGCCATCATGAACGCGAATGTTAGCCGATGAATCAAGTATTCAATAGGCAATAATACAATTGTATTGACAACAGTAAACAAGAGTTTGTGGTCAAGAAGGACCGTAAGCAGGTATCTTTCCAGAGATCCGTCCAAATGCTTCCCTATGGCATCCTGTGTAGGAGCAGGCCCTGATGAGCACATGCTAAACCGGAGAAAAGCGACGCATAGAGCTCAATCAACACCTAGGACAGCTTGTCTAGCATCATACGTGGACCTCGGGATACGAAAAAGGCTTACGCTGGGTTTAGTGAAACATCAAGGGGAACACTATTTCTGATGAAAGATTCCTGTCATGTCTAAGTAAGACCAGTAAACATAATCCGAGGGTCCGACGACTTGGCTGTAGAAGTGCGAGATATGCGACCGAATAGTCGGATGTTTTGAGTCATTCACATATTCAAGTAAGTCTAGATGGCTGATATGGACTATATCATTCCAACAAGCTGTACGGAAATGTCGATTACAACTCTAGTTAACGACAAAACATGAATTCCGCGAAGGTTTCCGAGATTAAATGCGAGCCCGAGACTTAAAAGTAGTGTTAACAACATGGAAGGCAACCTCTTGAGAAGCTGTGTCGAGTCAGTTCTAGCTAGGTCAAACCCAAGAAAGCTTAAACAGCTGTTCGTCCGGTACATCCGCAGACTGAACCTCGCCATGAATCATACATAGACGCTTAAGTGCATGTATAATTTTCTGGAATATTCATCGTTGATATGAGACAGTTCCAACGCACGTGGAAACGCCGCCGAAGTATTACTCCTTTCAAACATACCAAAAGTATAACTCAAAGTTAATCGGCGACGAAGGAGGGGAAGGATGAATTAGAAACTTAATAGTGTGTCTAGTTTCAAGCATAGCATTGAAGCCAAGAACGAGCTGGAAGGGTTACTGAAGTATTCCGTAGCCTTAATAGCTTTTGAGTCGCAATTTCCACTTTGCCCCAAATTTGGAGTTTCTGGACTGTTGCTTTCTTCAGCTGTGATCAACTGTTTTACTCAAGTCTCTTTTCAGTCAAGCCTTTGAAGAAAAGATTGATTTCCAAAATCATGTCAAAGTTTGCCTCTTATAGCCGGCAAAGCGAGGACTACCAGTCCCAGGGCACGCCTATTACAGATATCAATCATGATGACCGCTCTAGCAATGAGTCTGACATTCCTCTGATGGAGAAGCAGTTGAATCCTCGCAAGAAAACTAGTCGATGTCGACGCTTGTTGCATACTTTTAGGGAGGCAATGAAAAGCCCTATTCTCATTGCTAACCTATTGCTCTTCCAAGTTGGCACTGGCAGCCTTTTCCTTGCCTGGAGTCATTCTCACCGCTTCAATGGCCATTTGAAAGACTTGTCAATGCACTGTAAGTGAGGCTACCATCCGAGTGACACACAATCTAACCAACTCAGCTCCTTTGTTGAACGAAATTGAAGTGCCTATGGTATTGCGCAAAAGTTATGCGCAGTACGGCATGGGCGGCCCCGAAATATGGCGTGCAGAGCCCAGTGAAGAGGTGGACAAAGCATGGGAACGTGTGACGGCCGAGTATCTATTCCCCGTGAAGAAATCCGACATCATTGCTATGCGAAAAGACCCATCTGTGGTCGTGCCAATGCCGGAAAAATACAATATTGACGGCGAAACATCCTATATGGCGAAGTCAGCAATGTATCACAATATACATTGCTTAGATTATATTCGAAAAGTTGGTATCCTCAATACTTGGCCAAGGTTGGACCTATGTTAACAACATGAAGGCCGTTTACTACGATCATTATTACCCCAACGGGACTGACGATAACCCATTTCATGCGTATCACACAGCACATTGCATTATGATCATTTTTGAGCACTTGACATGCTTCAATGTGAGTATCATATGCTAGCATAATTGGAAGGCACACTGATTAACGTTGTGAATGATAGGATCCCGGTGTTTATTTGTATCGCTGGATGGAGGAGTTTAACCGTCCAATAGCAGACACAAATATTTGGCGAAAATGTTGGGATTTTGAAACTGTACTGGAAGAGCATAATGAAAAAGCAGTCCATGATATGGTTGAGACAGAAGTTCGGAAGCCGCATGGTGTAAAGAGCGTGCCTGCGCCGGATGGGGTTATGAAAATCATTAGAAACTACCAGAAAACCCACCCCGAATACAATCCTGGACAGTAAATAGATCGGCGGGTTTCTTTAGCTTAAATTTCAAATACAAGGACTGAAGATTAACTAGCAACTTGGTCAAATTCGTATCGTGTGATCGACTGAAGGCATTCTAAGTTGTGATGAAGTAGTACTACTGTTCCCGGAGCTACAAGAACCTTTCGCCCTATATATACAAAGAAACTTCAGAAAATGAGTTATAAAACAAATGAGGGTTGCAATTGTGTTAATAAAAGCTTTCTAAACGGCTTAGTATACTCGTTAAAGCAACACATGAATGGTAGCCAGGTCAGAAGTCACCGATCGTTAATATCTAGGGAGAAGAGTAGGTTCTGATAAATTCAGTATGAAAATATTGAAAAAGTACCGGAAAATTTTGAATTTCGGGAAGTAAGCTTATTGATAGAGACCTTGAATGAGCATCACTGGACTCGAACCATGCATCTATATCCTGTCCAAAGGTAAGAGCAAGACACATCCGTCTCCCAATTGTAATCCTCAGCTGCCTCCAAATCAAAGATGTACACAGTTTTAGCCAGTAAAAGCCTCATAGATTGCAGTGCTACAGCTCGACCGATACACATTCTAGGGCCGAGGAGAAATGGACAATTTGAAGAGCGGATGTCTTTAGCAAACTCTGTCTCAGGTCCGTTATCGAACCAACGTTCAGGGCAGAACGAATTTGGGCGAGCCCAATATGAAGAGGATCGTTGGATGGTGTACATATCCGCTGAAACGTTGACACCCTGCGGAATGTAAATACCATCGATGATGGCGCCAGGTGATGTCCGATTTGTACCTTTTCCATTTGCTGGTGGAAACAAGCGGAGCGCTTCTTGGATACAACCATTGAGCAACAGAAGCTGTGCTAAAGAAGTCGCATTAATATCACCGATTGAGTTAAAATTTGATCGAAGTTCCTTTTTGAGAGCCCTGAGATGGATCGGATGGCGCAAGAGTAGGTTCATCGTCGCAGACAAAGATGTAGCGGTCGTATCGTAGCCGACCATGCTGTTGTAAAGTCAGTATAACTGGTTTGGGGCGAAAGATAAGTTGCTCCTACACAAGGAGTGACGCATTGCTTTGCAATTCTTTCTCGGTCATTCTAATACCCATTTCTTTGCATTTCATTATTGCTGTCAGGAAATCTTCGCTCCTATCTTGACGTTCTATTCGCCTTCATAGAGATCAGCCACTGATTCAATATGAATAGATTCTGATAAAATGTTTCCCTACTTTCGTAATGTTGCCGACGGCAAGACATTGGTTGGAAGCCAGAAGAGAAGCGGCACTAAGCTTACAACAGCTTTTGCAAGTGCCTGAACCCCCGGTACAGCTAGCAAAACCTGTAAAGCTTCAAGTAATGGACTCACACTGCAAAATGTGGTTTTGAGTTTCTCGAATTTAGCTGGAGCATTGTAAGCTATTGCATGTCAAAATGAAAACTTGCTTTATACCATGCTGATCTTTAAGCAAAGGTTCGCCAAACGACAAATCACTAATAATATCCCATATAGCTTTGGATAAAAGCGGAGTTAAATCCACAACCTTGTCTCCTTTGGCAGCTTCATTTATGTTTTGAACTAGACGGTCGGTGTGTCGTTCTTGAATAGGCTCCTGAAGCTTCAGTGCTTTCTCAGTAAAGGCTGGCTGCAAAGCTCGTTTCAAGCGTTGATGTTCTTCAGTGATGGTGGCCGTAAGAAGATTTGTCGCCGGCCAAATAATGTCGCCCATCATGGCTTCTAAAGTACCCTCTTTAGTGAAAAAGAAATCTTGTTTGACTGAAGATCTGGGCTTGTGAATGGCCTTCTGAGCTTCAATAGTAGCGAAAGAGACTTCAGTTGGTGAGATACGAACAACAGGCCCTGGTTCATCAGTACTTGGGAAGGAATTACCACAGTAGGCTGTGACGGACCGTATCTCTGATGAAGCTCTTGTACATCATGATTGAGTCGCCGCCGATGGACAGAACGCATCAGCCATAGCTATTAATAGTCAATATCTTTTGATTTGGGTGGGACAGGACATGTAATTTAACAGTTGGTAATCATGACTTACAGGCGATACTTTGGCAATAAAGGGTCCTGGAATCTGGGCAAGAGGACCAAGGTAGTAATTATACAAGACCGAGTACAATAATCCAAAAAAGATCTAGTTCCGATGTGAGTATTCAAGTAGCCAAACAAAACAACTTGTTTGACTCACAGATCCCAAAGCAAATGCAAGAGCATCGCGATGACCAAACTTTTCCGAGTCCAGAAGCAACACGGAGGACCGGTAGGTTCTGGCCAAGTAAGAGAACACCTGGCTTTCAATAGGAATTGAACTATCGATTGGTGAATAGATCATCTTGGAAAGAAGCCTTGGGTTAATTGGTGCTTTCTCAAAGCATGCAGAAATAATTTGAGATTTCTTATTGTACTAATAAAACCTTTGTTCAAAAAAGCAGCCATGGAAGAATGCTCTTGCAGTCTTAGTACGTTTTCTCGGAACCCGATCAAACAAGCGGCAAGGTATGCGTTGCTACAATGTTCACAGTCTTATGGAAACGATGACTGCCAATTGGAGGTTCCGAGAATTGAAATTAGCTTTGCTTAAGACTCATGACAGTTAACGAGTCATTGTCATGGTGTTGGCATCGGAAAATGGAAATGAGTAGATTTACCCACAGTGCAGGTTGCAGTCATGGCTTGAAAGAATGGCTAACTAGTGGATACCTCAAATTCGAGCACAAGACTTTCATGAAACCAGTCACTAAAACTATCTTATGGAGTTGCCTTCTATGTCGGAAACCAGCTGTTTCCTCATCATAAGAAATCGGCGCGTTGAATTCGGAGCTTATAACCCCTGCAGTACCGGCTGCTTTAGATCTTAGATTCTACCTAGTTCATCAACAAGGTTTGGCGTTTTCCTCCGCATAGCCAGTAATGAACTCGCTGATGGTGGTCTTCAGGGCTTGCATAAATGATTCCATGCTCCTCTCACTGTGGAAACCGGAGTTGTAACTAAGCGTAAAGCTGAGACGATCTCGGTAAGTGTAGCAATACACCCCGATGGCGGCTGTGTAGTGACCAAGACTAAGCCAGAAGTCCATGATCTCCACGTCCCCGTGGGCTTGTGCTAACCAGACATCCAACTTTCCTAAACCACTGTATTCCACCTGAGACTGAGTTTTTTCACTAGGGCTTGTACTGTGAAGCTTATTGTTACTTAAGCTTACCAGATCAAGCATCAGCTGTGAAATCCGAAGCGCTTCAGGGTTCTCCTGAAATGCAAGGCGCTGTTTCTGAATCTGATTCACTGCATCCAGTATCGATCCAGGATTATCAATATACGAGGGGCATGCAACAAAGTAAATAGTAGCCGCGTGTTCTTGGCTACTGAAGGGGGGCTTGCACAAGTGCCTAGCGTCCATTGTTACGCCCCCTAGCCAGTTGCCGTCACGGACATGCTCGCATTTCTTTGTTGCCATAACCACTGCGCCATTCATCAGATCGTTAACGGAAACCTTGTGGAATTTTGCCGATCTGAGTATATTCGCAGAGTCTTTGTCGGACATTACCATGCGTAAAGTACTGACTTCGTTGACGCCCGGTCCCGGACGATCTGCTAAAATGTACAGTGGACGAGCTGCTCTTGCCTTCCGCTTTTGCAGCAAGTCTGTTGTCCAGTGTATCATATCAGAGGATACAGTAGGAATATCAGCTGCAACATCTAGTGGTGGCGATAGGCGTTCTGCTTGCCTCTCAAACTGCGCTGCAGATGGCATGGCTATGGCTTTGACCGTCGCATTTAACAGGATGAGCACCCCATGTCCATCGGCATGCTCATGTGACGTACAAATAACTAGCTCTTTCGTTGTAGGTAAGAAATGCAACTGCATTTCGCTCACTGGTGCCAGCTTTGCGGATAAGGACAGAGCTGACTCCGCTGATTTGTGAACAAAGAAGGTCTTGGCGGCCCAGGCATCCACATCTTCAGGAAGGAGGACCGTGTAGGTCATCTGTGTTCCTTTGGCAACAGCTGCGATGGATGGTTGGGCACACCGAAGCCAAATCCAAGCCTTGCGAACTCTGCTTTCGGCATCGGCTTCCGACAAGGAGTAGCGAAGCTGAATGGCAAATATCATGTGATAGTTAATATGGCCAGGAGTATTATAGACTTGCCGCACTACTAGTTTCTCCCTCGTATCTTGCTGTCGAAAGTAATACCCAGGAGGTCCAGGCTTCCATTGACAGGGATGTTGACTAAGGAGAGCTTGGTTTGGTGACATACTAATAGAACGATAGAATTACTCGAGTAGTGCAGGGAAAGTAGCTTATAACCACGGAACGAACGGTACCCTAACGTCTAGGGTCCAATTTATAACTATTTTATGCAGGGTATATTACATAAGATATCTGCTAAAGAGCTAGGACTTCCTGTATAGCACATGAGGGGCCAATAACCCCTCCCCGAGAAACACAGCGGGTTTGACGGTGCCATGTAAAAGGTTTATTCATAGGGCATTCGGACCACTGTTGATCACGTTTGGGCAATGTCCGACCTTTGATCATCGTTCCGAACTTTCTGGAACAATTTGGGCATGATGTCTGTTATCCCACTCGGATGTTTTGAAAACGACACATAGGTTTTCTCAGGACTTCTTGTACCCGAGTGCTGACCATCTCCTCAGTAAAAGGTTGCATGGAGACAGTGCAACTGGCTACAATAGATGGAATTCAGTGTAAAAACAAAGCAAAGCGTCATATTATGGCATAAAAATTCTCTCATGACTTAAAATTCTCTGTAGTAATGATAGTTAAATGACATCACCCACACGGGAAGGAAAATAACCATAATAACACGTGAGCCCCTGATAAATTGATCTTAAATCAATCCAAAGATATAGCCCGAATTGTGCGTCTCGAGAATCTCAGTCACTCAGGGTTCTAGACTTCTACGTGCTTTCAGTTTGTCCCGCTAATCCGGTGATACTGTGGAATATGCAGTTATTACAGTTAGTTTCGCCACTGTTGGATGCATCTCACCTGACAGGGTGGGTGGAATGAGCCGACAGGTATAATACTCCTAAATTAGCCATTATAGCCGATCATATCATTCTAGTTAGTAGTGATAACCCTGTCATTATACTTTAAACCTGGGAAACATTAAATGGGCTGTACTTTTGGTTTAAAAATGGGGGTTGAGAAGCACCGGCAGAATCAAATGTTGAAAACACGCGTTGTATTTCTTTACAGTTGATTTACGTCTGTATTGGCACGATGATCAATGTATCAAATATTGTTATCACCCCCTTCTTGCACGAAAGGATAGGGCGTGGAGAAAATATTCATTGAGATGTGAGAAACAGTCCAGATGTGCCGGTTACTCTTATTGTAGTAGTTATTATGAAAACACAGTGCTTGGTAATGTCGAAATTTTATCATAGTGGAGGGATGGATGATATAATGTTGTAGCCCGCAGTAAACCTTGGAGAAATCCGCAGAATAATATTTGTTATGTTGAGAAGGAGAAAAGAGACTTTCATCTAATCATGATTAGTATTTCAAAAAGTATACGCACTCAAACCCTAGCAAGGTTTGGCAGGACATATAGCCAGGGATGCTGGGTACTAGCGGATGCGGCTTGCTGACCGTATCTGAAGACTCAGCTTGGGCTCGGATATGAAAATCTTGGAGAACCAGAGATGCAAGAAGCAAAGGATCGGACCGAGCTGGGTCTCACCTGTATCTGGCAAGGTAGTTGTATGGGATTATCGTTCAAGCATGCTGGGCATTTTCTCCAAACTCTGTGGCCACTGAGAAACGCTAGCTACCGGGATTCAGAGCATTGAGAGAGGAGAGATCTATGGCATGTCTTGCTAGCAGGCTGTTACTTTCATTGATATTCGCAAATGAATAGCCTAACCTGCACGTTTGTGGTTTTTGTTTTGTGAGGTGTATCGCCCATTTGTCGTTATTACAATTGTATTGTTGGACATTGGATATTTTGCTTCCTGTCGTGAACATGACAGATCTGAAGCCCCCCATTTCCTTTCCCATCTTTTCAGGGAATCAAATCCACTCTGCCGCTGTATGTTTTATTGTCGGTATCTCGCTCTTGGCGGTCTTTCTTGGAAGGCCACAGCGTAGGTTGTCGCTGCCAGTGGTTGGAAATAAGACAGACAAGGACTTCATAGCAGCACTTGGTGAGGGCAGAAGATTGGCAAGTTCTCTCCCAACACTAACGTAGCCTTTGGTACTTGATTTGATTCCATACTGACTCCTCAGTCATGCGCTAGTATCCTGATAAAGCTTTTGCACTCCCCTCGGAACCGCCGATCGTAATTCTGCCACACAGACTTATCAATAAGCTGAAATCAGCATCTGAGTCACAGCTATCAGCAGAAAAAGAAGTATGCCGCCGTGGACTGGGACAATACACAGATTTGGGAACTCCCATGCCGGAGATGTTCCATGCCATCAAGATCGATCTCACACGTCACATACGCAACTTGGTCCCCATTTTGCAAAATTCAGTTGCAAATGCATTTGAGGAGATTCTGAATATCGATAATAAAGATGAATGGACTGAAGTCACGGCCTTTGTCTTTATTAAGCGCGTCGTGACAATCTTGAATGCGACTGCATTTGTTGGAAGCAGCCTTGCGACGAATGTTGAATGGCAACAGATTGCATACGATTATTCGTATGATTTGAGAAGAGCATTTGACGCGCTCAATAGCTGGCACCCTTGGCTTCGTCCAATTGTCCATCCTTTTATATTCCATCGAATTGGCTTTTCGGCCAGGCGGAGGCGAGTAGCTGAACTACTTGAAACGATCATACGTGATAACAGTGCAGGAGTAGATGATGGTCATACGTTGTTGGCTTTCATACGAAAGCGCCTTGGCAATCGCAAATGTAACGATAAGAAATTGCTCGCCAGGATGCAACTTCGTGCTGCTCTCGCCGGCTCAGACACAGTTGCCCAGGCTTTGACGAATGCTCTCTTCGACATAGCATCAATTCCAACATATCTTGACATATTGCGCGACGAAATATCGTCCTTGGCATCAAATGCACCCCAAGGCGAATGGAACATGGAGATGCTACGGAATATGACTAAGTTGGATAGCCTACTTCGCGAATCTGCAAGAGTCTATGCCCCATTTCTAGGTCAGACCGCTTTGCCGACATTGTGATCAAGAACTAATGGATCTAGTTGCTATGGGCCGCATGACCACGTCAGATCTGGAGCTCGATGATGAGACTGTCATTCCTAAGGGCACTACAGTATATTTCGACATGTATCACGCCCATAGATCATCAGATGTGCAGCACAACACGGACACAGCCAAATTCGATGGATTTCGTTTTAGCAAATTGCGAGAAGAACAAAACTTACCCAACAAATACTTAGCGGCAACTACAGGCCCTGATAACTTGCCTTTTGGACATGGTGCTCACTCATGCCCTGGCCGCTTCTTTGCCATAGCTGAGATGAAAGTCGTACTAGCTCATTTGCTCCTAAACTACGACATGAAGCTGAGTGATGGACAAAGACCTTTGACAGCAACTTGGGGCATTGCGGTGGTCATTGATAGAAATGCCAAAATAATGATTAGGAAAAGACAAATAGCAACTTAGATGCATTGAAAAAAATCACATGCCCTACATTTGGTCACTTTGCATTGAACAATTGGTTTTCATCGTGATTTAAGAGGACTAATATCAAAATAACTGTTCCGTGGTCTTATCGTAGCCATCGAGTTCCAAGTTTTTCGCGGCTTTTTGCCCCGACATCCCTTCAGTCCATATCCGTCGGCGGTATCTGACGGTAGGCTACTCAGGAAAATGGACTGCTTCCATCTCATGATCACATGGCTGTTGTAGAGTACCCATTACCGAGACCGACGATGTGTGCCCATCTGTGGATGTCCTGAATCCTATTTCGTCAGAGACGCAAAGTTTAAACATGAAAATGGCTCGAGAGGCATGGCCTCTTAACCCATGCTTTTGAGGAACTGCCCATCCCAAACCTATTTTCAGCCGACTATCCGGGGGCGTATGCGATTCGAGTGGACGATTTGAGTTGGGATATTGACCAAACTTTTAGTATGCAGTTATACTAGTACGTTCATAGATCGCAAAATTCCCGAGGGCTCGTAGAACTCGTAGAACTCGGAGAACTCGGAAAGCACGGATGTAGTTTTGGAGACTAGGGAAAACTAGAAACTGCAGGGATTTGAACTATATCCACTAGAGATGGTGTGACTAGTCACGAACCTTGGGAAGTGTTCTCATCTGATAAGCACATGGGCTTAAAGTATATCCCGTACTTCGAAATGTACAGTAAGCTTCGGGGGAAACACACTCCGCAATTCACTTAACGGGTCTTCTAGACACACTGTGTGCCAACTACAATGTCACTTAAGTGCGCCCTGCTGCGACAAGGCTTACGTACGTTCTCATTTCTGTTGGGTATCGCCCAGTGACCCTTGGTCTCTTTGCCAACTACTGTATTCAGCATCGTTTTTCTTAGAAGCTCCTTCAGAAGAGACAATTGGGGTCAAGGCCACACCAGTCAAATAACCACGGAACATGCCTTTCAACATAGAACCATTGAAGCCCGATATGGGTAAAAGAACCAAGGTACAGTTGCCATGCGTGTAAGCCACGATATGTCGCCTTTGGCCCGATTTTGACGTAATACAGTTCGGAGCCAGGATAACTGGCTTAGATATCAATAATATTTCAGGTGCAGCTCCAAATCTCCAAGTCTTTTAGGACCATTCGCTCATGCAGTTGCTACAGATGAAGACCTTAGTGACTTAAAGAGTCTTGTGTGGAAGTATAAGCTCTTGATAATCAAGGGGCAGAACAATCTCGAACCAATCAAACAATGGGAATTGATAGCTCGGCTGGACCCTGAAGCTGGCCCACAGAATCCAGAACTCTTCATGAAGGATTTCCATCCAGACGGAGGAGGAATCTTGGTAAGTACAACATGCCAACCCGTACAACCTCCTGCTTACCATTAGATCAGAAGATGAGAGGAGTAACTGGAGTCCCTGGTGCCGAGAATGTTCATGTGATCGGCAAAGGATATCAGGGTCATGACCACTACGGGTTGAAGGATTTGAATCTCAACAAGTCCTTCTCATACGAGAACCATCACCCATTTCTTCCACATGAAGAACTTGAGAGAGGACACACCAGATTCCAGGGTTGGCACTTTGATGCTCCACTATATAGCAGAGATCCACCATGGTTCACAGCTTTCCGCGTGCTTAAGCTGCCCACAGGGCCCGAGGTGACCATCCAGTGGGATGACGGGTCTGGCTATAGCATGAGCTCAGCCCCAGGGCTTACCCCATTTTTCTGCTGCTCACAACTTTACGAAGAGTTTCTGACCGAAGAAGAGAAGAAAATTGCTGATAATAGCTGGATCGAGTACGCGGCGTTGCCATACGAGTGGAATCGGAACTGCAAAGTCTTCCCAACTGGATTAGGCCTCGTCAGTCAGGGAAAGGAGTTACCTGAACAAGAGCTGAATAAAATAGGCGCAGAGAAAGAAAAGATTAAAAAGGCAAGGGCGATGTTTTACTAGTGGACCGTAAGGTCCAGACATGATCATCAACGCTAACAGCATTTCAAAAGTACCCAATGGTCTGGGTTAATCCAGATACTGGTCGAAAATCCTTTCAAGTTCAAGCAAATGCGGCAAGAAGACTCTTCATCCGTCATGACGCAGATGACGATCCCATGATTATTGACGATCTTTCGGAAGTTCGCCGCTTTTTGCTCGACATTCAACGTCGTATTTTAAAACCAGAATATATCCTAATTCCCCCTGAGGAGGAAGGGGACCTACTTTTATGGGATAATTGCGCCACAATGCACACTCGTGTGGACTATCCTGCCGCCTACGGCTCTAAGGCGTGTCATCAAGCTGGAACAAATGCAAGCAAAGGTCCGGAAGGCCCGGTTACGATTCCAAGTTTGTCGGGGAAATCCGCTCCAATTCGAGTTCCTCCAGTGTAGTTTAAGATGGGGACTCAGCGGTTCCATGTAACGCAGTGCTAGTACTCATCCCAGATTCGTCAAATTTAGTTTCAAAGCCTCAGAGTATTTAATCACATGTTCATATGCATAAATCAACAATGCAAGTGACTGGGCCATCAATGTCTGTAAACATGTTGCTGCGCAACTCATTGGCGTATTTACAAGTATAGGTAGGGGCTTGGCGGCGTACCTTAACCATAGGATTGGGTTTAAAATAAAAGCGTGACGCAGCAACGTGACCTTTATCTCATGATACATGTATCTCAATGACAAGGCCCCGGTTGTTTTACTACTCTTCCCATCCAAATATGGCCAAATCCCTACCGAACATAATTCATGTCGACGCACTGCTCACTGGTAGGGGCATGAAAAGGCCATACTGATCACATGGCGAGTACTAACTACTTGTCTGAGGCTCGATTAGACAAGATGGATAATGCAAGTTACAAGGATAGTTATCAAGTCAAGCATGAACTAGTTTAAGAATATGTGTAGATAAGGAGTTCTATGTCGTGTACTCAATCTCAGCGAGCATTAACGTACATAAAGAAAAACAAGCAACTTTGTCGTTGATTCACTATTCATAGTAGAAAAGCCACGTACCAGGCACAGCGTCTTGCGTGAACTCATGGATGATAGGCGGCTTCACTTGAGGTGTATTACTCTTGAGTAATGCCTCAATAATTGTCGACGAAACGAAACAATGGTTAAAATTGCTGTATTTGAATCTAAGCGAGCCCTTCAGGAAACCTCCTATTGACATTGATAAGCCATGTCCAGTTAATTATCTCAGTATATGTGGCATCTACTTTATTTACATAAACAGTGCTTAGGGTAGAGGAGCTATATGACCCAATTCAGGGGGCGCATCGCCTCCGAGTATCGCGTCGATGGCATTAAGATCGAAACGTGGATCGAAAAACTCAAATACGTCCAGACCAGCAGGACCTTCATAGAAAGATGAATCAAAGACACCCGCCAGGTCTCCTTGCGGTTCAGACAAATCAGTAACACCTAAACTGCTTGCCATATCGGGCCCAGATTGAGCGGGGGCGTTCTCCTGATGGGGCGTGTTTACGGCATTTGTAGAATTGCTTGTGCCCTGTTCGTCTGACTTATTGGCTGCATTCGAGCAAACCTGGTCCATTTCCTGGAGGACTTGCTCAGCGAGGTCGACCATGACCAAAGCAGACCGAAACATGCCACCGAGGTCTCTCAATATGCGACAAGTTGCTTGGAGTTGACGGCGTGACCTTGCAGTCAGCATAGGCACTTTGCTGGAGCGGAGCTCTCGGTATGCAACTCTCAAAGACAGTGAAACTGCGTATGGGACAAACGTCATGTAGGAGAGTGAAGTACCAAAATCTTCGACAACTGTAGTGACTTTAATAGCAGAAAGAGATTGTCGTGTGTATGCTAAAGATGCTTGCTCAGATTGAGATGGTCCCACTGGTATCCTGCATGAAAGCATGGCAATAGCGTGGTACAGAAGCTCAACAGAAGCTGAAGATGGTCAGTCGGAAGCCACGCAGAAAGATTGGGATGTCTAACCTAGAAGGCGGGATTCTACTCGCAATGCTTGGGCCTTCTCGATCAGATTTTCGAAGCTGGGAAGATCTTCCATAACTAGACAACTTGAGGTCCTCCTAGCGGGACGATATAGATCGATGATACGACCTAGAAGAGCCATTATCTCAAGAAATAGACGAAAACAGCTATCTTGCTGTTGAATACAAGCCTGCACATCTCGGCCCAGGTCTCTTTCGTGCATCATTACAGGTCGTCCATGAAAGGCAGCCGTGAGCTGGTCTGTTGCCCAAACACAGCAGAATAACCGAGTGAGATAAGCTGGATCCTCGCTCCTTGCTGGCGGATTTTGTAGGTGGAGTCCGACAGTTTGTGCATTACTGACTGCCTGTGCCGCCAGTTCTGCCGACAAGTGCCGGTCCTCGGAAAAATGTGTATAAAGGGAGAGAATCACCAGAATTGCCGTTGTCTGGACTCTATCTTTCATTAAGCCAAGGCCTATGACTTTGCGCATAGCAGATGACAGCTGTTGAGCGAACTCTGGGTAAGCCAAGACAATCGACGAATCCTCTCCAAGTGTCAAGAAAGGCTTGGCGCTAGGACTGGATCCTGCAGCCAGGCAGATAGCTTGCTTGCAAAGGGCTTGCGATACAATTGATGGCGGCTTGCGGAGGATGTCTAGGTTGATGACAGGGAGTATTCTGTGGACATCTCGAAGATAGATCTTTTCAAGCTTTTCGTAATTTTCCTTTCTTGGCAGTACAGCGAGGAATCGATGTTCCATGTGATCAACTGCTACAGCAGATCCCAGCTCTGCAGTTTGGTCATTATTCTTCGCGCTTCTACGTGAATACCAGACGCCCACGGAATGAGACTCTGCATAGCCGCGACTTGTGCCGGGACTATCTGCAAGAAAAGCTCCCTCAGGGTTTAAGTCACCAACAAATCGGGCATCGTCGTGCTGACTAGAGTCATTGTCAACAGCCTGATGTCGCGGCGGCAACGCCTGGTCATTAGCGGATTCCCATGATCGGTCCCGTACATCTGCGGACGACTCCTCGTTGGATTTTTCAGTTGATTTTACATTGGTTGGCGTTCTCTTGGGGACGGCGGCAACAGCATCAGAGGGTCTCCGCGTCGGCCTTGGCCGTGCTGAGGTACGCGCCGACTCGGAGTCGGGAGTCTTGGGCGGAGATGCCACGGCATTCTCCAGATGCTCGCAACGTTTCTACAGCTCCGTCAGTTTACTCTTTCTGACCATCCCGATGGTGACCAGCATGAAGAAACGACTTCCGATTGGTTGAACAGCTCCCAAGCCGGGTTTTTGGGTCCAACAGGAGGGTCAAATTTGGTCGTTGCGGTATATAATCTACGTGCTGCCATGAATATTCAACTTCACTGACCTTTCGCTTTCGACAGGTCTCGCAAGCCTGCTGTGCTTGTTTTCTCTTTTGAGGACGGCCGTCCGTCGTGTTGATGAACTTAAACATGACAACAACGTAAAGACGGTTGATGCATTCTGGTCGTCATTTGCTTTGTGTATGAGCATGGATTCAGATGATGTTTGTGGGGTTGTGGGGTTGCAGAGGGGCGGAACAATTCTGCTTGTGGCGCATGATCGGATAACCCGGAAACGGAAAGGCCGCCCCCAGCTTCGAATCTCCGATGCCACTTATCAAGGTGAACTCCCATTAGCTGAACGATAATGTCAGGCGTACTTCGATTCTCATGAAAACGAGTTGAATTATTGCTATTCTGACATGAAATCGTAAATCTTTAAATAAAGTACTCAATACATTGAGAACAGGGCCATAATGAGTATAAAGTATGGTGAAAACCCAGGAGCTGCGGAACCTGAACCTTCTCATCCAAGCAAAAAGCTCACTTTTGAAGCGAACCTTTGCCATGTAAAATCGGGCAAGGTACTTAGAACACGATTTGAACATTAGGTACACCTCAAAACTCATAATGCAGCCATTTGTATGTAAGACGAACAATTGGAGTTTTCAGTCCATTACTACATGTCGAATTGACTGCTCTTGCACCTCATGAAAGAAAGGATTCCGTGCCCATCGAGCCTTTATGGGTGCATTTCGGTGCGAGCGCCTCTCAGTCTCAGTTGTAAGCAATTCATACCGTGTCAATTTTTCGCCATTGTAAGTATTGAAACAGATTGTGCAATTTAACTAAGTCCAATGACGACTTTGTATGCAATAACATTGTAACTTGCCTAAGTTAATGTGATGTCCTTGCCATCTCAAACCTGCGTACTGTGAATGAGTATGAACGATTTTTTTCTTGTAACGGTATCCCCCCCTTTTTTCCCTATCTATTTAGAAATGCAATTCTTCGGCTCCTGACAACCTGAGTCATGAAATACGAAGCTTCCTGATATGAGAACCTCGCCGTGTCTATCTTCCACGACGAAAACTGCAATTGACCAACTCACTATGCCCCCATTGTTGCCCAGCAAACGGCGCTAGAACTTTCAATATCCCACACGTAGATTTATTTTATAGTTTGTGTATTTGAGGAAGAACTGGCGAGTCTATAAACGCAGTCATTCTTACAAGGTATTGTTGGCATGAAATTCAAGCATGTTTATCTTATTATATACACACCCTCGGTCGAGGTTATCTCATTCTGTAAAACAAGAAAACACTCAAAATAGAACATGAATGCGCACGTGCGGAGACGATTTATGGTTGTTATATTTTACGTCGTCTGTGAGGGCTCCTCAAGCAGAATTTGAGCTGGGTCCGGCTGTCATGGTGGACGTCAGTAATTGAGTCGCACGTGTTGAGGACCCCCTTACAACAAAGACTAGACTTTTCTTCGTTAACATGGATCAGAGGATCGGGGAAAATATGCCAAGATGCGTGGAATGCGTAATTTCAAAATAGCAACCAGTAGTTAGGCTCTAAGCGAGCATTCTTCGGACTTGTGGTGTTTTAATCGATATCCCCCCACCGCGCCTAGGCAAGCTGGCCTGAAGCCGGACACCACTCCGGAGCTGATGAATGCCGAGAAAACAAGAATATTCGTATGACTATTTGAAGAATCAACATATTTCTTGCATTAGACGCCGAGTATTCCCAGACAGGTTAAGATGTATACAATTTCTGAAGGCTTTAGGAGAAGATTGTCAGGCCAAGCCGCCACAATGTCTCGGATGAATTCTTTATTTATTTCTGCAGCTCGCATTGCCACTTCCGAATGGCCAGACTCGCGCTTAAATTGTCGACTTATGGACAACTTATTTCCGTGGCATTCCAGACAACGCCACGGGTGAACTTCGTTTACGCGGCCCTGCCTAAATAGGGGCCCAAGACTAATTTCGCCTCTGGGCATCTTGCCATCCAATATCAGCGAGTTCCGCATCTAATACCCGCTAGTTCAGGCCATCTGGTGACGTTGTGAGATGACTGATAAATCAGGGTGGCCCCAAGAAGAACCCGTACTAAATGGCCTAATAATGCTGATCACATCAACTCGTTTACAGCCGACTGTTTTTCGTCACTTTTTTGCTCCATAGTTACTTCTTGTTCGTTTGTCTCACCCTGGCTGGATCTTTATAATCCTTTCGGTTATTTCCGTTCCGTCATTTAGTTGCGAATCCCGCCAGTAGTGACCGTGACAATCCGAAAACTGGAACATTGCTTGCCCACCTTTGAGTGAGACAAGAGCAAAATGCGCACTTTTGGGGTAGCAGTTATTGCATCACTATCAACAACAGTGGTTCATGCTCAAAAAGCACATGTACCACAGATCAAAGACTTTACTTTGGCATGGGCTGATGACTTCGTCGGCCGCCGTGGAACTCTTCCTGACCCCAGAACTTGGATCGTGGATGTTGGAACTAGGTACGCTTCTGGAGCTTGCCATCGAATGATTTCAGGAGACTTTACTAATGCTACTTCCAACAAAGCTATCCTAACGGCCCGCCAAACTGGGGAACGTGGGAGCAGCAAACCTATACAAACAGCCCGAATAACCTCAATGTAACTGGAGAGGGGACTCTTCGGATCACAGCTCTCAAATCCACAGCTGGGGCATGGACGTCTGCGCGCATAGAGAGCCGGCAGACTTTCATGGCGAGGCCGGGGAAGAAAATGCGGATACAAGCCAGTCTGAAGCTCCCTAGCCTCGGAAGCCAAGGCGTTGGCTACTGGGCGGCATTCTGGACATTGGGCGCGGACTATCGCGGCAACTACTGGTATGTACAGCGCATTTATAATCAAGCCAATAGGCAAAAAACACTGCTTAACATACAAACAGGAACTGGCCTGAGGTTGGGGAGATTGATATTGTCGAGAACGTCAATTCTCTCAACCGTCTCTGGTGGGTTCTTCACTGCGGTACACAACCAGGCGGGGTGTGCAACGAACCGAGCGGTCTTGGTAACAGCAAAGCCTGCCCTGCCTTCGCCCCTTGCCCTGGCGTCTTCCGCACATATGCCATCGAAATTGACAGATCCAAGTCTACCGAGGCTCTTCGTTGGTATGTCGACGGCGCCCTGGTTCACACAGTTAGTCAGACACAGCTGCCAGCGTCTGTTTGGAAACAGACTGTGCAGAAACCTCACTTCATCTTACTCAATTTGGCTATTGGTGGAAATTTCCCCGACGCGATTTATGGCTCGAAAACGCCCCTTCCTAATACAGCTTCAGGGGGAACATTAGAAGCACAGTATATTGCTGTATACAATTCTCGTTAATATTACTTGTGCGTTCAATCGATAGAACAGCCATGATAATGAGGCTTAATCTCATGCTCATTAGACACAATAAATGAGTAGAATATATAAATCCAAGACACAGCCGCTTGAACTTGTACACTATTAGAAGACAGAACTACGTACCATGTTCAAATAATACATAGCGAGCCGTTAGAATTGACGTTGCGAAAGTACTGAACGTTAACGCATAGTCCGGTGATGATTGTCACCCCCTATAAGCGAATTCCTCCACCCCAAATATCCAATCTCGGGTACGTCGTATCGCATTCACAGTTTTTTAAGAACAGGAAGAATTAAGCATGAACCACTGTCTCCTCCATAGTGAATAATATGTTTAGCCGGCCGCAGCACAGTTCCAGTTGCAATGCTTTCTCCTGTTCCAAGGTTCAGGCTGTATTTAGGGGAACACCCGCCCGCGACAACAAGTCGGAGTCTCGAACCAGCCGGGACCCTGTAGGCGGTGTCTGCCATATCGAGATCGATCAACTTGCCATTCTGACTTGCTTCGATACGTCGGTACCGCTCCGTGATATTTCGCGATCTCCCCTGTGAGTCAACGACACTCAAACGAACAAAGAGGTCACAGAAAGGATTGTCACTCGAATGAACGAGGTCAACCGAAGGGCGGCCAAAAATATCGAGGGAATTTGTCAACGGCTCCGACGTGAATGTGAGGACATCTTCCCGGACGCACAATGAAGTGTCGTCGACTTTGCATTTGCCCAACAAGAGAGCTCCGCCAACAGTCGGTGTGGGGTTTGAAGGATCAAAAACGAAGCTGGAGGTGTCGGGCTTCGAGGACTGCTGGTCTTCAAGTCGACTATCCGATGCCAAGAACAGCTCCTGATGGCCTGTGGGCGGAGGCCATTTTGGAAGCTCAATACATTGGAGCGTATCTCCTTCTCGGTAGATTCTAACTGCTGGGATCTCTTTTGACTGATGGTTCCGAGCAAGATGAGTGTCAAGCCACTTTAGAGTATCCCTAGTTGTGTCTCCGTTCTGAGCTTCTGTGTGCCCTCCAGGACCAATTCTTAATGCCACAGGGCATCCACGTCGACTCAAGGCCTGGTATTCTTCGATGGTCTGCTCGAGGAAGATGTCAAACCAACCAGCGATGAGAAGGATAGGTATATTTGCTCTGTCCAAAGCTTTTCCGTGCCTAAGAGGCGCCCAGACCTCGTGGTCCAAATCAGGCTGGCCGATATGGCTAAAGACCCAAGGAGCCTTGTCCCCGAAGTGGCGTCTCAATGCAGGTTCTAGGGGAACGCTTTTCAACAGTGGGTCGAGACGAGTGGGATCTCTGAAGGCCGTGATCAACTCCCATATAGTTCGAGTTTCCTGATTTGCCATGATATCACTCCACTGAATGTGTTGCTGTAAGCTGAATGCTCCCGTACCCCACATACGCTCAGCAAAGTCGTGAGGCGCGACTGTCATGATGGCAGCGACCATGTCCGATGGCGGATTTGTGAGTAAAGCCCACTGCGTGAAGCCCAGATAAGATGCTCCCAACGTCGCAAATGTGCCTGTATACCAAGGTTGCTGTCTCATCCACGAAACAACATTATGCCCATCTTGTACCTCGCATCCTATCTCGAAAGTCCCAGTGGAGCCAAATGTGCCGCGAGAACTGACGAAGAGGACTTGATACCCGCGCGCCGCGAAAATACGGGCGTTGATCAGGGAAAAGAAGAAAGCGCGCCCGTAGGGTCCTCTTACAAGAATGGTACCCAGAGGATCTCGACTAGGTCGGTAAAGGTCGCAAGCAAGGACGGCACCATCAGGAAGAGGGATCTTGAGAGGTTGAGTGGTGTATCCACCCGCTTCGGAGGGCAGGCCGAGGGCCCACCCTACGGCCCGGTCCAGCAAGGCGGCCCATAACGGACGAGGCACGGCAGGTGGCTCAGCCATGACTTTTTCCACCTTAAATAAGAGAAGAAGAAAGAGGTTTAAATTCACTTCAAGAACAGAAATGACACAATATTATAAAATTTGAAGCTTGGCAGCATCTTTAGTCGTGTCACGAGTATCTCCTTACCGTGGGGAAGACGACGGGGGGTTTCGGAGAGCGCAGGCTACCGAGTCTCCGTTCCAGGGTGCCCTGGACAGTAAGCAAGCCACATCAGCGCGGAACAAAGTTAGACCGCCTAAACCCTTTGGTTCCTTGTAGGACCTAGGTGTGAATGGCTGGTGATAGTTTCTTGTAGGGTATGAAGAGAATCTTGCTCGGCTTTGGAACGGATAATTTCGTGAATGTTACTCCGTCAGCTGGCACTCCCTCCCACTTCAACGTACATCCCTTTGGGCGGTCATCAACTTTGGTTGACATTTATCCCATCAAGATCCGGTTGGCTACAGCTACATAGTCCCCCAAAACTACACCCACTCTTTTCCCCTCATATCAGGGGATACAAAATCATAGGCTATCAAGCCCTATATTTCCCAGTCTGCGTACTTGTAAATATGGTAATACAGATGTCTGTGTCAAAGCTGGATTTTGCACATCCTGTGAGCACCTTTCAAACTAATTGATGGGTTGACTGGAACAAGGCTTAGCTAGGCTCTGAGTGGCTAGTCCTCCTCACGAGGATGTACCTGTAGCCAACTGGACCTCAATGCAAGAGAGCTGCCCCGGGAAGAAGGGGCCTTTGTCTGCCAATGATTTTTGGGCTCTAATGAGTTCCTGGGGCCCTGGGGCATACCCCAGGCTTCCAAACAACAAGATTTGATTCTGAAAGAAGTTTCTCAAAGCTGTTGAGACCATACTCTCCACGGCAAACAGGATTAAAAAAATGTGAAAGCCCTGGCCACAAGATTGCGGCTTACGTAAAGTGTAGAACGTCACAATCACGGAGGGGATGCGGGGTTAGGTGGTTCTCTACCGGGCATAAGGTAAAGGTTCCAGCGCCAGACGAAGTCTTGCTATATCGATCGCTAGCGACCCTGGTATCTATATTATTCAAATAAAGCATAACGAAAAGAAAAAAAGAAAAAAGAAAAAACATGTCCAAGCCTGGCCAATTTCGAGCAGAGTAAATATGTCCCTGGAGTGTGACTCCGTCAGCTTGCTCCATGCCTCGCTGCTGATCTGCTTATACTAACACTCACTCAGTCTCCCAGAGCTGGCGCAGTACCTGCTAAAGAATGGACCACGCAAGACGCTTCCTACTTCCCGTCGTGTCCGGGTTATATTGAACGGCACCTACATTGTGGACACAACGAAAGCCATTCACGTCTGGGAACATGAGGCGTACCCCCAATACTACCTCCCAACCACAGAACTTCGAAACTGCAATTGGAAGGATAAAGAAGCCATCCACGCTGCAGATAACGCGGCTTCTAGTGCTGCGGCTGTGGTTCAAATCACGATTCCTGCTCATGACGGGTTAAAAGAGTTTACCACCGACCGTGCTTTGAGATTCTCCGACGACGAGAAGAGCAGCGGTGCGCTTCGGGGTTTGATCAGACTCGAGTTTGGCAGCATGGGTATGAATACACTTGCCGACGTCAAGATCGGGGGGTTGGGGGTTAACATATTTACAGATCAATGGCTGGAGGAGGAAACCCCCATCTACGTCCACCCGAAAGACCCTTTCAAACGCATCGACATTCTCCCATCTTCAAGATCGGTTGAAGTCAAAGTTGCAGGCAAGACGGTTGCCAAAACGGATTTCGCAGTTCACTTGTTGGAAACCGGCCTACCAACCCGTTACTATCTGCCACTCTCATCAGTTGACCAGTCCGTTCTTCGAAAGAGCGACCTGGTTACCAAATGCCCTTACAAAGGAGACGCCGAGTACTACGACGTAGCCATCAACGGTGAAGAATTCAAGAATCTTGTTTGGTATTACCGGCTTCCGACGCATGAGAGCGCGGGCATCGCTGGTCTGCTGTGTTTTTACAACGAAAAGGTGGATATTATTCTTGATAGGGAGTTGTTAGAGAGACCAAAGACGTTCTTCTCTTGAAGGATGCTTGACGTAGTTGTGTTGACAGAGAAGTTGGGACTGTTTGGTAATACATCAAGCTTCACCCAACACAAGTAACGATGCCTTGACTAAGGAAAAAATCGATGCTTTGAATGCAGTGATTCGCGTCATGAGCTTGCTTATGAGTCTTTTATGAATCTTATGAGCGGCTCAAGAAATTTAAAAAAAAAAAAAAAAAAAACATTAGCTTCAATTGGTAGGGCAGGGCTGCAGCAATGCCCCTCTTCCTCAAGTAATACCAATCGAGACTGTCGCCCTCTTAGGATCCAACTAGATGGAATGGCACTTTCCATGGATGGCGGTCATTACGCGCCTTCGAGTGTCCGTGACATGGAACATAAACTCAGTTTGTAAACTGCCTGAATCCTCGTCTGTATCCGTAAAACCCCCTGAAAACATTCAATTATCGCGATCCTGCAGCACAGTTTGAAAGTTATTGTTCTTCAATTCCATAATACAATTGTCATTTCCATGATACAATTGTCAACACACTTTTGTAGCCGTAGATACATGAATCACGAAGCCTACTGATCAAAGTAGCCGTCAACTACACCACTCAGCGCTTTCCCCTGCGCCGTGGTAGCCCCTTTTTCAACAATCCCTAGGGCTATCGCCATGATTTAAGAGCTCATCGCCAAAACCTTACTCTATATGACTGACATGAGGAAGAGTTGTTATAATTCTCCCATTTTTAAAGCCATGGATGTCCGTAGAGTTTAAACAAGGATTGGTATGATGTGAAGCGAAACGATCAAACAAAATCTCCAGCTATGAACAGCAAGCATATGCTGAAAATGGTAGCTGAAGGGCGAGGAGTTTGATAAGATATATCTGTCAATCCCAGGCTCCGGTGAGAACACAAAGCTTGACCACGGCGGTCGGAACCACTTTTCTGTCCGAAACGCCGACTACTGGCCAGTGTAATAGATGAGATCAACTCAAGCGTGGGTTGACAACATCTCTTTGATATTTCTTTTAACGGTTTTCGGCACTGAAGAAGCCGTGTATATCCGGCCACTGAAGCGGCCGGCTTGCCTGATGTGCGCCCTTATTGGCCTTCAACCAGGGCAATCCTGAACCTGCCGGCCATGACGACCTCGTTGTTTTCGTATTGACTGCCGGGTCATCTAAAATCAGAAATAGCTTGGCAAGTGACCGTAGGATGCAGTAGCTGTGTTCACGTCGTATTCGTGAGGAAGAAACTCGTCCATGAAAGCCGGCGGGGCCATGCTGTAAAGGCCATGGGGATATATTTGCATGGCTTGGGTGCATCCCGATGCATCATGGCTATGTGCGTCTTCGGCAGTCTCCTGTTGGTCGAGAATCATCCGTTCATTACGTTCGTCCCGTTCCTTCAGCTGAACCAAAGACGCTTGCTGTGGCATTTGCGGTGATGCGAGCGCCGTATTCGCAGGGGTAAGGGATTGAGAGAGGGAGTGGAAGGCGGGAATATCGGCTATAAGCTCGGGGAATCTGGTGAAGAAGTCCATTCCCATCGTCCATGAATTGATATCCGAAATCCTCTGCTCAAACATGGGATTTATCTGGTAACTGCCAGTTACCAAACATTTCTGGTAGGCGTCGCGGAACTCGTAAGGCCAGAGAATATGAAGATTGGGGCCGAAGAGGTCCCAGAATGAGTTGTTACAGTAGTGGTGTTGTCCAAAGACAAAACGTTCTCGGACACCGGGCCTAAAAGCCTGTCAGTTCCATTTCACTGTAGCCTGCGGAAGCGGCAAGACCAAATAGCAGCTTACCAAACGAAGAAGTCGATGGCATAGGAGTGGGGCATCGTCTGTGAAGGTCTATGACAGGTTAGTATGGCATATGGGGTTTGCTTTTGCAAACGAGTCGACAAACCTCTTGAAAAGCCAGGTCGGCAGTTTGGCATGCCGACTTGGTGTGGGATCGGAGTGGTACTGAAGTAACAGATGCATAATCCGGAGGATTGCAAGCCGCTCGGTTTTGGGGCAAGCATGAAAACACAATTCGTCGACGCGACGAAGCTTCTTCCATAACCTTGACAATGGTCGGGACCTCGCCACAGCATCCCATCCTTCCAGTAAAACCCTTACCGGGATGTCTTCATCAGAGGCATCCTCGGCAACGTGCTCCTCCTGGGATATGCGGCAACGCTTTGCTAAGACCTGGTTGACGGCTCTCCAGACGTTCACTTTCGGCGGGGTGGGACCAGAGGGTGTCCGGGCAGTGATACAGTCGCAGGAGGCTTCTGGTAGAGGGATGATAACGTTACTGTCGTCATGATATTCATGGCAATTGTCGTCATCGTCAAGATCCTCGCCCATCTCCTGGCTATCTGATGTGGAGCTCGGTGCGTGAACACTTGGTGCATGGGCGCTTGATGCGGGAAGCATATTTACCATTGCGCCAGTGGAAACCCCTCCATGGTTGTATGCATGGCCGTGTCCGGACGAGGACATTTCTGAGGCAACGGTGACAGGGGCAGTGTAAGCAGCATGTCTTGAGGTGGCGGTTAACATGGACGACATGGCATCTTGTGGGCCAGGCAGTGATGCTATTGATGCCGAGGAAGAGGATTTCTGCGAGGAGCCACTTGTTGCAACATTGTCACGGATGGTCTGGTCGATGACCTTGAGGGTATCGGCAAGGCGATCTCGGTCCTGGGTGATGGCGGCAAGCTGCTCCATACAGGCCGAGAGCCTCGTAGAATCGTCCTTACGTAGCTCCTTAACCTGTGCCTCGAGCTCGGCGATGCGATTACGGGTTCGCTCGCGGGCCTGCCTCTGAGCCCTGCGGTCGAGCTCGCGTTTTCGGAGCTTGCGAGCAATCTCCTTTTCTGAGGGGACCTTGGCGGGGGGAGCGTCGTCCGCCCCAGGCGTTGCTACTGAAGTGGGGGCTCCGACTGCATCACCTGGCCCGTTGGACGACGCCATGTTGGGAGGCAGTGGAAAGTGCCCAGACGGGTCAGGGTTCTGGAGAGCGAGGTTCCGAGATGACAGAAGCGATCAATATGGGAGCGAGGAGAGCTAATCAGAAGCAAAAAGAGGGCCGCTGGGATTGTTGGTAGTCGTCGGGTTGAAACGGGGGTGTTTGTGTGGTGGGAAAAAGCGGAATTATGTCAGTGCAAAGAGGCGAAAAAAAAGGAGGATAGATAGGTACCCGCCAGTATGGATAGGGAGTTGTTCGGCAGATGTGCAGAAGTGGATCAGGCGGGCATCAATGGTAATTGTGGGAAAGGGGATTAGGAGGATGAAAAGACAAGTGGAAGCTTCTTTTCTGGGCTGGGCAATTCCTACATCCCAGGGCAAGGACACTTTGAACTACACTAAAACGAAGGTACCTTAGCTACTACTAGGGAATGGGAGCGGAAGAGCATTATCCTGCTGGGAGAAAGAGGGGGCAAAAGAGAAGGTTGAGCGAAAAGAATGTGGGGTAAAATGCAAGCCACCCCTGCCTGGCATTTGCTTAACTACCTTACCATGTACTACGTACTGTACTGCCTTAGTTACTACTGTTTCACTGGCTGCCCAGTCTCTTATCTTTTCTTTTTTATTCTTTTTTTTCTTTTTCTTTTTCCCTTTCCCACCCAGTGCTACCTTCGCCTGGGGCTCTGGACTCCTACGTGGCGTGGTATTGGGCTAAACCCTCTTCTCGGTGGCTTCCTGTCGCTTTGATAGAGTTTGGGCGCCTTCGAGGCCGGGTTGGCCTAAACTCTAGGCTTTCTGGCCAATCATCTCTGCTCAATACAGAGCCTGGGACGGTCCATGAAGCGCATCTGTCTTGGAATGTCTTAGTTACCGCAAATCGAATGTTCCACTTGTTCAAATCTTAGGGCATAATTAGCCCGCTAGCATTCCCTCCTTGCCGTCTTCAGATGCTCACAGTGTCCCTTGCCAAAGCCAATTCAGTGACATACAAAGCCCTCTTTCTCCCCTGTAGGCTGCTCAGCTTGTGTAGCCACACCTAGCCTCAGCTGCACATTCGCCAATAGTCTTTCTGTCATCGGAGGGACTAGAAACCTTCATCAAGATTTGGTGTACCTAGGCGAGGCCAATCAATCCCAAAATTGTGTCTTTCACTGCCCGATCTGCCTACATCTTGAACACGGCCCGGGGAACATTCCAGCACTTCGAAATCTCTCCGTCACTTCCTGTCGCCATTTCCGAGCCTTATGCAATTTGTTTCCCCATCTCCCTGTCATTGAAAATCACTTCCAACTTCGGTAGCGACAACGTAAAGCCATCCTTCTTCCCTTCGATGAAGTCTTCTTTTGTTTGCCCTGGGGCGAATTTCACGTCATACCGGTGAATAATCTGGCTAGCACAGTACCGGATCTCCATCAGCCCTAACTGCTTACCTACGCACGAGTATTTACCTAAGCTTGTCGTCAGCTCTCGCAATCTTTTTCTGTTTCGCCCAGCGGTGGCGAAGAAGCAAAAGTCGGTATACTGGAGCGGAAAGAAAGCGCTCACCTGTGCCAAAAGGGACAAATGCTGCCGGCTCCTTGGCTAGCTCTGGTCGCGTGATCCAGCGCTCCGGAATAAACTCCGCTGCCCGGGGGAAAAATCTGTCATCTGAAATTTTCGTATTAACAATAAGAAAATGATGTCAACGGTTACACAAATACTAGAACAAGCGGCGACTCACCTCGGAACATCGTGTATGTCGGAACTTGGATGATGGTGTTCCCCGGAATAAAGGTTCCGTCAATTTCCAAGCCCTCGGGTGGTGTCATCCTCTGCACGCCAGATGGCACTGGGGGGTGTAGTCTCAGAGCCTCATCTATGCACGCTTGTAGGTACGGCAGCTTCGACAGAGCAGAGTGCTCCGGCTCAGGATGCTCGTGAAAATATTCGTCGATTTCCTCCCTTAACCGCTTGTAAGCCTCTGGCTTCTGGGCTAGCTCGAAAAAGAGACACGTAAGGGACGCTGCCGTTGTGTCACTTTAGGAATATAAATTAGCGAAAATTACGTTTTCGTAATGGAAAAGACATACCTCCCAGCCACTATAATGAGATACGCATCGCCATAAAGGTTTAGCGTGTCCTGCCAGGTGGGCTTCTTGATCGCCTGGTATTCTTCCAGGACCCAAGAGAAAACATCCGGTCGGTTAGGAGGGTTCTGTGAGACACGGTGAGTCACTAGTGGTTTTTCATTTGATGTCAAGTTACGCCGCACCTTGATTCTCTCATCAACTTGAGATGTGACAAACTTCCAAAACCTCTTGTTGTTGGCATTCAAGATGGGCGTGTTCTTGAAAATTGGGAATAGCCATAGCATATGACTAAACGAGCCAATGGCTTGCATATCAGTGTGAAGCGAAGTCATAAAATAATGTTTTATGCCTTCTTTTAGCATCCCAAAAGTCTTGCCAAATGCCAAGTCGCCCATGACGTCGAAGCTGTAGAAGTTGAACCAGTCTGCAATGTTAAAAGGCTTTCCCTTGTGGGCTTCAATCTGGCCCAGCAGTTGGTTAGTGTAGTTGGCAACTCGAAACTCATAATCCCTCAAGGCTAGGTTGGAACTTCGTTAGTCATGTACCATGGACCCCTACTGCCGTTTGATAGGGTCATCATACCTTTGGAACTAAAGCCGCGATCCCACGCTTTCCGTCTTTGGCTATGTTCCTGCTTATCCCGAACAAGCTGTAAAGAGTACATGGGGTCTAGTACTCCATACCACGGCCCTTTTTTGCATGGTGACCGGTTGGAATGGATTGGCATAATAGCCTTCGGATTGTTGACAGACAGCTCAGTAGGTCCTAGAAGACCCGTGTTAGCCGGCACTGCTCCACAATTGTTCAAGCATCACTGAGTTAATCCTACCAATTCGAAAGATATCGCCATATGATTTGTGCAGGTCTTGCACTTCCGAATACAGATGCAGCTTCTTGAGAGCTCGGCGCGTAATGTACAGATTTGACATACGTGCCATCCATGGCCCGTTGAAGGAATTCAAACGGTGAAATGCCGCGCGATACACAATCAAGCTGACATAGATGCCTGAGATCAAGGCAGCAGTGAGTGAAAACGCTGTCTTGGACGCAGATAGGCTGGTCCGGAAAGTGTCCGAAGCCAGCTGGGCAAGGGCAGCTGTAATTAGCCCAAAGCCCAGAGAGAAGTTCCTGATCAACTTGGTAGTGGCAAGATCCCACTCTCCGTAGCGGAAAGCAAAGACATGAAGCAGTACTCCCAGCACAAATGATATGCCATGAGCCTGAAAGAGTTGAGTATCAGTTATCGCCATTCTGGTGGTGATGGTAGCAGGATCCGGTTTTGGATTGTTCGAATCACGAAGCCGGAACCGGCGGAGATGATATGATCTTTTTGGACGACCTCAACCCTTTCGCTTTAGAAATGGCTTACGTCGGAAGCCATGTTACCGTCATCTAGCAACCCTACCGCTGGACGTCAAGTAGTAACAACAAGGCGTGTCAGAACAAAGTCCGCAGTTTGAGGACCAACAGTTCCAGCCATCTACGAGTCAGAAAATTTGAATAGCTGCCCCCCTCTGGGCCACCCGCAGCCACTCCCGCTGCCGGGTTCTCAACAGCTACGTAGCTGTGGTCTGATCTTTGCACCTTGACCAACAGACACCCGCATGTAAAATGGGCAACTCCTTCAGTCCAATTGCATAAATGAAGCAAACAATTCTCCACATGACCAACGACTCAGAAGTCTCCAACGGTTCTGACTCGAATATCTGGGGTAAATCGCGGGCTTCCCCCCAGACACGCGGGGTAGAGATTCTGTGGGGAAAGGGGAGGAGGGGGAGTCAGAAATCTTGCATTGCTGTCTTGGCGCCACACTTTGTTCTTACCTCGATATTGAAAGCTGGGAAAGATATTGACGGGCTTCTTCAGTTAACCCCGGCTATTTTACCCCGCATTCAGCTACTGATAACCCTCGGGAATCCGTGGGGCGGCGCGCGTGACGGCAGCATGGCAATACCGGAACGAAAAGCCGGTTGCCAGCACAGTCAAGAGATGATCTGAACCTTATCCTTTCTTAGTGTTTCCCTTCCATTATCCACGTGGACTGGATGATACCATTAGCCCAAAAGCTATCGTTTCATTAACAACATGTAAAGCTCTCTGCCGTGGCATTATGACGTTAGGTCAATATCTTTAAGTTTGGTCCGGTATCCTTTTGCTGAAGTGCGAACTATCACCAGCCCTGTGAAGAATACGAAAAATGAAATATTGACTTTGAATATTCGTAATATGCGCAGGTCTGTTATTTATAGACTTGCTTAAGAAAAGTATGTACACGAAAACTACTTCAAGTCTATAACCACACGTCCCTGAATTGCACCTGACTCCATTTCGGTGAAGATCTAGAAGCCAAGCTCAGTCAGCCTTTGTCTAACCTGAAAAGAGCGTAGCTTTTCTTTGTAAAGAAAAGTTTTCTTTTTTTTTTTTTCTTTCCCCTTGTGCTAAGAAAAGGTTACAACTTACCTTTGTTAAGCTTCGCATACGCCGAAGTTGGAAATGAGTTTTGACCTTGCCTCGAGCGGCAATCTCGAGACATTCCTTGGCTTCCAGCCGGTTTCCCGTCTTGACACCTGTAATTCTAGCTGTTAGATTCACAGAAAAATAAGTCCATGTAAATGGATATGCAGGTGACAAGCTTACCAAAAATGGTCAGCTCATCGCAGAGCAATGGCTCAACGTCCGCAATTGCTGGACTACTGTGCTCGGGGACACCAAGACATGCTAATTTACCCCGAAACCCGAGCCATTTCGGGGCCTGCACATAGGCCTTCTTGTTCGATGAGCACATCAAGACAACCCTTGCGCCGCCACCCGTGATTTTCTTGACGGCTGCTGTCAAGTCTTCCTCGGCGGGATAAGCGGCGAAATCGAGGAACTCGTGAGCTCCTAGGTCTCGACAAAACTTCTCCTTGGTTCCCGCGTCCATCGCGAGGACACGGCAGCCGAGTATGTTGGCATACTGGATGGCGAGGTGACCTAGTCCTCCGCCGGCGCCGACAATCAGAACCCAGTCCCCGTGGCGCGCATCGGCGCGCTTGAGCGAGGCGTAGACGCTAATGCCACCACACATCAATGGCGCTGCTTCGGCCGAGGCGAGACCTTCTGGGATAGGGGTCACATATCTCGCTGATGACAAGCAATACTGTTGAAATGTCCCGGGCGTGAAGTAACCCGACAGCTTCACCTCTGCACATGATGATTCTCCACCTTGGAGGCAGCGATCTGAAATGGGAGATGGTCAGCATGATTCAAGTCAGAGGGCGCTCATGGAAGTCTTACCGCAGCTAAGACATGCGTCAGCGGCATACTTGATTCCTACTCTATCGCCGACTGCGGGTAATGTGACGCCAACTCCTAAAGCGACGACCTCGCCGATTCCTGGTGGGTGTAAGTTAACGCAAATTCAACTAGCTAGGCCTCAACACTATCGTCTCGGATATTTCGGGAGTCAAAGATAGTGAATGCGACAATGACATACCCTCATGGCCTCCAACTTGACCTGCAACTCGTTAGATATATTGCACACAGCATGTTTCTAGGTTTCAAAGGACTTACCTTTTGGTGTCGGAAATGGCACTGACGAGAAGGCATTCATACAAAAACCATAGTCAGTGTGGCATACGCCAGAATACTGCCTGTAATACGATAAGTAATGAGTGATTGACCGATTCACGAGAAGGGTTGAAAGGTGGCCTACAGTCTAACAAGGACTTCCCCCGGGCCGGGAGTCGGGATCGGAAGTTCCACGACCTCCGTCTTGGTTGTGCCAGGTTCGGCGTACACGACGGCACGGTTCAGATTGCTTTCTCCGCCCATGATGGTCGCCATATATTGTTATGACTGATTGCTGTCCGTCACAAACTCACGAGGGATGCTTGTTGTTATAGTATTGAGGAACACACCACACGCACTGCACAAAAGTCAAACTTATTGGTCTGGAATCCCCCACACTCTCGCACATGTACATGCTTTTTTTTCTACGTCTAATCGGAAAGTTTGAAATACCCATCGGCACAAAAGTTCAGTTTAGCTTAGTTTCCCTTCATGGAAGACTCGACCAATGCGGTGGCTCCAGCCAATTGCCGATGCCATGGCACGAGATCAGTCTGCCCTGCCCGCACCGAGAAGGCGGGTCAGCTTGACTCGACATCAGCTACATGCATGACAGACCTTGCCAGATTATATTCCCAAACAGGCTGAGTGACGTAGTACAGCCCATGCTTCTATCGAGTCAGACAAGACGGCAATCGAGAAGAGTCTCGTTGGTGAGGATGTGTGCGTGCGTGTGACAGGTCTACCTACTACCTAGTGTAAGTAAGTATTTGGGGATTGGAGAGGGGTGCGGCACGTTGCCGAGAGGTTTCTCCAACTTTTCCCCGCGGCATCGTCCGTGTTGTGTCAAGTTTTACCTTGGGCCGTCGGTTGACAAAGAATTCGTCATGGTATCTCTGCAGCTCTGTTTGTCTGCATGTACATTTTCCCCACGAACACATACATGTACCTGTCCTTTCCAAGAAAAAACAGTACTAGTAATACTATGGGGCCCCAACACGTTTCAACGGCCTTCTCCGTCTCAGTTTTGGGAAGTGTTGGTGCGGTGACAGATATGCGAGGCCAGCCCCCCTCAAACAACCATGTAACCCGTGGGCCATTTCCTTCGGTGAGCTACCCCAAAGGGACAATTGACTCGCAAGGGGGCCCCGCTTTCCGCGGCCCAGGCCCCGTTTCCGCGCAATAGTCTATGTCAATCACTGGCAAACATCGTGACATCGACGGTGGAGTGCGCTGACAACGGGGCCTCGGTTGAAGACATGCAATCCCGGTTTTGTTGCCCTAGTCTCTCTGTACGCTCCCTCCACTGGTTCATCGTCCCTCACGATGAGCAACACAAATTGCCGTTTCAACAAAGAGTGGGAAGGGGGAAGGGGGAAGAGGAGAAAAGCCCCAAGCAAGTGCAGCAGGGTGGGTGGGAGAGAGGCTAGCCGTTGGATACACTACTATGTACTCGTCCCATCCCTTTGTTCTTCTGCTACCCTAATTTTCTTTATTTTCACCCGATCCCAAACCCGAATCCAATCCGAAAACTACTCCCTCCTACATTGCGTGCTTCAACGTAACTTGCCGTTCCAATCACTGATCAGATAACCCTCTCGCCCAACATGGCAGCTAACGGCACTTCCAAGCTGGACTTCACCAAGTTCTACAACATTGTCAATGGCAAGCTCGAGACAACGAGCAAGACCAGACACAGCGTGAACCCCTCTACGCTGGAAGCACTCCCCGAGGTGCCTCTCTCGACTGCCGAAGATGTCGACAGAGCTGTGCAGGCCGCAAAGGCCGCTCAAGAAGCTTGGGCCGAGACACCCTACGAGGAGCGCCAGAAGGCCGTCGCCAAGCTTGGTGATCTCCTCGAAGAGAACATCAACGAGTTCGCGCTGATGCTCAGCAAGGAGCAGGGCAAGCCTGTAAGTTTGAACGTTGGGGCCGGCATATGAACAATGCACGGCTCTTCCATGAGCAATGTTTACTAACCAAGTTTTGCGCAGATTGGGTTCGCTCAGTTTGAAGTTGGCGAGGCCATCAAGCACTTCAGAGGAGTTCCCACGCTTCCCTTCCCCGAGGAGGTTATCAGCGACAACCCAGACCGCCGGGTCATCACCAGATACACTCCTCTTGGTGTCGCTGTCGGTATTGTGCCCTGGAACTGTAAGTCTATCCTTCACAATCGATTAACTCGTCGCATTGATTCTGACATGTTTTGGCAGTTCCCATCCTCCTTGGTATGTAACACAAGCGTGAATAACCGGTGCCAATTCATATTAACGTACGCATTTAGCTTGCGGCAAGATCGCTCCCGCCCTGATCACTGGAAATGCCTTCATCCTCAAGCCTTCGTAAGCTCCCACGCGAGTCCCTCATCCCATGTTTCAATCAGCTGACACGAGTCAAGTCCTTTCACTCCTTACTGCGACCTGAAGATCGTTGAGCTTGCTCAGCAAATTTTCCCTCCCGGTGTCTTCCAGGCCCTCAGCGGTGATGACAACCTCGGACCTTGGTTGACCTCCCACCCCGGCGTCGACAAGGTCAGCTTCACTGGTTCGACCGCCACCGGCAAGCGCGTGATGGAGAGCTGCGCAAAGACCCTTAAGCGTGTCACCCTAGAGCTGTGAGTGGAGTCCCCCCCAACGGTTCCCAAGTTTTAAGCTTGTTAAGCGGCAATCTAACTGACTCGGTCACACAGCGGCGGAAACGATGCGGCTATCGTGCTTCCCGACGTCGACATCAAGGCGGTTGCGCCTAAGCTCGCTACCCTGGCTCTGTACAACTCTGGACAGGTAATGTAATCCCTAGCTTCGTGAAGGGTCGCATAAGCGTTCCCACGAGTCCCCATTTCTCACGCAGAACATGCGCGCGACTAACAATGATGGCGCCCTTCAGGTCTGCATTGCCATCAAGCGCATCTACATCCATGAGTCCATCTACGACGAGCTCGTCGCTGAGATGGCCAATGTCATCAAGAGCTTCCCCGTCGGCGACGGCCAGCAGGAAGGTACCATGCTCGGCCCTGTTCAGAACCAGATGCAGTTTGAGCGCGTCAAGGACCTGCTCAAGGATATCGAGGAGCAGAAGCTCAAGCTCGCTGCCGGATCCACGGCGCCCGCGTCCAACGGCAAGGGTTACTTCATCACCCCCACCATGGTCGACAACCCTCCCGACAACTCCCGTATTGTCGTCGAGGAGCCTTTCGGTAAGTCGCAAGGAATAATCTTGTAATGTGCTTCCTCAGTAGCTGACTGAGAACCCCCCCAACGCAGGCCCCGTCTTCCCCGTCCTCAAGTGGAGCGAGGAGAAGGAGGTCATCCAGCGCGCCAACAACACCGATATGGGTCTCGGCGCGTCTGTGTGGTCCAAGGACCTGGACAAGGCCCAGAGCATCGCCAAGAAGCTCAAGGCCGGCAACATCTGGGTCAACACGCATCTGGAGCTGCAGTACGACGCGCCGTTCGGCGGCCACAAGCAGAGTGGTATCGGATACGAGTACGGCGCAGGCGGTCTGAAGGCGTACTGCAACGCCCAGTCCGTCTTCATCACCAAAGCATGATATGATACCAGAGATTCTGATAAATCTTACGAGCTCATGATAGAATAAGGAAATAAAAGACGAAATGTCTGATCTGTAAAAAAAAAAAAAAAAAAAAAAAAACGGTGTGGCTGTTGTTGGCTAGCGGCGGGGAGTGGCGGGATGTGATTTTTACCCCCCCCCCCCCCCCCCACTAGTTGGTTTCATACACTAGTAAAAAAAAAACTGAAGCACAACCAAACCGTTCACCTTCCATCCCTGGTTGAACCGTCCGCATCGTCTCGGCGTTACTGTCTGAAAGGATGGCTTTGCCCCGATACTTTTATGGCGGGGCGAATCTTTTTCGGGGGGTCGAGACCTGGAAATCGCGGAGAACACTCTTCGGAGAGTTTATGGGGTCAATTATGGGGCTGTCGCATCATTCGCTGTTGCTGCCTGCGTGCTAGTGAGCCCATACTGCAGGGCCGTGGAGCAACAAAGCGCACTTGTGAGGTGGTCCAGTAGTGATTTTCAGTGGAAAAATCCAACCAGAACACGCAAGCTTGATGCCCTGATGCGGGAATAGTTCCGCACCGGGGAAAGTACCGTGATAGGTCAGTATAGAGATAAGAGGGGAGAGGAATAATTGTCTCGTCGGATATTTCCTGAGTCCAGATGAGGCTGAATAATGAGTTGCGATGAACCATGTCTGCCGGAGACTAAAATTCTTCCTGTATTCGGAATGGAGCTCTGTCGTAATGTAAGCGGCGTCTGCCCGCTAGACAAAAAGCCGTTTCTGCGGGTACCAAAGACCTCAGTCCATTGACTATCAGAATCTTTGAAGCCTTCAGGATGTGGGACGATATCCACATGTATTCGTGTCAGACACTATCCATTTAGGTTGCCGCCCTTAGCTGGTGTTAAGCTTAACCGCATTGCAAGCGTACTGGACATAGGCGTGGCAATCGACCAACGCACAAGGAAGCTAGAATAGCGTTGGTGTACACCATACGTGGAACCTCTGCCACACTTTAAAAATCGATTCATGCATTTCCTTAATCATTAGCGGAGTGGAAGACATGATTCCTGATGTCAACACACGATGCGGCTTGTTAAAGCTAACTGCTATTTTTGCTCAATTGGACAACCCATTTCGAAACGTAAACTTTTGCCTGCTACAAGGACTTACTCGACGCCATTCAACTTCTTTGTCGTTTCAATGCTAAGAATAGCCGTAATATAATTGCATCCACTGTTTTTTGCTTTTTTAACCTTGAACTATTTGCCGTTCGTCTTAGCGCGCCAGAGCGTTGTAAAAACACTGAAACTGTGATTTCTCTTCCTAGATGCAGACAATGCATAGCCTATTAATCATAAGTGTATAGCAAGAACTCTCTCTTTTTGCCTTTGATAATACGTCTTATTACTGGGTGCCCATAATCAATGCTTCAACTTGCACAATTTGAAGCGACTTCGTACGCCTAGGTCTACGAGTTGAAATGAACCTGGGGAGTTAGCGGCAGTGAGGGGTCGTTATTTGGAAGATTATGTTGGGATTTTGTAGACTCGAAGACGCCAATTCTCAGGAAATGGGCTCCTGGACTAAATCTATGTTTCTTTTTTAACCAAAACCAATACAATAAGATCATTAAATCCGCCAAGGGGTGGGAAGCCCAGGGATGAATGCCGACAGTATCAACCCCCTACCTGACTTCTTCACTTGAAACCAGGATATACATGTTTCCCAGTCGAGAGGTTAACAATGCAGTGAAAAGGTGACTTATTAGAGTCAGAGGTCTTAGCGGTTACACTCAATATCATTTTGACCATCCGACATTCAAAACTGGCTCGGAGACTTTTTAGGAGTTTAGTCTCAGAGGCTGTGCGGCATAGGGTGAAGGGTCAGCTAGGGGTTCTAAGGTAGCTACATACTACATACAGCCATCTCTGGTCTCCTAACCCTATGGAACATTGAGGCCCCTTACAAAGTGGCCCTCACAACACCCCTTGCATTCCTCGGCTTCCCAACAGATAACATCGGCATGTGACATCTGGCAGATTTCCCAGAGCACTTACACAAGTGAGCTGGAGTACAGTGGCGTCATCCTGAGAGAATGTCACTCTTCCAGCTACACACGTCTTTGTCTGTGGTGCGTACACACCTGTGCTGCCCAACTGAATGGCTACCACGTGGTTGAACCGGTAGAACAAGCGGCAATCGTACTAACCACGCTATTAAATTAGCCGATATGACTATTAGCGGTACAATACGCCGCTCAGTTGTGATCTCTTTACTCGACTGCTCACCCGGAAGTGGCTGCTTTTGATCTGGTGAAGTAACGCCTGAGGGTAAGTAGGGTGAGTAAGATGTACGGAGTAAGTGAGCTAGGTCGTTAATATCAGCGTAAGTACCAGCCTACTGAATTTATTAAATAGCATCTAAATAGTACATGTAATAGAAAACAGATAACCTCCCCCCCCCCCCCCCCCCCCCCCCCCCCCCCCAAAAAAAAAAAGAGTAAAAGAAATCCTAGTCTATGTTATTACGGCCAGTTTAGGTGACGGTAAGTCTATTAACAGACTATGTACGACATAGTTTTTAGTAAGCCATTGCTTACGAGTCTTTACTTAAATCCCAGGTGCAATCATTACAAAAGCTTTACATTAGGCACCAACCCGAAAATAAAGGACTGAAGCCATTGTATCTATTCGAGCTTAAGTCATAGTCCTACAAGATTATATCATATAAAGTATAATCTATAAGAGACTGCCGGCTGCCAACTATTTAACGGGTAGCCAGACAGATATAAATTCCGCGACTACTTCAGCCAACACTTCTACTGGAGCCCCTTGTTTATCAGGATCTTCAGGCACAAAAAGTTAAAACCAGCTTTGCCCGTTTGAAGGAGTATCACACCTAACGGGTACCACTGTGACTCCAACAGAAACTGGCAAGATTACGAATTGAAGATGAAATGCTCTTCAGTAGCGAAGAGCTGAGAAATTTACTAATAGCTAAACCGCTTCAAACCAGTAGTCACCCGAGCCTTCAGGCACCAGGTGGGTCGTCACGGCCCATCTGTTCGTCAAAATGTGTTTCTCTCTGTCCATCCGTCTTGCCCTTTGGAACCATGCGTATCCAATGTAACCCGCCTCCATTTTCATCCAACCTCTAAATGAGCCATCTTCCCCATCCCAGTCTTCAACAGCTCTCGAGTCCAACAACCATAGGTAAGCCGAGTCGGAGTCTCTGAGCCACTCACGCTTCTCTAAGAAGTTCGTAATGACACGAAGGGGAGGGGTTTCATCGGTTAGGGCAGCGAGAAAACGGACGCTGTTCTCATCCATGGCGAGAAAGTCGTGGAGACGTGGGTTTCGCTCATCCGCATTTGGATCGGCACCCACGCTGACGGTCCATTGCCTGAAGTGCTTGCAGAGCTTTGACACATCGTCATGGCTGGCGTTTTCAAGGCTAGGAAAGTTCAGCCGATCCTTGTCTTCGAGTACTTCGAGGCGAAAACGCCGACCCAACTCGTCATTTACCGACCCGTCTGTCTTTTGTTGCGCTATGCCCCGGGCACCCCAGCTAGGAAATCGCGTGCTGTGCACATAGTAGCTTACCACCCATCGCTTCAACCTTTCTACGGCAATCGGGAACAGCTTGTCGGACTCATTAGTGTAAACAGTCCTAAGAACTGCGTGTGGTTAGCACAAATCCGATGCGTTTAGCCAGAAAGCAGCGAGGGTGATGCGTCTATAGATAATTACCAGTATAACCCCAAGAGTTCCTCCCATGAGTTTTAGGGTCGGCGTTGTAGTACACATCCTGAAGGATTTGCAGCCACCATACTGCCGTCCCATCCCGGAAATCCTTAACGCCTTTACCGGAAAGGCTCCAGGCGTAGAGCTCCCGCGGTAGGTCTTTAACGTCGCAAAGCTCTTCGAAGCCTCTTTGGTCTGGCATTGTCGCTGCTGTAGAGTAGACGTTAAAATGGAAGCGGTTTGAATTAGGCAGCAGGGCTAGCCAACCGTTGAAGGAGTCGCTAGTGATGTTAATTTTGACTGGGGTAGGTCAAGCTTTACTTAAAGTGGAAATCAACCAAACATCAACCCAAAGTTCCCAAACTCGAGTTTACTGACATGACTTCGCTTATTTAATCAGGTGCTAGGTCTTATGTGAAGTGCCTAACTGCCGGGTTTCCTGATTATGTATGGGGTACGGAGTACGACTTCAGTAGGGAAATAGCCGCACCCCTAACACCAACTAAATGAGGTGAATTTTAGAGTGGCGAAGCTTCAGTTGAACATGCAACCGTTTGAAAACTGTATAATTGTTACTTTGGCTCTACGTTCGAGCAACTATAACACTTGAACAACAAATCTGATTTCCCAGAATGAGCCCGACTGGTTCGAATGGGTTAGAACAGAGAGCCTGGGCTGGACCTCCGTTTAATCTAGAGTCGAACAGTGAACTGCAACCTGCAATTTGCATCGAGCCAATGAGCTGCTAGATCGCTTGAAGTCCTCCTTGCCGCAACTTCAATGAATGCTTCTCATCCGAATTCGCCGACAACATCTTGATTGTTTCAATGGGTATCATAGTAATTATGAACTTATAAACAAGATATGTAGCAAGTAGGAGTAGTCTCTTCTGAACGCGAGGATAACATTATCAAGTAGGTATGACCGCCTCCTAGAATGATTGATGAACCACGCTGCAAAATGAGAGCCAAAGAGAACAACCTCTGATGGTTCGGCACCAAGTATTCAGCGTAGAAAGATTGCCTCACATGTTGTCCAACCGGAAATTCCCAACGAGATGTTTCGTCTAATACAAACAGTAATTAGGTTTTCCTCATCTAACTAACTCGCAACAAGAATCGATAATCACCACATAATGGAATGCCCCAAACCATCAACTCTCGTGGGAGAGAACGGGGGGCACCCCCGCACTAAACCGGCAGAAGGGTGGATCTTGAACCACTGGGACCCCGGGCGCAGCCAATTGGGGCCGTCCGCGGGGCATCATTCAGCGATGACGCGATTGTGCGGCGCAAATCCGCCATTGAATGGGCTGCCTTCTTCTACGATTTGGGGCAAAAAAACAGCGCAGTTCGTCAGTCTAGTTTTTCCAGAGCAGACGGCATCTATGTTACGGTACGGCTCTTATCTCGCGGTAATGCATCTGCAAGGGCCCCGGTCCAAAGGGCTGGGTCGCCTTTTAAAATCTTCTTCGGCCCCCATGGCGCGTCGGAGATTCTTGAGCTCTAAACAGTAACCTTCAACACTCGTCAGTTGTCGAAGGTGTCTGTAAGGTGTTGAACGACAGGACCTGTCGATAAGACATCGTCGGCCTCGCATTTATGTACGGATCATTCGAACCTTCTCAACAAAACACCATGTCACGGTACAGAGCTTATGACAAGGGCGATGACGTCCCCGTCATTGAGGATACGGGCGTTCGCGCTACGTACGCTGGAGATTCCAGCTCGGCCGACTTCGCCTCTATCGACCCAGAGACTGGCGTGAAGCGAGGACTGAAGACGAGACACCTCAGCATGATGGCCTTGGCAGGCATCATCGGTCCAGGTTTACTGATCGGCGCTGGCGGTGCCCTTTCCAACGGTGGTCCCGCATCTTTGTTGATTGGCTTTGGAGTGATTGGCATCATTGCCTTCAGCATCATGCAAAGTCTGGGTGAGCTGACAACGCTCTACCCCAGTGGAGGCGCTTTCACTGGACTCGCAGACCGCTTCGTCGACAAGGCATTCGGAGTCGCGCTTGGGTGGAACTACTACATCATTTGGATGTGCGTGCTCGCCAACGAGTACAATGTGTTATCTAGCATCTTTGTGTTTTGGAGCGACAAGGTGCCATTGTGGGGATACTTCCTCATTTTCTGGGTGGGTGGCTCTTCTGCAATGCAAGCAACGGATTAACTGACCTATTGCAGTCTGTCTTTCTCGGCTTTCAACTTCTTGGAGTAGAAGCTTTTGGAGAGGCCGAGTTCTGGCTAGCCCTGCTGAAACTCATTGGCTTGGTCGCTTACTTCCTCTTCTCCATCGTGTGAGTATTCAGCTGTGATAGCTACATCTCCCGTGACTAACTTGTGCCTAGGTATGTTGCTGGCGGAATTCCCGGACAAGACGCCCTCGGCTTCCGCTACTGGCGCGACCCCGGTGCCTTTACCGATGGCTTTCGCGGCGTGGCCAAAGTCTTCGTGTTTTGCTCAACCTTTTACGCCGGTGTTGAATCAGTCGCTGTCGCAGCCACGGAGACGAAGAACCCACGCGTTGCCGTCCCCCTTGCGATCCGTCAAGTTTTCTGGCGGATCATCTTCATCTACATGGGATCCGCCTTCTTCTTTGGTCTCACTTGTCCCGCGAACGCCGATGAACTTGTAAACGGCGGCTCCCGTGCTGTCAAAAGCCCCATGACTGTCGCCATCCAGAACGCCGGATGGGAGGGCGGTGTTCATCTGATCAACGCATTCATCTTCGTCACCTGCCTGAGCGCCTGCAACAGTTCGATCTATATTGGTTCGCGGACGCTACTTTACATGGGACAAGACAGCAAGGCGCCCAAAATCCTGGGGAAAACCGACAGCCGTGGAGTTCCCATCCCTGCCATAGTCTTCACCAATCTGTGCGGCGCTCTATCAATGATGAACATTAGCACAGGCGCCAGCAAGGCATACTCATACATCGTCAATCTCAGTGGTGTCTCGACCTTTCTTGTCTGGGGTTCTATCTCGTTCATTCACATCCGCTTCCGCCAAGCATGGAAGGCTCAAGGGCATGCCGAGAGCTCTTTGCCGTTCATCTCCATGTTTTACCCCTGGAACGCGTACTTTGGACTGGCAGCCAATGTATTCTTGGCGATTGTCCAAGGATGGACGACCTTGTCGCCATTTGATGCCGGCGCCTTTGTTGACGCTTATATCTTGTTGCCTCTGTTCCCATTGATCTACTTCGGGTACAAGTTTTGGTTCAAAACTCACTTCTGGCGGGCGAGTGAGGTAGACTTGCTTTCTGGTCGGCGTCGGGATTTGGATGAGTCTCATGAGATTGAGACTGGCGAGTATGACCTTGACAGGCTTCCTTGGTGGAGACGGGTTCTAAAGAGCTTTTGAAGAGTTAAAGATACCCTAATGATTGCGTTTGAGAATTTGAGATGTGTTTAGAAAGTAACTTGAATAATTATGCTTCTTAATAATCCATCTCTCCTTCCCGTCTCCAGTAGTTACTGAGTCCCTTGTGACGAATAGGCTAAATGTGCACCGTAGATCCCTTCAACTCCCAGCAGTGTTGCTAAATAGCGCGGAGGCTTTACCAATTGATCTCCTTGAAGCTTTGAAACGCAATTTTGTGGCACAATCAGACTGCCGTTGACGCCTGCCTTGTTCCCATGCCCATTCATGCATGCCCCCTAACACCGATGCTTTCCCATGCTTCTCACGATTTCCTTTTTTTTTCCCCAACATTTCGTGCTCAAGAACTATTTCAGTCTTTTCCGGTCTGCAGGAGCTTAATAGCCCTCTCAAAAGTTGCCCATGTCGCAGGGTCTTGCTCGCTGGGGAAATCCCTGTAGTGCGATATAATTCTTTCATACAGATCAAGACGCTCTGGACAACTTTCGGTAACCTTGAAACCGAGATTGTCTTCCAATTCCTTCAACAACTGCTCTCTCCAAACATCTGAGCCGGATGTGAGCAATCTTCTAACGGTCCGGCTTCCTACCGTCTCGTATATGAATGTAGATGTTGAGAGGCCATCTTCGTGAACAATTTGGAGACCCTCAGCTAGCCTAGAGCGGAATACCTCCGAAGCTGCTCTTCCATTCTGCTGAAGATGGAAAATGACTCGATGATATAATTCGAATGGACTGATGGTGTAGTCGGCCGAGATGCAATCTTTGCCTCCAGTATCTGTGAGTCCCAAAAGTCCATAGACCCTGTCCCGAGGATCCGTGCACTGATAGTCTTTGCAGAAAGCCAAGAGTCGTGTAAGTGTTGGCCTCGCGCCGGATTCCGGATTTCCGTCCGTAAACGAGGGTTGGTTGGACTGAGTTTGCCAAGATCTCCGAAGGTTGGAAAGCTCTGTGCAACTGTTGACGTGTTTCCTTATACTATAGTGGTTTTCTTGTTTAGAAAAGTGTTTGAAGCCCAGATTGGTTCTGTTGGACATCCCAAATGGCCGGAGTTGCTGGAGCGCAGGCCAAGAAAGTGTGTCGGACCCGCAGAGAATGTAGAGCTCTCTGGCCAGCGTAAACTCTTGGACAATCCAAATCCTCGACCAATAAGGCCTAGAAACTAGCCACTGAGCGTCTTTGAACGAGAATGGTTTCTTTGCATTTCTCAGGAACTCGTTTCTGTTCCGCCTTGGGGTGTGTTTCAAGTCTTGTAGATATTCGAACAGGGCAGGGACATCATCCTCAGATTCTCCAAGCCATGCCATCACAAAGGTGGCAGTTGAGAATATATCCTTCATTAGATCAACCTGAAAGCCGCGCTCGAAAGCATCCTCTTGATTGATACAGATGGCATCAATCCAATAGTATTGTGGCACTCTAATACGCGAGTTTCTTGGAGGCAAGATTGAGTGGTTGTCATTGTTGGCAATTTGAACCAGTCGCCGAAGAGCGTGCCATAAATTCTCGCGAACCTGGAACGGTTCGTTGTTCACCAAAATATCGTAGCTTGGGCTAGGGGGACCCCAAACATACGACAATCCAATGAATGGTGGAGGGTCGTCAATAGTATGGGTCGTCAACGTGCAACGAATAGTATCGTTGTCTTGGGGCAGGAATTTCAGAAGCCTTGTGGATCTCGTCTGCGGATCCAGTGGTGGGTAAAGAGTGTCTAACGAGGGCATATTCTGCCGCTTATGAAAGCTTTCACGAAGTCACTAGTGTGCGTGTGTAGAAGTTTGGATCTTCAGAAAAAAAGTTGGCGCATGGCTGGGCAAGAAATGTTAGTTATATGCAACTTGGTCTGAATTGCACCTACATATGCAAATTTATGCATATTAGTGGGGCTTTATGTATGTGCGATTCATCACCATACCAATCAGTTCCATTGATGGAAAACACTGGGTAATTCTTGATGCAAGAGTGGCTGCAGCTTATGGATCCTTGGCTGCGGCTTTATTGGCTCAACGACTACCCTGATTCCTTAAGTAACAGTGCAGATACGGATATAGCAAGGCCCAATGACTCTCAGAATGATAGGACGTTTGGTCGGTGCTGACAATGACATTTTATGACGCGTTCCAGTAAGTCATGTCGACCCAAGAAGTGTAGCCAGGTAGGATCGAATCGATCGAGACAGCGCTGGACAACTTCTTCGCCCAGCTTACCCTAGTCCCGCTTGCTCCAGTTCCGGTGTTGCCATATTCAGCGTAGTAAACGTTGCCAGTTGGGTTCGTTCCCCAGGCAGACCATCCCACAGGCTTGACAACGTTACTGAGGTCGGAGTTTTGAACGACAACACGTGCGTACTCTCTCCATGGACGTCCAAGAACTGTCGATTCCTTGGCCACGCCAGAGCCGGACTTGGCTGCGATTTTGGCCTTGTTGATCACATACCAGTAGCTATCAGCACTGTCGCGTCCACTGGCAGTAATATATCCAGCGCCGTTGATCGCAATCGTACACTTCTCAAACCAAGCATTACCATCATTACCAAAGATAAAGTCGGTTGCTCCCTCGATGTAGCTATTCTTATAAACCTGATGAGGTTTGTTGGTGTAAATGGTGTCTTGGTAACCGACGAAGCTGCAGCCGTAGTAGGCCTGGTATTGGCCATTGGCGGAAATAGCTAGGGCCTGAGAGCCCTTGCCAAAGCCGTTGACGAGATTGACATTGTACAAGCTAAAGTAGTTGGTTGCGACACGAAGAGTTGCAGACAAGTCGTTGCTTCCAGCTGCAGCAGCGGAGAGAGTGTTGGTCAGGGTAACCTGGTTCTTCGTGTAGTCTTGATCGTTTGTGGTGTAGCCATAGACTACGAGCTTCCCCTTTAGGCTGGGGATCGAGACCTGACCGCTGTAGCTTCCGGGCTGGATAAAGATAGTTGTGGTGGCGGTTGAACTGGTGGAAATGGAGTTGATAGCAGCTTGCAACTGCGACGAACACGTATTAGTTGGGATGAATTTTGGGAATAGAAGAAAACCAAATACTCCATGACAGTTTTGAAGAGCTTAAATTGCACTTACAGAAGTGTATTGGCCTCCGGACTTGGCAACTACAATTGCCCCAGATGGCGGCGAAGTACGAGAAGCAGCGAACACATTGCCTGCTAACACCACCAGGGAAGAAAAAATGCCTACAAACTTCATGACTGCGAAGATTTGGAAACGTGCTTAGATTTCACCATAGGTAGGGGGTATTCTAAGGAAGGCTTGGAGACCCTGTTACGATGCCCTCTTTTTAAAGACCTGAAGATTGTCCCGTTCATTCAATATGGCACCCCCCTTGTTACCAACGGCATCGTAGTGCGGAAAGCTTGGCTGCATCTAGACCAAAATAAAGTTTTAGAATCCGCCAATTCGGAAACAGTGAGCATATAATTACTCCAGACTAAATCAATTTTAATATGTTATGGGGGTCAGATGCAAGCAAACAGGTGGACTAGAATTCTCCGTTGATGCAGCTGTTGCCCCCTGCGCAACTCCATTTAAGCCTTCCGCTTGCAGTTTTCCCGAGCCGCTGTACCCTTATTTTAATAATCCCGTCCACAGGATGCATGTCGGATTTATCCGACGGGTGATGAACTCAAAATCGACGTCGCAATTGCGGGGTTGTTTGACTCTGGAAGAATACGCGTAGGGAGGACGTATGCCGTGCGGGGTTATTCGTCACGCAGCAATCTAATTTACGATCAGGTTGCCCTTTAAGCTCTTGTAAAGAGTCGGTCCGCTTCCAGAACCAGACTAGTGACATTGCAACTGAGAAAGAAAGTGGTAAATCATTCGGCGATGAAATGATAGCCCTTGACCCACTTGTTGAGATGTTCAACTACAAGCAATGTACGCTGTGAGCGGCAGCAAACTTGGTTTCGTGAACTCTTATTTGATCAAATTATGCATTACAAGCGTTCCTATACTCCAGATCTTCGGCGATACGGGCGTGTCAACAGAGTGTGGAGCATTGGAATACGTTAGATGGCTTGCTTGGAGAATTCATGGACAACGGACTTTTACTTTTTTTTCTTCCTTCTTTTTTCAACAGGGCGCATGCTGGGAAGTCATTAAACCACATTCGAAAAAGTTTTCATACGATTCTTTCTTCTTAAAAACCTTTGAAACCTAAACAACCAAATGGATCCATAAATGAATGTATTGAAACGCAAATGAGATAAACTCCAAGACGTGAATCTCATGCCAAACTACCTAGGACGAGCGACAGGCCTATAGTAAGCCAGGTTCAAGAGCAAACGGATGCTCTTGGCCCAGCATTGGCCTTGACAAAGGCGGGAACATCTGCAGTTGGAGTGAGAGTGTACGAGTACCCTGGAGTGAAGCCAGTGCCTGAATTTGAAGCAATGGTACCCGTACAGCTCTTGTAAGTGTTTCCGGAGGCGTTGAGAACTGCACCAGAGTCCTTTGTGAGGGGGTTCTTCGTGTTTTCGAAGAAAACATTTTCCACTCTGGCATTTGTTTTTCCTCGGGCATAGTGGCCGTACGAAGTAATGCCATACAAATAGTTATTGTAAAGATGGACCTGAGCAAGATTATCGGCGCTTGGGTTGCGTTGGTTCGTTTTGTCAAACCAGTTGTGGTTAATGGTGCCGCGAGCCGAAACATTTTCGGTCCAACCAATGCCAAACGTTTTGTCATGGTTGCGGAAGATGTTGTTGGAGACAGTGAAGTAGGTGGTGTCTTTGCGAAGATCAAGCAACCCATCACCGCCATTCTCGAAAAGACAGTGGTCGATCCAAATGTTGCTGACGGTGTCGGCCTGGATACCGTCACGGTCATTCTCAACACCATCATTGAGATTGGTATTGCCAAGTTTAAGGTTGCGGATAATGACATTCTTAGCACCGTTCAAGCCAATACCGCCTGGTTACATCGCAAATCAGTACTCATACTTTGCAAAAGTTCCTCTAGCATTGCGAATTACCTTGGTAGAGCTCGCCAGAAGCGCCCACGCCAATGACAGTCTTGTCGCTAGAGACTTTGATCTCCTTTCCATATGGCGTGATGGTGATACGGCCACTGACCTTGATGACGTACTTGCCTGTCGCACTGGCATACTTTTCGAGGTCAGCTTGGGTAGTGACTGTTACTGTTGTGCCACCCGCTCCGCCAGTAGTTCCGCCGTTTAGTGAAGCAAAGCCTGGCGCAGATGCAGTACAGCCGCTACTTTGTCGCTCAACAACGGCGGCGTGAGCTGTTGAGATAGCCTGCAGAAGAACTAAGATAGAGAATTTCATGTTTACTATTCCCAGAGACCGCAGTTGGTGTCAGATCCCAAAGTGGTGTTCATGCAATCTACTAGGCAAACGGGTTTCGACCTTCATCGGGGGCAAAGAGGGCAACTTATAGAGTCCCTCTCAAGCGGGCTCTCGCTTTGGATTCAGCTACCCCGAGAAACTCCACGACATCAGATTCATGCATATACAGTGAGAAGCGAAGTACATGCTCTTTCCAGGATTTTGATGCATTAGCGTGGGAAGGCAGGGCTACAGAATCTAGTGTTTCTTTCAACCCGTGGCAGGCTGCAGAGCGCATCCCTTCTCCATGCACATTTTGCAATGCCCCAACAGCACCAATGAGAGCTGCCAAGCATGCTAAGTAGGGAATTGATAGGCATCACATAAAATGCCAAGAAGATCATTGAATCTAGGAAGAGCTGAAGATGTAGTAAGCGCAGGAAAAAGATGTGGTGGGGTCGACGTCGCATCTGGGTGAAAGAACAACCAAAAACCCACCAGTCGAATGACAACGGTTCCCCTCATCAATGGTGTGTGGAATGGCATCACGCAAGTCCCGCCAATAAGTATTCATTTGAACCATTTGTTGACTCTTTAAGGGATAAATTTGCGTAAATCTACTGTGTCATACATTTGTCTAAAACGCCAATTCTATTATCATATCTAAAATTATGACTTATGTGCCATTTCGTATCTCATTTTCAAATGGGTGCATTCACCAATTAAACGCTGACATTCTTCATCTGGCGGCTCAACTCCTTTCAAAATTTGCCTTGTTCGCGTGCCGCCGTCACTCAAACTGTTGATAGCAGGTAGTGTTCCATCATATGCTGCTAGCATCGGCCCGGATACCCATTGTATGTTGTCTCATACTTTCTCCTCCGGGTCTTGTTTTGCACGGGTCAGTCGAATGCCTAGGATGCAGGCAAACCCAGCCAGCGCCATGGCACCCGCATAATATGCGGCAGGGCGGAACGACTCAAGTCCGTCCCCGCCACCCGACAAGGAATAAAGCCCAGATGCAATAGGCGTTCCCTGACGATGGTTAGTGACATGACTCTAAATGGATAAGATATCAATGGACTCACGAAAAAGAAGCCGCAGAACCAAGTTGTCCATACCACGGGGATTATACTCAAAGTGTTCTCTCCTCCAAACGTGGAGCTGACGGCGATCGGCGTGAGGCTGAAGAAGGCACCACAACCGATTCCGTTAAAAACAAGGCACACTGAGAAGATTCCAATGGAAGACGACAGAGGCCAAACAACAAGTGAACTAAGCGCCATGAATAACATGGAGATTGCAAGGCTCTCTACGGGGCCCAAAACTGAGTCTGCCACCCAACCAGCGACGACGCGTCCCAGAGTCGAGGCCAAGTTCCACGCCGCCAAAATGACAACGCCTATCTCCTTTGGATATCCCATTGACCTCGAGAATATGGGAATGAAGTAAGGTGGGATGAACAACGGGAAACATGAGAGAACTGTTCCAGCTACGAGCATGAGAAAACGAGGTTGCTTGAAGCGGTACCTGGAGTGGTCAGCTCAACTCAGGTAGATCAGAGGATGTCGGCACTTACCACTGAAGTTGGCGTGAGCCCTTAGCCCCAGTTCGTTTTCTACTGGGGAGAAAATAGGAAGCTGGCATAGAAACACCCCAAAGAATGAAGCCTAGTATACGGAAGGTCCAGGCAACACCCAAGTCCTTGACGAGGTAGTTGGTAACAACACTCATAACGGCGGACCCAAGACTTCCGCCACCGAAGACGAAACCCATTGCCAGAGCCTTGTGTTTCTTGAACAAGCCCATTGGAGCAGTCGAGACGGACTAGTTCAAAAAAAAAAAAAGTTAATTGTCAAAGTTACTATGGCGACGCACCGTTTAAAGAAATTGTACGTAAAATCAATCATCCACTTACAAAAACAGAAAGACCACCTCCAAGTCCAAAGACCAGACCATGCAAGAAGTAGAGGGCAATAACATGGTGCGTCAAGAAACTTGCAAGGACTTCTCCAAGGCCCATGAAAAAACCTCCCACCAAAGCGGTCAACTGGTATCCGATCTTGCAGACGATCTTATCTGCGATAATGCTGAAGCAAATCATGAACGAAGTAGCGAGCGAGCCAACAAATGTCAACGTCGTCAGGCTCGATGATGTTGTCTCAACCAACTTGACTTGCATGATACCCCAGGAGTAAATAACTCCAAGGTATACAAACATTGTCAGCGAGGACGCCGCAACTGTGATCCACGCTTTTCGATCATCGAATGTAGGCTCGGAGTACGTTACTGTCTGGCGCAGTGGGATATTGGTCGATGAGACGTTGTGCTGTTCATCTTGTCTAGTGGCAGATAACGCGCGAGGCGACGCGAGGTTTTCGGTCCTATTTTCGGCACCCATTATGAAGAAATTGTTCTAAGAATCATTAGGCTTGAATATTGTTTGTAGAATGACGAATTCTCGATTCCATTATTTTCTGTTGATAAGGATTCGTGAATATCGTATGTTGTAAGTCGGATTTCGGTTCTCGGGTTTGGCATCAGAACCGACGTACAATTTTTATTTTCCCCAGTAGACACACCATTTACGTCAGTTCGTAAGACCGAAATGGATGGAGCACTTATCTACTCCAAATTTTTAGCGTAACTTCTAATGTTCGAAAGAAAGCCGTTGCCGGTGATCGGTACCGATTCGTCGGCTTTGGCGTATGATCGTGAAGTATAATTAATTACCATGACTCCCCTCAATGATGCCCTCCCTTTCGTTTTAGTGATTGCCTTCTTTTCCATATCCAGCCGAGACCTTACAACATCTCAAACCATCAACCCATTATTGTTTCAGCCATGGCTCCCGCACGAGACGACGAGTTGTTCACACCAACAAATGGCAGCCCAGAAATCATCAGCACCAAGGCCAAAGCTGGTGATGGTCGGTTGATGCATCGGTCTCTGATTCAGCACCCGTCAATGGTTGCTTCAGCAAGTGGAATTGAATTGACTCTCGCAAACGGCAAAACAGTCATCGACGCGTGTGGTGGTGCGGCAGTGGCGCTTATCGGCCACGGCAATGAGGAAGTTATCGAAGCCATAACGAACCAAGCAAGGAAAGTCAGCTATGTTCACACACAAGCATACACCACTCAGCCAGCGGAAGATCTGGCGAATATAATTCTCGAGGGCAACCCTCATGGGCTTGAAAAGGCCTTTTTCGTTTGCAGTGGAAGCGAGGCCGTTGAGTCAGCGCTGAAGCTTGCCCGCCAGTACCATTTTGAGAATGGGGAGCCTCAGAGGCTTCATTTCATTGCAAGACGCCAAGCTTATCATGGCAACACAATTGCGACGATGTCAGTCTCAACAGTTGAAGCACGAAAGGTTCCTTACCAAAGCTTCAACTACCCTCACGTATCCTATGTTTCACCGGCGTATGCCTACCAATACCAGCGGAAAGACGAGACCGAGACAGATTTCACAGCTAGACTGCTGGCAGAAGTTGACGCGGAATTTCAGCGCGTTGGCCCTGAGAAGGTCATTGGATTTGTTGCAGAGACAATGGTCGGCGCAACTGCGGGATGCGTTGCGCCACCTGCTGGATACCTCAAGGGCGTGCGGGATATCTGCAACAAATACGGCGCCCTTTTAATTTTAGATGAGGTTATGTGTGGCACCGGCAGGACTGGCACGTTCTTTGCGTTTGAGCAAGAAGGTGTTGTCCCTGATATCACAACCATTGCAAAGGGTCTAGGAGGAGGGTATGGCCCCATTGCCGGAGTCCTGATGCATGAGAGAGTCGTCACCGCATTGAGACAGGGCTCTCAAGCTTTCAACCACGGACACACATACCAGGCCCATCCTATTGCATGTGCGGCCGCACTCGCGGTTCAAAAGATTCTTAAGCGGGAGAACCTTGTGAATCGGTGTGCACAGCTGGGCAAGACTCTTGAGAACTTGCTGCGAGCTGAGCTGAAGGGTTGTAGGTCTGTAGGTGACATCAGAGGCAGAGGTTTGTTCTGGGGAGTTGAGTTCGTCAAAGATCAAGATAGTAGAGAAACCTTCGATCCAAAGCAACGCTTCGGCCTTCGAGTTCAAGAAAGGGCTTTCGAGAAGGGAGTTGCTTTGTATCCAGGAGCAGGAACTGTAGACGGAAAGAGAGGAGACCATGTGCTGCTGGCCCCACCATTCACTACGACAGAGGAGCAGTTACGAAAGATTTGCAGAGTATTCAAGGAGGCAGTAGAGGAGATCGAGGCGGAAACTTTTTGACGAGAATGAAAAATCTAAGAAATATGGGCTCACGCCATGAGATGATCGCGAGTCAATGGTAACGTTAGGTGCAGTTCAGAATAATATTCAAATTGTCTTAAACAACAAAACGCCTCAAGTTAACGTGAATATTTCCTGTGTGTTCACTTCTTCTAGCATCGACCACCAATTTGGCCACAGGCCTTGGTCATCCATATTCCCGCTAGGATCTATTAAGGCCTGAGCACTTAATCCACCAACGCTTGGCTGTTGCTTATCTACCAAGCCATCTCCCTCTACTGTACCAATAGAGCTCCTCTCGGCGTTGTTGATTTCTTCGAGATGCTGCGCTGATCTATCCACAACACGAAACTCATGGACTGATTGATGCAAAACATTGAAGTTGAACCTCGACAGACCGCGATATCGATGATTATTTGAGATAACCCTCTGGTACATCAATGATCCATTTTGTATGGTTTTGAGCTGTTTCATGTAAGACCAGGCTAAAATACTTCACATCATATATGAAGTCGGGAATGAAGTACTTACCCATCCATCTCCCAGATCCCAGACTTCGCGGAATCTTTTCAGATATTCAATACTGGTGTTCATCAATTCTTCAGCCCTTGGAGCGTACCCAAGGGTAATCCGAGGAAAGCGGAATCCGTAAAGGTTGATGTAACATGATGAAAATGCACAAAAGCCAGCAAATGGCGTCATTACTGCGACGCCGCACTCGGAAGCCTCTTGAAGAATACTCCCTAGATGTTCCGCTGCTCCAAAGAGCTCTCGGGAACTTTCTTCCCACCAGCCAGGTGGAGCTTCGGCTTCGAGAAGTGGGGGGTCTATGGGACCTTGAGGCGACGCTTCCAAGCCGGGTAAGAAGGGAAAGTACTCCCTTTGGAGCATCATGATACTGTTTAATGAATTGTTAACTCTGTTGCCGAGTCTTCAGTATCCTTTGTTTTTAACGCCCCTCACCTTTGGTAGTAAAGTAAGTTGAGGTACACGAAAGATTCGCCGTATCCTAATGTCGCATGGGCCACCACACTGTTTTCAGGGTAATGCAGCCGGTGGTGTTGCTTTGCCCTCCATTCTTCCAAACGCCTACGCCAACAGGCGACTGGTGATGTTGGAACCCAAGGGCAATTTTCCGGTGAGCACATGCCTGGCGCCCTCCGGCCGTCGTTGAACACAAAGGCCATGACGTCGGAGTAAATATCGAAACCAGCGGCCATAATCCCAAAGCTTTGGTCAAGGTCGAGGTAGACTGAGGTTTTACTGCCTCCTGGTGTTAAGATGTTCTCTGAGTCTTCTGTTTGGCCAACTGATCCAGAGCCCAAGGCGAATTCAGTGGATGTCGGTGGCCGGGGCACGTTGAGCTTGGCCATCTCTTGCTTTGGAAGCACACGCGGATTGTAGGTACCAGAGCTGACCATACAGTCCATAACAAAACAAGCCCAGAAAGTTCTCGTTTCGATTGCAGTTGTTAATTCGTTATGTTCACTTCGATGTGGTATTTCTAATGGGAAAGGGGCTACTCGTGAACTATGAAGCAGTTGCATCATACGAATGGCGATACCTATCTCACGTTAGAAGACACAGTCTCCATGATGACTAGTAGCTTACCGCAATGCATCCACGCTTTGTGAAAGTCCCGTGTACCCCATTCAAACAAGGTCAATATCAGTAGCGCCTGAATAACGTTGACATCTGGGGGCTGCAGGATACAGGCTGCCAAGACCTCACTTGCATAAGCCGCATAACGCTCACTTGGATATAAGATCTGCGTCCGTAATCGGTCGGAGTCCGGGTTCTGCGTTTTCGTCATTGCAAGCACTGTGGCTAGCAAGGCCTTGCTCTCCTTTGGGCAAGTAGATTTAAAAGCTTGCATAAACGACGATGGATGAATGATCCTCAGCTCAGGAAATTTGCGCCAGAATGCCTCCAGCGCAATGAATACCAAGTCTCTGGGTATACTCTGAAGGTGTCGATCCATCTCATCCTTTCCAACACGGCACTCTGGGTCGGCCGACCCCCGACTGGGAGTCGCAGGGCCCCTGGATTGCGACGCCGATACATGAACCTGTTGAGATTCGCCATCCTGCTCGCAGGAGCTTCGCAGCGACGCATCGAAGCCATCGTCTGCCCTTCGGGGCCTTTTGGACGCTCGTCCAGTAGCATTGACTTGCGGTCTGGTCAATTGGCAATCATCTCGCCCTGACTTTTCACATTTACGGCATGGCGGACTTCCGCTGTTGACGCATTTGATTTTGGACCGCCTTTGCGGGGTAAGAAATGCGACATTAGCCTCCGATGTCCGATCAGATAAGCGACGGAGGGCCACTCCGAACGGCGATACGACTTACCGGCAAAATTCGCATGATAGACTGGAACGCATTTTCCGATTGTTGGCGATTCGCTGTCGGCTTTGGAAAAGCAAAAAAGCTTGAGAGCCGACGAAGGATTATCGGCTTAGATTTGGAAGCCCGGTCATTGTGGGTCAATGGCTTATCGGACACTGCTAAGTGTCCGATTCACTCCGATGGTCTAACAATCTGTCAACCACAAGGCGCGTAGGGCGTCGACAACCCAAAGGTTTCTGAGACAGGGTTTTGTAGCCCCATAGTAGAAATTCACTGTCGTAGTAAAAGAATGAAAGGAGCGATATTTGGGTGAAAAATAGTCCACAGAACCGAGTACAGCTGTTGGACTCAGCGTATTTCAGGAAACTTTGACATAGGTACCTTAGGAAGAGAGTTAATTCTCCAACTAATTGACCCTTCGTTACCAAGACAAGAGGTGAGATCATGGAAAGCATAGTCATCCACTGTGAGCTGACATCTTTCATATTTAATCCATCAATCGGCCTGGCTGGCCTGGGGAACCTGGCGTTATTTTTCGTTTGGCAAGTCTCTGTCAGCTGACGAACTCCAAGAAAGCAAGCAATTTCAGGGAGTATATGGATCGCATAGCGCAACAGAGGGCTGGTCGGTAGACATGAACGGTTATTTTTAGGACAGGTTTTGATTCAAGCCGCGCGGAACTGTTCTCTAGAGCTGTTTTCGAGGAATAAGTGGCCTGATTAGCGCGGTATCTCTGCAAGCCGCTCGATGAACTTCAGTGCGGATGTGATAAGAACAAACTGACTGATTAGGTTTCAAATGTGATGTACAGAAGGCCAGGGAACAGGTTGTCGTACGTTACCGTTCCGAAATCTTTGCTTGAAAATCGACATGGCAGTAGTACATTTACATTACCTAGTCCAACAATACCAAGCGTACGTACTGCACGATTTTCCGTCAGGTCGATCCTAACCTCATCGGAAATCCAATCAAGACCAAAGCTCAAGAAATGATTGAAGACAAAATCGTTTTTAGTGCATTGAATCGACAGGATATCTGACAGAAGTACGAGGGAACCGACGCAATACAAGTGAACAACGTTGGACGTAAACCTCAGCCATAGTCTCTTACGATTTTGTGCGTTTCGAAATCATAAACCAGCCAACTGACTCAATCATGGCGTTTTGTTCTCCGTCGTCTCAGGCTGGTATGGTTAAAGCAAGATAGCATGGCACACTTATGGAGATACTAACCGAGAAAATCTCCCATTCCTAGTCTCATAGAGGCGCAGCAGTTCTACCACAGCGCCAAGAGCTCAGAAGCTACAGACCACCAAAATTGCAACGCTTCGGAAGTGGGCCGTATTGTTTGAAATCCGCCTCCCGAATCCCGCCTCCGGCTCTCCACCTGAATGTTGTCTAATCCCACTAATCCCGTCAGTCTCCCCGGCGGGCCCCGACCTCCATAACCAGCCCGTCTCTGTTGTTGCCGACCTCACAGGAGAAATGATAGTTGCGTCTCCGGCGCATGACTTACTCTAATATTGAAATTTCGCTTGTATACCATTACTCATATTTGAAAAGAACAAGAAGAAAAATGCACGTGGGCCAGTGATGCCTTCGTAAAGTTGCGAGAAGTACAGGCCAAGGAATCTGATAAGATTCAGCTAGATGGTTTAGCGCAGATGCGTGATCTAAAAGAACACTACTCACAAGATTTCTATCTTAGCTAAATCAACTAGGTATGCAAGTGTCGGTGTAGTTTAGACAAAATACGGGGAGCATACTTGCGACGTCATAAACCAGATCTTGTTGTAGAGCCGGAATTATAACCAATTCCGCTCGACTGACTCGGGTTGGGCGGGCCTAATTATCCTAAAGAGCCACCAGGGGGAAGAAATACACGTCTAAGCCCCAGATTACGGGATAATTTAGACTCCACTAAGGCGGTACAACAAACTTTATATTGAAGGTCTGTAGCGCACGGGGCCCCAATAGCAGCAACCCAACCAACTTATTTTACCATACAGAGAAAACTTCAGGGGGCTTAATGTTAACGAATACGACTTGCTTTGAGTATTTGTAAGATGCCATTAAACCCACTGTAAATCCGGTTAGCTGTAATCTATCGCTACCTGGCCACATGACTCTTCTTGGCGTCAAGCATTATTCCCCGCAACATCCGCTGGCAAGAGAAAGACTATCCGCTCTTTCGAGCCATATAAGAGAAACCCCCACAGCTGAATTGATAAATAGGTGTCTGCCATTTACTACCTGGTAATCCGACTCTCTGACGACAGGTATTTGCGCCGAAAGACTTATTCGTTCTTCTTGTTTTCTCAGTTATCATTGAGAATGAAAGTCATCATTGTCGGGGCCGGCTTGGGCGGCCTCTGTGCTGCACTTGGGTTCGCTCGAAAAGGCCATCAAGTCTGGGTTCTGGAACAGCGTCCAAATGTTACCCCTGCCGGCGGTGCCCTCAACATTCGACCTGGCGCGTCAAAAATTCTTCACAGCTGGGGGCTTGCTGAGGAATTACAACAAGTTTCTGTTGACACGGCTGCCAACGTGCTACGGAACTTAGCAAGCGGCCAGGTTGCGACTCGAGCGATCGCGACCGAGATCTCCGACCATCCAGACTGGGGCACGAGCAGAGATGTACTAATAGGAACATTCCATCGAAAAGCAAAGGAAGCAGGCGCCACGATCATGTTCAACGCTGCCGTTACCAAAGTGGAAGACAGCGCACAAGGAGCTTGTGTTACGCTGCGAGATGGAACTCGCCTAGATGCAGATCTCGTCTTAGCCGCCGACGGAATCAGGTCGAATATTCGAGAGCAAATCCTTCGAGGTACTGGCCAGCCTATCGACCCAATTATCACTGATGTGACACTTTACGGCGTACATCTTCCAAAGGAGGAGATCACGTCCATCCCTGAATTATCTCCTCTGATGGATCAATCATATCTAAACGTGTACATGGGCGAGGATGGTAAGGTACATGTTACGAGTAGATATAACAGCACACTTGGGTCATACTCCGCGTTATTCGGAGTGAAGGGTGATACCGATCAGCGCGGGCTTTGGGACGAGAATGGTGATATCGAATACGTTCGCAAGTTGTTCAAGGGAGCTTGTCCAGAGATACGCAAGGTCCTTGATGTTGCCAAAAAGTGCGACAGATGGAGGCTTGCGGAACTTCCCGATTTGCCTCGTTGGACTAGTGAAGAAGGAAGAATCGTGTTGCTTGGAGACTCTGCTGTAAGTGGCAAACAGTCAAGCTTCTTGTCGCGTCACAGTAACTGACATTCACCTCCTACAGCATGCCATGCAGCCAAGTGCTGCTCAGGGCTTTTCGCTCATCGTAGAAGACATAGGCGTCTTGGAATACCTTATTTCCCAGTCTCCCGACCCCATCGTCGACATGAGGAGAATCACTTCAGATTGGCAAAATATAAGGAAGACTAGATGCGAACGTTTCAAGGCCTGGGCAAGCCACAACACAGACTTGTTCACAAGCCCATCCAAAAGCATCAAGCCCGGTTCTGGCCAATGGCAGGTCAAATCTCTCAAAAATACTAAACCCGACATTAATGCAGAATTTGGGACGGCTCCATTTCTGAAGTGGGCGCAAGGAACGGATGCTATTGCTGAGGTAAGTAATCATCCGCCCACTTGTTAGTTTGAACCTTGAGTTACTGATAGCTTTGGACAGGCCGAACGATATCTACGAGCCAGCGGTCCACGGCTATGAAGAGGGGGTCCAATCTGAGCTTTACGCGTGCAGACGACGAGGACTGTTCTTTCAGCATGGCGAATTTGGTGTCGAGTTATAGATATGAGGCATTATCTGGGAGACCCACGCAGTGCAATCCAATTTTGTACTCCATACATCTAGCAAATGTGAAAATGTACGGATGCTCCAGCACTATCTTGCATATATAGTTTCAGGGACAGTCAGGCGCTACTGCTGCCAATGTGTAGTTTGTAGTATCCGTGCAGCAACCATCTTCATACTGGCCCGTCATCTGTCACCATCTTACATTGTCTCCTCAGGCTTGCCACCGGGTTTGGTAAACGAACTTTGTTCCCTTCCTAGTGGTATTGCTAGTAACCTAAGTGGGCAAACGCCATACTCGAACTCGGTTGTCCGAAACACAGGGATTTACCAGCAGTCTATATAGCCGCATCATTATAACCTTGGTAATGTAGTATAACGATGGAACTTATCTATCCGTTAATACTTTCTATAATGGGAGAAGAGAAAATCCCTTAATTGATATTTCTCCTCTGTATTCAACACTAAGTAAAGCTTTTCTAGGTTTCGAATAGTGAGCCACTGAGGATTGGGCTTCGCAAGATTTTACAGGAGACCGGGGACGAAGAATACTAGCTTCAAAGTGCAATATACTAATGATTGGGAACTATGTACACACTAATTCAACTCGCAAAAATTCGGCTTAAATTCCAGAACGAAGCAAACTTAGCCTTTGCATCACCACCACCCCCTGTTAAGTCACGCTTATCAAAGATACGCTTCAATCTTTTCAGCGATGCATAACGCTCAGCAGGCAGTGGTGAAACCCGTAGCCTTGCAGTAAGTGCCATCGGGGCCAGATCCAATCTTGGTCGGCTCCTTACCGGAGTTGTTGCCGGTGTACCGATCGCAAATCTTGTTACTGTCCTGGCAACTGTTGTTCACGATGCAGGTGTCCCCGTAGTTGGTGTTGATGCCGCAGAGCACGCCTCCGTCCGTGGCAATCACGTTGGAGAGGAGGACATTGCGGGCGCCGCCGTTACCGCTGCAATTGCCGCAGCTGCGAACGACTTTACCATAGTCGTTGGCGTAGAAGTTCTTGATATCAACAGTTCCGAAGCCGTTGAACTGGATAATCTTGTCGGAAGCCTTGAAAGCACCTCCACCGATGACGTATGAAGTTCCGCTGGATTGCTTCAGGGTACTGCCAGATGTTAGTACTTTTAAGTGGGACAGCTGATTTCAAATGAGGCTTACAGAGCATCCTCACAAACATCTTGCCACCAGACGTTGATACTTTACTGACGTTAGCTAGGATGACATATCATGAAACATTGATCAAAACCTACAGAGTGCTGTGACCGTTAGCGAGATTCTTTTTGCAAATGTTTCAGGCATGCGACTTACCATGTTCCCCTGCAGTGTACACCTTCTGCTTGATCAGGTCCAATAATGACATTGGCAAGCGTAGCACCGCTCTCAAGCACAAACATGGAATCGGCTTCGCCAGTCTCGTCCTGCTCAGCACAGACACGCGCTGCACATTGTTAACGCATTGTTAAACTGGATCGTCAAGGAATTGAACATACGGCTGCGGTCAAACTTCTTCATTCCTCCGTCGTAAGTCTGCCCAGCAGAAACGGTGATGGGCTTGTTCGTTGCTGTAGCACCAGACGACTGAGGCAAAGCCGTCGTCACTCCAGCAGGCGGCGTGACAACACCGCCGCCGTTGCCTGCCGTCGTCGAGGTTCTCAACGTAGTCGTTGGCTGGCTACCGCCAGCACCGCTGTAGTGGCAAGTGCATTCCGCAGAGATAACGGAGGGTTTGTTTGAGCAGTTGGTAGCCCAGGCGGGAAGGCCGGTGGTAGCGGTGACGGTACTCTTGGTGAAGGTGGCACAGAACGCCGAGGCAGTCGCTGACTGTGACTTGATGAAACTAGCGCATTTGTTCGAGTTGGCATTAAGGCAGCCAAGAACTGTAGGAAGAAGAGCCAGAAGATAGTATTGATGCATCTTGGCGAATGAATCTGACTTGTTGTGAGAGAATGAACCGGATCTGAATGTCTGTTGAAGGCTCTGACTATTCAACTTGAAGCCGGATTTCGTTTTGTTATTTATATCTTGACGAGTCTTCACCGTTTGGCTATCCTGATGTTAAGTAGGCGCAGCATTATTGGGCGCGGTTGCCATCTCCAGCCTCAAGTCCACTGACTGAGGGAAACGATTTCCCCGTCTCAGTTTCCACCAGTGATTAAGAATTGTCATTTCATTATATTAGATGGCTTACAGTGCAGCCTATCGAGCGCCTTTCTCTCAAAACCACCTCTAAGCAGTTGCATAGAGCCTTACTTCTTCTTCTCGAGGGTGGCTCGACCGGGTCGTTTCCGAATCTACCCCACAGATCCGAGCCATCCACACTCTGCTATGGAAGCTTGTATTGAGCTAACCGAAGGTCTAGTGATCTTATCTGCAGCTACATCCACGTGGAGAGAAAGTTGGATGAATCCTGCCGATTTGTGGAAAAAGAGGCAACTTGACTGCCAACCCTCAGAAGGGGGCTGTTCTGCGTCTGCATGGGTGATGAGTGCACCGCACTATCGATCAATATCCATAGCAGGATTCCAACAGCACGCTTTCGACATGATAAGCCTACACAATGTTGTAAATACGGCCAAGGCCAAATAATACGATATATCGGTTGAGGCCAAGGCTTACTCAAGTTTTGCCCGCAAGCCAAAGTCACCGGACCAGTGCAACCGGATCTGAATTGGCAGGACGTGAACGAAGCTTGTTCTAGCCAAGGGGTTTCCGGAACACGTCACTGACAATTAACTGCCCTCAACCAAGTGGATGGATTTGTTTTGCTGGTGGCACATAGGTAGTACAAGCCCTAAATGCCACCAATGGCAAAACACAAATTGGCCAGGATCAAGCCACCCCCGGAAAATCTGTCATTCTTCACACCAAGACGCGGGGTGCAGAGCTCCGAATGTGGTAAAACAAGATAGTAATGTTCCATCTGACCAATCTTGTACCGCTCTGCATTAAATCTTCAGATGCTTTGCCGCTTTAGTCATTCACGTTTGCGAAGATCGGAGATGCCATTGTGAACGTGACCAGTTCAGCGAAACGTCCTTATGAGTAGCCATCTTACTTTACACTTACTTATTCTTTATAGCTTTGGATTATCACTCTCCTATGGTGACAAGGTTCCGATGGCCGCTTGAAGCCTTATCATGCTGAGAAGGCTATATGCACAAGCCTTCATCTCAGCATTTGCCTTGGTAGCCCCTAGTGTGTTTTAGAAGGGCATGCGATAAAGGTGAGCATACTATTCGTAGACCGTTTATTCTCTTGGTCGACTTTGTCTCTCTAAGACCCTTTTCCGGTATCGCTTTTTGTTGTGAAATCTGATTTCACTGCTGGGTGTGACGATACGTCAACACATTATCTGGATTATACTTGCGGCGCGTCACCGCGAACACATGGGCAACCATCACAGAAACTACCAGGATGGGCGTTACAGACTCCCATTTCGTCTATTCATATCATCTAAGCATTTACGATCCTCTAAAAACCCACACCAATTCTATAAGTGAGTGATTTCTAAAACAAATACATTAGGTTTGCCGTTTTATTCTCTCAATATACTGTCTTCGCTCCCTGACACGCGAGATGTACTCCGTGTCACTGTCTTGGAGCCTCCCTGTCCACCGAGGTGGTCCATCGCATATGGTTGGTCGCCAGCGCCCCCATTTTCTGAAGTATTCGAGTTGAAGCCAGATCTTTCTTGGCTGTGGTATTGATATCCGGTCCGTTTCTTTCGACTCGTGGCCTCTCGGAGGGCTTTGGGGGTGAATAAAGGTTTTAGAGCCGGGACGCTTGCGCAGATGATGCCAATGTTGATCTCGAGGATGGACCAAATATTGACGAGGATACTTTCTCGGAAGGGATCCTCGGCGAGGGTGTATGTGTAGATTGTATGGAGTCGCACGATTGATGTGATTGTAGCGAAGGCCCCGACGCCGAAAATGATGGTGAGAGCAATCTTTTCTTTACGAGGCCGAAGAATGCCCATCAGGGTTTTGATGGGTAGAACTAGAATCCAGATATCGGTAATGATATTAAATCCGGAGGTAACTATTCACCGTCAGCGATGTATGTTTCTGGGAGAATCTGGGTACCCACAGTAGAAGAAGGCAGTGGTATTAATGCAATGTCCTTGCACCGTCTTCGTCAAATCCCACATCCTGTGAAGTGGCTGGCATTGAGCAAGCGTAACGACGATACAAATTATGAAAAATATCACGTGAAATCCGATCGTATAGAGACAAAGCACGTTGAACGTCCTTGTAACGGCTAATATTTTAGTTAGTAGGAGCGCGAGAGATGGACGCTGGGGACATACCAAATCGGAGGTACATGCACAGAATGGAAATTTTGATGGTGGAAACGCAAACGTAGTATGTGACTTGAATAGCCAAGGTATTCTTCAGGAGGCTGACCATGTTTTCAATCGACAGCGTGTCACTGGAGAACCCTATGTGATTTGCCTTGCCAACGAACACCTCCACGAGATACCCCAGGGAGAAGGCCTGTTAAGTGTCAAGACTGTTAGTTTATGCAGTGGTTATCGATCGGCCAATGCTGAGGATTGCGTACCATTGCAACAATCATTGTATAGTCGTCCAGCCCAGGCTTACGAATCAAAACAGCCCGGACGAACGTTCGCGCCATAACCACTATTGCTGTGGTTCGTTAGTACCGGTTCCCATGCAGGCTATAATCTATGAATGTCCTTGCTGCTACTCACTCGCAATGGCCGTGAAAATGCATGTCGTGATGACGAGGCTATCCTGCCTTTCCTGGTCGGAAGCCATCTTGTCGTCGGTGGATGCCGTCAATGAAAGTTGATACCCAGTCCGCAGCTCGTTGCTGCTACATCAGTGATGGTAGCAACACTTTGCTAATATCTCGATATTGGCGGTCTCGATTCTTGGTTTGTCTGATGCCCGTCCTCCTCTCAAAATCTATGCGGATGCTGAACAGGGGTTCCTCTGCGTGCTCTGGAGTGGTGTTACCATGATTTCATCGTGATCGCAGATTAGTCGTCCAAAATCGAAAATCAAAAATCAATGGTCCCTGAAAGATGGAGGGCGCGAATCTTCTTTTTCAAACCCATTTTGAGAAACATGGAGAGAGATATGGGATGGGGGGTGGATCCCAAGGCCCCCCCTAGCCAAGATTCAAAGCTGAGAGGGACGAACAGGGACCAAGGTGCATAAGCACAGACACACCAGCCAACATCCAGGGTGATGTGGGAACATTGCGATGTGGTGATGGCGGTTCAATCTCCTTGCGCGAGTGGAGCTCACGCGAGTGTCGTCTTCCTTCGCCTAAGTGTGACAGTCTAAGGTATTCGTCTCCATTAAGGTGCATGCAGCCGCACGTACTTGCAGGCTACGGAACTTGCGCAGGAGTGTACGAGACATTTGATGCGGAATGGGCATGCAGGTTCTAGCGCAGTGCAAAACACATGAGAGGAAACCGTCTCTGAGCCTTGTCAGAATTGGGGCTTCGTCACCGAGGCTAGTGCCGGGGGACCTGCAGGAATATACGGAGCTTTAACTGTGGTTGGTCATGATCTGACTGAAAACAGACCAATGGCTGATGTGTAAAAGAAAAAGAGCCCGAGGCTCGGCACGAGGCCCGTCGGATGCCGTTGCTCTAAAGCTGCGAGCGCCGATGGTGGCTGCTTCGTGGTCCCCTTCCTTCCCGTGTTCCATTGCGTGTTCCAGTCGGAACGAGGACTACTGAAGTGTAAAGGAGGGTGGGAGTAAACTACGTAGGTAGGCACAAAAAAAGCTGCGACGGGGGATTCATCTCGTTTCTCGCCAACTCCAGGGTCGGATAGTTTGGAAACGGTTGCCGGCGTCGAACTAGATCACCTTGGGTAAAGTGCCAAGTACCTCTGGAAGACGGCTGGTTAGAGAACGCCCTCGCCTCACCGGCGCCGGCTGAGCGGCGTGATACCAAATAAGGACAGGCTCGGGAGATTTGGTGCGTTTTTTACCTCGTAAGCGAAGTTGAAGAGAATACCGTGCCACCACCAAGGTCCAACACGATATGACGGACGGCTAGCGACCGCCCTAGAGATTCAAATGCCTGGTAGATTATTTGGTACCTATCCCGACTCAATGGGTCTTGTCCGCGGCTGCGGTGCCGAGGACTGCAGCTGAAGCGGAGCCTGGCTTGTGAGATGAATACAGAGTGGCCTTCCTTAGGCTCGTCAACAATACGAAAATGAGTGATTGCCAGTGTCTTGCCTGGTTACTTTCTTTGAAAGGCTGTATTTCTTCACAAGTGTTGTATGGTTCGAGACAGCTTGTAAGCACAATGTGAAGCGAGCCACATTTCAAGGCAACAAGGTGTTGTTGCATCGAGGACGGCTGGTAATATGTCCTTGAAGCGGTTCCAGCTGGACGGAACATGACAGCCGATTAGAGATGGAGCACGGGACGGGATGGGATAGGATGGGTGGTCCCTTTGTTAAGCAGTAATGTAGGGGAAACGGACCAGATCAAGGTAGAACCATGGGGCAATGCCAGATGGATGCTTTCTAGTTCACGGGTGAAATCAGGCTGAAAGAAAACCACTGGGCAACGGAAATGACAACAAGTTTGATCTTACCCGACCATGGCTAGTAGAAGAACCCACACTCAGTCCCACAGGCTTACCATGACAGGCATTGCTCGCCACCTCGCCAGAGTTCCCCTGCGCCCTGTAAGCCTTGTGCTACAGGTCACCCTCGTTCCACCCCATGAGCTAGACCAGGTCAAAGCGTCCAGGGTATGACGGCCTCTGCGGTAGCATTGCTCCGTCTCCTGGCTCTCCGGTCAAATTTTGGCGAGGGTCCCGGAGACCAGAAATGACAGAATCTCAAAAGGCCCCTTCTACTGTCACCTATCAGCCCCCTCATATCGACGATCCGATCACGTAAAATCTTCGACCGGGTCGCGCACCCCTGAGGTTGCATGATCTGCGGCATTGTCTTCAATCGCCCATTCATTCTCACGTTGACCTCTGTGCCTCCTCCCCCAGTCCATGATAGAATTTCTCCCCTTCTCCAGATTCATCCCCCAGGGTCCTTGTGCGAGAAGGTTACCCCAGTAGGAAACCAGGAGCCGGTGTGCGGCGATTTCCTTGACGTCCTGGTATAGTGAGGTTATTATACCCCCTTAAACAACACTGCAGCGTTTCCTCGAAAAGATGCCTGCCGGCATGTGCTACCAACAGGATGAGCTGCCGGCACGGCCTATTTTCACGTCGGGGCCGGCAGACGAAGGGGCCTAACCTTTGGTATTCCGTGCTTCACGTCAGTTTCTGACATTTGGTGTGGTACGTTCCTGGCCAGCGTCCCGGTGACCCGAACAGCCTGGTCCAAGAAGCCCGCTCCAGCAGCTCTCGCGAGTCATGAATGACACCTGCCACAGCCCTACAGACCCGCTGCGGTTGAACTCTGTTAGATCTTGGGACGGCATATTCATAATCAATGGCACTGAGGGTCGATGTCAGTACCTCAGGACCGAAGCCTGAACAACCCGTTCCAGGGTGTTCTTATTTGGCTGTGACTGTGTCGACGGGGAATCCATCACTTTCCAAATTACATTTTCTCCCTAGCCTTGAAAATACGCCGTGACACTCGCTAGGCTAAAGACTCTTGGCTCGCATAGGCGATAGCTTCCCCATTGATATCGCGGAGAAATATACGGAACAAAACTGGAATCCTATCAAAAACAAAAAGTCCAGGCTGGCCAGACTTACTCGAAGGAAATCCTCCCATCCGCCAAGATTTGCCATCAGGTCATCCTGTTTCGTCCATAGGTTCATGTGCTCTGAAAAAAGATGGGGACAGCTGAGCCCTGCAACGCATTGACCTCTGCACACGCAAAGGTGGATGGATTGATGGCAACACGCAAGCCAGAAACTGGGACGATGTGCAGGGCGAACTGCAAGATCTTCAGCGTCACTCAGTTGACATGATAACCTCGTTTGGTTTTGTTTGGATGCATGCAAAGCACAAATGTTGCGCATTGACACGGCCCACTCTACCTGGACTCATTCTGGGTTGACTGACTGCTGCGTTCCACTGGCCACATGGGTGCTTGGAACTCGGCCGGGAGGGTTCTCTTGCAATCAAGGTCGGATCATAGGAGTGGTCATTAATCACTCTCTCGCTTGGGGAGTGTACTCTAGTAACAAGCTGCTTTGATGGCATCGCGCAAGCGGTCGTTTCCATTTCAAGGAAAGGATTCAAACAGCCAGGATACACGCACGATCGGTCTGGACCAGGCTGGGTGGTGGCAGCGTCTTCAGTCCTCATCGCCTCGTCAACTACTTACCTTACCAAATTTGCAAATTCAATGATTTAGTTAATTGGGCATAGATTCTAAGTTCAAAGAAGTCTTGGAAATTACATCTATAGCCGGGATGGAGCTCCAATCAGGGGTGGTCTCCGGATGTGTTCTGCGGTTGGCAGCATTCCCCTGACTTGGGCTGTAGAAAATCAATAAATATCATTCAATCGGGAGGGTGGCCGAGTTGGTTATGGCGCCAGGTTAAGGTCAGCTTAACATCTGTTTCCTGGTGGGGCAACCCGCGCGAGTTCGAGTCTCGTCCCTCTCATTTTTTGCTGGTCGGGTCTAATCACGATAAAATCTCAAGCTGATATGATTTTTACTATCGATAATGGTTATTAGTTGCCTTATTGAAGCTTGTTTTTTTTTTTTTTTTCACAAGCTTGCGAGAAACCATTATCAATCACATCTTTTTGTAAGCGTTGTTGTGAGGTTCATTAGGTTCCCAGTGCCATCGTTGATGACCTCCCAACAAGCGAGGCGATTGCTACGGGAGGCAACGCCATAAAAGCCACCATTTCCGTCCTTCAATGGAAGTGAAAGTCATGTTAGTGAGATGGAATTTCTTCTCATGGTGGACGAGAAATACTGCTTTTACTCAAACTCAATGAGGCTGCATTAACAGGCATTATTAAACAAATCTTTAAAACTTTGCTATAAATTTGAAAATTCCTAGGACCTCTTCGCCTTTTACTCCGAGAAACAAGTAGCCAGTGTAAATCGCTGTAAGAGCAGATACCTTTAAACAGAAACAACAGAAAATTGACAAAGCAATCCACGTTATACAATATTACTCAGAGAGGGACCTGCTTGAACATGTCAAATGCCTTCTCAATGTCCATGGTCACATCATGGCCCTTGGCACCGCAGGTGTCTCTGACCATAGAAGCCCAAGCACTCGATCCCTTACCCCCCTTAACGAACTTGCCGACAGATTTAGCAATACCTTTGACGACCTTGCTGACGGGGCCACCACCGGGAATCAGGTAGCTCCCCTTCTCGAGGACCTTCTTGATGGAGAACATCCATACACTGCAGATGATAGCACCGCTGTTCTCAAGACCTTCAGAGATCTTCTCTGCGAGTTCAGGAGGAATGGTGACGCAAGTGCACTCGCCGCCGTAGGTCCACATCTCGCCATCGGGGTTGGGTAGAAGGACGTAGCCAGGCTTGAGCTTGCCCCCGACCTTGTCTTCCCAGACGTGACCACTGGAACAGGTGGCGCTGTAGTCACCGGTGGCTTTCTTGCAGTATTCACGGCAAGGCCAGTTGAGATCGCGGGTTGTGGGCTTGGCGTACGCTCGGCATGTTCCCTCCTCGGCCATGATCTCAGTTTGGCGGTGGTAGTCCTTCCATTCTTGCTCCTTGTCGCGACGGTTGAAAGATGAAGTGGCTGGGTTGGGAATCCAAGAGCCGCCGTCGCGTACGGCGACTCCGTTCTCGCCATACTGGCGAGGGACTGAAGCGCCACTTACTCCTGTGCAGGAGATGGTAGCGATGAGAAGGGTGACGATGTTCTTGAAAGAGACCATTTTGACGTTAGAGATCAAATCGACGTCAAGATATAGAAACGGGGCTGGTGGGAAGGTTGTTGAGGAAGTCAGATGAGGTGATTGTTTTTGGTTGATGAAGATGGACTTCTGTGAAAGTTTTGTAGTTTTGTCTGATGGGGGGATTGTAGAGGATGCTGCTGAGTAGTGTTTTTGTTGATTTGTATTGTGTGTGTTTCTATCCTTCTTATGTTGTCTTCTAGAGCGTGGAAATCGAAACAACTTATACTCTAGAAACTGTTCAGTCTTTGACCTCTGAACATGAGATTCAGACGGTCGCAAAGCTAGCGCAACTCGCAGGCAGCAATATTCGGACTGAATTGAAGCCTTGGGATTTCAAAAGCCCCCGTCACGGCGGTGAAGCTATTTCGATGCCAGGCCCACATTGTATTTCTTAATTATCGCGTTCTACTGAAGATGAAAACTGTCTAGCCCGAGCCGCATTCAAGTGCGGACGAAGGCAGTGCATGCAAGTACAGATAAGGTTACGGGCCGCCAGACGGGTGGTATTTTGAGGCCAATGAAGGCCTGAAATTTAATGGGGAAGTGCATGGCGGCAGCTAAGAATAATACACTACTTCCAGAATGATGGCTGTGCCCTGGAGATGGTGCCTGGAGTGGTACCCGGGGCGCACGCTGTAGTAGGCAGTATGTTTCGGTTAACCACCCACAATCTGCATCAAAGTTCTACTCCGCACCAGACGTCAAAAACATATTGCTCTAATATGCTTGGAATCCGGTGCTTCGGTTAAGAGAATGACATGGAGTAAGGCACGAAGAACTGGTTGCTTCCAGTTTTCAACCATTTCTCTCAGATTGCACCTATTTACCTAGGTACTACCTACATACGTGGATAGTAGAGGGTGTCCAATAACGTGCGCCAGTGTTCTTCAGATTATTCTAATCGGCTTCACCTACAATGAACATGGCTATACACATGGATAGTAGCGATTTCACCCCATTTAGAGTGTTGAAGTTGTTTTTTTAAGCGCTTTGCCGTTTCCTGGGGAGGGTCTTAGCTTCATTTCCCAGGTTGCCATTTTCAAGTGTCGGGCAGTGCTGCTAGGCTGCAGTAAAGCCCCTGTTAGCGAATGTAACCACAAGTCCAGAATAACTACACCATGTCCAACCCCCACAGTGTATGATTGATTCTGCTGGAGACCCTGCCTCCACTACTCTGCCACTGCTTCATCACAGATCCTTTACGGACTACATGTACGCTATATGGTGGCCTAATTACCTTCTTGTATGCAACCAAAGCAGTTCAATCAGAGTACACAAGTTTGATTTCGATAAGCACTTTAGCGTATCAGCTTCCACACGTTCTACTTCAAGTTGTGGTTGCATAAAGGTCAAGGAGGGCCAGTTCTGCCAACAACACTGGCAGTATATCAATGCCTTCATATCATGGCACGCAACAGTCGGTGGCAGAGAGAGGATAGACATCATTACCATAGCCGTGCATCACGCTCTATGCGGCTTTCTTCAGATTCCCACTCGTCTGAGCATGGCATTTAGGATTTTGCTTTCCTCGTATGTTTTTGTATTTGAGTTTTTCATGCGTTATGGGTATTTTGTATTGGCCGTAAAAATCATCAGGGAAAACGCCGTCGCGCTACTACTCGTCTTCAGTCTCCAACCTGACACCAGACACGGTGATGCGCAGGCCATGGGTCAAGAGCTTCCTCAATCAAACAGTTTGACATGGGCTGATAGGAACTCCCATGATACCAGTAAGCCCGAGCATCTGTCCCAATACCTCCTTCGCGCCGACTCTTAACTCCTCAGTCACTGCCCTTCCCAAAGAAACGTTCCAGCCAACCAAGGCTGTGATCAGTGCGTTCACACCGCTATGAGCGGCCTTGACCTTGACAGAGTCCATTCCAGCCCACCACGCGGAATCATCATCTCTCAAAGGAGGAAACGCTCTCGATAGTTGTCTGGCATCTTCTGCCAGGATGAAAGACTTATCCAAGGCCATTGTCCAGTATAATCTGCTCACTGGCTCAACTCCTTGGAAAAACGCGACGTCAAAGTCTTCCGGGTTTCCACTGGCGATACGAACAAACTTTAAGTAGGATTTGACTAGCCGCAATGCGTCGTTTGCTCGACAGTCACGCAGCTGCGGAGTGTCGGCGGTCCAAAGCGGAGTGAAGTGATATGGATGCTCTGGCTCACGAGCATTACCGAGATCGCCGACTTTCCATCGTCTGGGATCATGTTCTGAGGCCACAAATATGTTGTCCATTTTGATATCGTCATGGCAAAGATTGTGCGTCTGATGAAGATGATCCAATGCCGACAAAAGAGACTCGAATGATGGGCGAAACATCATGTCAATTTCGTGATATGACGGCGGGTTATCTGAGGTCCGTAGTTTCTTTGCGAGCTTGGATAGGGTACCTTCCTTATAGAAAGGGGTAACTAAATGCCATTTAGGTGACTGCAATGAACCTGAGGCTGCCAGGAAATAGTCCTTGACTGGGACAAACATGTCCTTTTGTGAATCGTCGTTCAAAGCGGAAAGGCTTTCGTCATGGCCTCCCATGATAAGACTCGCAGGAATTTCCGTTGGCCATCTTTTGGGGTTACCCGATATGCTCTGCATGCAGTTTCGAAAGGGGCTGCTTTCCTCGTCATAAACTTTGATGACCGAGTTGTTGTAAATGAACACTTCCCCCTCTCGACCTCCTCCAAGTCTCTTCCAGTTTTTCTTGTTCTCTAACAAGATCACACGCTCAAGGGGTTCTGATTGACGGCCTGTCTCCCAGCTTGGCCTACTGAGATCAGCTTCATAGTAACCGGTGTTTTTCGTGAATTGCGTGGCCGAATACTTGGCTCGCATAGAGTTTCGATAGCGAATATGAAGATCCAAACAATGATAAATGGTGACTAGCGCGGCGAAAATGATGAATCGAAAACCCAGCCGTGAAGTGAGTGACTTGACTCCCCTAAGGCGAGCACCTCGATGAGTCCAAGAGCGGTCTTTCACTTTAATTGACATATTGACAGCGCTGGAGTTAGGATCAGTTCCAAGATACGATGTCTAGCATTCAGCGGGTTTCCCCTTCTAATAAGAGGAGGTATGCCAAGGTGCAAATGCCGGTAACAGCACGCGACCCCCTTCCCCTGCTGGAGGCCTGGTAAGGCTGTTAAACTAAACTTACAACGGTAGAAGGGAAAAGGGGTGTGAAGGATGTATGGCTAAGAGATGAGGCCGTACTAGCCGCTAGTGGGTTGACACGTCGTCTGGCGATCCCCGTCAAGCAAGCTGCCCACCATCCAGCCGGTTTGCCAGGATCCTAGCTGCACTGTCGCTTGAAACCCCTTGCGACGACACCACCCACATAGCTGTAACTATATGCGTTACCTTTATTTGGTCTTATTTACGAAGAAAAGAAATGTTTTTTCGTGGAGTACACTACAGTTTGTAATGAGATGTGTTCTCGAACTTGGCTGGAAAGGCACATCTCAAGAACCTTTAATGAACACCCTACCCCCCCTGTCCCAGCCGGTCGATGACATGCGTCCACCCTAATTTAAGGGCGAAATCCGGGTAAGACTAGTTTAAAAAATGAAGAAGACGCAGTGTCCCAGAGCCTGTTTAGCTCCTTGTCGGGGGCAAATCAAGGCAGACTCCTCGCATGCCCATTCTTGGGATGACCTCAGCCCAGTTTTAGTCTGAGCCCGAATGGGTAACAATCATAAACGACGGATTTGGAGTGAAGCGAAGTCAATTTTAGGTCACGTCTAAGAAACCCTGCTAGTTCATCAATGATTAGCATTTTTTCTATTCGGTGTCACTTGGGGAGAAGCTGTGAGCCTTGGGTCTGTCTGCTGGCTCCGAACATTAGCGGCGGGTGATGTCATGGGTTGCCCGGCTTCTCCGCATCCACAACCTCCCGTTGGTTTAGGTTACCCCTGTCTGCCTGGCTGGTTATCATTACCACCAACTGTATAGATCTCGGCGTATGCCGAATCTGCCGATGGATCTTGTATTCCGCTTCGGAGCATTTTACAAATTTGTGTAATTACTTCATGCCATGCATCTCTTAAACCCCTGACGGACTTCTCCATTGGCCCCGCTCCCCAGCCCATCTCCGTTTTTAGGCCTCTGGACTTTCAGTGCTGCGTTCGAGCACACTCGTTTGGTGAAATCTATTAATGGCGGCAGTTGCCCGAAAGGTAGGAAAAGGCTTAAGGTGGTGACTGGAAGCCTTATCCCGAGAGTTACTTCGTCGTTGCTTCAAGCATGACCCTTGATTGCACTTTTCCATGGTGAGGCCAATTGCTGCATTTCTGCAGCCGAGAGTGACCACCTCAACAAACGCATGAGAAGTTCCAAGTGATATTAGAGAAAGGCATTGTTCCTGAATCGAACTGAAAGATTTAATTGCGTACCACGTTAGACTTTGGTGTAATCCTTGGCGGGTTGACCCTCTCACGGACGACACGTGCTTGACGCTCACAGACACCCGCATATATATGCCAAGAAACGTTTGGACGTTACTGCCAGCCTTTAAGGTGATTTAACTAAAGACTGTTGAGACGACACTATGCAAAAGACTTCATGTTCTTCATCGCCATCGACTGTCTTGCCCGGCAAGCAGAATGACAAACATGAGGCGCCTGATTCATTCCCTCTAGCCAACCATCCGAGAACCTTCATGTCCTGCACTTACGTCAATATCACATCCAATATAATTTTACTTCTGAAGAAAGAAAATGATGAAAAGACTGTTGCGTGAACAAGAATTCTTCGCATTGTTGTAGATCGTTTCAGACTGCTCGGAAGCTCTGTACATCTTGACAACACCATCAGCCATCACCAATATGTTTGTTTGAACAAGCAACCATCCACTCGTAGAGAAGTCTTACAAAATATGAAAGTTGCTTCGGATCAAACTTTTAGGCCACTCAAAGTGAGGTGTTGTTTGACATTCTGTTGCATGTGCACGCGCTCGATGCAGTTGCACGCCTTATCCACTGAGAATGAGAAGAACGCAGCATTGATCCGTTCTTTCTGCCCGTTGAGAAGGAGAGAATCCGTCAATGCATCAAACCTACGTAAGCCAGAAGAGAAACGTCAATCGAACCAATTAGTCGTGGCAAATTGGACCAGCGCCACACTTACTCACGCCGTTGCTGTTCAAGGTCTTCGGCATCTTCCCGCCACCCGCTGTCGATGTTTTTGTGCAATCTACCTGCACGAGAGGACGAGCGTATTCCCTTTCCCATACGAAATACTAATAATGGGTAATTGGCCTGATCAACCACTCAGTTGTCGGCTGTCTTCTCCTGAGAGAACCTGCCACATTTGGGCCACTTAACAAGGCTCGTAGCTTAGAGGAGTGACAGGCTGGCAGCTTTCACTCTGCATTTCAACTGATTTAGACGAAATTTGAGGCTCATCGTTAGCCGGTCAAGCATTAGGGAATTCAAATCGTTCTATCAAACTAGTAATATTGTCCTGACAACTCACTTAAAGTATTTCGCTGCATGGCATTGTAGTCCGCACTTCATTATTTCGCAGCTCGGGAGGCTGCCCATGATACTGCATCATGATACCAAAGCCAAACTCGTTGTGATTACCATTCGGATTTTGAAGGTACGCTAACATATAGCGTCCGTGTGGAAAAGTTGCTCTCGGCGTCTTTTAGGACACCGTCGGTCCATGAACAAGAGTGAAGAACAGTTAGCCACTGGACAAGACGATAAAATCGGAAACAATGTCAATGCCGATGGTAGGGATTGGTTCACGTGGGTTAAAGGCGCCTGCAGTGTCTGAATTGATACATGAAAGTCTGCTGCATCACGAAGCATTGTTTTCTTATGAGTGCTCCGGTAGCGAAACGTATTGACTCCATACTAATGAGAGGTTAGGTTCGAGTTGGAAGGTAGTGAGTACCTAAACCGGCCCGGCTGCCAGTGCAGTGGTAGACATCAAATTCCCCCAAGTTTGCTCTCATGTTATCCTATACAACGTTTGTCATCCGAGGTACTTAAGCAAGTGTGATAATAGTAATATGGACCTTGGAGTTATGATTTGATACTACCCAGACGCAGTATATTTCTAAGTTGGTTAAATGAACCCTATACAGATCCAAGGATTACTCTCGCTTAAGTATAGCCAGCCGTACATAGTCATTACTACATTGGCTGCGTTTTTAGGCCAGTATTGCTTTATAAGGGATGACGGCTAACCGTTTATACAGCTCTACTTAGGACTAGCAGATTACTTAAAACATCATAACGATACTTGTCCCATACACATTATGCTGCTAACGGTCATAGCCATGTAGTTTCTTACTGTACAGTGTCTGTATACTAATATTGCCATAAGCCTGCACAGTATAACGCCACTGCTATACTTTCAGTTCGTCTTTGCTCGTTCTAAGATGCCTGTCCCGAGACCTGCTGTTATCAGGAAGGTCGTGTATAGACTCTGGCCTCAGTCTAGCGACTCAGGGCCTGGAACTCGGCGGGCACGGCGTCGGCACCGGCGCCGGAGCTGGCAATCTTGTCCTTTAAGCGGGGCAAGCAAGTCAGCATTTAGTCTAGGTGTCATACACATCATCGTCTTTATTTCAGAGCTGTATCCGAACTCACCAATTTCTGGATTTCCTCATCCGACAAGCCGGCGATGTTGTACTCGGTGCCGTCCGCGAGGCCGAGCGTATCGGGCTTGACGACGGCTTCGCATTTCCCGGCATCGGGCTGGTCGGCGGGGCATGACAGGTCGGCACGCTTGCGGCTAGGGAACCAGTATTTGCCCCCCGTGCGGTCGCCCCACGTCTTTTGCGGAAGGCAGACGGTTGCGCTACCGTCGGAGTCGCCCAGACCCCCGGAAGTTTTGCAGCCGCCTCCGGTGTAGGACTCAGCGCGGATGTTCCAGCTGGACGGGATCTGTGCTCGACACCCATTAGTTCCAAGATTTTCGTAAGCAAGGGGAAAGGGGTTTCACGCACAGCAACCATCGCAATGCTCGATCTGACGCTGCTTTCTACGCTGCTGAACGAACAGCATACGTTGGGGTTGATGTTCACGCAAGCAACATAGCCTCCGGCGCAGTTGTCGCCAGTGTAAGCTCTGATGTCAATGGCCGACGCAGTAGCTGCGAGGGCTAGAAGGAGCGATGGGAGGTACATATTGGATGCGTGCGGTGCTGTTTGGTGTGATGCTGCTAGGTTGGAGAGGGGAGGAGCTGGTCGTGGAGGAAGCAAACAGAACCGTCCTGGAGGAAAAACAACCAGGCTTTATATTGTTTCTTGACCATATTGTCCATCCTATGAACTCTCTTGTTCTGAAGAATAGCAAGAGGCGTCGATACCTTGGCGGCCTTATTATGCAGGGGCCCTTACTGCGCCGTCTTATTACCTCGCATATGGGGCGTAAGTTGCTGGCTGGCCACGGTTTGGGGTCTCGGAAGCATCTGTCGAAAACAATTGAGGGCATTGCCGCCGCCCGATCCAAAGTTTCTTTGCAGCTGGCGAGGCTCGTTCTTTTAGGTATCAATTGAACGTGCCAGATCGTGGGGTTCTTTTTGCTGAGCCAGTCTCAAACCGCAACCCAGATACCGTAGAATTGATCTTCCTTAGATCCTAATCATCGATCCCAGGTCTAGCAAGCGCCTGACGAACAAGGCGAGTTCGTGAGTTCCATTTCTCTAATTTATGCACCTCATCTACCCGCTTCTTTGCATTGATCCTTGAAGGATTGGTCTGCAAGCACATAGTAACTGCCGTTTTGGTCGCCTATAGCGCTTACGCCGAGAGAATTCTCGTAACATCTCTTTCTCAACATAGACCTGCAGTCTATCTAGACACATGCGATGTGACATTGCGGATTATGGATTGTCAGCCTAACACTAAACCAGTAAAAATGTTACAACCTGTATGCAAGGATTTCGGCTGCACGACCTACTTGGGCGTCGGGCGGCTAGGGCAAAATACTCGCACTGTAAGACCACGGAGAAAATAGGGGCTCACTCAGGAACCGAAGAATTATATTAAAAGTCATGTGATGATAAGATAAGAGGTTAGATCCGCAAACGTACGCCAAGAGGACGGAGGCCATACTCCTAGCGTATTGGTTCCGTCGTAGAAACGGACCCCGTCAGGACCAGGGACAGTGATAAGACAAAGATTGCTATAGAACTAGCATCCAGAATGACCGAGCCTGGCGTATGGTTAGGCATCCATAGCTCTTCAACAATGAACTTGGTAACCATCTTCACGAATATTTCCCACTCACCTTCATGGCGAATTACCTATTTTTATCTAACCCATTAACTTTGATTGCTTATAGGTAGTGTCAGACGTCAATGTGTCTCATGAATTAGCTGGCCAAATAATTTGATATATTAGGAAGTGGCTATTTATATGAGTAAATTGGGTTTGACCCAACTGTCTCCTTGGGGTTTCATTCACAGAATGCCGACCTCGTTAACTAATATGGAAAACAATAACCGAGTGCATGGGCTCATTGCATGCCTTGATGCATGCAATGATCAACGTCCGGAGGATCCACCGTATTACAAGTAGCTATAGGACAGGTATGTGCAAGCCTAATCAAATTCGGAGGCCAATGAAGACCAAGCACCTTTAATAATCAGAGAGCAAACGTAGGGTTATTTAAGAGTAGCACGGTGGGATGGGTGCTGGGTGTGGTCTACCACTTTGCCAGTAGCTACCATGTCATGTATCTAAGACAATAGATTCATCAGTCTAATGGCATCGAAGTCATCGTTTTATCCAATGGCAAACTGTTCTTGACTTCGGCGCCGTGATAGTAAACTAAATATGGTTGATAATTGTCACCGTTCAACATACATCTCATGGATTGGCAACATCTCCCGAAAACAAGTAGTGGAGGGCTGGATCACTTTACCTTGCCTAACAAGGTCAACAAGGTTGAAAATGGTGCGTTTTGGAAACTTTTCTCAAGATCGTGTTTTTCTTCTCGACTGGTAGTTGGATTGATGCTTCATTGCAAGTCTTCTACGTGACAGTACTTTCCTCCTGTTGGCATCACAGGGTATCCGTAAGAGGGATAACTAAGGGGAAATATCTTGTCTTGTGTCTGATTTCTATGGATGGAGTTCTAGCAGAAGTTGTGGAGGAAGTGACTGTTGAACTTATATCTGTCTGTCGGTCTGCCCCGTCACGTGGGCAGACCGGGTACCGGCGACGGAGCCACTTCAACCCGGAGTTCCGGCTATTCCAACGCCTACTGTGGAAACTTCTTTTTTAGTCTTAATGAAGGCTTGAAGTTTTTGAACAGAGCGCTAGCGTTGAAGTGAGTGGCCAATGTGCTGAGAGTACCGGTTTTCACTGACGAAAGACTGGTAAGTGTTCAAAACCAAAAATAACTTCAAGTTACTCAAATTCAGTTGGCAAAATTGGCTTCCACTGGCAAGGTGTCCGCTGCCTATCACTAGCGATGAGCTGAGCTTGGGGAAAGTCATAGTTCTTTCCGCTGATAGAGTTGCACTGGCGGATTGAGATTTCCCTCATTCATAGAAGTGCCTTTTCCTTTACAAGATCGAGCTTGCCCGCGAAGTGGCCTACGCACTACGTACTATCAGTTTGGGGTGGCTGCTTCTTTCACTCTGGCGACTACTTGTATCAAATGTACGCTCCCGGGCTCGCGGCACGAACCCAACCAAGAGTGCTTCCACGTGAGATGAAGTAAAAGTTCATCACCATGATTATCTAAAAGAGGCTTTTGTTGACACTTTTGTCATAAGTGATGTCGTAAGCTTGATGCCGTCGAGCACAGAAGGGTTCGACAAGAGGAATAACTTTCATATGCTTGCCGTCCCATCCATCTCGGTTGTGCCGTTAGCAAAGCAGTCGTATGGTGGCAGAGCTACCATTGCGCAAACAGTACAATGAGTGGCGGCAGGCGAACTCGATTCAAAAGTGAAGAATCTCGCAGTTTGAAGACTTCACCTGAGATAGGCTAGAAGCGGCAGATCGTGCGGCAGCACATCCGATCTAGATTTCTCACAGACGTGAATGGTAATCTAACCGAGTTTCGGGTTGCAGTATTTGTTTGATTGATAGAGACATACTCTGCATGCCTGATTGAGATGTTCTCAGAGGTGTCATCTGCAAGATTATAATCGAGATCTTCAAAGTTAACAATGCTCATGTACGGGCCGAAGTTACCACCATCTAGATGGCTTGCCAACCTAACGAGATACTGATGTCTAGTACGGCGGATGGTGTAATCACAACCACAAGTCTTGATGGGCAGGCTAGAAGTAGGGGAGAAGTTGGTCCTGTGAAAAAATGGATGAGGGAAAAGTTTTAGGGTCATGCACTGCGACCTGCCTTGAAGTTTCGAGAGATATTACGACCACATGCAAGGATGAAGAGTAAAACTCGCCTAAACGCCTCTCTTTGGAAATGTTATTCAACGTGGATTCAATGTCCCGTTGTCCAAACAAAACTTGCTCCAAGAATCGTCCGTGGCCCGTCCAACATATTGAGCGGCACCAGATGTTTTGTCCAAAGGATCCGGGGGTTTCCTCCGGGTGATAGTGCCATGCACCTCATTACGGTCAGCCGACTTATAGAACACCCCTGATCTTACCACACCCAACAAAGCTTGACAAACACACGGTGATTTACATTTCCGTCTTGGCATGCCTTTAATCCGTGTTTTCAAAGAATTTACTGGTCATAGCCAAGCAACTAACCAAGAGCCCCCACGCTCTTTGTCGCCGGCGAATTGTCGGCGACGGTACTGTTCCGGGCCCTCATCGGATGGAGCAACGGGCCTGGGCCCCGTCCAACGAACAACGGCATCGGGAATAATGCAATTCGAGGCCAGATCACTCCATATCCCGCAGGTTCCCCGCAACAGGATCCGTGCGAGGATCTGGGGATGGCGGGGATACAGTCTGGGGTTTGCCTTTCTTTGGGTGTTTTTGTTGGCTATAGCCGTTCCTAAAAGGGCGATGTATGTTGGTAAACCCCGTGAAGACCGTCTCGGCGGTTGTTGGTATTGATTATCCCATGTTATAAAGATTGCGGGGAAGAACCTTCAAAGGATTTGTCCAGCTTTTGCATTCATCGGAGGTTCATATAGCGATAGATACTGCAGAACACGGCTGCCATGGAGAAGACCGCGGGCGCAGAGCACCGCATTGAGGCGACAACCTCCGCTACTGAGAACGATGATCCAAAGAACTTGATTAACCGTCATGGGAAACAAGTCAACGTCCAGTCGGTGGCGCTTGCCGACGCCATCGCCAAGGATAACCCCGACTACAGATCGTCAACTCAGTTGACGCTGTACGCCATGATGGCCCTTTGTGTTCTGAGTATGTGCAGATCCCAGAGATTATGTTGGCATGGTACATAACTAACGGCAAGACCAAAGACGGTATCATGAATGGTTATGACGGATCAGTCATGAGTGCCATCAATGCTATGGACCCATTCCAAGCCCGCTTCAAGATCGGCAAGGCAGGCGAATTAAACGGCGCCGTCTTCTCCATTTACACCGTCGGAAACATTACAGGAAGCTTGTTGTGTGGTTACGTTATGGACAGGTGGGGGCGTCGTGCTTGCATGTTCTCTGGAGCCAACGCAATCATTCTCGGTTCCATCCTCCAGGCAAGCAGCTTTGCCCTCCCCCAATTCATGGTCGGTCGTTTCATCGTCGGCATCGGAACCCCCATGTGCGCAACCTCGGCACCTGTGTTCCTTGTGGAGATCGCCTACCCAACATGGCGAGGTTTGGCTGGTGGACTGTACAATGTTCTGGGTTGGACCATTGGCGCAAACAGTAAGTCTCATCCCTCTCCAAGCCTCCAATTTTGGTATTGACAGCAATACTCTTCAGTCGCTGCCTGGACTTGCTACGGCACGAACTTCATCGCCAGTGATTGGTCTTGGCGTATCCCCTACATTGTGCAGCTTACACCTGCTACCATCGTCGTATCGGTAGCTTGGTTCCTCCCCGAGAGTCCTCGCTGGCTATGGTCGCAGGGCCATACTGAGAGGGCGACTGGAATTCTGACCAAGTACCATGGCAACAAGAACCCCAACTCAGCTCTTGTTCAACTTGAGATCAATGAGATTCGGGAGTCTTTGGAGGCCGAGCAAGAGCTCAACAACCACAATCTGAACTACAAAATTCTCATCAACAACCGGCCCAATAGGTACCGCATGTGGCTTGTAATGCTCGTGGCGGTGTTTGCTCAATTCATCGGAGGAAGCGTTATTTCTTACTATCTCCCAGGTACGTCCAAGTGCTGTTGCGTTTGCCCGTCAATTGATGGCAACTAACATTCGTCCTTTCCTAGTCATGATTGAGGGCATCGGAATCAAGGACTCTCGCCGCCAACTGCTCTTGAACGGCATCAACACCATCATTTCTTTCGTCTCCGGCTTCTTCGGCTCTTTCTTTGTCGACAGAGTCGGTCGTCGCCCTCTTTTCCTGTGGGGTACCTTTCTCACCGGTTTGGTCTACATCCCCATCAACGTCCTGGCGGCAAAAGCCGAGCAAGGTAAGGATGGTACTATCCCGACGTCCCAGGCTTATGCATTCATCGCCATGATTTTCACGTACAGCATCTTCTGGTCCTTCTGCTGGACTCCACTGCAAGCCCTGTATCCTGCTGAGATTCTCCACAACGAGATCCGCGCCAAAGGCATGGGTGCCAAAGGTTTCATCTCAGGCGTCGCCAGCTTTATCAACACATATGGAACCTCCGTGTCACTCAAGCATATCGGCTGGAAGACGTACACTATCTTCCTTGTCCTGCATTTTGTTCATCTAGGCCTCATGTATATGTCTTGTGTCGAGACCAAAGAGCGTACCTTGGAGGAGCTTGAAGAAATTTTCAACGATCCCAAGCCGGTGAAGAAGAGTTTGCAAAGGACGCGGGTCATCATCGACGAGGGCTTGGGCGTAAAGGTCAAGGACGATGCTTGAGGATACATAATTTGGGGGAATTGAACGGTTGGGACATTGTCCTACGGGTTCATTTACGGTTCTATCGATACACGTCTACGATCTTAAGGAGCGATTTTACATACTTTCGGTTTTTCTTATTGCTGATTGAGCACTTATCTACGAAGGGCACATGGCTGGGAATTTGCCGATAAGAAATACTATTTTCATGTAAATTCTTTCTATCTGCCTTCAATCGCCCCATTGATGTTTTTCTGTAGCCTCACCGTCTCTGAGATACACCCTGCTAAACTCTTGCTTAACAAAATTAATACTGAAGCTCTATTAATGAATCTCTTTACTAACTAGATTTAGATAAAGGTTCTCGCATTTACCGTCCCTCCTCCGTTATGGAATGTAACAATCATTGTGCTAGTTTGAAATCCGAGTTTCTCAGCCTTGGAAGAAGATAGTGAAATCTTCCAAGTTTTGGATGATCTTTCCCTGTAGCAGTTGGAGGGCCTCGTGACTTACGGCGTATATAAGAGGCATATTGACGTCGAATATCCCCAGCCAAGAATAAGCCATATCTTCAACCTTTGTCTTCGTTCGAAAAGAGGCACACCACATCTTTTCAGCGATAGGTTATGTAATTCAGATGGGCAGATCGTAGCACCATCTTGAGGGTTGAAGTGAGTCTTATGAACCCGAAGCTACTTTTGTCTGTCACCCCGATCTGTTTCGTGACGGAGAGTATAACCAACTTAATATGGTATGATTGGCTCGCGTAACATCCAATGTCTCTCGTAAATCATTGAGGTTTTACGGCGGCTTCCCCTATGAACTCGCCATGACAAAACTGCAGGTAAATAAATCCCAGCATTTACATGTCAGTTGAACATGAAATTGATAGGCTTTAGAAGCTCGTATCAGCCCATACGTAACCTAGCCATGTCCACGGCTGATGACGGCGCGGGCCTCAACTTTAGTGTATCCGCCGCCGCGGCGAATCTCGGGTTTCAGGCCCACCATTTCACAACATAGCACCTGTTTGCTTGCTGAGCTATGTGGCAGCATCGAATAGTCAGGAATACCCGTTTTCAAAGAAAGCGCGGAGATCAATGTACTGGATATGAAGCGCATGATGACGGTAACTGATTCACAACTTTTACGCAGCAGTCGTAATAGGGCCATCTGTATCAAGATACAGGTGCGGTTTAAGATGACTGGAAAGGGTGCGGGCCGTCAGTAGCGAAGTAGTTCCTGATGGTTAGTCGTATTTGACATCAAACCAGCCACTAATCAGCCATAGCGAAGCTTCTTGGACTTCTAGGCAGACATGCCAGATGCAGAAATGCAGGCCACATACTAGCAAAGTACTTGCTACCCCTGCCACCAATCCAGCTCCCACAAACTCACTGGCTGCTTCTTCCCTGAACTTGAACTCATCACATATCCTTGTTCTAAACTTGAATCTAATTATTCTAATGGAAATGGTTGCCCATGGTATCATTTTACACAAGAAGCGCAACATCATTAGTCGTTAAATCCACCCGCCATTCCTACTCCTATCAATTATGTCGGGGCCTCCTCCCTGATATGCGGTTTCTTCGGAGGTGTTCACCACCTTATACATCGATTTCTCCGCCGCCTCCCTCTCCTTCTTGCTCTCCACCCAAGGATACGTCGTATCCTCCAGCACGCCAACGGTGAAATGCATAGACTGGTCCACCTCCCGCCGGAACCAACCCAGCCTGAACAGCATATCTTCCAAGAAATCATGAAGGTCCAACGTGGAGAGACTATCTGACCCCGAAGGTATATGCTTTACGGCGTTAGAATCATGTAAAAGGCTCGTCATCAGCCCGATGCTACCGTATCCATCGGGTGCGAGCCCCTTGACGTCCATACTGAGCCAACCGCTGTGAATCCCAAAGTGTCTCATCGCTCCTGAAAGGAGCGTCCATAGGTTGACCAACGCAACCAAGCCCAGGATTCCAATGATGACATACGTGGCCGTTGCGTTCTGTATAAGTCTCCGGCGGCCGGTGTCGAGAACCAAGGCATCCATGGCGGACAACCCCTCGGAAGGAAACGGGGCCGTACTCGAGTTCTGCCCAACACCAAGCCGATTCTCCAAGTTCGCAAGCTGCGCACTCGAGAATCCCAGATTGGCATGCAGCTCCTGCAAGATCCTGTCGTCCCAATCCGGATCTCCGAGGGCTGTCAGGGGCACATTCCCGTATGGCTGGATAATCGGGCGGAAAAACCCATTCACATCGCCGGCCGTGCGTTCGCTGATATCGATCGTGGGCATTGCAGTTCCAATACCGGGACTAGGGCCGTTCTGCCTACTGAGCAGGTCTGCATCGTACACTGGTACGGCAAACGGTGGATCCATTGGTTCCGGGTTGGAGAAGTCCGGCACGGGTGGTTTATTAGTATCGATATTGTAAAGGCCGTCGCTCGACCTAATCATCGTGACGTTCACCATGAATTGGGCCCATGAGTAGTTACACCTCCAGTACCGTAGAAGGTCAAAATCGGACTTTTTGTGGTTCCACTGTCCCCATACGTATGTCTGCTGCATCGATGCACTGAGCAAGTCGTTGTTGTCCGTGATGTTAAGTCCGCAGCCAATATTTGTATGATATAAGTTTCCTGGGGAATCCAAAATTGCGGCGAACTGCGACACATCAGAGTTGGAATCGCTAAAGTTTTTTCCTACCACAAACTGCCGGCCGAACAACATAGATTTTCCATTGGGGCATTTCGCTTTATAAAGAAAGGGGCCTTGATAGACCGTCACTGTGGTATTTTGTGTTTCCATTTCTGTGTAGTTGTGCAGCGTGACATTGAATCCGTCCCCCGGCAACATTTCACAGCTGGAAACCAACTTCGCTGCCGGCATCTTGACCTCCAAGACGGTCTGTTCAATGCTGGCTGTACTAGACAGATTCGAAGCGTCAAAGCTCGGAAATACCATGTCCGCATATGTATTTCTTGGGTAGGTGAAATTGGCTTCATGTCTCCGAGCAAGCAAGCTCTGGACCCTTTCGCGGTTACTGGTGAGTGTTGATGTATCATTGTTGCTTATTCTTTGGTTGCCCAACCAGCTGGTCTGCTGCAGTTGTACCTTCATAGGTTTAGGGACAGTTTCAACTGAGAAGAGAAGGGTAGCGAGGGTAGCCAGGAGTCCGCAAAAAAGCACCATGACCTGCGACAGGGTGACCGTCCATAGCCTTTGTTGAAAGGACTTCAGAAGAGCGCGGAGGCCGAGCATATCCAACATTGAAAAGTCAAGTTGCTGTCGAGAGTTACAGGGTTTGACGGAGAGGCTGTACAAGGTAGAAAGACCCCTGAGAACGAAGTCGCAGGAGCTGGTATACAGCGAAACTCCGAGCATGATCAGGGATGGAAGCGAAGTCCACAAAAGGTAGTAGTATCCCTCCTCGTTGACGGTTGCCAGTCCATGATTCAGCCGGGATGATTGCAAAGTGGTGCCGAGACCGATCAAGAGGCCGCAGACAAAGATGGTAAAAATGATTTGTACCCAGGGCCTGAGTACCAACGGGGAGAATGTGCCGTGACTCCAGAGTCTCTTCTTATTCTCGGAATCGCCGTCTAGGGCTTGGTCACGGAGCTCCGGATAATCCTTGAGAAACAAGAGATTTCCGAGGATAGTAGCTGGGTCCCGATGCCATATCGTAGTATGTCGCCTGGACCAAACGAGTGAGATGCCCACTATAGCAGTAAGAAGTAGGAAAACAGCAAACATGGACAAACAGACCTGCTGGTTAAGCGCCAGTTTGTCAATGGTGACTGACATCTCACCAGTTCCTGCAGCTCCTTTGCCTTGTCGTAGGATATAGTGACCAATCAGCGGCATCAGCCTTTTGCTCAGTGCGATTGTACTATTGTACATCTGTTCGGTTGTATCAGAAAAATTAGTTTGATCTCCGCTGAACAACCGTTCGCCCGTAACTGGACCATAGCCTGGGCGTGACCCCGTACCGGAGGTCCTCCATCTGCTGCCCGGTATTGCATCGCTAAGTATATCCCAAATGTCTAACTCGATGGGCGTTGAAGGCTGGTTCGGCAGAACCGTGACATTTGGACTGATTCCATCGTCGACAACTTCTACTTTCGATATCCACGCCGTCGGTGAGCAGAGGACAGCATCTGCAGTTTTGAGTTGCATGGTCGTGCCGTTGACACCATTTTTCTCGTACCGCCCTCCAAAATAGACAAATTGGTTGTATTGCTTCGGAAGGTTAGGGCAGGGTTGCGTTGTCGGTCGAAGAGTGTCGTTAATCGACCAAAAGTCTACATATTGCAGTGGCGCCAGCTGGCTCGGAAGTTGGATCTCTCTGTGATGAATTGACACATTTTGCTGGCAGCCTTCAAATTGGAGATTGATGTCGGCCTGAAAAAAGCGTGTATAGTTGTTGTAGTTCCCCATATGCGTGACCTCCCAACTCTCAAGCTTCAAGCACTTCATGTCGGAGAGGAAGCCGTCTACTTGAACCGTCAGCGGCGCACCGACTGTCCCACGGACGCCGTTCTCAGCCAACGTAAAGGTCTGGTAGGCTGCCTCGGCAGTGACGCCAAAGGGGTAGGTCATGTTGAAATCGTGGATGGCTCGAGCGGCATAATACGCGATGGTCGATTCCCTGTTCAGGAATTTGGTCTCCCACATCAGCTCGAAAGAGTCTCCCGTTTGAATGCTGACGGGCTTCACGAGCCGGATGGGGGTAAGCCTGAACAAACCAGGAGCGAGTACAATCTCAGCCCTGATCAGGATCGATGTGACGGAGACCAGTAGCACAAGCCAGTGCTTCCTTCGCAGAGACTGATACAAGACGAAAGGCGACAGCATAGAGGTGTAGTCGAGGTCGTAGTCGGGGGTTTGTGTACGTCTCAGGTCTATCCACGGCATGTATCTCAGGGCCTGGAGCTCCACTCTTGCCCAAAAAGCAGCCACTATCGTGAGAACTATTCCTGCCGTTAGCCATGGCTATCTTCTCGTCTATCAGGTAGGAGAGGGGTCTTACCAGCAGTCGGGCCAAATCGCCACACGTATCCAAAATCTTCCTTTGTCTTGATAAGGCCATCATTCCGTTGGGAATACCACAACATCGTAGGAAGAGCGATCGCCGCGCAGAGAGCCAGACCAGCGAAACAGGCAAGCGTACGCGGACGAAGCCACTGCGGCCTCCACGATGGCATTTCCTCGGCCTTCTCGTTGTCGGCTCCACGTTTGGCATTTATGAAAAGCGTGTTCTCCCTCGTGATGAGCAGAGGCGAATCCTTCTGCCGTCGCGTAGAGTCGTCATCCTCGCTGGTCCCGTCCCGTTCCGATACACCAACTCTCTCCGCCCGTTTCTTGCCAGCAGCAGGTGTTTGCACGTCAAGTAGCGTGGACTGAGTAGAAGTTCTATCGGGTACCGGCTTGCGGGCAATCTTGTGCTTCGGCCGCATCGACGGCCATCGAGAAACTCCGGAGGGGCCCATCTTTGCCGTTCCTAAAAAGAAGCGACGGACGGATTGTCAAGCAACGAAATGCACGAGATCATCAACGAGCCCACCGCATCCGCATCGCACGAATTCTTCGACGAACGTCGCGACCACTTCTCTCACGCGCGCTTATGCGTACTCGCCTGGCCTTATGTATGTCTCCCTCTGAACCGGCACCCCGGTGGCAATTTCTTGCGAGCCGCATGATGGGGGGGGGGGGGCATCAACAAGGCCCAAACAGAGTCAAATCACCGTTGGCTGCTATCTAGCCCCCCCAGCGAGATAGAGTCGCCAAGTGCAAGCTTTGGGGGCTGGTTGGTTGATCGCGGGGGCTATAGATTACCGGTGACGGAGCAGGCTCAACAGACTCATTCGACCCCCGGAAGCTCGTGCATAAGCGAAGTTCGACGTTGCAGATACGGCACCAACGAGAATACAAGGATCATAAAAACAGGTCGCTGCGCCGCGCACTGAAAACGAAGGCTGGCGGCTACTGAAAGAAAACGGCCCCCCCCAATGACATCTCAGAGGATGACGCGAAACACTCGGCAGATCTGCGGTTTTGTGTGCTCCGTGCTCTATCGAAGGAGCTTGATCCTAGAGGTAATTTGGCGGCTATTATTTGGTGTTGATTTACTAGTAGAGTCTAGATCTCAAACTTTACTTGAACATGATGTTTTTTTTTTACACTGCATCCAAAAGAGGACAGAGGCCGGTCGTATGATTTGTGATGGTTTTTTTATTTAAGCACACAATATGGGAAATGGGGCCGTGAATACCAAAGTCCCATAGTGGGGTCGGTTGGTTGTCAAAAATGTCCTCTCTGAATCACACCTTCCGATGCAGGTAGGCGGCATTGCTGATCTGCCTCTATGTACTATACTATTACTACGCACCTAGTCCGGATACCAGGAACTACTTGAATAGAAAAAAGAAAACATGGAGCTGGGATTGCTGCATGCTGGGGGCCGGCTCAGCCTTGCTAGCATCTAAGCATTGGCGCAACAAGCTGCATGGACAGTAACATTAGAGAACGGAATCAACAATACAAGGGTCTCAATTCAGTCAAGTGGTTCAAATATCGGGGCTCATCTGATGCTGCGCCCCTTAGAAGCATTGGAAGACCTTCGTAACCAACTCCTCGGACTTTGAAGAGTAAAAGTCTCGGCACACGTGACGTAAGCAAGGTTATCATGGGATGGAGTTTGAAATCGACAACTTTTGAACATTCAATTCATGAAGCTATATATGTACACTTCTCGAACAAAGCTGAGGCAAAAACCCAACTCCCTCAAGACTATCGGTTGGCGCGTTGGTGTTCAGAGACTCAAAATAAAGTCAAGCCACGTTTTGTTTTTTTGTGAATGTCCCATATGGAAAGAAAATCCCAAACTATAAATGGCCGCGGCGACGCTCCACAGATAGTTGGTTGTGTTAAAGTTCTGACCACGGACGAATTTGCTGCACTTTTTCGCAAAACCCGTTTTCGTCGCCCGTTTTAAACCCTGGTCCCGATGGATGGAAAGCCGGCCCTCGTGATGAAGAGAGACCCAACAAAGCTGGTGGTATAAGATGAGAGAGAGCAATATGCATGGACGCCTCCGATGTGCTGAAATATTAGATGAACAGGAAAGACTAGCCGTCGCGCGATTTAGCCGTGGCGACCACATGTTCTCTCGCGCATCAGCTCACGGCGCTTCAGGTCCTTCGCTACAATGGGGGTTAGCATGTCGTTCACTGGCAGGAAATGTAGGAAATACTGACCTCCGTCCCATGTCAGGAACTCGTGGAGACCTGATCCAGCAGGCACCATCGGCAAGACGGGCACCTTCTTGTCTGTGACAACCTCAAGAAGAGCGGGGCCGTCGGTGTTAATAAGCCACTTCAAGGCGTCGACGACCTCATCGGGCTTGATGACTCTACGGTGCTGAACGCCCATGGCGTCGGCCAGCTTCATGAAGTCGGGGTTCTGCTGGTGGGTGTGGGCGTAGCGGTCCTCGTAGAAGAGGTTCTGCCACTGGGTAACCATACCCTGCTCCTCGTTGTTCAGGACAATGACCTTGACGCCAATGTTGAACTGAGCAGCGGTAGAAAGCTCGGTGAGAGTCATGTTGAAGGAAGCGTCGCCGTCAATGTCGACGACGAGGGCATCAGGGCGAGCAACCTTGGCGCCAATAGCGGCGGGCAGACCGTAACCCATGGTACCCAGGCCACCAGAGGTGACCATGGTTCTGGGGTGCCTCCAGCGGAAGTGCTGGGCAGTCCACATCTGGTGCTGACCGACACCAGTGGAGATGATGGTGGTCTCCTTGCGGTCGGCAGTCAAGTTGCTGAGCTCCTCGATGACAGTCTGAGGCTTGATCAGGCCGGAGCGTTCGGCCTTCTCGTAGTCAGACAGGGGCCACTTCTTCTTCCACGCCCTAATCTTGTCGAACCACTCCTTGCGGTTGTCCATTGTCTTGGCTTGCACACGGGGCAAGAGAGTGCGGAGGTTGGTGGCGACATCGCCCTCAACAGCCTCGGTGGCCTGAACAACCTTGTTGATGTTCTTGGGCATGATCTCGAAGTGAACGATACCACCACGGCCCTCGGCGTGGGCAGCCTTGGCAGCAGGGGCGAACTTGGCAATGTTGAGGGTAACGCGGTCATCGAAACGGGCACCGAGAGCAATGATGAGGTCGGCCTCCTGCATGGCAGAGTTGGCATAGGCAGAGCCGTGCATACCGAGCATGTGGAGGGACTTCTCGTCAAGCTCGTCAAAGGAGCCCAAACCGTGAAGGGTGGTGGTGACAGGGATGGAAGCCTTCTCAGCGAGCTCCTTGAGGATCTCGACACCGCCTTCGGACTGAGAGATACCCTGGCCGGCGTAGATGACGGGCTTCTTAGCGACGTTGACGAGATCGGCGACACGCTGGATGGACTGCTCGAGCTGCTTGTTGAGCAGAGCCATGGCGGCTCTGCTAGCCTGGCTGGGGAGGGAAGGAAGGGCAGTCTCGGTGGGGATGGCTTTCCTCAGGACACTGGCGGTAACATCCTTGGGCAGGTCAACAAGGACGGGTCCAGGGCGGCCGCTGGTGGCGATCTCGAAGGCCTCGTTGATGCGGCGGGGGAGCTCGGCAACGTTCTTAACCATGACGTTCCACTTGGTGCAGGCGCGAGAGATGCCGATAACATCAGCCTCCTGGAAGGCGTCACTGCCAATGGCAGAAGTAACGACCTGACCGCAGAAGACAACGAGGGGAGTGCCGTCGGAGAGGGCGTCCTGCATGGGGGTGATGACGTTGGTCGCACCGGGACCGGAAGTAACGAGGACGACACCAGGCTTGCCGGAGGCACGGGCGTAGCCCTCAGCCATGTGGCCGGCGCCCTGCTCATGCTTGGGGAGAATGAAGTCGAAATGTTTCGAGTTGTAGATGGCGTCGAAGACGGGAAGGATAGCTCCTCCAGGATATCCGACTATGAGTCACGGTTAGCAATGTGACTCTTTTTCCCCCGTACCACCAACACCTCTAGAAAACAGCAATTGGGTTAACTAACAGATGTGCTTGACGTCGTGTCTCAACATCATCTCGTGGAAAATCTCTCCACCAGTCTTGCCGATGAACCTATGGTACACTGTGAGCTTCAGGTTCGCTTATAAGTCGATGATGTGGGCGGTGGCGGGTTCAACGTACGACTCGTCCATCTCAGGACCACGGGAGTTGACAAGAGGCTGAACATGGCTGCGGTCCTTGTCGGCATTGAATGCAGGTGCCGGTGCTTCGCGGATATCACTACAATTGAAGTTCCATGTTAGCCACCAAGATTTTTCGTGAGTCACGTTGTGATAGCTCTACCACCAAACTCTGAGGCGGCAAGCAAACGGCAGCAGCGATATCGGTAGCGACAGCAAAGACTTACGGAGCAGCTGAAGAGGCAGCGGTAGCCTGATTCCTCACGCCAGAAGAAACCTTCTTAGCAGCCTGGACAGCAGCAACGGCGGGAGAGGTGGTGAAGGCGCGGGGAGCGCTGGCGGTGTTGATGGCCCTGAGGGCGCGGGTGGCGTGGCGGCTTCGGAGCATCATGATGGGCAGAGTGGAGAGGGTAGAAAGAAAGAGCAAGAAGATAAAATGTAGAAGAGAAGCACTCGGCGTGTGACCTCGTCGAGATGATCCAAACGGGAAAAAAAGGGAGCGCGGCTCGTCGAATTGGACGATCGCAGGGGGGGGTGAGAGGAAGGTTGCAATGTAGAGATCAAGAATTGCAATAGAAATTTTGGCAAGACCTTAAACTCAGATGTGAGAGAAGACAGGAGGTTCGACCGGACCGGGGATTCTTTGGCAGCAGCATTAAGCAAAGAGAAGTGGTGACTGGACCCCCAATGGCCACTGGGCTACTGGAGGCGGCTGCTGTTTCGGAGGCAGGGAAAAAAAACCAAAAAAATTATCGGCTGTCAGTGTGTGGGGTAGCCTCGCTCTGGTTGGCTGGATGGGCATAAGACGGGGAATCCTGAGCGCAAGCGTTGCTCATCGTGGGTGGTGCACGGACCATCGTCCCGGTCTGGGGTGGCGATATCGGCCTCTGTTCCCTCGGGGGAGGGGATTTGCCCAGGGCCAGCTTACTGTCGCTGCATCTTCTTGTGCCTGGCCATTGGCTTTTGCCTTGCCACCTGCACGACCTTGCTGCACATTACCGCCCACCGCCTTCCTTCTTGCAGCTCCTACTGCCGTGGCTCCACCAATTGGATTGGTTTATAGTCCAATTCTATTGGCTGACCTCTCAATGGCCCCCACACTCCCAAGCTGTAAGCCCAAACCTAAGGGACCTGATACTCTCTGACAAACACACCTTACCTACTGTGTAGTAGCAACACGTAGTTTACCCATAGAAGTAGGGGTAGTATTACTTAGTCCGGCTGCTACTGAGGAGGCCTTGCAGAAGCGAGAGTAAATGTCGGGCAGAAACCAGGAACACATTTGACATAGAACATACCTCATCTACGTCGCCCTATCTTTTCCGGCCTCCCATCACCGCTCATTCATCTGTCATCCGTTCCGCAGAACTTGTCGCACCACGACTGCATCATTGCCATTCCTTTTGCGGTCCTCTTTCCCTTACGAATTCGGGTTTTGTCCCCCCCGCCCTTCCAGTGTCGGTATGTGGAGGGCTTTTCAGAAACGGCCAGCCGTGATGTTAAACTGCCGCCGCCACTGACTTTAGAGCCACGACTTAAAACAAGCAAAACCGTACTGCGTTCTCCGTGAGTCATTTCTTCCCAAAAAAATTCTTCAACTGGGCTGGTTCGACACGTGAATTTCTGTTGCAAATGGCTAGCGTGAATGCAACTGCACAATCTTGTAATGTTCAGACGGAAACACCTGCCAACCGACGCACAGCCGATACGCACCGGTGACCGGATCTCTCGTCCGGGGTGTTCCGGCTTCCCGTGTCAGACGGCGACGCTTTTATATACTCTTTAAAAAAAAAAAAAAAAAAAAAAAAAAAAAAGAGGAATCTCGCATCGCAAAAGTGAGAAGGAAATACGACCCAATGCAGTGCACGTAATTGTATCATCTTGTTAGACTTTGTGGGGTAAAATGTGAATATTTTTGTTTCTCTACCGTTCCATTACCCATGACATTTGAAAAAATCCTTAAAACACCGTAACCAAAATAATCGCACAATGAGGTATCTTGACCATGCTTGCGCCCATATCCGTCAATGCAGTAACCATGCATGAGCATCGCCATTTGTTCCTCCAATCATACATTACTGGCATCCATTTACCTGCGGTTGTGGTCGCCAAAGGGGTCGTGTGCATCGTATGGCTGGTTGCCACCATTCGACGACATGAGCGGCTGGTTGGCGTGGGGTTCGGTGGGATGCACCTCAACAGTAGGCCTCTTGCCCACGGCTGAAGCCTTGGCGATGGCAGCGGCCTCGGCCTTGGCCATGATACGCTTCCTGTTCTTACGGTCACGGCAGCAAAGAAATGTAATAATACCAATCGCGCCCGTAATGGAGACGGCGAAGAATAGGGCAACCGCAATACCGCCACCAGTGAGTGAGTTCTGCTTCACTATGCAAGTGTCATTACTGCAAAGCATGCCTGCAGCACACGTCGCGTACGATGCCATTGTGGGGAAACAGCCGCTCTTCATGGCTTGGCCAGATTTTGAGCCTGTAGTGTAACTGGGGCATGCTGTCGTCGACACAGTTGTCGTGGTAGAGCAGACCTTGGTGCTGGAGGAGCCAGTGCCAGTGGCCGTGGCAGCGGTTCCGGTCGCGGTTGCAGCAGCCGTGGTAGCAGCAGTCGCAGTATCAGTTGTGTCCGTGGTTGCGCGTGCCACAATTGGAACGTGGCGGAGGCGAAGCTCGGCAGCCAAGTTTCCATATTCATCGCACTTGTCCAGGGCCCACTGAGCCTCGACCACCGCTTCGGCGTGGTCACAGCCAGCATGAACCCAGCATGCCTCGAGGTCGGCTTGCGTAAAGTCATCCGGGATCATGTCCAAGCAGTGTGCTACAGATCCGGCCATACCGCAGGTGCCTAGGCGAGAAAGTTCACTATTTCTTGACCGAAGGCAGTGCAGTCTTGCCGGCGACAGCGCCGAAGCCGTGGTTGCGAGAAGCGCAAAAAGCGCGGTGGCGGACTGGTGGGAGCGCATCTTATCCGATTTTGTGGGGAGCTATCTCAAGTGCCGGAGCGGGAATCGGTCGAGGTGGGTGGGTAAGGTAGCGGCTTGGAGTGGACGCGGAAATGCCGGCCCAAATTTCTAATTCTGAGAGAAGAACTTGTGTAGCAAATGAAAACGGACTTCGGCAGCTCGATTCCTGATTGGTGAGCTCTTGTGCAGCTGTCAATGTTGGACGTGAAACTCGAGTCCTGTCAATGAGGATAGTTGACAGGGAGGGATGACGAGGAGGGACGAGAAGAAAGACGCTGCAGGCTGTTTCTTCAAGGTCCAACACAAATAAATAAAGGAGAGAATGGGGTTTGGTGGAAGCGTCGAGGCTAAGGTGAGAAAGGGGAGAGGATCAGGAAGGGGATCAAGCCCGGATGAGCTGGGAATGAGGGTCAATTAAAAGCAGGTGAGGTGAACAGCGCCAGCTGCCGCCTGGGGCTTGGCTGGGCCTGTTTGTTCTTTTGGCGTGTTCCCATTCTCGTCGGCCTGGTCTTTGCCTGTGGCTGGCCCCATAGCCTATCCCTCGTCCAGTACGCTTGCTGGCCCAGAGAGCTGAGATGCCAATGCCAAAGCCACGAGCATCTAATCCTCAGCGTGCGGGCCACCAGAGCTTGTTCAGGTAAGGCGTCTCTGATGGAGCGGTCATGGTGAGGTCTCCGCTTAGGCTCATTTTTGTGGCTTACCTGCAGTAGACCCAGACAGGAGTTGGGACGCTTGTTGTAAGGCTGGAGCTCATTTCACAGATATGCCGCAGGCTGGAGCCTGTTGTGTGGGGACGGAACTGCGGCGAGGTTACTCGGGGTGTCAGGATGCGTGTTATGGGTGGTATGGGGGACAGAGCACGGAGGGTACGTGTCTCTGATGATGGCGCTGCAGCTGCGGCACTGCCCTATCATGAAGCCCATTTCTCTCTCATGGGCGAATGAGAAGGTGCAGCGTGGTGGCTGACGGCGTCCACCTCCATATTTAGGCCATGGCTTCATCTCATCTGGAGGGGTTCGCCCCATGCTGCTTACGTTTTTTTCCTTCACGGCCATGACCGGTTGCCTGGGTGGGTAGTACGGGTCAGTCTCTCGGAACTTGAATCTGCCCACTTGGGGTCGTCAGTTCGTTGGCCTTCCTTAACCATCATGAACTGACCCATGTCTGTTTAGAAAGAGTAAACGGGGCGAGAGAACGCACAAAGGAGAGGGAAAAGGACAGAAAAGGGACTCCCACCTCCTCAGCTTACCAACCCCGTTCCCTACTAATAGTAGCTCGTGCTGTTCCCGTCTTAAGGCTTATCCTGAATAGTTCAAGCGCAGATACCACAGGTCCCCACAATAAGAGATGCCAACATGCACCTATGCTCAAACTTAGGATCAATAACAAACAAACGTTATCCAGATTGTATACGGTTCCATATAGGTAAGTATCTCCTGTATCAGTAGGCTTTACGTTATACCTCTCAACGGGATGAGGGGGCGGGCACGCAGGACGGGAGAAGAGTAAAAATGGCACTTTGTCTCCTTGACAGGGTAGCGTCGTAGGATGGGCGGGATGAGATCCCTGCTGCGGCTTGAAAAGTGCTTGTTGGTGTTGGGCTGGTTTGCTTGGTCTGTGTGGCGGCTGAGACCAGATACCCTGGAAGCTGAGCCAGCCTCTCCCAAACCCCAATACCCTTCCAGTTGGCGGTGGGCGCCACGCAGGAGCTGAAATCCGTTTTTCTTAATGACAAAGCCGTCATGATTGATACGGTTTGATGTGCTTCAATACCGCATGGCAGTGCTCCCGAAGGAGAATGGTTGAAGTACTTAGTCTGTTTTTTTTTTTTTTTTTTTGCGCATAATAACTAGAACGCAAGCAAATAATTGCAACTGGACCAGGATATCGTTACGGTAAACTGTTTTTTTTTTTTTTTTTCTGCCAAGACGCAGGGAATATGGAACGGCGCGGAGGCAGAAACAAAAACTTCTGTACTTTGACGCGGTCAGACCGTTAGGTCAATTGTCGGCATAGCCAACCAAGTATTGGTATAGCAGCCTCCATCCACTCAGGACAGGGTCGTAGAGGGGCCGTAAGCAAAGGATTTTCTTAGGTAGTCAACTCTTCGGATGTCAGCGGGGCGGTCAGCGTTTATTTTACTGCGCGCCTGACGAAATGGGATGAACGACCGGCAGCTCGAGTAAGAATCCTGGACGAAATGTTTCTATGGAACCCGTTCTGCTACGAGGGGGAAGTGCGAGAGATACCCACAGCATCGCCGACCAAAAGGGGCATGGAGTTGACCTTTACAGGTGTGCTATGTATAGTCTCCAAAACATTGGATTCATTCGACAAGGCCAATTTGGGAGGTGCCTAGTGTAGACAATTGTTAGGCCAAAGGAGGTACTAGGTAGCATCCGTAATTGACGAGGAGCTTTCGGTGAAAATGGTTCTGCCTAGTAAGGAACGTTCGGGACTCGGTTACAGTGCACTGGCCAACAGAGGAATGGGCAGTCAGACGGCCACAACTGCAAGGGGTAGGCAAGAACTCTCCCACCTTCCGTGAATACCTAGATTCTTCTGGCGCCGTGCTTGCCGTGAACATGCGATATTGCATTTTCCCATCTCCACTGCATCTGGAAGGTGGCGGCTCTGTTCCGCTCCGACGATCGTGGCTTGGGGAAGGTAGAGGTTAAGAATTTTACCAACTCCAATGGATGACAGCACAACGGCGGCAGATTCGTGATAGCTGGGTAGGTAAGCTTAAAGGCTGGGTGGTGGCTCTCATGTTTGGTAATCCTTCGATCTCGGCTAGAAATCTGACTCCCTTTACAGTGTGGCTGAGGCTGACAGATACCCCAGCCACGTGCCCTTGCACCCTTCCAAAGTGACACCGAGCGCATGGTGAGGCTAGTGCTTGCTTTATCACATGTGATTGGCTGGGTCGGTATCACAGCAGATTCGCGCCTTCCCGTTGCTGCTTACGCACATCGGGCTCTTACTTTGCGACTGCAGCCTTTGAATTGATCATTCGATGAAGACTGAGGTACTTAAGCGTCAAACCTACATATTACTTGCTGACGTGACGGTGTTTTAAACTTGTGGTGCAGAACAAACACTCACTCCTTGGACTACAAACCCTTTCTCATTTTGAGTGGCTTCAGATGAGAATCCTAAGCAAGTTGAAAATGCCAACCAGTCACGAGGCACCCTCGCAACCAAGCTCTCTGTAATACCATTGACACGATACGTTGTAAAAAGCAAACAGGAATTTCCTGAGGCTTCAAGTAAGTTCTGAGGTACTTACCTCAGATCGTCTCGTTGTCGCTTTCCATCGGATAGAAGCCAGCCTAGTTCCTACTACGTAGTACACCTGCCAGAAACACATCCCCCGCCCCCACACAATTACGACGTCATCGCCCTCCCCTCCTAGAGTCCAGACCAGTAACCTTGCTGAGCGCTTCAACGTCCATCGCGCGTCCTATTTAATTGCTTTCTGTTTAAACCTGCAACACCCCAAGTTCCTCATTCCAGATTTCTTCAACAACTACCGTCACCAAGTTAACCTTTCTGCGACTCTCTCCCAATAAACATACACAACAAGACTCCATATTTAAATTACCGTCAACATGCCTCTCGTCGTCCCTGGTATTAACAATAACTCTTCCGATGACAAGACGGAGGAGTGGACCAACAAGCTCGTCGGAAAGAAGCTCCACGAAGAGGAGTCCAACGAGACTGTAAGCCATACCCGCATTTGCCCCCCCATTCATCGCCCGTGTCTAACTGGAATATTGTTAGACCTTCTGCAAGAGGGACCTCCCCCAGCAAACTCGCATCATTGAGCCCGGCATGATGGTCACAAAGGATTTCAAGCCTGACAGACTCAACGTCCACGTCAAGGAGGACGGCACCGTCTCCCACGTAGCCCACGGCTAAGCCAAGATGAAGGCACAAGTCTTGGTCTTCAAGTTAAAGGCATGGGCCGCTGGCTACGCAAGCATGGGTTATGAATAGCGAGATTCTTGCATGATTGTACAGATATGAACCTGAAAGAATATAATAATTTGCTTTCCCAAGAAAATGTCTTTTTCATTTCTTTTTTTGATGTTCTTCTTCAAGTGACATGATGCCACTGGCGGCGCTTGCCCCTCCACAACTGCGATTCCGGTCTACCCCGCCCGCCTGACTGCGGGGCAATTTTCCTGCACTGCTCGCTCTCCAATCAACCCCACCATTAATTCACCTCACCGCGAGCAAAAGACGACGCGACGACCGCCACGACCTCCAACGTCCAGTGATACCCCCTCAATAATAGCCGTTGCCTTACCAATACCGCCAAAATGTTCAAGAAGGAGTGCGTTCACTGATCCCCTACCCTCCGTGCCGTTGCAGAGGGGCGATGGCAAGCTAACTTTTACCCCTCCCAGCATCACCTCCGCTCCGAAGCAAAAGCTCAAGTCCTCGGTTCAGCGCTCTCTCCGCCAGTCGCTGCTCTCGTCCTACCCGCTTCTGAACCCTTACATCGAGGAGGTCATGCCCAAGAAAGCATCTCTGGAGCAGATGAAGCTGCCCGATCGCTGCTCCTTGTATGTCTGCGAGCAGCAGCCCATCTTCTACCAGCAGGACAGCACCACTCTCCTCCCGCACCTCAAGCTCGTCCACCGCTTCCCCCAGGCTTTCCCTACCATCCGCATCGACCGTGGTGCCATTCGCTTCGTGCTTTCTGGAGCTACGCTCATGGCGCCCGGCCTGACGAGCGCCGGCGGTCGGTTGCCACAGCCGAGGGAAGGGGACGAGGGTGTTGATGAGGACGGTCACTGGAGCAGGGAACTGGAGAAGGGCGAGCCCGTCGTTATCATGGCAGAGGGTAAGACTGAGGCATGTGCGGTGGGATTTTTGGTTGCGGGAACGAAGGAGGTCAAGGATAAGGGCAAGGGACCCGTTGTCGAGGAGGCGCATTTCCTCGGTGATGGTCTCTGGAGACTGGGTTCGGAGTAAAAAGCGGCTTTAAAGTAAGGGTGGAGCATATGGAATGTTGTTGGCGTGTTGTATACTCAAGAAAGATGCATCAATGAAACGGAAAGGGGAGGCAACGTTGCCGTCCACATGAGGAACCAAGGCAACAAGCATACCTTCAAAGAAAAGGATAGTCATTAAGGAGTTTCTGTTTCTTGTTTCCCTAACTTAATATTGCCAACAACTATCGTGATTTTGCCACTAGAATCGTTATGAATTCTCACGAGCTCAGCTTCTCATCTTCAGACGTGATTCCATCGACAGCTACGCCTTGAAACAACTGGGAATCGACCTCTGTACAAGCTTTCCAGCAACATGAGCGAGCATCTGAGTGTCTCTTTTTCATGTCGCAGCTATGTCCCTTACTCTCTCAAATCCAATTCTCATCTATACAGCTGGTAAACCCTCGCCTACACCGTACCAACGGCTACTACCACAGTCTGCTCCCAATCGGGGACGCCTTACTGCCGTCATTGACACAGCTGTATTGAAGACAGTCGCCGAAGGTGAGTTAAAATGATTTCAAGCCCATATCAATTAGCCAGCACCCTTAAATAGTCATAATGGTACAGAATTAAGTATCACAAGACCAAAAAAGAGAAAAATATCATGTGCGCCACACACAATGTGTATGGCCGCACAGTCACTCTGGAGACGCGGCGAATCGAACGCCGGACCTCATCCATGCTAAGGATGCATTATACCACTAAACCACGCCCCCGCCGATTTGAATGAAAAGTTTTGGTGTGGGCGAGACCCATCAACGTTCGTGCGCCCCAGTTTGACGATGGACTCGCTGGGGCCAACCGTCGGGGTTTTCCGCTTATGAACTGAGATGGAAAGAGTTTCAAGAGTAAAATTTGTGGTAGAAAGACATCTCATCTAAGCTTTTCATCCCTTTACAAGTCACGGGAGACCGTCTTGTATACGAAGGTCGTGTGGTTTTAGAAGTCTCATTCCAAGTCACGCTAAGTCGGCAACTGTCAACATCGTGTGTGTACTTATCACGGTTTACACCTCACGCATCATATTCAGCGCCGTGGAGTATGGATTTCAAAATGCGTTAAATTGAATCATGTCTTTTCATCCGTCGCTACACACTTGGCATCTAGCACTGGCCCCAGTTTCCCCTGACCTCGCAAATGCTGGCGCAGTTGACGTTGTTTTCGTAACCAGAGACACAGTCGCAACTGTTGTTAGACAACTTGCAGCAGCAGTCCTATAAGAGAATTCATTGGTTAGCGCCTGAGATACAAGTTCCATATGGTGCTTTCGGGCTTACCTTGGCAACAGCACCGCTGACCAGAGCGACGGCAGCAACGAAGAGAGCGGAGAACTTCATTTTTTCAGAAAGTTTTGTGTCTGGCTTGAGATTGATGAGATTTTGGGTTTATAGAGTCGCAGATGGAGTTGAAAAAACTGAAGAAGCTGGTTGTGGTTATGGATTACTTCAACGGACAGAATGAGAGGTCGTTTATATAGCATTTCCTCCTGCCGGCACACGTCCGGTATACAAGGTAGAGCCTCAGAAAGTCTGACTCGGTTATTGTTATGGGGAGTTTATGGAGGAAAATGTATAATAGATTAACCTCTGGTTTCGGTATGTCATGGCTTCTATGTAATCTCCATATGACCTGCCTCGGGAATTGAGGCATGGCAAGTCGGCAGAAGGTAATGTGCTATGTAATATGATGGCTCAAGTCTTAACATGCAACTCAGGGAGTTACGCTATCGGCAATTCTTAGTAGTGCAGTGACCAGACAGCCAACGGCTGAAGAACGTGTTCATCGTTGAAAAGCCAATGAAGTACGCGACTTCCGACGAAGCCGACCACCTCAACTAAGATGCCAGTACCGACATGCTATATGGCATAGACCAAACCAAATACGAGAAATCTCTATTTACCGAAATCTCGGGAAATAGGGCTTTGGGTTCGGTGATTACTTGAGCCGATTTGTCAACGGTCATCTGATTTTGACGGGTGATCTACTCTTGACATGACCATCCCCAGATGCCTCGAAGCTAATTCACAACTAAGTCCAGCGTCCCGGACTGCAAGGCTGAAACATTAAAACCTCATCATCCATGGCTTAGGGCCACCGAAAAATAGTGGCTGTTCAGACCAATGTGGATTCACTTCGAAACTCGCAGACTTGGATGCCCGTAGTTCTGATGTATCTATTTTAGAAGAAATATTTAAGGACACATGTCAGAAATCATGAATGACTCAAGGGCGATGCCATAGAACAGGAGTTGCCGCTGGAACTCCGGGGAAGATCGCCAGGCGGACGGACGGACTGCGTATAAAGTGGGTTCATAATACCGTTAACACGCCCGAACTCCCCGCGGCAATCGGGTGTTATTAAGCGCCCGGAGAGGCTTGGCCTGAGCTCATGCCAAGAGCAACAATCACACAGAGAGCTAGAGTGCTTGAAAAAGTCATGTGTAAATGCTCACTTTATTGCCAGTTCGTCTATATCATTGACGAAAAGGAGTGGTAGCAGTGTGGTGTAGATAAGCACCTCACACCGCACGACCACCCAAATAGACACATCCTTATGTTGATTTACCGTGAGCCTGCAAGGTAAAGTTACGACGAATGTAAGATTCGGAGCAACCTTAACTTACTACTGGTTTTTTCTTTCAGAAACTGTGACGTCAATTTTTGTTGGGCCAGGGACGACAAGGGCGAGGTGAAATGGTGGACACGGCCCATCAGTGCAGTAACTGAGTAATAATTTTAGGTTTTTCTCCAAACAACTAAACTACTATAATCGTCCGTTGAAAAAACCGGTCCATAGCCCTTTCATTAGCACGTGTATTACTTGATCCATGTCGCTTTGGCGAGGAAAGTTCATTATCAACTCCTCAAGTCTTTGGAAAGCGTCACCTCCCCCTCAAACCCAAATCCTGACCTTGAACCCAAGACTCCCAGTTTATGATCATGTGCCAGTATTGCACTCTTATACACATTGCTACCCTCCGTTGCCAAAAGCCCATAGCCAACTTTCACAGGTCCGTAATCTTTTCCGGACCCCCAGTCCACCCCGTCCAGAGCCGGTCCTCTCGTCGCTTCTACGATGCTTGAAAACCCAGTCCCCCTGGACACTCCTCCATTGCGTCGAATCGCAAGAGTACCAGCCGCGATTCCTAGAAGTCCAAAGAATACCAAGATACCGTAAACGCTCACCAATATGCGAGTCCGATAATGGTATCGCACTGCAGGACGAGACCGTGTACACTTATACAGATAGTCGTCTTTCGGCCCGGTTCCCGTGCGTCGAATGCCCGTCTGCTCATCCGTTTTCGCCGCCCAGACTACTGCTTGAAAGCGTGGCCGCGCAAACATGGACATGAGCAGATTCCCGTACCAAGCTTCAATAAGTTTGATGACGTTGGGTCGGACAAAATGGAATCTATGATCGATCAGGCTGGTGTAAAGCACACGGGACGCTTCCACTCGACCGGCCCCCTGGATTGTCCCATTTATCCTTGAACGTAAAAACAAACCCATCGAATGGTACCCAGCCGTTCGTCTGTACGTTTTGAGGTCTTTGGGAAGAATATAGTTTTCCTCTGGGACAGCCACGGTCTTGTCCATGGTACCATCATTGGCATCGACGTTGGGGATAAAAGTCGTATTGATTATTGGCGCAATGAGCTTGCGGTCTTTGATCGTTGGAATCTGCATTCCATCTCTGTATATGATTTCGGCAGTGTATTCAGCTTCGTAATGCTCACAAGCGATGAGGACTGGCGTGAATGCTTTATCGTTCCGAACATCTGCAGTCCTGTTGAAAAACAGAGAGGCATAACTCTCATTCAATTCAGAGTAACCTATCCATATTATCGGCTCTGTTCGAAAGGCTCCGAGGTGCTTAGGGTATGGCGGTTCTGTGAGGGGTATTCCTCCGCTTTTCATTTTCGCCATTTGTGGATATCCGTACTCTCCATGAAGTGTCTGGGCGATGTAGGTGTAATTGCCGCTTGGCGCAAGTAAGTCCATGGAAAATGGGGGCTCCGACCTTCCTGTACTCTGCTGCAGGAAGCCTGGCCCCCTTTCTTCTCCCAAACCCCTGCTGATTTCGCTGCAATTATAGGTCGGACCGACAAACTTGATTTCCACCGTGCAGTTCCAGCCCCTCTCACAAACCTCGAATGTGTTCTCTTGATCTATAATTGGCCGTTCCAGATATGTGCTAGCTTGCATGAACTCTTTGGCATTGTCGCTTGGAGCTGTGTAATAGTCGAAGAAATAAGGATCGGATGAATTGCTGCTTGTGTTGTTCCACCATGTCAAAGATTGTTGATCTAAATCTGCAATCTTTCCTCCATTTCGCCAGTTCGTGTTGTCTTCAAACCTAAAGTTCAACGTACGTACCCCCGGGCAAGTGGTTTGTTGGACTTCTGAGCCTGGCGTTGCAATCAATGTACTGGTTGTGAGAATGACACTGAGAGGCGATATCCTTGGCCATTGTAAGCACGAGAATGTTGGATTTGGGGGAAGGGGGGACTTGGGACTTACCAGCAATAAAAGGCCAGGCCAGCAGCAACTTTTGCTTTCCATATGAATTCTAAATTAAGGAGCGACAGTGGTGTTTCGGGAGCTGCGAACATGTCGTTGAGTGTAGTCACCCTGAGGAATTTTGAACTGAACGTTGACCAAATTTGCTCTCGAAATGCCATTAACACTGCGGCAACTAGACTAGACTTGGCTGCAAAAGCCAGCGCAGTCCCGTACCGCAAGGTTGTTAACTGTTCGTCATCGTTCACCAGGCTTCCCTCAAGAGACTGATAGAAAGCGTGGTGGGCAATTGCAAAACCTATTCCGATCACCAAAAACAGATACATATTCCATGATGAGCCCCATAGGTCTTGTAGAATATATCCTTTGTCCCACCATTTTGCTTTATTGTGTCTTTTTGTAGGAGGGAAGAAATCGGAATTGTCATTGGAAAAATCGATATCCCTAGGCAAAAATTCCTCTCGGGACTCATGCTTCCGTTTCAGATCCGTGATGTCAACCCCGATCATGGTTATTGACTCAAAGAAGTCCGAGTCATGGCGTCTTGAGGAATTAACCGAACTCCGATGGCTTTTGCCCATTTCTGTTGCATCGGAATCCATGTTGAAGAGAGTGCCGTGAATAACTCGTGGAAAACATGACCAACATCGTCGAAGGATTCCGTGCTTGTGATGCGGGGACATGATAAGACATAAATATGCCATACTGCAGCTGCCAAGGATGCATGTCTGATGATCGCAAGAGTGGCCCAGTTGTTCCACGACATTGATACGAGGATGCAAGTCAGCCGTAAGTCAGCACAATTGACGTTTAAGCATCTTATTCGCTGCTGACCCGAATGTCACATCGATTCGACAGGAAAAGCCCACAAGGCTGTAGGTACCTTCGGGGCTAAAACAAAGTTAGCCATTCATTGTTCAGGCGAGGAAGCACAGCTAAAGTGGCTGCAGTCAGAAGCAGGCTCTAGAGTTGGTGTGCCTCTAGCCTGCTTGCTCAACAGTGTGATTGGTGTGCCTTATCTCACCACCACGTTTTCGATACGAACCTCCATCTTTGTCGATTGACTATCTTTGCCACCTAGAAGGCACAATCCTTGAAGATTATTACTTACTTCTTTGGCATCCAAGTCTCATTTGTGAGAAGATATAGAGTTCGATTGATATCAAATTCCTCGCCATGGAGAGGTGTAATTGTTTAAAGTATTATGCCGCAAGAGGATTCTTAGAAGCTATCCGCATCTGACCAACTCACGCGGTATCCTGTCTATGACGGTCCTGCTATGTGCATACTTTATATCACAGAGAAATATACACGTAAATAATTTGTTAAACATACGAAGCACCTTAAGATATTGCCATCAGTTTATCTTTTACAGTCTGGTCTTTGCCTATTCTATTTCTTATCTCTCAAACCTCAAACCCAGCGTAGAGAACCTTTTCCATCATTCCACTCGCCGCTCCAGCCTCAATCTTTGCTTCAATACCTCCGTTTCCAAACTCCTGGGCTTCCTCGAACGCCTGCTGCCAAAACTCCCACCTTCTGAAGGAGAATCCCGCTTGCCCTTTGAACCTTGGACCTGGTTTCCAACGTTTGTCGTCACTCCTGACGTTCGCTCCATTGCGTCCTGGGGAAGTTGCCTCCGCCTTAATAGACAAGTAATATAGACGATGGCAGGAGTGAATTGCCCACTGAGCCGCGGCCATGAGCCGTGCGTCTGCAGCATCTTTGTCATTGACATCAGACGAGTTACGGTCCTCGAATGCTGAGCGTAGTTGCTGAATGGCGTAGTCGCGACCGTCGATGAGATTATAGGACCATAGTAGTGAAGCAAATGCGTTGAGATTGATCCATCTTGTGAGGGTTTCGGTTGCTTCTGCTGAGATATAAGGGGCTTTGATGGATGTGAGTTTGAAAGTGTTTCTCTTACCAGGGAACCCGAACTTGCGGATACTTACATATCATATGATCTTTAATCATCTGGTTTAGTCCATGCAAGCGACTATATTGTTCGAAGCCATCCTATTATTCCTTAGAAACAGCATTCATGTCTTTTGCATGATCAACTTACGATGTTAACCGTGGTAGTTGTTCTAGGGGATCCAGAAAGCTGATCAAGGATGACAACCAGATTTAGTAACGCAACGTTGCTCGCAGGAGTTTGTTGCGCCAAGGAGATAAAAAGCCTCCATAGGGATGAGAGGGCATCGATAGATTGCCCAACTGGCAACAAATTTGCTAGTTGGGCTGCCGTATTTCGAAGCTGCTGCGGGTCGCCGTGCTGCTCCAGTATCGCTGCGCGGATGATACTGAGCGCTTTACTATCGTCAAAACTTGATGCATCCGGTTTATGCTTCCATTTGAAAACCGCTGGATCACCGCCTACGTGTACTCTGTCATTGATATGCTCTGCCAATGTTTCAGGACGGTCAACGTCCGAATTGATTTTGGACGACATGGATTGATTAGACAAAGTTCATCAACTGTACATGACAGCTGAAGATACCATGAAGTACATCGCATCGGAAAAAGGGAGGAAGCACGCGACTTTTCAAGTCAAATATTGAAAGTAAAGTTTACGTTTGCATTGACTGAAATGTTAGCTTACGTTGCTCTACAGGACACATGAAGCCGGATATTCTGCCGCACCGATCGACATGCGGGGACAGCTGGCATGGCAGAACCAAGCACGAAAGAGTCGCGTTCCGTGATCGGTAACTTTGCTGTGCAATTTCATGCCGTGTTGGGCTAGTGTCGGCCGTTCCATGTGTTGGCCGTCGGATCACTTGAGACGGATTAGCCGAAATGGATATTCTTGACATGTGGTTTCGGAGCACGGTTCATACTTGCCAAACCAACCTCTCATGACTCAGCCCAAAAAGACATTGAGCTTTCCACAATGACTGGAGACTAAAAGAGCAGCATAATTGTCAGTAATAAATACATGCAGATGTATGAGTTCATCTCATCTCCAACTTCCAGGTCTGCCTTCTTCTGGAAGACAAATCTCAAAGTATCCACACAAATCCCATCATCACTAACAATTCGGACACAAACTAAGTCGTCCCTCCTGTTCATAACACCTTCTCGCTTGTTGGAACTCTTGCTTGCGGGGAGGCTCTACACAACTGGTTCTTGTCCAGTCAAGAAAGCCAAAAAGTGAGTATCAAGGAGGGTCAATGTGTGTGTAGCCTAGTGTCAGTTGTCACAAGTTCACTACTTCGTTACATACTGCGGGCTGGTTTTTAATGGCAGCAACTTCTTTCAGGGCATATGCAATCAATCCATTGCCAACCTGTAAAGCTTCTTTGTAGATTTATGTTGACTGGCGGATAGAATCAGAGATTCAAAAGGTGGCTGGCTCCCCAAGCCGCATATGTGGACTAAGCTGTGGAAACGCTTGACTAGACGGTAAACCAGTTGACGCCAAGGATTGCATGATACACTGTGAGTGGTCCCCTAGATAGACAAGGGCATCGGGTGCGGCTCTAACTGGATATCCGATGACGGGGCACCCAGTACGACCGAATCTCCCGCTGCCCGAAAAGTACGTAAGCGGGGTGAGATGGTGTTCTGCAGATACTGGGGAAGAGGTCTCTACAAGATGGATTGACCATACAGGGGTGAACTAGTCTCAATGAATACACAGCCCGCCCCAGGCGGAAGTTCAAGCTACCAGCTAGAGACTGCAGTATACGACTTCAATGGTAGATGATAACGTGTGATTGAGGTATAGTCTTCTAACGAAGAGTAATGGCTTCTTATTACTCATAGAATACCAAGCTGTATACCCTACTCGCTCAAGGTGCGGGGCCTGGAGCCACGGGAACTAGTCTCATTCTTGGTTAAGTGCTCCTGCAGTAACAGCGAGCTGGTTTCTGTTTTAGTCTTTCCATCTCCAAGGGTATTACCACCACGTTCCCATCATAGTCTCAAGTCTTTTTGTAATCAGTCACTGGATTTTCGATGAATAACAGAAGGTAGTGGCAAGAAACTTTGTCATTGATTCCGCATGTGAGCTATCCAGCTAAAGATACTAATTTGATTCTTAAACATACATACAATTATATGCACATATCGTGGACTTTCTGGATTTACTGGGAGACATTGAGTATCAAGTTTAAGGTGTCAGGGACTCAGGATGTATTCGCTCGACACCACGCCCGATGAAGGCTTAGCCTACATACACCAGATCATTGCACCAGTCGAACGGGTCTTTCCGAACAATGAGTTTTTGAATCACCTGGGCGCGGAGACTAGAGACGTCATGGCATGCATCCGGGCTGAACTAAAAGAGGGGGCAACAGCCTCAACCGTCGGGAGAAAGACCACGGACAGGGCCTTGGAGTAATTAGCCTAAATACCGTAGATCATCTTAAGGTCTCTCGGATATCGATTGGCTGATTCGGCTATCGGGGGAAAGCAACGCATCTTAGCCCCTCAGGGAGTTACCAGTTACCATGTCGTTGGGAAATGTGCGCTGGTTTGATCCGTGTCAATTCATCCCGAGAAACGGCAAAACTGCGCCAAAGCGGCCGGTGCCTTGCATGCTATGTGGCGTGGAAACTCGCCATGACCAATTAAAATCAGCAGATCACACACAGCAGACGGTGAGTGGTGCGCGAAACTGCTTTTTTAGACTTCTGCTCACGCCTGTAGGTAGTATTTTGTCTGATTATGCTTAAGCAAGGATACTCGGTTCACAAGCCTACCTGGTTTCAGCCGCTAATAGTGACTGGTTGTAGCATGGGTCTGCCCTAGAAATGGAGTCTCCGTCAAAGTCTTACTCCGCTGTCAAGATACCTTAGCATACCAGAGGCGCTCGTCTGATGCCATCAGTCACTTATCCCTGAATGGAAATGAACTTGCCATTACGACGACCAGGATGAACTCCTCTAGGACTTCTGCGGGGAAAGACCGTGAAAAGTCGATCAATGTCTGGGCATTTACACAACTTTGCCATCCCACTGGTGGAATTTCTTAGTGCAAAGAGCCCCGGTTCGAATGCAAAGGCCCACTCCATGACTTTCCCTTTTCAACACCCTGTAAGTTCCTGGATTGGTCTAAGCTATCTCCCACCGCCGCTTCCGAATGGTTACGTGGAGCCTTGAACGCAGGGTGAAGAGCATCCTGCGGGGTGAGGGTTTGGAGAAAATGCGGAGGCGGGCTTGTTACTCAAGGCTATGAGCTGGTTTGCTGGAGGTGGACGAAGCCAGTTCGTATAAGCTACATGAGTGGGCTGTTGTTTGACAAGAATACGCGGCAGCAAATGCAAATATAAAGCGGCAGCTCTGACCAAAGTTTTGACAAAGACCGCCGTTGGAGATCCACACTGTCTAAGGAGAATAGTATATCAGCAACAGGATTACGGACAGTCACTACAATGGTCTCCGGATCTCTCTTCGCCGTTGCCGCTCTCGCTCTGAGCGGCGTCGCCCAGGCTCGTGAAGTTCCGCCACGCCCAGATACCAAGGCGCACCCCAACCCTCCATTCAGGCCATTCCCGGTATCGCCGCCTCGCACCAAGTCGTGCTTCGTCAAGCCAAGCTGTACCCCTGGCCGTGACGACTCGGCGAAGATTCTCAAGGCCTTCCACGACTGTAACAACGGCGGTACCGTCGTTCTCGACGAGTCTTACACTATCTGCACGCCACTCGATCTACGCTTCTTGAAACATGTCGATGTCGCCCTGACAGGTCGCATCACCTTCTGCGATGGTGTGGACGACTGGATGAAGAAGTTCTTCCCCATTCCCTTCCAAGAAGGCAACACATGGTGGCTCTGGGGCGGAGAAGATATTAACCTCTACGGACTTGGCAAGGGAGTCATCGACGGAAACGGCCAGGAGTGGTACGACGCTCATGGCTCGAGAGAGGGAATCTTGCGTCCCTTGCTGTTTGTCACCGACGGCTGGAAGGGTGGCTCCATCACTGGCCTGAAGATGCGCCAGTCACCTAATGTAAGTCTCTCGGAGTGTCCTGGTAATAATAGAGCAACTAATGATTATTATAGTGGCACAATCTGATAGCAAATTCTTCAGATATTCTCGTGTCTGATTTCGACATCTACTCTCGTTCTGCAAGCAAATATGAGGCAAAGAACCTAGATGGCTGGGATACTTACAGATCCTCGTAGGCTTAACATATTTTTACTACATGTCACCCGGGTCCCGGTATACAAAACTAACTCAACTCCCATGCAGGAATATAGTCATTCAGAACTCGGTTTTGGACCATGACGACGACTGCGTATCCTTCAAGCCCAATAGCACCGAAATCATCGTACAAGGCTTGCAATGCAACTCATCCCACGGCATTTCTGTTGGCTCTCTGGCCCAGTACCCAGGCGTCGTCGACATCATTGAGAACCTGTACATCTTTAACAACACGCTCAGCAATGCCACAGACAGTGCCCGCCTCAAGGTCTGGCCTGGCTTGGGTGCTGTCACCAAGCCCGGTTGGATCGGCGGCGGTGGCATCGGTCACGTCCGCAACGTTACTTATGAGCAGTTCCACGTCCGCAACAACGATGCCGCTCTCAAGATTGACCAGTGCTACGGCGCGGTCAACGCCTCCACATGCAAGGAGCACCCTTCTCAGGTCCTTCTTGAAAACATTCTATTCAAGGATTTTGACGGATACACTTCCAAGGCCAGCGATCCTGTTGCTGGTGCACTGATTTGCAGTTCAGAAGAGGTAGGACCATCTCCCTTTTCTATTCGTCGTTCCTAGTCTCTGGTAGCTAACAACACTCCAGAGTTGTGACAACATTCGCGCTGAAAATGTTCGGATCACTGTCCCCAGCGGCAAGACTACGCGCTGGCAGGTGAGAAACGTCGAAAAGGAACTGCTGGACGTCAACGGCGAGATCGTCCAGGCCTAGAAAATTGCTGTCGACGGTGGAATAAGCCTGAGGCATGTAATGAGATTTACGAAAGTGGAATGAGACAATGAATGGATGGCGGCCTTCGTTGTTAACGATGGCCACTTAGGTGTCTATAGAGCGAAGCTGCCAGGTTGTGTATAGGGTTCTACGAGGTGAAAGGCTCCGTACGAGCACCTTAATAGCAATTAAAAGTAAGCTCAGATTGTTCTGCTTATTTTTGGAAGTACAGCAAAAGTAGTGGTTCGGAATTAAAAGTAGGAGATATGGTGTCCCAGCTCATCACATGTGGAGGAGAGGAAGCGGTGCACTACGTGCCGGATTGCCACATTAGCCCCATTCTAACTGTTGCAACATTATTTACACTTACATTTCTGCTCCTGGAGAATGAAGCCTAACTCTAATTGAACTTGATTAGATGTACCGTTTCCTGTGGTTAGTGGGCTTGAAAAATGTTAGTTGCAGTTGACTGTGTGCTTCGTTGACGAGGACTTGCAAACATCAAAAGATGTGAGCTCTGTATAAATGGAAGTGGCTATAGCCTAACAATGCATGACGTCCCGTATTTGAATGTCTTTTTAGCCACACATCCGTTCAGTTGACCTATATGACGTGTAATTAGTTATATCTTTACGGTAGAACCTAGCACCCAAATATCAGATTTAGTTGAATGAACAAGTCATCAGCCCAGTCGTACTGTTATTGTGCGCTCTACTCAAGTCTACCACATCTACGTTTGAAACACCTCTGCCTGCACACCGCACGTGGCCAGAAAAGGATAATTAGCACCGTAATTCGTTCAAAAGAAACGTGTTTGCTTACTATCAATGATGACTATGACTGACGGTTGACTTGAGCGCCCGTCCTTGACTTCACTTTGTATGTAATTTCCTTCGCCACAGTTATTCACTTGAAACCAGCACAATTGATACTATTATGGTGAATGATGACCACCTGAATAACTGTTAGACATTTCACCTTTATAAAAACTGGCTCATGATCCTGTATATTCTTCAGTACCAGATAAACCAAAAACTCAAACCCATTAGAGGCCTTCCAAACCCATGCGTATAATTAGCAGCAGCACTGAGCACAAAAACTCGTTTGTATCTCCGAATCCAACTGAACCCTCAATTACTACGCTTCCTTCAGCAGCAGACTCCTTGGAATCCTTGAAGCCCCAATCACGCAATCCAAAATGTGTTCCCTTGGCCTTCCAGGCCCGGCAAACAACCCCCCCGGAGACCACCGCCTTCACAAAGCATGGAATAAGTTTTTATATCACCACAGTCTTGAATCAATTTGGCAGCCTTCCCACATGTCAACAAAAGAGAAATACGCATGTATTGAAGCTCTATTCTCCTCAGCCAACGCTTCCCAATCTACCCTTGCCGATTCCATAATAGATCTCTGGGAAAAGGGCATTACCCCCGCACACATCTACGAACCGAATCCAGTTTACAACACCGACGAAGAACTCATCAGGACGACATATCACCAAATCCTAGATCAACGGGACAACATTTACATCGCAAAGAAAAGCTGCGAAAACCTCCACGAACCAATCTGGCAACATCTTCCCATATCCAAGAACAAAACCCTTAAAATCGCCTCGACGATTGCACAGACAAGATATTATCTCTCCCACGACCCAGGCACTCCGATCTTTTCCTACAACCCTCGACCATCCCTCCCGCCTGGACACCCGTCCAATTTTACATACTGCAGCACCGTCCCTTACCCGCCATCGCATGAACTCGCCCGTCTAGAAGCCGTAACATCCACTGTCCTCGCACAGCTGTCAACCCTGCTCGCCTTCGACATTTCAAACCCGACCACACTCCCAGACGGATTCACCAACGTCCTCAATGAAACGGAATTTTTTGACCCCATCTTCGTCAAACAGCTCCATGTGCTCTGGCTGCAAAGATTTCCAGACCGCAGCAAGTATCCCTCGGCATTCTCTCACGCAGTCATGAGCAGCCCCGCGGTGAGAGAGTTTGCATGGCTTCTCATGAGACTGAACAGCACAGAGACGCCGGATTTTCAATCAATCAATAAGGAACTATGTCCCGTAGCGGATATGCTCACATTCGACCGAGAGCCAAACAGCTCCATTACAGTGGCGATGGTAGGGATAATGAAGCTCTACCTCCGCGATGAAGGCATGAAAGCAAGACGGCTCCTCTTTGAAGAAGAACAGTACGAAAATGTATTGGTGTATCGAGGAGATACGCTCTTCATATCCGTAAGTCACCTATTTCCTACATTTCCACACAAAATCCCCTCCAATCTGGGCCTGTTGGTGTTAGAAACAAACGCCAAGAAGATGCACCAACCAAGCTCATGTGAGCTCCGGCCCAAGCTCTAGTGGACGTACCTACCCCAGTCACTGCTCATCACGGGCCGGAAAAACATAAACGCCCGCAGTCATCCCATCGAAATTTTGGAGCAACGCTCCTCTAAACACCATACTAACCCGACCCCCGTCCAAACCTCATAGTCCCTCGACGCCCACTACGCATCCTACGCAGGCCAATTCGTGTCCTCGACGGCCCTCTTCCACCCGGACGCGATAATAACCCAGGGGGCATCCCTCGAACCGGTCCAAATCGGCGAAGACGTCCTCGCAGCGGCCCGCCGTATCCAACAGCATCTACACCGCGACACTCCCACTCCCACCACCCCCGACCAGAAGCCTTCAACACCACAACCACCACCACCACCTCCTCCTCCTCCCCGCGAAAAGCTGGTCGTACCGCCCTCTAAACTAAAGCGAAAACCAAAAGAAACGCGGCCCCGCCGAATACCCCGAAAACGTCACCGTCCTTAACTCTCTCTCTCTCTCTCTCTAACAAGAAAAAAATGTCGACCCTCGCAACCCTCCGCGGCCTAAGGCCATGCCTCCCCTCCACAACAATGCTCTCGACAGCAACCCGCGCCTTCACAACAACACCCGCCCCGGCCGCGCGCAAAGCCTCCGCGGTCCAGACCCCAGACTACCTCTCCAAGGTGCAAAACATCAAGCAGCACCTCTTCGCCCGCGCGCCGCCGCCCCTGCGCATGGCGCGCAACAGACACCTGCGCCACTGGACCATCCACCGCGCCTGGCTCCTCCTGCAGCGCCAGCAGCGCGAGGCCCGCGAGAAGGAGCTGTACCGCATGCACCAGAGCATGTACAACGCCAACGAGGAGCTCCGCACGACCTCGGGCCCCGGAACCAGAGACGAGGGGTGGCTGTACCGTGTCGCGCAGGAGAAGAAGGGCGTCTACGGACCCGGTGCGGTGCCGATCGAGTACGCGCGTTATCAGACCGAGACGCCTGCCAGACAGGCTTGGAACCACGACTGGAAGCGATAGATGTGGGGTGTGGGGGAGTAAGCGTTTAGGGCGGTCAAAAAAGGAGACGGAGTTGAGTGGATTGAGATTCGCTCATCATCATGTATCATCACCTCGACACTTTTTTTCCGTTGTCATTCTACTGTAGCATACTGTAGCATGGCCGTGTACAATCGAAACAACATAAACTAGGGGCAAGACTTGCAAGACTTGGAAGCATTATCAAAATTGTTCGATTCTTTACTGCGTTAAACGACTGCCGTCCTCACTGGGGGAGGGGATTTGGGAAAAAAAAAAAAAAAAAAAAAAACACAGGAACCTCCAGAACTCCAACACCCAGATCCTAGCTTTGAACTTTTGGGTCGTTCTATGCTGTGCTGTCCTATTAATACAGACAATGGATGGAAAACAAATGGCAAGACCCCTTTTCATAGAAAGGACGTCTCCGCCTGAATATCGCTGTTTCCGCTAGTTTCGAAGCCGCTGAGAGGGGGGAAAGGAGTAAAAGAGAGCATTAGAGTTGACTCGTATGATTCGATAGATGTAAAAGGTGACCAGAGAAGCCCTCCCGAGGGCATCTTCAACATCGCTCCCCGCTTCGCTATCGGTACGCCGCGGATAGTCGTGTTGCCATCGATAGGCAGCCGGCACTCTCCACGAACTCGGATCGGCGTTATTCGCATTCGGGCTGAGCTGTTTCCCGCTTCATGGCTTCGTGGAGAGACATAAATACTTCTCTCCTAACCTGTCGAGATCCCGTCTGTTCGCTGTGTTGTGCCCGCACTTGTCGGTAAAATGCCAGATACTAACAATGTCGCATTCGCTCAAAGAATAACACAGCAACCGCCTCCCTCGCCCTTCTCGAATGTCAACAGGGCCGCGCGCGTGGCGGCCTCAAAGACGTCGTCAACGCCCTCACCGCTGAGACTGGAGCACTCGAGATATTTCTTGGCCTGGATCTCGCGGGCAGCGGCATCGCCTTCCTGGGTAGTTACGAAGCGCAACGACTTCTTGCGCATCTCCTCGATGGCGACGGGGTCTTCGCGCAGATCCTTCTTCAGTCCGACCAAAATGATGGGAACGCCGGGGCAGAGTCGGGTGACCTCTTCTATCCACTGTTGCTTCTTGTTAGAACATCGTCCTTGCAAACCAATGCCAACGCGCCGAGACCAACCTTGTGCTTGACGTTATCGAGTGAGTCAGGAGTATCAACGGAGAACCCAATGAGGATGACGTGGGCTTTAGAATACGCAAGTGGCCGCAGTCGCTCGTAGTCCTCCTGTCCTGCGGTATCCCATAGTGCTAGCTGAACGGACTTCCCATCCACCCTGCAATCTGTCACATAGTTCTCAAAGACTGTAGGAATCTGGAGGTTTGTTAGAGGTTAGAGGTTCGGTGGACGAGGGCGCATCGGGTACTAACGTAATGCTGTGGGAAGCTTCGTTAGCGAGGGTCAAGATTTCAAGAATGTCAGACCATGGGGAAAATACGGGACCGGACTTACTGTGGGAAAGTATCCAAGGGTAAAGACACTCAGCAAACTAGTCTTGCCGCAAGCACCGTCGCCAATGATGACGAGTTTCCTTTTAACAACCAGTTAGCGCATAAGCGTAGACAAGATGGACGGGATGTGGTCGAATGCGTGACGAGAGCAAGCCGGGATCGAGTCGGGGGAAATCTGGGGGTGTTCGGTCGGGGAAAGGTGGACGGGGAGGGGGATCGACGGAGTCGAAAAACAAGGTACCTTCTAATGACGTTCTGAGGACTCGCTGCTGCCATGGCTGCGGAGATGGACTGGACAGAAATTGGTCAGGGGCGGAAGATTCGACTCCAAGGTCAATTGAGGGATTGGCGGGATCGTAGGGGGGCGGCTGTTTATTAAGGTCGAAGTAGCGGACGGACGAGGAGGCAATCGAGAGTCGAAAAAAAAAAATCAAGAAAATCGTCTAGACCGCGGCCAAGCTCGGCGACAGCGACAGCGCAAATGGTAGCTCGATCGGTGGGCTCGTATGCGGGAGGTCAATAGACAAGCAAGGTAGAGTCGTATCGGGGGCTGCGGCAGCAGCGGCGGGTTGGTGGAGGCGATAGAGGTGCGGATATGTAGGCAATGTTTGGATTTGGGGTGGGTGGTGGAAAGGTTCAAAAACAAAATGGGCCGGGTACAGTAATTGGCGGATATGTCGGACAGAAGAGGAGTAGATGGCGAGAAGCAAAGCGAAGGCGGAGGAAAGCAGCGGAAGAGAAGATGTAGAAGGAGAGGGAGCCCGTGTTGTTGTTGTTGAGTGTTTTTTTATGTTTATTTTATTTTTTTTCCTCGGAGGTCGGGAGGGCGAGGTAAGTGGACGCGAAAGAGAGAAAGGTGGTGAGGTGAGTCGAGTTGGTGAGCAGGAGGGAATACGAGCTGAAGAAAACCCTCGGGGGGGTTTGAAACGTGTGTTGAAGAAAGCACTGGAGCAGTAGCAACAATAGCAACAGCGCCTAGAGCGAGCAGCAGTACAAGACGGACTGGAGCTGTAGCTGGAGCTGGAGCTGTAAGCAGGGCCGGAGTAATGGGGAAAATGAACCGGGCCTAGGGTGGTGACGACGGGGATTAGTTTCCACCCTTGTACTCCGTACACTGCCGATTATCAATTGACCTGTTTGCTGAGCAGGACGGAGAGGAGATTTTAATGGGGCCTAGTTGTAGGCAGGCCAGGTAGAGGTAGTAGTGTAATGTGGTGGATAGGTCTCCGTCTAGTATCCGATCGCCTGGAACAAGGTATTTGTATACGTTGAAAAGGGGGGGGTGACAATGTCTTGAGAGTTAGGTAGTATGGAAATGTAGGCGGAGAACGGCCTGGTAATAAAGGAAAACAAGAAAAGGCGAGGCACCAACGCACCTCGCACTTGGGCCCGTTAGTAGATGCAAAGTGCAGGCGTAATGCAGATAAGGCAAAGTAAAGGTAAGTACAGGTTGGACAGGTTGAGGGAAAGATGACGAATTAACGTTGGAGACATGGAGATGGGGGGATACGATGGGGAAAGGGGGGGTGGGATAACTAGCTATGGTAGTAGTAGTAAGGAACGATCACTGTGAAGCAAAGCAAAGTCAATGCTGTAGTCCAGGAGGGATTAAGTTCTGCTTGAGAGGCACAGGCAATTGGGCTGAGTTGGTTACCTCAGGTACCCGCTAAGCTAAAAAAGAACCAAGAAAAATCAAATAGAACAAAACAAAATAGAATAAAACAAAAACTCCGTCAGCGTCATACTCCCAAGCCAGTCAAGGGCCTAGTCCCCTAGTTGCGGTGCGCTGGGTGGTATGTGTTGTGGCACAGCAAAGAGGGCGTGGAGGCGTGTAGAGGGCCATATCCATGTTGCACTTTTTTTTTTTTTCTGTTGTCCCTATCAAGGGCATGACCGTGCTTCATTCGGTCCCCTGCAACGCTCTTTTTTTTCCATCTCAGTAAGAGCAATAACAACCACATCAGCACCTTTCCATCAACCCAGGATCAAACTCGGGGCGTGCATACTAGTACTTGCTGTAGCAGCGATGTGCATGCATATGGGCTGGCATCATTGGATGCCACCAAATGCACGCACGAACGGGGAGCTAATGACCTGTAGTTGTGGAGCCTTACGGGGCTCGAAACGGGGGGGGCACGACGGGGTCCAGAGGCCCCAGAGTGCTGTAGGTTGAGGGCGAGGTGCATTCTCTCAACACCTTCGAGGAGCAATGTCAGTATGTTTACAGGTCAATGTTCCTCTTCCAACTTCCTTGCCTTGGCTACTGTGTCCATCATGATATCTCTTCATTATTCACTTTCACTCTCTCTCACCCGGGGGCTCATGTAAACAGGGTTTGCAAGTTGCTGATGAGAGGCACATAACCCACCTGACCAGGGTCAGAGACCGGACTTTTTGCCCATGATGGCTACACTACCGTAGAACCGGTCGCTTTCTTTCTAAAATAAGGACCCTACTGTTGGAAACCACAGACCATGCCAACTAAACTTCTCGGGGCCGATCGCCGAAGTCTGCGATTTACCGTCCCGTTTTTCATTATATCACTCCTTCTGTGATTTGATTGCCTGTTTATGCGCTTCTTGGTGATGCCGTCCTTTACTCATACCCCTTTGCCCTCCTCCACCTGAAGGGATCATCCTCCCAAACCACACCCTTCCGAGCGACACCGGCCCACGACTCCCTGCCCCCCTCTCTCCTCTCCTTACCTCAACACCACTCACACTACCCAATTTTAACCTTACCTCGCTTGACAACTGCGCCAACATCTACATCATTACTTACGTACCTGTATGTTTGAGAACCCAAACCAAACTTCAGATGCCGCAGCGGCACCGAACGCCTGCCCGCCGCCGACAACGACGACTACTGTTTCTCAACGAGGAGTCTACCACATCCCAGTCCCATAACATACCTCTATGGCGTCAACGTCAACAGCTGCTCTAGGAACATCCAAGGTCCTACAGTACAAAAGTCCTGTGCCGTTGCAACTCACGTCGGAGCGTAGGTGGACAAGCCCTGCACAGCTAACTACTTCGCTCTTAGAGGACTGCAGCAGAGAGCAGGGCAAGCAATGAGATCTCCGCGCGTCGTGCAGTGGCCACCATACACACCATCTGCGCTGTGCCTCCGTCTGTGCGACTGACTAGAAGCGCCATCCGTGGGCTGTGCGTACTGTTGGCTGCGCTACCCTGTGTCGTCGTCCTATGCTCCGTTCCTTTGCAGCTGCTCGCATCCATGCTCTGTGGCAATTTGAATTCAGCTTGACAACATTTCTGCCGGTTCGTCTTTGCTGGGGACTTTTGAAACCAAGAGACATTCTTCTGGTCGTCGGGAACTTTTGAAACGGGAATGCATATGTCTTCGCGAGGGACTTTTGAAACTGAGAGGCAGCTGTGAGGCCATATTCACGGCACTCTAGTCAGCGTAAACATGTGGTCAGCGTCACCATGTGCCGCGCCGCAGGGGTAACTGATCATGGTCAGCGCCTTGGCGCCTAAGCCATCAGATTAGCTAACGTCCCACACCCACTTCTGGGCACCCCCCACATTTGGGCACCCCATTTACACCAAAAACGCCGTTTTTCGAAATTCTATATTAAACTAAATACTTTACTTATTAAAGAGAATAAATATATGTTAAATAGATTAAGACTTAATTATAATACTTAAGTAGCTATATACTAGTATTATTGATAATAAGTATTATAAATTCAAGGTTTAACATTTATAATACTAATTTACCTAGCCTATATCTTAATATATAAAATAGGTAGAGATATTTAACTAATATGATTAGAATTTTTAAGTAAGATATAGTAGATTTATATATTCTTATACTTAGTAAAAAATTCTTTAAGCTTAGAATAATATTTTAAAATTTCCCTTAAGAAAAGTTTCTATTATAGAATTTTAACCCTTAATTATACTATATTTACTAAAGTAATACTTTTAAATCTCTTTTAGATATAATTATATACTTTTAATAAGTATAAATATTAATTTCCTAGATTTTTTAAATAAGTATATATAAGCGAAAATATATTTTTCTAATGTTAAGGAATACTAGTAAGTTACTAGTATCTACTAACATTTTAAAGCTTTTAGTTTTAAACTTCTATATTATAACTATTATTATATTTAAACCTTTATAAAAAATTAGATGGCTATAATTATACTTAACATAGTTTATATATATTTTCTTTTCTTAGTAAGTATAGTAGTTAGTTTAATATAGAATTTCGAAAAACGGCGTTTTTGGTGTAAATGGGGTGCCCAAATGTGGGGGGTGCCCAGAAGTGGGTGTGGGACGTTAACGCGACATCCGGATTATCGGCCAAACACCTTGTCCTCCAGTTTCTCAAGCTCCTTATTTTCAGTCCGACAACATCCCGTAATAGGGGCACCGAAATTCTGTATATTGGCGTATCGAGCACTCTGATACGATCTGGCACAGCAGCTTGGCTTCCACTGTAAACAAGGCCCGCTTGGGGTCCTTTGGCATACGAGGTCGTACCCTTGGCCAACTCGCTCATGCTCAAGCATTGAGACCCAGTCTTCGGAATCCCCCTTTTCTTTTACGCAGCTGCATCGGCAACATCGTCTACCACTGCTACATAGTAGGCGCGCCGAGTGGGCCTGGTATGCGGTGGAGAGTCCTTGGCCCGCCTCGACATCATCATCTGAGGCTGTGTTGACGTCCTCGGTATGACCAAACACCGGCCTCACGCAATCATCTGCAGCGTAGCCCTGGCTGAAGCTGATGCCTTCTGCGTCTGTTTTTCAACAGGACCAGTTGCTATACGAGACCATTTATCACACCGTGCTGCTTGGCTTCGGGGATCGCTGTCATCTTCTGCTTAAGCAAACGCGCGATCGGATCCTGGCATTGCAGTTTTGCCCGCAAAATTTGGATGCGCTCCCGTCTGGGATCTGCTGGTTCTGTCTGGCTACTGTGTGTAGAGAAAACAACGCCGCTGAACTGGATCAACTGAGGGGCATCCGCAACGTTCTGGCTTCCCCCCTTAACGGCACGTAGTCTGGAGTTTCGGTTCGCTTTTTGCTGCTTCCATTTGTCCGTTTGTTGTGTGAGGCGCTTTTGATAGGTTATTATGCACCGACCATTAGAGGACGGGTCGGAAACGTCACTTCAGTGCCTGAATAAACGCTAAGTAACCGTGACATGGACTTGGCTGGGGTTGGTCTGTTGATCAGTGGGGCCCACTGGGAGAGCTGAAAGCTCCCAGCTCTAGGTGCTTTGCTACGTCGCTGATGTGTCCAAGATACCACGGTATGCAGGACGGCCGGCACGGTTGCTTCCATTGGTCCATCGGCAGCGGTCGGTGGCCGCGCGGTTCCGGGCTTGTGGCTGGAATGCGGACGCATTCGGGGCGGGTGGGATGTAAACCAAACCTCCGCAAGAGTGTTCTTGGTGCCGATAAGTTCGGAGGCATAAGCGACGGGAGATCTGTGTATGCAAGGCATTGGTCGACGGGCCTCAACGGTGGCTGACGTTGACTTTCCCCTTGACGAAGAAACAGGTTCGCGTGTCTTGGCCGTCGTACCATAATGGCGCCTCTCGGCTGTGAAGAGGTTGAGACCAACTCGAAGATTGACAATACTGAGGAGACCGAATCGTAGCACGGGGCGCTTTGCTAGTTTATCATCCACCAACCTGGGCCACTTGATGCCAAAGTCTTTGCCTAGCCCAGTGACTACCATGATTGTTGCGAAAAAAGGATATCAGGAGTTTCAATCAATGTCGAAAGGTCCAATGATGCGAAGAAATGTCTGTGAATGCAACACTTGCTAAGTAGACCACGCAATAAGACAGTCGTGGCTACCGGTTGAGGCTCGATCCATGACGGAGATGGCGTTCAACCTTCGGCTGTCTTATTGAGGTTTTCCTGTGGCGGCATGGCCATGCATGCTGCTTACGTCGTATGCCGACGACTCTCGGCATAGTTGAGTAAGGTTTTGCATTGCCGTGTTGCAAGCGAGAAGAGATGGGATGACATAAGGTGATGCTGTGTGCAGGAGTCATCAGGCAAAGTCCTAGGGCATCCATTTGTTTACTAGTACTATGTAGAGAGGACGGGACGGACCAGGGGGGAACTAGAATTACCTGTCCGGGTTCTCACTTTCGCATCTGGGCACAGACCATGCGATGGATTATGTCAGCTCATTGGTGAGAGAAAGTCACTCAGGGTTTTCGGAGATCAGCCAATGGAATTGTGGCGTGGGTCAATTGATGCCTGACATTCCTTCTCCCCCATCTCAACCCTCAGGCAGAAAGGGGAATCGGCGAACACGGACCATCTAGCGGATGCAAGGGCACAGCTGGACTCATTGTGTACTATGGTACTTGCTCCTCCACCTCACTTTACGTAAGGCATGCACCTACTGGGTAAGCACCACATCATCTTGGTAATTACTGGACGAGCCTGCCAGGCCCCTACCTACGAAGCACTACTAGTATGCTACACCCGTGAGGTACAGGGGGAATTATAGCGCTGTCAGGCACATCAACTTCAGCATACCTTTCCCTCCCACATCTCTACCAGTGGCTGGCTTAGGTAAGACGTCAATTTGCGTCCAACCCAACCTGGCCCGGGCAGGCAGTCACGTGGTTCACACCACAATCGCAGCCTCGAAATGTGATTGACGGGGCCATGTCACCTAAGGGAATCTTGCAGGCCCTGGCTAAACCCATTTTCCCATCTTGCCCCGGGCGTGCCATGTACCATCCCCGCAAACTCGCGCCTGCAAGTGACTTCCGAATTGAGCGCAATCCATTCTCTCCCTCCCTCAGAAGCGCACATTACACGTACCTACTTACCCGACCTCCCTCCAAGGCTCAGGCTAAGGCTACCTATGACCATAGCTGAAGGACCAGCGACCAAAAATACAACCCCCCGTCTTCAAGATTGAAAAGCGACGCATCGCAACCAAACCCCACGCCCCTACAAGTTGCTGTCGTCGTCGCCGTCGCCCAATTCAACCTTGACATTTGCGACTCGTGTATTGTCCAGCGGGCTGCCTGTGCTGCTGCTACTGCTCTGGCCCGTCTGTCTGTCTGTCCCTTGGCCAGTGGCTGCCCCGGCCCCATCTCGAATAATATTCGCCTCCACCTGTGAGTCCTGCCTCATCACCACCCTCAGCCCGCTCCCAGCGCGCTGTATCCCGCCTATGCTTTTTTTGCGAGCGCACCCACAAACGCCGGTCTAAACCTCACCACTTCCTGCCGAGAGGGGCAACGCCTTTTTTCCCCTTCCTTTTTTCCCTCTTTTTTTATGCTCACGTATCTCGCCCGCAGTTTAGTCGTCTCCCAATCTTTCCCCCGCGAGTCCGACCGACCGCCGAAACCGAGCTCTCCCTCCCGACTCCCTCACCCCTCTCAATCCTCCCTCTCTATGACATCGACGCTTGTTGCTTCGTAGCAGACTTTCGATATGCCGGCCAACCCCCGCCAGGCGCCACCGCAGACGCCTGCGTCCCCCAACACTAAGGCCACGGCAAGATATACCAACAAAGATGGCTCAAAGATCATCACCGTACCCAAGGGCCCCCCCTCCACCGAGCCCTCGTTGCCCTCCACCCCGACTTCGTCAGCGAAAGCACCCAGCGTGCAAACGACCGGCACGAACGGCGGCGACGCCCTCGCACCCACGGTGAATCGCAAAAAGCAGAAGCGTCGAGCAAAGGCCGCTGCGAAAGCTGCCGCTGAGCAGGCTGCCGTTCAATCACCGAATGGACGCCTAAGTCCCGCACCCGGCTCCCCGGCGCCCAAACCTCAAGCTGCCCAAGATGACGCGGACCAGGATTTCAGTGACGATGATGAAGCCGACGACCAGCCTTCTCCAGACGACCACCTCAATTCTAACGGCGTTGGGTCTCACAAGTCGAAAAAGTCAAAGAAGAAGAAGAAGAAGAACGCAAAGAACCCTCAGTTGGCCAACGCTCAGTACGACAACGTGCCGCACCCTCACTCGCCATTGACCCCCCGTGGACCTGGAATATCCAAGGATAAGATTTGGAACACCAGCTCACAGGAGGAACGGGAACGCATCAAGGAGTTTTGGTTGGGGCTCGGCGAGGACGAACGCAAGTCACTAGTTAAAGTCGAGAAGGACGCAGTTCTTAAGAAGATGAAGGAGCAGCAGAAGCACACCTGCAGCTGCACCGTCTGCGGCCGGAAGCGTACAGCCATTGAAGAGGAGCTGGAGGGGCTCTACGACGCCTATTACGAGGAGCTCGAGTCCTTCGCCCACCAAGGGGAAGGCCCCGCGATGCTTGGCCCCCCTCGCGCCGACTTTCCTCTGCGCCCGGCACGGCTACCGTCAGGCTATTCAGGCCAACCGCCATCACGCGGTCGCATAGTCGAACATGTCGGTGATGATGATGACGAAGAAGAGCCCGAAGAAGATTATAGTGACGACGAAGAGGACCTTGATGATGACGAGGAGTACAGCGAAGAGGAACCCCCGGAAGACGCTCACCCTCACGATCGAGACGTGGCGGATTTCTTGACGTTTGGGAACAGCCTGCAAGTCAAGGGTATGAAGCTTCTGGACTCTCTACTCTGCAGATATGGTAACATGGACTTAGGCGGCATACTCACCGTTGCGGATGATCTGCTCAAGAACGACGGCAAGCGCTTTATCGAAATGATGGAGCAGCTCGCTGAGCGTCGCATGGCCCGAGAAGAAGACGCCAAAGAGCACTTTTCTCGCGGCTACGGTCATCCCACCAACGGCTCATACTCGAATCATAACCATCCTCCTCCAGAAGACGACTATGACGATGAAGACGAGGAGGAGGATGAGGATTATGATGACAGTCAAGAAGAGGAATACGAGGATGAAGAAGTGAGCTCCTCTCAATACAATTATGACCATAAACACTCGAGTACTGAGCATTACTGTTGTCATCATCAGGACACGATGACCGAGGAGCAGCGTATGGAAGAGGGTCGTCGTATGTTCCAGATATTCGCCGCTCGCATGTTCGAGCAAAGGGTCTTGACGGCCTATCGAGACATGGTCGCCAAACAACGCCAACAACAGCTCATCGAGGAACTCGAGGAGGAAAACCGCCAAGACGCTCAACGAAAAGCGAAGAAGGCCAAAGAGAATCAGAAGCGCAAGGACAAGGCCGCACTGAAGAAGCAGATGCAAGCCGAGGAGAAGGCGCGGAAGGAAGCTGAGAAGGCCGCAGAAGAAGCTGCTCGACTCGAGGAACAGAAGCGAAAGGCGGAAGAGCAACGGCTCAAGGCTGAGGAGAAGCGTCGGAAAAAGGAGGAGCAAAAGCGCCTCGAGGAGGAGGAACGCTTACGGAAAGAAGCTGAGCGGCAACGGCGCCTTCAAGAACAGCAAGAGAAGCGCGCCGACCAAGAACGCAAGGCGCGTGAGCAGAAAGAGAAAGCGCAGAAAGCCAAGGAGGAGGCCCGGTTATCGCGAGAACAAAAGGAGAGGGAAGCCCGCGAACGCAAGGAGAAGCAGGAACAGGCCAAGCGCGACAAGGATCAAAAGGCCAAGGCGGAACGGGAAGCCAAGGCCGACAAGGAGAGCAAGGACCGGATCAAGCAAGAGGAGAAGGCGGCTCAGAAAGCTGCAACTATTGCCGCTGTCCCCATTCCTATCCCGACCCAGGGCCGAAGGCCCTCGCAACACCCCGTATCGATTCCGACTCACCCGTCAAACCCAGCATCCTACGCATCTCCAAAGATACCCGTCGCAACGCCCGCTATTCCAAAGGCTCCGACACCCATTCGTCCTAAGAATGCAATCCAACCACACGATGTGAGCGTGCCCGGATCGCATGCCTCACAGTCCGGTTCTACCAGCCAAAACCCATCACCACACCCGGCGACGCCGGGTCATACGAGTCCAGCGCCGATCGGATCGAGGAAGGGAAGTGTGGCAACTACGAGCTCACTGCCGCACCCTCATTCTCTATCGCCGACCAACATCAAGGGGCATTTAGGTTCGCAGCCCGGCCCCTTCGGCATGCCGATGAGCTTGCCGCCACCCGGCTTTGCAGTACCACCTCCAGGCCTTGGAAACCGCATGCACGACCCCATCTTTGGTCCGCCTGGTATTCCTGGCTTTGGAAGACCCCCGCCGGGCATGATGCCCGGGCCTCCTGGTCTCAATGGACCGGCTGGTCGTGGCTTCATGCCGCCTCCACCTCCCGGCTTCGGACAGCCCATGGGCGATGCTCTGCACGGTATGGGACCCGGCCCGGTGTCACACTCCCGACAGCCTTCCGGTAGCTTTGACTCGGCTTCGCCGCCTGCCCCGTCGCAGCCGATTGGAAGACCGGCGCCCATCGGGCGGCCAGGGAGCGTGGTGCATGGACAGCGGAATGACCACACGGACGAGTTCGCCAACCAACACCTTGGTAGCAGCGCGCTGCTTGACGACTCGGAAGACCCGAATCCCATTTCGGCGGCTATCAACGCAGCCAGGCAACGCAACCAGGCCCCTCGACCAGCATTTCCCAACATTCCGTTTGGCATGGACAATGGATTCCATAGCATAAACAACGTCTGGGGCCCGTCACCAATGCCCTTTGCTCCACCACCAGGACTCGGAAACCCTACTTGGGGTAGCCCAATGATGCCTCCAATGCCATCACTAGGCCAGATCCGCACCGCCGGCAACCCAAGATCGGTTACGGTTCGCCTCATGCTGTGCCGTGCGTGCAAAGAACTGCAGGCACGAAACGCTGAGGCGCCCGACGCCTTTATCGACTTGTCAGCAGTCAAGTCGGAGGTGGACCATCTTAGTCGCATGGAAGTAGTCTCAGAAGAAGACCTTATGGACCTCGCCGAAACGGAAGGCAACATCCACAACGGCGGTGGCACATTTGAGATCCGAAGGGACGCAAACGGCCCCGGCAAGCACACAGTCCGCTGGGTACCCGAGTTCAGCGACTTGTCACAGCCACACCATAGGGCGGTAGGTGCGCCAGGCGAGATCGGAAGCCCCATCATCGGCAGCGGGTCATTGGCGTTTCCGTCTAGGGGGCAGTAGGAAAGTCCACCTAGTAAGGATTCACGATCGACGTCCACGGCGGCGGCGGCGGCGGCGGACGGGTCGGGTAGGTCGTTGTACCGTGCTATGCGGTCAGGCCGCTCGTCACGGTTCACAAAGGACTCGGAAGACAGTTCTGGTAGTGTCGACAATGAGGGAAGGGCAGGGGAATCAAGCGACGGGTAAATGGGATCGTTGAATAGTTCCCTCTCGTCTTTGTTGGAGTCATAATAGGATTATGCATACCAAGTAATCCATGACCCGGGGTTTTTGAGGCGAAGCTGCAGCTGCTCGTCTTTAAATTAAGCGGTGCCGGCTGGCCAATAGACTACTGGGTTCTTTCTGCGCAAGCTTTTGTGTTCTCTTGAAAAGTGAAGTAAATCTCTATGGACTATAGGGGAAGCCTATGGCAACCAGGACTTAGAAGGCTTCGCTCGATCTGTGACTGTGACGCCAACTCTGCAGAACCCGGTAGGGAAGCCACATGCCTTACACCATTCACCCTCCAGCTGACCAAACAGCCAATTGTCTTCCTCTAGTATTAGAATGACGTCTGCACGGAAACCCGCCATCCTATAAACATCCGATTTCTTAAATACCATCAGTCGGAGTTGTGCCCGGGGGCACCCCCACATCAACCACAACGGGCACCGGACCATATTATAAAAAAAAATCCAAAGGGGAGGGAAGAAACCCAGACCAACCCTGAAAAAGAGAAAGAGCCCCGCAAATCGCCGCGGCCGGCCCCCCGAAACGCCCACTCTTTTCTGCGCACAAACCGGAATCTGCACTTACACACCACACGGGGAGAAAAGAATCAGCCCACACGCAGCACAAGGACAAGCGGGAAGGGCACACACACACACACACCCTTACGCAACATAATGCGTGTTGTCGCCATTCGACTCCAACAACTAGAACCCCCAAGCCGGTCGCCCGGCTAGCTCAATCGGTAGAGCGTGAGACTCTTAATCTCAAGGTTGTGGGTTCGACCCCCACGTCGGGCTCAATTCCCGTCAGCGATTGGCAACTTGGATTCAATTTTTTGGTTTTTTTTTCGTCCTTGGTTTTTGTTTTTGTTATTAATCTTTTTTTTTTCCCCTACTTCTTCTTCCTCCTCTCCTCTCCCTTCTTGTTTTTTTTTCGTTTTTTTTTTGTTGATGAATTTTGACAGTTTTATTGCCCGGCTCAATTTGATCTAGGCCTGTCACCGAATTTTCATTTGGAAGATATCGGGCGGCTGCATCGCGGCGTGTCTCAAATCAATCGTGTGAATCTTGACCATCTTGACTTACATGCTGATGAAGCAAACTCTCGGAAAAAGACGCAAGCGTCCTTGAGGGATGCCATCACCTAAGCGGACCATGTTCACATTCGCTAAATCACGAGTCAAGTGGCGAGTCATCATGGGAAGTAAACATAAAAACTCCATTCCAGATCTATATGGTATTTTCCCCCGTTCTCGTCTCAGTCATCAAGTGCCAGCCCTGCGGCTCTCTATCCATGGAATGAATACCGGCCATCCCTAGGCGCGGAATCCTTCGGGTATCATGTAGTCTATAGTTACAAAAAAGAAGAATAAAAAAAAAGTAAAACACAAAGAAAAGAAGGGAGAAGGAGAGAAAGAAAAAAGCTAGAAAAAAGAAAGCTGCAAAGGCAGTAAAAGAAGGGCCAGGACAAAGAGCAAGTCCATCTGTCTCTGCGCTATGCCGTATCAGTCATGAGACATTAGATAATAATACATTTCGTGAATATGAACAAGGGAATGTGTCGCTAGTTTCTAGAAGTTGAATCAGATCCAGGCGTTCGCGGCCGTCTTTTCGTCGACACCGCGGCGCTTCCGTCTCAGGTTCTCGAAACTCCTCTTGCCCCAGGACCTCTTTTGCTTGGGGACCCTCAACAACGGACCAGAGCTGTCAGTGTCGGTCGGCGCCGACAGATCGCCCATGCTTTGGCTCCACGGTGCAATGGCATTCGTGACGCCGCTGCCGGGGTAAAGCATAGGGTCAAACAGCTCCTCGTCTTCGGGCGGGCCGAGAACAAGATTCGTAGACCAGTCGTCGCGCTCAGGGAGGACGAGGGCTGTGCCGGGATGAGGGTATTCCAGACTGTCCGGCTCATCGGGGATGACCCTCTGTGGCGGGTGCGAGACAGTGGCCACGTTGACGGGGAACAAATTCTTCTTCAAGGAAAACATGGTTTGGGGGCCGGCGGGAATGTAGTGTGCGGTGTGCAGCTCGCTGTGGCCTTTTGTGGAGAAGACGCAGGAGCCTCGGAGGGGCCGAGTCGCCTCTCCCGGGAACTCCGGTGCGGGATGCTCCGGGGACGAGAAAGACGTCTGCCCAAGGGTCCAGGCTGCGTGAAGAATCTTGGGCACATCGAGGAGGTGTCTGCACTCGAGCAATTTCTTGAAATCGCCAGACGACCGAGGCTGCCAGCGGAGTTGGTTGCGGGCTGTCTTGTCCCAAAGAGTGTGCTTCCATTCGTCCTTGAGACTTCGCTGGCGGAGAAGGTTCTGAATCTGCTGGTAGTATGTCCACTCCGACGTCACACTGCGCTTGTCAAAATGGCCCGCGAGGTGGTCAAAGTACTTTTCCACGGTAGACGAAGCCTCGGTGTCGGTGGGCGCCTCAAAGACTTCTTTGCAACCAATGAAGCCGCACGCAAAAACTACCTGCGGGCAGAGCTCCTGCTTCACCTGGTCGGCGGGCGGATACGCATCATCGTGCTCGATTTTGAAATGCGTGACATAGGCCTTTTCGAAATCAAATATCATGCGGCAGGACTTCTTGGGGCAGACCCAGACGCAGTCGGTGTTGTGAAAGTTTTGGAGGTGCTTCTTAAAGTCGCTTTTTCGCCCGAAGCCCACATAGACGTCATAGACGGCGCAGATAGGGCACTCGATGGGCTTGCGAGAAGGGCTCTTCATCATAGCTGCTTTCTTTTCTGCGGATGGCGTCATGCAAGCGTCCTGCCACTCTGACCCTGCGAGCGAGGGCGTGTCTGATGGCGAGAGAAGCAGGGCAGGTTCAGAATGGGTGAAGAAGCTCCCCGAGACCGAGGCAGCGTCGTCGCACAGTGAGGCGTCGGAGCTAGTCCAGGGTCCAGAGGAGGTAAGCGATGGAGCGCTGTTGTTGGTGCCAAAAGTCGATGTAGACATGACCGAGTTTCTAGCGGTGTTGTTGTGGTGATGATGTTGGGGGGGAGGCCGGAGTGAGGTGTGGGCGCCGCTCATGCTCTGTAGTGTGCTTGCCAGATGGCTTGAGCCATAACGACTGGCAAGGTTATGAAGGATTTGCATGTCTTCTGGGGACATGGCCGGTGAGCACTGCGTTGAATACATTTTGCAGTCAGTCGCTTGGTGAGACTGGGCAGTTGGGTCTATAATTGCATGGACGATGGGTGCTAGGTGGTGTTGTTTGTTGTCCTTAGGTGGACATTAAAGAAAGTGGACCAGGATACAAATAAACGACAGTTTTCTAGAAAAATTGAAGGGGGAAAGACGAGAGTGTTATGTAGTCAAGGTCGAGTCACGAAGACTCGAGTAGGAGAAAATAAAACGCCAAGCCAGGCTAAAGACACGGCGGCGATTCGATACTTAGTACCCCGGCCGAGCAATAACGTCAAAGGGTGCATGTCGCCCAGGGCAGCCAGGCCCAGGCGCCAATGAAGAACTCAAAGACGGCGACGGCGACGCTGCTGTGTGGCAAAGTCGCGCGGCTGGTGTGCTGAACAGAGACATTTTTGGTACCATGTGTGACGCCTTTTTTTGCATTAGCGCGGGCGCAGGACTCAGTCCTGAGGGCGCGTTTTTGGGGGGAAACGGTCAGATTGAATGCGCTTCTGGAAGCCTGAAAGTGCTTCTACGGGCTTGGCTGCTTGCGATGTCTGTACAGATTGTTCGTCCGGGCCATTATCATCTTTGAACATCTGGTCGTATGTGGGAAACCCCCCCCGGTCTACGAACGTCGATGTCGATGCTGCTGTGCTGTTCACGGGAACGACCCACGGTACGAAGGTGTCCTGCAAATTTCTCAGAGGCCAGGAGCAGGCACAAAAGGCAACGATAGTCGCCAGCTAGGGTCCATGGTGTACAACCGGGGTCAGCGGTGGGAAATGCAGCATGCCGGTCCAACCGCCTTCCCACCGTCGACGAACCATAAATTCCAGAGCTGAATACAATTCCTTCTCTCGTCATGTCCGAGTGACAGACAGCCTGGCGGGGGCTGTGTAGGGCACCCCAGAGCCAAGAGCGTTAGCGGGGCTTCTAGAAAGACGCTAGAACAAAGGATGCGTGGCAGGGGTGGTAGCCAAATGACGACGTTGGGCGGAACCCGTTGTCATAGGGCGCCGTACTATCTAAACCATGGGCCGCGTGGTTCTGTGGACGAGGTCTTGTGAATCTGCGCGTCTCGCGTAGTCCGGGTCCGACTCGAGGGTGACATGTAAGCGTACTCTCCCCCTAGATGACTGAGAAAAGGTATTTCTTCTTTGCTTCTCAACGTGGAGCGCGTTTCGCCTGCTTCCTTTGTTCACTGTTGCCAAGACCCAGCACCAGCTCATGTTTTCTTTGTCGTAGCCACGAGAAGAATAAGAGAGATGGAACTCAAGTCTGTCGTTTCTGTTTTGTTCGTCACATGAGACGAATGAGGCTCCCGGGACGGCAGCCGCCGACGACCGCTTAACGGTTACTTTGGGGAAGATGAGGGAAGTCCAAGTCATCGAAGAAATGCGAAGAGGCAGTGGACGATTTGATCCGGCCGCCCTAGTGCGGATGATGAGATGCCGCGGATGGGATGGAGTCGTTAAGTCTACCGACGGTGTTAAAACCATATGGAGAAAGCAGCATCAAGGGTTAGAATATTGAAAAAGTAAAAGATTACATAACCAATATTCCTCAATGAGGAAGGCACTGAGGTGTAGGGAAGTGGAAAGTGGAAAAATAGCAACCAGGTGCTCACCGACCTTTGGAAGCCTTACCTTAGAAGCCAGGCACCAGGCACCAGGCACACACATCTGTACTTCCTCCTACTGCACGCCAAAAGGCGTTGGGATGACCGTTCAACCCACTTAAACACCAAAGTCAAACCCATACTGCATCACTACAACATTCGCCAAAAAAAACAACCGATCCCCAGGGGTTACAGGCCACCCGGGCGTCACATCCTGGCCATGCGGGCCACCAATGGAGAATCTCCTCTCAAGCAAATTACAACCCTCCGCACCCCTTCTCCGATTTCCCGGTTTCCCTGTTACCCCCCCTCATGGTTCAATAACCCGACCGCCGCCCTGTAAAGGATCCACCCAGGACATCTTCTGATAGTCATTCATCCTAGAGCAAGCAGTCATCGGCTGACAACCGTCAAAGAGGGGTGTGGCTTTACTCCAGACACGGACAAATCTTGTCTTCACTATCTACAGCGAATCCCTCAAATACAGCCGGTTGTGAATCTCGAATCATACATGTGAATAAACTAACAATACAAAAACATATAAAAGAAGAAGAAAAAGAGGAACAAGACTGGGAGAAATGTCAAAGAGGAACCATATCCTATGCTGCGTCTTATCCGTATTCCTCCTTAAACGGAACCGCCGCAAGTCGTGCCCCGCCTGAACAACCGTCTTCATGTCCTTGGATACATGAAACAACAACCCTTCTATACGCGGTACACCACCGAGGGAGGGAAAAAAGTATACTTACTCGTATGTAGCTCAGGAACCCCTCACTCCATCCGATGGTAGAACGGCAAAATCCAGTCTCGCTTACGTGGGAACACTACATCTTCCTCCCGTCCATTGCGTCCTGAATCGCCTGGGGGCCGGGGTGTGCCACGTGGTGCGACTCCCGTTCCCGCTAGATCCCTTCGCCAACTCTGCTGCCAGGGACCCGGTTCCTCGTCTATGCGATCCCCAATCATGACTCGTTGCTTCGCAACACGATCAAATGCCAGTCTGCCATTTTCCCCGTCTTGCCCGAGTCGTAAGGAGTACAATCATTGGACGCGTGGCAGTCGTTGTGTGAAAACAGAGTCCAGCAAGCGTCGCACATTGCTTCGTTTCACTGGGATGCCCGCTTAGTGACTTATCAGAATGAGTCTTTCCAGGCTGGCTCGGTCGTTTGATAGACATAGGAGAACATTCAATTCCTAACCCAGTTGTCTCGTGGGTATGATAGTATTGCTCAACGTGGCATGCATTTCCCCTAGATGCTATCCTAGAATCCTTGCCGTCTTAACTGACCGTCTACCCCCGTTGTCCGGGCTGCCTATTGCCCTTTCGTCCCATCTCTCTAAAAAGAGCTCGACCGCGTTTTATATGCTTTTTTTGGCTCGTGATAGAGACTGCCTTGGATGGCACCGCGTTCCTTCAGTCCCCGGTAATGTACACATTCCCCCATTTCTTCCGTTCATTGGCATCCAAGGCTGTAGCTGTTATGAAATAAAATGAAATTGAAATGAGGCGGCCGATTATTGTTGGGTATATAGTCTTGCTGGAAACGCCCGTAGGTAAAGAAAAAAAAATAAAAGAAAGAAAGAAAGAAACACGTCTTGTGCGAGACGAAGCTGCAGCGTTGCCTATTCGTAGAGTGTCACTACTGAAGAGTGGCTTCCGCAGAGCTCGTTGCTCGCCTGATATCACCGTCCATTTCGTATGGTCAAACACCCAAGTTCGCTCAGTAGGCTTGGCCCGGTTGAAAGAACCCATCAGGATGGCCCGATATTGACGGGCTAGCCAAGTTTGCGTGTGGAGCGTACTGAGAAGAAAAGTCTGTCATCAGACTTGGGTCCTGCATTTCAACGTCCGACGACTCGGGTGTACCTCCGGTCATACTCCTCAAGCTCTGCATGTCATCCGAAATAATTCCACCGTGATGCATTGCGCCGTTGTCGCCAAACTGTTGCCCACCACCGTTAGCATCGTACATTGGCGACTCGGGCATGGTCTGGAAGAAGTGCCCGAGCGTGCTGTGGTTCTGCCCGTTATCTTGATGAGACTGCGTGTGGCTATGATGGCTCGAGTGGGATGAATGCGAAAGACGTGGCTGGCTGACCATGCCGTTCGATGTTGGTGCTTGATGGTGTGGGTGATGTAGCTGCGGTGGCCGTACTGCGCGATGCTGTCTCGGCACGTAGACTCTTCGTTGTGAGGCCATGTATGCAGCCAGTGCCGGGTTTGCTCCGCGCGAGATCTTAAATGAGAATGGATCAGACGGCTCCTGAGGAGCTATGCTCTGCTGTCTAGATTTATGGCCAGGCAGATGCATGGTACAGGTGTCTACCACCGGGGTGATGAAATCCTCGCGGAATTTGCCGATACTGCCGGGGTCGGTCCCGAGTATGAAGGCGTACTGGACCAAGAGTTTAAGATCGCCAATGTGTCGGCATTCGAGCCTCTTCCTCAAAATCCCGGACGTCTGGGGAGTCCACTGTAGTGACGACCGCGATGCCTCGTTCCATACTGACTCACTCCAAGCCGATTGCACCTGGCTCTGGCGCAGTAGGTTGCGTATCCTCGCCGAGTATGACCACTCACCGCTGTTGGCGCCCTCGTCAAAGTGCTTCACCACGTGGCTGACGTATTCCTTGAACGTCGAGTTGGCGTCCGAATCTCCCTGTGCTTCAAACACCTGAAGGCAATTATCGAACCCACAGGCGAATACAACTTGTGGGCAGAGGTTGACCTTGGCTTCGTCTAGAGACATCCTCGAACCGCCATGGGCTTGTTTCAAATGTGTCTTGTAGGCACCTTGCCAGTCGAACACCATCTGGCACCCGCGGTGACGACAGAACCATTGCGCGTTGACGTTGTGAAAGTCTTCAATGTGTCGCTTCAGGTCGTTTTTCCTCGTGCAAGTCTTGGTGATATCCTCCTCCTTACAAAACCCGCACATGAAAGCCCCTTTTTGCTTGGATGCGCCTGACGAACTCGATGTTGTCTCGGGCGTTGTGGATTCATGACCATTCCAAGATTGTTGTTCTTGTTGTACCAGTGCCGCCTGCTGTGCGGCTTGGGCCTGGGCGGCTGCTGTAGCGCTGCTGCTTTGGCTGCGGCGGCCCAAAATTTTGGAAGTGCCCCGGGAAACATTGGAAATGATGCTACCAGTGATGGAAGATGTGTCGGAAAACGTTCTTATGCTTTGTGTGTCCCATACGCTCGACTCGTCTGATAAGATGGATGACTGTGTCGACGACATGATTGACGCGCCATCCGAAGCTATAATTTATCAGTTTGAGGACAACGAAAGCTAAACAAGTAAACTTACGAGTGCTTGAAGATTCTTGTATCAATCGATTCAATTCTTCTGTGCCATATCTGTTGAGGAGGTGCTTGATCATTTGCCCGTCGAGAACTCTCTGTGTAGGCGACACCTGCGTTGACTGCTGCGTTGACTGCTGCGTTGACTGCTGCGAGGAGCCGTCGGCCCCGGGCCAAGCATTGGAGGCCATGGTCCCGATTTTTGTGTACTAGGCTCAAATGATTGACAAACGCCAGGAAAACCTCCAGAAAAACTGGATTGATTGCAGATTGCAACGAAAATGATTGAGCGATTTACCTGCTGCTCTTGCGGTATTTTGCGATGGGATACAATGCGAGAAATGAAGAGGAAAAGGAGTGTATCGCGGTCAGGATGGGGAAAAGTGCGGGAAGTGGAGAGCAAGATTCCAGGCGGCCTGGGGGCCTGGGATCTAGCGTTGGGCACGACGCGGAAACGAGGAGGAAAGGATAACCAAGGTCGACAAGAAAGAGGGCAACGCTGCAGCTAAGTATCGGCCGCAGCGATGGAAATGCCTCTGACCGACAAGGCCAGCCTGACTTGGGTGTTGGTGGTGGTGCAGGGCTCCCTATATCAGCAGCGCTGCGAGAAGTGGCTTTAGGTGCTTGTTTGTTGGACCTGCATCCAACTGGCCGTGACCCGACACGGGATCTTCGCTAGTGCGGGCGTGAGAGCAGCAACAGCAGTGTTAACGCCTTATAAGGAGTAAGGAGCAGGACGATCTGATGGGCCTTGTGTGTATGAAGTTGATGTCGTCTCTCTGTGTTTCGCCAAATGCTGACGCACCAGGAGCTGTTTCTGCTAGCGGTATGATGATGCGGCCTTCAGTTGCTCGTCGCTCGGTTTTGGCTCAGAGGCTAAACGAGATGGCGAATGACGGAAATCAGCCACAAGAACTTATGTCGATTTACCTGGGAATTGTAATACAAGAGGATTTCCGGCAATTCAAGCTCAGTTCTCCTTGTTGTGGTGCGATAGTCGATGTCTCATCACTCGACTCTCGCAAGCCGTGAGAGATGGGTGAATGAAGTGAAAGCAGATTGTGTGTGAGAGGGAAGACTCAGGGAAAAGAGGATCAGACGTGCTGATTTGCAGTTGAGGTGGAATTCATAGAGTGTACTTGGTACGGTGCACACTCACAGTCTTCAATCTCACTGTCTCGGCCGGTCTGTTTAGTCCGCCCTCCCCGGGCAGCCTGGCTTACCTGGGTTCAGACGGTCTTGGGATTGCGCCAAATTGAAGAAATCAGTGGCCATCCCAAGACAAGTAACCTCTACCCTCTCGTTCTCGCGCACCAAGGAACAATATCCGTGGACCCCCGAACCCTTCACAACTGAAAGTTACAGGTTGGATGGCCGATGTATCAGTGCTCATTCCCCGTTCTCTCTGTACTGGTAATGGGGAGATTAGGAACAGGGCTGGGGGGGTTACAACGGGGTTGCATACATGACCCAGTCAATTCAATGAATGGGCTGGGGGAGACTCGTACCAGTCGAGGGGACCCCAGACAGGCAGCCCGGCGAGTTTCGACGTCTTGGTAGCATTGGCGTGCGATAACGAGACGAGGTTAGTGGTCGACGCCACCACTAGCTGTTCGAGGATGGCACAGAGATAAAGGCAAAAAAAGCAACAGAAATAGGAACGCTGCCCATTCAGGATAAGGCAGGACTGCTGCAGCCAGGCTTGGGACAGGCTGTGGCCTACCATCGTTCAAGGATGAGAGATGCGATGGTGGTGGTCGTGCTCCATACAGGAAGATGCGAGGGTACACCCCCCCTTGGGCACAGTCACCCCTCCTCGTCAGTTCGTTCCATCTGTCCAGGAACAGAACGGGCAAGGGCGTTAGGGACCATCACTTGATTCTTGTGTGTTTAGGGCTTAACATCAATGTGCCTTGAGAGCTGTCTGCTCGATTCGGCATTGAAAGATTCCCGGATGCTGTATTTGTAGGCTTTGTCTTGAGCATGTCCTCAACGATACCATTTGTTAACACAGTCAGCTGCAATGTAATAGTACTGACAACACTGCTACGTCTTGGGACTCTCGGCGGGGATCGTCGAGGTATGCCAAAATGGGATTGCAAAAGGAAGACCAGCAGGCATTTCCCGAGAGTCAATGGGAGGCCGATACATGCGGGTCCACATCAACAAGGGGTCGCAGTCGAGAGATATCGATGCAGGACAGACCCTAGGCGTCCTGGAAGAAGCAGGGCTGGGTTGAGTTCAAGGTGCATGGGGCAAAGGCAGTCCGTCCGTTTGTCTGTATGGCTGAGGGCAAACACGTGAAGGTGGTGGAACAGGGCGGTCAGCCATTTAAGTCCAAGATCAGCGGCATCGCTCAATGCTGCTCAGTTTGACTGCTGACGAGGAGGATTAGCCCACGACCGCGTTGGGCATCGCGTATACTGACTGGTATTGGCATAACTTGCGGTGGTTTTTCTCGGCTTGTGTCATGTACCGCTTTGGTGAATCCCCGAACCGACAGTATATGTACCATGCACTTCATGTCGACGATGACTGAAGGCAATTGTTCAATGCGATGCGATGGTAAGGCCTTTGTTTTTTGCCTTCATCCGTGGCAGGGAAATGATTTGTGGTGAAGCTTGATGAGTGGAGGGAATTATTGGGGAAAGCGTGGGGGGTACCTGGTCAGGACCCAAGCAAGGAAGTTGCAGTGGGCAGTGGTTACTGTTATCCGTACTCCGTACCTACTTTGCCAGCAGTATTCGTACTCCGTAGTAGTGGTGGTGATCGGAACCTCATCCCGACAGACACTGGGAAAAGAGACGGAGGGTGGGAGGAAAAGGGTAGGCACAACCAGCAAAGCAGGCAAGTGCTTGTTTGATTCTGCACCCTCCCTGCCCTGAGTTCAACTGCCCGGGCAGCCGTTAAGTATAGTCGATTTCTATGAAGTACGACGACGGCACAAGCTCCAGGCTTGGCAGGCTCCCTCCGACTTGCTTCAAGGCAAGTGCTCCAGATACAGCAGCTGCACAGGCACTGAGCAAGGAACTCCTGCCGACCGAAGCTGCCAGTGCTCTGTGAGTGGATATTCCAGGCAGAGCAAGTACACACGGCACTTCATGACTTTTACCTTATTACGGGTGAATGGACGGAGGATGGGTACAATGCCACAGCCAGCCACGGTCAGAAAATTGTAGGAACTACTTGGTCATGTACATGAATAAATAGTACGTGTGTTATCTGCACCTGTTTTTGCTCATCTGTCAGCAATTGGAGTTGCCAGCCACTATGCTTTTCTGCCCCCAATTTGCAGCAAAAAGCAAGCAAACAACCACATCCACAGACTCACGTGACACTCGATATACGTACCTTTCCGTCAACTCAGCCACCGAAATGCACAAGAAGGTACCTTGTACTTTGTCTACATGACTATGTACCTCTGGAAGCCATCTTTCCCGCCGACAGGCACTGTCTTTCCTTCCGCCAAACTTAAATCCTCTACTTTCAACTCTCCTCCCACGATGCCCCTAGTAACAAGGTGCACTTGCGAAACCATTGCAGCCTTGGATTGAGATTGGGTGCTTCTTCCCGGGCTCAAGGCCGACTGCCACAAGAAACAGACAAATTGTTCCCCTCTGAAAACCTTACTGCCTATGGATTTTGAGGCCCTTGTCCCCCCTCCCCCCCCCCCCCCCCCCCCCCCGCTGATCACCCGGTGCATATGTTACCTCTCAGACACACGCTCTCTTTTTCGTCCTTTCCCTACTCCCCCCCCCCCCCCCCCCCCCCCCAAATCTAACTTTGCACAAGGTTCAGGTTCATTGTCGGTTCCCCTGAATACTAGTCCACTTCCACCATCCATCGGACAACAGCAAGATCTGCACTTCGTTTCAAGCCCGCTGCAGACTAATCAGCCTGAGCTTGAGCTACCTCTAGCCCTCTTCACAAAACTCGTGGCAAGACTGAGAACTGCTGCAAGGGGTGGCATCGACTCCTTGCATCTTCTTCTCTCATCCCAGCGGCTCTGATAGCCACCATCAGCAAATCACTGTCTCATTCACTGACCACCATTTCTCGATAGCGCCGCTCAGCTTCCAGGCTTGCAAGCCACCCAGGCTGCGTTTCACCATTCGTCTGGCTCAGTCAGTCCATCCTTCAACCGCCATCCACTTAGGAATGCTTCCAGAATAGTGCTATCGGCTCTAACGTGCCCAGGATGTTATAATTGATTGGCATTGCAAGGTCACCCAGCACATCGTCATCATCAGCAACAGCCTGCCCGCTTTCGGTTTTCCTAGTTCCAAATTTGTTCATTATGTCCATCCGGTCGGGTGATAAAAGGAGCAAATGAAACTGCAAAGAGTCCATTCCAGCAAGGCCATGACGCAACCCATTACTCAATCTTTCTTCTCCCACGCGTTGATATCGCGTCCCATCCCATCGCGTCCGCCATCTATACAACCAGTCTTGATGTCTTACAATGAGCAATTACACATTCTTTCCTTGTCACAGTTGGACCCGCCCGGGACTAGGTCGATACTACGTGGGTCCACCATTGGCCGGCCGAGTGGGGCTTCCGATAGCACGGTACCGACCCTGATCCCACGACACATGTGAATGACAAAGCCCCGATGTGCCATTAAACTCTCTCGCTGTGTCACGACATTGCTAGTTTTCCGGGGCCCGGCTGCTCCAATTGTAATGGCAGTCACTAACATCCTAACGTCCCACACCCACTTCTGGGCACCCCCCACATTTGGGCACCCCATTTACACCAAAAACGCCGTTTTTCGAAATTCTATATTAAACTAAATACTTTACTTATTAAAGAGAATAAATATATATTAAATAGATTAAGACTTAATTATAATACTTAAGTAGCTATATACTAGTATTATTGATAATAAGTATTATAAATTCAAGGTTTAACATTTATAATACTAATTTACCTAGCCTATATCTTAATATATAAAATAGGTAGAGATATTTAACTAATATGATTAGAATTTTTAAGTAAGATATAGTAGATTTATATATTCTTATACTTAGTAAAAAATTCTTTAAGCTTAGAATAATATTTTAAAATTTCCCTTAAGAAAAGTTTCTATTATAGAATTTTAACCCTTAATTATACTATATTTACTAAAGTAATACTTTTAAATCTCTTTTAGATATAATTATATACTTTTAATAAGTATAAATATTAATTTCCTAGATTTTTTAAATAAGTATATATGAGCGAAAATATATTTTTCTAATGTTAAGGAATACTAGTAAGTTACTAGTATCTACTAACATTTTAAAGCTTTTAGTTTTAAACTTCTATATTATAACTATTATTATATTTAAACCTTTATAAAAAATTAGATGGCTATAATTATACTTAACATAGTTTATATATATTTTCTTTTCTTAGTAAGTATAGTAGTTAGTTTAATATAGAATTTCGAAAAACGGCGTTTTTGGTGTAAATGGGGTGCCCAAATGTGGGGGGTGCCCAGAAGTGGGTGTGGGACGTTACCAGAAACAGAAGTTCCAGCTTTCGGGTCTAGCCGCTTCATGACGCACATTGATGAAGCAAGGAGCGAATTCAGGTTGATGATGATCATCATCATTCAGCCCCCAATGGCAAGCTCTGCCACTTGCTCTCCGATGCGAACAGCCGGGCTAATTTTGTTCTTTTTTTTTCCCACGTCAGCCGCAACGGTCTCACCTGTCAGCTCATAGTGGCCTTGCCCATGACATGTGCGATTCCAATTGTAAACATCTAGGGGTCGACCCGTTAGTGACATTTGAGGCTGCTGCAAGGGTTACGGGAGGCTTACTCGCAATTCCAAACCACATAATCCACTCATGTTCACTCGGTACTGACAATCCCTTACAACATGTCAATTTTATGGAATGGGCTCTGTGTCCTTTCAACTTCAGATGCCTCGGATCATACTCAACACCGTTTCGAAGCATACTCCAGCTAGGCACAGCCACCGGGACGGTGCGAGAATGAAACATTCGAGGCAAGTCTTACTCGCCCAGCTCTTCGTTGGCCTCGGTCAACATCCGTAGAAGCCGTGGGCCTTTCAGCTACGGACCCGAGGGGCAGCAGCCATTAAACACGATGGCGGCCATTTCGTATTGACGGGACAGGCTTCGAAAAACCTTATTCAATCGTCAAGAGGCGCTGGTTAACGTTGTCAGGATGCTCTTGATGCTGACAGGGCCCGAGCCAGGTGATCCTTGGCGAGATCCGGTTCTTCGTCAAACTGGCCCACGTCGGATCCTGCTTCCGATGCACTTTCTTCTCATGATTCGCCGTATTTTTCTTATGGTCTACGTCTCCTCTGTTTCCCACGTTGTTTGTTCTGTCTTATTTCACGGGTTGAAGTCTAAAAGTTTACCAAGGGAACTCCGCCAAAACATAAGAGCGTGGCTGTCTTTGGCTGGTGTAAGCCATCGTGCCCACAACTGAGACTAGCCAAGACCGCGGAAACCCTCCAATACTCTTAAACGTCAGCCTGTTGCATTCATTTTTGAGTTCCATTTGACTTGAATACCGTGGCAATGTCAGTGAGCTGATCATACAAGGACTCATGTGTATCACCATAAGTCGGATCTGTTGGAAAAGTTAGCGGTCGTTGAACTGGTCCGTCGGAAACTCCGGCACTGAAGAACTACACTCTCGATCACAGGTAGCCCTGCAGGCACCATGGACAGGGAATTGTGAGTTCAAACTAGAAAGAAGATTGCAGGGAGCAGGATATGATTTGCCGGGGTGGTTGATCGGACGAGCCGAATCGACCGGGGCGATGAACGACAGATCCAGTCCCGTCTTACTCACGCTGTCGCGAACGATGGGGTGGCTTGTACAGCCTGTTCAAGTCAGAAGGGCAAGTGAGTCGCGTCTTCTGTATCGTTGAATCCTAATTCTGACCCCCCTCTCCGGCCGGGTTCTCAACATTATTTAATGGCTTGTCAAAGTCTAGCGAAAGATCGCCCTCCAGCGAGGGGTCTCCATGTTGAATGTCGCACATGCATCCACCGTCCCGGAGACGTTTTTCATCACAACGTTGATACTCGGTTGTGACCTTGGCCCCCTGCTACCACGTTGAATCTACGAACTAGGGCTTCGCGGGTGTTATGCGGTGGTGTTGATGGATGTGTTTGATCTTCACATCCATCTCCTTTCTTTCCACCTCTACCGGATGTCAAGTTATTCTGCTGGTTCATAGCCAACCCCCTCTAAATGGCTTTGCTAAATGTTTGAAGTCCTTAAATGAATCATTTCCTCATATAACGATCAAATACTGTGCATCTGGCAATGCTACAAAAGACAATTGTGGCTCCGAGTACTCAGGAATACATCCTATCAAGTCTATGCCCGTGGTTTTAAGCCAATGTCCTCGCTTCCCTTTGGCCAGTGATGCACACAGCTCTTGTTCACTTGACTAGGGCCTGTGACCGTAAAGAATGAGACTGGCTCTTGAGAAGCGTAGATACCTTGACTGTAGCTATTTTAGTATGATACTGGCCACCGGTTTCAATGAATATGTATCCAGAACGTTCTCCTTATTGAGTATGGATTACACGCATGGTCAACATCCAGGCGCCGCTAGTGGTGATGGATGTGGATGAAGCTTTAGAGGACCGGTTGGCAGCTGGGCATTACCCGTGTACGTCTCTTGCGGAGTCATGTCTTTGATTCGTCTGTGTTGGTAGCAAATGATCACAAAGGCCAGAAGGAAGCGCGCCTTATGCCGGCGGAGAGCATTTTGCCATTGTCGACGGCAGTTGGGGCCGCATCACGGCTCGTAAAGTACGTGACGACTTGGGAGAGTGAAGGGTCACTGAGAGGGAGAGATCCGACACTCGTTCCGTCATCGTGGCCGTAGCAAAGATTCCAGCTTTATCAATGCCGAGAAACGCGGTATTTCGCTACTGAGTGACATATAAGATCATGTTCCTCCGGCTTTCGTGTTCTGGCCCGTGGTATAGTTGTCCTTGCCTGCGAGTGCTTGATGAGCGAGCGCTCTTTGTCCTGGAAGCAACATGTCTGAAATACACATCATCCACCACTTCGACGGTCGACCACCTCAGGCCTTTCGTCTGTTTAGAAAATTTGCAATCCAAGTTAGCTCACGTGGTGTATCGTGATTGACAAGATATGTTGATGTTGTGCTAGGAATTGTCATGTTGCAATTTCAGCGTCTTGGAAACCGGCGAGCTTTGCCTGCGAAATGCAAAGGCAAGAGAAAATGTAAAGTTTACGGCCTGGTTTCTATGATTCGTCCTGCATACGACAGGCAAAGACATGTGAAAGAAAATGACACTTGAGTCACTTATCGATGGCGCTCTATCGAAATAAGACGTGTTCACATGAGTAAGTAAGATGCTGCTCAACAATGACAACAGACGTTCAATTGATCCTCAAACGCTTTCGCTTCAAAAATTTTCCCTCCGGCCGAGATGGCAAGACATATATATATATGCAGCAAAAAAATACCCGAATGCTTCCGCCTTATAAATGACCTGAAATCCCCCCAAGCAATACGCTTACAAGGCACCATCCTTGAGGACGTACGTCGTGGCTCCGCTGCCGGGCTTGCTCACAACAACAGCACCCTCCTTCTGCTCCTCCGTCAGCTCGCGCTTGGAGTAGTATTCGCGCTCCCACGCCTCCTTGACGGCGGCAACCTTGTCTGCGGGGACCATGTGAACGGTGCAACCACCCCAGCCGGCACCGGTAAGTCTGCTTCCGTAAGATCCGTTCTCGACCGCAATACGGCAAAGCTCGTCAATCTCCGGCGCACTGCACTCGTACTGGTCGCGGCACGAGACCTGCGTCTGGTTGAGCAGGTCGCCGAGACGCTTGTTGTATGCTGTGGTGTCGGCAGTGTCGGTGGGGGCCTCCTTCTCAAGCACCTTCATGAACTGCAGCACGCGCAGAGCCTCCTCAAAGACGTGCAGAGCGCGCTGGCGCAGCTTGAAGCGCTCGGCGCGAACAGAGAGCTTCGACATGAAGATCTCCTCGAGCTCCTGAACGGAGATACCCAGCACCTTGGCGATCTCCTCGCGGGTATAACCCTCCTCGCTGGTGAGCGTCTTCTTGGTAACGTCGATGAGGACGCGGAGCTGGGCCTCGGCAGCTTCCTCGTGAGATGCGTTGTCAGCCTGGGGCTGCTCGTGTGTGGCGAAGTAGGCATCGTGGAAGCCGTGAATGGAGATGCCAAGAGGCGAGGCGTCCTTGGGCAGCTTGGTACCGGCGGGGTTGAGAGCGGCGTTGAGGAATGCACCGGCCATACTGCACTCAACGACGCGGAGGTTGTAGTGGATGGGGCCAGTAACCTGCTTGTTGGATGTGACGAAGGACTGAGCAATGACGAAGCTGAGCTCAGGGTTGGTGGTGGGGAAGAAGACGGAGCGGGCGGTCAGGGAGGGAGTGAAGGAGACGAAGAGAGCGGATCCGCGCTGGGAGAAGACAGAGGCGGACTGGTCCATGCTGGTGAATGTCAGATCATACTATCCATAAGAGTGGAAAGAGAGCGAATAAACGATTGCCTTACCCTCCAGAGTTAACACCGACGGCGCGCTCACTGACAATGGCAAGCTCGGTCAGTTCCGTCTTGTCGATGCTCTTCTCGCCGTTGGCAAGCATCACAGCCAAAGCCGAGGCGCTCGTAAAGGCGGCACTGGAGCTGAGACCTCCTCCGATGGGGACGGAGCCGTCCATGAGAACCTTCATGCCCTGGGGCCTGAATCCGGAGCCATGCTTGCGGCGCAACAGCTCGAGAGCACCACGGAGACCGCTCTTGAAGTAGTTGGACCACTCGTGGACCTTGGCGTCGATGGGCACGTCTCCGTCAATGGCGACATCGAAAGTGCGTGCGGGGAACTTGTCGCCTTGGAGGTTTGCGACCTCAAGCTTGAAGGTATCGGAGTCAGCAGGAGTGTCGGAAACGGAGAAGGCGAGGATGGCGTCAGCGGTTATAGCCATGGGCAGAACGGAGTAGAGGGAGTAGTCGATGTGCTCGCCAATGATGTTGACGCGGCCGGGCGAGCGGGCGACAAAGGTTGCTGAATGGCCGAACTGGGTCTTGAACTGGTCGAGCAGCGAGGACCAGCGCTTGGTCTGAATGGGAAGCGCATCTTCGGTGTAGATGTCGGCGAGGGAGGAAGTGGTGGGAACAGGGCCGGCCATGGTGGACGATGTTTACTCTCTCAACAAGAGAGAATGTTTAGTTCTTTTGTTTGGCAGGTTCGGAATAGGAAGAGAGTGGCAGAGAGGGGGGGAAGAGAGAAAAGAGGGCGCAAAGGATGTCGTGAGTACGTGAGGTGTGGTTTACTTATGACGTTTGAGGTCGGTCCTTTTTTTTTTCTGGTGGGGTGGGACGACAGACCCAGAGACCTATTACTACAGTACTACTACACTATGTGTTGGAACAACTCCTGGTATATATGTATGTGCGTAGTAGGCTAAACCAGCCGGCGTATTATCCCCGCGATGGAGCTTTGGTGTTTTTCTGGCGCGTGCCCTTGTTACGGATCTGAACAGCTAGCTAAGCTGCTGGGCTTTTGGGCTTTGGTGGGTTGTGGTCCATGGATACTCGACCAATTTTACCCCGCAATTGCCCCTCGTTCCCCCCTTTCAGCGATCCTCTTCGTCTGAAAAAGGGGCGACGAGCTTGTGGGAGACGTCTCATTTGGAGAGGGGATACTAGTGATTGCAGAATGAGCCTCGGGTTGGGACAAGTCACAATTGACTTTTTGGACGAGATATTTTTATGCTGTGTTTTTCATGTTAACGCAGCATCCATCTATCTTGTCTTTTTTTTGGAGGAAACAAAATGTTGCGCAACAAAATCAGGCGAAGGAGACACCAGCAGGTACTTCTACAAGCGCCTTCCTTCCGTAGCTGCTGCACCCCACCCCACCTTCGGCTGAGAATTCCACCGTCGCCTTTGGAACAGCTCCAACCACACAAATTTCCTCATATTCCTCAGGAGCTTTTCTAGTCAATCACACAGCTTGGTTGCCCGAACAGACCACTGCCGAGCCAAAAGCCGAGAAGGAAACAAGAATAAATAACTAAGAAGATTAACAGAAGTGCACTGATTCCAAGCTTGTCCATCAGGAGAGTAGTGGCCCCGTTTCACTGCGGACCACTTCGGAAAACCCGGCGGAGAACTCAATCATCCCCGGTAATGAGCGCCATTACCCTTTGTGTAGTTGAAGTAGTGTAGCCAAATGTGTTCCCTGGGGAGTTCTTCAAACCACCATGAACCTGGCAGAGAAATTTTGTTGGCAGACTGAGCATAAGAATCCAGCCAATTGCCATGCTCTAGCAAATAAATCACATGTTCTGGAACACCGACAGGATACCTTCGGGGAGCCGCCAAGGCGCACCAGTGGGGTGACTGCATGCCATAACGCCTGGCGCCCTGGGTTCCAGGGTCTTTCCAAGCTGCCGCGGGGATGTCGGGGGCGAGAGCTTCCCACCTTGCTGTCCCCGTCCTGTTCGATAGCGGGGCTGCCACAGTTGCTGCCACTTGGTCCCCGAACCTGACTAGTCTGGTGGAAAGAATGAAGCTATTCAGACATTAATCTGTCTTACTCAATTGGAACAAATGAGAGCCACATTCTCCAAAATATCTTTCAAAATTTTCACTTTGGCCTCTTAATGATACAGGTCCTACTTTACATGCAATACTTATCATGGCTTAGACAGCAAATATTTACTAACGTCACTCATTCCCGACCAGTTCCCATATTGCTCAAGTTGCTGCAGACATGATGAACCTGCAATACTTGATCGTCATGACAATGTGTGCTTTAGTTTCTTTCATTAACACTCTTGATTTTGGAGTTCGTCTTTGGAGAAAAATAGACCCTTTTACCACCCTTGAACCTGCGAGTCGTGAGTCCTAAGCATAGGGTTGATCTCTTCATCGTGAACGCTTTCAGTCTACTACTTCCTTCAGATTTGCAAAATCACTCTCGATTATTTTCCAAATCTTTTATTTCTTTTACTTCTTTCCATTTTCACAGATAATTCAAAGCCACTCAAAGAAGAGACCATCCCATACATCACAGCTGAAACTGCATCCTTCTAGCCAGATCTTTCTCTCGGGCCTTATTCCTTTTGATCTACCTTTCAAATCAGCCTCTATCCAACCTTTGACACAAAATGAAGCCAGAGATGAGAATCCCGCCGGGTCCCTATTCTCCCTCAACCCACCCACACATACCCATGGAAAACCTCCAAGTGGGATGCCTCTACCTTATGATATCCGTTCCATTGCGCATCTACATCGGCCGCAAACAACACACCTACTCCACCGACCTCCCATCTGGTCAGGAAATTGACTATAGTACCTACGAACTCGGCGTTTCCGACGGCCATCTGACCGAGGAGTTCCACTGGGATCTCTACTGGCACACCTCCAACCACACCATCCCAGCCGCTTCCTCCAGCAACAAGGCCAACATCGCCAACAACGGTAGCGGCATACTCTACCGGCTCCGCAGCCTAGGGTCATATCCCAAGACTTACGTTTGCGACCGCATCCCCGTCATCCGTGTGCGCACGCACTCCCAGCTCGTAGGCCTGGTGAGAGTAATCAGCGTGCCCGTCTCCGTCGTCCCGCATCTGACACGCTACCTCGACTGGATGACCAAAGAATCCGCCGGCGCTGCGAAGAGAAGCTATGTGTGGGCCACCATGGCTTACTACCGCACACGCGCCCACTTGGCAAAGGGGAACGGTGTCCAAGATCACAGCTTCAACCAGTTCGACGTTTCGCGGTTCACCGCCGAGGTGCTTTCGTTCGCGTACAAGAACGTGCCGCAGTTGATACATTCCGACGCCTCGGAGATGAGCTTGAGGCCAGTTATTGCGTCTTGGATGGGCATCACGCTTGGGTTTCTTGATGATGATGATATTGTGGCGACAATAAGAAAGAGGGATGAGCTTCTGAGAAGGCAGAAAGAGGAGTTTGGAGCCGTCTCGGCGTGCTGGTATCACTGATGGTGAACACATACAGCACTGGATTTACTCGGTCTGAAGCTATACGTTCTTTGGAGCTGGTTGTGTGGTGATCTTGGTGAGTTTATACCACTGCCTCCTACTAATAGAGAGATCGCGGCCTCTTACATTGTTCACAGATACCAAACATTAATTACTAGACGACCACAGTTGAGGATTAATGGCATGTTCGGCCAATGCCAACAGAGAGGGTCCATGTATCTTAGGCCTACAGACCATAACAGCCTCGAGCCCTAGAAGCCCCTGGTATTTGTGCAAATGCAATATCCAGGTTTACACATGGTTTGGCCCTAGAAGCATTTCCCTGTCCTACAAGTCGCACGTTACTTCATTATTTGTTAGCCAAAGTGAAATGATGTTGTCAGCCATTCCAACAAGCCTTTGTTGTTGGGAGCTCTCAAGTTGTGCCATAACTTGACAACGTCTATGAAAGATTTCCCGTAACAACGTCGCTGTCGGGTCAACATTTCTAGAATTGGATCCAAGGACAAAAATTGTGAGTGTATGCCGCTCAATGAGAACCGTCCGTACAGTAGACTTTTGATATTTATGATCTCAATTCACGGGTTAACACCTTGCTTGCCGTCTGTTGTTAAAGGAGGAATGATTCTTGTACCCCCAATTTAGAACCCGACGTTTAACGCGAGCTATTTCCCCGAACCAGTAATACGAACTCAGTAAAGATTTACTCTCACGTACATAGTTAACCCATAGAAATATTCTATAGATCTATTGGTTCAACCTGCGAGCGCAGCGTCTGCATCAGCCAGCCAGTACTTCGAGGCCAGGGCCAGTTGTCATTGGAGTAGCTATGAAAATTGCGTTGAGCTCTCACTCTTGAATAATGATTGTACCGGTGATACTGAATATCGCTCTCGACCTTACAGACACCGCGGATCCCTGCGTCGTATCCTCTAGTAGATTCACCGTGTGTATCAAACAACAGGCCTGGCACACACGATAGAAGTGGTCATATTCATTCCGTTAACAAGACTTTCCACTGGGTACCTGTAAATATCGGAGGTGTGTATAAGTGAGGCTAGCAAGTCCACACTCTTTTGGCAAAACTCTCCACGGACAGGACCGTAGCAACCAGGCCGCAAGCACGGGGGGTTCCTGTACGACATAATTAAGATACGGCAGGGCGTCGAATAGACAAACATTTGCGCCAATAGGTGCGGCACTTGGCTGCGATTTTAGGCAAGTCTCGAAGCAAACGCATGGTTGGGCCACATGATGGGCTGCGCAGAAATGAGCAAGTTTCACCCCCTCACGGCACCCAACCCAAGCAGTCCGACCCTTAAAAAAAAGATGGTTCCCCCGAGCAGTAGAAAACCACAACACATCCCGCCCCTTGCAAAGAGCAAGTTTGAGGCATTCTTTTTCATCTGAAAGCCTGCGTCCAATATGAGTCCCCTACAGCCAAAGATGGCCGATAAATCGGGCGCCACGGCGTCAACGGCCGCCACGATCGATCCCCCTTCTCCCCTCTCCGACCGGTGAGACAAAGATGGCATCGCAGAGACGACAATACGGACCCCGAGCCCGAACCCGGGTTTTTGGCAAGACAACCGCCCTCGCGCTTCTCCTCTGCCTCGAATCCGTAGTCGTCATCACAGCCCTCGTACTTTTCGGCGTGGCGTACCCCGACCGCTTCCGCTCACGGCTATGGAGGAACGGCGGGGAAGAGGGATGGTCTTCGAATCCGAGGTTAAGGATTTACTTCTACGCCAACTTTGAGGAAGTGCCTCAGATCCCTCTGATATGGAGCCAAAGGTGTGTTGTCGACGTTTCGTTTCTTTTCCTTGTGCCATGCTTCATACTGCGGCGGTCCTTGTCCCACCATAGCCACACTACCAAGGTATCTTGGCTGACTTCGTGGGGCGGCGCTCTCCCCGCTTTAGACTTACGACCTCGAACACGGCCATCGCCGTCCTCTCGTTTCCGGTGCTCTTCGCCCGTATCACGATGGCAGCGCTTCAATACGAGTCTCGCTGGACCAACATCGCGTACGACGTCCTCCTCGCTGCCCTCTGGGCATTCAGCGCCGTGGCGCAGAACGGATCCGACTTGACTGACCCTCAACACCTGATGGAGAGGCCGTGGTACCTCACACGAACGTGCGACGAGGCTTGGAGCCAGAACAGGGGTTGGTGTAAGATTGCAAAATGGGAGTATGGCTGGGCGATAGTAGCTGCGTAGGTATCCGTGAAGAGAGTGCAAGGAGAAGTAGACAGCTAACGCCCAACCAGGTCGTTCTACACTTTGAGGATCATCGGCGCTCTGGGCTTGTCGGTATACGAGAAGGGGAAAAGGGACGGAGGTCAGAATGGACTTAAGGAATCACTGATGGATGAATGGACCTGGGACGACCAAGATGGACGGGTTGCACCGTACAAGGACGTCACCGTAGCTCTTGCGAGTATGGCCTGGTAGACTTAACGTCGTACACATCGAATTGATGCGACGTGATGGCTGATAACTGAAATTTCTACGTCTCCGCTCACAAAAGTCACAGACTTAAAATGCCATGGGCAATAAGCGGCAATGTATCGATATCAAATTCCCATTTCAGTCTCAATAACAGCTAATAGAAGGGGCCCAAGAAGTAGAGGAAGCCTCTGCCGTAAGGAGAGAGAAAGCCGCATCAGGTTTCCATGAAACAATCCGTAGCCTTAGTCCTATACGACGCACTAACAATGAACCGCGACGATCAGATATTTCCGATACCGTTTATTTGTGCTGGGGAAGACTAGGTTAGCAACTCATCCAGGGCGGCAATGATGCAATCCGCGGGGAAATAAACTTACGGGGCAGCCGGCGCAGGTGCAGTCCTTGCCGCAGTGGCAGGTACCAGTGGAAGCGCATCCGCAGCCAGACATGTTGATGGGTTGTGTTGGGGTGGGGGTCTTTGAGTGAGACTTGAGAGTTGCTTGGTGGGAATCTGTAACTGGAATCTTTTCTTGTTTGTTTGAGTGAGGTGTAGATGAAAGGGAAATGGAAATGCCGCCGTGATTCTGGTGGTTTAAGTAATGGCACTGATTATCTAATGATTCGCAAGCTTTTGGAGGAACAGCACGGCTAATGGGAAAGAATTGGGTCAGCCGAGAGGAGCCTGCTGTCTGTTCGTTCGCTCTTTCCTCTGGGAAAATGACTTCCTGCCAAACAAGCCTGGCACATGCTCTTCGAGAAAGCGCTAGTCAGCCACCCACTGAGGAGCTGGGAATGTTAGCTTTCGCGCCGTCAGACACAAAGGAAAGAAGCCCCCTTTCCCTGCCTAGCTCTTGCCTTGCTTCACTGTTATCGCTAGTGACCCCCCCTGCGCCTGCTCCTCCACTGGGACTTTCCCACCAGCCAGATGGCTCGTTGGCAAAAGGAGGGAGTGGCGAATGACGTGCAGCCAGAAGGAGCTAGGACCATTGAACTCAGATCGTCACAAGGCAAGATGCCCTCGGACATGTCCCAACTTCTACAGCTTTCCCACCACTGGACGACGTTTCGGCCACCGAGCACCCCACTTCCCCACCGACAAGATGGCTAACCGGACCGGACTTTCAGACCGGGGTGGGTCGCCCAACTAGCTTCCACTTTTGGAAGGACTCGGCCTATCCGCCAATGAGACGCTGAAGATTGGATCGGCCCAGCAGCTTCCAAAGACACCTTTGGGGGGAACGTGTTGAAATGGGCGGTTGTTCTTCGTGAGCCGGTGACCCGCGTTGCTGGGTGTCCAACATCAGGGCCCTTCCTTGTCGACGATGAAGCTTACAGCTGCGACATTTGCTCGTCATTGGTGAAAATAGGACTTGTTCTCCAGGAACTCGGTTTCAGCAGCTTAACGCGTCTCCAGAGTGAAATCCCGTACATGACGGCAGTCCATAGTCCAAGGAAAAAGCGGCACGAACGAGGATCGAGATCGGATCACATAAAACTCTGGAGCTGCCCAGTCGAAAGCTGCGACAGCGGGCGGGGGCTTGAACAGCTGGCCATCCCACGGTGGCTCTGTCCAGGTGCCTCCACGCTTCTGTATCGATTTTCTCGTTGGCCAGCAACTTACTTAGTGAAGGTGCCGTCGGAAAAAAGGAACTCGCCATTCCCGGCGCCTTGCATCATGCATGTGCATAATTGGACACGGCCAGCGCAGATCTAGACGCCAGCTTTGGAGTAATCAACAGCGCCAACCACGCAGCAGGCAGGAATAAGCCAGTTCCACATGCCGTCAATAGCCACGCCTTGTTAGTCCCCGGCGGGACCCAATTACATCTTGTGCTGGGCTGAGAGCCTAAGCGGTCGCGCAAGGTCCGATGCGCTCGTTATTGGTTGTTATCTCCAAGGGCTGGGTTGCTGACGTCTCAATCTGATCTACTGCGCCATGCTAAGCTGATCTAGCCACCAACGCTTGCCTTTCCCTAGTAGATTTAGGAGGTCTGATCACATTATGCCATAGTCGTTTTAGGGATTCTAATCAGTACGAACTTTAAGAGCAACAGATCTCACCTCAATCAATAGAATGGAAATGGCGTTGAATCTACGTACAAACACTGGAGTCATACGTCAGGTGACATGTGCTTAACTTTACGCCATGCCTTGATGGATTGATCACGCGCATAAGAAGGCTGGCAGTTATTTTCACGAAGCTGAGACGAGATTGAACATACGCACCCAAGACGCCTGCGGGCAGATAGGCAGATTATGGTTATCAGATGTGTATAATGTAAAGCCAGATGATCTTTTACACGGCAAGAAGTCCCGCTATCGGGGTTTCTATCCTTCGGTTTGAAAGAAAGGCAGATGGAGGATACGGTTGCTTTGGAGGTTCCATATGTTCAATCAATCTTCAAAAAGGAGAACAGGAAAATGAGAAATCCCCTGATCGACCATCCGTCAGGTTCGCCACACGTTGTCTTTGATATGCCACAAGGCTTATACCTAGGTACAGAATCTGAATATTAAATAATTTGAACCAATAGTACTTTTAAGTAGAAACCATTCTTTCCTCTACAGGCCCTTCCATATGAGACGTGGAAATCTTAGATGATTGAAAAATTAGGATAAAGAGGGTAATAACTTTCGCAGTTGAGGTACTCGTACCTCTTTTAATGCAAATCTTCTCCAATTCGTCCAGGCCTTCTTTAAAGTTCTCTAGTGGCCTCGACTTCTTGCGTTGATCCGCTCAAGTGATATCCCAGGTTTTGACAGGGCTCTGGACCCGTCCGGGTAGGTAATCTTCATAACATCTGAATTTTGGTCTGATCGTCAGTTTTATATTAAAACAGGCTTCATTCTCTACCAGTTTTATCAACATTAGAATGTTAGAATGCCTTGATGTGTCTCGAATTTGCTCTGGGAGACTAAAAGAAGAGAGCCCTTAAACCAGTTCATGTGAAATGGTTCAAAGTATTCACAGTACCAGCTTTTTACCAAAAGTACTTTGCAAACCACTGAACGAGTTGCTGTTGTCTGACTTGGTGTAAGACGGGTAGAGAAACCAACGCAAGCACAGGAAAAAAAATACCCGCCTCAACAACCAAACTCATAATCCAACATACATAGATGAACGAGCATAAATATGCATTTCTATAAGAGGAGATGCAGTGCTCCCATGTCATGAATATACACGAACTGCTCAAAATCCTGTGTGGTGAGATGGATTATCGCATGAAGTAAATGAAAAAGGACTCAACAACACATTTTCAACCAATGGAACACCTTCACAGAACCCATACATACACGCCATTCTCAATCTCACATCTCGAACAGGCTGGGTAATTTTAACACTACTACTGCAATTGAGCCTACGAACACGCCTCTTGGACGCATACCGACGGCCTGGGTATATATGTGACCAAACAGGACGTCATCAGTCCTTAATTATACAAAAAAGGCATAGCTACCTAGAACCATGTAGAATCTTATACAATCCAAACCATTCCCCCCTTTTCTTTTCCAATCCTCTCCCTTAAAACAGGCCAGCAAGCGCAACAAGAACACCGCCAACAACGGCGCTGCCGATGGTGGAGCCGCTCATGAGCTTGCCGGAGGCAGCGTTGGCGCCGGTAGAGGCGCTGGCGCTCGCGGCGGAGCCGGACTGGGTGGCCGTGGGCGCAACGGTAGGGCGGATCGTGGTTCCTCCTGTCGTAGTAGCATTCTTCAGTGGGCCGGACGACGCAGAGGGGAAGCCAGAGGAAGCTGTCGCTGACGCGGCCGCGGTCCTGGAGGAGGAGGATGGGGTACCTGAGGAGGTGTCGTTCTGGCCCGAGTTGGTGGAGTCATCGGTCGTGGCGTCGCCGAGCTTGATGCTCTGCCAGCTGCCAGTCATGTCGCCGTAGGTGTACGATCCGGCAGGGTTGGCGTTGGTGATGGAAACCTTCTCGACAGTCATGGTGTAGGGGGCCTTGGAGTAGTCGGTCTCGCCGCCGGCCCAGGTGATGGTTCCGGGGCTGTTGTCCGGGTCACCACCGGCCCAGATGCCGAGTCTCAGGCGCATGGGAGTCTGGGGGAAGTTCTGGCCGCCGAGGGCGTCGGCGTAGTTGAGGGTGCGGACGAGAGTGCCGTCAATGTACCAGACGACGGCCTCCTTGGACCAGTCGATGGTGTAGTTGTGCGAGGTGCCCTGAGCGTCGGAGACGGTGTGGAAAGCGCCGCGGTCGTAACTGGTGGTGTTGCCCTTGCCAAAGTAGTTGGTCTGCACCTCGGCGTTTTTGCCGCCGAGCCACTCCCAGTCGACCTCGTCGAGATCGTCAGACTCAAGCACGACGGAACTGACGATGCCGGTGCCGGGGGCGGCCTTCATGTGGACCTCGGCGCGGCCGAAGAAGAAGTACCACGCAGTCTCGATGGTGGGCGCATCACCCTTCTTGTTGAGGGTGAACTCGGCGCCGGCGGAGGTGTACGAGACGTTGCCGGCTACGGTCTTCCAGGCCTTCTCATCGGCACCCTTGGTGAAGTCGACCGAGTACGTGCTCGATGACATACCAGCGTTGGCCGGGCATGTTTCTATATGATGGTATGTTAGTCTGATGCTCTCCTCTCAGGTAACCCAAATGAAGCACATGTCTTCTCTCGGGCAATTTTTGATCACATACTCTTAGTAGGATCGCAATCAGTGAAAGTCTGAGCGAAAGTTGAAGTTGCAAGCAGCGCAACGAGTGACGCTTGACGAACGAAAGACATGGCCATCTTGTGTAGGTTGTAGCTTTAACGGCAAGGAAGAAGCCTACAAAATACACAGTCGAAGAATGAAAAAAACAGAAGTAAATCTGAACGAAAGTTTGAATAGAGACAAGAAGAACGAGAGACTGTCAGTTTGAAAGCAGTATTGCCATAGTAGATCAAAACAAAAACCCGCCCCCTTATTTTGAGGCGGGTCGACGTCTCCATTAAAGAAGGGCAGCTGTCGTCTGCTCTCCTCTCACAACATGGATACCCGGCATCGATTCATTACTAGGAGGAACCTCGTAAGCTACCTCACGCACACGCCAACCGGGCCACTTGGGGAGGCTGACGTATGTTTGAGGACGACACACCACGCCAACGGGAGAGACCTGTCATTCGTGCCTCCCGAAGTGGTGGAGTTACAGTGGGTGGATACACCTCTGCGAAGTATGGAGAACAGTTGGAGAAATAGTGGAAAAGGGAATTATTGCAGGGACGCGTAGGCCGGGGTGGCTGTACATGCTGCAACAACGGCAGCGCCCACCATCCGATGTGCCGGGAGGCCGTCCATTTCCTAACCCACCCCAGTCTCTATAAAAAGCGTTGTCGTTGGGTAAAAAAACCTGCAAACCAATGGGGACCATCAGGGACGGTGTTGCCGTCCGATGGAGCCAGATGGTGAGACGGGTTGGCCACCTCCGTTGGAAAGTCTCAAACCTCAGTGGCTGAAGACCAAGTGGCTTGGACCCTCCATCCCCCAGAAATCCTCTCCATACGCAGGCTTAAGGGGTTGAGTGTTGATGCTGCTGCTGCGTATGAGACCCGACCCAGTTGTCAATCTTTCATAACAAGGACATGATCCCAGTCTTTGCCAAACAAAACCCGTGCTCAATGGAAGAAAAAAAAAAAAAAAAAGCGCAGGAAAGAGAAATGACTGCCGCTTACTCAGGCTGTGCGGTTCAGATGAAACTTTAAGCCAGCTAGGGCCATTCAGCACCATCGAGTCAGATGCTGTCTGTCATCTCAAGTTGTAATTTTCCCAACTCCAAAATGCCAGTCAACCGAGGCTACGATCCCTCTTCACCAGAAAAAAAGAAGCGGAATTCAAAAGTTGCTATCATGTCAACAGGTTAAGTGGTTGTTGTATAATCGGGTTTGCCAAGGCCGTTGACATCTGCAGAGCTACTATGGATCGGGTCCCGAGCGCCCATCCCGCCGGCAAGGCAGCCTAAGTTAGGGCCTCGGCGATCTGGAGGGGGGGAGGGGGCCAACTTTCCAAGACTGTCGTCCCCTGGAGGCTGGACCAGCCGATGACGATGATCAACCGTCTCCAAGGTGTCATTTTGAACATGATCAGGAAGCTGATTTCCGGTGCCCACGAAGGAGTGGCGATCTTCAGATCGGTTCCTTGCGTAAAAACAAGATAAACAATATCCAACAGACAAGTGTAAATTACCAAAATGTGGGTTGTTTGCAACAATCTTGGTCATGTTCGTTCCACCCTCCATTCCTATAATCTGCACTGCCGTCGGGAGTGACTCCAGAATTGCAAACTCCTCACAAGAACCAAGTTATTTCTTCTTTCTTCTCTGCTTCTTACTATTCTATCCCCGAGCAGTTAATCTAAGTTTAGCACAGACCAGACTTGGCCAGGGTACGCCAGACAAACAGTATGAAAATAACCTCCACTGACCAATGCCTCCTCCACCCATTGAGAAGATGTCGTCCGGCGGGTTCCGGTTACGACGGCCAGTAAGCAATTACTTTAGTGTTTGTGTTTTAATCTTTGTAATCTAGCCATTTCTATTTTGCTTTGCGGCAATATGTAAGTCCTGCACCATTGAAACCAAATGGCCCTTTGCATTCCCGAGCCCCGTTTATCACTTTCGGAAGGTGTCTTGTTCCAGGTGGATACTGGCCTCAGTATATCGCTTTGGTAGCCCTACACGCTGCTTATAGAGGCATCCAACCCTGCCTGTGGAAGACAGTGTAAGCAGTTTACTTTACTAATAGCTCATGTTTTCACAATGAGTTAGTTTACTGTTTCTCTTCCGTCATTTTGATGTCCTCACTAGGCGAGCTATAGCTGTACGAATAGACGAGCAGACATAAGACGGGACAAGAGTCGGTGAAAAAGAGACCCCAGAATTAATTCACATCAGGACGACTTCTGAACGCTCAACATCTAAACATACAAATAAGGTATCCCCTCCCGCCATGTCCTGTCCACCAACGCCGTGACAATGCTATTGTGTACTGTACTTCTGTTTGTTCAAGAGGAATTGTTCCTCCGCCGGTCGACGTTCCTAACCTTCCTCAGCGGCTTGTTTTGCGCCATACGATATTTCGTATACAGCCGGAACGCGTCGCGGAGGACAACGTACATACAGCCACCCACTAGGTTACGGCCCCACTGGTCTTGGAGGAGGCCAGTCCGGACTTTGAAGCGACCGAAGCCGCCCGCAGGGGTGGTAAGGTGCTTGGGCAGAGCGAGGCGAATGAGTTCACCAACACCAGCAGAAATGACAGGGAGCAGCAGCGTGCTTGCAAGTGCGTTCGTGACATCACGCAAGCTCGCCTGGAGCCCGCGTTGACGGGGTGCCGGTGCCGCCTGCGCAGGCTGCTGAGCTGGTACGGGGTGATTGTGGCCTTGCTGTTGTTGCTGGTCACCACCCTGCTCTCCATCCTGCTCATTTGCGGGAGCTGCCACGGCTTCTATCGCATTCGCTCGCTCGTCCTCAGCCGCCGCCTCTTCAATCTCCTCCACCAAAATTTCGAGATGAGCAATCCCGTCTTCGTCATTGACGTCCCCTTCTTCTACCTCCACATCAACTTCGACATCGGGAATATCTAGCATATCTATCGCCGCGTCAAGTAGACCTCCGACGATGCCCACATTCCTGTTGGGATCGTTGGCAGCATCTTGCTCCCGCGCACGGCGCTGCTGGTTGCGCTCGCGTCGGTTGTTCACCGGGGGTGCGGGTTCAGGAAGGCCGGCTATTCTGCGCTCCCACTTCCGCTCGTAGGCGCAGACAAACTCGTGGTAGATGCTGTTATAGGCGGCTCGTACATAGGGAAAGGCTGCTGCTGCAAGCTGGGGGGAAGGAGGCCAGGAGAAGAAGTTCTCGTCTCGGGCCATGTGGAAAACGCCGTACTGTGGTCAAGCTAGTTAGTACCTTTTGCGATATTAAATTGTAACAGATAAGGGTTGTCGTACCAATGCAGCGGCTGGCATAAAGAAAACGTTACCCAACACAGGGAACGACTGGCCGATGACCAATGCCGGCGCAATAGCGGGGAGCATAGCGACGTGAATCCAGTTGACCGTCGGAATACCTCGGGGGTTTCTATCGTTGAAGAAGAAGCGGTATGTCGCCTCTGGGCCGGCAAACACGCGCACGGCAATGTTGCCATACATGGCCAAACCAACCCATGTGCCTGCGCCGAGGCCTCCGAGAATCAAACCCGGCGAAATCTTGCTGAAGGCCTTGTAGATCTGGTTGTTCAGCGCGAGAGCTGGATCCCATGGTTCGTCAACATTGATGGGTGCCTTGCAGACTGGACAGCGGATCTCCTTGCCCTCGCGCTCCAACTCCGTCACCCACTCGATCATGCAGTCCTGGTGGCCTTCGAGGGTGCAAGGACACGGGTCCACCCAGGCAGACTCGGAAGACCCCGTCTCATTCTCGTCCATGAGGCAGATGAAGCAACGGCGCAGGCCATCTTGTTGCAGAGGAGTTACGTCTGTCATGGTTGCGTTGAGGAGGTTGTCGTTCCTCGGTCGGTGTGTCGGAGTTCGGGGGGTGTGGAGGTGTCGTGTGCGAGCCTGGGGACCAGGTCGCGGGCGTCGTTGGGTTAATGCAAATGTTGAGAAGTCGTATATGCTAGCGCATGTTATACAGTCAATAAGTATATTGCTTATCGAAATTTCGGCCGCAAGTGCTTTTGCGTTTGCGGTTGCGTTTGCGTACAGGTGTTGGTTGGGCCTGGCCAGCCTGTTTGCTGATTGCTGGGCGAGCTTGAGCCAATGTGACATCAACTGCCCATGCTCATCGGATTCTAGGTAAGCGAGCCGAGGCGGCAGGTGGGGTTTATGTGGCTTGTCATTCGATTTATGGCTGGGTTGGTGTGGCTTGCACAAAGCATTGAAGGGTCCTGATACATACAAACTCATACTCCCTCATCTACTCTCTCCGCAAGACAGCCACTCATAGTACCTCTAGAAATTCTGAATATCTAAAAGACAAAAAAAAAAAAAAAAAAGGAAGGAAAAAAAGTAATAAGAAAAAAATCCCAATCCGATGTTAACCTTCATCTACAGCTCTGATCCTGATAGAAACTGGTTGTATACGCCTATCTATATAAGCGTATAATCAATGTACCCGGGTAATCCACATAACGAATCAGCGGGGTAACTCAACCGCCGCAATCCCTCCAAACCCCACATCCACCGGCCGCTGGAACCTTCCAGCCAAACAGCGCCGTCGTACGCGCAGAGCCAGCCTAGCTAGACAACAAGCAGACAGGCAAAGTGTCACGCAGTCAATTTGCCCACCACTTATGGGGTAAAAAAAGATGCTTCCATTCATTAGAGACTGTCTAGGGGTTATTGGGTTGATTATATAACCGTCTATTCGGTAATTACCGATTTGAAGGTTTTCATGCACAAAATGACATCCCCGTTAGTTTTATATGGGAAACAATAGCCGGGTGCATGGGTTGAATGCATGCCCCGATATATGCAGTGGTCCGTGTGACACACCCCCTCAGAGAGGCAACCTGTTGTAGGTTGATTCTCTGTATTCTCATTCAAATACAGAAATGATACTATTCAGAACTCCGTATACTTACTACCAAATTCCAGATTCATACTGCGTTCTTCTCGATCAAATGTTCAATATTCGCCATACCCAATTGGGCGATAAAGTGGTTGTGTTTTTGGGCTGGCATTGCTTTAGTCATACCGTCTGCCACCATTTCGTTGGTTGGAACCCATTGAAAGTCAATTGATCCCTTCTGTAATTCCTGGCGAAGCCATAAGTTGTTGATATTGATATGGCGTAATTTGCTAGTCGCTTGGGGTCTTTCAGCAATCAATAGTCGAAGAGTTTGCTTATTGTCGCATTGCATGATGTATTTATCATCTAATTGGAGATTCAATTGTTCCATGAGTCGAATGGTTGCCATATATTCTCTTGTGGCTGCTGTCAAAGCAGCAAGCTCAGCTTCTGTGCTTGAAGTGACTACTCTTCGTTGTTTGACTGCTTTCCAATGAATTGGACCTCCGAATAGCATCATCACATATCCTTGAGTGCTTTTTCGAGTGACAGAGTCATCAGCGAATGAAGCGTCTGAGGCGCAGTAGAGGACTCCTTTCCCTTTGCAGTTGAACTCGATAGCGAGGTATTTGTTGTCCTCAAGATATTGTAAGCATTCATATGCTGCTTTCTGGTGTTCAGAAGATGGATTTGATAGGAATTCTGCTAGTCTCGAGCTTGTTCGAGCTATATCTGGTCTGCCAATCACTCCAGCATAGTTGATTGATCCAACCTTCCGTTGATAGTAGTTGATTTCCTCTGGCGTAGCCTGACCAGGACTTGGGACCAGGTTATCTATTGCCATAGGTGTTTGGCGTCGCTTGGTTGAGGTTCTGATCTTGAATTCTTCAGTGACCTTAGATATATAGTTGTCGAGACTCATCCATAGTTGACGGGTTTTTCGTTCTCTTATTATTCTGACTCCTAGGAAGATACTCAATTCTCCCATATCTTTCATTTCATACTCCTTTTTGAGTTGTTGAACTGCTTCTTTTACTTTGGTTTCATGCTTTTTATGGTATATAACCCCAATATCGTCCACAAAGTGGAATACTATGAAGTATTGATTGGTGTAGATACAGTCATCTTCTTGGAGTGGGATAAGGCCAAGCTTCTTGAATGATCTCTCCAGATTCTTTTGCCATAGCAGTGGGCTTCGTCTCAATCCATATAGTGCTTTTCGCAGGGCAAGACAGTATCCCTCTTGTCTGAATCCTGGAGGAAACCAAACATAGACTTCCTCATCAATTGTGGCATGTGTAAATGCGTTGACTGCGTCCAATTGAAGAGTCTCTAAGTCAAATCTCGCCACAATTGCCATGAGACTTCGCAGCGATATACCAGCAAGCGTTGAGGCATAGGTCTCTAGTTCATTTGTCGGTTGGAGATCTCCTCGAACACAGATCCTCGCTTTGAACTTCTTGAGATATCCTTTGCTGCCCTTATATGTGAATACCCACTTCAATGGGATAATTCGCTGAGTGTCTTGATCAATATTGCCAAGATCAATCATTTCAAACGTGCCCATTTGCCATAGTGATCTGTTCTCAATATTCATTGCAGCAATCCATTTGTGACTGTATTGGTGTTTGATCGCTTCACTGTAATTCTTTGGAACTGGTGGAAGTGTCTTTTGGTGTGGATTGCCTAAATCATCTGCTGATGCATCCCATTGATCTCTTCCTTTTACTGTATCCGTAGATTGCAGTGTGAAGTGGGATTCTCTTGCTCTTCTCAGTCTTTGTGATGATCTTGTTGCTTCTGGTGGCTGTTGATTTGTTTGACCAAGAGGGGCTGATCGATTGTAGATGTTGTGATTTCTGCTGCCACGAGGTCTTCCCCTTCTCGCTATGTTTGGGATTACTGTGGAGGAATCTTGTGGTATGATTTCTTCTGGTTCCAATTCTATGACTGGTGTCTGTTGTAGTTCGAGTCGGTCTGTTGAGGTTTCCTCTATGGTCTCACTTTGATCCGATTGTTCTGGAGTTGGCGATACTTCTGGAGTTTCTGGAGTCTCCCTCACCCCCTCAGTTGTTTGAGAATCTGACAGCTGTACTGTTGGTGATAGAGAAGTGGGTGTAGGTAATTGAAAATCCCCTGATTCTTTCTCCTGCATCGGTGTTGCCGGTGTTGTTTCTTGAGCGGCTGGATTCGAGGCGGGTAGTGGCCCGGTAATATTATCGCTGAAATCTTCTCCATCCCAGCCAGCTGTGTCTAGGTCTTGTTCAATTGGATTTGTGAATGGGATATCCATTTCTGTGAACTGGAATTCAAGTTCCATTTGGCTTAACTTGCTGGTATCCTCAATCCTTGGATCATACAGCGTGTTTTCGTCGAAAGTAACGTCTCTAGTTCTCATGACTTTTCCTATTGCTGGGATCCAGATTCTGTAGATATTTGTGCTGTCATAACCACATAGATAGCCAATATGAGCTCTTGGCGCAGTTTTGTTTGACTTTTCTATTCCTCTCTTGTAGTTTTGTGTCAAGGGGTAAGCTCTGCAGCCATATCGCCTCAAGTGTGCTAGTTGTGGCTTTTCAGCCCTCTTGTGGGTAGACTGTTGATGAGAGTTCAGCCAAGTGTTGACCAACCCCAATGGTGTCTGCCACTTGTGGCGTCTTCGAGGCAATCTGTTTGACAGATAAACTGCTGCTTTTGCCAGCTCTGGTGCCATCAATTCAGGAAAGCGAGATTGAAATCGAAGTGCTCTCATGATCATAAACACAGCACCTCCAGCTCTTTCTGCTGGGTTTTGAGCACCAGTGTACTCAGCTGATCTTTCAATCATATATCCATTCACAGCTGCCCATAGTTCAAACGCATTGCGTAAAGCAACCTCCCAATCTAGGCGTAGAATAGAGATTTTGATAAAGCACTGTCTCTCGAGGTATGCTGCTAATTCTGTCATAGCTTGTAGTCCCTCCTTTCGAGTACGAAGAGTTCTTATCCAGAAGAACCCTGACCAGCCATCGCTGACCAGCAGGATTACCTTCTCCCCATTGTATGCTTTGCTAAGTGTAAAGAAGTCGAGAGATAGATAATCTCCTACAGCAGTTGGCCAATGGTCTGGGTTTCTGCGGGAAATTTGGCGAGTTGCCTTCCCAACAGCACAGGCATCACATTCCACTTTTGTGATTCCTTTTATCTGTATCCCAAGAGCTGTTTTAAGTAGCTGTTCCAGTCCCTCAGCGCCTGGATGACCAAGTCTCTCATGCCACAACTTGGCTTCTGCTGATGATGTTGGGAGTGGTTGTCTTGTTGACTGAAAACCTTTGGTTGGTTTCCTTTCTACGGTTGGGCTGAATCTCACAGTCTTCTCGGTATTGCTGAACGAGGTATTGTTCAGCAGAGCTGGGCCAGCTTCAATAATGTATTGACCATATCGGTTTGGTGTTTTGAATAGAAGTCTGCCTTTTGAGTCGATAAGACCCGGTATTCCTGTTGTAAAGATGATCCCTTTTTGCTTCAGCGGTTCTGTCCCAAGGAGCGATGTTGGGTATCCAGGCACAAGCCATACATTTCTGACTTTGATCTCCTTGTTGTTGGATTTGCCGCCTTGGTTTGGTTTGATGATCATTGTGCCTTTCGCAATTGCATGTACATCTCCTCCTCCAGTGGTGAAGTCTTTTGTGACTGTGTAGTCGAGATCATGAAGTCTTGAGGAGTCGTTGCAGATGTGGAATCCTGTTCCTGAGTCTACTATCACACTGTCTGACAGTGGGAATCCTGAATAGAGACTTGCTTCTCCTTGATTGACGATAGTGACGAAAGATGAGAGTGATCCTTCTCCATCAGACACTTCTTGAGTATAGTGGGATGATGATTGTGTAGTGTTTCTCCAGTTTGAGGAAGATGTTGCTCGATCTGGGGACTTTTGAGACTGCTGATCGCTTGCCCCTTTTCGTAGTTTTTCAACTATTCTCTTTAAGTGTGGTTTCTTCTGGAGATACTCATTCAATCTTTCCAGTGCTTTCTTATTTTCTGGATTATCTTCATGATAGTTTGGGCCTCGCTTCTTAGGGTTGGCATGTTTGCAATCAACAAATCGGTGACTTTCGTTTGGGCAAGCTGCACACTTTTGCTCTCGTTTTGCCCCCTGTTTTATTCCTTGTTCGTTTTCTCCTTGCCAAGTAGCGAAACTCGTGTCTTTTAATGGAGCAGCATTCAGCCAGTCTGGGTGGAAAGTTCTCACCCAACTGCGGAAATCGTTAGCTTGCTCAATTCCAGCAGTCTTGCTGATCGAACTGTAGGTTGGGTCATCCTTGTATCGCTTTGTGAAGTCGTAAGAGGCAGATGTGTAGTAATCTGGTGCAATTTGCTTGACTGCTTTCAAGAACTCAGAGACTTGAGTAACTGGATCGCTGAGAGCAGGGATTCCGATTGTTTGGGCTTCATCCATGATTTCTCGATAGATTATGAGCCATCCTCCAAGTTTTGCTCTTTTGATTGATAGCATATGCTTGTTATATCTTTCCAATACCATTTGTTGTCTCCCAAAGTTGTCTGGCGCTAGCTGTTTTTCAAGAGCTTTTATGATATCCCTGACTGTTTGCTCCTTGCTGACTTGGCTGATATAAGTGGCTGCTACAGTGTTCATGATCCAACTGTGAATTTCTAGAAGACTTCGCCGAACCTGGTTGTATTGGTCTTTTTCTTCTTGATAGATAGCTTTTCCATAGCTGATAACGTTGCTATAGTTTGCTCGTTCTTCTTGTCTGAGGTCTTTTGGGTCTGGGAATTCCAATCTTGGCTTAGTATTAATCTTGGTTCCTTTTGGATTCACATAGTCCCAGACTTCATGAACGTTTGCCAGCATCTGTAAGTTGTTGAACCAGTGGTTCCAGTCGCTGTCAGTCTGTAGCCGCTGTGTGTATTTTGCAGTTTCCGTAGTTGAATTCATGATCTCTCTTGAAAAGAGAACTGGTCTCTCTCTTCTGATCGTTGTGCAGTTGGTTTTTCGCCGTGGCCAAGATTGAGTTCGTGACTAGACACTTCTTGTTTCAAGTTGGTGATTTTGTCGATTGTTGCCTAGAGGTTTGAGGGTATATAGCCAATCTCAACGCCTCAATTCTCAACAAAACGCAAGACGCCCCCCCTGTCTAATGAACCTGCCGTTTAGTGTAGTTGGTCTAGCCACCCAACTTGTAGCTATTCGCAAGGACCGTAAGACTGGCAAGCTCCCCTTCGTGGGTTCAATTCAGGGTTGTGGAGTTTTCGCAATTTGTAAAAAGTCTTATCGGTTCCGTTACACGAAGACTATAAAGTGAACCACCTGTTCGTCTTATCTGCCCGAAGCTTTCAGAGGCATAAAATGAGCAACTAGGTGTCTCTTCCGTTTCGTAATTCCAACCCTCCTGGCTGCGTATCAGTGGTATGGTCGAGCATGAACTTATATAAGGTTCAAGTTAAGAGTCCTGGGTTCAACTCCTCAGATGTGGTAAGTCCCCCTGAGTTGAGATGAACTTTTTGTGATTTTTTGATAAGTGTTGATGATATGAATTGATGACCAGAAGTTCTTTTGTGATTGAATGTTTCAACACTTCAACGTTCAGCCTTGTGTGATTGGAATTGATGTTTTGTTTGGTGGACTTGACTGCCAAAGTCTCATGGGTCGGTAACTTCGTCAATTGAGTGCCCTTGTCTATGGCATAAGTCTGAACTGCTCCCTTCTGGAAGTCGGTTTTTCAATTGGTAATTGTCACCATGAGGTACTGGGCTCATAACTGTCACGCAGTCAATTTGCCCACCACTTATGGGGTAAAAAAAGATGCTTCCATTCATTAGAGACTGTCTAGGGGTTATTGGGTTGATTATATAACCGTCTATTCGGTAATTACCGATTTGAAGGTTTTCATGCACAAAATGACATCCCCGTTAGTTTTATATGGGAAACAATAGCCGGGTGCATGGGTTGAATGCATGCCCCGATATATGCAGTGGTCCGTGTGACACAAAGCCAGCCGCAACCCAATCGTCGTCAATAAGGAGAAAAACAGCCATCTATCCCGTTTTCTCACCACCTCCACAAACAATTTTGATACCCCCTTTCCCCCCTATATTCCGCAGTTTCTTTCCTTTGGTATATATCAGAAGCCTATATCAAAGATGGTACGTGTCATTCCCATATTTTCTGCGGCAGACGTTGAAAAAAAAAAACCCCGTCGTTGCATGATGCCCGTCTCTAACATATGAATTTACCCCTCCAGGCGTCAACCACAAAACAGCGCCTCGCGGTCGCAATCTGCGAATTCCTCTCGTCTTCCGTCGCCGACGGCACCGTCCCCGCCGACGACAAGGACTCCATCGACGTCGCCATCCAGTGCATCGCCGACTCTTTCAAGGTCGACCCCTCCGACAAGAAGCAGCTCGCCGACGCCGTCGGAACCCAGAACCTCTTCCAGATCTACGCCGTCTACGAGTCCCTCAAGAAGGCAAAGGAGCAAAACGCCGCTTCTTCCGCCTCCGCCTCAACACCCGCCGCAAATGCTAATGCTTCTGCTTCCGCTTCCTCAAAAGTACCGACCGAGGAGGAGAAGAAGGAGGCCGACTCCCTCAAGTCCCGCGGCAACGCCGCCATGGCCTCAAAGGACTACGCTTCTGCCATCGCTCTGTACACCCAGGCTCTGGCCCTGAACCCCGGCAACGCCGTCTTCCTCTCCAACCGTGCCGCCGCTCACTCCGCCAACAAGGACCACGAGTCCGCCAAGGCCGACGCGGAGGCCGCCGTCGCCATCGACCCCGCTTACACCAAGGCCTGGTCTCGCCTGGGTCTGGCCCGCTTCGCCCTCGGCGACGCCAAGGGCGCCATGGAGGCCTACGGCAAGGGCATCGAGTACGAGGGCTCTGGTGGTTCCGAGGCTATGAAGAAGGGCTACGAGACGGCCAAGCGCCGTGTTGAGGAACTGGAGCGCGACGAAGTTGATATGCCTCGCTCCTCTCCTGGTGCCGGCGCCGGCGCTGGAGGCATGCCTGACCTTAGCAGCCTGGCGAGCATGCTCGGCGGAGGCGGAGCCGGTGGTGGTGCCGGTGGTATGCCAGACTTCAGCCAGATCATGAACAACCCCATGTTCGCCAGCATGGCCCAGAACCTGATGAGCAACCCTGAGCTGATGGGTAACCTCATGGGCAACCCCCGCTTGCGTGAGATGGCCGACCGCTTCGGTAGCGGCGGTGGTATGCCTGATATCAACTCTTTGATGTCTGACCCCAACATTGCTGAGATGTAAGTTTTTTTTTTTTTTTTTTCCTCTCTTCCAGGGTGAGAAACACCAAACTGACCAAACTACACAGGGCAAGAAACATGATGGGAGGTGGAGGTGCCCCTGGCGGAGGTGCCCCTGGTGGAGGTGCTGGTGCTGGTCGAGGAGGCTCCTCGTAAGAGGGTTGAAACACGTGGTTCAAAAGTGTCCTGTTAAAAGGCTGATGCCGTTTGTTGATGACGGCGATAGAGCCAAAAAATAGTGGCTCAATAGACCCCAACTTACGTCGAGATAAATGAGATACCGATGCATGAATAAAAGACCATTCACAATTTTAACAATAAAGCGGAGGCACTTGGGAGAACACAACCTTGAGGCCAAGGAAATAAATTCATCTTTTAATTAAGGCTTTTGTCATGAACATGCCCACCACCAATTGTTTTACACCACGTCTAATCTAAACTCTGTTTTCCTTCATTGCTCAACTATTTGTATTCTTGAGTTTTGATGAGCTTTTTAATCGCCGACCTTCTAGTCGTTTTGGCCACATGTGTGTGATAGGCCGTGTTGTCATAATGATGACAAGACAGAGAGATGACCTAGTCTCACACCGGCTCAAGTGAGCCCTCTGTCTAGATGATACCGTCGAGCCTCCAAGAGCAGGAAAACAAGGCCCGTTTAAAAACAAAATTAAAAAAGAAAGTCAGTATTACAGGAACTTCGAGGCCAGCCTGGAACTCAGCAAAGAGTAATTAACAAGCCAGCCATGACATGAGCAAGGAAAAGAGTAGGCGAATGGAAGCCTCAGCCGACGTGATTGCTAGTCCGAGGTAGATTGTTGGTTTGGGCCGGAGCGCCAGACAACTTTGTATGATTTTGGCGACCGCGCCAACGGCTTCTGCCCCGGTAATACCTTCCCCTATGGTTTGACTGCTGTACCGTAGTAGCGTCTGAAGAGGGTCGGGATGTCTGAGGTTCATCGTTTTCTTTGAGAGGAGAAATCATGGCTGTCGAGTGGCAAATGACATTAGAGGCCTCAGACACTTCGCATTTAGGAACCTTCTTGCTCGGTGAGGCTTGCTTAGCGACGATAGCCGCGGATGAAGCAACAACCGTGTGTGGCAAATTGTTTGCGGCATCCAAGTGCAGTGCCGGTGCAGATACCCGCCGTATCTCCTATTATACTGTTAGCGTTGCTGCCCATATTCGCCTTACTAAGAGGCAATGCTTACGGAATTGGAGTCCTCAGCGCTACCCACCTCCCCTCGAGTCTCCTCCGCAAGCTGTCCTGTGGAGTCGCTTTTTGAATTGAAACGGCGAGAAGAAGCGTGAGGATATCTGAACTGAGGTAAATCCACCTTGATGACAGTGTCGACACTTTCGCTGTCCGAGGCATTGGCCTCCTCGGCTACGGTGTCCTTTTGTAGAATGTTTCTGGAGGATTCATCGATGGATGTCGGGGGGCTGGCCCAATTCGTAGTTGATACACGATTAGACGAAACCGTGGGCACCTCAGTTGGGGTACCAATTTTGAATGATGGGACTGCTACTACTGTCTTGACTGCGGCTTTAGGTGTGAACTCGGGAGCAACTGGGTTCAGCTTGGGGCCCTAAGTACACAATCATTGGTTAGAATCTGCCAAAGACGAATCTTCGGCTGACTCTACCTCTTTCTTGTGACCTGGGGTCTGAGCCTGATTGCCCTTATCGTTTTGAGTTGGCGTAGGCTGAGAGCCCTGATTCTTTTGGGAAACGGAATCGGCCTTGGTTGTGGAGACAGCACCCGGCTCGGAGGCATCGCCGTTGCTATTGCTGGGCTTCTTTCCGTCAACTGACTCGTCATCCTTGGGCTTCAGGAAGGTCTGTTTTGACCACAGGTCGGCATATCTGCCATTTGCAACGACAAGGTCGGCGTGATTACCCTGTTCGACGACCTCGCCGTCTTCAATTACCACAATACGATCAGCGTTCATAATGGTCGACAACCGGTGGCTAGTTTTACGCTTGTCAGTATGTAACACTTAAATTAAAACAGATAAAGTAATGTCAAGAAACTCACGCAACAATGAACGTTGTTCGTCCTTTACAAAGCTGCATAAATGATTGCTGGATCTTCTGCTCTGTGTCGGTGTCTACAGAACTCGTAGCCTCGTCAAGAAGGACAATTTCAGGCTGTTTGAGTATAGCACGGGCGATGGCAACGCGCTGGAGCTCGCCACCGGAGAGTTTGCTACCCAAAGTTAGCACATTATGTTGCCAGTGATTCAGGAGTGCCTACATTCCACGCTCACCGACTCGCGTGCTGTAACCGTCGGTAAAAGTCATGATCTTATCATGGATACAGGCTGCTTTGCAGGCTTCGAACACTTCGTCGTCCGAGGCCGTGATCCTTGCGTAGCGGATGTTGTTTATAATCGTGTCATCAAATAGGACGGGGTTTTGGGGAACCAAACCAATTCGGTCTCGTAAGCTGTGAAGGTCAACGTCACGGACATCCTGTCCATCAATCAGAATGGCTCCTTCAGTGGAGTCGTAAAATCGGTTGAGCAACTTCAGCATGGTGGATTTGCCAGCGCCAGTAGCACCGACAAAGGCAACAGTCTGGCCCCCGGGAACAGAAAGGCTAATTCCGTTGATGATTTTCTTTTTCTTGTCGTAGCTGAAGCTGACATCATTGAAATCGACGTTGCCATCAATTAATTTTAGCGGGCGGGCTCCCTTCTTGTTAACAATGGTGGGTTGCTTCTTCATGATGTCTAGCAGTCTCTCAGCATCAATAAGATCGCTTCCAATTTTCTTTCCAAGGCTTGCCATGAAACGAAGAGGCGATGTAAGCTGAGCCCAGTACATCAACAACATGGTCAGGTCACCAGGAGTGGCCTTTGAGTTCTTAATTCTGTATACAGCCAGAACGGCGCCAGCTAGGAGGCCGCACAGCAAGACGAGAGACTGGAAGGCTTGCGCAGTGAACCAACCCAGGCGTACGCGCTTAGTCCAGTTGATGCGAGTGTGGATTGCATTCGAGTAGCGTACATCTTCGTAGGTGGTTTGGTTGAAAGAAGCGACGGTGTGCCATCCTGAAATGCCCGTCTGGCGTACGTAGTGCTCAGCGTACTGAGCATTCACATGAGCTCTTCGGCGCTCTTTCATAACAGAAATCATCTTGGTGGCAATGAACAGAAAAAGGGTGCTCGTGGTGATAGTAATGAACCCTTCATATGGGCCAAGAGTGACAGAAAGATAGACGACGGCGACAACCAAGTCAATCAGCATGGGGAGAGCCTGGAAACAAATGGACTCCAGAAGGTCGGAGATGCTAGAACCTCCGTACATTGCCAAACTGATGTCAGATGTGCTTTTTGAGTCATGGAAATCGGCTGAAAGGTTGAGGATGTGTCGGTAAGCAGCTGTGCTCAAGGCCCCATCTGCGTAAACCTCAAGTGGAAGGTACAACCACTCTCGCAGAAATTCGATGCCTGCGTCGGAAGCAGCAATTCTCAGGAGGCCGTAGATGGCGACGCCAATCCAGGCGCTGCTGAAATCTTTGTCCTTGAGTTCGTCGACAATGATACCAAATTGGCGTGGGATGAGCAGATTTAATGCATTGCCGGCAAGGAGGCAAAGACCAACAAGGATAAGACGCAGCTGTAGTGTCCTCTGGCCAACAGGCCAGAAGTAAGGGAACAGAATCTGGAAACAAAGTCAGATCGTGTGTCTCGCGATACCAAACAAGGGCAAAAAGCAACGTTTGGCGTCGTAAGCTTACCGTGAAGCCTTTGATATATGTGAGCCAATTGCCCTCTTCCTGGAGGCGCTTCTCCATCTCCTCCTGCGCCTTCCGCTGACGCTCTTCCCAATAAGACTCGGGCTGGTTGGTCGACCCGTAGCCCGAGCTTGAGCTCTGACTGCCGCTTCCAGAGCTGTTGAGGCGTGACTTCGGGTCATCTTGAGCAAGAAGAGATTGCCTTTCTTCGTCTGAAGCCCCTTCCTGAGTGGATCGGATGCGCTGAACAACGTAGATGGAGGAGATGGTGAGAAGAAGGTAGTATCGTAAGCCAGCAAACGCAAGATGGCCAATGCGGCAGTACTCAAAGGTGATGGAGTGGCGAAGGATGAGATCTGGCACTGCAATGACGGGCTCGAGGACGATTGAGAGGATCCATGAGCCCCAATAGGGAGTCCAAACTGGATGTTTAGTATCAGACAGGAAAGCTAGTTGGGTTCCAAAGACGAGAACGCAAGACAGGAGTCCAATAACTTCGTGTTCTTGACCGGTCCATTCTTGACGGATGATGGACTGAATGAAGATAAGGGAGAGCTGGGCGACATAGGTCAGGACGAAGGCGACGAAGAGGTTGACGATCCACAATCGCGGGATGTTTTCTTTCCCAGGGTTGCTGGAGGCCTTGAGAGTCTGGAGAGTGCAAACGGCAACGGCGGATGCAATGACGAAGTAGGTGAAAGCGAGAGCCGGATAGACATAGTGAAGGCTTTCAAGAAGCTCCTCGAGGGACGCCATTGCGGCGTATTGGGACGGCAATGGGTGGAGTTGAATGAGCCGAGTGATTGGAGAGAGTAAGATGGTTCGGAACGAGAATGGCGGCTAGTTATCCGCACCGAATGCCAAAAAGAGCGAGCAAAGGTCCCAACGAATGCAGGTGGTCGGGGAGGATGTGGATGTGAAGCCGGGGAGAAGATGATGGGTGGGTGGATGACGGAGGATTGCTGACAGGTTGAACAGGGGGTCGGGGCTGTAGCCGGAGCTCAGGTAGGTATGAGCAAGGTAGTCTGATGTTTAGACCCCAGGGAAAGCAAGGAAGAGGCAAGACTGGGGACGGCGGGAAGCCGGGTGCCAAAACGTCTGATGGATGTTTCGTTTCCTTCCCCGGAAGTCTTTTGAGGCCGAGCTGAACAAACTACAAGCCAGGAAGAGGTAGTTGTTGTCGACCAGACCTGAGCGGGCAGAAGTCAGTTTCGCCTATTGTTTTCATTCGATTTCGGCAAGATGTAAATAAGATAAAAGCAGGGCAAGGCAAGACGGTGCAAGGAAGCAAGGTACCTTTTGTTACCCTTAAGAAATGCAAGTCTAGCCAGGGAGCGATGCCGGCTAAAGGGTAACCAGATCTGATGTCGCTGCAACAACCCTGGAGGAGGTGTTCCAATTAAAGCAGGTTGGACAAGTACCTTTATGGAAAGTTCAAGTGCCAGATGAGTCCAATGACGGGAAGGGCCGTAAGGCAACGAAACCCCCAGATCTGGACCTCTTAGAACCAAGTGTAAGAAATGGGAGAGGAGACAAAAAAAAAAAGACCTTCTGTTCTATGTTGAACCAATGGAAAGGCTATGTCTGACCAGAGGGAACGTGAACCAGGTCCGTTACTACCTTAATCCTGGGTATCAAGCGCAAATGAGGACAGCACGTCTCAGAAGCGGCAGCTGCAGGGGACAAGCTCTTGCAGTTTGCAGCTGCAAAACTAAGGCAAGTAACTTGCCTGTCGTGGGCCAATCCTCCCAGGGAAAGTCCAAGCAGCAAAGAGCAGGGCTGTAAGGCGGGTGCGGCAGGATGGGGCCGGTGATGGAGAAAGCTGCGGGTAGGAAGTCAGGACGGGACAAGAAGGGAAACGACGTTCCTTCTCCCTGGGTTCTCAAAGAAACTGGGCCTAGAAAAATGCAACCCAAAACGTGCTGTCCTGGTAATCACTCCCAACCGTCTTGTCTTGCTTTTTTTTTTTTTTTCCTTGCTCCCCTGTCTGTTCGCCCTGCGTTACGTTATGCTGTTATTGCTGCTGCTTTGATGTGCAAGCGAACCCTGACCGAATCAAAAAAGAATGTCTCTGTTCCGTGTAACACCAGTACAAGGTCAGGATGATTTTGGGACAGTTGAGATGGGATGGGATGCCAGGGAGAGATTCTGCAACCACCTCTTTTTTTTCCTTACTCCCTCGGCTCACCCTGCTTGGCGAATGGATGATAGCCTGACGGAATGCCCTTTAGATTTCTCAGATAACGGATCCTCCGGGTATCACTTCCTGCAGGTACGTTGCTAGGTCGCCCCTGCTTCGATGCCGCGCGCCGAGAAACAAACCCGTGGATGGCCACGCAGAAGTCCAGCTGTTTTCACACTGCAGGTTGATCCCGTGTCGCCTCGAGGACCGGACAAGTGGCCTAGTTTGCCTGTGCCACCTTTCTGAGCCCGGAGTGGTTTTCGAGCCAAGGCAGAGCAATGACGAGAGAATAAGCGGAGGGTCTGAGTGAAGACAGCTGTGCTACTCAATCTGCAGTCGTAATGCGCACATACACGCACCCACGCCCTGGATAGTAAGCTGACGATTATGACTGGGTCTTCTAGGCAATCAACAAGGGTTTGCCGCTGCCGATATCCTTTTCCGATGTTTTTCGTTCAAGGGGTTGATTCGTCGTCGACGGTTTGGCCTGGTACAGTGAGATGCTGATCGGAAGACAAGACAAGAAACGACGTTGGTTTGCGTGCGACAGGTTCGACGGGAAATATTTGAATCAGCTATTGAGGTGCTGCCCTGACTCAGATGTCCATCAAGGTCCCAGATTTGCAAACAAATGAGCATGGCACGAAAGAAGGTAGATGTGGATACACAGAGTTGCCCAGTTGAGCCGTGTCGTTTGTCGAAATGGATCTTCTGTCCCGTTTATTTGCTCCAGCTGGAAGTCCGTGGCAAGCCAGAGACAAGTCGAAGTCAAAGCGAGGTGACACCGACGCTGGCAACGATTTCTGTCGTGCGCCGACGTCGCAGATCGGGGCGTGCTTATTCGCAAGTGCGTGGGGAATTGAAGAAGATGGGTCGTGGTGGTGCAAGCGCGAGCTTGGCATCACAGGAATCGTGGGAACGGGACGGGAGTCGCGGGCCTTTAAGCCATGTCACCGTTCTATATCATTGATGACTCCTGGGTGCCTAGCACCTGAGGCAGTCAACGGTTGCACAAGTTGCACACTGGGTTGCCTAACTTCATACGAGATGCTGGAAACAAACCCAAAACAACCACAGGCAACCGACCTGGCGAACCCAACGTTCCATCAAGAACCTCTTAGAGATCCATGACAACCTCCTGCGCGCCGCCGGGCGGCTCTGCTGCCTGCATTCAGGCATTCTCCGGGGTTCGTCTTACATGTCAGCATTTTCCACCTTCACCAATGGCTGCAGCGTGCAGAATGACATAAGAGATTACACGAGAAAACGAACTCTCTTCGATGCATTCGGAGCCTTGTCTTTCCTCGACAGGCTGCGGCTCCGCTGAGTGTTAACTGTGGTGGCCGTGAGGGGCATAGGTACCATGAGCCAGTAAGAGAATAAGAAAGATAAAGAGAAAGTAGGATGGTGGAATGGATGGATGTACAGGATGGCAGGACACCCATTCACCACACAGCGCGGCGGAGTACCCCAGTCGGGGATCATTGAGAACTCCATGCGCGCCTGGGGCCCATGTAACCCTCTGGACGAGCAGCAGCAAACACGGACATAGCCAAGCGATTCTCACAGTACAGCCGCTGCTTCAACGTTCTTCCAATTTATCCACTCATCCTCCCAGTACTGCCCAACACTTCACTTAGTCTTTATCTACCGCAGCTACTGTCTGTTTATTGCCCGTTGCCTCTACAGATATTATGATACACCCTCTTTTCACATCTGTTAACTTCGCCTTAGTTGCAGCAGGGAGGCTCAACAAGTACCTGATTTCTCAGCTTGTGGTGTCGAGCGCCAATCAACTCCCACCTCATCAGCATCCGGTACTGCATGGCGCGAATCCCTGGCCATAAGCAGACTGTACATCCCTGTCAATATGCAAGGCACTCGCTGCCACTCATCCCCCAGAAGGCCTACAAACTGCAGAGCGTGCAGCTGGTCGCCAACAAAATCATTAAACAGGAACCATTCGGTTGGGTGATTTGGGAAACCCCGTTTCGAAACATTTAACCCTCTGTTAATGCAACGCCAATGCCGAATAGGACATTATCATGATCCAATGACAACCGCAGACCAGGCTCTTGGGCTTCCCAGTCAACCCGCCTGGAGGCCTTCCGGTCCTCCGAAGACCAGAAAGCAGAAGACGCTTACCGGATTGCAAACGCCCAACAGTTGCGTCGCCAAGCGCCGTGCCTCCGGCCTGTCTCACCGCTCGTGATCTCGATGGTATGAAAAGCAATATTTTACCAGCACCCCTGGCTGGATTGCAAGGGCATCCTGTTACACCTAGCCATTTTATCTTGTCAGTTTCCTGGTAGACGTGTTGGGGTTTGATGACTCTAGTCTGTTTTCGCCAGGCTAAGGAGGCATTCGAGTCAACTCCCCCCTGGAAGCTCGGTTTTGCCATTTGGCTATCGAGAAAAGGTTGTGCAAATGCACATCTCTTTAACTGACACCTGCAGATGATATTCATTATAACGGTTTCTTTTTTCGCCCCCTTCCTCGATTCAATTTTCTTGCAGACGATGCTCTTAATGCCGGCCTCCCCGCTTCTCAATCTACGCGGGTACGGTTGCCAGTCGGCCGAGCAAAACTCAATCCCCGCGCCTCGGCCCCGTGGCCCATGAGGTCTAGACACTCAACTGCCCCATACACTCCATACCTTGCGTTCCCATCGGAGTCTGCTAATGTCACAAAGGAAAACGTCAAAAAATGAAGTCAATCGCTGACGGGAATTGAGCCCGACGTGGCTGGAATGTTGTTAGACCGGGTGGTCACATGAGGAGGATCAGATAAGCACTTACGGGTCGAACCCACAACCTTGAGATTAAGAGTCTCACGCTCTACCGATTGAGCTAGCCGGGCAAGCGGCGTTGGTTAGTGGACGGGTTACCGCAAGGTGGCTCTCATGTTGCGGCGCCCCGTTGCAACAACCCCGCCTGACTGAGTCCTGTTCACAGTAAAGAACTGTCATGTCTGAGATATCTCTATGATGGAAACAGGAACGTTGGTCCCTAAAGTACGGGAGCCTGTGCGCGTCTCCAGTCAAGCATTGCTTCTTAAGGCTGGGGACGGTGGATTGGCCGGGTGGCGTGTGAGACACCACATGCCTGTGCTACACTGTGTGGCATGCTGACTGCATACCAATCCAACAGTTGGAATGCTCACAACCTGATGAGACGAGGCAGATCGGGGCCTGGTGGAGAATCGAATTTTGTTGCCCTACGAGATACTGTCTTTCATTGAGTCACCAGGATCAACAAGCCTTGTGGCTTACTGAGATTCCAACACAGCTTCCTCAAGTACGGCGGCTCCGTATGTTCGGGAGGCAGGAAGATGCGGAGCCGCAAGGAGATGAGGCCAACCAGGCTGAGTCCCTCCGACGCATGTTTTTTGTCTTTGGCTAGTAGTCACCACTTTTAACCTTTATGCCGAATTTAGCCATCGATATGGTGCCATTATCTCCCTTCAATAGACATGACAAATAGACTCCGTAACGACTCACCGCTTCTCCGTTCGTAGGTCTGAAAGTTAGTAGTAATGGACATTGCGCTTCGCTCGGCGCATTCGCAAGCTCAGCATAGCCATAATCACAACCTGGTCGATGACCTCACCAACAGAAAACCGTATGTCTCGTGTAACAGGGCTGTGAAACGGGCGCTGCTTCTTGGCTCTCCCTGGTAAGGGAGATGTTTGAGCCTCTCCTTCCCCCTTTTTATGATATCCCGAGCAGGGCCCAAGAGGGTTTGTCATAAACAACGACCAGTGATTCCGGAGGAGTATGGGGATCTCTCATTACGTTTAGGAGATCAGCGTGTCAGGTCTTATATGCCGCATTCCTCAAGATGATGAACTCAGGTAGCTTCTTATTGTTTGACTGCTTCAGCTTGTAAAGAGGATGGTCGTCAATGTAATTTTCCCGAGTTTCTTTGGTATGTGAGTCCGTCATTGGCAAGTACTTTGGCCAATCCTACGTTGAGGTAGCATATCTGTGGCTCTGGGAATCGTAGGCTACAGCGACCTAGGTGCTGAGCAGGCTGCGCGACAACCGGATGGCAGATCATTTTGAATATCGGTGTATTGCTCGGTGGGAGATTCTGGGTAATCTATTAGCCACATACATTAATACTTGCCGCTTCGTTTTCTGTATTCATTTTTCCTTCGATGGTGTTTTCTCGCCCACCACCATAGAGACGTCGAAAGGAATCACGACGACATGATGAAATGTCGTCGCCGGCGTAGCACAAGGCGGCTCTCAGAAACACTATAATCTACACTTTCAATAATGACAGAAGCATGCTATTAGTTGATTATGGTTCGTTACAATGTGTAGCGGAATGATGACAGAACAGAGTCCTCGAGCTCTTGACGACGCATCTTCGGTTTCTGTCAGCGTCCAGAGTTACTGAGTGACCTTGAGGCTCCTGGAGCATCATAACAAGACAATGGAAACATCCCCATCGCCGGTCTAGCGCAATCTTCGACTTCATGACAGACAAAATCACCAAAATCACTTTGGGCACACATCAACACGGACCAAGACTCATTCTTTTTTAAAGGCTATCGACGCCTATTCAAAAGGCAGTAGCCACTTAAGGCCCCTGCCCTTTCCAAACTACTTCATCATCGTAGTCGTCTACGTTCTATTTAGAACACGCGGTACTCGTTCGCACGCTCCTCCACTCCCCGCATATACTCGGCGTAGGTCTGGGGACCTGACACCGGGCGAGATGTCGGGGAGGGAGAGCGGCGTGGGTAGACGGGGTTGGCGGGCGCGCGGGCGCGGGCCAAGGCCTCCTCGGTCAGAGGGGGAGGAGGTGGGAGACGGGTGCCGTAGGGCAGCGAGCGGAGACGGCCCGCGGGGTCCTGTTTGGAAGGTATTAGCACGGGCTACGCCGGCAATGGAGATGGAAACAGGGGGGGAAACCGGCGCGAGATACGGAAGTGATGGAGCCTTTTGGGGGTTTACTTACGATCCAGCCGCGACCGACACCGATGCCCTCGTAGAGGCGGGTGGCCTGGGCAGACATCTCCTCGGGGGAGAAGCCGCCGGGGCGAGACACACCGTCGGAAGAGGAACGGCGGCGACTGTCCTAGGGAAGCCGACCGAAGCCACTATCTTCAGGGCTGAGGCTGTCCTCGTCGTCGCTTCCGTAGGTGCGGCGGCGAGCGGGCAGGCCACGCTGGCTTTCGGCAGCACCGGGGATGTCAATCGGAGCCACGGTAGTCGCAGTGTAGTCACGGTGACGAAAGTGATGAGCGGCGGTGTCAGAGACGCGACGGAGGTCGGGAACAGGCACGCCATCAGCACCACGACCATGGAGGGGGTCGAGAGGGCGACGGTCCAAGGCGGAGCCAACGAGCAGACGACGCGATGAGGCAGGCGAGACGGGTCGGCCGCGGGGGGGGCTCAAGACAGGAAACTGGCCATCGGCGTCACGGATACGAGCGCGGCCTCTGGGTTCCTCTTGCTCGGGCGTGTTGCCTCTGTTCTGTATCGCCGTCAGTACTCTCTTAGGATCCAGTGAAGGGGTGGAAGCCACATACGGGAGCGTCATAGGGTTTTCCACGAGACATCTTGGGTGCCTTCTGAGTGGTATATATGACTATTGATGTCAGCAATCTGGTAAATGGAACTGTTGAGTTGAGACTTACGTCAATCAATAGAGCATTTGCAGAGAGAAAGGCGGTCGAATAGGTGGAAATGTGGACGAGTTGTAAACGCAGTCCGACGAAAGAACTCGGCGCTCCAAGGACTTGCAAGGAGAATGGTGAGCTTGAGGAAGAGAAAGAGGGCAGAGAGAAAGAATTGAAAGGAAATAAGTTAGGGTTGGATCTTTTTATTGTTCAGTGATGATGTCGTTAGGGCTTCACAACGAATCGCCGACTTCAATCATCAGCTTGAAAGGGCAGAGGGTGCGGCGGGCACCTCTCGTGTTGCTGCTCGTGACCCTAAACCGAGAGCTGCATGACCAACCCACAGTAACTGGACTCATCAATGAATGAAAGAGGTGACGAGGTGTAAACCATGTTGATGGGTAGCAATCTGATTTCCTATGAAGCGTAATAACCTCCAGACTCAAACATCCCGAGTGACCTTCTCTCTCCAAGCACCTGCCTTTAAGTGACAGATGCCCTCTCGATCTAGGAGTCTCCAATGCCAGTCAACTTGAAGCAAGTAAGCTCCTTAAGCCATTCTGACTCCCGTTAGTAACGCTAATGTCTTCTTTCTTGCCTCCACAAGCATTGAAATATGCAGCATATTAATCCATTCCAATGACGTATTGGGATTAGAGCATCAGAAGCGGTGCTTGCTGTCTCTCAAGACCCTGCTGATTCATGTGTTTCGCGTAGGCCTGCTGCTGCTTGCTATAAGCAATCTTTCCGATGGTGTCCATGTGCCTCTTGACAAACTGCTCAACCTTTTCCTCGATCATCCTACCAACCTCATCCTTGAGCTCCTCACCTGGAACAATGCCTTCATAGCTGTTGTCGCCTTCAAAGATGATTCTCTTGAATGCCTTGATTTGGCAGCCTCGATACTGGCATTGATTGAGGTCGTTGGGGTCCACAGCAGGAACCCACTCGTTCTTGAGTTTAGCTGTAATCTCCTCCCGATCTCTCTCACAGAGAAATTCGATGCGTTGCTTTTCAAAAGTTTCCTTGGCACCCTTGAATCGCCCGAACGCTTCTCTACGGACCGACTCAACCGAGCTTTTAAACTCTGTGAAACGTTCATCTTTCCGGCACTGGGGTATAAACTCGTTGATGAACTTGTTGTAGGCTGGACGGGAGTTCATGCGCTTCTTGTCGCTGGCATTCGGTTTCTGGCTTGTCTCCTGTGTCTGGCTGACATTCTTAGACAGCGAAGAAGCAGAAGACTGCGCTGATGGCAGAGGTAATTCTGGACTGGTGAAACTGAAGGAACAGAACAGACGGCATGTTGCAGCGTATTCATACATGGCATCTAGTGACTCAAATGGTGCGTCCCAGTACTTGTTACTGGCGTCTAAGCCCAGGAAGCTGAGTACTTTGTAGGGGTTGTTGGTGAGAAAGACCTTGGACTTGTTCTTGTTGAACCTTTCGATCTCGGTGATGCGAACCCAAAGCGCTTGCTCATCAATCGTAAGACCGTACGGACGAATGATAGTACCAAGAATACTCCAAAGGTCACCGTGCGCATGCTTGAAGAGCTTCCATTGCATCTGATCCAATGTATCGCAGATGGTGATGTCGACTTGAACGTATCTCCTGGAGGGAGAAACAGAAGACGCTTGCTCTTCAGTCGAAGATTCATCCTCGGGCCAGGGCACGGCGTAGTGATCACCGCCATTCTCCATCTTGAGAAACGACGCCCCAAGGCTTTCCTGGATGGCCCTGCAGGCGTCTTGCTTGGTGGCGAAAGGTGGATATTTTGATTGCTCCTTTCCTAAAATGGAGGACTTCTCCCAGGCGACTAGGATGTCGATATCACCGTAGTCAATCTTCCCAGGACCATCAATCGGGCTCGCTACACAGAGGTAGATGTTCCTAAGAGCGGCGTGGCATTGTGCCTTGACGCGCTCGTAGACCTCAGGAGTCATACGAGGCGTGTTAAGTGGCTGGTTGCCAGTCGAAAACGCGGAACCTCCCATGTTTGTTGACAGTTTTAGGCTCTGGAAATATTTGGGAGAGAATAGCAGAAGGAGTTCTGGATTGAAGTACGGAAGCGGTCAAATTACGGAGATTATGACCAGAGGTCTGACGGCAGGTTAAGCAGGAAGGGCTGTGAGTCAGCCGGCCAAACCAACAATGATCGATGTAGCGGAAGGTCACGGCAACTTCCAGGTTCTCTTAAGAGACGAGAAGTAACGAGCTACTCTTGAGGAGCGAAAAAGAGAGGTAAAAGTCCGTGTAATAGATCCCCATGGGGAAGCTGCGTCTGTCTATAAACTCATCTGCCGATTAAGGGAGGAATACCCCGCAAAAGCTGGCATGGTGAGGATTCCAGATGGCACCCAAAAAAAGGAACGCCAGCCGTACTAAGACCGACAGTAGCCTCTTGAAACGGTGAGACAGTCAATATCTGGAGATGGCCCCTTGGTGACTTTCACTGATCAGTGAACAGCGTTGTTTGAAGTTGAGAATGAGGGAGAAGAAACCCTGGTCAACGCATGTGAAATTCCCTGATGTTTGGATAATCCCTTGCGGGGTATACGGTGTAAACAGAGCAAAAACACCGTATACGCACAGTAAATTATTGGGCTCAGCAGCAATGTGACCTGTTTCAGCAGCCAACTTTTCGTTGAGAGCAAATATCACAACCCTTTTGCTGTCTCAGTTATCGCTTGTCTCAAGCATTCCAAAAGCCCGGAGTGGTGCGGCCATGGTTTCGGAGGGATAAGTGGGGCTTTGATCGGCCCATCTCCGGGATAGGTGCCGTGAAGTTCCCAATAAGGTATGTGCTCTGTTGCACTTGTCAGATACAATAACACGAACCAATGATGGAAACTAAGTCACGTCGTTCAAGTAGGTCCTAACAGATAAAAATTGTACAGAATCGTAAAAACAAATACAATAAGGAAGGAATAGGGCTAAGACGACTCCCCGACCACATCCAACTTTCCTTCCGAGTCTTAAATTCCGCCGCGATCACTTCTCTCAACCAAACCTTAGACCTCTTAAAAATCCAAATCTTCCAACTCAGACTGTGAGGCGATCTTAAGGACTCCAAGTACTCTTGTGGGCGGGCTTGAGTCTGGACTGGCTGACGGAAACCACACAAACAAAGAGTTATTGTTTGACCTGCGACGTTGGGGTTCAAACACTTCAATCTCGTCTTGACCGACAATAACCACCATATATCCTAACCAGACATTTTACAAACGCTTTCCAAAGCAATCGCTCCTCACACCATCTTGCAGTTGCTCAAATCATTGATCTTCCTCGAACTTACCTCCTGAGCAACTGCATTTTAAGAAACATTTATCTGAATATTAGAGGCCAGAGCCGTATTCGTGGCAACAGAAGGAACAAACAATAACGAAACACACGACCTGGCCTCTCAGACTACGCTCATCATGAATAATGTTCGAGACTTCAGACCTGACGCAACCAAGTTGGCTGCTATTGCCAATGTGAAGGCAAAGGTTGCTGGGAAGCAGCCTGTTGTTGAGCTGTAAGTTGAATTTCGCCCTTTCACCGCTGAATATGAGAACTGACTTATTTCAGACACCATCAAGAATATGTTTATATTCACTGCGCCAATAAACTCTTCATCGTATACCGAGATGTCATTGTAGCGGGCTCAATGTACTTTGAGTGCTCACTCTTCGGCTTTTTCAAGGAGAGCTACAGCCAAGAAGTATTCTTCGACAACGACATAGACCCTGAAGCTCTCGAATTCTACCTCAACATTGCACATAGTTGGTTCTTTGAAATAAAAGTTCTCGGCACCAAGGTTGTGCCCGTCGATACCTTCAAGGATCTAGTCAAGAGCATACAGAATGAGCCTTTGAGACGAGCTCATCTGGAGGTTCCCAAGCTGAAGCTGGCAAAGCTGGCAAACACAATAATCTTGGCCGATCGCTTTGTTCATCGTTCTCTTCTCTCCATATTGCGACAGATGTTTATCTCCCTTCTCGACTTCACCCACACTTGTTGGGTGGAACTAAAGGCGGAAACACGCGACTGGACTGTCGCATACCATGAGGAGATAACGTTCGACTATCTGGACACATTCAACATATTATCGACAGGTCATGATGATGAGAAGTATCTAAGGGATGCCGTCACGGAGTCATTTTACTGGTTCAGGTTCGACACCAAGTCTTTCGTCAAACACTACCAAATCTTCATGTCCCAGCAATTTATCGTCGAATGGAACATCGACAGAACTAGCCATGCACCAACGCGGATGAGCTCGCACGCCATGGGGATTTTCAGAACCGACCAGCTCATATATGCATCTCAAACTCGCCAGCAGAAAGATAGAAGATTCAAACGTGTCATGAACCTCTGCGCCCCCGAGAGCAGACAAGACTGGCTGCCTTGGTTGGCAGATCCTGAAGAGAAACGTATTCGAATCCATCACCTTCATGGCGTTGCCACCGCCAGACGTCGCGGGAGGCTGTCCACGCCTGGAAACCATACAAAACGATCACAAAAGACAAAACCAGCTCGCGCCACGAATTCTCCGGAAGACCATCAAGAAGGTAACAAAGAAAACCTTGAGCACCAAAAGCCTAAGTGTCGCAGACGCAAGAGAGGCAAGAAGGTGAATGACAACCCTCGTTAAAGATGCAAAGAAATTTTTCAGTTGAGGCCTGGAGACAGCTGTCTCATATCCTAGAGGTAAGCTTTACAATAGAGCTTGATACTACTTCACTCTCGAACCATTCGCCTCAGTTGCAGAGTACTTGAAGTATGGAATCTTGGGGGCCGAAAAGGTAGAATGGACTCATGAAATGAAAAGTTTTGCTTGTTACTTGGCTTGTACATAAGATAGTGGCTGAAAAATGCCATAACTGAATAAAAAAAAGGTCTTGACTGTGCTTCCGACTTGAGACGTGTGCATTATCATCAAAAAAAGCCCAAAGTCGGGGCCTCCGCTGACCTCTGAGTGTAGACCACCCATATTTAGGAACAGCTCAGTACCTTATGGAAAGGGGAAGTGAGGACCTCGTGGCCATAATTCGGTGTCTTTCCCAAGTCCGTGAAAATAGCACTTGGATATAAATGAAACCACTCTTCAGTGAGAGTCTTGCAAGCCATTATCAATGGAAAGAGCTATTCTAGTAGATATTGAACGCCTTAGGTATTTTGTTATTAGGGGTTAGGGGCCTTGAGTTTCCCATCCATTCAGCTCGGCAAGCCCGGGCGCGTGGGCTCGTTGGCTGTGTTGACATGACACAGCATCCCAGATCCTTGACATGGTTGATTGGAGCCCCCACAATTCGACTGAACCACAGCACGGGGTTGATCAGCCTGAGAAATAGAGTTTGCAGATTATATGAACCCACGATGGATTAGGTCGGCTCTCTGGGTTGCGCCGAGTGGTCCCAGAAACACGTAAACGACTTGGCGCTGAAGTTGCGCGCGGGACGGACGCGGCGGCAATCTCAAAGTTAAATACTCTGACAGACCTGCTGTTTAACAGCTCTCTCACTCCATCGCTCGTTTTCGCAATTTGTTGACCAGAAAGATCCACGGCGGCATCAACTCTCGTTCACCATGCACATCCCTATCGCTTCTTTTGCGCTTCGCGCTTTGGCTTCAGCGCCTCTTTTTAGCCCATGGAACCTGAGCGAATGGGTTGCCTCGGATGACACCGTTCGCAACGGCAAGAGCCATTCAACTTTGGACATTATTGAGCCCGGCGCGCCGGGTAACCCGTTCTCTGAGTCCATCGCCAACTTCCACGGAAATCTCGACTTTGTCACCCTGGGTGGTTCTGGTTTCGCTTCCCAGAGGACTGTAGACGACTGGCCCAGCATCGACATCTCGGCATACGACACCATCACCCTGGAGATCCCCTTTTCCGACGGCAAGAGGTACTCGTTCAACTTGAAGGACACGGTCCCGCCTCCTGTCAACGGCGTCGAGCAGTCTGGTGTCAGCTGGGAACGGGATTTCCAAATTGCTGCCGTGAACCACACTGATGGTCAAGTCGAGAAGGTCGTTATGCCGATTGCCGACTTCGTGCCGACATTCCGCGGCAGGGTCCAGAACGACACGGCCCCTCTTGATCTGAAAAGTATTAAGCGAGTAAACATCATGATTAGAAGGTCAGTAACTTGGTGCTGTTATTTTATACAAAATTCTGACACCAATGAAGCTTTTTTGCTGAACAAGCTGGCGACTTCCAATTGCATATCAAGTCTGTCATAGCTTCGAAAGCATGAGTCTAGGGGTTGTCGCCCTGGTAAATACGGAACAAAGTCAAGTCTTGTCTACTCTCTAGTTAATTCTCTAGCTTGACTTAATTCGTATTGAGATAAATGAGCAGGTCAACGGACCGACAAAGTGAGACGACTATGCAAGCAAGCCTAAAGACCTCTTATTTCAAGTCTGGTACGCAGTGTGGGTTTATTATCTCTATTCTATGCTCTAAGTCTATTTTCAATTATTTCCGGAAGATGTTGTAGGTGTGGCTCGTATCAACTCATCGTCGTTTGGTTGTGGCGAGAGCTGCTCAACCTTCCTCGTTGACCGCCAATGTACCGTGCCATACCTGTAGAGTTCTCCGAAAGTTCCTGGTCTATGATCCGCATCCAAAAGATTCTTTTGCTTGATCAAGTCCCCGAGTGCAGGCAGCCCGCCAGCCGAGTTGTGATAAACCTTGTACATGTGGCTGTTTTCTAACATGTCAACCACAAAATCCTCGGCAGCCTTTCTCTTTTTCTCGTCAGGCTCATCAAGCGGTGTTGTGAAAATTTCGACCTGCTTAGCGCCGTCGTAGTCGGTTTTGATCGAGCCCAAGATGCCATTGTTGATACCTTCGACCATGAAAGCCTTCTTCTCATAGTAGTCACGTCCGTTCCAGCCAGTCTCCACATCGAGGAGATTCCGTGTGCGGTCGCCAATGAGCATCTGCGCAACGTAGTCGCTCATATGGAGTACTTTGTCCTGGAAGTTCCAGTCTGCCATGCCGTCGGCAATGCCAATGTCCTGAATCAAGGGATGCTTGTGGAAGCCATGCTCGTTGGTTCGGTCTCTCCAAAGCTCCTTGAAGCCGTTGTGCCAATTTCTGATGAAGATGGAACCCTTTCTTGCGGCTAGCATAAAGTTGCCGAAGCTGCCCCATTTCTTCCTAATCTGACCGCTGATGATCCACAAGCCGACCTCGTATGGGGAGTCTGGGTCTGCAAGGGCGTTCCAGAAAAGCTCGTCCAGATGTGTGTGCAGCATGTTGCCGACATCCATCCAAACGCCGCCATGCTCGAAGAGCAAGGGTAAACGAATCAGATCTGATGTGTGCTGTGCTTTGTGAGCTCCGTCCATGGTCATGTTGACAAGGCATTGAGGAAGCCATTCTTTGCCGATGAAATTGTAGATGTTGTTTGGGGATCCTTCGATGAGATCGATGAGTCGGACAGTCCATTCAGGACCGAGCTTTCGCACCCAGTTCAGGACGGTGCATCTGTAGCTGGGGTACATGGCGTCGAGACCCTTGTCCCAAAAAGCCCATACATTCTTCTCGGACGTTACTGGACGGAAAGAGCTGAGTTCTGCGATGATATCTGCATCAGATCTTAGGTCAAGTTGTGACTGCGGTACTTCGCGGAGCTTGGTGGCTCCCTCCGGAATTGCGAAATGCAACATTTTTGATTGTGAAGTAGGTGAGATGATGAAGATGTGATGCAATGTGAGTTGGCTTTTGATATTTAGAATTTTGGGGGTTTCTGTCGTGTTATATAGTATCGTTTTATCTTTAAAATATCGAGAGATATCCCAGACAACTAACGTTCGTGAGGTGTATCTCCTTCTCATGCCAGTGGGGGTACAAGGACGCCCCCCTTCTTCTGGGACTGCATCCAATAGTGTTTGTTATTCGAGTCAGCCTGCCGCCCGAATGGCTCAAATGCAAGACAGCTCCATGGCGTCGCCACTGCTATAGTGGCCTTTAGTTTCCGGTTCAGGCGCCTTCAAAAGTCTTGGGCGGCCACCATTGGACAACATAGCGGTGTTTTTCATGGGGAGAATTTTCAGGCATTGCCTCCGGCGACCTAGTTTGGTTTAGCGGGGATGAATCATTTCAACTCACAGCACCTATGCACGTCTGCGGGGCATTAGGTAGTACAGAGACACAAAACAGACCAATACATGTTTCCGTTCCAACCGAATCGAGGAACACTACGTTATGATTCATCTCGACACAATTGGCCAAACAGCACTTTTAAGTGCTGGGAGATATTTTAGTCGACCAATCATCACTACAGCCCATCATGAGTAAAGACTATGGCCGTGTATTGTAGGATTTAAAGATGACGAGGTGATTGGGTTTTGACTTATTAACTAGCCAATGGAACACTTTCGTTGTCAAATCTCTGTTTAGTGTCAGCACTGGTTCTTGGCACTGTCACCTGCATCTACGGAATGGCCGAGTCTCGCATTTGCTCTCCCACTACGTTGACTCTCGAGGTAACTATTGCAACCCATCATTATACCAGGTCTTGAGAGCATACAGGAGGCAGTTGGTGGCAAACCATCACGGCGGTACCTGGTCTAACAGTACGTAGCGTGGCCGATAGCCCAACGATCTGTATAACATAACATGCACTTAGATTTAAACTATTCGCAGGGATATGGTTTTATAAAATTCTTGTACAGACTTTCGTGATATCTGATAAGCCGGAAGATGTATGACATAGGTAATTAGCCTCTTGTTTATGCGGATTGCTAGTGCCTCCACTCGCTCGATCTACAAAAACAAAACCCTAGAAATCAGATCAGTGATTATGAAATATGATGCCAAGTTCTTGTGCCCTATTAAATCTCTCCGTTGTAGAAAGTTGGCAGTACAATGCCAAATTCTGTTTCTGAGTCGTGGGTTCCATCGAAGTAATACTAAAGACGGTTTGATTGAAGATTTGTGTACTAAAAACGAAGAACTAATGATGAACTGCATAAATTTTAGCACAAATCTGGTGCGTACTTCAAGAATTAGATTACTGGTATCAAATATCATTGAAGTGGCTGAATTCTTCCTGAAAACAATGTATTTGTTTGTTTATTCTTCCAAATCGTCACTGATCTCAATGTCACAAAAACATCATGTAGTTTGGCAGACTCACATGAGTCTGTCTTTACTGCGCATGACCGATGATGAATCAGTGGGAGGAAAGTTTGTTAAAATCTTTGCAAACTGAACAAACATCTTGCATCCTTTCTTATCCTTACCAGTACATAGTCCGCGAAAGAAAGCAATCGCACCTGAACACTTTGAGGCCGCCCCGCCATACCTTGATGAGTTTAATCTCGGAAGGCAGAGCCTGGTATCTCAGCGGCACAGCAGTCCGCTAACTAAAAGCTTGTCAAGTGGCACACCAGCGCCAAGCCGGTTGGACCCGGCGGACCAGTCAAGGTTCCAGGGACACAATGTGGACGACTGCCTACCTAATACCCACAACTGCAGTATCGCGTGGATGTTCCTTTTACCTCAGTCGGAACCCAATGCTGGGATTCCTTTAAAGTGATTTTGACGCCTTCTTATAAGTAGATTTTGAATCCAAAACCATTATTGTCTTGACCACCTTAACGCAGGGCAGTTATTCAGTGTATAGGTGTCGTGAGACCCGCTGGACTTCAAGAGTAGCTCGCTTATTTGGAAATAACGGTGAATGATCAAAGAATAGAAAGTACATGTGTTGAGAAATGAAAGATTGTGTGGGACTTAATGACGAGTCATTGGCGGACAAAATGCTAACCGAGAGTGACGCTGTGTTCCTCTCTCTTCGCATGGATCACCTTCCATGTCACTATGCAAGGGAAACGGGATCCAACAGGTATAGCCAAAGAGGTCGCTCTCAATTGGAGGTTTGGGATCAGAAGGGAGAGCAATAACCGCACGATTCGAATGCCGGAGGTGAGATAACGGGGAGGACCAAGCTTACTTCAAGGCTTTCGTACATCAGGGCACTTCACAGAGCAACAACTTTTACTGTTCAAAAGTCGCACCAACAACTGCCAGTGTTGCAAACTAACACTCGTAGTACAGTACAGGCGAAGAGACTTATCCACGTTATTGCTTTCGATCAATTGCCCAAGACTGGGATATCGCTCTGTTGTTCCGTTTCCCTAGCGCCCCTGCGTGGAGACTAAGCTTTCCCAAGAGTTCTAAGCGAACCATGCATGCATGGCACGATGACTCTTGACTAGTGATCATTGAATCTCCACTTATCCTCCATTGTCCTTCTTCAAGTGGTGGTGGCTCTTTGATCATCGAATCATGGGCAAAGTTTGACTTTTCACTAACCTAGTAAAGAGGTCAGCGGGATATAGAATAGTTTCTTTATTAGTGGACTGCTGATCAAATAGACGAAGTAAGGTAGGTAATCACCTCTGGGAATCTGGGAAGAGGCCTGCAAAATCTCAGTGGACCAGGTACAAAAGTGTAATCTCAGGATCTGATAAGATCCAATCATGATGATGGCAGGTACGTCGCACACGCTGTATCAGTATATCCGGCCACTAGCATCCGTGCTGAGGGATTTTTAAGTTGGAAAGACCGAAACAGGGCGAAGTGGTTAAGCGAGTTACCTTTTATCCTGATGGAAGATGCCTCTCGTTAGTAACGTTAAGCTCGGGGGTTCCCCGCTCCAACGATACAAATTCTATCTTGGAGCGTTTTTTGGGGTAGTAAAAACCCTGTCCTGTATTGGAATCATATAAAGGTTACTCATATGCTCCCACATACTATGTGACGTCCTTGTTATTTCATGAAACACCATTGAAGCGTAGCATTGTTGTCGACGTTGTAGTGGTTTAAGACCACCGACCTGCTTCAACATGATCGGGGAACGCAGCACCACGATACTTAAGCCTCCTAACGCTCGCCAGCTCATGAATGAGTGGAATTTAAAGCTCTATGCTATCATTCTAAGCGCAGTCGCCGCCCTCTTTATTCTCTGTCATTGGTCACGGCTCCTCGACAAGAAAACCTCTTTTTCAGCAAGACTATGCCAAAAGCTACCGGGCTTCTCGTGGATAACCAAGGCATCTCGGTAAGATAATGGTATCCATATTTGTAAACGAAGATCTGACCTCGGAAAAGTCGAATTCGGAGTCTTTCTGTTGGAAAGTTTCTCTACTTTCCTTCGGGAGGTCATGCAGTCCTGACTGTTGCATTCATTGCCGTCAACATCGTCTTGTCCTTTCATCATGTGGAGAGACAGACGAAGAATTTCGCTTCAAGATTTGGATGGTAACCGTATGTCCCTTTAATCAACATATTGTGAGAGCTAACGAGATGTGGACAGGATGACAACTGCCAACATGGCTCTTTCCGTGTTTTTGGCGCTCAAAAACACACCGCTTGGGATTCTGTCCGGGCAGTCGTATGAACGCTTGAACTTCCTCCACCGCCTAGCTGGCTGCACCGCTGTGCTTCAATTGGTACTCCACGCTATCTGTTATACGGTCCATTTCGCCAAAAATGACAGATTGCCTATTCTGATTGAAGAAGACAACTGGCATGGCATTGCGGCTGGCATTGGTATGATTATACTACTTCTAGGGATAGCCAGAAATCTCAGGTACGAGGCTTTCTACATTAGCCACATCCTGGGCTTTTTGCTTGCCACCATTTTCGCAGCTCTTCACAGACCCCATTGGGTATGGAAAATCCCCATAGCAATGGTCTTCATTGCAGCGATCTGGGTTATCGATCGCATTATCAGGGGAGGCAGATTGTTGATTAATCTCATCAACAATCACGCCACAATCTACCAACTGCCTGATAACGGGGTGCGAATTGTGATCAAGAAGCCACTGCTAGGAGCTGTACCAGGATCACATTGCTTTGTTTGGATTCCGAGCATCCGAGCATTCCAAACTCATCCCTTCACCATCGTGTCCAACACCCGGGCTGGTGGCCTAGAGTTGGTTTTGAATTCGTACAGTGGATTCACCAAAGCCGCTTATGACTGTGCTCATCCTGTCACTGGGACAGTGGTACGCGCATCTGTTGACGGACCTTACGGAGCTTTTCCCAATCCGAAGAATTACGATACAGTAATTCTGATTGCAGGCGGAACTGGTGCTTCTTTCACATTTGGCTTGGCGACAAACTTGCTACAGCATCTCCAGTCTAATTCTTCTACGCACGTAGAGTTCATTTGGGCTGTAAGAAAGAAAGGTAAGTACAGCACAATACAAGCACTAATATTCAAGCGCTTATGGTATTGTAGAGAATTTGGAATGGTTTGCGGACCATGTCCGATCTTTGCGTCAGCAGCAGTCTGGGATCAACATGATGTTGCATGTTACTAGACAAAGCACAAATGAATCACTCGGTACCGCACAGAAGTCTCTTGAATCTTCAACTCCGGCGCCTGAACCTACATGCCTGGAGATTTCAGATCAGGCTCCTTCTGGTCCGATGTTCAGCAACGCCGAATCGAAATTACCCAGCTATGACACCAAAGAAATATCCAAGGAAGCCAGAAGCATTGAGGATATCGATAGTCTCTGTGATATCAAATATGATAAGTTAGAAGTCGTCAACGTCATAGATCAGGCGCTTGGAGTTATAGAGCATGGGCAAAAAGTTCTTGTCGCAGGCTGTGGGCCACGACCACTCACAGACCTTGTACGAACGGCCGTTGCCCGTCATATGGCTTCGGGGGAACTCAGTATTGACATTCATTGTGAGAACTTTGGATATTGAATGTCTGGGATCGGAATAGTACTTGAGGAGAATTAGTAGCGTATGGATCATGGGAAGGTTATCTTGAGTTGAAGGAGGTCTGGTATGGATTGAGAAATGGATACCAAATAATGTCTCAAATGAAAATACCATAGCTTTAGAACTGGCTCTTAATGAATCTGTGTAGTATCAAAATGTGAAGCTCGAAGTTCGAGGCATCCTGTGGCACATTTCGACGTGTTGAAAAAGTTTTAGGCCCGCTATAACAAACTTACACTGACACCAGAGGATTGTGTTTTTGCCGAGAAGATAGTCCTTTGAATACACATCGCTGAATTCAACCAAAACTGTAGGTAGAAATTAAAAAAGCAACATATAAAAACGCAGGCAATGTCAGCATACAGTGAGTATTGTGTGTATTGGACATATTTGAGCATAAGCAGCACTATAGACCGCACATGACCGCGGTAATACATACTAGGGGGCTTGAGTCACTATATTCATAATTCACTGCATTACTAAATACCGCCGCCTGTTCTTTTCTAATGTTATGATTAAACATGAAGAAAGACGCTGATAACTAAAACCATGCTTGTCTTTCAGCCAAGGCCAATGTATTGGGCTGCTCTTACATGCGTTATCTTAATTAACTCAAGTTTGCCCTTGTAACACGCATTGATTACCAAACAGTTCCCTTTGTCTGCTTGCCCTTCTCTTCCTCGACTGTCTTGACGTTGATGTTGCGCCAAATGATCAGGGAAAGGAATATTAGAGGAATAAAGGCACAGCCGGCGATGACCATCTTTCTCTGGACATCGGCGTAGGCGGTAATGATGGCAGTGCGGATGGGGCTGCCCATAGGGTACGAGAGTTGCACAGTGAGGTCGCCAAAGATCTTAGCTGTGAGATCTTTGCTCGCATCTGGCAAGTTTTTGTAGATCGCATCCTTCAGTACGTTGTTCCAAATACCACCAGCGATGGCCAAACCAATGGCGGCACCAATCGAACCAAAGAGGCCATGGAGCGCAAGACCGACGGCGACTTGCTGGTGAGTAACAGACGCCATAACTGCCAGCTGGGAGCAGATACTAAAGATACCGCTAGCTACGCCATTGAAAATTTGGCACATGACGAGGTAACCGGTCGAGGTGCTTGGTTGACGGAAGTGAATCAACAAGGCGGTACCAAGAATACAGATTGGTACACCAGCGATGGCCGTCCACTTGAATCGGCCGGTATAACGAATCAGACTACGAAGTCGGGTCAGCTTATGTAGGATTTAGTTGAGTGCTGGTTATACTTACATTCCAATCAGGGGGGAGAAGATGGATGAAGTCAAACTGAAGGTGTTCAAGATATATCCCGAGTTGGTGATGGACTGGTTGTGCGCAACCTGGAGGTATGACTGATAGTATGAATCCCAGCAGCTAGAGTTCGGTCAGCTAAAAGTGTTTCAAAGACTATCATGAGGTTTCCAAACTTACTAGATGGAAGCAAACATGATACCATAGACCAAACAAGCACCGAGGACGGTTCTATCCTTAAGGAACTTGTAAGGGAAAAGTGAGACAACTGCAAACCACTTCTCCCAGGCGGCAAAAGCGACCAAAGTCACCACACCAAATACGATGAGGCAGATGATTGTTGGACTTTCCCACTTGTGTGCCGTATAACTAACCAGGCTGAAAGGCAGCAGGAGCATAGACCATCCGGCGGAGACCAAGATTAAGCCAACAACTTGAGGCTTAGTTAGTTTCTATTGCATTAAATCGAAGGGTACATTCAAAAGACCATGCTCTCCTGGAAACTTACCATCAAACTCGATGAAGTAGTGCTTAGTGGACCCCCAAACATTTCGCGTCTTGACCTTAGGGGGAATAAGGCCCGCCTTCTTGGCCTTGATCTCACTGAGAAAGAAGATGATTGCAACAGGAATGCAAAAGCCAACCAAAATGATGGCGAAAGCACCAAATGCCCAGCGGAAGTTCAAGTTGTCGTAGAAAAGCTGAGATATCTTTGGGCCGGCAAAGGTCGTAGCAATCGTCGGTGTGCTGTTGATACCGATCATAATCATTCGGTTCCTGAGAGACGTCATGTCGGCGAGGTAGACGGTGATGATGTACTGAAGGCCAAGGTGTCCGACCCAGAAAATGGTCTGGGCAGCAGCGTAGGTCTCAACGTTCTGACAAGTTGCCTTCATGATCATACCAACGGTAATGAGAAGCACCATCCAGACAAATCCTTCGGTTCGACCACGAATATCGATGATTTTGGCGATTGTAAGCTTCGAAACGCCACCGAGAATCGTGGATATGATGCTGGTTGTAGAAAGGAGGCCATGCTGACCAAAAGCAGAGGTAACATAGGGTGTCAGGTTACTCTGGACGGATTGCAGGAGATTGTCGACAAATGCAACGAGGTATAGGCTAGGTTTATTTTGTTAGTTCTGACAATTGCTTTACCAACGTGCTCTTGAACCCACAGAACAAAAACAATCCAAAGCATCTTCTTCGACCATACCGTCGTAATGGCTTCAACCTGCTTAACACCATCTTGCTTGTGTTCTGAGCTATCGTCGGAGTCATTGCTTTTCATAGGGTCTGCGTGGATATCAACAACGTTTTGTCCATGGACCTTTTCCATGTTATATTCAGCTCCAGCATGGTATCCCTCCCTGGTCTGAGGCGGCGATGGCTGAATGGCAGCCATACTGAGCAAAAACCACTATAACAATTGTAACGATGTTGTATAATCTAGGACCAAAAACGAGAAGTTTGCACTGAATAAAGAAAGGAAAAAAATTGGTGTGGCCAAAAAGGGAAAGTACTAGAGATCGACCCTCCTTGGCAGGGTAGAGTGTCAAAGATTTATATGTTATCTCGTACTTACTGAAGACACAAGCCAATGCTGATCTCAGCGACCCACATCGCAAGATCGCCATTGTCTGCTGCCAACATGCTGCTTTCGAAGGTGGGTAAACCGTGGGTTTAACACGGACGTCATAGAGAGTGAGATGATTCGTCGGAAAGATCTATACTTGTAAGAACTATATGAAAGTGCTCAGTTACAAACACCAAGTAGGACCAGCCGGCTTTGCCGCATAACCAATGAACAACTGGAAAAATGCGGCCGCGATGGGTCTAACCTACGCGGTCACAAACGGCCCACGGAAGCTCCATCTGATAATTGGGGCCCCAACACGATGCCCCAATCTGTTGCTGGTGAGAGGACCGTTATCAGATGATCTGACAAGGTACTGAGTGGGGATCTTCCCACCTTGGTTCCTCTTTTGATGACATGACGGTTGGATTGGGGAGGGCTTGAACTCAACGTGAGGAAATTTTCGCACATGCCGAATTTAAATAGTGGTGAGCCAATGACAGGAAACTGAGTGCTTCAGGATTAAATGGTCGCAGTTTCTGTCTTTCTGGTAGCTGTTGGCCCCAAGTATTTCAATCGACCCCTACGTACAAAGTGCGACAGGCCAAGCCGTTGAAAGAGAGTTATCAGCTAAAGCAAAACACTTCGGTTGCACACTCCCACTCTGCCCTAGGCTGTGACTGTCTCTCGATTTCAATTGAAATGTATAATGGGCTCGATGGACAACAATTAATCGTTATCTCGGATTCGAATGTGCCTACCTTGCATTCTCTTGCCACCGCGAGACGGAGTAGGCAATACTGCCGGTCCGAATGACGACTTGAAGATGGGACCGGAGCTAGGAATAGACAGTCCGTAATGGATAACTCGGATGTTGCGGCACATCTAGCATTCAACATCCGGTGCCGAGTACGTCTCAGCAGCCCGCTTAACACACTGCATCATCCGGTTTGAGGCTGTGTCAACGTTTATACGCAACCTTGAATCCGTTCAATTCAAGATCTATCTCTTGAGTTACGAGACCCCTAATTGTGAATAAATATTATAAGGCCGAGCACACGCGTGGAAAGCCGACCTTCCGGTACTGTGGCCGTATTTTCGCGAAACGTGTCGGAAATTCGGTGGACCAGTTAGTTGATCTTTCCCACATCCGGGCTTTGAGCATTGTTTGTGCATCTTTTGACCCACAGAAGCTCCAGAGTTCTCAGAACTTGCTTTGTCTGCCGTCACATTGCATACTACATTGACGATTGCCCAAAGGACTGGACGAGGTCGCACTGAGCTGCCACCAAGTCGGATAACCCGGTTTAGTGAGGCTTTTACCGTCATAGAACATGACAATGAAATGTGTGTGTATTTCTTCTGAGAGCCTTCATCGTCAGTTTATAGGCATTTTCAACCGTCTTCCTCCACTTTTACTCTGATTGATAACCGAGGTAGCCGTAAATGCAATACCATAAACCTTTCCTACATGATTCGAACAAGTATACGTATCTAAAGCAGATTAACCACGATTCCAACTATCCTAGAAGGTACCACATACGCCAAAAACATGTTTACCCTCTCTATATGTTTCCATTTCAACCAAGCCTTAGTATCTCACACACATATATACCGCATCACTTCTGACTATTGTGCTTCGAGGATTCATCCACTTTTCAACGCAGCCAAGAACTGTTTATGCCTTTTCCATGCAGTTCTTAATGTCTGTTAGAGAGAAACTCATACCGTTGTTGTTGTCACAACTGCGTGCTCGATTTAAGGTCCAGAAGTATGTGCTTTTTTCTCTCTATTTGCGCTACACAATGATTAGATACCTCATCTGGACTAGTCCTACCCCGACCAATGATGAGCCATCATGACGGATCTTTTAACTGGAGAACTCGGCATCATCGCTTTGTTTATTGCATTTTCATAACTATTCCCCCCGAAGGTAGCTATTGTATTTAAGCGGTCTGGCGCTTAGCATTATTGCCTCTATCTTAGTAAACTTGTGTCTATGTATAACTCAATTCTGCATACTCAGCGGTTCAGATCAACATTGTACTTCAACCCCTGGTCAGAATATCTCTTAGCCAATGTTGAGGTTTCTTACAACACAATTTGGCATGCCACAGCCATTCTAGTACAAAAGCTCATTGAACTAACCTTTTACCTTCTCTTCCTAACTAGTGAACTACTGCTACTTAATACGCTGGTAAGTTCGTATTTCTCTCGAGATACAAGATAGCACCAAGATTTTGAAGCTATTTGACTCTTGGACGCGTCCCAACACGTTTTCTACAGCCCATCACCTTTTAGTAGTCCTCCCATAATTATTGATTGGGGAAATGGAGATGAAATGACGTGCCTTTCTCTCTTAAACAAGCCCCTGGTTATGAATTACGTTTTCAACAGTTTACATGTCAGTGGTTGACTTGAATGACACCTCTCATCGCGACACTGGCACGCTCTTAACGCAATTGAGCAAGTACTTCACCGCCCTGGAAAAGACGATATTTCGGGCTCCAGCAATGCAAACAATTGTCCAAATTTACTTTCGCATCATTACGACGAGCTATCGTACTGCTGATATCCACCATCAGAGGTCCTACGGTGAGCTACTGAGTGAAAGTGTTGGTCTGATTGTAATGCCCTGTTGATAGAGCCATCACGTCATCTCTCTTGAATTGTTGAAAGAGGTTTTGTTTAGAGAGCAATATGACGGCCATTTTGGTCCCCGTGGCATGAAGTCCACGTGACTTTACCGCTTCTTGAAAGGAAATGCCGTCGGCTATGCAAGGCTCCCTAAGACGGTCACTTAGCATGATAGGAGGGACACACTTCAAGACAAATAAGATGAGCGATTTGCAGTGATTAGATGTTGCGGTCAAGAATGCTGACTTTGTAATCGCGACGCTCTGATGCTATACTAATCAATTGAGCTCTCATTGTCTACACCAGTAAAGATGTCAATGACACTAGCTGGGAAAGAAAATGATTTAGACCATGTGATACGATTAGTGAACAGAAAAAAACTCAAACAAGGGTGAAGGCTAACCAGCTCTCGTTCTGAATCAGACCAGACCTTGATTACTGAACATTCTGAGCGGTGTTTGACTAATCCTTGTGGACACGGACTTCCAGCCTCAGGGCAATTGGGACATGCTAATGGTAGAAATAACTTTTGGCGCATCGAAAGCAGTGAGGCTGACATCGTCGGCATGGGTGGTGAAGGCGGCCTTCTTGGGACTGACAGAAGGCTTGGCGCTCGAGTTTTGCTGGCAGAACCGCGATCAGTAATCATAGACAGTACTTCCTTTGAGTAGAGCATGTCACAGCCATCTTTCTGTGAGCTGCATACTTTTATATCGCTCCAGTGATAGTCCAGTAAGATATAAAGTCACAGTGCTCTCGGCCTGGGTTGGTGTTCAAATCATCACCAGTGCGTTTTTGTGACAGTTTTGAAGACATACCTCTCTCAACAGCAACCAACAAAAGCAATTTCACTACAACACGAGTTTTTTTTTAGCTCCCAACGAATAAACATCATGACTAGCCGCCGAATTGCCGTCATTGGTGCCACCGGTGCTCAGGGTCTGCCAGTCTGTCGCGGCCTCACCAAAGATGGCGGCTACAGTCTCCGAGTTTTGACTCGAGACGCTAAGTCGACACGAGCACAGGAGCTAGCCAAGCTCGGAGATGTCGAATTCGTCGAGGGGACGTTTGCCAATGAAAATGACCTCCGGAAGCTCTTCACAGGATGCTGGGGGGCATTTGTCAATATCGATGGCTTCAACTGCGGCGAAAAGACAGAGACTTACTGGACAATCCGGGCATACGAGCTGGCGATAGAGACAGGCATCAAGTTTTTCGTCTTTGGAAACCTTGACTATGTTTATAAGAAGAGCGGCTACGACCCCAAGTTTCGATGCGGACACTATGACGGCAAAGGCCGCATGGCAGAGTGGATGCTCCAACAGCGAAAGAGCAACGACATGGGCGTCGCCATCTTCACCACAGGCCCATATATCGAAATGGCCATATCGTCCAAGACAATCATGACGCCGAGGGTGGAAAATGGCGTCGTAACCTGGAGGGTTCCTCTTGGCGACGGCGCAGTGCCGCATGTAGCGCTCGATGACTGCGAATACTACGCTCGCTGGCTCTTTGACCACCCAGAGAGATCTGATGGCATGGATCTTGAGGTGGCCATTGACCACGTTTCTTACGCAGATCTTGCTGCAGCTTTTCAAAAAGCGACAGGGAAGCCGGCTCAGTACATTGACACGCCGGTGAGCGTGTACTTTGCCCATATACCCATTTCCGACGAGCCCGCCGGGTATAACGCCGACCCCGCCGATCCAGCTACGATGTCATTCAAGGACAACTTCACTGGCTTCTGGACTATGTGGGCGCATTCCGGAGGCAACAAGGGAGTCATCAAGAGGGACTATGCATTGTTAGACGAAATTCACCCAAACAGAATTAGGACGGCGGAGGAGTTCTTCCGCAGGGAGAATGCGAAACGTCATGCTGCAGGTCTCAAGGACCTGTTTGAAGACATTGAGACCAATAATCTGGCGTCAGTTTTGAAGCTTGGTGATGATAACAGACAGGGAAAGTTGTAAGAAGAGAGTCGTATTTTGTAGGCACATGGCCAACACTGTCCCCCTACACCTGGCAAGAAAGATTATGGGTGTTTAATATGAGCAATAGTTGAGTTCTGAATCTTGTGGTTCTGTGCAAGGCGGTGAACTGATGCTTCGAACGCGTCAACGTTTCCTTCCTTACACGTCACTTGCTCAAACCACCCACCTGACTTACCTTCTTATAAATCGCATTTTCAAGTAGATCAGCGAGAATCGGACAGAGGGGAAATGAAAAGATTCATCTTAATTAACAGAATATTTGCAGCCGCTAGTGAATGCCGTGCATCATACGTCTCCAGCCAAGAATCTTGGCTTCTCTTGGCTATTCTTGGCATCGCCGACATCGACCAACTGTGCATATCCCAAACTTTGATTGAACATCATACGAAGAACTACCACTTTTCCTTGAAATTTCCTTGAAAAGAACATCTGAATATAGCCTTAAATACCTTCTATTCTTCTTTCAAGCCTCTACTTTAAGGTCTCTCTCTTGTGAATAGCATCCCACCAGAACGCATTTTTCATAGTCCTAGGTAAGATCTTGTGTTCTTGACCGGTGAGAAACACAGCATACCTCTTCACAACAAAACAACAATTCTTAGATAGCATAATCGTATTCACCATCTTGTTTGGTTGAAATACATGGTAGTGAGAGGGATAAAGAGTTCGGAGAATTGAAAGCACGCAACATTGATGGTCAGGTTTTCCGCACAGCAATAGCCATTGTCAACCACACCATGATCCTAGTCTGAAGGCTACTTTCTGTATCCGCCATACATTAACCGTGAGCTTGGCTCTGACACCACCCATAACTAGGCTCTTGATAGCACTATCATCAAAGCATGTACTGCATTTGAAATAAGTTATGTCCGCGGCTTTGCTTCGCCCAGAAGGCATTTCGTGAATAAAAGCCATCTGTTACTCATACCACCTAGCTTTTGGCCTGTTAAGGCCACGTCAATTTCGCCGAACAAGACCCTTGCATTCAGCTCAAATAGAGGTGATATATCCGCCCAAGTGCATGCCCAATTAAACTCGACGTAATTCAAAGAAGGCGTCAAGGGATATCTGATTCAGAGCAACCGATACCGGGAATGCCTGAAAAGCCCCATCACAACACCTCGGCATGTTAATGTGATTAATGTGACATTGGCGACTGGGACGCAGGGCCCTACCCTTGTTATTACCCCATAGCACCTACCATTTTAGTGAAAAGCCGTCTTGAGCTTCCTAAAGTGCTTAGTGGAAAATGTGGAAATATAGCACGTACATTTAGCTGTCGGATGTACCCGCCTACCCCTAAGCTTACTTTGCCCACATGCCGAGATCACAAGATCATCACCGCCTACTTTGTGGTATGGCACGTTATCGGTGGCATGCATACTACCCACCTTGCTTCGCCATCTCACAAACGCAGGTGTGCTATCCCAATGCCTTTTCAAATAGAATCCAGTTGCAACAGAGTATCTTGCCCACGGTTGCTTCACCTTCCAAATTAAGGCTAGAAATACCGGACCCTGTGCTTTTACTCACATCAAAAGATGCTATGTGGTATTTCAGTATGAATTCCACCTCCTTAACTCGGGAATTTCTCCGGCCTGGCTTATCTTCGTTCATGTTACGTATAGATCTTTTGATCGGGGTGAGCTGAGCAGAATGAGTATTTATATAGCCAGAGAATCTTTTAAACATAGCCACAGCTTCCCTCTGCAGTTTTCTCTTCGAACAGTGCTCTCGACATAGCCCATTGATCATCATGGTTGCCAAAGCCCTGTCTGTCGCTCTCCTTGCTGGTGCTGCATCAGCCACCTGCCCTCTCTCAGTCGAGATTACCGATTCAAACAACCATGTTGTCAATGTCGCAGTCACGAACACGGGTAACGAGACTCTCTCGGTCTTCAAGGGTAACACTGTTTTCAGTGACCACGCCACCAAGGATCTCTTGGTGACCGATGCAGGTGTGTAGTAACCAACAGGATGCAGATATTCTGGAATATGACTAACAAAAACATAGAGGGCAATGCACTTCCTTTCGAAGGCATCTATGTCAACTACAAGCGTACAGGGCTTGCGGCTAGCTCTTTCCAGAAGATTGAGGCTGGGCAGACAATCACGATTCCTGTCAACGCAGCCAAGAGCTACAAACTCCACGGCATTGGACAAGCTAAGGTCACTGCTATTCAAGGCTTCCGCTACGCAACGGGAACCAACACGCCCTCTTCTTTCAAAGAGTTGGCTTCTTGTGCGGATTTGACTTCTGGCGAAGTTGAAGTCGCCCCTGACCAAGCTGTTGCGGCAGAGTATGTCCTTTCCGCTCCCCGTGATTTCCCCATCCAGGTGTTTATTCTCTTTTGTCTAGGCAACACATTTCTCGCAGACATGAGATGCCCGCCTCGTCTCGAATCCAGAAGCGCGCAATCACGTATTCGTCTTGTTCCACTTCGCAAACTAGCGCTTTGAAGACTAGTGTTTCCGATGCTATTTCTATGGCCAATGCTGCTTACACGGCCGCTGGTTCCGCAGCTTACTACTTCACTACTTGGTGAGTATTTCTGAACTCCCGACATGCTTCAAAAAAGAAGATTGCCAACTTAGTTCTCTCTCAGGTTCATCTCAACCTCCAACGAGTCCAAGGTCCGAAGCATCTACAACAAGGTGGCCAACGTGCAGACCACATCACCCAAGATCTCTTGCACCGACACTTACAGCGATTGCACGGACGGCTCTGCTTTGCTCTACACTGTCCCTTCCGATAATGTTATCGTTCCGTGCCCCAACAACGGCTTCTGGGACTTCCCTGAGTTCGCAGCCCAATGCTCGGGCGACGATTACGACAGGGCGGGCAGCGTCCTCCATGAGATGACACACTTGTACGGCACTACCGATTGGGCCTACGGTCCGACTGCCGCCAAGGCTCTGTCGGCTACGAAGGCTGCCGCCAACGCAGATACTTATGAGATGTACGCTGAAAGCGTTCGTCTTGGAGGCTGCACCACTGGCTAAGCGATGGAGTTGATGTGTTTTGGTATGCTCGAGTGATATCTAGCCGACCCTTAATCCAGAAGCCTCATCATTCTTAGTAATATGTGTAGGAATTATGTCTTCTGTCTTTTGGTTGAGTGAGGGCTCACTGAGGCGAGAGAAGGAAGAAGCTGGGATGGGAGGGACAACTTCTGATGGCTATGATTTGGTATGGAGAAGCGACATATGCGACTTGTTGGGCTAGCAATCATGTGTTGAATGCATAAGCGAGTTAAGATTCAAAAGAGAGCAGTAATGACGGCGTTGATGACGTGCTAGCAGTAAGGATTTTATCTTTCTTGGAGGGATTATTTAACGAAAATCACCTTGTTGAGTCATAAATGAAGACACGAAGTAGGTCTTCTGGAATCTCCCAGAAAGTGACTAACGCGGCTAGAGCCAACCATCAGATGCGCAAATTATGGCATTCTGAATGGGAGCTGTGTAGGTAGCGATTGAACTACAATTATACTAAACAGACACATTCGGCCTGGCTAGCGTGTCCTTAATAGCATACCCAATCGCCATCGAATTTGAATGAGCACTCCCCCCTTCGAGGACGGAGACAAGGCGAATTCGCTCTAGTAAGGGTTGCGGCGAATATTTCCATAGACGGCTACTGCCCTTGGAGTAGCAAGCACATACGCCCGATGCCGGAGCTCTAGCACGTCTGTAGGTTCATAGACGGCCCGGGGTCTTCACCCATTTCCTTGATATTGATGAACTCCACCAATCTCTCGGTCGCATATGGCAAGGGTCAGCTGTTTTCCATATTGGAGTGTAAACCGAAATGAAGCGGGGAAAGTCAGCCGCTACGAGCAAATAGCCATGACCAAGAAACTCAAAATACGGCTTTACGGGTACACGGATGTAGAGTTATCCAACGCACTGACGGGTATGTTGTCTCAAAGTAACAGCAACGCGAATCTTTACAATGATCACCCGCATCAACTTACCTATGAGTCAAGCACACGAGCTCACCAACACTACAATACGGCAACCGGATATGCCAATTACAACTAATTTCATCCAGACCTTACAAACTTTTCTTGTTCTCTTAGGGAAAAATCTCGCACAAATTGCCCGCCTCTAACTGAGCTGCACAACATCGAGCGCTGGTGTGTCTGGGCTTGAGTCTGTGCCCCTCAAAACGAAGGCGTGTTCGTGACAACCTTCGGCAATCACATGCCGTAGTAGAGAGTCCATCTCCGCGGCGAAACCTGCTACACTATTGTACCTAATGCCTTATAACGACGAATGTTTCTCGGTTCTCATTTAACAGTGCATGCATCTCATGTCTCTTATTTCTGTCAACATCAACCAGCTGCATGACACACCCACATCATGACTGACCAGCGCCCTGTATGCACTGCCTCATTCCCATTGAATAATGGTTAGTAGTTTCACACCAAAGGCTACATAATGCTTATACCAAATGTAGGAGCCTCCATGCCAGCAGTAGGTTTGGGAACTTGGCAAGGTTAGATGTCCTGAACGCCTGTGTCAAACCCCAGGCTATATTTGCAAGTGCTCACACGACTTCACCAAAAGGACGGCCCGGCACCTCGGACGAAGAATCACTGGTAGACTCTCTCGTCTACGCATTGCAAAACGGGTATCGGCTGCTTGATACGGCGCAGGTATACGGCGTCGAGCGGGTCGTGGGGAAAGCGGTACGAAAATGCGGCATACCACGCGAGGAGATCACCATCGTCACGAAGTTCTGGAGCCACTGGCATCACAACCCCGAAGAAGCGCTGAACAAGTCGCTCGAGGCGCTACAGTTGGATTACGTCGACGTTTTCCTTATGCATTGGCCATTCGCTACCACGCCGGATCGGAAGGTTCTCCGACCAAATGAGTCGCCTACAATTGCGGAAACTTGGAAAATGATGGAAAGTCTCGTAGGGCCAAAATGCAAGGCCATTGGCGTCAGCAACTTCACCCAGAAGACGTTGGAGATGATCCTGGCCAGTGCTACTATTGTCCCTGCAGTAAACCAGATTGAGCTCCACGCTTTTTATCCCTGTCTGAAACTGGTACCTTACTGCCAGTCCAAAGGGATTCATGTGATGGGATGGGGGTAAGTACAGTCTGCACATATCGAGTTTTGGAGTTCTGTTGCTGGGTACTGATTTGCAAATGGTAGGACTCTGGGTGGTGGTGATTCAGGTCCGATGAGCGAAATTCTCAAGCACAAGACTTTTGTCGAACTAGCGGAGTCGAAAGGCTGCTCGCCGGGGGTGCTCTCCCTCTCGTGGGCTGTGCAGCGTGGTGTAACGGTGATCCCAAAGACCAAGTCGAAATCAAGAATGGACGAGAATATTCGACTTGTGAGTTTGAACGACGAGGAGATGGGAAAGATGAATTCGGCACACAAATACATCCGAAGGCACCGTGTTGCTGATGACAATCCGCATATGGACGTTTGGATAGATGGATTGAAAACCATGCAGGGTTGGACTACTGTAGAGCTAGGCTGGGAAGATGAGAATGGGAATTGGTTAACGTGAATAGGTCACGAAGTTGGCGCGATGATTTATGGGTTTTGCGGTTTGGCGACAGCCAGTGAATTCCATGCGAGGAACACAAATGAATGCTTGCAAATGTCTTCAAGTCACATTTGCATAAGATTAACAAAAGGCGATTCTTAAGACCGTCGTATTCAAAATGATTCACTTCTTTTTGTGTTTGAAATTGCTCCTCCTGGTAGATAGAAAGAAAGTACCGCACGAGTAGGCCGTTGAAAACAGTCATCCACGGGTCTATGAAGCCACACAGACTCTTCTCTAGTTTAGAGAAGCCAAGAAAGAAGGCAAGGGCAGATCCAGACTATTCCTCGAATAATGTTGATGTCGGGGCCTCATACCTCATGATCCAGTACACCAGAACCGATTCCAGAATCAAGTTGTCATTAGCGCTAGAATGTCTCTAACCATTCTCTTCAGACCGTTGAGTTGCTAACACTTCCCATACCAGCCTCTTTGTCCCCATCTCGATAGACTGGACCGGCATGCCAACCCTTAGATACGTTTTGCTTACGCATTCGGAAGTTTATCCAGGGACCACAATGGGGATGAATATCAGATCTTCTCGCATTGACTGTGTAATCACCTCGTAATGGCGGAAGGTTTGGTAGCTTAAGCACTTTGGTGGCTTGTCTCTTCCTTTCTCTGGTCTGAAGAACTTTGCTTCTCTATGATGTTGTCAGCTGTGGAAGTAGTGACGCAGTGACGCAGCATTTATAGGATGTATTGTCTTTATTCAGACAAGGTACCCATTCTTGCGGGCCTTAGCCCCTGCGGTACAGGTCCATTAAAGTATTTAGATTCCAACGATGTCTAGGGCTGCTTCTTTGTTAGACTGCTAAAATGAAGAATCATGGTTTAGGCATTCAGGCGCAACTCCAAGGATGGAGGGGCGCACAAAACCCGGCAAAGAGATGACAATACTATTGATATCTAATGGGATGTTGCCATGTCACAGTAGTGACGCCGAATGCATCATCTACTGTCTCCCTTTTCCCCATTATCCGACCATCCTCTTTACTATAAAAGACGATCATCTTTCGCCCAACTTGAGCAGCCAGTATCACACTCACCCTCATCATCTCCCAAGACCTTCTATTTCCAAACACATCCAAATCTGCCTGCCCGAGTACACTCCAAGCCTTTCCCTTTCCACTTTAGGACAACCAATCCTACCATCACATCGTCAAAATGCTCATCATGAATGAAAACAACATCCCTCTGGACGAGGCCAAGCGCATCGCATACGCCTACTTCAGCAAGTATGAAGAGGAGCTCAACCCGCGGTCCGCCGACAACATGGACTTCATCGTCGAGGCGGACAACCTGAGAGGCACGCCGTCTAACCCAGGCCTCCACGCCGCGCTCATGGAACACAGGGCCAAGAGCATCCAGGGCTTCTCCAAGATCATCCTGGGCCTCGAGAAGGCGCTGCTGAACTTCTGCCACGCAGAATACGATAGTTACATGTTTGTCCACAAGGACAAGTTGATCGAGAACTCTGAAAGGGTCGCGAGCGAGGCGGTGGAGAAGGCCAGGGAGCACAGGGCGGCCATGAACCAGATCATGGACGCCATCAAGGCTGAGTACCCTGCTGCACAGGGTTCTCGTGGTTCCATGTAAGGGGGAGTAGCTTCTGCTCTATGCTCCACATTGTTGTTAGGGGGTGTGTTCGTCCATGCTTAGATAGCCTCCGTTGGCAGCGGCAAATAGTAGCATGTTAAAACAGATCAAGTTCCATGATCCCTATAGCGTGAGATTCTGTCCGTATTTTTTTTTTTTTTTTTTTTTGCCTCATCGAGTGTAAAATATTGCCAAAGGAATGGGAATGTAGACAATTTGTGTTACGCTGTGGTTCAAGGATATCAAAGGAAACTCGACATTATGTTTTAAAAATCGGTCAAGTCTCTTTGTCCAGGCCAGATATATCAATGGTTGGCTTCGAGATGAGGTCACACAAATACATGAATGGCCGCCACCAAAAATGTCCACAATGGTATTACCAGTTAGTATTCATAGTTTGGTAGATTAAGAGGCAATTCAACGAGTACCGCCGCAACTTTTCAATTAACAGCTTCCACCCCGAGGATAAACTGAGAAAAACGTCCATGCCGTTATGTCTAAACCTCAACACCCGCCAAATAGTCCTCAAAAATCTCAAAATTGCCCTCATTCTTCCGATCGTACACGGCAAACCACATCTCCCTCCACCAGCCACCCGCAAACTCAGCCTCACCCAGCACCTCAAGCCAACACTGCGCAATCTCCTCTGGTGGATTCCTAAACGCGCCGCAGCCCAGCGCGCCGAGCACGAGCAAACTATGTCCTCGAGCGGCCGCCATCCTCAGACAAAGCCTCATCTTGTCCATGGTCAACACGCGATCGTTCGCCCTCGCAAACTCGTAAACCTCCTCGGTGGCCGACGACGTCGAGACCCGCACCTTCTGGACCTCTGGTCTTCGGATGGCTGCAATGCTGAGGACGCTCACGACAGGCAGGTCGGTGTACGCCGTCCCCGGGACGAGGAGTTTATGTCCGCTCGCCATATCGCCCCGGATAACAACCACGTCCGGGGTGTACAGCCCCATACGCCTCCGAAAGGGGTAATGCCGCTTGTGCAAGCTGAGATACAGCGATGAGCGGTAGCATATCGCTTCCTCCTGCGCCACGGCGCCCTTGAGCCAACCTCCGCCGGCGTGGATGTCAGACGCCATGTTGAGCACCGCCACACGTCCGCCGTCAGGTCTCTGCGCAGCGAGGTCGATGGCAGCGTTTAAAGTGTCCTCGTTCACAATCTTGATTTTCGGACGGGGATGGCCCGGGCATGCTGAAGACTTCAACGGCGGCAGCTCTGATAGATGCAACGACTCGGATTTCGTAGCGTCCAGGTGTCGGAGGTTGGGCAGGATTGACGGCAGCACTGCGCGTGTTTCTTCGGATACGGAGGCCAGAGATGGATTTGAGCGGTCGCCTCCGCCACGGCGGCCACCGCGACCCCGGGAGGAGTGAGAGCCGCGGGAGGTGGTGGTGGTTGATTGTGAAGATGATGTTGGCGGGTCACTGTTGGTGGCGGATAAGCTAGATGAGGCCTGGGATTCTGATGATGGCTGCTCGGGGCGCTGATTTTGGGGTTGGCGAGGCCGACTGCCGCCGCCTGAGAACGCATAATCGAACAGGCTTGTTTGGCGCGACATCTTGTGTGATGGGTGTTTTGCTGTGAAGAGTGTTGATGTTTTTGTGGATTTGAAAAGTGTCGTGAGATGAGGTTTCGTTGGTTGATTTGGAAGGGCGGCTGCCTGGACTAACGAGATTTGTCCGCAGGCACGACGGCGCAGTGGGGAACCGTATCGCTTTATTGGTGCGGTATGGAAGAACTTGCAAGCAGGCAACAGATTGGATATTTCATGCCTTGAATTCTCACCATCATGTTATGAAAGAGTTGATGTTCATTGTAGGCTTCAGCCCCCCTGTCGGACGCTGAGCAGGTGGGATTAAGGTTGTCGGTGAGAATGAGCTGGAGACCGGGGTGACTCACTAGCGCACCGTCCTGCCAATCACTCACGTGTTAGGGACTCGAATTATACAAGGACGGTGACGCTTAGTGGTATGTTGATTCTGCATGGGTATCATTTCAGATTTGATCTATCAACATTTGTACATATAATTACAGCGTTATACAGCCCAACTGAAGCTAGGATCTAGTGGTGTGTCGCATCAAGCGCGAGTCTTTATGGCGCCTTCGGGAATAGCATCGCCCGCCTCAAACTTGCGCGGAATAAGGCCTTCTGCCATGTTAATAGCGCCCTCCATATCATTCTTGTTGAACAAGAACAGTCCCTGTATGGCGGCCGTGCTCGTGAATCTGTTGGCCGTCTCCGGATCCTTACCATTGCCAAACAAGCACAGCTCGTCGAGCCTCTGCAGGAAGCGCTCGCGGCCAGAGCCATCCTTGTCAATATCACCATAGAACCGATCCCACATCTGGCCTGCCTGGTATTTCGTTGCCTCACCAATGCGAACCATCATATCGACACGACCAGGACGGATTAGCGCGGGGTCGAGACGTTCAATGTGGTTCGTCGTCAGAAAAGCAATGCGTTCTTCACCCGCGGCAACGCCGTCGAGAGCATTCAGAAGTCCAGAGAAGGTAACGCTGGCGCCGCTGTAACCATCCGCATCGCGCTGGCGGCGGTTGACAAAGGCTGCGTCCGCATCTTCGAGAAGGAGCAAACTCCTGCGAGGGAGCTTGGTCAAGAGGTACGCAAGCTTGTCGTCGGTCATGCCCATCTCGCTGAGGTTGATCATCGCGACGCTAAAGTCCAGCTCTCCAGCCAGAGACTGGATGAAAGAGCTCTTGCCACTACCAGGGGGCCCAAACAAAAGGTATCCGCGACGGTATGGAATACCGCGATCGACATACCACTGCTGCCGAGTCATGAAATCCTTGACATCGTCAACAATGCCTTCCTTGACGCCCTCATCCAGTATCACCGAGCCCAGAGGCCGCTTCTTCCGAGGATCGCCGAGAGGCGCCCACTCCATGCCTCTCGCGGAGTACACAATCGTCTTGCCTTCGTTCGCCTTTGCCGCCAGCGCGTGCGCCTCGCCAAACACATCCTCAAACACATGCCGATGCGCCCAGAGTGTCGTTAGCTGTACGATTTCGTGCGGCTCGCCAGTGTTCATGTTCGCCGTATTGTGCTTCTCGCGATTGACAGCAATGTACGCATTCTTGTGTTTGACAATATGCCTCCCGTATCCTGGCTGCAGGAAGAAGTGTGCGTTCGTCGGACCGGCTGCGCCTCGGGTAGTCGAAGTCGTCGTCGATACCGACAAGTTGTGAATGCGAGTGATGCGCGAGGCCAGGAACCCGGCCGACTCGCGCGGCTGCGACAGCCATGCTAGTACCCAAGGGTATGCAGGGTCCTGCTTGCTGATTTCGACATTGACGATGAGGCGGCGGCGGGCAGCTCCAGCAGCGACAATAACGCCTTTGCGGGCGAAGGCTGCGGCGGCTCCTAGGGAGGCGAGGCCGATACCGCCGGCGAAGAGGGGGTTATTGAAGAGCGCATCGAGGTTAAAAATCGAGGCTGAAGCTGTAGCCGTTGATGTCGTCGGCACGGGGGCTGACATTACGGACGTCGTTGGTGGTGATGGTGGCAGCACCATTGAGCTGGCATCGTGGTTTTCGATTTTTGGTGGAGGGAGTTTGAAATTTTGGGGGAGCTGTTGCAGGGATATGACGGAACTCTGAGCGAAGATCCCCCGGCCAAACGGGACCAGTTTACGCCGATAAGGGATCCCCCACCTACCCCTGTGCCCTGTTGTAATGGACCCTGCCTCCAGATGCTGTGTACAGAGTTAAGCAATGCATAATTACTTACTTTTGTCCCTTGACATTATAGCAGGGACGAACTATTCTTTCCCATCAACATATGATCTACCCGAATGCAACTAAGACAACTTCACACATCTTCAAGATTCATGAACCAATCTTGTGGGCTATGACCATCAGATCCCTCGTGGAAGATTCCGAGTGCCGAGACATTTGTAATCGACCTTGTAAAAAAGATGCTGACATCACTGTCACCAGCCAGCTTGGTTTGCTGTGCTCGACCTACGTAGGGACTTGGTCAAGATGCCCACTAGTATGAGACAGTCTGGCCCAACGAGTGTCGGGATGCAGTAGATCTTTACGTCGGCTGGCCATGCGGGATGTTTTCTAATCACCTCGGTTCCTGTAGTCCGCGCCCTTGGCGTTATTAAGCTGCCCCATTGCGCAAGAATCCCATTGATTATCGCCTAAGATTATCGAAGGGTTTTTGCTGCTCCCCCCGCAATAGGGCGTATTTATGGATTAATCATCTTTTAGAGCTGTTATTCACTTGCAGCCGAACAGCGCTAATCATCGGTCTTGGACTCGATCCGAACTCGGTTATAGATGGACGTGACTATAAACGACCCCCCCATGCAGTTCCTCATTCTCTTTTGGCAACCGTTGGTTGTGCTATTCTTCGTTTGCCAAGACATCAGATGGCTTTAACAACAAGCCAACGTCCCTCTCTTGGAGGAGATACCCCGGAATCAAGCCAGGACCGGCTCCAAAAAGACCCTGAAAAGGCGGATGTATTGACCGATGGCAATCGGGAGCCAGGCGATGATGCCGGCAAAGATGAATCCATTACGGAGGAGTGGAACTGGGAGACAGACCCTCACAATCCCATGAACTGGTCTCCTACTTCCAAGATACAACAGATAGTGATGCTATCTTTGGCTGCCTTTACAGCGTGAGCTAGGCGCTACAGTACCTATATTCATTGAGAGAAATATGCTGACATTTTCTAGATCCGTTGGGACCTCCATCATCAGTCCTGCCCGCTCTCAGCTTATGGAAGAATTCGGAGTAACGTCGACGCAAGCTATTCTGCCATTGTCAATGTACGTCTTCGCCCTCGGAATGGGCCCAGTCGTGGGAGGTCCTCTCTCGGAGACGCTAGGTAGACACCCAGTCTACCTTGGTTGCCTTCCACTCGGCGGTCTCTTCACCTTAGGCGCGGGCTTCTGTCGCAACTTTGCCGGCATATGCGTCTTGCGCTTTCTCGCCGGCTTCTGTCTGTCGCCCAGCCTGGCAATCGGAACCGGCACCATCAACGAGACATACAAGCCGTCGCAGCGCGCCTTTCCTTCCACCATTTACATTCTCATGCCATTCCTTGGCCCAGGGCTCGGGTATGATTGCTACTTAGCCCCTTGCTTGAAATATCATTTGACTGATGATGCGCTTTAGACCTGTGATAGGCTCCTTTGTCGTCAACCGCAAAGGCTGGCGATGGACGCAGTGGACGCTCCTATTCTTCATCGTCATCTCCATTATATCAACCATACTGGCCCGCGAAACCTACCATCCAGTCCTGAAGCGTCGTCGCGCTAAGCAACTAGGTCTCCCCCTCGACCCGCTACCACCCACGAGCCAGCGAGTCCAGACGTTCGTGACCACAGCACTCACGCGTCCGGTGCGTATGATGCTCACGGAACCCATCGTGTCCTTCATCTGCCTGTACGTCGCCTGCGAGTTTGCGACGCTTTTCTCCTTCTTCGCTGCGCTTCCCTACGTCTTTGGCACAGTCTACGGCTTCGGAATCGAGCAGCAGGGACTCGTCTTCCTCTCGATTATGGTGGGCTGCGTGCTGGGTACCTTGACGATTCTCGTCTGCAATGTTTTGCTGTACTTGCCTCAGACGAAGAAGTATCCGCCGCACCGCACCCCTCCGGAGCACCGGCTGTACCCTGCCATGATCGGCAGCCTGGGGTTGCCGTTGGGTCTCTTTTGGTTTGGTTGGACCGCCCGAGCGGATATTTCATGGGCCAGCCCTGTCATCGCAATCATACCTTTTGCTTGGGGGAACATGTGTCTGTTCGTCAGCACGATACAATACCTCGTCGACGTGTATCAAGGCACGACTGTTGCGAGTGCTGCCAGTGCCAATAGCCTGGCGAGGTATGTTCTGGCGGGGGCGTTTCCCTTGTTTATTGTACAAAGTAAGCAACGATCACGACTAGCGGATATCAGATATACTGACTACTGCCAGTGTATCAAAACCTGGGGACCGGCTGGGCGAGCAGCCTATTGGGATTCATCGCTCTAGCGCTCTTGCCGGTGCCATGGGCCTTTTTCAAGTGGGGGCGGTTCATCAGGCAGAAGAGCAAGTTTGATACAGTAACTATTTGATAGAGGTCGGATATACCCTTGACGTACCTTAGCAGGTGATGGATCTAATGACAAGCATATCACGCCAGCAGACGACCCACGGGCTTGGGGTCATATCTTATAGACTAAAGCTTCAGATACCAGATGAAAGGAAAGCAATAGACAAGAAATATATAATGTCAAAGTAGTGCAACGTTCAAATTCAAAGTTTCCAACAATGCCAACGTACCCGCCCGGCAGTCTCCGAGATTTGCGGGCGATGCAGTGGATCTCTCTGGGGGAACCATCCCGATCTTGCCGATGTAACCACCGTCCCAAAGATGGGGGGGAGGGTTCGGAGGTAAAGAGTGGGGTGGGCCGTCAAAAATTGCTAAGGTTCTCCGGGAGCCGCTCTCTCTCACCCCAAAAACACCAAACAAGGATTTGCAGGTGAAAAGAGGAGACATCTGGCAGAGAGTATGTGGTGATGGTGTGTGTGTGTGTGGGGGGGGGCTCTCACTGGTTTAAACTTCGAAATTCAGCCGAACATGAGACTTACGACGCGCATTTTCCAAGTGGAGGGCTGTGCCGAGCTTGATTCCTGGGCAAACTGGCACCCAAGAAAAAAAAGAAGAAAGACATTTAACAAGACAAAAGGGAGAGAAGTAAAGGGGGAAACAAATTAGGGGGAAACAATCACAATAATATTATGTGCCACGGCAGAGACACGGCATTAGATGATGAAGCCCGGTTTACTTTCTTGGTGGTTTCTTGGCCCCCTCTCATATATGTACCTAAGCAGCAGCAGCAGCTCCATTTGCACTACCCAGGGTGTGCTGCAATTGCGAAACGCCATGGCACATTGCCGCAGAAAGTGTCCCTGTGTGGCGTGGCACTTGGCGCCGAGCTCCGATGGATATTTACCTTTTTTTGCCCTTGGGCCTTGGGGGTTCACACTCCGCCTGTCTTTCTTCTGAAGGGGGGAACCGGTGCGAACGAGCTTGGGACAATGTGCTCAGTGCGCGCGGGTTTCCTTTCGTTTCGTCCCAGAGAGGGGACTCTTTCTTTCCACATTCTTGTGTTTCCTTTGATGATAACTCTTTTGAGATCGTGATGAGTGGCCGGCAATTTCCGTGATAGCTTCAACTTGTTACAATCCTACGACTAAGCAAAAACACCCTTACGCCGGGACTTTTGGTGCTACTCCCACTTGGCGCTTTTCTGTGCCTCTTCATTGCAGTTTGTCAACTCTACGGTACGTCAAGTCACGTCCGTTGCCACTTGCAAAATCAGCATTCCCATACCCGATTTGTCGCTTACAAGATGAATAGCTCCTGAGCTGGGTAACTGCTTCTGGCTCATCGCTGCTGCAAGAAGGACTCTTTTGCTCTTTAGACAGGCTCGGCATGCACGCCTGACCGCACCCATCCAGAGTTTGCTCAACCGAAGCTGACGAAGATCGGCCTTGTGAGAAAGCGTCGCCGCATCTTGCTTCATCGCCGTAAAAGTTCCCGATCAAGTCGGATACGACCAACCGGGATCATCCAGCGTACGGCTACGTAACCGTGATGCTTTCCTCACCGCGGTTTCGTCGTTTCTTGGCTCTCGTCTTCCTTTCCATCTTGGCTGGAAACATCCTTTTACTGTTGATCCTGCCCTACGATAACCCGCTTGTGCTCGCGTTACGATTCAACGTTAGTGGGCTTCGGAACGTGCTCCGGGGAGACGGCAGCAGCAGGGACGCCTGGCTGTACCAGCCGGCGCGATACCCTGTCGACTTCAAGACAGATGTAGGCCTCCTCATCAAGACAGGCTACGGCACCAGGCACCGTCTCGCGGCGCAGCTGGAGGCCTTTGGTCTCGGCGAGGACGACGCCGATTCATTCGTCGTAGTCGGCGACTGGACCCCCAATGAGAACGGTACCCTTGCCGGAGTCCACGTCCACGACGCAGTCGGCGGAGTGATGGCCATGCCCGAGATGCGAAAGCACCACGGTGCACCAAAATTCCAAGAGTACCTCTCGCTCAAAGACGCGGTCGAAAGGGGTGATGATATAAAGGCGATGGAGATTGGTCGGAGCTTCGGGTGGGATCTGGATGCGCTCAAGGTAACTTACACCATCGTGCCCCGCATGTTCGCATCTTGGCCGGGAGTTCCGTCGAACTGACGCGTAACGAATAGTTCATCTGGGGTCTCGAATACGTCTACGACAACCTGCCACGGAAGAAATGGTACGTCATTCTCGACGACGACACGTACCTCGTCAAGTCCTCCCTGATGCTGTTACTCACGCACTGGGACTCGGGCGAGGCGCAGTACATTGGCAACGCGGTGGGCGACTACAAGGGGCGATTCGCGCACGGCGGATCGTCGGTGATTATTTCCCACGAGGCGGCGGCACGGTTACTCTCGAGGCGGGATATCCTCGCCGCCGCGCAGGAACAGTCTCTCCAGGAGACGTGGGGCGACAAGCTCATCGCGACGGCGTTCCAAAAGGTCGGGGTCTACTTGGACGAGCGGTACAGCCACTACTTCAACGGCGAGCGGCCAAACATCTCGAAAATCATGGCGGACAGGTTCTGCTCGCCGCTCGTGTCGTTTCATGGTGTGGCAGAGCCAGCTGAGATGAGGCAGATCGGCAGCGCGTTCGCCAGCGTCAAAAGCCCTGTATTTTGGGGTCAGCTGTGGGAGCTTCTCGGCGCACCGTCGGTGGAGGAATTCAAGAGCGGCCCCATCCGACCCAAGTGGGATTATGTTGGCAGGATCGACGATAGGGCGAACATTGTTGCGGAGGTGGATAGTGCCGAGGCGTGTTTGGAGGTGTGTGAGAGCTTGAAAAAGAGATGTCTTGCGTGGACATGGGTTGAGGTCAACAAGGAATGTCGGACCAGTCCATGGATGATTGTTGGCGAAAAGGCTCCGGAACACTTTTCGGGGATAAACCACGGTGAAGTTGAGAGGTTGCAAGTGAGTTGCTGAGACGAGCGGTGTAAAATGGTTAAGTGGAGGGGGCAAAAGAGGAAAGGAACACCTGCAATGATACCCAGGAAGGAAGGCATAGAATCGGCGACAAGGGCTCGCTGCCCCGGTATTTCCTTTTTTCAACGATCTTGGTTATGTATAGTTGTATACAAATACACATAAAAAGTGAATAACAAGATTAGTTACAGAGTAGCTGCTTTACACTCTATTCCAAACTGATTCTAAACTAAACAGTCATACTGTAAAACCATGTCAACCAAACCAACACGGCCAATCTCAGGTATGCGTTTCCGCATCCGCATCCGCATCCCCATGGGATCCAAACCGAAATCGAGAGGAAACCGAACTCCGAATTCAGCGGGGGGGCGGGGTATAAGTCGGCCCCGATCGTGGATTTTTCTGAATGTCCGCTGCCCGCTCTTCGCCCTCGTTTGTGGCCTGAAACGGAAGCTGCTCATGCGGAAATACAGGGGGGATATCCAGCCACGTGTGGCACAGTTCGATAAGATTGGCGAGGTCAAGGTACGTATACTCCGTACTCTGAGTCTTAACACCGAGCTGTGGCTGACAAAGTGTAGCTGTCAGTCAGCGTTGCCCCCCAGCTGCCCCTGTTGGATGGCGCTGTCAATGACGATGACGTCTCATCCACACACTCACTGACACAGCCACCATCGTCCCGCCGCCCTACATGGTACTAGCAGTGCGCAGTAGCGCCCTCCGTTAGGTAGGTCCTTGCTCACCCGCCTTACTGAATGGGAGACTCGTGTGTTGTAATTGACGTCAACTCGAAATACCTTACAAACCAACCGTCCACCCCCTCCTTCAACAACAAACGGGGTCCTGCTTTCAACAAACTCTCTGCCCTTTGTTTTGAGCAATTTCCCCATTTTCTTGGCTTCATCTACTGTCCTTCTACTGTCATCGGAAAGCATCCCACGTAACGAACCATCGCCCCATCAACCGGCGGATCAGCTTCCAATTTCATACGTCCTTCTTAGTGTCGGCACTACCAATACGTAAGGTACCGTACCTTGCACCCCCTCTAAGGCCCACCGCAGCGGTACCTTGTTGCGCTGAAAAAGCAGCTCCGACCCCTGTTGGGAGAAAAGCCCCGCCAAAACCCTCCCAGCAGTCAACGCAGCACCATCATCAGCACCGTACTCTGGAGTAGAATCAGAAGCGTCCCAGCTTGGCCCAGCCCAGAAACTCCAGCATCCCACCTTTTTTTTCCCATTACCCATAAAAATAAAAGACAAGACAAAGACACCACAACACACCCCCGCCTAGTCTCGTGCCGACCTTGGACCCGGTATTACCTACTTACCAACTACCTACACCACCCACACGAGAGACACATACACACACCCCTTTACCACTTACTGTGCGAGACTCCTCTACACGAACTAAAAGACAAGATCACGAGAATCACCGAGTTCACACCGACCAACTCCGACCAAGATCATGTCGACCTCAACACAGGCTCAGGCCCAGGCCAACCAGGGCAGCTGGGGAGCTTTCCTCAAGGTATGTTTTTCCACATCTTGGCCTTCAGAATCTCCCCGACTAACGGCCTTCTCTTACGCAAACAGTCCATCGCCTCCTTCAACGGCGACCTCTCCTCCCTTACCGCGCCGCCCTTCATCCTCTCCAGCACCTCCCTGACCGAGTTCTCCTCCTACTGGGGTGAGCACCCCTCCATCTTGGCCGCCCCCGCAAAGGAGCCCGACGCCGCCAAGCGCGCCCTCCTCGTCACCAAATGGTTCATCACCACCCTCAAGCAGCAGTACGCCTCGCGCAGCGAGCAGTACGGCAATGAGAAGAAGCCCTTGAACCCCTTCTTGGGCGAGCTGTTCCTCGGCAAGTGGGATGACGAGGCTGGTGTTACGGAGCTCATCAGCGAGCAGGTCAGGTAAGATTATCCTCCTCCATAGTCTCCCGAGGCGAGAGCAAGGCCGAAAGAAAGCAACATGAAACTAACAAGGGATCCCAACAGCCACCACCCCCCCGCGACAGCCTACTCCATCACCAACATCCCAACCGGCGTCCACCTAGAGGGCTACAACGCCCAAAAGGCCACCTTCAAATCCACAATCAACATCAAGCAGATTGGCCACGCCGTCCTCACCGTGCCATCTCCTGAAGCAGGAAAGAAGGAGACATACCTCATTACCCTCCCCGCCCTGCACATCGAAGGTCTCATCTTCGGCGCCCCCTTTATCGAGCTTGAGGGCAGCTCCTACATCACCTCCTCCACCGGTTTCACTTCCAAGATCGACTACTCGGGCAAGGGCTGGCTCTCGGGCAAGAAGAACTCGGTCATTGCGACTGTGTATCCCACTGGCAAGGAGAAGGACGTCGCTTACAACATCTCGGGCGTCTGGACGAAGTCGTTCGAGATCTACCAGGGCCCCGCCAAGACTAATTCGTCCAAGACGCTCATCGATACCTACGACGCCGCCCAACACCCCACGTCTAAGCTCATCGTCGCCCCGCTCGACAAGCAACACCCTCTCGAGTCGCGTCGCGCGTGGAAGGGCGTCGCCGAAGGTATCGCCAAGGGCGACATGGACGCCGTCTCGCGCGAAAAGAGTGCCATCGAGCATGCTCAGCGCGAGCTCCGCGCAAAGGAGAAGGCCGAGGGACGCACCTGGGAGCGCAGATACTTCACCGACCAACAGGGCTCCACCGACTCCGTGCTCGAGACCCTCGGTCCCAACGTGGGTCTGCCGGTCAACGGTGACGCTGACAAGACGGGCGGTCTGTGGCGGTTCGACGCTGAAAAGGCCGAGAAGGTGCGCTCCCAGGCGGCCCTGAGCGCGGAGGACCAGGCGAAGATGGCGAGCGAGATTCTGGGTCAGCAGGCATGAATAGATGGGGCACACACACACACGGGGGATGAGATCCACGACGAGTATAAAATGATGAGTGGTCCGGAGAGCCTGGCATGGGAAATAGGGAAGGCGGGGCGGACGGGACTGTAGAGCTAGCATGCTGGCGCTTGGAGTTGTTTTTTTTTTCTCTTTTCCTTCTAGTTCGTTGATCATGAGAATCGGCCGGTAACATATGAGCGGCACTACTAATTGGATGGAACATGTGATGATTCTTCTCCTACTTTTACTTTTTTTTTTTTTTTTTTTTTTTTTTTTTTTCCCTTTGTTACGTTCAGTCGTCATGGTAGACGGGATTGTACATGAAATGATCTAGAAGCACACGCTCGTCTCTTTTTTAAATTCGGACGTTGCTGCATGACCGTGGCCGTCATCTTCCAAAATCCCCATATTTTCCTTGCGGTCTCTTCCTCCCACAGGTCTTGGATCGTCTCTTGTAGAAATCTGATATCTGATACGTAGTGTTATACCCTCCCCCCCCTCCCCCCCCTCCCCCCGTCTCATCTTTTTTTTACCCTGGTTCAATGTGACCCATGCCCTTGCCGTCGTCCATGTCAGATGCCTCAGCTTCGGGGTCCCACTTGAGGGAACAGTCAGCAGATATATTTATTACTTGAGGATCCGACTTGGCGGTTTGCCAAGGTACTTTTTGAGACGCGTCTGTTGACTAATGAAGCAAGCTGTCTGTCTGCGCTTTAAAATAACCAAGCCAGGATTCTAGGTAAAAAAAAAAAGACAGGTTAAACATGGGTCACGTTTAATGCAATCCGCAACATCTTATTTGAACAGTTATATTTTATCCCACCATGTATGTAAGTGCATTGCGCAGCTCCACGTCTTGTCTACCCTTGGAACACACACACACACAGCCAAAGCCCGCTTCTTCATCCAACATGCTGCCTCCCCTTATCAAACTCACAACAAATAAAAATAAAAAAGGACACGGTAAAAAAAAAAAAAAAGGTCCCATGTAAAACCTTTCCCTCCCGATGCTGTGATGGAGATCCAACGGATGGAATGCTAGAGAGAAAAACGAGAAAAAGAGATGAAAAAAAAGAAAGAAAGCAGATGATGAATACGCCGTCCAATGCACTTTGTTGTGTTCCTCTTTTTTTTAATTGCCGATTAAGGCATATGTCCAATAAAAGTAGCTATGTCCGAAACGAAGGTCGATGGGAGTGTTTGCTGGTTTGTTTGTTTGTTTTTTTCCATGCTTTGTTTTTTGCAAGTTTCTTCTTCTCAGCATTGGATCAGCGCCAAAAAGTCACCCTTCTCGAGGTTATGGTCGTGTAGTGACGGAGCGGATCGTATTCGGGCGGCAACGTCGCGCGTCGGGACGGGGCTGGAACGGGAACGGAGACGTCGCCGGCCTCGATCTACGGGCTGTCCCTCTCGAGCTCGTAGAAGAGCAGATAGACCTCGCGGCGCAGGTCGAGAACCTCGCTCGTCTTGGCCTCGCGAACCTTCTCGTCGCTGATGCGCCACCAGCGGTCGGTGGGCTGCTTCTTACGCCTGTGTACCGGCGGACGCGGTGCTACCGCCATCGGGGTCGCTCCCGGCGGGCTGGGGGTGCCGTTGCCGTTGACGCGCTGCGAGATCTTGGACACGGTGCTCCGCGCCGACGCGGTGATGGACTTGACGGATCGGATGCTGCCTGCGTCGGGCTCCCTTTGCTTGTCGCGCGGCGCGGATGTGGGGCTGATGCGCTTCTTGATGCGATCTCTGGGCGAGGCGTCGGACGAGGACAGGGACGGCGTCGAAGAGTTCGTTTCCGAGCTCGGTGTGAGCAAGTCTGGGGTCGACGCGGCCGGGCTGGCCCCGCGGGCAATCGCATCGAGCTGTGGCGTCGAGGGCTGCGGCGTGGCTGCGGGGCTGGCCGTCTTGCTATAAATGCCCGAAGGCTGGAACGTATTTTGATTTGGGTAGGGGGCGTAGGTGTTTTGGCGCCGGAATGATTCATAATGTCCACTGTGGTGGCTGCCCTTATGCGTCACGAGGCCCAGTAGCTTATAGTTCCGGCGGTCGCGGAGACCACCAAGAGGCAGGCGTTCGGGGAAGGCAACCTTGGCCGAGTTCTTGGTTGAGGTCTGTTCGTAGATGGAGCGCGAGAGGTGGACGGCGAGAATGCGCGGGAAGGATGTGAGGCGAGTCGACCGTGCAATCTTTCGCTTTGGCGCGGCGCTGATATCGGGGAGCAAGACGTCATCGGGTACGTTCTCGGGATCGACGTCGATGGCGTAGCGAAGCTTGCGAATTGCTTCTTCCAATGCTTCCTTTTCGCTGTCGGTCTTGGCTTTCGCGAGATCCTTCTTGAGCGACTCCTCGCCGTGGATCAGTCTACACCTTTCGCACTTGAAATCGTCAATCATTTCTGTCTTGAAAATTTCGTCAAAGCACGAGTTCAAAGTAGTGGAGCTGGTCTGGGGTACGTTGAGGGTCAGCATGTAGAACGTCTCCTCCCTCGGCTTCGTCTTGTAACCACAGGTCTGGCATTCTGATTGCGACTCGTATCTTCCTTCCATGGGAAAACCCTCGTCCTCGTCGACCGATGTGTGAAGCCCATTGGTCTGTATCGTGGGTACCGTGGGCGTAGGCAAAGCGGAAGAGGAGTTGTCAGTCTCTCCGTTTGAGAGATTGAGGTTTTCGAGCTTCTGCTGGACAGCCTCGCCATTTACTGAGGCTCCTTCCGAGTTACCTCGCGAGGCGGCGAGTCGTGCGTGTGCGCGAGCTCTCTCACCGGCGTGGTACTCCTCCTTTAATCTCTCGGCGACAATCTGGAGAAATTCCTGTGCATCCTGTTGCTGTCTAGAAATGCGCTGTCTAAAAGCCTGCTCCAGTACCCTCACGAAATCGATTGCGGAAATAGATTTTTTGTAAATGGGCCTCTCGTTCAGCGAGTCGAGCATGTCCTTCAGGCCCTGGGTGACCAGGCCGCGCTGCATGCCCTCGATCTTCCAGTCGGGCCAGTTCTTGCCAGGCGGCTGGACCAATTGGGAGTAGACACCCTCATCGTCGATGTTACGGCGGTGGGTCTCGCGGATGAGGTACACACGCAGCTCGCCGAGGCCTGCGAGAGCCTGCAAGGTAGAGTTTATAAAGCAGTCGTTGGCGGCATTGCGGAGGCCCACGACGCCCTTTCTGCGGGAGGACGAGGTGCTGGACTCATCGATTGTGAAGGTCGGTGCGAAGACGTAGACGAGGGCAATGGCGGCAAGAGATGCGCCGGCGGCATAGGAGATGGTTGTCAGATTTTTGTCGGGCATGTCTGGAGATCGGGAGGTTCGGAATAATCGGGTAGATGGGGAGAGTATAGGTTTAGGGTGATGCGCGGAAATGCGCGAGGTTCAGGTTGTGGCGACGCCTAGGCGACAGTCAGCACAACTACATCTTCTATGCTGGATACGAAATCCCGTCGACTTGGTTCTCAGGGCCGTTGTAACCCGTGTATTCGGGTCGGAAAGACGCAGGGACCAGAAGCCAATCTTACCTATGCTCCGTGGAAGCAAACAAAACGCGAGCTCATAACGATGCAGAAACTAGGCCGGTAGGGGTATCAAAGTTCAACATTGTCTTGTTTCAAGGTATAAGAATTGCCAATGGTCACCGGATAACGGAGGGGAAGAGAAAGAGAGAGAGAGTAAGGTTGGCCGGTCCAGCTGCGAGGCAGACAGGGTAAGAGAAGAAGAGGAGGAAGAGAGGTGACGGTGATGGAGAGAGTTGAGGCGAGACTGGAGCACTGGAGAGACTGGAGAAGGAGACTGGGCCAAGAGGGTCCTGCGATGGGACACCAGGTAACTGGAATGGGCAGACGAGGGTGTCTGGTTGGTGTGAAGTGCCTGGGTCTTCGTCTGCTATCGAGCGTGCGGCCGAACAAAAAATGGGGTAAAATGGAGAGAATTGGGACGTGGGATGGGGTCACGACCGAGTCGGGGGAGGAGGCTCGGGGGTCGGGGGGTGTATGTATGTATGAGTGATAGAGAGAGAGAGAGAGAGTGTGTGTGTGTCTCTGTCTGGGTGCTGGGTAAGGGTGTGAAGCATAAGACAAGGAGATTGAGTTGTACAGGTTTTGGCGGGGATTACACCGGCAAGGCGGAAAGTGGATGGGGTGGGTGATGAGTATTGTCTTTTTCCCCCCCTTTGCTGTCTCTTTCTGGTCTCATTGTTCCGGTGGAATTTTATTTTATTTGACTGAATTTAGCTTTTTTTCGTTTTTCTTTTTGTTCTCTTAAGATTATTTAGACGCCGTCTGCGGCTGTGACTGCATACGGATATAACAGTAATAAAAAAATAAAAAAAAGTACGGAGCTTCGGATACGGATACTATGATAGGCGTAGCCGCAACAGCAGTAGCAGCAGGCAGGAAGGAAGAGTACTACTTAGCAAGTACACAATGTACACTGCTTAGAAGCAAGCGACGCCCAACCAGCAGGCATCACTCTTGCGCCGTCCTCCGCCATATCTGCAAGCCAAAAATCTGCCAGGTCCGTCAGGTGGTCTCCACCCATCATTCTTACCGTTTTCCCATCTAGCGCTTCCTTCTTCCTCCCATATTCCTTCTTCGAGCTTTCCATTCGGATTCCGTAGACGGGCCGCCGTTGCCCTTGGCGCCTCACAAATGATCAGACGCTGAAGAAAGTGCCTCCTGGTGTTCGTAAGAAGCTACTTCCGTTCGACATTTGGATCTTAGGTAGGCGAGAGACACCGTTGCTGGCATACTCAGTAGATACATAACTCCTCCTACGTAGTAAGTCATGTTTACAATACTTTTCAAAAAATAAAAAATTACATGACTATCCCACATTACCATCCCAAGAAATTATTCTTTCTCGCAGGGCGCACTGGAAGTTTTTTTCCCGGTACAGGTGCAGCTTCTGGTCAAGGCACTGCTAGCTCGGCCCTCTCGGCCACCGTTGGTCCGACCAGAAGGCCCTTTTAGCCGTGCCCCGGATCCTCACTCCTCCTCCCTCGCTGTCTACTACCCCCACCATAGAGGTGCTACTAGTACGCATGGTCAGTACTAGTGTAGTAGCTTACAGCGGTCACTACTGTACGTACACATTGCTCCTACCACTTACTTCGCCCTATCTGACTTGACCGGCGCCTCCTGTCCAGCTACAATTATCGTCTATTCACCAAAAAGTCCATCCGCAATCACAATCGACGCAAAATACATCGCTTTGTCTCGCTCACATGGCCGTATTGGCATTTTCATCATGGTGCGACGCTTGCCAAGCGTTTGTTCTACCACATGTTCTCGAAGCCCGCTGCCGCCAGCCCTGCCCGCCCTGATCTTCCCGCGCTTTTCCCTCATTCTCCGACCAACCGCTACCCAGAAACTTCTGTCTCTGATGCAAGGCGACACCATCCATCGGAGCAACTGACACCCTCAATCCCTCCTGATTGGGGACCGGGGCACCGTCTCTCCCTGGGGCTGCGACGTGGGGGGTTGGAGAAGCAAAACTATCCCAATGCAACGTCACTCCCTCACCGTCACCCTGGCTGAGCTGACCGCACCCAAAAAGTTACAAACATCCCTCCTCGTTACCATCTCGTTCGCCTGCTGCCCGTTTGTCATTTTACCGAGCATGTATTCCTACCGATGCTGCTGCGCACGCATCCGATCTCTCCGAACCACCAAAACAACCGCCCACCAGCCTCTTTTATTGCATCACCGTGCTAAGCTAGACCTTAGACCAGCGGCATAGCGGACAGAAACCCGGTCGGATTACCCCTCAATGTCCTGTCCTGTCTGAGGTACAAAAACTACCCAGCACCACATGTCTCGGATCCCCGCATTCTGTCCCCTCGCGGACAGGCCCTCCCCGTCTTGTCCCCCTGCTGGGATTGACTTTGGCCGAAGTTCTTTCGGTACCATCGGAATACTGATTCCCCATCTTCTGAACTGATGTGTAGCGGCATCCCGTCCACCACGTATCCTGCTGCGGCGTCCAGCCTGCGCTCGGCTTGCTGTCACCTATACAAAGGCAACAGAAAAAAAAAGGGTCGGCGTGGAGATTGACGTCTGATAGCCATGGCGCCGGCGGAGATTTGACGCCGCGTACAGGCGGTGTAAGCTACGCGTCCCGTGGTTTATCTTGCGTAATACCCCTGGCGCGGGTTTCCGGCGCGGCTAGGCTCGGTCGCACTTGCCCGCCCGAAAACGAGCTTTTTGTTCTGTCGATTGACGTGCAATACGATTAAGTCTTCGTTGTGTTCAACACTACAACCAAATCGCACGTGAGAGAGAAAAGAAAAAGAAAAAGAAAGCTCTCACATTACCCCGCCATTCTTGGCACCCATCTCCGAATCCGGGGATATAGCAACTGAACCTGGATCCTTAGGCGCCACGACTTGCTCCATTAATACATGCGAGACATCACATCTTGGATCTGGCTTGTAACAGCCTGTTAGGTCACACACATGCTACTCCAGGCCAGATTTTGGCTTGTCAGCTGGGAAACACCCAGCCAACCCTGGCTTCCTCAAGATGACTGCGTCAATTATCAGAACCTTACACGTTGGTCCTACCAATTCCAAATGGTGCCTCTGAGCGCAGCCGCTTTTACCCAGTCACAGCAGAGAGTAGCGGTATCGTCATCACCGTAAAAAGATGTAGGTACGTAATACTCCTTGATCACCACCATCTCAGTCGGATCATATTCAGCCCATCTTGTTGTCAGCACTTCCGCAAGATCATTCTCAACGTCAGCCAGTGTGACCTGGACCTGCCGGGGGATGAGGATGGAATTGGAATCCCACTCGTTGCGCAGCATTTCCTTGATATTCGTTCCTGCCAAGTTTTGTGGCCGCACAAGCACTACCTCCCTCAGGAAGTGGGAGCTGGCAATGTCATACCATAGCCAGTGACTATCCACGGGAGCCGTGAACAGCACTACACGCTTCAGCTGAGGCCATAAGCTCCAACGATCCACAGTGTCGGATGTCGGCTTGACCATGGATCCTGGAAAGTGGCGTAAAAACACCAACTCTTCCAACTTGGTGAGCCGACTGAACCCGTCTAGCAAAGTCGGCCTTATGTCCAAATGATCGTCATAGGCGGATAAGGTGTCCAAGGGCAAGTCGACCACCAGCCGTCGGAGGGTCATACAGACCTCGCAGAATAGCTCTCGAACCCACAGAGCTAGAGGCTTATCGTCCAGCGTCTTGCCAAAAGGACTTAGATAGAGCGACGTGATGCATTTCAGGGAGAATGTTGGCGGTAGAGTCGCCAGTGGCGGTTCTGGTATACTTAATAAAACCAGACTCAGGCGGCGGCTTGAGTCAATGTGCATATATCGTTGACGAAGAAGGCGGCTGGCAAAGTCATAAGTTGACCGAGATACAAGCGTGAACGATATAAGCGTCTTTGTCGCACTCGATGAAGCCGGAAGAATCGCTGCTTCGTTCGGCGGGAGAAGACTCTCAATAATGTGCAAGATAAGCTCAGGCGGAAGCCGCTGACGCTGAGATTGGGCCAAAGTCATATTGGGTTACGCCTCTTTCGACCTGGAAACTCCAGAGATGAACCGTAATATTTCAGTCCTTATCTGGTGGGTTGGAATGAAGATTGGCTCAAGGTATGACGACAAGCAAGAAGTAGCCAGAGGACGTCAGCGCCGGTCCGACACTCTCGGTGAGGGGGTTCGGCGGCCCCACCCGTTTCCGCATGGCCCAATCCGAGTCCGTTCTCCATTTCACCGAAGAGTGAGAATCCGCATGCAAATTGTCTATTCTCACTAAATTTTATGGCTAACTTTGGGAATCCTAACCATCTGATTGTCGACCTATCCGGTTTTGGTACCCTTATGAACACCAGATCTTTCATATCATCCCACTTCATCCTGAGTCAATGCAACGCTCAAAAAACCGACTTCCCCTCTTCTTCATGAGAGAGCCTTCTCAGATACGATACCGGACTGCTTCGGTTGCCACAAGAAACTCGCGTTCGGTGCCGCGTCCGGACCTACAACCGCGGCGTTCTCCGCTGAAATGCCGCCGTCTGGAATATGTCTTGGTACGGCATCCGCCGACGACCCTCCTTGCCAGAGAGTTGCGCTTCGCCTTCTCAAGTCAGGCTCGACGGCGGTAAACTCGGGGCTTGAAGATGGCGATGAAGTCGCAGTCTTCTCAAATGGTGGAGAATCAACCAGCGCAGGTGCTGCACTAGGTTCTCTTACGAACCCAGCCTCAGACTTCTCAGTCTCTAGGCTGACAACCATTCTACCACCGCGGATCTCGCCCCGTCTCATCCGATCAAGGCCGCGGTTGATCCCCTCAAAACCTTGTTCGACCCCAAGAACCTCTGGTGGGCTGACGAGCCCACTTTCCAAAAGACGCTCCAGCCACAACACCAGTGCCTCACCAATAGCGGGGACCTCGTGGAAGACCTTGATCGGGACAGTGTGGTAGGCGACTGCCTGAGGCGCCTGTTCTTTTGGCAGGCCCGTCAGGCCGATGAGATGCTTCAGTGACGGGTTTGCATTCAGCGGAGTATCGGGCGGGCTAGGCGGCGCCCCGGCCTTCTCAGGCGCCAGAGCACGGAGGAGCCAGCCAGCGGACTCGCGGCCGGAGGTGTCGAGCGCGAAACGCAGGTTCTTGCCCACGTTGGCGCGGATGATGTCTATCGCCCGCGAGGGGTCATGGCTGTCCACCAACAGATCCGGCCGCAGCACGGTGTGGTTCGATAGCCGCAGTCCGTGCCGCAGCTTGTCGACAACGGTCACGACCTTCAGACCCGCCAGGCGCGCCAGCTGCACGGCCAGGTTGGCGGACGTCGACGAGCCGCCCCAGATGACAACCCAATCACCAGCTACAGCCCTCTCGTGATCGCGGATCCCCGACAGACACTCGTCCCTGATGTCCTTGGGTAGAGACTCGGGCGGGATGGAGCGTACCAGCTGGAGCAAGTCCGGGCCTCCCAGGACGTTGGAGAAGTCAATGCCCATGCAAATGCCAAGGGACAGGACGGCTGCCACGAAGGCGACGCCGAGGGTAGCACCGGCGGGTGGGGAGACATTGGAGGGTATGCGGACGGCGTTAAAGTCGGACGTCGCAACATATTGCTGGTAGGCTGCTTTTCTCAGGTCGCGGTAGTCTGTTGAGATTACGAGGACCTGGTGATTATGTTTAGCCAAAGATGTCATAGCCAAAAAGTGTTGTGGTCATGTACCTGGTCTCCGTTTTGCAGACGACTTTGCGAATCGTTGGGGCGACGCACTACACGGCCAACGAGTTCTCTTCCCGAGATGTAGGGAAGCGTAGGTATCGCGAAGTTGAAGTCACTGTTTTTTCAAACCTCTTGTTAACCTCACTCACAGATGACGAAACAGATGTTGTGAATAGGTCGGACTTACGGCGCTTTCCAATCGATCGGGTTCAGACCAATGTGCTCTGTCCTCACGAGCACCTCCCGCTCATCTTGGAGTTGGGGCACTTGATATCCATCCGCTGTCTCATACGGCTGCTTTGCCGCATGAAGGATGAGGACAGTCTGCGTCTCTGGAACATCTGCCATGGCTGCGCTAATCAATGTCTCATTGGCCGGAGGGGAAGGATGTAAAGTATGATAGCGTAAGTCTCTCGTCCTGTATGCGACAACAAGCTCTGCTGTATGCGGGCGTTTCAACTGGGATTCTCTGCGCCTTGGACAACCGTTCGTTGTCTAGAAAGTGTGTCTACGAAATGATGTCGTAGTCTGCCTCAAGTAATACCGCAGTAGTGGTTGCCGACGGAGGTGGGTGATAGTCCAACGACACGGTATCACTGTATGTTGAATGTTTTTTTTCTTGCGTTCTATTTTCCCCTGTTTCATAAAAAAAAGGAAACAAGAAATATTTCTCCTCCTTCTCTTTTCTCTTCCCGGTATTCGGAGGACGCTCGTCGATCGCGCTTGGGTTGCGCTCGTGGAGTCGGGGAATTACGTGCTCTCACAGTCCCGCATTGCGTGATTCTTCTCCAAGATGGCTGCATCGCCCATTCACACCCAACGCGCCCCCTACCCGCGCCAAGGTTCAGCGATAAGGATACCGAATCCAAAGGTTTTCCCCTAAGTGACATAAAAAAAAAGGTGGCACCCCTTCTCATCCGCGCCGAACCTTGGATCTCGGCGGGTAAATTTAGGCGATGGGGGGAGTCATTTGCGGATGTGGACTTGCCGCAGGGTATTCTTACGCCTTACAGTTGTGGCGCTTGGGGTTGCCGAGGAATAACACGGGATTTTCCCATGCCCTTTACTCCTTACCGATAACGATATGAAAGGGGCGAGATGTAATAGCCATGTGAGGAGGTCTGTACAACTTTGTTTCGCCCGGTTTGATACCCAGCGAATCTTTGTTCGAATGGAGAAGGATCCTTTTAGATAAGCAATTCCCCCCTCCTCCTCTTCCTCCTCCTCCTCCTCCTCTTCCTCACCCCCTAGGCACTCCACCCCGCGCCCATCACGACATCTTGCAGAATCCTGTGCCAATCGAGATGGTCCTGCGGTCCGATGTAGGCTTCCCTGCTGATAAATCCTACTTTTTTGCTCGTTTGCCGAGTCGGCAGTTTTCGAGTTCCGGGCGTCTGTCTGTCTGGTCTTATTATGGAATTTTGCTATTCTTTTGTGAAGAGTGCCCGCGTCTAGCTAGGGCTTGGGCGGGAAATGTGTCATCTGGCTTTTTTGGAGTCATGTTGGTTCGTATTACCCCTCTTCCCCGTGTAAGGCTACGACGCAGTAGAGTGATCTAGGTACTTGGGATCAGATCGTCTTGGGCGGCAATCTCGAGGACCCCCCTTTTTTTTTGTTGCGTTTGGGTGCTTGGTTGTTGGAGGTGTGCTCCATGTGCTTTATCTAGGTTTTTCTGAGTGATGCTACAACCATGTTGGTTTATTCGGATTTTTATTATGAAGCTTGCCTTGGACTATAATGGGTTTGGCTATGTGCTTGAATGAGTGGTTGAGATTGTACATGTATGGGTGTGTAACTGACCATGCCTTTGTGGGTACAAATCTGAAGGTGGATGTAAACGACTTGAACTTGGTTTTCAAGTTGAGGTTTGAAGTTTGTAATACCGTCTCAACTGTTTAGTAACTCAATTATGGAATAGTCTTTGCTGCGAATGTTGAGCTTGCTGTTAGTGTCTTGCCGAATTACTCTTCATTGTTTTCCATCTGAGATTCCTCAACTCTTCTTCTCTTGGCCACATGATTCACACTTACATATGGGGAAATTGTATTGGATTGACCGATTTTACTCTTGTTCATGGGGGTTTAACTTAGTTGTTGGGTCGAGAGAAAATGATTCTGCTGATACGCATAGGCATGTTCGGAAGCCCCTTCAGGACTATGAGGAGAGTGTAACCTCACTAACACATCATTCCTCTAAAAAAAAAAAGGAACCATAACTCACTCTCCCTACTGAGAACACCAAAGATCCGTTGAAAGACCAACTATGCGCTGATTATGAGATGGAAAAGTTGCTTATGTAAGTCAAATACCACCTCACGAGGGGGTCCCTGGATCCTTGAAGTTATTCCGAGTCCTAAGTTTCCAACTTTGCCAACTTTTCGGATCAATGCCTAAGGCCTTTTCCAACTTGACACCGCATTCCCCCTTCATCTTGACCGGATGACGTATGAACTGAGTATGGCGGGAAATTTCCATCATCTCGATCCCGATTGAATCCTTCAAAAGAATCATGATGGATGGCAACCTCCAAGAAAACAGCGACGGCGGTGACGCGGACCGAATACAGCCCGCTCACTCAATAACAGCAGTCACTTCGCCCGACGGGGAGACGCAGGTCGACCCCGATGGAGACCTCATACTCCGCGCCGGGTCGCAGACCGCCGGGCCCGAGAGGTCGTTCCGTGTCTGCGCCAGCGCCCTGAGAAGGTCCAGTCCCGTGTGGAAAAAGATGCTCTTTGGGCCTTTCAAAGAATCGAAGCCGGCGTTCGGCGTGTGGCAAGTGAGTTTGCCGGAAGATGACGCCGGGGCTCTGGGGATCCTCTTGCACATTGTGCATGCAAACTTTCTCCTCGTCTCGCATAAACCGTCGCTGGCGGAACTGTACGAGGTCTTTCGGCTGGCGAACAAGTACGACATGATCTTGGCCTTGAAACCCTGGGCCGTCAACTGGCTGGAGGTTGCCGAGGGGTTCTCGGGCACGATGGACGGGCGCGAGATGGCTTCGTTGGCGTACGTTGCTTGGGAACTGGGACAGGTCGAGTTGCAGAGGAAGATGATGAAGGAGTTGGTCCTCAGCTGTTCCGTGGACGAAGAGGGGCGGATGACCACCGCTGATGGAGTTGTGTTGGATGAGTTTGATCCCATTGGCCCGCCTGGATTGCTTGGTATGATTGATACTTTGTCGAAATGATCTACCCAGCAAAGCTGACACTGCTGCCAGGTTTCATGCGGCGACATCAACAGGAAATGTTGAAGACTCTGCCGCTTCACCTCAATTCTGTGATAAGGGAGCTCACAGACGGGCCGGGGTGCTGCGTGTCAAAGACGAACAACCTGGAAGAAAAGTCAAATTGCAATGACATTATCCTAGGTAGCCTGATGAGAGGGATGGCAAATGAAAGAGGTTCCATCACCCTTACTCTTGCGGGTAAGGATGGCGAAAGCGCTGGCGAGCTGTCTGCATCCATTCGGAAGATTGCTGAAAAGGCGTCAACGTACGAAGGGCATGTAAAATGCAACCCTGCAGGCAAAATCGTCTCAATGCTGGGCAAGACAATCAAGGCTCGTACGATCAAGCTGAACAAGGCGAGCATCGAAAAGATGAATAAGAGGCGCGAAGACTTGGGGCTAGAAAAGTCGACTCCACCAAAGGCAAGTGATTGAGAAGCTGAAGGCATTGATAAAGATAAAAAGTTGCGATATTGTTATTAAGACAAATGAAACCCAAGCATTGAAACTGCTAGATACACTAGTTTACATGTTTGTTACTTGTTATTTGCACTTAGGACATGATGCCCTTGTGACCATCGCCGTCGGCATCCTTGAAAGGGTTCAATTTGTCAACCAGTGACACCTTCTTGCCCGAAGCATCAATAGCGCCAGTGTGGTCGGTGGAAGTCCTGCTTCCAGAGGTGCCGGCGCTGGAACCGAAACGAGGCTGCGCCTCAATTAGTACGGCTATAGTAATCGACCTCAAGTTATACATACCTCAGCCTTGTTCAGCGAAGCACCGCGGTTCAAGCCAGAGCCAGTGCCGGTGTTACCGGACGTGGTGTAGTTGTTCTCTCCAGTGGTGTGCTTGCCATGCAGAATGCCCTCGGCGGTGCTGGTACCGGTTCCGTGAGTCTTGCCAGTGGTGTGGCCGTGGGCGATGTTCTCACGCGCAGTGCCGGTGTTGGCCCTGGTGTTGGCAGTTTGTGCTGCCGTGACGCTGTCCGAGGCCCGTTGATTCTCAAGACCGTGGCTGCCGATGCCGTGGTTCTTCACGGCACCGTTGTTCGCACCTAAGGTGGCTCCGGTTGTGGTGTTGTGGTGCTTGTTGGTCGCAGCGGCGGCTCCAGCGGCAGCTACGGCAGCTTTGCCGGACCCGTGGTGCTCGCTGTGAGAACCTAAACCCATATGTTCCGAGGCCTGGTACTCCTTGTTGAACTTGTCGGGGCAGCCGTCGTACTCTGTCAGCTTGTGGTTCTCTCCGGTAAGCTTGTGCTTGTCCTTGTTGAACTCCTCGAGGGTCTTGGTTGGGAGTACGGTGCTGCCGTGGTGGATTGGCTTAGCATGATGCACCTCATGGATGGGTACGGTAGTGTGGACGACGTGTGGCTGAATCGTCTCCTTCTGAATGACCGGCTGGATGTGTTCGTGGACATGGTGGTGAACCCGCTCGCCTGTCACGGCGGGTGCGGTGGTGGTTGAATGGCTGGTTTCGTGGATGGTGGATGTATTCTTGAACTTGGCGGCTTCTCGGTCGAGCATGTTTCTAGTCTCGCTCTCATTGCCGTGCTCGAAGGTCTTGTGCTGGGTGGGGACGATGTTATGATGGTGCTTCTCAGGGCTGCCACGTTGTTAGTCATGTTTGAAACACCTCGGATTGCCGAGACATACAGAGTTTCCTTTGCCTTGATAGGCTGGATGGTGGTGTGGTGGTGATCTTGGTGGACTTCCTTGTCTATGGCCGTGGTTACGTTCTCGTGCTGGTGAGGGCGAACTTGCTCGTCGGTAATGGCCTGGTTAGCATCTTGCGTAACGGTCGTCTTATGGTGTCCGGCGCCAGAAATGAAGCTCGAGACTGCCTGCTTTGCCTTTTCCATGATGTATGTTTGGGTAGTGGTTCCTGTGGCTTTGAGTTTGTAGTTGTTGTGATAGTTGTGATTGTTGTGAGTTGATACGGTTCAAATGAGACTAAATTCCGAGGACGATGATATGGTATATATAGATCGAGAGGATCGCGCTTCAACTACGGGATGCTGTACATCCTTCGATGTCTCATTAAGAATAAACGTCATGTGGCTGTGATTTCGGCTTGCCAGCTCACCAAATGCAACTACTTGCTGCTGTGACTTCCGGAATTTCACCATCTTCAGCATTATGAATTCCAACGGCAGCGAACGACGGCGATGCAGGACGTCATTCCTGATCATCATGATGCGTGAATGTCACTGCACAGAACGCCTCACGACTGATCGAGGCAGTCTAGAGGTTCAGAAACTTTAGGTGGGTGGTTTTGCTCCGGGGATCTAAATATGCCACTGACGAAGTAAAGCAGAAAAGGAGTTGGCCGCTCTTGGCATGGCTTTGGGAGGAATGGTCGGCTAGAGCCTGGGGAATCAGCCACCGCGAATTGGGCGTTTAGCGCGTCAAGTCATTCCGATCTGATGGATCCGCTTCGACGGAAGAAGCTTGTTGTTAGGTTCAAAATGCCGATGCAGTGGTTTGGGGGGTCGATCTCTTGCTAAAGCCACGCTAATGGGACGCGGCTCCAGATTCACGTCGTCATAGGTGAAGCGTATTATGTCGAATATGGAAACTTCCGTAAGAATCCTATCGTGAAAGCGTGTGGAGAGGTCCAGAATCAAATGTTAACAGAGACTAGTGTTTTAGTCCTAGTTCTCATATTGTGTGCGTATGTCGGTTAGTTTTCCGTACAATTGATATAAACGATTTTGATGCTGACGACGGTCCGCATCATCAAGAAATATTAATCGATAATATTCCCCCTTCCAAAGAAGTGAACCATTCTATTGAGATCGGCGGCCTTCATCGGGGCGATTGCTCCATTGAGATTCATGTCTGAGACCTTACTACGCAGCCGGAACTGACATCGTTAGGTGGGGAAATTTCTACCAACATCCGGCCCTGGTGAAGCGGACTTGTCGATGCGGCGAACAAACCTGGAGAGTTGGACATCACCTGACACTAGCTCTGTCTGACGTGATGATTGAGGTGCAAGATGCGTTTAGCCAACCGCAAACATTGGGTGCATTTAGCAGGCCTAATTTGACCAAATTCTGCTTGTTTCCCTAAGCTAGGTAAAATTGATGAGAAAAAGTGCAGTTTCCACAGGGTGAGATTGGGTTACAACAAACAAACAGTAAAAATCTAATAATCACCATGTAGAAGTACATTGAAAGTGATGGTTTAGAAGTGGAAGTGGGAGAAATGGTCTCACAGCCTCAGAGAGGTGCTTTCTAACCTCACTTGCTGGGCTGGCATCTGACCGAGTGGCCGGTCGTGCGGTAACAAAAGCCCCCCAACCTCCAACTATTCCAACGGCAATCAACCAACCCTTAACCGTTGCCTCTTTGAAAATTAAACTAATCTCTCTAGCATGTAGTTTTCAGAGTCTGGTTTGTACTGTATTCAGTGCACACCTGCAAAAGAAGCATAGTTTTTTTTCGCTTTTAGTGTCAGACCGCTGAGAGGGGAAAATCCGACCATTTCTTATTCAACTGTAGTGCAATCAGACTCCTCCATACATCGACCAATAGAGAGTGGTTGTAGCAAAAGAGACGAAGCTGTCTTTACTATGCTTCGCTTCTTCGCCGCTCTTAATGGTGCCCGCCGCAGTATGGTCTATGCAGGGTGCAAAACACTTGGTTAGCTGGTGATACAACCCAGAAGAAGTCGACTAGCTTCCCCGCCTATATCTTCCTCCATTAAGCATAATGAAGGCCTTGCAGTTGGCAATTTTGACTGTTTCAGGTGCGGTCCGTCATTTTGTATCAGCTCAGATATCCAGATCTGTTTGCCTACAAGGAATTTAGGCAAATCTGTTCAACGCCCTAGAGTCGAAACAAAATTCTAATTTAACCGGTATACATATTTGCAATGGTGACTTCAGATCAACAGAGGAAAACCGTGTATGCGGTGTTTAGGGCACTTAAAAAAGAACATTCTTCCAGGCCAGTAGAAGCCACAGACAATTTACAGATTGATATAGGCTGACTCCTAGTAAAATTAGGATAGCTAGATCCATCAACCAGTGTCAGCTCTGGATCAAACGTGAGTTGGTGAGCAAGCTGCTAGCTTCAGATTTGCCGATAATTCCAACGTAGTAATGAGTAAGCCTCAGTAGCATAGAAGTCACATTCTCCCCAAGTGTGGAGAAATGGGGTGTCACCCTGATTCGTGCACGACATTAGTTTGATATTCGGCACGTCGACTGTTAACCAACCTCGGATAGCTTTTGTATTTCGACGCTAGGTAAGATGCAAGGTCGTTCTCGAACTCCAAAAGTAATGCAACAGAATTATGTGCATATGCCAATTTTGCACGAGAACTGGTATGTGAGGAAACCGCATTTACTTCAGTCAACATTGAAAGAAGAGAAAGCTCTCTTACTAGCGGCAAGTTGATATTGATTCGTTGTCAGCACGCTAGTATAGACCGAAGAAACCAAACGGCTATATTCTCCTATAAACCAAGCTAAGCAACTGAAAATTACGTAAAGTTGGATCGAACAATTCTTGTCTGTATATCACTGGCTATGCCTCATATTTTTTCTGGGGTATATTCTTGGCGTTTTGCGACGTCTGGATGGTTGAATGGCAAGCCTTCAAAAACAAGCATCCGCATCGGCACATAGAACAGCTTGCAAATCGTAAGCTTGGGCAGCTCCGAAACAAAAAGCTTCAATATTGCTGGTCCGATGACGTATTGTTGCGCAGCATCCCGGACTTCATCTCCACTTGACTCGGACACAGGAGGTGAAGCTCATGCCTCTCGCACTGCGGTGCCAAGCCGACGGGACCATCCCGTCTGACCTACGGAGTCCGGGTCTTTCCCCGCGAAATGCTGCCACCCTGCGCTGTGCAACGAGGTAGAACGCTGAAAGTGACACTGACAACCTTGCTTTTTGGTGTTTCTTCGTACGAGATGCCAAGTCTAACCATCCTATCATATTGTCTGTTCGTGGCTCAGTGTGTATCATTACGTAAAACAGGCACCTCCGTGCGTTTCTCCTCACATCAGGTGCACTGCTGCGGAAAGCTGCATCGACGTAAGGTTTAGAACCCAGAACTTTAGGTGTGTCGTACTCCAAACCCCGTGACCGCCGCCTGAGCTGGGGGAGCTGGCGATTCTTAAGCAATGCTGATGGCCAATGTTTCCTGCACCATCTATATGTACTCTGGTGAAGGCCTTTTAGTATATACCAGAGGCTCTTCATTCAAGTCACATAGACTTTGTTCACCACACAATGGCAGGCCTTACGGAACTTCCCCTACGCCCGCTCGCAGCACCGATAGATCATAATATCGATATGGACCTGGAGAGCGAGAGCGAATGGATCAAAACACCTTCTGAAGACGCATTTTTTGATGAAGGAGAAGTCCAGATTGATCCGTACGGGGATCTCATACTTCGAGTTGGGTGTGACCCACGGTCTGGGGATAGCTATTCATTCCGCGTATGCTCCAATACCTTACGGAGAGCATCGCCATTTTGGAGACGGACGCTCGCCGAGACTAGCAACGAGACTCAGGCAGCCGACGACGGCTGGTACTGGACACCCTCTCTGTTTGCGTGCCCGTACGAAAAGTCTGATGGATTGGCCATACTTCTCAACATTATTCATTCAAAATTTCACTTGGTCCCAAAAAGACCAACGGTGTCGGAGATATACAACGCACTGTGCCTGGTGAGCATGTACGAAATGGAACAAGTTCTGCACCCGTGGATTGAACCTTGGTATGAGGTTATCGAGGACCTCCAATCAGCCAGGGACGGCCATACGCTTGCTATGTTAGCATGTATTGCATGGGGCTTGGGCGATGAAAAGCTGTACACGAAGACGGTGACGGACATCACACTTACCTGCACGGTAGACGAGAGAGGTCACATTACAACCGCAGACGGCGTTTGCTTGGATGATTATTTGTACGGCCCACTTGGCTCACCTATGATATCCGGTAAGCAGCACGAGTCAGTGAGAAAGCCGGAGCGTAACCGCTAACAACATATATTATTAGACAACATCCGCTCGCTCCGAAGTCAGCTGGCTTCTGACATGCCATCGCACATCAACAAATTAATCACCAGGTTGATAGACGGTAAATGGATGTGCGTTGGAATTTCAGACATTCCTATTACGAAAAACAAGAGGTGCGACTACGTCGTATTGGGCAGCCTCTTTGCAGGCATGATTTACGTCCGAGGCTCCAAAGCGACTGAGCTTGAGATTAGGAAGGACGAGAGTATTGCAGATCTGCATAAGTCTGTCAAACAGGTTCTATCGCACGTTTCCTGCTATGAAAAACATTCAGAGTGTAATCCTGCGGAGAGGATTGCCATGGCTATGAAGGACACAATTGAAGAGTTGGACACAACACTAAGCGCGAGCATTGTTCAAAGAATGCGAGAGCAGCGTATAAAAGCAGGCCTAGAAGCAAAAGCATTTGATGAAGAGAAGACATAGAGGAGGTGTACGGGGACAGATACTGTCCTCAGCGTGGGGGGGACCAGACCGTCCGGGTGCCAAAGCTTTCGAGATTGGTTTAAATCAAAAAGGGCTCATAAGGTTTTTTGGTCACGTTGAGTTAATATGCGAGATGAGCGATGTAAACTTTGTGAGTGGTCACCTAACCAAAACTGGCGTCTGTGGAAACAATTAAGGATGCAAGGAAATCAATTTTAATGACTGTTTACTGTTAAGCTTAACATGATGTTTCCACCGAAAGTCGTAACGCTCCCTCATCAAATTCAAACTCTAGTTTGTCAAGCCAAGCACCGACTTCTACTGTACTACTTGTATAGCTTCCCTGAAGCTATGTCGTGGTCATAGAAAACGGTGTTTGGTTCGATTGTTCCAAGGCCCAATTAACGCCGTTCTCGCTTTCGGCAAAACAACACCATCCACGTGACAAGTAGACTGTATTATCCGGCTGTGTGTGTTCTAGTGGATCATGATTTCTCGTTCACAAGTATTTGAATTTTGTCCAGAGAAGGCCCCAGGTTTGAGCGCTGCCACGGCCATGGCATTTGCGCTTTCGTCTCTTTTATCTTCATCGAAATATGAACGTTGTGTTTTGTGGTTTTTGGCATCCGTAGAAGTAAAGCCATCGGAAACGACACTTGAGAGACACATACCGCGGTGGGGTCTCAAGCTCGATGAGGAAACACAGGCATGGCAAGATTATAGATTTCTCCCGTCCTGGAACAATCAGAGAATTCTTGGGCCCATGTTTGTTTACTCCGAAGTGGCAATTTCGGCCGTCGGCCGGGACGGCACTTAGCGCTTCCCACTCAGCACCCCTTCGCTAAACCCCTTTTATTTCTCCATCGCACGTCCAGCCGACATACCGAACTTTTGGGTCGTATTAATAGTATCCCCACCAATAAGGCGGTCCTCAGCCAAAGCCATGGGTCTCAAAGGCGGCGAAGTGAGCGGCAGTAGCAGCTGCGTAATGGAAACCAGGACTCGCCGTGGCTAATTTACCACCTCTTCGGCCTTCTGGTTAGGCCGGACAGCAGCATTGGCAACAATTCTTGTACCGATCTGGGAAGGTGGTTAGTATCCCTGGTAGGCGATCCAGACCCTTGTAATCTGGGGAGCCTCACCTGGCCAGTCTTGGTACGGCATGGTTCCTACGATTACGAGTATGGAGCCGGTGCATTGCCGCGTGAGACCTCAGGGGGCAGATTCGTTATGTATACGAGCGGTGCTGAGTTCCATGGACCTAATTGACGGAGATCATTTTAAGGGGAGGAGAATGCGGCTAACTTCCAGATTGTGAGAGGTTCAGTTTGCAGAGGTTGTTGTCTCAGTGAATCAGGGATTTCCAAGCCGAATCAATAGCATGGAAAAGCGATCATCGTGATGTCATTTTACCCATAGCACCAGAAGAAAGTTTGGTGCCGTCAAGAAAAGAAAGAAAAGGCAGTTGCAATGTGTAGATTCACATAAGGTGGTCTATTTAGCACACGGCGTTAGCTTCACATAGATATTGTGGTGGAGACATTTTGTTGATGTGGTAGGGAACCCGGAATCACCGGCTACCCAGCTTTGGAACATTGTCCTGAGCTTCTCATGGATATGGAAGACGACGAGCTATAATGACAAGGTTGGGCTACGGAATGGTCCAGGCTCAAATAAAGTGGTAAGTCAATTCAATGACGGTCTTTCTTAGTTCATCCTTTTTCTGCCCGCGGGAACGGCGACAGTACTGGTAGCGTCCAAAATCGGTCGAGCACGAGTCAATACTCAATTTACAACTTCGTAAATCTTCTGCTTTGGGTGTAATGGTGCTGGGATGGGTGGTCTTGGATATGCTCGCCAAAGGAATCATGGTAACGAAATTAATATGACGTGAACGTAGCGAGCATATTAAGCAGCCCACTTACCCCATAGATGGAGTCACCTAGAGCGCCTCGTGGTAGCAGTGTTGGACGTTGACATGCCGTACCACCTATCAAGGTGAAACGGCCCCTGACTGTTTTTTGACCCAGCGGACCACCCGCTAAGCCAGCATAAGCTTTCCGGCCGATGCTTAGTTCCGGTACCCAGGTCCTCCTGGAGAGCTGGCCTCGACAAACACTTACAGAATGGCCGCGCGAACATCCTATTCGGCATCTGTCGCCGTAATTGGACGGAGTTCTTTTGAGCAAGAAAAGCCTTTGGGTCCTGATATGGTGGCATGTCGTGAGTATATCATGTCCTGCCCTCCCTCCCCGGAGCAGTTCTTGGCATCCGATTGTCAGTTCTCTTAACCAAGACGTTCTTTTCTTGTACCTTACCGTTCTACACTCTCACTACGTTTTCAGTCACTCTTTTTTAAAGAAGTCCATTTTCAAAATGCAGCTCACTTCCTACCTCGTCTCGGCCATCCTGGCTGTCACTGCCGTCGCCTCCCCCACACCCGCCGTCGAGAAGCGTGCCACCAAGTGGTGCGACGCCTTTGGCTCTCTCGCAACCAGCGGTTACACCGTCTACCACAACAACTGGGGTGCCAAGGACGCCACTTCCGGCTCTCAGTGCACTACCTTCGAGTCTGCCAAGTCTGGATCTATCGCTTGGTCTTCCACCTGGACCTGGAACGGTGGCCAGGGCAAGGTCAAGTCCTACTCCAACGTTGCTCTTGAGAAGGTCAACAAGCCGTTGTCTGCTATCAAGTCTATCCCCTCCAAGTGGACCTGGAGGTGTGTACTTCCCTACTGTCGCGAAAGAGCGCCTTGTTCCATATGCTAACCCTTTTTACCCAGCTACACTGGCTCCAACCTCGTTGCTGATGTCGCCTACGACCTCTGGCTCGCCCCCTCCGTCGGCGCCAACAACAAGTACGAGATCATGATCTGGCTCGGCTCATACGGCGGTGCTGGCCCCATCTCCCGCACGGGCAAGAAGATTGCTTCCCCCAAGATTGCTGGCACCACCTGGAGCCTCTTCGAGGGCCCCAACGGCGACACCACCGTCTTCTCTTTCGTCGCCCCCAAGAACATTGGCAACTTCAACGGCGACCTGATGGGCTTCTTCAACTACCTCACCTCCAGCCAGGGCGTTGCCAAGACCAACGTCGTCACCTCCCTCCAGGCCGGCACTGAGCCCTTCTCTGGTAAGTCACCTTAGCATTGGAGTCAGTCAAGTAAGCGCTAACAATTCGTGCTCTCAGGAACCAACGCCGTCTTCAAGACCTCCGCTGTCTCCATCAAGGTCCAGTAAATTACGAACGACCTTCGTTCAACATTTTTCCAACCGCGTTGGCATCTGTTGTTACGTGAGAGCTTGGACCAACAGTTAAAATATTTGATCTGTACATATTACCATCAGACGTACATAATAGTACCACGACCCTAGCTGGTCTGTATATACAAACTTGACCTCCTATGAATTCGCTTCGTTCATGATGTTTTTGCTTTAGAGATGCTGCGAGTTCAAGCATTGGTATTCCAGGGCGGGCAGCAATCTTGCAAGAGTGGATCGACACGCTGTTTGCGCTTGTGGGGTCGCCGTGTCAAGATTAATTGCAAAGTTTGGAGGACCCTGGCAGCACGTTTATGCTACCTTGTTTACCGGCTGTAGGCCCCAATAAATGGAGTCTTAAGGTCGGGGTGCCTTGTTTCTAGCATTCTTTTGCGACTGAAGATTATATATTCGTTGCGGTTCAGTAAATTCCAACATATGCTCAGTATTTTGGGTGTCGCTGGGGTCATGGACAGGGTCAAGAATGCCACAACGAGAATTGGAAAGAAGGCCGATTCTTTTACTTGCGGGAGAGAGGCTTCAAACCTTCGGGGGCGTGAGTACAAGGTTTACACCAGAAGATACCACCAAGGTTTACATGCACAATTTCATCGAAAATCTAGCATAAAGCAGCAAGGTTCTTGATTAATGTCTTCGTAATGTTTGTGTGATACATAATCATCAACGTCTTCCTCTGATAAGTTATCAACTACAGGCTCAACTCCACAATCATACATAGGGGAATTTTTAGGTTTCAATCCTGATGAACCACTCCTTCTCCCCCTCTTTGGGCTTTACTGCAGCCCGGCGGACCAAATCATCCGCCACAGCTAATCTCAACTTCTCCGCCGTGCTTGGGGCGTTCAAAATCAACGGTGTCTTCACATTGTTCATCTCTCGAGCAGCCTTGACTGCCTCTCTCAAAGCGAAGAAGACCGTCGAGCCCAAGAAAAGCGGAGGCTCCCCTGTGCCTTTGCTACTCTGGATGGACCGCAGCTTGGTCCAGCTGATCGGGTTGCCTTCTGAGTCATGTTGCAATGTCGAAATGTTAAACTCTTGGGGAATGTCAGAGAAACCTGGAATATGTAAGCCCAAAATGCTATGCCCTGGTTGTCGAGACATCATTTTACCTGGAATTTTGTACGTTCCCGGGCCCTTGGTGAAAAGCTCTCCAGACTTGGTCCACAGCGATTCTTCCATTGTGAACAGGCCTTGTCCCTGAACAAACGCACCCTCAATTTGCCCATAATCTATCGCCGGGTTGATGGACCGGCCGATGTCCTGTGATACTTTAATGAACGTCTCTTTGGGCAGAAGGGGTTGAGTCTTACCATCATGATATCAGTCCTGAGTACCGTTGAGTCTCCTGTCAAAGTATCAAGCTCGACTTCACTAATTGCACTATGGAGCAGTTGAGTTAGCCTCAATTGGCATTCCCTCTCATGAAAGTATTATACACTTACACTCCCTGGGTCCAGTAGTAGTACCTAGCAAGTACGTGTCAGTAATACTATCGCTAAATAGAGGCAAACAGAATGTGGCACATACATTGGCAGCGGATCCTTCCAGTTGCCCCATTCGTACCCAATTCGTGGCATTTTCCAAAATCCATTGGCGGCAAGGTTGACTCTGTCCAAGTATGCGGCGTGCGCAATCTTGGACATGGGCGCGTCGGCGCCGTATTTCTCGCGGTACGGCGCTAAACGCTCCCTGAGCTGATCGCAAGCATTCTTGACTGCTTGCCCGTTTAGGTCGCTTCCGGAGGATGCTGCGGTTGGTGAGGCGTTGGCAACTTGGTCAGTTTGTGAGTCCTTGTTGAAGACATCGTCCACGCTGACTCCTAGCTCCTCTGCGCAAACCTGGGCCATCTTGGTGTAGAGGCCCTGCCCCATCTCCGTTCCGCCGTGGTGGAGAAGAACGGAACCGTCTTCATATATCTTCACGTAAGCACCGGCTTGGTTTAGATGCAGCGCGGTTGCGAAGCTACGGACGGTTAGTTTGATGCCATTGTTGAAAATAAGCTTGTAACCGAATTAGATAGCATGATGCTGCACACACCTCAAGCCAAACTTGGTAGGAATCTTGCTAATGCCTCGCTTCTTAAAGCGAGACTTGGCATTGAATTCTTTGATTTCAGCCTTTCGCTTTTCGTAGTCGGCGTTGACCGTAAGCTGCTCCAGCATTGTAGGAATATGGAAGTCGTCTGTAATCTCCTGGAGGAAAGGAGTTCTCTGGCCAATCTTATAGAGATTACGAAGACGCAACTCATCGATGTCGATGTTCAACGTCTCTGAAATTTTGTACATAATGCTCTCACACATATACATGCCCTGAGGGCCGCCAAATCCACGGAATGCTGTATTGCTTACTGTGTTGGTCTTGCAAAGCCACCCTCTGATCCAAGCATGAGGAAAGTAGTAACAGTTGTCGATGTGAGTACAAGCGCGGTCCCTGGTCACATTAGCATGTATTTCAAAGTTACAGTTTTGGGTTTGAGGTGCTTACATGACTGCGCCTGTCATGTCAAGAGAAGCACCTCCGTTGTTGTACAAGTCCATATCAAGTACTTGAATCTTGCCGTCGGACTTGACTCCTACCTTCCACCGAGACTGAAAAGGATGCCTTTGACCACTAATGGACATGTCCTCGTCTCGGTTTAGCATCATACGCACAGGTCGGTTTGATTTTCGTGCGGCGAGAGCGATGTACATGGCAATTGGCGTACTCCTCGACTCTTTGCCGCCGTAGGCGCCGCCCATGCGACGCACTCTCATGTTGACTCGGCTCATCGGGACTCCCAATACTTGCGCCACAAACACCTGGTTCTCCATCAAGTTTTGCGTCGAGCAATAAACTTCCATTGAGCCGTCTTCAGAGTGGGGGATGGCGAGCGCAGCGTTGGTCTCCAAGTAAAAGTGCTCTTGGCCGCCCATATTGGTGGTGCCTTCGACAATGTAGTCGCAGTTTGACCAGGCCTCATCAAGAGACCCTCCAACTGCATCACCTTTCCTGAGCTGCTTGCCATGCGAAAAAAAGCTGTTGGCCTTGATTGCCTCATCAATGGTGAAGATTGCCGGTAGATCATTGTAGACAACTTCAACACGGTCGGCAGCCGCTCGGGCTTGGAGAGCGGTCTCTGCATAGATCAATGCGATGACCTGACCATAGTAATGAATGGTTCCATCTGCGAAAAGTGCTTCATCGTGAATTACTGGACCCCATATATTGGTTCCTTTTGGCGGGCTGTTTTTGTCAAGATAGCCTACAACCCCAGGCATTGCTAATGCGGCTGTGTAGTCAACGCTGACCAGCTCTGCGTGAGCTCTCTTGGCCAATACTAACGCAGCAAACAGTTCATTGTGCTGCCGTGGCATATCCTCAAGATATTCTGCCTCACCAGTGCAGTGTTTCAGCGCCGACAGGTGGGGGATTGGTCTTCCCACTGTCTGGGTGCCCCGGTTCTTCATCGAGGCGGTGTAGTTATCACGGTTGCCCTTTGATATATCGCGATGGATCTCTTGTATGAGATCTGCATCGACGTTCGCAAGGCTCAAATCATGTACAACCTCGTGCCAGAACCTGAAAAACATTGAAATCGTCAAAACTAGTCATGTTGTTAGCCTTTGGTGGTTTTTGCTGTGAAGATAGTGCTTACCTCGTCGATATTGTGCCATACCTCCGGGCACACCGTATCCCAGGTCAAACTGTTCGAGGAGCGCATCAATGCCAGCCTCGAGTGTTGCAACCTCCGCCCAGCGCTTACCGGCGACCGCCTGTTGCGCTTGATTAGCTATGGCTGTTGTCGGAGCCATACCGCCAAATGCAAATGCGCAATCTTCGACAATCCCATCTTCGTTAAGCCGAACTCTTAAACCGGCGGTAACAATAGCGATGTCGTCGTCCTTTCTTTTGGCTTGTTTGTAAGCCTTTGTCACCTCTTGTACATTTTCAGGCGGTAACGGTATGGCAATCTGGGTGATAACGCCGTCTTGTGGTAGGGCTGTGGTTCGATACCGAATGAACCATGAGGAAAGCGGGATATCAAGAGTGCCTTTAGATTGAGATCGTACAACAACCTTCGCCCCAGCTGCTAGAAGCACAGGCGCAGAGTCAGATATTGGGCTAGCTGTAGCTAGGCTCCCGGCAAGACTGGCAACATTCCGAATCTGACGCCCCGCAAAATACCGAAGCTGCTTTCGGAGCGCCTCAAGGGCAAAACCACGGCGACCAAGCTCCTGGTACAGGGACTTGCAGAGTTCTTCAACTTTGCTCAATGTCATATTCCCCGGTATGGAGATCTCGTTGAGGGCTCCAAGTTCTGACTGGGTCGGACTACCAGGGCCTCGATACAAGCTGAGCTCGGTGATGTCTGCTGCGAAGATGGAGACTTGGTAATTCATCTTCTTAAAACGGACCTCAATTTGGGTTTCGCTGGCACCGCCGACGATTTTTGCTGAAGGATACGCAGCCTTCAACTGGATAAGTTGCTCCAACGTTGTTGGCCTGAACCATAGCCTACGATTATCTCCATAACATATTGGCTGGGGTTGGTACTTCCAAAGCGTAGGTGGGAAAATTGGTTCTGTTGCAGGTTCGTACGACATAAAAGTCTGCTTGGTAATGAGATCTTCTGATGAGACTGATGTGATTGATGCCCTAGTAGACCTTGGTGGTGAAATTGGAGTTTCGACTGGTTTAACTGGTATCCCACTCGATGGAGCAGAACGACAACATGATCCTTCCTTTGCCCCGCCACAACAATCGTCTTGTAGACCGCAGAATATAGAACTCTTTGTCTTGAAAGGAAAGCCAGTGTCATCATCGTCGGAAACAGGAGGACTAAGGCTAGGCTGAACATCTAGTTCGTTGAGCTCTGCAGGCTTGGGCTTATCTCGACAACAACCACCAGGTCGGCCACACGATCCAGACTTATTAGCCAGTTGCAGAAGACTGTCGTCTCCGTCTAACGTATCCGGACTAGATTCTCGGGTCCTGCCGTCGTCATGTTCGGCAATGAGACCCTTGAGGTCTTCCGTGACAAACGTGCGGGCCGCTTCAAAAATTGGCTTATATCCAGTCTACGAGATCAAAGTTAGCACTTTGGCCATTTTCCCCAATGTGGTATGTGAGCAAGTCAAAAAACTTACACATCTACAAAGGTTCCCGTCGAGGTGGCCTTGGAGCTCTACGTCCGAGAGTGTGAGATGAAACTTGCCGTTTCGATAAGAATTTCTGATCAAAGCATATAAGCTCATCACAATTCCGGGTGTACAAAAGCCGCATTGTGTGCCACTGTTGTAGTTAGAAGCTGTTCTTGTCGCCTTTTCCTCAACTCGATGAAATGGTCTGACATTATACAAGGGCAAGCGCAACGTACTGCATTTTTGCGATTCTCTCTTGTAAAGGATGTGGATTGTTCACCGAACCAAGCCCTTCAACTGTGATCAGACTTTTGCCGTCGACTCCGATAAGAGGATAAAGACAAGCGTTGACAGCAAGATGTCGAACAAGCTTTCCCGGCTCGGCCACTTGCAGAACGACGGTGCATGCACCGCAGCCGCCTTCTCCACATCCCAGCTTTGTGCCTTTAAGGCTATCTTGTGCTCGAATCCAGTCTAATAGAACCCAGTCTGGGTTCGGATTCTTGACGGTAACAGGTTGGCCATTCACAAAGAAGTTGACATTCGATGTCTTATAAGTGGATTTGATCAGAGATGTAAGAGTTTCAACTGGGGCCTTTGGTGAGCTGCAGTTATCAGAGTCTGACAGTGGAGGAGATGGTAGAGGCTCTGGAGTTGCCATTGCGTACGTCGTAAAGAGGATGGATGATTCTGATCGTTATGCACTAGTAACAGAGTCGGAAAATCAAACATAAAATGAACGATAAGGTTGGGCGAGAAAAGGCAATGGCTATCTTTAATGCTGGCAAGCCGGCAGAGATAGAACAGGCACTTTGCCACACGGCAACGCAGCCGGGGAAGTAATTGGCACGGTGTCACGCATACCTTATCAGTTGGTTCCGAATGGCTACCCACTTACGCAGTATGGAATATCAGTTCCGAAGGTACTGTTATACAGACTATTCGTTGATTAGCCAACCGTTGGACGTAAGGGAAGACACAAGACCGAGGGTGGGGGATTTTGGTATCCCCCACTCCCGAGTGAAACCATCAATATTGGGATGTGACAAACCAAAAGGAGATTCTAGTTACGAAATATTTATTCCTTTGAACCCCGCACGACTATAAGCGGTAGCTCGATCTTTTACACTGACTGCCGAGGGAGGTCTTACGTTACACAATGACGACAACCCAAGGCTAGGAATCATTATCAGCGTAGTAATGATAAGGTGATGAAATCCATAATAATATATCGAGACGCTCTCATTACGAGTATGCCCGAATTAGCATAATCCTACCTGAATTCCATCTTAGCGCGAAATCTTGAAGACATGGCGCTGACGCAAGCGACGGACGTAACTGCCCAGCATCAAACATCATACAACAGTCAAATTGAGGCTATACGGAGGGATGAATATCCCATGTTACGTGGTGAGAAAATCAAAGCAACAATTCTAATTCTTTTGTACCTATCTCACTAATATCTGGTCTAGACCAAGTGTATTTAGACCATGCAGGGACTACTCTCCCCGCGAAATCTCTCATGGTTGATTTCGCCAAGGAGATGTCATCTATACTCATTGGCAACCCGCATTCCTCTGCCAACTCCTCCCATTCTGCAGCATCTCTGGTGGAAGATACTCGCATTCGGGTACTACAATTCTTCAATGCAGATCCCGAAAAATTCGACGTCGTCTTTGTTGCTAATGCAACAGCGGGAATCAAGCTAGTTGCAGACGCATTTCGGGCCTTACCCGACGGTTTCGACTACATCTATAGCCAATCAAGTCACACCAGCTTGGTCGGTGTAAGAGAGGAGGCCCACAGAAGTACTTGTCTGGACGATGCCGCCATCATTGAGTGGCTCAACGGACATGCACTCGACTATCGACGTGAGGACGACATTCGGAGACCAGCTTTGTTCGCCTACCCTGCACAATCAAATTTAGACGGCCGACGATTTCCGATATCCCGATGCCACTCTATAAACACAGCCCCTGGTGTTGCTGGCAATGGTCAAATCTTTACCCTACTAGATGCAGCTGCGTATGTATCTACGGCTCCTTTAGATCTTTCAGTTCTGGAATTTGCCCCAGACTTTATTGTTCTGAGCTTCTACAAGATATTTGGTTTCCCAGACCTAGGTGCACTTATAGTACGACGCAAAAGTTCACCGACTCTTCTTCACCGTAGATACTTTGGTGGCGGTACAGTAGATGCAGTCACTTGCGAGACAGAAAATTGGCATGCTCGAAAAACCCATAGCCTACACGAAGCCCTTGAAGATGGAACCCTTCCAGTTCACAGCATCGTGGCTCTGGGAATTGCTATAGAGACTCATGACCGGCTTTTTGGCACCATGTTGGATGTATCAAGACATACCTCTTATTTAGCCAAAGGATTACGGCATCGATTAAGAGCCATACGACACAGGAATGGAAAGCCTGTATGCGTCTTATATCACGAAGAAGCGAGGTATACCCATGAAATGGGCTCGGGACCAGTTGTAGCATTCAACCTACAAGCCCACGACGGAACATGGGTTAGCCTTAACGAATTCCAGAAACTGGCCAGCCTACAACGGTTTCATATCCGGACGGGAGGACTGTGCAATCCTGGAGGTATATCAGCAACCTTGAATCTTACATCCGCAGATGTCAAGGGCAACTATGCCAATGGTTTTCGGTGCGGCGATGAAAACGATCTCATAGACGGCAAACCAACAGGGCTTATCAGGGTAAGCCTCGGAGCAATGAGCACTGAGTCAGACGTCGATAAGTTCGTTACTTTCATACAAGATTTCTACTCGACTAAACACATTTTACCTACGAGTTTGGTCGATATACAGCGCGGACAAGGCGACTTTGATTATTTCATCGAGGATATCATTGTGTATCCAATCAAGAGTTGTAGCGGGTTCCATGTTCCGAAGCATATCCCTTGGCAAGTACGAGCTGAAGGCCTGATGTGGGATAGGGAGTGGTGCCTCGTACACTGTGCCACTGGCCGGGCGTTGAGTCAAAAACGATATCCTCTAATGGCTCTACTCCATCCAACGATTAACCTCGAAACCATGACCTTGAAAGTCTCCTTCGTAGGTTCATTGCCAGCTGGAGCATCGACGTCTATATCTGTTCCACTTTCAGTGAGCTTTACAAGTGGGACTCACAACTCACTGGGCGAGTCGGTATTGTCGCGGGTGTGCGGTGACGACGTTGCCATCCAGAGGTACACTTCAGACTACGTTAACAATTTCTTCTCCGATGCTCTTGGTGTTCCTTGCGTCTTGGCACGCCACTCTCCAAGCAGCCAAAAGGAAAGTTCTCGATGGGCAAAGACTTCCCAAACATCAATTCAGCGCTGCTGGACGAAGAAACGGAGCATAGTAAGCAGTTTTCCGGGGTATGCACGCGAAGGCATGCAGTGTCAAGAGACAGCTGAAAGCTATAAGCTTCTTCTCTCAAACGAAAGCCCAATCCTCGCAGTTACATCCTCTAGCGTTCGAGCTTTAAACCAAGTCATTGAAGCCGGTGGCGAGAAGCCAGTTGCTGTTGATGTGTTCCGCGCCAACATTGTCATCGGTTCTCAGAAAGAAACACCTGGATATGTGGAAGAAAGTTGGTCTTTTCTTCGACTTGGTGGGCTACGTTTCAAAGTGCTTGGGCTTTGTCAAAGATGCCACATGGTCTGCATCAACCAAAAGACTGGCGAAAAGAGAGCAGAGCCTTACGTAACCCTTTCCAAGACGAGGCGATTGCATGGCAAAGTTTGGTTTGGTATACATCTTGCGGTAACTGGTGATAGGGCTACTCCCTCAACAAGGCCAGAGATCCAGGTTTTGCGAGTGGGCCAAAAGGTTATTAGAGAGAAGACACAACATTTCTCGGAGCCTGTAGCTTCGTTGGATCATCAAATGGTGTAGTCTAAGGTTGTTGACAGAGGAAATACTGAGCTCAAATGCTAAGAAAGAATTAAGCAAAACATAGGTTTTGTTGCCGGAATTCAATAGAAATTCAATGAGTTTATGAAGTGAAGTGACTGCTCCCACCTCAGCGAAGATGTACTAGTCCGAATGTAATATCACAGTGAATGAGAAGAACACCTTCGCCAGCGATAAAGAAATTACGTACAAGGCCACGCTTAAAGTGGTTGAACAATGTGTATAAAAAGTTTACCGCCTATTCTTATTCTCACCTCCACCAGGGTCGGCACGTTTGACGAAGCTCTCAAAGACTTCCAGGTGAATGGAAGACAGATCCGGAACTCACAACTGCTAGACAGTTGGCTCTACTAGGAGCAGAGTCCTGTTCTGCGATCAGCAATCAAAGAAAGATGCCCACTCCCGCGACGAAAATGGGGTAGGGTGGGGGGCAAAAGTGGGAGTAAACAGCTGCCAAAACTGTCAACATCCATTCCCACATGGCAATAGAGCCTAATCAAAAACCAATCACCTACCGATGATTGGACACATAACGCGGGGAAGTTAAAAGGTAGGGATGCATTATGTTCGGTTATCTCTGAACCCAATGTCTTTCCTGTACATGTCGCATGTTGTCTTACCCCCATTTTCCCCTCTTACATCTGGTTGGTAGCGAAGCTAAGAGATAGCAGAAATGTGCTATAGACGCTATGGCAATCAAAAAGCGTAGAACAGATACAGAGCCCGTCCAACGAAGTTGCTACCATTTGGAAATAACCCTAGCCATTTTGAGATTACTCACACTCGCTCCTCACTCTTCAAAGAGAGTCGTGCAGGCCTTCAAGAGTTTCTTGAAGCAATACTTTCGTCATCATTACCATCTACCAAATATCAGCGTGAAACCCGTGGGCAAGCACATATTCTGCTAAGATAATAGAATTAATTATATTTGGAAAAGGCAACCTTCTCTTATCCATGTTGAAACTAAGCGAAATGTGACTGAGAATCGAGTAACATGCGGTACTACTATGTGAGCTATGGTGTGTTTGTGGTGTTGAGAGGTGCAATGATTTATTCGTTTTTACATTGGTCCGCATCTTATCGTGCCTGGCAAGGTACTAATATCAAAAAGAAGAACATGATGTCTGCCTTGGCTTCCTTATATTTCCCCGAAGAGTGGGATAGAAAAGTGCCCACTCCTATGGTTGCTAATTGATTTCGAAAGTGGACGTTTAGGACCCCCACTTTCGAGCGGCCATGATATGGAATTGACTCGAACTAATCGATGTCCATAGCACAGACATGAACCATGTGATGTAGTCAAGCACAACGACCAAGTATCAAGCTAATGTTATCACTCTTGTACAAGGGAAAACTCGATTGCCTCCCTTTGATTTATGATAATAACCTCCTTAATCCAATCTTCATTCCTTTGTTTAACGGGTAGGCAGGTCGATCTCAGCTACTGAGAAGCTATCATTAACTTGGTAGCGAATGATGGCAAAGACATTTACAGATTGATCAACACCTTTACTTTTTGCATTATGCTGACTACTCATCAGTTACATTTTAGAGATACTTATGCTTTAAGTGGGCTGTCCTTCGACTCCTCAGAAGCCCCGTCCTCTTTATAGACGTCATACTTGTAACTAGATCCCGTGTGATCACTTCTTAATCCCTTCTGCCCCTTGCCGTAAACCTTCTCTCTCGCTGTCAATTGCACATCTTCCGCTGGAGCCTCTGGGTAGAGGCCACGGCGTCTCAGCTCAGGGATGAGAAGATCAACGACGTCCTCAAAAGTACCAGGCGTTGTTACATATCCAATGTTGAAACCGTCCAAGTCTCCTTCCCGGATCCAATACTCCATTTCATCCGCCACCGTTTGCGGGCTTCCGACCGAAACGGGGCCGAGGCCACCGATCGCCGCCCTCTCGGCAATGACTCGGGGTGTCCACTGCGGTACATGCTCGCTCGTCGTTGTGAATGCGTCAAGGATACTGCGCACTTTATGGGCTTCGAGGGAGTCGGCTGCTGTGACCTCTTGGTCGACGGGAATCTTAGATAGGTCGATGCCGGTCCATCCACTGACGAGGACAAGGCCACCGACAACAGATGCGTATTTCTTGAGTTCTTCATGCTTTGCCTTGGCCTCCTCGTCAGTCCTTCCAACAATGGGTGTGAAAGTCGCAAAGAATTTGACTGATTGGGGGTCTCGGCCGAGCGAGGCGGCTCGATCTCTAATATCCTTCACTTTAGGTCTTAGAAGCTTTGGTGAGTGAGAAGAAACAAAGATGCCCTCAGCATGTGTTGCGGCAAAAGCAGACCCAGCAGCTGATGTTCCAGCCTGAAAGAGGAAAGGGGTTCGTTGAGGGGAAGGGTCGACGATGTGGCGTGTATCAAGGTCGAAGAACTTTCCGTGGTGATGGATCGTCCGGATCTTGTCTGGGTCAGCGTAGCTATCGTTTTCCGGATCAGGGGAAATGGCGTCGTCCGCCCATGAGCCTTCCCAGAGCCTGAAAATTATGTTAGCAAGAGCTCTTATGGAAAAGCAACAGGTCTCATTGATGCCGCATCATTGTCAAGCTTACTTGTAAAGAACTCTCAGGTACTCATCTGCCTGCGCATATCTCTCATCGTGAGGAATTGGGCTGTCCAATCCAATGGCCTTGAACGCAGCCTTCTTCCACGACGTCACTATGTTCCAACCAATTCGCCCTCTCGTGAAATGATCCAACGTTGAAAATCGTTTGGCTAGCAAAAACGGGGGCTCGAAGGACGTAGATGCTGTGATGGCGAATGAAAGGTTCTTCGTCACTGCAGCCATGGCACTGATGGGCTAGATTACTGTCAGCAGATGTGTGCGTATCTTGAAGAGACCTCAGCTTACGATTGTAGGATCTGTCATTGGCCATTGTGCTGCGCGTCGAATGCAGTTGTCCAGACTGCCCTCGTATGTGTCATATCCACCATAGGTGTCTGCGAGGAAAAGGGCGTTGATGCCACCCCTCTCCAACAGCTTCGCAAGATCGATCCAGTAGTTCAGGTCGCGCTTCGTTGCAGACTTGTCTTCAGGGTTCTGTATCGCATTTTATGAGCGCAAGTTTTCGTTAATCGGTCATCGAATACCACCAACCTTCCATTGACCAGGCGACAGATGTCCAACGGTAGACATGTCAAAGGCGTTCAAGAGAATTTGCTTCTTTACCCCTTCCTTGACACCATTTTCGCCATTGGTAGAGGGATGGATCGGTACAGATGTCATTTTTGCTGTATTTTTCTTTCAAAATGATGAAAAGCCCCGTTTATCGTTTGGTACTTTTCCCACTCCCATGGTGTGGACTTTGCGTTCATTTTATCATTCGAGGTCAATCCTGAAGCCTCACTTGGCGCAGTACGCGATGTGAAGAAGTGGGATAGAATAGCATGTCGTCATCGCCGTTATCGCCCGCCTCGTGGGACTGGCGCGGGATAATATCTGCAAGATGACCCCAAACCGCACGCCCCAGATGCAGGGCGAGATGCTCGCGTAATTGCGGGTGCGTATGGTGCCATCATCCATCAAACGAATTAGAAGACGCTGCGTTTCTAGCAAAGGAGTCGTCGGCTATACGATTTTAAGGCAACGGCTAAACTCCTTGAAATATCTGGGGAGCGGCATTGGCCCGACACTCGCAGTGTAGACTAGACGGGGTGTAGAAAGACGTCTTTTATTGGCGAATCGCGACTTGCTTGCAGAGTTTCATGCGAGCTGACGCTATACCGAATGTTACAATACATGAAGCAATGAACTTCAGGGCAGATTGAATCATAGCTTTTCGAAATATTTAGACGCTTAAGCTAGTAGGCGGGTCAATTGGGCTGTGCTGAATGCTCTGACTGAAAGCCATCTGTGCTAGATGGTTAGGATCACGCCAAAGTCATCTCATTTTGACAAAGAATAACCTCAATTCTCCACGTTTTCAGCTGCTTAATGAAATGTGGTCGGATAATGAGTGAGTAAGAGACCATATGGACGACAGCCTCCAGGCTGAGAAGTTGAAAACAGGAATAGCACATCAAGGAACACGGAAACGTATGAGCTCGATCAATTCAAGAGTGTGTGCGTCATCAGGGATATCATTCAAAACCTGTTGTCTTCCATCGTCGCATGCAATCCTTCAAGTGGTCGGTTATCGCCGGAGCATTTGTCTGTCGCTTATGATGACCTACTCTCCCGGACTACGGTACCAAGAAAAGCAGAACGAACTTCCTAAACTGAACTTTTCTGATGCTGCAACCCCCACACTCGCTTAAGCACATTGAGTCTCTCCAAGGACTTTGACCTAATCTTTTTGGATATCCCTGCTGACTGCAACTGGTGGCCTCTTGCCTTCTTCAACGTGGTGACCGTCATCACTTTCTGCGAACCCTGTGGTGTTTTCAACTTGAGGGCTAGACACAGACGTACGGTTAGCAAACTATTGGTTATCTGCAGAAACGCCGAATATCGACTTACTCTCGCTTTTTGACATAAACCCGCAAAATATGTGTTGAAATAATAAGCAGAACGGATGATCCAAGTGTAAATGCAAAACCTTTGGCATATCGAGGCGCTTCAACAGTGGGGAACACTAGCAACGGGGTCCATGCCGTGGACGATTGCGAAATGGCGTTGATCAAAACGAGGGTAAACGATCTTTCAGCTGGTGATGATCGCAATTGCGTGTTCACCCAGCCGTGAAAGACGCTTGACATCGCATAGGATGAGTAGATGGTTGAGAAAGCGAACCACTTTGCTGGCTCCGGGACGTTCCAAACGGTCAATATGATAAGACCGAGGATGTTCCACGTGTGCGACATTGTAATGGCCCAGGCCGGGCCCATGACGAGATCAGAAGCGAAGCAGACGAAAAGGGTGTAGAAAATACCCAGAGCCGGTGCGATTGTTCCCAATTCGTTGACCCTTGCCTGAGAATACCGGCCCAGACTCTTGATCCATAGAAGAAAACTTCCAGAACTGGTGTGTATACCCGCATTCCAAAAGAAGACGTCGACAAGGATGATGCCCCAGAACTGTGGTGAGAGTACGACCTTCTTCAGAGCGCCAAACTTGAACTTGCCGTGGGAAGTATGCCCAGCCCGTTTAAGTCTCTCGACACTAAGTTCAATGTCATCTCTTGTCAAGACGAGGCGGTTTGGCTGCTCTGGTGTTCCGGGAATCACAAAGTAGCCCAAAACGCCAACTGGAACGGTGATCAATGCACATATGATGTACATCCATCGCCAGCCTGCAAGGCCATTGACACCTTCGAGGCGAGCTGATGCACCAGCCTGAATCAGGCCGGCTGTCAGGGTGCCCAAGGAAAGACCCACGTAGAAGATGCCTCCACGTCGCGAGATCTCGTCTCCACGATACCATGAGCTAAGCGGTTAGCTTGCAATGTTCAAAGCCTTTTATGGTTTCTACTCACCCAAATAAGTAGTGCATGGCAGGAAAGAAGGCCGCCTGAGTGATGTAAGCTTCCATCGCCATGCAGTTGCTCCAAAATATTATGACTTACCTCAAACCAACCGACAAGAAATCGATATGCTGCAAGTTCGGCAAATCCAGTAACACGGAACTGAAGAAGCGTGAAGATGCCCCATGCGATATCGAGGAAAGGAATCAACCAGTGCATGGGGATGTAGGTGAGCAGGAACATGATTGGAATCTGCCCTGTGACAGCACCGATAATGTAGAACGTCTGAAGTTGAACAAGCTCATTTCCTTTGAATCCAAGGTCTTCTTTGAGGCCCGCGACGTACGCATTGTCTAATACAGTCAGGATTACTGAAGAGGTCTACACAAAATCGGCAACGTGAAGCTTACTCAAGTTTGATTGATCTATGTATCTGCCTTCTGTCAATAGGGTTCACTGCTGCTAGGTATCAGAATACTCACTTTACCCAGTAGCTCAATACGGCGTAAGGCACGATCAATAGATCCAACTTGCCAATGAGCTTGCGCTCTTCCGGCGTGTCGGTATCGGCAAACCATTGGATGTGCCACCACCTACGGCGGGCTTGAACAACCATGGCGAGTATTAAAAACTGGTATTATTCGGCAGTATACAACAAAAAAATGCCCGAAAGGTTCTCCCCGCGTGTGCTGTAACGGCATTCCCAATTGTAACAGGACGTGGAGTCGTAGGATTCTTCACGCCTTTAGTATCATCTCATCATCCTGGCTCATGTGCAAAATTCTCTCTATCCCTTGTCATTGGGCGCAAACGCCTTCTTGTCGACTATACTGCATGTGAGATCAAACGTCGAGTCATCGCCCACGCAAAAACGAACTTGGCGTGGGAGTCGGACGGCCTGAGCCAGGTCCAAAAACCCAGAGACTAACAAGCGAGGAGGCTACTATGCAGCCGCCGCAGAGAAGACCGACTTGGGGGCGGCAATAATCCGCAGAAGACGTGAGCGTTTCAAGGCAAAGCGCCTTGGCCATGGCAATTGCACCATTCCAGGGCTCATTGATGTGACGCTCAGAACAAATCTGATGGGCCGAACGGTTAAAGTACGGTGTCCTGCTATTTCGACTATACCCACATGCCCCGGTCCCCGATCCCCACAAGCCGCTTGTAGCAACCCCCATGAATCACACCCAAGCTCGCATCTCGTGCAAATGGAGGGCGTTTATCTTTCTCCAGTTGCCTCCAAAATGCGGATCCGACATGCCGGGAGGGAACCGGGTCCCCGAGGTTTTGTTTGGAGCTCCGATCTGAGGAGGGGGGAAGCTATTCTCCAAGAAAGTGGGGATATGGCGTGCTCCCCTACTCTCGCGCACCTCATTTACGGCACGGCAACCATTGACGACACCAGCCGCAAGGTGCGAGAATATTGTCCGCGCCGCCGGCAGCGGGGTTTGGGATCCATTGGATGAAGCTTCGTGATGGAGTGGATAGCTCTCGTCTTGAATAAGCTGCTTAACGAGATAACAATTCCCCTCCTGTGATAGGACAGCGAAGGTTAACCAGGTTCAACCATCTTTGAGAGCTCGAGAAGTCCCCTCAATGTAAGTGTAACGCGTTTGGGCACGTCTCTGACGTGATTCCGATGTCCGGCAGAGCGAGGGGTCGAAGGTGCCCTTGAACAAAAGTCAGCAAGCTTCGTGCTGTGTAGTTTAACGATTCATTGCATCCATTCTAGAATTGTAGATTGAAGAACGGTTTTTTCAAGCGACATTTTGAAATTTCCCACCATGGGTGACTATCACACAGAGACTACAGAGTTACCGGCAGCGGTTAACGGTCTGGACAAGACAAGTAGCCAGAATGGCGTCGCGACTGAGACACCCTCCACCAACGGCGTAGACAAACAAGCTCTCATTGACAGGACAGTCGACACACTTCTCACTCCCCCAAAATCCGTATACTCCGACATATCTCTGAAGCTCCCAGAGAGATATATTGACGACGGACGTCCACTGCGTGTCGCCGTTGTTGGTGCTGGTCTGTCCGGTGTGCTTGCTGGAATTCTACTACCGACTAAGGTGCCGGGTATCAAGCTCACAATATTCGAGAAGAATGCTGATGTGGTATGTCGGCGTGCCTCAGTTTTGCAAAATCGCAATAGCTAACGGTCAGGTGTAGGGAGGCACGTGGTTCGAAAATATCTATCCTGGCGTCCGCTGCGACGTACCCGCCCACGTATACCAAGCAACCTTTGACCCTAATACGCAATGGTCTGAGCAGTTCGCCCAGGGCGCTGAGATTCGCGATTACTGGCAAGGCCTGGCGCGCAAGTACGACGTTTACAAGCACCTACAGCTCTCCCAGCGAGTTGAGGGCCTCAACTGGGTTGATTCGCGGGCGGTCTGGCAAATTACGGTCCGCGACCTCAAGACGGATGCGATCCGCATCGAGGAGGCCGAGTTTGTGTTGACAGCCATTGGCCGCTTCAATGCCTGGAAGCTACCGACATATCCCGGGATCCATGATTTCAAGGGCGTCCTCAGACACGCTTCGAACTGGGACCCCAACTTCGATCCCAAAGATAAGAAGGTTGCCGTTATTGGAAACGGAGCGAGCGGTATCCAGCTCACGTCGAACCTGCACAAGGTGGTATCTAGGTTAGATCACTACGCCCGCAACAAGACCTGGGTAACAGCATCTTTCGCGGGTGACGATACGTCTATAGAGCCGATCCTCATTCCAGAAGACTTGCGCGAGAAGTTCCGTAAGGACCCGGAGGCGTACCTTGCGTACCGTAAGGAGATGGAAAGCAAGTATTTCCGCCACTTCTCCGGGTGGCTTAAGGGCTCCGCCGAGAATGAGGAATCAAGAGAAAAGTTCCGCAAGTTCATGAACGACCGCTTGGCGAAGAAGCCAGAACTAATTGATGCGCTCATCCCGGATTTCAGCCCACACTGTCGCAGACTGACTCCTGGACCGGGGTACTTCGAGGCCATTACTTCCGAGAAGACGGAATACATCCAAACTCGCATCCGGCGAATTACAGAGACGGGAATTGAGACAGAAGATGGGAAGCATCGTGAGGTTGACGCCATCTTCTGCGCTACCGGCGCCAACGTCGATATGGTGCCGCCGTTCCCTATTACCGCCCGCGGCGAGGACTTGACGAAGCTCTGGCGCGCGGATGGTAAGTACGGTTTCCCGTACACATACCTCGGTTCCGCCACCCCTGGTTTCCCGAACCTGCTGTTCGTTCACGGGCCCAACGGTTCCGGACGCTCTGGAACGGTTCCGCACAACGTCGAAAACCAGGTCACATACTTTGCGCGGATTCTGCGTAAAGCTAGTCGCGAGGGTATCAAGACACTACAACCGTCCAAGAGGGCGGCAGACTGGTTTACGGAGTACTCTGACGCGTTTTTCGCAACTACGGTGCTCTCGGAGAACTGCAGTTCATGGTACAACAGTGGTAAGCCGGGCTCGCGCGTTCACGGCCTCTGGCCCGGTTCGGCGACTCTCGCAACAATTGTGCAGCGAGAGCCGCGATGGGAGGACTTTGAGTATGAGTATCTGGATGACGCTGAGAATCCGTTCCTGTGGTACTTTGGCAAGGGCTGTACGAGAAAGGAACTGGATCCGGAATCGGATGTGACGCCTTATTTGAAGCCTTATGTGGTTGATCCCAAGGATGCACATGAGAGTTGGCACACTGTTCCGTAGATATCAAGTCTAGAACCTCATATAATACACGGTTTAACGTTACAAGGCTTAGCATGTCATATCACTGACAGTCTGGTAATTCACTCCCCAGCAGTGCCCATATCGTAAATTATGATCCGAGCTTATGCCAAGCAATCACCAAGTGAAGCAGCTCCATCTCATGCCAACATTCAGATAAAACAATGTAACAGCAACCATCTCCAAGCCACGGAATCAAGGATTCTCCCACGTGCGCGAGAAACACATGGCAAGGGTGAATCGGGCAGAATAGTACCGCAGGTTTGGTTTGCGCCGGTCGCTCACTCACGCTTGAGGTGGTACTCCGGCATCTGTGCGCCGGCGGCGGAATGACGTGCTGTTCCCGGCAGATTTCGCAACCTACCCCCCCAAACGCCGTGCAACCCTCGTCGCCGGAGATTTCCACAGTAGTCCCTTGACAAGTTACTTTTCCAACGCTGAGCTACCGGGGTGACGCAAAGAACGCTAATACTAGAACTAAGAGAGTCGCCGAAGACAAGAAAAAGTTTGTCTGGGCCCCCTGTCAATCGACCTGCGTTCTCGGCATGTGTTGGTGAACCCTGGAATCGGGCTCGCACAGGATGACATCTATCCTTGCCTCGTTGCAGTGTTTTAACACGACCCATAAGACGAAGGATTTCCGTTCCCGTTGACCCATCTCGTGTGTGTTGACGAACCGGCATTCAGGTCTTGGCTATTCAGCATCATCTAAAGAATAGGACAATCTTTTTCGTCTGACTTGCGCTCACCACTCCAATTGGGTTCTTTGAACAATCATGGCCGACTATTTAGACGCCAGTAAGGGCGATATTGCTCCTCCCAAGGAGGAGAGACATCCAGGTTGGGCTGCCACGTCGATGTAGCTGAGCTTCACATCGCTAACCCGAGAAACAGTGAAATGGTACCGGTCGACATTCTACAACATGACCATTCTGGGTCTCTGCAACCTCGCAGCACCTGGAATCTGGGGAGCCATGAACTCTCTCGGCGCAGGCGGTGCCGCCTCCCCCAAGGTCGTCAACGCCGCCAATGCCCTGACGTTCTGCCTTATGGTAGTCTCGTGCTACTTTTCCTCCGTCATTGTGCATTACATCGGTATCAAAGGCGCTCTCATCTTCGGAACGTAAGTTGCCAGCCCCCCTGAAAGTTTCCAACAGTCTCTAATACATATTCGCCAACAGTATCGGATACGCCCCTTTCGCCGCAGGTCTTTACACCAACAACCGGTACGGCGTAGAATGGCTCATGCTCCTCGGCGCCGCGCTATGCGGCATCTCGGCCGGCGTCTTCTGGATGGCCGAGGCCGCAATCGCCATCGCGTACCCCGAGCCGTGGAACAAGGGCAAGGCGCTGGGGTACTGGCTGACGTACCGCCTCTGCGGCCAGATCCTCGGCGGCGCGATCAACCTCGGCCTCAACGCGGACAACAACCAGGCAGGGAAGGTGTCTTACACCGTCTTCATCGTCTTCATCGCCATCCAGGCCGCGGGTCCGTTTGTCGGGCTGTTCCTGAACAAGCCGGAGAAGGTGGAGAGACAGGACGGGAAGAAGGTCAGCTTGAAGATTGTGGAGAACCCGTGGTTCGAGATCCGGGCGACGACGAGGAGCTTCTTCACGCCGCAGTTTCTTCTTATCGTGCTCTGGATCGGACAGGCCGTCTTTTCCGAGGCGGTGTTCTTCACGTACCTCGCCAGTAAGTCCATACGCGCCCTTTACCTGTACAGATACTGACATTTTGGGAAGCATGGTTTTCGGTTCGGTCCAGAGCTCTAGGCTCTTTTCTCTCCGGTATTGTCGCCGTCATCTCCGGCAACCTTCTTGGTGTAAGTACATTTCATGAGTCTTGAAGGCTGAAGCAAGTAATCAAACGACTAACAAACTACAGCATTGGCTCGACCGCGCCAAAGTCTCCCTCCAAACCCGCACCCGCTCAACCTTTTGGTTCCTCGTCGTGACGCAGGGTGCGTGGTGGATCTGGGCCACCGTCCTCGCGACGCGGTTCCGCCAGACGCGACCGACGCACGACTGGGCCGACGACAGCTTCGGCTCCGCCTTTGCCGTGTACATCTTCCTCACCATCGGCTTCCAGCTGAACTACCTCTTCCTCTACTTTATCGTGACGAACCTCGCAAAGGGCGAGGAGGAGGTCATCCGCTACGCGGCTCTTCTGCGTGGCACCGAGTCCGCGTGGCAGGCTGTCAGTTACGGTCTTACATCACTGACGCTGTTTGGCGAGGTGGGCGCCATTTACTTCAACTTTGCGCTCTGGGCCGTCGCGATTGGGCCTGCGTGGTTGGTGCTGCGGCACTTTGGGACCGGGGCTACGGAACATATCGAGGAGGTTAGTGGTGTTGTGTCGAGTGAGGACGGGGAGTCCCAGACGAAGCATTAGATGCGTTAGAACCTTGATTGCAGCCTGTTTAGAGCTGGTGATATGCGTCATCAAGCTGTGTCCAGTATATAGACCTGATATGCTATTCGTTTCCAGCTAAGACAATCTGCTACCATGTTCAATTTAATTAGATGATGTTTAAACCTTATTAAGAGGAATTACCAAGCTCGCGTACCGAAATATGAGAGTAAATTAATCGCAACTGTAATACACGACAAGTTCCATCCACGGTGACAATCAGCGGAGACCGCATTGGACGCTGCAAACCTTCAGCATCGCATCGGCAAAGCGCTTCCAATTGCCCCTCTCATAATCAAATGGCCCCCTCCTCCCCACAAGCGGCTTTCCGCAGCGCGAGCGGCCGTCCACGATTGACCAGTTGTAACATCTCGCCTTTGGAGCTAACATGACGTGATGCCCTCACATTGAAGCTTAGAGCTCCGTGACACGCGGTCGCGAGTGGAGGCCGACGAAGCTATGGGGGGAAAGCTTCCTGCACACAGCTTTAGCCGTCCAAATAGCCCGAAAGGTTGAAAGATAAGGGGCACCCTGGGGAGATCTATCCGTTCTGCGCGTGCAGGACCTTCCCTGGGAACACGCGGGTAATGTCCCCATCCGCAGGGCGTGGGACATTTGCTATAGGCTCTGCCATGGGTCTGTCGTGCGTCTTGCGCCACCTCGCCGACCGGTGGCATCATCGCCCCCCGGCTCCACGGGGCCGGACCCACGCCGAACATCGGGAGGGGCAATGTTGGAGTAGACCCCCAAATGGACGTCACAATAGCACATGCGATGCCACCGTGTAAGAATTGTTACCCCGCGCCGAGAGGGCCGTGAATTAGCTGTTTTTTTTTAAAGAATATTGTATTGGAAAATTTTCCCCTCGGGAGTTCTGTTTTTTTTATATTTTCTGTGAGACTACGGAGTGAGACGGGCAACCAGACACGCAAAGACACAGAGATTACGGCAACATGACTGACGCGAACGGAACTGGCAAGGCTAAGAAGAGCCTGGTGCTCAATGCCTTCGTGGAGATGTGTAGGATACCTTCTTTCTCCTCATGCCGGGTGTTTGAAGGTTGAGTAGCTGACGAGAGTAATCCGATACAGGCAGTGGGCATCAGTCCCCTGGACTCTGGAGGCATCCCGATGACCAGTCGTGGCGCTTCAACGAGATCAGCCACTGGGTTGAGCTCGCGAAGTTGCTTGAGGAAGCCAAGTTTCACGGCATCTTCATCGCCGATGTTCTAGGTAAGTCCTCTTATGGCTTCGTTGCTTCCCACGACTGATAGTGTCAAGGCGGTTACGATGTGTACTCACAGTCTCTGGACCCTGCAAAGATCTCCGGAGCGCAATGGCCTGTCAATGAGCCTCTGGCGCCCGTGGCCGCGATGGCGGCCGTGACGAAGAGCATTGGTTTCGGTGTGACGGTGTCGACGACATATGAGCAGCCCTACCACTTGGCTAGACGTCTGTCAACAGTCGACCATCTCAGTGGTGGCCGGTATGTACGCCCAGTCTTCTCAATTCACCCTAGCTAACAACATTTCAGTCTAGGATGGAACGTGAGTGAAACCGGAAGGGATATGACCTGACCAAAACTGACCAAGAGGCAGATTGTGACCAGCTACTTGGACTCGGCAGCCAAGAACATGGGTCTCGCTGAACAGCCCCAGGTAAGCCGCCAGGTTCCCTCACCCGAGGACGCAGCTAACATCCGCAGCACGACGACAGATACGCCCAGGCCGAGGAGTACATCAAGGTCATGTACAAGCTCTTCGAGTCCTCCTGGCGCGACGACGCCGTCAAGCTCGACCGCAAGTCGGGCGTCTACACCCAGCCCGACCTCGTCCGCAAGATCAACCACCAAGGCCGCTTCTTCAACGTCCCGGGCCCGCACATCGTCCAGCCCTCCCCGCAGCGCACGCCTCTCCTCCTGCAGGCCGGCACCTCCAAGGCCGGCAAGCAGTTTGCGGCACAGCACGCCGAGGCCATCTTCGTCTCGGCCCACGCGCCCGCCGTTTGCGCCAAGAGCATTGCCGAGATCAGAGAGATTGCGCGCACGCAGTACGGACGCGACGGCAACGATATCAAGGTTCTCGCGCTCGTGACGCCGATCCTCGGCAAGACCGAAGAGGAGGCGCAGGCCAAGCTGGCGGACTACCGACAGTACGCCTCGCACGAGGGTGCGCTCGCCTTGTTTGGCGGCTGGACGGGCATCGACCTCAGCAAGTATGGCGACGACGAGGAGTTGCGCCATGTCGAGAGCAATGCTGTCCGGTCGACGGTTGAGGGCTACGCGAAGTTCTCGCCCGGTACGTCCAAGTGGACAAAGCATACTATTGCGGAGCACGTCAGCATCGGCGGCAACGGACCGATTTTCGTCGGAACGGCTGCGCAGGTCGCAGACGGTCTAGAGACGTGGATTGAGGAGGCGGATGTTGATGGATTCAACTTTGTGAGTAGTCTCTTGATTGATTTTGAATCTGAACGAATGCTAACGGTCGGTGTTTGCAGGCTTATGCGCTCTTCCCGCAATCCTTCAAGGACATTATTGACCTGCTCATCCCCGAGCTTCGACGCCGCGGTCTGTTCTGGGACGATTATGCCGTGCCAGGCGGAACATACAGAGAGAACTTTTACCGCAAGAAGGGACAATCAGGGCCTTTGGACGAACACGTCGCCGCGTCATACCGGTGGAAGGCGGGTGTGTCGGCGGAAGAGGCAAAGATTCCCGAGTAGAGGATCATAATCTTTGCTGTAAATATGTCCTTGTAAAACAGCACAAAAAACACATTGTCAAAGAACCAAGGAAAAGAAAACAGAAATGAAGCTATTCACAACCCCAAAATGGTAAATACCTCTCCTGTCTCGGCATCGAAACTCTGTCGATCCAGACCTGGCGATTCAGCGTTTTGAGTGGCGGACGGGCCAGATCGACCGGGAACAAGTGGGGGTTACAGGGCGTTTTGCCTGCAGTGCGACGAGTTTAAAGCCGAGATTCGTCCGGCCGAGCTGTGCCGAAAGATGGGCTCGCATCTACGGAAGTTTCGAGGGTCCAGTTTATTTTTGTGCATCATTTTTGAGATGGATCTCGGCTATAGAGTAGCGTAAGTGGATATGGTTTATGATGACCGAGAGGTTGACATTGTTACTCATTTGTCTGGAAAGATGATGTTTAAACGAAGAAAACGAGAACCATTCATACATGAACAAACATGTCAAATAAAAGTGGAAAATCTCCTGACCGACCTCAGCCCAGATTTGCTTGGAATAACGCGGAATTGCAACGCCTTGATTGGTCAATGCCGCTTCAAACAGTCGGCTCACACCGAGAATCTCTCTATTCTAGTGATACGGTACCTGGAAAATGTGCTACCCAAGCCCTGGCTAGTCAGGCCGGCATTCCAATAATAGTGGTGTTGATTCTGCGAGAGGCTCGCTCTAGCGGCCATGCGGCTGTCTCCCAGGGACGGTTACCGACCGTTAACCGAGCCGCCTGGCCACTCAGACCATCACACCCCCCTGGCTTATCTGAATGGCATGGTCCACACTATTCCTCATTGGGGAGCTATCTGTCTGCCAAATCCCTGAGCTTCCTTGACGACTCACTGCGTCATTCCCCACCGAGGGGGCTCAAGTAAGGATGAGTGACCTGATCTTTTTCTCCTGAAGCAGATCACCTTGGTCACTCAGCAGCATTGGCTCTGCATATCCTTTACTTAGCTAAAAAACTAGTTTGCATTATAAAACCACGTCAGCACCCACTTCCTCCCACATCGTGTCCCTTTTTCCTTTGATCGGCCATCCATTTTGTCCCTCCATCTCTCCCCCCCCCCTCCTTTCCCCGGGCTTTGACCCTTCAGTAGAACCTCTCCACTCTTTGCAATCTTTTGTCACTGCTCTCTGCTGTGGCTTCTCTCGTACTTGTCTTCTGAGAGTCGTCGCACAAACACGACAAAAAATGGCGTCTCCCGTTGCTTCGGCTGCCCTCCGGGCTCGCGTTCGCCGTCCGTCCATGCTGAACAAGCTCACCCGTCCCCAGGACCTCCTCCACCACTTTCCCAATGGTGCCTACATCGGCTGGTCCGGCTTCACCGGCGTCGGCTACCCCAAGAAGATGCCCACCTACCTCGCCGACCACGTCGAGCAGAACAGCCTTCAGGGTCAGCTCAAGTACAGCCTCTTCGTCGGTGCCTCGTCTGGCGCCGAGACCGAGAACCGCTGGGCCGGCCTCGACATGATTGAGCGTCGCAGCCCTCACCAGGTCGGAAAGGCCATCTCCAAGGGTATCAACGAGGGCAGGATACACTTCTTCGACAAGCATCTGTCGCAGTTCCCCGTCGACCTCGTCTACGGCTTCTACACCAAGGACCGCCCGAACAAGGGTATCGACGTCGCCATCGTCGAGGCCACCGACATCAAGGAGGATGGCAGCATCGTTCCCGGTGCCTCCGTCGGTGCTACCCCCGAGCTCGTCCAGCTCGCCGACAAGATCATCATCGAGGTCAACACCTCTCTGCCCAGCTTCGAGGGACTCCACGATATCACCATGACCGACCTGCCCCCGCGCCGTAAGCCCTACCTCATCATGGGCGTCGAGGACCGCATCGGTACCACCTCCATCCCCATTGACCCCGAGAAGGTTGTCGGTATCATCGAGTCCGACTACCAGGACCAGACCGCCCCCAACTCCCCCGAGGACGCCAACTCCCAGGCCATTGCCCGTCACCTCATCGAGTTCTTCGAGCACGAGGTCAAGCACGGCCGTCTGCCCAAGAACCTGCTGCCTCTGCAGTCCGGCATTGGCAATATTGCCAACGCCGTCATCGGTGGCCTGAAGGACTCCAACTTCTGGAACCTCAAGGTCTGGACTGAGGTTATCCAGGATACCTTCCTCGACCTTTTCGACTCCGGTCACCTTGACTTTGCCACTGCCACCTCCGTTCGTTTCTCTCCCGACGGTTTCAAGCGCTTCTACGACAACTGGGAGTCGTACCATGACAAGCTCCTCCTCCGCAGCCAGCAGGTCTCCAACTCCCCCGAAATCATCCGTCGCCTCGGTGTCATTGGCATGAACACTCCCGTCGAGGTTGACATCTATGCCCACGCTAACAGCACCTGCGTTATGGGTTCCCGCATGCTCAACGGTCTCGGCGGTAGCGGAGATTTCCTCCGCAACGCCAAATACAGCATCATGCACACTCCCTCTACTCGCCCTTCCAAGACTGACCCCCACGGTGTTTCTACTATCGTCCCCATGTGTACGCATGTCGATCACACGGAAAGCGATTTGGACGTTATCGTCACTGAGAACGGTCTTGCGGATGTTCGTGGCCTCAGTCCGCGTGAACGAGCCCGCCTCATCATCAAGAAGTGCGCCCACCCAGTGTACCAACCTATTCTTGAACGGTACTTCGACAAGGCTGAGTTTGAGTGCCTGCGCAAGGGTATGGGTCACGAGCCCCATTTGCTGTTTAACTCGTTCGATCTCCATCGCGCCTTGGTCGAGGAGGGAAGCATGCAAAAGGTCAAGAGTTTCTAGACAGATGCAAGATATCCATGCTATGGACGCATCTTACGGTACGAGCGTATTCAACTAGTAACAGAACGGTTTGTCTTCTGTAAGTGAGCGAGCTCATTTAACGGCTCGGTCGCTGGGGCACATCTGTCACGTGACCGTCCGACACGGAAAAATGGGTCCAGAAGCTTGGGATGTTCGGACCCTCAACCGTAATATTGAAAATCATGGCATGGGCGAGTTTACATGGCGGACCTGTGATTTTAGGAGCATAGAATCAGTTGTGCACTTTTTTTTGTCGATAGAAGCCATGATACCTCGCTGGATAATGCTACATATTTACTATTTCCGAAAGCGTGAAACTGTCCTTGTCCTTGATGTCAGGTCGTATATAGAAATTAAACCATGTTGGAAATGCTTCATTTGGGTTGTGGCGCTCTTACCCAGAAAACCCTGTGAAAGAAGGAAAAGAAAAATAATTTCACGAGGGTTACTGTCTGAATTGTTGGAACACGGGGGCTTCTGTTGGCGCCCGACTGGTCCCTTCCTTAGATATCTCAGAACGTGGAGCTGGTGTAGAAGGCACCACTCCCTCTCTTCCAGACGTGGCAGGCTGAGAGACCATATCTCTCATTCACTCACTTAGAAAGCAAATTTTTTTTTTTTGTACTTCAATACAGGAAACAGGTTAGGAATTTACTGTGTGTTTGTTTACATCTCTACTGCATTATTTCACGCGTGTGAAACTTACAGGTTGCAACCCTGATTCCCTGCAATTCATTTGTTAATAGGTAATTTCTTCACTGGCACGTGGCATTCTAGCGGGTTTTTAATATTTTCGACGATAAATGCTCGTGTTGGTATGACTCTCCATGTCGAATCTAGGTTTTTATATTTAAACATATTTTTATATCATTCAGTTGAGGGGATGCTGTTTGTGATGACAAATTAAATTCCTGATTGGAGACTATGAGTAAGCCGACTTTTATGACATGTTCAACTACCACTGGCACACCAACATAGGTTCTGCAGCATTCGTATCACCGATATTATATGGTTAAACAAATACGTGCTGATTTAATTCGCAGTGACATTCTTTGTGTGTGTGATTGGTTGGATAGCCGAGATGACCCAAGCTCCCAACTACCCTTAGGGCTCCACAGCGACCTCGGCTCAACGCCGATGGGCAACTTGACGCGTTCTTTGCCGTTTGGTGTTTTCCCCTTTTCCTTATTCAAGCTTCGGCAAATTCAGCCTACTGTGTCTGCACGACCGTCTTCTCGAAGGCGATCAATCATTCCTGCTCAGGCTTACGACCATTTGTAGACTCCGGCGTGGGTTCTATGTTTTTTCATTTACTTTGGGTTCCAGATAGGCAACCTTGCATCGCAGAGTTTGTTCGTGGCAGCCAGTTGATTTCTTCCCGAACCCGAAAGGGTCGGGTTCTCTCATTCGTTGCGGCGTTTGTTATTTCTTCTGGTGAAAGCAGCAGCTCTGTTGTGCATAGTTGTCTGACTGGTTGAGAAGAGGAGGAGTGAGATAATTGGCAAGTCCTATCTTTCGTTATTGCGTTTCGTACCTTTTCTCACCTTGGGCAGGTTTTCTTTTCTTGTTTGACTGTTCAAACCCGTAAGGGTTGAGCTTTTTTACTTCGGTTCGCCGTTGTTTTCGTCATTCAAGACTACTCAACCACCATGTCTCAATCCCAGAAACCTGCCACCCCTGGTGCTGCCCCCACTGCAAAGTTATCGGAAACTTGGGCCAAGGACTGTGTTGTTTTTAACGGCGAGAATGGCCCTATTATCGCCAGTGGCAACTCTTTTGGTTCCGACGCCTCCAAGATAAAAGCCAAGTTGTGCAATCTGAATTTCCCCGATACGAATCCCAGTCACGCACTGCGGATCGACATTCCCCTTGGCAAGGACAATGAGGATCGCGGCTTCGGCCAAGTATACCAATGTGAGTCACTGAATTGTAAGTCAGAAGAAAATGCCGCTGATGTTGGGCAGTCTGTGGTTCTGATCGCATACTTCCTGTTGAATATCGAACCATCACTCTGAAGTTTCCAGCCGGCCACGATAAGTGGGACTTTGAGCAAGCACCTCCAGAGCTGCTTTCACGCTTCCCGCATCGCGATGACAAGAAATGCTGCTTGGTTACCATAAATCTAAGAAAAGGAGCCACCATTGTCGGTTACGGTATGCCCTTCGCAAATGCGTCGGCGCCTGAGCTTGAGGACTGGTACAAGAATAACCGTCCTACTGTTGGCGATGTGACTTTTCGCGACTTCGTCCAACAGACCACCTTTCACATCCTTGTTGCCAGCCCAGAGAACGTCGTTGAACAGGTGTTCGATCCTGCGCGCATCGGAAAACCCTTCAGTCATTCTTACGGTACAAATCTGGACTGGGATGTCAAACGTTTGGCGCAATTGTGGCACAAGACCCAACGGGCCAAGCCATACCATGCTACGTTCCAGTGAGCTTCCCCACTTCTCTTACCTTACTATTACCTGACAGATATTAGATTTGACGATGTCGATACCATGCTGGGAGTCAACACCCAGATCCATATTCAAGATGATTTGTGGGTCGAACTGGATGCGAGGAAGATCCGCGAGCGTGAGAAGCGCTCCTACTGTGTTCCTCATGCGACAGAGAAAAACGTTTACTTCGCCATCGTGCCGCGCGGCACCGCGTTCGTTGATGAGTTCCAGACTTCTTGGGATCGTCTGCTCTCTAATTCCCTTGAGCTTCTATTCTGGCAGATGAATCCCGTGCGTGCTGCAATCGGCACAGAGCCTTCGCCATCGGCCGAGATGCCTCCTGGTGATGTACAAGACGAAGAGCCCTTGTCTGCTTGGTATGTTTTCTGAAATCGTACGGCAGCCCAATAATTGTAGTATTTGCTAATATGTAGCAGGACTGCCGAAGTCATGTCGTGGCCCGGCAACATCCCGGAGATGAGCGGCCATCCGTTGGGAGAGACAGATCTAGTCTTGAAGATATGGAGACCTGACGACGGTCCATCCGAAAGTGAAATGCCAGTCAGGATCTTCTCGACCAGAAAAGAAGCCGATGCGGAGCTCACACAGTAGGACTGCGTCTCGCTCAGCTTCATAGATATCCTGGTCGAAACAGAGCGCAAGTTCAGGGCCATCGCGACTTTGCATCCCTCAGCGGCCAAGACTCATTCTTCTGTGCCCGAAGCCCAAGCCAACGACATGCAGGCCCTTCACCGAGCCGTCATGATGGGTTCTGGTTTCCACGAATACATGAGTGGCCAAGGTCTTACGGAAACATTGGCGGCAACGTCATTAGAGATGAATGAGCAAATTCAGGTTCGGCAATGGCGAGATCTCCCTGTTGTCAATTTCTTATCTGGATTGGACCAAGATTTGGTGGACTCTCTGTGTGAGGAAGCGTTGCCAGACGATCGCGTACGCTTCAAGGCCTACCTGAGCGAGAAGTTGCTGGGTATCGGCATCATAACAGCTGTATGTTTTCGCTACACATCAATGACAACTCTAGGTCTAACTTTATGAGCAGGGACCCGGTTTTGGCAAGACTACGGCCGTTGCGGCTGCGGCATTGGCTATGCGTCTCTCTCTCGGACCGACTGCCTGCTCAGCCCCCTCGCACGTGGCCATCACTAACTTGGCTGAACGTCTCGATAGGACCTCGATTTCTGTCTCCCAGAGGATCAACAATCGCAAGGCTTCCCAAGATTCGTCGCGTGCACGTCAGACTTTCATCCTCCGCGTGTTCAAATTGGAGAATGAGTATAAGGCATTCCTTGCCCTTCTCAAGAAACCAGGCAGCGGGGATAAAGCTGCACCCAAGATCCGCGGCACGCCTGTGAAGTGGACATTCAATCTGTCGCTTGCCTATTGGCTCTTAGTCCTGCTAAAATCACCCGCGACAACGAGGCGGCTCGTGTCGGACGACTCCTTGGCTCTGCAGGCGATACAACGGGACCTCGATGTGCGCCAGGATTTCCGATATGTCCGCGAGCTGTGTGCCAATCGCATCGACTACGACGAGTTCTCCAGCTGTTCCCAGCCTAGCAAAGATGCGGTTCTGAAAGTCTTCCATCGACTCATCGATGCGGCTGACATGCTGTGCACAACTCCCAGCATGTTCTGCAATGAAGCCCGCGTTGCGAAGTGGAACGCGGGAAAAGCCAGGGCCGTTGCATTTGACGAAGCCGCCAACATGACACGCGGCGACATCATTCAGGTCTGGGGGAATGACCTGTTGCCGTGCCTGTTCGGGGGCGATCCCAAGCAGCTTCCGCCGGCCGTCATGACCAGAGAAGAAAAGACTGCAGAGGGGCACGTTTACAACCAGCTGAGCCGTGATGCTACGGTGTCTGGTTTAGAGTTTCTTCAGGCATCCGGCATCCCGGTTTACCGTCTTCGGAAGCAGCTGCGTATGACAAAGGCATTGTGGGATATGGTGGGCGGCATCATCTATTCGGACCAGCCAATCGTATATGGTGATCAATGCGACATCCATCTGCCGCAGTACGAGATCGGCCGGCGACTGGAGTCCTACATCCAGTCGCAATATCCTGATGTTCGGACTCCCGCCGAAAACACATTTAGTCCCTTGTTCATCCACTGCGAAGGCACCAGTGTCTTTACAAACCCTGTCACACATGGCAAGAAATCCGATGATCAAGTCACGGTAGCTCTCGACTTTGCGTCGGACTTTGTCAAGGAAAAGGCCGTCGATGCCTCCAAAGTCATTGTCCTCGCCCCATATAAGGACAATGTACAACTCATTGAACAACGGCGGAAACAGGAAAAGTACGCCAATCTTGCGGCAATGCGTCCTGCATCCTCCATCGACGCCTTCCAAGGCCAAGAAGCGGATATAGTCATCGTGGTAATGGGCACACGCGCATTGAATCCAGGTCCTGGCTTCACAAAGGACCCTCGCCGCCTCAATGTGTTATTGACCAGGCAACGATGTGGTTTGGTCATGATAGGTGATATCAATGTGGCTGGGTCCATGGTCAAGCCAAAGAATGCAAAAGGACCCAAGCTGAAGGAGGGTGAATATTGGGTCTGTATTCCTGGCAAACCTAGGGTGAAAATGACGGCAAAGGAGCTGTGGAAGGTACACAAGTACCTACATGACCGTGGTCGGGTGGCTACAATTAAAGTCAATGTAAAGACGCCACAAAAAGACAAAACACAAGCTGGACAAAGTGGCTTGGTAGCTTTTGTAGAAAGAAGTTGATAGGAAAGTCCGCAAAAATTGGGCACCGAAAAGGACAAATTGGATGGCGTCAATGTATGATGTTTGGTCTAAAAACTAACGTGACATAGTAGCCCCTGTTTCATTGGCAATGCTGATTAAATCTCGGGCCAGGTCTCCTCTGTGGTCTGGCGGCATCCATGACCACTTCCACATATCACCCCCCCAAGTACGGCGCCCTCGCCTCTTGCATCTGATCCTGTACTCGATGCGAATGTATGTAACATAGGAGAAAAATAAAGAAGAAAAAAACATCCATCCAAGGATCCATCCGACTGAGAACCAGACCAGACGATAGGAATTCGGGTCTTACGTCGCAAAACCTAGCAACATCCCATTAAGCTCGTGGTGGCTTATCATTTTTGTATTTCGCATGCCATCGTGCTTGACGAATGGCATCCCTCTCTGCTTTCCTTGCTTTCTTTGCATCCGCTGGCGAAATCGCAGCGCTAACATTCGGAGTAGCCTGACCGGGTGGCATTGCCTGCTGATGGGGGCTAGTCTGGTATGCCTGGTCCGGTTGACGGGTTTGAATAGCCTGATGTAAGATGGGCTGGGGTAGCTGAGGAACTTCTCGATGCTTATCGAGGTATTGCTGCAACTGATCTGTGTCCCGCGGAAGTTGCTCTAATCTAGCTTGTCGCGTTTGAGGAGGCGGTTGTTGCGGCTGGTTGTACTGATGTGACCAAGTAGGTAATTGCTGAGGCTGACGTATAACAGATTGAGGCAATTGAGGTGATGGATGCTGCTGCTGCTGAGGCATGGCAGGTCGATTTAGCTGTAGAGCTGGCGGCTGATGCTGAACCAACTGCTGCACCTGATGAGGCAGTTGCTGATGTTGATTTGAATCAGACTGAGGCTGAACAGCAGACGGCGGGCTGGCCGTCAGCTGGGCCATTTGCTGGTCGACAAATTTACAATACCCATCCGCTACATCGATACCGGCGTCCATCAACTTCTCCAGGAGCCATCCAGTCACAATATCATTTCTGTGCTTGAGGGGGATCTGGCTTGACCTGTCCATGACTGTAGAAATCATAGCTTTGCGTTCCTCCAACGTAAATGACCCGCCATCGGTCTCATGGTCGTCAGTAAGAACTGATGACTCGTCGTCGTCATCCTCATCTCCACTGCACTGAGTCGCAACAACGGAGAGGTCGGCACCGGCATTGGATTGCCCTTTCCCAACAAGAGATCTGCCAAAAACATTATGCCACATGTTCACATGCGATGAGCCAGTGTTCTGCTCACTACTGACATACTGTGAGAAGTCGGATCCATCGGACACAAATGGGCCAGGGAGATCACGGCGCTGGCCTGATACGGCCGTCTGATGCGGTCGCGGCGTCGACTGATGTATAGATCGAGAGATATCAGGTGATTGAACGATGGTCGCCGTGCCCAATTGCTGTCTTCCAGTCTGTATGTAAGATGTCAAGACAGCAGGCCGAACAGAACGCGCAACACCTGATGATCTAGCCGCCTGCTGCACATCAGATGGCCGGGCTGGGTGTTGGATCTGTTGCTGAGCAGACGGGGAAGGACTGGATAACTGAACGGAACCAGATGGGGAGGCAGATTGCTGACTGAAGTATTGGACATTGTTCGGCTGAGCTAGGTATTGGACCTGCTGTTGCGCAGAATGATTTACAGGCGGGATAAATTGTTGAATGCCCTTTGAAGTGGCAGGTTGCCTCACATTCTGTTGTGCAAAAAAGCCCAATGTCATCGGGCTCTCGTAGGTGATTTGTGGATCCATCACCCCGAATGCCTCCTCAACCCAAGAAGCAGGGATCGCCCTGCCTTCATACAAAGCGGCAACAATCCTTGCCATCGCCATGAACATCGGCTTCTTATTGGATTTCTTGAACAGATTCGCCAGTGGTGAATATTCAGGCAATGCCACAGCCCGAATAACAAATGCCCACAGCAGAGATTCCTCCACTGTCTTTACCCCCTTGATGTAGTGTTGACTGATCCGCTTATAAGGAGACGCATTTGAGTTGTGGACAGTTGTAGAGTCTAGTTCTTCTCCTAGGATCCTTCTAATGGCATCCTTCATCGAATGTGTGAAAATATGATTGACTGGGCGGGCAAAGAGAGTCTCCATGTAGTTGAGGATCTGCTGATGAGGCACAGGTCGACCGGTCTCAGAATCCCGACCTCCATAGTTATCGGCCCAATCCAAGTTCGACTCGTTGGCTGGTGCATCAACGGTCTGATCCACTGATTGATGTGCAAACTCTGGGGCTTTAACAGGACCAGGCACATCCCGCTGCTGACCAGGCTGAGGTGATGGCATTTGGACACCAAGGCCATCAAAGGCAGGCGGTGGATTCGCAAGCGTAGGCAAACTGTTAGAGTCCTGACGGGATTCATCTGGATGCTGATGGATGTGAGAAGGAGTTACATTGATGGCATCAGGTCGGATCGTGGGATTGTAATGCAAATCCACAGCGGAAGAAGTTGACGGATTTGTTTGCGACATGATAGGAGCAGTATTGGCGGCGAGCGGGACTCCATACTGCGTTGGCACCATCGACTGTGCACCAGGCGATGGCTGTCTCTCGGATTTCTGCTTCTTGGGTCTGGACAAGCCGCTTCCCGGTTTGCGGGCATAAATCCTCCCTGTCCGATTCCGGTTGCCAGAGGCCATTGCAGATGGATTACCCGCCGATCTTCTGCTGCAGTCAGAATGTAGATAGTCGGGATGGCCCGGGCTGCTGTCAGAATCCAAGGGCTCGCCGATTTCAGGACTAGTAACGTAACCTGACTTTGGGTTAACTGCCCTCTGTGACCTTGCCTGAGCTCTTCCCACACGAGACTCAAGATTGTTGATGCCCAAACCCAGACCCGCGAAATTTCCCGGCATCCGAACGCCTGAAGATGAAAAAATCACGGTGTCAACCAGATAAGATTCGTAAGAAAGGAAGGGAGGTAATCTGAACTGGGAGGAGGAAGAGATTCAAGGTATGCGGATGTGAAAATGGGAGTAGCAAGATTCAGAAGCAAGACGTAAAATTTTGAAAGTGAGTTTGTCGAAACAGGAAAGAGTAAGTAGTGATTTGTGGAGAGCATCAAGGAAGTGTCGTTCCTCACGGAAGGTGGGGTTGTACCCGCAGTCGGCGGCGTCGCAATGCCCGAGAGAAAGGCAGCACCAGATCAGAACCAACTGCAAACATCCTGTCTGTAGTTTGAACACCTTCAACTGATCCAAATGGCGCTCATGTGGGATTGCAGTGCTGTCTATCTGTTCAATGCGGTAAGACACCGGGCCATATCTGTTGCGAACATCAAATGGGCCTCTCCAACGGGGTTTGGACTTCAGTTGTCTCCCATCCTGGACCAGCATAACAAGTTCTCCTCGTCTGAACGGGGTACGTTGTCGGTATTCATGGCGAGCAATGCGAGCGGCATTGAAAGTAGAGCGGACAGCAACAACGTATCGTAGAATGTAATCAACCTGAGCAACTTGTTGTACCGCGGCGTCGGCGAGGTGGTTGGGTTCCGGGGGGTTCAGACCCAGACCAACACGAAAGGCAGCTGCATTCAAACCTGGCGACGACAGTGTGAATCGAAGAGGACCTCCTTTGGTAAAATTCTAACAGACTAAATGAAGCAGCTATTGATCTGGCTAATTGGCCTTGTATGGTGTAAATCCCAATCTCGAGCAGGAAATACATCATCAGGTTCCACTTCCATGTTAACCATCCATTACAGACATCCTGATGGCCTCCCGTAACAGGATTTGACCCCGTAATCCTTTGACAAATCAGGGGTGAGACTTGCCAGGACCACTTGATCTGGCCGTGACAGTGCAGCTTTGTCCGACTCAAATGCGGTATCATGGCATCCGGCCCGATGGAGGAGGGCCATCGCCCGGTTGTAAGTGTAACTTGCTTGATATACTGATGCCCTCCAGCGACACCAAGGTCAATTGGCCAACAGGTAAGAAATTGAAACGTTTCATGTTTTGAATAGCTAATGACTAAATTGCACACGTTTTAATCCTCCATCTCATCCTCATCCCCATCGCTTGCCATCCAGTCCATATCATCCTCAATTCCTTCCTTGTCCTCATCTTCTCCATTGTCCACCACGTTGCCAAGGCTCAACCTAGCATCAAAAGGCCCCAACTCTAGATTTTCATTTGCATACTCCAGCGGAATATTGATTTCCGCGACCATCTCCTTGATATCTGGATAAAGATGCTCCGCAAAATTCAATTTTGTGTAATTACTCGTCCTTGTTTCGATCAATATGTTGTTGTGATCGTCGAACCGGTCCCGCAGGCTCTTCGCATCAGGATTCTATCCTGTTCTCATTTGAAACTCATGGTGTCTGTGAGCGACCGCAAAGTTCAATGGATTGTGGTATTCAACCGCCAGCGGGAGGCCGAGAAATTCCCCGTATTGGGCCTGGGCTTCGGCTTTGGCCCTGCGATCTGGATCCGAATTTTGAACGACCATGATGTTCACGCAAGCCTGGTACACACACTCTAGATAGAGGGTGGTCGAGGTGTCCACAGTATTGTGCTTCTTGTTGCATCCATTCCGCATCCGCCAATATCTCTCAGTCATCAGGCGTCCACAAGTTTCCCAACTCCAATCGCGGGGCAAAGTGTCAACGTGTGCAAAGTAAGCACAACCGTCTTCAGACTTGATAAGATCGACTCCTGTCCAGTCCTCGATTTCTTTAACAATGGCCTTGACATCTCCAACCTAGTTTCTCCATTCGTGGAGGCTGTAATACTTCAAGCGTCGGTAATATGGGCGACTGAAGACGGTGTCATCTCCCGGGTGCGGCTTGCCTGAGACCCACTCATCCCGGAGATATCTCATCTGTTCGGGGCTCAACTCAAACCTTAACCTGGAAGCTTTGGACCAAGGAACTTTCAGCTTCAGGTCGGTGAAGCGACGACAGTCGTGAACAAGTTTCTCTTGCAGCATCGCAACAGCGTTTCGCACAGTCGGCACTCCGGACTGGTAAAACGGTACGGAAGCAATCCACTGCCGGTAATACTTCCCCAATTCTTGGAGAAAAATTGGCAAGTGAGTGTGCTTGCACATGTTTAGGGCGAAGGGAATGACTTCGATGTTTCCAGACACATGCGAGCCAGGAGCACCGGTGGCATCCAATGCGAGAGGAAAGATGGCGTCGATGCTAAGGTTCAACGGATGGCTTCTGCAGACTGGCGGCCGCACCAGCATCCCCGAGTATGCGTTGATGTACGCAGTGCCAGATTGATTGATGAATCGATGTTCAACCTCCCTGACAAGCGGATCCACAAGGTCAGATATAGCTTGAACAGACAGCCGCTTCAGTCTACTCTCCATCACCAAAATGCGAAGTCTTGCACGAACTTCACGCGAGCACAGTGACGGTAACTGAAGTGCATTGTTGCAGCATACTGAACACGCCCGATAGCCATACGGATGCTCTGCGAGCGATTCGCAAATAGTCGATTTGCCACACTGACCACATGCATGGGCTGTCACAGACATAACATCATCAGCGCAGTGACAAACATTTGGAGCCTCTTGATCACGAAAGATTTGGTCGTTGGCATTGTCGACGTCTCTTGCCATGGCCTGCCACACTGCCAGAATGTCGCTTGTATTTAGCCAGGTATTGATGGCGGCATCCCCGATAGGCTCTGCCCAACCCATGTTCCTCGAGTTGATTCTGAGGGATGGGAGCCCAGGTAGGTCCATCAACACCCGGTCGCCAGGTATGATGCGAACATCGAAGATGCATGCTCGCAGGCGGAACAGTTGGGTCGTACCATTCTCGCCGAGGATGAGTCTCTTGGCACGTGTGGTGCAGTTGGAAGGAGAGTAAAGCTCAAAGATCTCCGTCTTGAACTGCTGTGTATCGACGTAGCTCTGGAGAAGGGACCGATTCCGCAGCCAAGTTGACACGGCATGACAAGTAAATTGATATGTCCGGGATGCTGAGGTTGCCAAAGCTGTGTCCGCATTCGGTATCGTAGCCTCAGGCGCGGACTGGATATCTCCAATGCTCTTATACAAAGCGAGGTCGTGGTTCACTGTGAAAACAACGTTTTCCGTTGCTGGAATCGGTTTGATCGACGAATCCAGCTTCTTGACTGGAATTCTCCACTTGAAACTTTGGAGCTTGTGCGTGACCACATCGACGAATGGCAAGACCACCAGCCAGTACCAAGTGCCTTCTGTGAGGGTCAAAGCTGGTTTTGCGATTCGAAATGGCTTGTGCGGGAAAAGACTGAGCACCGCCGCTTTGCAGAGTGAATTGATGAGGGCTGGAGTTGCACCCACCTTGGGGGACTCCAGTTGAGTAGGGTCTCGCCAAACCTTCTTCGCATGGACGAGCTTTTCACACAATGCCAGAGCTTCTTGTTTGGTGAAGTCTTTGGTGCTGACACGCAAAATCATTTTTGCATGCGATTCGCCGACCTTCCGTGCCCGTAACTCCCATGAGACCATATCAGCGAATTTTCCAGACTGATGTTTTACAACCTCAGGGGTATAGTCTTGGCCAGGGATAGCCGGAAGGTTGTAGATAAAGTTGAATGGCTCATCTGGGGCCAAAGACTTTGGGGCACGGTAGCGCGTTCGAACAACGAGAGTAGGTAGGAGTGCTTCAAACCTCCGCTCTCGTGGACCTTTCTGCGTATCATCCAGCACTTGTGAATCATTGACATGGTGGTCAGATGGTTGACTAGGAGATCTTTCCAGGGCTGTGTACTCCTGATATTCATCGTCACTATCCACAATAACTGCACGTTTCCTCTTGTTTGGAGTTTGACTGAGAGGAGCAGGTGGAGGGGCTCCATCTTGAGCGAGTGAAGAGGCCAGGGGTTGAGGAGTTTGCCGGGGGGTGGCTGGTTGACTGCTGTCTCTGTTCCTGGCAGGCGTTGGGGCTGCGGGTGGGCTCGCCAAAGAAGGGGGAATCTCTTCGACCGACTCCGCAGAAATGGGTTTAAACCATTGGCGAATATCATGCGACGCCGCGGGTGCATTGGCTCTGCTGGGCCTTGTGGACTCTGAATTGAATGTTAGATGAGGTCGAAAGACAAACCGGGTTTCTGGACAACCAACTCTTGGAGGGCATTTTGACGGTTTGATGTCTTAGTTGGAAGAGAAGAGAAGAACCGGAAACCGAAGCCAAATCAACCTAGTACTGAAAGAATGCCGAAGCAAACTAAAAACCGTCCCTCGAAAGGTGACAGTAGCAGTACTAGAGAAGAGACGACAACGAGCGAAAGGAGCGAAAGGCGGATGTGATACCGAAGACCGTGAAACTATCAACCTAGTACTGAAAGAATGCCGAAGCAAACTAAAAACCGTCCCTCGAGAGGTGACAGTAGCAGTACTAGAGAAGAAACGACGACACGAGTCAACGGGGGGAGGGAGGAGGTGAGTACCGAAGATCGCGAAGCCAGGCTAGCCCAGCACCGAAAGAATGCCGCAGCAAACAAAAGACCGACCCTCGAAAGGCGACGGTATTAGCACTGGAGAAAGGATGAACAACGCAAGTCAACGGGGGGAAGGGGGGAAAGGGATAGGAGGGGAACTTGAAAGGGGAAAGCGGTTGTATGTCGCTAGCTGTCGGGGATCGGATGTCGAGAGAACGGCAGGAAAACAAAACTCAACACAGAAAACTGTTCTTACAAAACTGGCGATGCTCTCAGTCTCGAAAAAAAAAACAAGAGAAGAGAAGAGAATTTATTTATACTGGGTGTGGGTGGGGGTTTCTGCCCTGGCTGATTGTGGTCATGGAAGGCAGGACGCCTTGGGGGGGGGGGGGGGGGGCTTCATCCCTTCCGTTCAGAGAAGACCTCCTCTCTTGACATACAAGGCAGACCAGGGACAGCAGGAGCATTGTACCTACCACAAGTAGCCGAGTGGAAATGTACGCCGCTCTTCCCTGCAACAAGGTAGATGCCACGTGCAATTGTTCTGAAAAGGGTCACACAACCTTGGTCTACCAGCACGGCGTGTTCGATGACTCTAAAACATCCTTTGTGAAGTTACTCTTTAAGGAGTCTTTCCATACTTCAAGAGTCATTGTACACTTAAGCAAAGTTACTGGTATTCATAGCGTAAATATCCCGCGTCTATCTGGAAGCTCTTGACCTGCTGCGCGCTTCCTTCCTCAACTAAGACGCGGTGAAGGTCGAACGAATCGAAGATCAAGTGATTATCGTGACTCAAGACCTTGTGCGGGCTTTTAGCACTGGATACTTCTGAGCGCCTGCTCCTAGAGCGAAAGTGCGAAGCCCAGGAGAGGAAGGAGGAGTGATTAGATATTGCGATGAAGAAAAGGCCAGCACACAACCGAGCGTTACTTGTTGCTTTTAATTTTTTTTTGAAAGCAGAAATTTCTTTGAATGGTTAATATTTAACAAGTTTGGAAGCTAACATTTGTTACGAAAATTGCTATTGCTAGTTGTTATGAAGTTATCGTGAGAATTAGCAGTTGTAGTTGTAGGTGACGGCGCGACAGACAAGAAGCCCCACGCAGCAAAAGTCGCCAGAATATGGGGTTCCCAAGGTCGCGAAGCCTTTGGTAATGACTTCAAGTATTGAAACATCATAGATCACCACCATCTATGCTGGCTACGCTGGCTGGCTTCATTGGGCTACCGATTCTAGAAGTTGTATCTCGGAGCCCTGGGGCAGCATGTGCTTTAGTAATTTTGTTGGGTCTTTGAAAGTACTTCAGCGTCCGAAACCTCGTGTCGAAATCCATCGTTCTCGTCCCCAACCCAAAAAGACGACGCCGGGCATCGGATGTATCATCGAGGGTGTAGAGAGGCAAAGGGGGGGACAGTGCGAGTTCGGCCGTATGAGGCCATCGTTGAAGCGTAGGCGGTGTTGAAGCGGCACTAGATGAGGTGTTGGTAAAGGGGGCGGGCGCCCTACTTGGTGATAAGGCAGGCACGTTCGAGGTGGCTCAGGCCGTGGACATCAGCAAGGCTGTTGTCACTGGTAATTATGTCAAGATGGGATTCCGTGAAATTTATGTCATGCCGTAAATCTCTTTTGATTATCTAATAATTTCCTTCTCGGGTACAGCTGATGTAATACATGAGCTAGCAGACCATGCTGATTGGAGTGGCCTTTTCTTCATAATTCAACAAACCCGAAGCCACAGGTGGGTGAGCTTGGAGACCAAAACCTTCCAAAGGAACAAGTCTTGTCATTGTTGACAACTACTCAGCTCTCCATCAGAGGATAATCGACATGGCCACGATATAGATTAATCTCCTAGTAGTTTCATATTGTAGTTGTGATCATCGACTGCACCACGGATAACTCACCTAACTCTAGATGCGGAGGTTCGAGTACCTTTGAAAGGGCCTTTGTGACGCGCAGCACCTGCTCCTCAACTCGTTCGACTCCCACCGCGTTCTGGCCCAGGTTGAAAGCATTAAAGCTAGAGCTCGTACATTTTCTATCAGTCGCTAACATAATGTTGAAAATCATGGCACTGGTGCTTCGGGAGCACATTGTTTGGTGGCACACCGCCTGCCACCTTAGTTAGACGCCCACCGTGTGGGTTCTCTAGCCTTTACTGTCTGTTTTGTAGTTTAGCTATGCACACTGCTTTGCTGGGCAGTTCTGCTAAATTTGCTTGTTTCTTATGAGCCCTATCCTCTTTTTCGGATTATTATGAGACTCTATTTTAAATGGCTTTGCACCCTCGTTCTGCCGAAATCATGGTTATTTTGAGAACCAAATCGCGTCGGCACGGCCTCGTTGGCGCGATTGTTCGCTGTGACCAGAGTCAGAATCTAAACGGCAGAATGTCGCCTTGTTGATTGACTACTTTCACTCTTTACGCCTTTTGAGCATCACGATCCTCTACTTATTTAGAATGGCAAGACCAAATCTTTCGCAAGATTCCTACCTCACGGCCCTTGGCCACTACCCATCCACCACCTCAAGCTATCGCTGGTAGCTGCTTCGAAGAAACAGATCGCTTTTGCCCCAGTCCTCGACCTTTACTTTTATCCTATGGTATGTAACTGATCTTCCTCATCTGAAGGAAGTATCAAACTCGGCCAATTCGAAGACTGTTACCGCTGCCTGACTCCGTGACTAAGGCCCCAAAAGACACGTCGATGCTAAGTTCGCCTACCCTTCTGACACTGCAGATGCAGAGGAATGGATTAGGAATCACGATGTTATCAAGACCTTACGATTACTGCCTGCGAAACAGTGATCAACAGGATTCCTCTTCATGCAAAGACAACTTGGCAAATTAGTCCCCATCTTGTACGACTGGTTCCTGTGTACACAGTCCCAACAAAATTGCGGTACATAAAAGCACGAATTGCTGACAATCGTTGAGTTTTGCAGGCCGCATTCATTTCCTCAGACTGAAGAACCATCAATGATCTTCACAGGTCATATGCCGATTACTTGGTTGCCCCCTCCTGAACATGATGGGATCTATGCACGATGGGTAACCGTGGCAAGCGCTTTAGAAATACATCCTAAAAGCCTCTTGAGACATCCCCGCTGCTATAATTAAAGAACTCAGCAAGACTACTGCTGACGACCACAGGACCTTTTACAACGCCCTCAATCGTTGCACCTACCTTTGGAAGCGGATCGAGACGGTCTGCAGCAGACTACTCGACTTCTGCGTCATATTTCTGCTGCTATCGGCTAAGAGCCTACCTGGAACGAGGTAGTTGATTTCGGGAGCATATAACCAGTCATTCAAATCCAACTATAAACAGAAGAAATGATACCTCGCTAGAAAATGCTACCCAACTTACATCGCATTATTTCCGAACACGCCAAGCCACCATGGTCCCACGATGCCAGGTCATATATCCACATCTTAATCAACCGTTCATCATGCCAAGCCCTCGCCTCGGACTCAGCACGGAAATGCCTCACGACTCAGTCGCCGAGACGATGGTCCGAAGACCCCTCTACTTCGAATCGCCGGCCATCATCTCCGACTTCGCTCAACAAGTTCCTCAAGCAGATCGACCGCCTCCTTGGGCCCGTCGTGCGCTTTGAAATCGTCACGTATCCTCTCCGCCGCCTTGCGATACTTTTCTTGGCCAATGATCTTGTCTATCGCGTCTCCAAGAGCCTGCTCGGACGGCGTATCCGTCCCCAAATCGATCCCGGCCCCGCTCCACGCCACCCGGGCACTAACGTCAGCCTTGTCCTCGGTCCGGCCGGCGCAGACTAACGGGACACCACAAGATAATGCCGCGAGGACGCCGTTGTACCCTGCGTTCGTGACCATTATCCCCACGTGCGGGAGGAGCTTCCCATGAGGCACAAAAGTCGCCACGCGCGCGTTGGAAGCGAGTTTCCCTGCGCCTACAAACTTGTCCGCGTCGGGCGTCGTCACGATCACCAGCAGGTCGGACCTGGCGCCGAGCGCCGAGATGGTGGGGTCGATGAGGTTGGCCGAGTTCGTCGCGTACGTGCCCTGCGTCACATGCACCACTTTATCGCGCGGGTGCGCCAACATCTCGTCCCACCAGCTAGGGAGGGGGCTCACGTCGTCGTCGTTGAAGAGCGGCAGGAGCGGCCCAATGAACCTGACGCCGGGATGCAGGTTCGCCCGCGGGAACTCGAACGAGGGCGTCGTCTGCATGATGTGCAGCGCGTCCGACCTCGTGCTGTCGTAGAACCCGGACGGCGGCAGCGGCGGCAACCCGAGCACCGCGCGGTGGTAGTTTAGGACGGACGTGAGTTTGGGGTACATGAGCCAGTTCGCCGCCGCGTGCACCGAGGCGTTGATTAACCGCCCAAAGATTGTCGACGGCGGCTGCCATCCTGTTCCCCAGGGCGGCACCTCCGGATCCAGGCTCACGAGGGGGTTTATCCCCAGCGTAGCGTACGGGACGCCTGTGAGATCGCGGAGGCAGTGCGCGCCGTAAGCGCAGAGGTCGACTAGGAGCACGTCGGCCGGGAATTCGTCGAGCACGGCGCGGTACGCGGCTACTTGGTCGGGGAGGCGGTCGAGGAAGAGCTTGCGGATGGTTGAGACTACGGCGCCTAGGCCTGAGGACCCTTCGTCTGGCGTGAGAGGCACGGTGTCGTGCGACGCCAGGGATGGCGGAGAGGGGAAGAATGTCGCGCCGGTTGGGCGGACGAGGTGAGCGTGGGATTCGGATGTTAGCCAGGCTACGCTGTGGCCGCGGCGGGTCAAGGCGAGCGCGATGGGTTGCATGGGGTTGATGTGCCCTGCGAACGGCATCGTCGCGATTAGGACTTTCATTTTGAGGTTCTTCTATGAGATTTGGTGATATTTCTATATTGGTGACGAGGCTTTAATGAAAGATGATTAGAATCGTGAGATTGGATGAGAGTTGCGGTTTCGCTATGCTATGCCATCACAACCGGGTTCACCGAACGGCGCGGATTCTACGGGTACCGTTGATTTCAGGGAGGTTTTAGACAAGGTTAAATTGCCGAGCAAACGACTCCCGGGGGAGTTTTAGTACTTGGTAGTTGGCAGAAAGTCTAAATCTCAATGAGCCGGGATGAGCGGTTTCTTGTTACACCTGGAGCTGATCCGAGCAGCCGGTATCACATAAGCTTCACCGAACCTTACCGTGGCCGCAGATGCTCACCGAATACGATGGCCACACCGAGGTGTGGACCCGGCTATCAATCCATTTGGGGCAGAATCTCCGTATATGGACGTGGCTGCCTGGTGACAGAGACTTTTTGATATGTGTCTATTTCAACTGCAATCGTCTTTGTAAGTTGTTTCTAGGATTCGAACGGAAACTGTGTCTTCTACTGCACAAGTCTCTGTAAAACGTTCCTGGAAAGTCACAGGCGACTGTGTCTATTCTGAGTACAAAAGTCTCCCGACGAAGTCTCTGTGAGAGGAAGTCGACTGCATCATTTGGTGAACAGGAAGAACTCAATAGACATCGCATTCAAGATGGACAAGAAGAACGGTTCGCAGCAACCCCAACCAAACAATACTGTCCAAAGGCATCCGAATCTCCGCAAGTTCAGCCCCCTACTTCTCGTCACCTTCATCGCCGCCGGCTTATTCCTCGTCTTTACCCCGACAACCACCAAATCCTTCTCCAAACCAGAGCCTCCCCCCTATATATGCCCAACTGAAATCGACGTTATATTCCCAGGCGGCTGGAATAGCCTCAAACCAGGGAAGTATCGCATGTCCGACATACACCTGTTACATGATGTTCTCGCTAGGTGCGACACCGTCAAGACAATCAAAATAAGAAATGACAATAGTGGATGCGAGTCTCCGACCAGATACAGCCTGCCATTCGACTTTCCCTCAGGAACACCCTATCCGTCTCAAATCAAAGAACTTGAACTCATGGCCTACAATTTCAATGAGAATGATTGGGAACGTGCAGAGAGCTACCGCCCGTCTCTTTTTGACTATCGAAATGTCCTTAGATGGTTTCAGTGGGGGGGTGGGAAAATTTGGTTGAAGGGGTTGCTGCTGCGGCAGAAGCATTTGACAAATCTGGATCTTTGGCTCAAGTCAATGGACTTTTCGCACATCGAAACGTTTTCTTACAGACCCACAGACGACTGGTACGTTCCAAACGCGACGCCTCTGACTTCGCATCTCCCCTCGCTCAAATCCTTCACGGCGTACGGGCCCTGGGCAAAGGACTTCATCCTCGCGCTTCCCCAGGACTCTCTCACGCACCTCGCGTGGATTCACAGCGGCCAGACCGGCACCTCTGCACTCCCAATCCTGCGACACCACGCAAAGTCGCTCATGAGTCTCAAATTTCACGAGCCCGAGAGCGTATATCGTGAGAGGAGGGTCATGACTGCCGACGAGATCGCGGCCCTAGGATCCACGTTGCCAAACTTGCGCTCAATCACGCTGGACATCAAGCAGAATGGCACCTGGGGGTGGGACCATCTCGAAGCGCTGGCCACGAACTTCCCCAACCTGGAGAACGCCACCATATTCTACGAGATGGCGAGCGATTGTCGCAGACAGCTTAATCCGTCGTTTGAAGTGGCCTATGTAAGGCAGGGCAGGAAGGAGAGGGAAATCGAACTGGGTTGCGAGGGGTCAAATGCGATGGCGCAGCCTTCACTGGGCGTTCACAACGCCCCCGTACCCTTTGAGTTCCTCGTCAAGAAAAACGTTGGAGGCAAGCTGAAGCAGGTGGTGTTTTATTCAGGCGGATGGGAGGATCGTGACGAAGGGGGCATGTTGTATTTCGACTGGGTACACCAACATCGAGCGTGGGCTGTTTGTCGGGTTATCCAAGATGAGAACAGCCTCGCGGCCGACATCTCCACCCCCGCAATCTTTGATGAAGGAGACAGGGTGATTGGGTGTCAGAATGCCAATAAGAGGAGGTTCAAGACCATATCTGACGTAAAGAGCCGGCGGACTGGGTTTGAAGTTACGAGCTTTGAAAAGCCAGATCAGGACCTGGCCAAACAAGTCTCGAGAATGGAACTGTGAAGTCTCTCTCACCAAGAGGCTGTCATCAATGAATATTCAACCCTTATTCGCGTCGTGCTCTTTTAAACTGTTGAGCCAGCTCCCGATGGCCACCGACACAAAGACGGAGCTCCACCTGGGGCCGTCGCCGAAGCAGATAAAGTTTTGCGCCGCCCAAGTGATCAGCGGCCTGAGAAGCTCGGCGTCCGCCTTCGCGCCTTTGCCCTCGATGACGGCCTGAAACCGCGCCTTCTGGTCGCTGTCCAACGGCTCCAGGGCCATGTCGGCGACTTCGTCGGGGCGCTTCCACCACCTGCTCGGCTGGCCCTGCTTCTCGTAGTCCTCCTTGACGCGTTCGTACAGGTCGTACATGGCGTTGCGCTCGAACTGCTGCGACAGCTTCTGGTACATGAAGCCTTTCCTCTTGTAATCGAGGCGGGCCTGTGCGAGGGAGATCAAGAACTGGCGGTCGGCGAGGTGCCGCGAGTGGCTGAACATGCGATCCAGGTGCTTCGTGGAGAGCGGGGCTTTGCGGGAGTTCCACAGGTCGATCGTGTACTCCATGGTGGACCAGAATATGCAGCCTGCAAGGGTGTTCATGCCGCTGCCGAGGTACGGGATGACGTCCACGGGCGGCTCGATGATGCGGATGAACCTTTCGGGGTCGAGCCAGAGGCCGTAGTCCAAACGCGGGCTGGCCCTGCCGCTGGATATGGGCGGGTTGAACAGGGGGTCGGTGCGGATGACTTCCTCGACCGCAGGGTCTGCATTCTCCATCTGCTTGTAGAGTTGCTTGAGAGATGAAATCTCCTGCGAGACAGGGGGGGTCTCATCCACTTCATCGCTAGTGTGGAAGCCCGCGAGCTCGCGAGCTTTGGCAAGAGTCGACTTTAGTTCATCTGATAGTGCACCCTGCTTCAAGAGTGCCTGATCAATGTCCCGGATGATTTCTTTTAGCTGTTTGTTCTCATCCTGTAGCTTCTGAACCTTGGACGCATGGCGTTTGCGGTACTCGCGCTGAGCAAGGACACCACGTTCGCGGCGAGACTACATTGGTGAATTAGTAATCCAGCCCAAAACAATGGGACTTCGTCTGAGCCCTTGGTTAAAGGGACTTGAACTCACCTTGGGTGCGACTTGACTCATCTTGTCCTTTCTGCTTGTTGGACTTCAAGTCACAGGGAGAAGATGGAGTTGGATTAAACCGTATAACGTTACCAGGACCCAAAGATATTTGATGGATCCGGATCCATCGTGGGTGATAACGTTATCGATTATTCAGCAAAGGAAACCACCATTTGCTGACACGCATGAACATTTTACTAGCACAATGCATCCACCCGACCCCCTCATGGTCGACACTAGACTTATGTGTATTAACTTATTTCATCTTTGTATTGTTTATTTCGATTTGTTTTGGCCATCTTTTAATCAACACATATAACATCTTCATGGCCACAAACAAGCCGCGTATTCCGGAGACGACCCCGGTTTCCCGTAAACTTGACTCAACTCATCGCTCAGCATCTGCGGCCCATCGAGGTATCCAGTCTCCTCCGAAAACATGTGTCTCTTGAGCGCCACATTCCACGCAAAGCTCGAGTGTCCCACTCCCCCAAACTGCGCCGCACCCATCATGACGAGGAAATCGATCATGGCCTGCTGATCCCACGCCAGCGCCTGCAGCTTCTTGCGGTCTTTGCCAACAAGCAGGCTCTGCTTCGTGATGATGCTCACACCGCGCCGTTCGGCGTCCTTTGCCAACATGGCCAACTGTGTCGCGTTCCCCGACGCCACGTACATGACGGACAACTCTGCCCTTCCCGCCTGATCCAAATACGCGTCTGTCTGCTTGGCGTATTCCGACCACTCCCACGTCAGGTCTGCGGAATCCCAGTTATCGAGCGCGTCCTTTTCCGTGCGGAGATGCGCGCCAAAGTAGTTTCCCTTGATGCCGAGAAACGTCGTTGTAGCCAACTGTCGTACGTCGGAGCGAAATTTAAGGATAGTGCCAAAGGTTGCGGCGAATTCCTCGCCATCGCTGTAAATCGGGTACGTCAGATACGACCTGCCCAGGTCGACGATCATGGGCCCTCCGATGCGTTGTCCCGTAGGTGCCACATCGTTGTTTTCGTCAATGTTCTCAAGCCACGTGTAGAGCAGCTTCTTCCATCTTTCAGGATGCTCGATACCGCTGCTCGAGATCCTGTCTTCCTCGACCAGGGATTCCGGGAACAGACCAAGGGACCAGGTTCGCGGGGCGCCCAGAGTCTCGTATGCGTCGTCCAAGGTGTCAAAAAGTCGTAGTTGGGGACAGGAAAGGTTGAGGGACTCGACAAAGTGGCGCCGATCAAACATGTAATCCATCTCTCTCCTCCTCCCCGTACGGATGACGGAGATGTCGGATTCGTTGCGCACAAAGATTTGGGGCATAACCAGCGAACCCCCCGCCAGCATCGCATACCGCACGCAGTTGAGGATCGAGTTCCGGACGTTGCCTATTCCTCCTACGTTGTTGTCGCAAGTGAAGACCACCTGCACATTCTTGACTGCATCCCATTCTGTGGCCTTGCAGACCGCCCTGATTGCGTCGGAGTCGACGGGCGGGAAGTCGAAGAGGTCTTGCGGCGGATGCCGAACCCACGGCACCAGGCTGCTGTCGAGGCCGACGCGGTCCAGTCGGAGCTGTTCGCGGAACGTCCAGAGCGTGAAGAAGGCGAGGGTGACTGCGGCGGGATTGATGTAGCGTGTCAGGCGCCGGGTTCGATATCGTGCCGGGAGGCCCATCTTAGCGATCACATATGAAGCGTCTCTCTCTCGATTTGACGACTACAGCGAACCAATTTGTCGTCGGAGTGTCAGGAGATTTGGACGTCGTCCGCCTTTTGAAAGGCCGCGGGGTCGAACCCCCCTTCTCCCTTTTGCGGCCAAGCTCTCATTCCAGAGTCCAAAACGGTGCCCCTATCATGAGTAGAGACGCGACAAGAAAAAAAAAAAGGACCGCGTTTTATTAAAAACGGCTAGTATGTCATTTCCACTTTGACGTATAGAGTCGGTTGACCAATAGCGCGGACTAACCTCTAGGCGGGCCGCTAAATAGTCTTACTTGTCCCATGCCCCTATTTCGCAGATGGTTTTGTACCTGGAGAGCTACGCCTAAGGTTAAGGTAATTACGACTGTGCAGGGAGGTGACATTTTTCTTTTAGCTTTGTTACATGTGAGACCCAGAGGTTTGTGCCATGCGAAAACTGAGAACCGCTAAACCTATTACTCCCTGGCGTTGTGAGGCTGTCGTGGAAGCAAGGGGTTTTTGCAATTACGATACGAGTTGGCGGCTGCTAACAGCGAAAGGAGACTATCTGTACGCAGAAACAGTCTTTTGCAGCATTCAACCTGTTCATAACTGACGGTGGGATTTGAGAGATATTTACTGGGTTCAGTTTGACGGAGAATGTTGTGATGCGTGGTTCACGCGTTAGTAGGAGGGACCAGATGAGACAACCGTTAGCATCCAGTGACAGTAAGACCTTCTAACACTTGAGCCATGGGAAAGTCAAATTCCTGGCATGAGAAAACACAGTGCCTTACGTAAAACGAATCACTTTGTGACGTAAGGAATTGATTTCAATATCTGCAGCCGTCTTTGAGCTGGCCAAGAATAGCCTATACCACAGGAACAACAACCTCAATCGCAGTCGTAGTGGAATTTAGTCGTAGATCTTCTTCGGCAGTTTTTTTCTCATTGACCGCAGGCGGCTAGTTGACACAAAAACGAGTTGGTAACGGAGTGGATATCTGGGGTCGAAGGCGTCCTATGTCAATGGATTGATCATCTTGTTCCTCTATTGGGAATGTTGGGATATCGGCTTTCAGACACCAACCTCTGCAAGCCAAACTCAACCTGGATCGGCCTTTTAATTGCTTGGAGACTGAAACGTAGAATCTTTACTCTCAGATCTCTAGCTGCACGTGATGTCGAGCATACACTTGTCCACCACGACATGAAGTCGTAGTCGCTTCACTGAAGCACGCACTATCGATGCTGAACATCCCGGGTGCTGAAATCTCACTTGATCAGTGAGATTTAAAGTCAAACCTCAAATCAGGTTCAATTTGTGCCTCTTGAATCCTCTCCACCCAGGAAGATTGTCCAGTAGCGGGAGTTTCTTGGCGCTAGTAATCCCGTGGAAGCCAGTTTGAGAACATCAAGAGGTGTTCTTGGTAAGGATATTTATCAAACTGGATGCTCATGAAACGCTGTTACAGACCGACAAACTTACTGCTTTGGGATATTTCGTTTGACCATTACCGATTGGTAATGCAAGCTTCGTAGTAGTAAGCATTGATTGGTGACTGGTGTGCATACAGAAGCTGAGGTAAGATGACCGGCCGGGTAATCCATCCGTCTCCCGCCCCATAACGTTATTGACAGGGTGAGCATAGGTAACGCCAATGAACAGCCTTGGCGCTGTCAAGGATTCGGACCAACATTGCTGTCTAACGTTGCCGGAGCATCCATTTCCCGCTCTTCATAATTCTGTCGATACAACCAAGACTTCGTCCGAGATTTGCTGACAGATCAGTTGTTCAGGACTGCACCTATTGCAACATAGGCACCAAAGAAACTCATGGCCGCGCTTTCAAGGCTGCCGTTTTTAAGAAAGCCTCAAAGGCCAACTTGAAACTTCTTGATGTAGCAACTCAACCAACTCATCGCTTAGAACTCTAAACTACAATATAAGATCGGCCAGCACCCCAGCAACAATGTCTTTCCCGTCCCCTACCAAGACCTACCATCAAAAGGCCTACGCCGCTATTGACCCTACTCGACCCGAGCTTTCCACAAAAGGGAAGCATGCATTCATCTCTGGCGGCGGTGCAGGTATCGGAGCCTCTATCGCCGTATCCCTGGCTAAGTCAGGCGTCTCGACCCTGGGCCTTCTAGGGCGGACGATAGCGTCTCTCGAATCAACCAAATCCGTTATCGAGGCCCTGGGCTCATCGACAGTAGTGCATCTCTACGTCGCCGATGTTACCGATGCAGAAGCCACAAGTTCCGCTCTGAACTCGTTCTCCCACTCCATCAACGGCAGGATCGACATACTGATTGCCAATGCCGGATACATGTCCGACCTCCGCACCATCACCGACTCTGATCCGGAAGACTGGTGGCGTGCCTTTGAAGTCACAGTTCGCGGCAACTTCAATCTTCTGCGCGCTTTTCAACCTCTTGCTGCATCTGACAGCAGCGTCATCCACATCTCGACCGCCGCGATTCATATTCCGTACATGTTTGGCTTCTCCGCTTACCGCGCGTCCAAGAGTGCGGCTACCAAGCTGTTTGAGTACTACCATCATGAGAACCCAGATGCCTTTGTGCTACAGGTGCATCCCGGGCTGATCGGTGGAACGGCCATGTCAGAAAAGTTTGCGGCAAGCGCGAAGGAATTGGGCTTGGTGTATGATGACATTGAGATGTCGGGTAACTTCACTGTTTGGGCTGTTAGTGACGAGGCCAAGTTCTTGAATGGGCGCTTCGTGCATGCAAACTGGGATGTCGAGGAACTGAAAGCCTTGAAGAAGGAGCTGGAAAATGATGAGAGTAGGTTCACTATCGGGCTCCAGGGCTGGTTTTAGATACTAAAAGGAGGTATTGGTGAGGAATGCGGCATCGAGAGATCTCAAGGATGTGTAGCAGCTTCCACAAAACATTCTCTTGCGATTCCTTTCAATGCCATAGAAAAGTGTTTCTGCGTTTGAATATTGGTTTTAAACAAATTAATAATAGTTTGTTGCTGTCAATCGGACTTCAGGTTGTGTCAAAGCACCCAAGCAGATGAGCATGAAGAAACACCCACAAAGTCATTAGTGGCTCATAGGATGCGCTTCAGCTTCCATGATATGTCTCTGGGGGGTAGGGGTTTCTTGTGAATGTACTGGAGGTAGGTTGAAATAATGGCAAAGATTCCATGTCTTCTTGTCTTCGATTTCTGTCGACGAAAAACGTGAAAGGCCTTTCATAGATACCATTACTGATACCTAGGCTTCTTTTAACTACAGTATGATGTCGAATACTTATGTTAATGCGAGAACAGAATTCGAAATCAGCAATTGTTGACTGATCTTGACTTCTTGCTTCAACAGACTTTGCGCAAGCCACGGCACTACGACCTGGAAACAGCTCGCAACTTCAAGCCCGAATATCAAGCTTGTCGTTTAGAAATTTATGATAAACATGTTCTAACGAAAAGGTTAGTGTGATAACAAGATATTTCTGCGCGCCATCGATGCCGGAAGGTCTCGATCTTTATATTACTTGACTTGCAAAATGCACGGACAATCCTTTTTTACCCCCTAAATGGGAAGTGTTGCGCTTTCATCGTTGAAAAATTAGATACGAGGCAGCGTATGATTGAATGGAGGTAGGGCCGAATCGCCAATTTCCGCCAGGATGGTTGAGGTCTTCTGCGTATGCCGTTCGGCCAGATAATTGTTTTTGTTCTCTTGGCAAGCCCTATGCGGCCTGTGCAAGGGGTTCTGTCCCCAATTTGAACTTCTTTTATCGGGCCTATCGTTGAAATGGTCAGCCACGGAAGAGTGTGAGCCACTGATTTTGGTGAATCACGGCCATTGTCAGTCAGCCTTCAACGTCTCGGCGCTTTCAACCGTGTGGCTGGCCTATTCTGGGGTCATCGCCACAGAACATTGCCACAACAAAAATACTAGGATAATGAAAAGAATACTGGAATTGTAATTTTTTTAAATTGTTACTCATGGAGTGCCAAATGTAGGCACCTATCCTTACCACGCGTCAAAAGGGAGTATATCAATATAGGTACGTACTGATTCGACTAACATATAAAATCCAGACTAGAAATGAAAGGGGACAAATCTGTCTCAAAAGCGACCTGTTGAGACGATTTGTCGGAATCTTAGACATAGCCGTTGACTTGGTCTCTCCAGAGCTTTGGGAGGGACCCGATAAGTGTCTTGCTGTAAAAGCAGTTGTGGCGGGAGGCTTTGGCGTTGGACATGATTGACGTCAGTAAATCAAAAGCTGTTCTCTCTGAACACTGACCTGTCTCGGGCTTTTTGCGATGGCGAAGAAATTGGTGCTTCACTACTGGATGACGCGTTCAGTTTGGGTTATGGTCTGCCATTATAAGTATGTCCTAGGATACCGCTTCCATGCTGACGACCACCATTTTCTTTCACTCATATAACTCCAAGCCAGGTTATATCGCCACACTACCGACCTCCTTCGTTCATTCTTTTGGTGATTAACTCTCAGTATCATTACAATGAGGCACTTTACCGTTCTCGTGGCCCTTTTTGCCGCTTTGTCGATTGCTGTCCCGACAGGCAACATGGTCGAGAGGCAAACCGAAGAAAGTGGCACCGAAGAAGACGTCTGCGTGGAAGATTCTGGAATCTCATTATGCACACTGGGAACCCCCCTTTGCTGCAGAGTTGACAGAGAGGGCCTTACAACTATGGATTGCATGCCTTGTAGGTTACTTGGCCAGTATTGATTGAAGCTCCTCTCTAACTGTCGCCTATAGCTACTGAAGACATTACCAAAGTCCCTTCCGCGTCTTCCATTACCAGTTTCCAAGCGGCTTGTCTGGCCCACGGCAATCGCCGCCCTAGATGCTGCACGCTCAATGTGGTATGTCCATGTGATGCCAATCTGACTTGACATTCAATTTGAACATAAAGTACTGACGAAAGGAAAAACAGGCAGGCGAGACCGCTTTTTGCCAGGGCCTTACTTCCCCTGTATAAACTTATGACTTCAAGATATCCCACTTAGGAGAGAAAGAACCCCGGTCGAATAACTCATGTATACTCATTGATCATTCGCGTTGCCTCGAAATGAAAGGCCTCTAAAGCAAATTTTCTATGTCCATTGAAAGAGATAGACTATTGCGCGAACCTTATAAAAGCGTAATAATCATAATGCCATATTCATCACTTCATAGATGCTTTGGACTACCACCAGTTATCCCTCAATGTGAGACGTATTTGAAAGAAATTATTCCTCGTAGAGCTGGCTAGGCCTGTACGACTTGCTTATGGGGTTCATCCCACAAGCTAGCAAGCAATCTCCGGTTACTGTGGGAGAATCAGTATATAGGTGCGAACAGTCGCCTTCACGTTATTGACTTACCCCGTCCATGGCTCTCGAGCATGCTGTACGGCGTGGTTCTAATGGGCATTAGTATTTCTCATGCTTGCTCATCAAATGAAATAGAAAGCTTCTTACGTCTAGTAGAAGCACATCTCCTTGCTTCCAGGACACCAAAGCTCTTGTTTCTCTTGTTGGCAAGTTAGTTTAAAACCTATTGTGCGTCCCTAGATGGTTACGTACTTGATTATCTGAACTGCCGAGTCAAGGTATTCTCGCGGTATTAAAGAGTCATCCCCATACTTTCGGAATCAGCCGCTATCCTGCTTGCAAGAGAGAAGATTATTAAACTTACAAAAGCGGGTGGCTGATATCTACCATCTTTGTTGGTATGTGGAGGTTGCAGCGTGTCCGCATCAATAGCGTTAAGAAACCGCGATACAATATTGTTGAAAAACGCGGTATCCCCTGTCTGCGGATGATCTCTCACAGCTTTGGTCATTAGCGTGATTAATTGTTTAATCATATGCGGGGACCCATCTGCTTACCCGGTAGATGTTGCCAGACCCTCAAATCTCCAAGTGGGTTGCTGTCTGACTGGTTCTCCCAGACCCATTTCGCGGTCGGCAACCTGCGAATTTCGTTTTCAATTTTCGTCCGTTTGGTCTCTGTGCTATCGTCGTCCAAAACCGTACGTCCATAAGCCTGTAGAACAGAGGTTCCAGCAGATGAGGTTTGATCTCGAGCAGCATTTGGATAAAACAGTTGATATTTAACGCCCTTGGAACCTAGTCAGTTTACGTATTGAAACAAGTTTTAACCCCAAAGTCAGCGTCGAACCTTCTGTTGGATTTCATCAATAAATTCAGGATGTTTCTCTTTCAGCTTGCGGTAGAGAATGACAGAGTTGTTTATGGGAGTTTCACCGCCTAGGACACATTGAGCCTGCAGTTCCTATATGGAATATTTTTACGGGTGTTTCTTTATTTCTCAACATACCAGTTTCTGGCGCAGACGCGCAATAGAAAAAGACGTATGCGGGATAATGAGGACTTAGTCCAAACTCGTTATGTGGATACACTGGCTGTGTGTTTGGACCCTCGTTGGCAGTAGCCACATTTTTGGCGTGGATGGTCCGTCTTACAGGGTTTCCGATATCTTCGTGTGCTGTCCACCCAAAAGCGTGAGCAAATAGGGAAAACTCATCCGCATTCTTTAGCCCCAGATCTTGAAAGTAGACGGCGCCATGAGTGTTCAGTAAGCTACGCAGCTTGCCGCTAGTAGAAAGCCTCTCAACACCGGCAACAAGATCCGCTATGTGGGTATTCGGGCCTGTGGGGGCTAATGAGATTGGGAACTCCGTATTCTCCGGGTACGGCTCCGAGAGTTTGACTGCGGGGCCGTACGGAGCCTGTCTCAGGGTCTCTGTAATGGATCCCATGCTGTAGATATATCTGCCTCTTACTGATATATGCCTTCAAAGTGAAAGGACGTCGAAATAGGCTCAAGCAGGGCCTTCTCATTCACTGCAGTTATCATCATAGGCCTATCCGGCACTTTTATGTTAAGCGTTGATATTTGCGTATTAATCCCGGCAAATGGCGAACTGTGGGGGTCACTATAATCGTCTTGATGTCGCAATAGCACCCTTGCAAGCACGTCGCGATGTCGGACCCAAGCCGACCCCATCTAGTCCACGTTTTTTAGAGGCTTTCCGCAGCTGGCCCTGCGGGAGACCACGCCGCCGGCGCAACACCGCGGTCTACATCAGGGATAGGATGAGCAGTTGAGGCGCACCGGCCAGGATTGTCTCATATCGATTTTCAATGACGCCACACATACCAAACCATTCAAAGTTATCCGAAGCCCTCGCAGCCAATCCTACTGCGAGTTGATATCTGACGGGCAGCGGAGTCAATGCGGAGTAAAAGTTTTGCCAGAATGCAACACCACGGAGGTTGGCCGTTCAATCAGACACTTGCTAGCAGGCTGACTGTATGACAGCTACCGCGTAACGGAGCCTTTTTTTAATTGCCGTAGGATTTGATAAATAAGAAATGATGCCGGCCTCTTGGGTTCTTGAGTGTTTCTGTTTCCACACTTGCATGAATCCATCCGCTCCTTCGGGATAGTGAAACTGAATCGCCATGTCGACAGACCATGGGAAGCAACCTGAGGAGGGGGAGCATGAAGCTCAGGATGTCCAATCTCACAAGCCTGTGTCGCGGTTCACGCGCTGGTACCGAAGCCCACTTTTCAACGTCATCGTCGTCGGCTTGATCTCTTTCACTCAACCTGGCATTTGGAATGCACTCAACAGTATGCGCTATAATGATCAATCATCTTCGAGCGAAAACTAATACGGGTTATTAGGTACTGGTGCAGGAGGCCAACAAGAGCCATACCTGGTTAATGGTTCTAACGCACTTACCTTTGGTATCATGGTGTTTGGCTGTTCTATATTCGCCATCCTTGCCAACAAAATCGGCCTCAAGAATGTACTGATTATTGGTACATTGGGTTATGCGCCTTACTCGGCATCAATGTATGTCAACAACCGGTACGGCGTCGAATGGTTTGTTTTGTTCGGAGGTGCAACCTGTGGCATCGCCGCCTCCGCATTATGGGCTGCTGAGGGTGCCATTGCCCTCGGATATGCTGATATTAAAGATCGAGGAAAATTCAGTACGTTTGCTCTCCATCATTTTAAAGCGTTCGACTAATTATTTTCCAGCCGGTATTTGGCTCGGTCTTCGTGAGCTCGGTCAGCTAATCGGCGCCTCAATTCAACTGTCGCTAAACTCCAACAACGGCCAGCGTGGAAAGGTCGGATACTCTACCTATCTGGTCTTGATCGCCCTTCAGTGTCTCGGCCTCCCTCTCGCCCTACTTGTTTCGCCTCCTGAAAAGGTCATCCATCGTGACGGCCGAAGGGTTGCCGATCCTACGAAGAACAAAGCCGTAATGGGAGAGTTCCGCAAGTGGTGGGGACTGCTGAAGAGGAAGCAATTCTTCCTCCTGATTCCCATCCTCATTGGTTTCAACTGGAACAGCACTTACCAGGGAATTTACCTTACCAAATACTTCTCTGTCCGAGCGAGAACCCTCGGCGCCTTGACATCTGGCATCGCTGCCTCAGCTGCAAACATGTTCTGGGGCTGGTTCTACGATTTAAAGTGCTTCAGCCGCCCGCAGCTTGCCAAGATTACCTGGGCCACCTTCTCCGTCATCATGCTGGGTCTCTTCGCTTGGCAGACGGCTAATGAGAAGTTGTATGAGGACACTGTCCCAAAGATCACACTTGACTGGACATCCCCTGGCTTTGGACGTGGTTTTGCTGTTAATGTTTTGTTCCGGTAAGTTATTCGCTATTTGCCCGTCAAACACTCACGTGTGCGAAAGATCATCTGACTAACATTTCTCTAGCTTCATGAACGAGTCGCATTATATGTTTGTCTACTGGATCATGGGAACCTTCTTCGACGATATCGAGACATTGACCTTGGGTGTCGGTCTCGTCCGGTCCTTTGAGTCCATCGGCTCCTGTTTAGCGTTCGGCATTGGCGCTATCAAGGTATCTCCCATGGTGAACCTTGTTGTTGCCTTTGTCATGTTTGCGATCTGCATTCCCGCAACCTCCTGGGCAGTTTTGTTGGTCCCCGAGCGGCCAGTTGATAACAGAAAGCTGGACTCTGACAATTCATCCGTCGACGACTCCAGTAAAGTGGTTGACCCTGTTATAGTGTCAACAGCTGCCTCGGCGGCAGACGGGCCTCGAAATGCCTAAGGTCGTAGAACTACATCAAATCATCTTCACTTATAAATTACTTAATGCTAAATACCAAATCCATTGCACTCATGCCGATTGTGTTTTGAACTGTGCGACGTTCCTATCGAACTGACATCTGCCCATTTGGCTCTACAACCTATTTATGCTTTTCAAGGTATTACTCTAATCACATCCGCATGTCTCAAGCACTATTGAAAGTATTTGAAAATCAAGTGTTTAAGTATATGTATGTATATATGATGGTTAAAAGAGGCCGAACTGTGACCATCAATATCAACAGAGAATGAAATTAGTGTACCTCACACTCCAACCCCAACCCCAACAGGTATAGATCAACTATACCTCAAATAGAAGCCTTATCCAGATTCCTCGTAAAGTTCTCATCCTTGAATGGGACGTTCGCTGAGCCGAAATCAGTGTTGTTGAGTGCATCTTGCATAGGCTTTGGCATGGCGTCCCAGTCAACGACGGGGTACACTCGGCCGGTCAACTGGGAGAACTGCAGTTCATGGTTCAAGAAGCCCTGGTTGAAGTATTCGACCTTGACTCTGGAGCCTTCTTTCGGGACATTCTCGACCTTTTTGAACTCTCCATGGCCTGATGCAGCGCCTCCCAAGATTGTGGGCTCAGCAACTTCAGGATCGTTGATCCAGACGACAATGCTCTCCCAATCATGCCTATGCGATCCCACAGGGACTCCATCGGTAGGCTGATCCTTGGGGAAATACCAGGCGTACATGATGGCGAACTTGTCGCCATGCTTGGCTCCTCTGGCATAGGTCTGGCCCTTGCTGTTATCTTTGCAGCCTCCAGTTGAACTGCCGGTTGGCTTTAAGCCTCCGCTGTGGTTCTAATTAGATCTCGAGTCTGTTGTGATGGATAGCCATAGTGACGAACCTTGTATCACCGGCATCATTGGCTGCGGTGTACGGCTGGCAACCGGAGACAATTTGAAGCAAAGGGTTAAATCTGTCGATTGCCTTGCCGACAGCATTATCCTGGACAGTCTGTGCTAGAGGAGTGAGAGAGTCGTGGCTGACCTCCTTGCGCCGACTAAGAACCCCATCCAATGGCGCACCGAGGGCGCTGTTGGCAAAAAGGAGAGAAGAGAAAAGGACGGAGGAACGCATGGCTCAAAGCAAACGATCAATCTTCAAAAACATTATGTTAACAAATTGTAAAGAGGATCTCGCCCAGTTTCTATCGTGGTTCATGTCTTATCCAGAAGGCGGACGGGCGACAATATATGCCGGCGGCGTATACTGTGTTGAAACCAGTAACGTCCCAGAACACAACTCCAGCATTGGTCGGATAGACGCATGACATAATGCACAGCAATTCCAAGCAGGGATACACTTACTGAAGATGAATGAATGATGAAATTTCAATTGCGGCCAGTCGGAAAGTCCTGCTTCCGGTGACTCGATTCTGTCACAATCGCACCTTGAATGGAAAATTTTGAGGGAAAATGAAGGGCACCTGCACCATGAACAAGAGGGAAAGCTGACTCTTTTTTAGAATGGAGGTTTGATCTTCGGCAACATTGCCATTTCGTCATTTCATGGTTCGCTGCACATGGGACGAATGTCATCTGATCAGATGAGCGCAACCCAGGGAAGAAGATAGCGGATATCGGAGAACTATCCGGGGCCGAACTCTTTGGACAAAACACGGAGTTCTACGTGCATTTCGGGCCAAGATGCCTGAAATGGGCTCTAAATCCGGTGTTCGTTCTGCAGGGGAACCATTTACTTCGTGGATGGTCCTCTCAAGTCATGGAAAGCTCCTGAGGCTGATTTTGGCTATGCCTCGCAGGGCTGGTCCGGGTCCACTGCTACCATGACATTTCCATCTCAATATGGCAACTTTGACTCGTCTTTGCGATTTGCCTATAGATATACTTGGAATTCCTGCAGCCGATCCAACAAAGTTCATTTAACTGAGGATTCTATTGTGGGCCTCTCCGGTTGACTGACTCGGTCCAGGTTTCAACGAGTTCGCTTCCATATCTGATAGGAGCCGAGTTGAAGAATGATTTATCCGTAGTTCACCCATGCACACTTCTTGGCCCACATCTATCAATCTGGAACTCGTGACTTTTTGAGGATGCGCTCATGGACAACCGAGTTGTCCGTGCCAAGTAAGGGCAGCCCACTAAATAACCATATTTTGTCTGATTATTGCGCTAAGGATATCTCTTTTCTATATCTATTGTCAGGTATCGCCCATCTCATTACTATTAATATAAGTGTTCGCCATCCCCAAATAGCAAACTAGTATGAAAAGCCCATCATATCCTCCAGGGCCCAGTAAGCGGCGCAAGGATAATCAGCCAAAGCCGGCAAGATCTTCGATACACCAGCAGTTGAAGCAGCGCTGCCTAGCACACCAAGCTCGAGTCCTATTCCAAGAACGCTGACCTTTGGCCATGCCATACCGTCGCTCGGCTTCTTCGCAAAACCCGACCAAAGCTTCTGCATATAGGAGCTGAGCTTGATCTGCTGATCGGTCACGGACCCAAACTTGCTGTAAAGCGGATAGGTGCCAAAGACCGAGGGAATTTCGCTTGTATGGTATGCCCCAGCATTCTTGAAGATATCGGTTGAGGCGAATGAGGCATCATAACGATAACGGTAGGCAGTGTAGCCATATCTAGCAAGGTAGTTGGACAACGTGGAGGTTGTACAAGTAAAGATGGCATCGGTAATAATCCTGTGGCGTGGTTAGCTCGTTGTTAACAAGAGCATCATAATGACTATTACCTGTCGGATATCACGTTGGGGTCGGTGAATGCAGTATACTTGTCAAGAACTGACTTCTTTGTCGTACTTGAGTTAATCCCAACAAGACTCATCGCCGAGGCCATAGGGTCTTTTACGCCTTCCACGGCGAGAAAGACGCGGCCTTCATTGAGATTCGTGCCCAATAAGACGGGAATGTTGGGCCACTTCTTAGAGGAGATGCTGCTGCGAACATCGCTGACTGAAGTGCCGTCACCGTTCACTGGAGGGAAGACGAGTGCCTCCGACTCGATATAAGCTTTGAGGTCCGTTGCAGAAATTTCTCGAAGGCACGCAATGGGCGACGAGGCGGTATCGCATTTGAAATTCTTCAGTACCTTTTGGTAGCTTTCCGATCCCGAACCGATGAGCATGGACTGTTGCGACTGCATGATGGCGGCTGAGAACGGCAGTGGACTCGGCGGGTTTGCAAGCAGCTGCTTCACCGATTCACCACCGGCAGATTCGCCAAAGATGGTCACACGCGAAGGGTCACCACCGAATTTCGCAATGTTATCCTGTACCCACTTGAGGGCGAAACGTTGGTCCAAATAACCAGAGTTCTGGGAGCCGGTTGGGATCTCGGGAGAGTTGGAGAATCCGAAAACTGCCATGGTTGGTTAATAAGCTCGTGAGCAAGTGTGGGACGGGAGACTCTTACTGTTTGTGCGGTAGTTAATCGTCACCACAACAACATCTTGAGAAACAGCGAGGGAACTTCCATCGTAGATAGGCAGGCTAGCTGTTCCGAATTGAAGGTTACCCTATCGACGTCAGCGGTGTTTGGCACTAACTATCTACTTGGTTCACTCACAGGGAATATCCAAAACATCACAGCTTTGGTGTTTGTGGATGAGGCGCTGGGAGGACTGAAGACGTTGAGATACAAGCAGTCTTCGCTCTCTTCCGTGAGAGCTCCTGTGGGGTTGCCAAAGTACTGCTTTTGCCTTACTTGGGCATCTCCACGGTTTGTGAATTGCTGAATGCAGGCAGGCTTAAAAGCCTGAGCGGTCAATGGTAACGACCATGCTGGCGCCGCCTGAGGCGGGGAGAACCGCTCTGGTGGTGACTTGGCAAACGGTACTCCGAGATACGCATTGGCATAGCCTGTTGGCCCAGCTTGGTTCACTGGTTGAGCTGTTGTGCCCACGATGACACCGGAGTCAATGGTTACAGTAGGGACAGCATTAGCTGCGGGCAAGGCCGAAGCTTGAAGAAAGAGGGTAGCTGAAAGAAGAAGCTGAACGACCGACGAATAGCGAGTGGTGCTCATGATTGGTACTAACGTCTAGAAGACGTTGTATCGCAATTTAGAATGTGAAGCGTCAGTGCTCTGAGTGATGATGGTGCTTGAGAAGGCCGCCCAAGCTCACTTTATGTTTGTTCAATGTCCTTAGCCCATCATCATTGTAACCATGGCCGACGGTATAGTCTTGCCTAATACGGACAGATTTACCATGAACAAAAAGTGAAAGAAAATGGCCCTTCTGGATCTGCATTTCGTCGAAACCCGTTACGGCCCGAGGCAAGTTTGGTTGCTCGCACTGAAAACGGTATAGGTCATCCGGAAACGTACGAGCACAGGGTGTCCATCCCTTTGCCACATTTCTGTGGCGTAAATTGCGATGTTAGTTCCATGGACAATGTGGGATCTCCCAATTGCCGTCTCTCTGTCCACAAAGACAGAGAGTCGATAATCTCTCAGTGGCGTCTTAGATACTAACTATCGGTAGCCCCGCATGCCCCGGTGGTGAATAATGAACTGAGAATTGTAGTTAGGCTTGGCTAGCGCCTAAAAAGCATCAAAATCAACAACAGCTAGGTCAGATCCGAGAGTAATGGGCAGATGATGTAGTTTCTAGAACTGGAGAATGTCTCACTGGCCGTCGTCACCGAGCCTGGACAAGACATTTCAGCGGCTAGTAAGTGTAGTGATCTCCAAAATGCTAGTACGAAATTTGACCGAGGAGACAAGATACAAAAATTGAGTCGTGCTATGAATACCACCCCACGCCATTAAAACTAAAGATGATCATCATTGGCTTCAGGATCTTCTCGGATCAACAGGTATCTTTAAGTCTTTTCAAAGTTCTGCATCTTATAAGTCTCATTGAACAAATAACATTCAATGGGGGAAAAACGATAGAGTCTGACGCAAACTTCACACATAGCGGAGCCTTCTGAACAACGTTTCACTGATATGAAGGGATATTTCTCACTAAACCTAAGATTCATTGATTATTTTGAGCTTGCACAGGCAAGCGAATAATCTAGTTAGGAAGCCCTTGTGCCATAAATTGGTTTACTATATGGGCAGAAAGAATGCGCAACGTCACAAATCCTACAATCAAAACCCTAGCTCTTTTTCATATGCTGCCGCTCCCTTTCCGATAGGCTGAATCAGCGTGTAGCTGCCAGACTTATTGAACTCTTGTACTCCATTAAGCAAATAGAGAGGCGTCATGTTTCCGTCCTCGCTGAAATACAACTTTGGCCTCTCCCGACGATAATAGTCCAGTTTCACACCATCTGTGAACTCTACCGTTGTGTTGTAGGCGAGCGTGTTATTGTTGTACGTCCAAGGTCCCTTCCAATCGCGAGCAAAAGCGTGCGCTCCTACACGAGGACCCTTTCTCCCTTCGGCAATATCAATCATGTGATGAACGAGAAAATGCCAATGGCCACGCTTGTCTCTCCACAGGAAGGGATCTTCACTTCGTTCGGTGTTGCGAGGTTCCACAACCAGTTCGTGTGGGGCCGAGAAGTTGTCGGCGTGGTAAATGTTGTTCTTCTCAACGCCCAGCAAGATTTCGCTTGTAGGGTTCTCTGGAGTCCATAGCGGCCACGGCGCGGGGTTGGTAACGTTTATGACATGCGGTATGGGTGTCGTCCAATCCTTCAGATCAGGCGAGCTTGAAACAGAAATCGTGTTGTTCCATTTCTGAGAACGACAGACGTTGCCAACCTCGACGTCTTTTCCGATGAAGTAGATGAGATACTTTTCATCTGCAGGACTCCATATCGTCGTTGGGTTATGATGAAAAGTGCTAAATAGCGTTTGTGCATACTGGTAGGGGCCTCTCGGGCCAACGCGAGACTCGGCCCTGATGACGGTACTGAATGGTCTCCAACCTGCAAGTCCACAACCGTGAGACATTTGGGATATGACCAGATGGAAAAGACCATTGTCCGTGCGATCATGTATTATATGTCCACCCCAAGACGAGTTGCCGGCACCTTCCTTGTAAAAGTCTGCACCGGTCGCATTGGTGTGATTGTATCCTGTCCACCTTTCCACGGGTTGTAGGTCCAATTCGCTGCAGTCGGCCGACCGCCATCCTGGATCACAAGCGCAAGAACCACATGATGAACAAATACCATTCAAGCTGCAGTCATCATCGGTTTCGCACCCCTGAACCCCCAAAAGCAGGGTGAGCAGGGATACGGCGAGAGCACCCACTCGCATGATTTGCATAGCTAAGTGTGAAAATATGAGAGCCGCCTGATCCAAGATCAATGTTAGTTGATGGAGACAGAAATTGGACACAGGATAGATATAGTTACATCTACTTAAGTAAGATTCGCTCTGAGATTGCCCGAGAAAACCTCCCTTCTTGTAGTCATCTCCATCGGAAGAATTGGAGTCCTCGAATCTTAATTCATTTACTCCGCACCCCTCTGTAAAACAGGCCCAGAAAGGCAGATCTATATAAATTTGGTTTACCCCGCATATAATGCCAAGCAAACATGGTCTGTTCCAACTCCTTCTCTCAGAGTAAGGAAGAGAGCATAAGTTTCTAGGATTGCTGAAGCCGTCTACACCCGCTGGCAGCCTATGGCTAGTAGAGTTGCTAAGGAGAGACATGGGTATTTAGCATCAACAAATCGCGCCCCAGAGGTTCTGTCACACTGCCTCCGTGTTATGAGCAAAGCAAGCATAGTCCAAGCTGAAAATATTCCAGAAGTGTGTACACAGCAAGTCAATCGAAAGTGTAATAAGTCAAAAAATTCTGTCAATTTGTCGATAATCCACCAACACGAAAATACTTGATTGACCCTTCCTGATACATGCCATTGGCTTTATCCAATGTACTTCTTCCCCATCAACCAGTCGTTCTTGTTGTAAGAGCTCGGCCATACACCACCTCTTCCAGGAGCAAGAATGCCGTTAGGGTCGAGCGTATCGTGGATTTGCTCATGCATTTTCCAGAGGGCACCCTTATTGAAGTCATAAGCGTCGGCGACCTGGTCCATGAGGCCTACGTGAGTTCGGAAGACGCTCCAACCACGGTCCTTCCACTCTTTTAAGAGAGTACGGGCCAGCCACTGTGCACGACCGCGCATGTCCTTATCCTTGCGATCATAGGGAATGATACACACATTGTCTTGCAATCAACACGTTAGCCAGATTATCATAGGTGCAATGGGTAAATATGCTTACGCATAGTGCGGAAATATGCGACGTAATGACTGATATAGTCAATGCCAGCCTCGGCAAATAACTCTTTCGCCAGCGAGTATTGCTCCCACACAGCTGCCCCCTCGAGTCTGGAGATTGCAGCGACCATAATAACAGAGCAATTTGGCAGCCATTGCTTCATCCATGCGAACTCTCCCATGGATGAGATTCCCTGAAGGTATGTGGCACGAACACGAACCAGATTCTGCTCGTCCGGGTCATCGTCGAGTGTAGCCCACTTACTGCCGGGGACTTTCGTCATTTCCGTTTTGATATCGTCAATGAGAGCCTCACGAACCTTGTCGGAGCCAAAAACAGCCCCAATGTACCGCCAGCGGCCAGTGTTTAGCTTCTTGGCCATCTTCTCGAAATCCTCCTCTGGAATCAACTCTTTGTGGGAAGCTTTGGTATAGCTGGAACGAGGGCCGTAGTGAGCAGCCTCGAGCGTTAGGTTGCGCAAGCTGACAGAGCTTTGCAAGGTACCATTCTTTGCAATGTACTTAGTTTGAGGATAAAAAAATGACTCAACAGTCTTACCAAATCAAGAGGCTGGATGGCATCAATGAGTGCTTTTAGATCAGATTCTTTTTCAAAGGTAACGGAGAAAGGCGTCATTCCCTGGGGGGCAGGCATCAACTGCAACCAACCAAAGAGTTAACAATGTTCAGACATGACTTTCAAATTCAAGGGATCACATACCCAGAAGCCCATCTTCGTGACAATCCCGCTGTTTCCCTGCGAGAAAATACCATCGTTCATTGGACCCCAGCCATATGGGAATAGGGCAAAGCACTCGTTCAACTTTTGGTCAGCAGGGTGTACATCCTTCGCCGCCTCTTTTCGTCCTTGAGGATCCTGGATCGCACCCATGCCCATCCTGACCACCTCACCGTTCGGCAAGACCACCTCCATACCGCTATGTTTTCCCCATCGATCACCGTATAATGAGGCACCTCCTCCACGGTCCAAAGCGTTGCCGATCATAGAGCCCCAGCCGAGTCCAGAGGAGTCCACACGAATCTTGTCCAGCAAGCCATGATCGCGCAGATATTCACTCATTTGCATAAATGTAACTCCAGGTTCAACGATACACACACACGCGGTTGTGTCGAGGTGTATGATGCGATTCATATGCGTGCTCAGAACCATAACCAATGACCCAGGTACCTGTCGATTTCATGTATTAGCTATCTGGCTATAGTTAAATCGTTATGAACCTGGATGGAGATGGAGAATTTCTGCTGTGGACTGAAGAGAACAACAGACACATAACGTACCCTTGGAGCCGAACCGCCATAAGCGAGGTTTCTACCCGTACTTATCGGCCACACAGGCATCTTGTAGTCATTGCATGCGGCTAAGATTGCTTGGATATCCTGTACATTTCTCGGGTGACATATAGCAGAACCGACCAGTTCTGTCTCGTCATCGAACGAACGGTAATAATCATGTGTGCGGCAGTTGCGGCCGAAATCATCATCCTCATAACCTTGTAAGTCCATTGAAGAGGTTATAATCTGGAAATTTTCATTTCCAACTACAGACGTGATTTGTTTCGAGAAGCCGGCGAATGAGCCGTACGTCATGTTTGGGGGCAAAAACCTAGGTTTATCCGCTGCTGGGCTGGTGCTGCCATTGGCGACACTATCGAGAGTGTCATTGTTGGTACCGAACCAGAAATGGCCATTGAAATGACTGGGATGAATTTGAGGAGTAGTCATGATTGTAATCATAAATATGATTAAGAGGTCAGATACGAGTTTGATTTAACACAGCTTTTGTGATGACGGAGTAAGACACTTCCATCAAGAGCGTTCGTAACTAACCGGTTTATAAATACTCAATGATCAACCATGGTATCTCAGATATTCATATTGGACTCGATGATTACCTAGCTAGGAGTTTCTTGCTTTGGCAGGTCTCCTCACGGAGGTGGTAACCAGTTTCACCTCTCCTGCCAATCAAAGCGTTAGGGATCGTTTATCTCAGGGGAAGCCTTGAGGCATCGGCGCTACTTTTCCTTGTTGCCATATCGCTTTAAATGCCTACCGTCATACCACGTTCAAGTCTGTTTTGTTACAAAGTGCGAGAGTTTAAGTTGGGGGTGTGTTACTCTCATCTTGTAACGGAGTTCCCCGAATTCCCAACCAAATATCACTTACACCTGCTTCTTAGTGTACTCCTGGAATACTTAATAAAAGTATTGATCCATTTGTAATATTTTCCAACCTTCCATTTCCGTGCACATCTTGCGTGTTCCACCAGAGGATACGAAAAATGGCGCAAATATATACCTAGTTAAGTAAGTGCCTCTTGTGACCACAAAACCACTTCCCTTGGCTATCACTCAAACGAACAACAATGGGAAACTTTACTTGGATGGGTGTATTGGATTTAACGTTACAGATCGTGAATCGAAGGTGGTTTGATCAGAGAAACATATCATATACGCATTTTCTGATGAATTCTTAACGACATTGCCATCAAGTTCGGCAATATGTTTCGAATTAAACAAGTTCCAAAACACAGAGTTTCCATTTGTTCGTCATCATAATGATGTGTACACGCATGTGTGCCACCTTCAATTTTGATACCATTGAATGTAAGAGACTTCATTCGCATGTCTTTCAACGTTTGTACGTTATGCGCGTTTTGAAGCGCTTGATTAGATGCAAAAGTCCCGTCGTTTGGACTCCGATGCGATACAGCATCTACAATCTCTTTACTTCAGCTCATAGGTTTTCAGTTTTCCTCACATTTCATGACGAGGCCTAAGGCAAACCACCCAGTTTCGGGTCAGGAAATACATCGCGAGGTCACATAGTTCAGACTCAATTCTCAGCAAGTGAACGGCGATCTGCATAATGCAAAACTAGGTCCTAAAGAGGAAGTCACAGAGTCTTCCTTGCTTGTTGGTGTGAACGGGGTCGGGTTTTGCAGAAGACGTTTCCAGATAGGGAATAGTGAGAGACGAAAAGTGATATTCCAGATCTGTCAGCTTCATTGAAAGCGAGAGGCACTACGCAACCAACCTCCTCAGCCATACCCCGCCAACTGCCATATTATAAAAACGTGCTTGCTATCCACCGCTACAGGTTGGCAGGTAGCGAAAACTGGTTCTCCCAAAGCTGAATTACAACACCGTACATAATTACCATCGATCGATATCAACATGTCATCTTCAATTACATCAGGACTTATCTCGCTCCACCCCGCTCTATCTCAGTTCTCCGAAAGTGATGACTCACAAGCCCAGAAAATCCAGTCAAATGTACGCGAGAAAATTCTCTGGGGGCTGCATGGCCAGAATGTGCGCATTCCCGACCTAGGAAAGATGATGACAGGTTGGCCGAAAGATCAGAGCTTGCATTTGGAGGCGGTAAACTCCAAAATCCTTCGGATTATTGAAACGTAAGCACAAATTAGCCCTAGGTTATGCGTGGATAACAGAGTGTAGTTAACTAAAGTTATCAGTCACGCCGTCAACGACACCGTCCGTATGCGTCTTACCAAAGCAATGTTATCGAAGCAACTTACGGGCTGGTACCCGTATGCCTCCTGCGACAGGATCGAAGCCCTAACTTCCTTTCAAGCCTGGATGTTCATCATAGACGACATGCTCGACCAATATTCTCTTGTGCATAAGTTTGACTTTTCGGCATTGCATGTCATGTTGGCGTACTGCCGGGACTTCGTTGAGCGCAGTCTCGGTGTTCTCACGACTGCGGAGACCTCATCTATACAATACCGTGATCACGACGCGGTAGTATCTTTCGAGGAGTATGCTCAAGCTGTTTGTCGGTGCTATGGTGATAACTACAGTTACCGGAAGCGTATTGCCAGAGAAGCCACAGCCACTCTCGACGGTTATCGTCAAGAGGCCCTGAACCGCTATGCAGGCCGGATCCCTACCTTAGATGAGTATCTTGGGTACCGAGAGGCGTCTTCTTGCAAGTGGCAGTGAACCTCGAGTTTGCCAATGGCATTAGTCTGCCTGAAGAGGTGATGGCATCCGACGAAATGCGGGAGCTTTACCGTGCTGCTGTCGCCGTCGTCTGGATTGTCAACGACATTGTGAGCTTGCGGAAGGAGATCAAGGAGGCTTTTCTCGAGAACCTTGTTGTCTTACTTTCTGATGGTAACGCTCAAAATGGGCTAAATAGGGCGGTGATCCGACTAGAACGCGAGGTCGCCTCTGTGAATGAGGCATCCGCAGCTGCTGTCCATCGATTTTCGGACACCCCACACAAACATCATGTTTCTCTGTTGGCTAGAAACTGCAAGAACATGTGTATGGCCAACTGGCTCTGGAGGTCCGTCTAATAAATCGTTTTATGAAACATACTCTATACTGATTACTATCCTTACAGTAACGTCCCACACCCACTTCTGGGCACCCCCCACATTTGGGCACCCCATTTACACCAAAAACGCCGTTTTTCGAAATTCTATATTAAACTAAATACTTTACTTATTAAAGAGAATAAATATATGTTAAATAGATTAAGACTTAATTATAATACTTAAGTAGCTATATACTAGTATTATTAATAATAAGTATTATAAATTCAAGGTTTAACATTTATAATACTAATTTACCTAGCCTATATCTTAATATATAAAATAGGTAGAGATATTTAACTAATATGATTAGAATTTTTAAGTAAGATATAGTAGATTTATATATTCTTATACTTAGTAAAAAATTCTTTAAGCTTAGAATAATATTTTAAAATTTCCCTTAAGAAAAGTTTCTATTATAGAATTTTAACCCTTAATTATACTATATTTACTAAAGTAATACTTTTAAATCTCTTTTAGATATAATTATATACTTTTAATAAGTATAAATATTAATTTCCTAGATTTTTTAAATAAGTATATATGAGCGAAAATATATTTTTCTAATGTTAAGGAATACTAGTAAGTTACTAGTATCTACTAACATTTTAAAGCTTTTAGTTTTAAACTTCTATATTATAACTATTATTATATTTAAATCTTTATAAAAAATTAGATGGCTATAATTATACTTAACATAGTTTATATATATTTTCTTTTCTTAGTAAGTATAGTAGTTAGTTTAATATAGAATTTCGAAAAACGGCGTTTTTGGTGTAAATGGGGTGCCCAAATGTGGGGGGTGCCCAGAAGTGGGTGTGGGACGTTATGGAAACGCCCCGCTACTGCCTTTGGGATATCAAACCGGATGCTGAGGGAGGATACACTTTCACCATTGATGCCAAACCAAACAGTTCTTGATTCTTTTCTGATGGGATATATATTGCTTGTACTGCTAGATCCCTGTGCAGGTCAATACAAGTATGAACGAGGTGCAGGCTCTGCCACCATTTGTTACCTTTCTAGATTAGTTCTACTGAATTCCAAACCGGATTGCCCCTTGTTGCATAGACCATCAGCTGTCATGTGTGGATGTGACATCAAGCCTGAGTGGTACTAGGTAAATTGACGTAAAGTTTCAATAGACTCTAAAACTGGTTTTTGAATGCTAAGATAAGTTGCCATCATCCAATGCTTAGTTCGGTATTCATGACAAAAATGGCAAGCTGATCGCCACGACATCATAAAATGAGCGTCTGTCAAATGCTTTCATTTCTGTTGGAACGATGTGAAATCTTGTCACATGGCAGGTGCGCTACTTAGATGAGCACCTAATTAATGTATTGGATGAAAGAGTCAAACCTTTAATGTCGGGAAGTTTCTGCCTATTGATGGCCATGTCTCAAGATTCCGACAGGTTGATGATCTTGATGTTAACAAAAGTTTTGGGGAGCACACCTCACTTCACTCCTCCGGTTTTCTTACGACTTGGCGTTTCATTATGTGCTCGAAGCTCAGTTTTGTATATATCACTGTAGGCTCCCAACACCAATATCAAAGTTCAGCTGGAGCAAAAATTTGTTCACTTTGGAGTGCTTCGCCTCGTTCTAACTTATCTGCCAGGGTTGGTAACTGAAAATCCCTTGATCGGAAAGTTGAAATTGATGTGATGACGCTCGATTTCTCCAACACCTTCCGGTGTATAAATCGTCTTGTCCGCTTCCTTGCTGGAATCATAATCCCTCCATCCAATAAATCCAAGCCACACAGTCCCCTGATCAGGACTGTCCATCGCTCCAATACCAGAGTGGGCTGCGTGGCAGCCGGGCAAACTTTCAGCCTTCTTTAGCGTCTCGGCCATAGCCTCGCGATTTCCGGTACAGTGTCGGATGGTGATGACCTCGCAAATGGGGCTGTTAATAAGCTGAGGCGGCGGGGGCACAAAGGTGCGCACGTCAAGGTCGAAGCGGGGACACTTTGTAGGCACAGGCCCTGCCAGGACCGGCTTCAGTGCCTCGACAGCCCTCTGGTGGTGCTCAGATTTGCCGAAAGCGGTACGGCTCTCGAGGGGAGCCCATGCTGCTCGGAACAAAAGTGATGATAAGTATGAAGATGCCGCATGGCGGAGTTAGAGGAACGGAGGGTAATACGAACTTGCAAGGATCTCTAGCTTGCTTGGATCTTCCTTCCATGGGCCCCATCTATAGCGAAAGTATCCGTCAGAGTCTTTGACAGATAGCAAGAACTTTTTGTATTCTTCTTTCCAATCTGGTACATCTCCTGTCACGTCAAGAATGATGCGTGTGGGGCCTAGGCTCGGTGGTCCGGACATGTTGTTTCTTTATTTTGCTAGGTGATGAAAAGGGGTGAACGAGGAGTTGCTGTGTTAGTGTTTGCAAAGTTAGGAGGCGGCTTAGGCGGGAAACAGGTCTAGAAATCACAGGATCGTTGATCTTCTTTATAAGTAATATCGGACGCGTGTTTGAGAGAACGAGCTGGCGCTCAGCATCATATCAACCACGCATTGCTGACGTTGCATGTTTCTTTTCTGGAAACCTAACCGGTCAAGAGACTCAATACGTTTTGTTTCAACGCCATGCACCAATATAAGTTTCCCCGCAACAGATTCCCTTTCAGTTGTCCCGTTTAGGACGTCCGGATGGCAGTTGACAATAGTGGACGGGCGCACGTCCGCCTGTCAGATAGAGAAGCACGGGGATCGCCCAGTCCGAAAGTCTGCTGAACCAGGACACGGACAAATGAAGGACAAGAATGACGTGCACTTTTGCATATTGTTCATGCCTTCGACTGGCATTCTCGACACACGGACCAGTGCCTTTACCAGAGTTTTCAAACACGAGGTACTGCTGTTATGATGTCCAGTTAGAATAAGAGACGGCTGATCCCGGACGGGAAGCTTGATATTTAAAAAAATATCCTCATGTTCCAATTAATGGAGTTTTCAGAGTCCACACTACATGCTCCTCATTCTCGTAAGACTCGGAAGCTCGTTCGTAGGTTTTAGAGGCCACAGCGGGAGCCCAGTGGCCTCGTTCATATACTCCAGGTGCCCATGTCCATATTAATGTTCACGGAGCTCCGAGCACGTCAAAGGTATACATCAGTCCCTGATTCTCCTCCTTGTATGGTCTTTGTAGAAAACTAAGGGGGGTACCTGAAGACGAAGTCAGTGGCGAAACTGTTACTGTTCACCTTGATACGAAACAAAAGAGTGAAGAGGGGGCCTAGACGGAGAGCGCCAAGCAAATGACCACGTGGACTTGACGTGCGGGAAGCCGCTGTAAGAGTGTCATCATGTGGGTTTTCACTATGATTTGCATGGGAACCGACACAGACTAGGACTAAAATTCTGGTTACGTCTTGTCTTCAAGGCCTTAGACCAAGTTAAAAAGTCATGGCATCAGATTTTGAAAAGTAACGTGCAGTATGTGTTGAAGGAGCTGGAGCTTTGGCTCGGACTCAGAAGCCTGTGACTTCTCTGAGCTTTTTCATTTGTATTCACCTTGTTGGCATGAGTGCCCACAGGATGAGTTCCCGGATTTGGCGCACGGAATTGTCATATGCAACATTAGTTTCAGGATTTCAGCAGAAACCTACCAGTACAAGGGAGCTAGAGCAGCTGATTGACGGACGGGCAATGTTGGGGAAACAATCGAAAGCATCAAGGTTTGAGTTTGAATGAGTTCAGATAGATATGTTCAAGCTCAGTTCCAGCTTGAGCTATGCAATCTAGGTAGTTTCTGAATTGTGAGGCTCCAATTGGGGTTTCCACCTCGCCTCTTTACCTACACTGTTCTCACAATCCCTTCTGCTTCGATGCTGTTTGCCTTTTGCAAATTTCTACTCGTGAGTGGATCCTTCGCCCTCACCGTCTTTCTCATCCAAGCGGCTCCGCTCAATAACCCGCTGTCGCGAGTATGCATCCACAAGCTCCGCCTCTGTTCGGTTCCGAATCTCGTCAAGCGCCGGCTGGGCAGTCAACCAGCTTGCGATGAGCATGCTCTTCATCTGCCAGCTTGAGCTGAACCTGCTCGCGGTAAACCAGTCGATCCCTCGTCGGCCGAGCTCCGGTTTCCATGGGAAGTTAGATATCAGGTGCAGCCTCAGAATCGACGGGTACTTGTCCAGCTGGAGCAGCGATTCTTGCGTCGCTGCGATGTACCATTTGGCGCTTCCGAGCGCAAAGCCCAGTGTTGATCCGATGATGAACGGAAGCCCCGCCGTGCCCCAGATGCTGGCTCCGATGAACGATGCTGTGAGACCGACAACGGCGGCGGCCGATGTGCCTGCCAGCATGCTCCGCAGCATGCTGTTACAATTGACTATTAATAGGAGATTCCATTGTAAGTATGGGTGTCGCTTACAATAGCCCCGGTCCACTGCCACTAGTTAGAGGTTGAAATACCCATAAGTAGTCATTACCACGGGCGAGCAAGTTGATGAAAAGTTACGAACTTGACGTTTCCCCATCCTCCAATTATCCTTAAAAGACTAAAATGCGGTTGAGCATTTGTGCTATACTCTGTCATCTGCCATCAATCTGTTCAGTTCTTGGCCAAATGCAGCTTTTGTAGTCGCTTAGTTGGGTGAGCTGGTGTGATCTTACAGCGTAATCCTGCATGGTGGGATATAAACCGAGATTCAAATTTTAGTTGGAGAGCCCGGTGACTAAAACAGTGGTTCTGGTTGGTTGATACGTTGAATTATCATCCGATTGATGTGTTCATGCAGTCCGGTGATGGTTTGTTGCAACCCCCAACAAATTCAAGCAATGTTCAGCTGTGACGTCAACCAATCAGGGGGTACGCAGAAGGAATGCAAGGTCCGCTCTAAACTCTGTATTTATTGCCTTAGGCTCTGAGTTTGGCAAGGAAACGGGCAGATCTGCTTACAGCTTACATCCATACCCCTGATGTTCACAAAAGTCCTTTTGCTGTGCCACGATCCCTCAGCTACGGGGGCTTTTGGATAGTTGGTTGGCTCTAAAATTCAGATGCGCAAACCACCGGAATACAGGTTGACGGCTCCCCATTGGGAATAACATCGGATGTTGTTCCATCGTGGTTTGATTCAGGCCCTCTATTCCATCTTTTGTTTACTTCTCTGCTGCGGATGAGAAGAACCAGCTACATTCCGCCGTTTTGTCTGCCTAGGCCTGTGAAAGGGGCACAATGAGGATTTCGCCGAACCCCTTGGACCACGAAATGGAAGTTGTAGATCGTTGGCAAATTGCTTCTACCCGTTTCCGGCAAGCTGAGAGGGTCAGCCCTAAATATCCTGGGCTTATGGCTTCTCAATGTCCTGCTTTGAGTCGCGCGTCGGCGTCAATCACCACCGTTCGGGACCGGACATTTTGGGGATGACCGAAATGCCCGCTAATATTCCGGCAGCAGCGACCCCACCATCGCCTCACAATCCACTTTGTCTCGGTTTCGGAGAGGCCCGACTTACTGTACTCCGTCCACCTGGTACGCCTCTTAAATACTCAGTCAACCTTGGAAAACTCTCCCGTAGAAGTTTGTTTATTTTCAGCATCGACGGTGCAAAGCATTATACATTTCCCTCTCCCTTTCTCTCCCCTTTCCTCTTTGTTTCCAGATTCACAACATAAGCATGGCATCAGTAACAGTCCGACGTTTCCGGCCAGCAACCATTGCGGCTACTGTAGCTGCAGGAGGTATTGGTTTGAGTATTTTGTCGAAACTCATCATCGGAAATGCGTCTGCAGAATCAGGAGCCGCACCAAAAGTGTTTGGAGGTGGCCCAGCGTTCGTGTCGTTGCCTTTGGAGAGCTCGGAGCAGGTGAACCACAACACTAAGCGTTTGCGGTTTAAGCTGCCGCAAAGGGACTCTGTGAGCGGGTTGTCATTAACATGTGAGTTCCTCGCGAGTTGGGGGTGAGACATGAAGTTTGGGCTGACAACATCGCAGCCGCCGTTCTTACCATGTCATGGCCGGAGGGAAGATGGTTTCCCGTCGCAAGGCCTTACACGCCCATCCAACCCTTGGGTAAGTTGTAACTTCTTTCTTTTTTTTTTTAAAGCACTGAATAGACACTCACATCTTATTTAGAAGATACTGGGTACCTTGAGCTCATGGTAAAAAAGTACCCCGACGGAAAGCAGAGCTCGCACCTTCACTCCCTGGCACCAGGGCAGAAGTTACTCTTCGCCGCCGCCATCAAGGGTCACCAGTGGAAGCCCAACAGCTACCCACACATCACTCTTATTGCCGGCGGTGCCGGCATCACGCCAGTCTACCAGCTAGCTCAGGGCATTCTCCGCAATCCCCAAGACAAGACAGCCATCACTCTCGTCTTTGGCGTCAACTCAGACGCAGATGTTCTGCTGAAGAAGGAGTTTGAGCAGTTTGAGAAGGAGTTCCCAGGACGATTCAAGGCGGTTTACACCGTAAGCAACCCATCAGCCGGATCGCCCTACCGCAAAGGTTACGTCACGAAGCAGTTGCTGGAGGAAGTCGCGCCAAAGCCGGCGGCCGGGGAGACGAAAGTATTCGTATGCGGCCCTCCGGCGATGGAGACTGCATTGGTGGGAAAGAGGAGCACACCTGGAATCCTGCAGCAGTTGGGATACCGCAAAGACCAGATCCACCAGTTTTAGAAAGCTGTCGGCCAATTTGGGACCACTCTTTTTTTTTCTCTTTGTTTTGTAAGAAGAGTTACCAGCTGGCGTTGCTGGGCAATACTCTAGTTATTAGATGAGCATTTACACAGATGAATCGGAGCCACACTTCTCCTTCTCCTACACCCTGCTGACCCAGTTGCGCTGTGAAATCGGCGGGTCGATCACCAATTAACAAGACCCGCCTTGCTAGCTCAATCGGTAGAGCGTGAGACTCTTAATCTCAAGGTTGCGGGTTCGACCCCCGCGTGAGGCTCAAATCCTCACCGCGATTGACTCGGTACAATCTCTCGGGTTCTCTTTTGACTTTTTGGTTGTCGCACGTGTTGTCATAACATGTGTGGTGTGTTTTGGATGTTGGATATTCCGATGATCACGTAATCTGTTGGCCGTGACACGAGGTAGACTAATTCCAAAATGTGCCTCGTTTTTGTTATATTTGTGTACTCAAAATAGCATCACGACGATCGAATGTGTTGGTGTATCTTCATTTGTTTGGGACGAAAGAGGTTGGAGACATCAGCGCTGTCAGCTAAACTTTAAGTTGATCATTACGGCTCGAATACCGATTCGCGCTGGCAAAGACTACAACCTTTTCCAAAGAACTTCAACCAGCACAGTAGTCGAACCCCACATAGGGAACTGGAGAAACATCTTTCCAACTTTCACCAAGCTCTCTTTCAAAATTGACCAAGTGGCTCTTGAATTTGCTAAAGAGCAGATTGGGAGGAGACCAGAAGTAAATGAGCAAAGAAACAACAGAGTTTTCAGGTGACAACTTACGAGACAATCCTATTGTCGAGGCTATAATCGAGTCGAGAGTTCGTAAGGAGTGTTCATTGTGGATATCCTGTATGATTCCCTCAAACTGGAATATCTCTGGGAGTCGCTCGTCTGAGAAAGACTTGAGCGCACCACGCTTGGTCGCTACAATCTCTTCATCTACGATACATTAGCTTTTGTCATACACACATAGAAGGATTTCTTGCCTGAAAAGTTTGCTTTAAAAGCCTCGATTATTACATCGTCGTCTGGATATCTCTTTCGAAGTGAAAGCAAGGCAGCCATCAGTGGCAACGCCCACTCTTCTCCGAAACAGCCTTGGGAAATGGCTAGAGCAGCCCGAATTTCTTGTTTTGTGGCCGCGGAGGGTGATCCGAAGCACTGGTCGCGCATTTTCAAAACTCTTTTGGCCAGTTCCGACTTTTCGTTAGCTTCTTCCATCTCGGGGCACAGTTTAAAAAGCCCGTGATGGACAATGTCATTCAGACTTGCGGAGGCGCAGCGTCCATCGTAGAACAGAGTTCCTTGGCATAAATATTCACCAAAATTATATAGGGTGTTTCGGCGCAAGTGCCGAAAGTTGGAGAGGTTCATCTTTTCCTTACGGTGTTTGCTGGCAAAGGTATCCAACAGTGCCATATCCGAAATGAAAGCTCCCGAGGGCAGACCCAGTGTGTCTAGAACATGGACCTGTATATCGGACAACTCATCACCGATTTTGACGTTGCGGTAAAGCGCATACTGTAGCACAAACAGCAGGGAGCTCGACCATGAGATGAGGTTATCAGTGTTCCTTGACCATCCCCGCAGATGGCAGTTGATCATTTCGGCGGCATCTTGATCTGGAATGGTAAGGATATCGGTGGTAGAGCTAGGCAGGCCAAATACGGCTGCTCTTGACGCAACATAATCAGTGGTTGTCTGGCCTGCGGTGGTTGGTGCGTGAACTCGGAATAGGTAACGAGGTACGTCGTCTAGTGCCGCCGATATTTCGGGGTGGCGCGACTTAGATGAAAATGGCAGAAAGCCATGTTTAATAGATGTTTGAGCCGTAGTTAAAGAGGTCTCGGCTGGCATTGTGAGGAAGAAGCTTTCGATCAGCGCAAGAAGCAATATGGCGCAGGTGGCTGGCTAAGTGCTAGAAGACGAATGGATGGCGAAGATGGTGAAGTGAGGCAAAAATAAATGGATGAGATAACTGCAAAAGAAGAGAGAATATGAAACAATTAAAGCAAGATATTTACAGGCCTGTCATGTATTGATTATACGCAAGTCTGATAATGACAAGAGACTAATACACATCAACGTAGTGGAAGAAAATTCTCTTCACCGGTATCAATGAAGCAAGAGAGGCAGGAAACCCCTCATATCGAACAGAAGAAAAAAATCATAGGTGGGCAGGTTGATGCATTAGAACATATGCCTGCAGATAGATAGGTAGTCAAGCAGCCAACGAACTGCGCAGTTGTACAAAGTATCAGCTACGATGAAACAGAAAACACCTTCATGAGCCACCTTTCATTGAGGGGTTCCGACCCCAGAGAGTATCAGTGAGGGGAGACTTTGCGTAGGAGATTAGTGGCTTTAATAGCAGTAATGTGGCTGAGGACCAAAGCCGTACCTAGTGTAGTGCTGGGAATATAGTAATTGAGGCAGCAGGTACAGTAGCATCCAAGAGCAACATGACAATATCGGGCAATGTTCATCTGTGGAGCAGATAAGATAAGGTTATTGACCCCTTTCGGAGATCGTCTTTCTCCGCTTGCCGCTACTACGTACCCTTTTTTCCCGCTTTCAGGGCTCAACTCAATGGAGCCACGGAGCCACGGAGCCACGGAGCCATTGGGTGCCTTTGCTCAGCTGTCAAATCAAAAGAGTTCATGTGGGGCCAGGTCCTCGTAGCGAACCTCTTCAGCGCCGAGACGGGGGCCCATGGTGTGTCCTCCTGGGCTGTGGCGTCCAGTGGGAGGCGGGACGTGGATGAGGTCAGTGCCTGGCCCACATCAGCTTCTACACCTTGCACCTTGTAACCTTGCTACTTGCTATCTGTCCAGGGGAATCACGACCATCAGCCTAAGCCTGCATTTTGTAGCCTGCTTTCGTCAGACCGATCCGAATTCGCAAAGAGAGAACAAAAAACACCAACAACAACACAATCGCTATCCTCATTTCTTCGCGACCTACCACTGCCGTTGTCTATCGAACAGTCTATACATGTCGAGCGCCTAATCCTACATACATAGACTGTCTGTCACTTCCGTCCGACCTGACCTACCTCTCTACGCCGATCCCGATCCCGACTCTTCTGCTCGACCTCACCCCCGGTACCTCCGTGCCTCCGACCCGCCGTCGACTCTCGTCTACCTTCATCTTCTCTCCTTTTCCTCCCTTCTTGCAATCCTGGCTTCCCGGCCGGGAAAACTGGCCGAGAACGTCCAGCGCCAGTCGAATGAATGCAACCCCTCAATCCATTCCTCGCTGCCTTCTTCCGAAGCTCCCTGCCCTCACAGTGCACGCCTGTTCATCACCACATCCTTCTGGTCCCGACTACCGATGTGCTCCTCACCTCCCGCGAGATCGAGAGCGGCTCGACCTTTAACGAGGTCATCACCTCGGAGGAGTTCCTAGCCAGCCACGTCCTGCGCATACCGGCCTCCAACACAGCTGCCGGCGGAGTAGGAAAGGATGGCGGCCAGAACCTGCGGGAGCTGAGGGGCAAGGCGAAGCAGTACCAGACCATCAATGGCAGGACCGTTGTCATCAAAGACACTCATGTCTACAGTAATAAAGGTGTGATAATGCTGGCGGCTGAGCCGCTCTTGGGAGACAACAGCTAACCTAAAGTGTGCTACGCAGGATTCAAAACTCTTGCGCAAGCTCAGCTTCTCAATGACTCCACTTGGTATCCCGACCTGCTTGAGCCTCGCCAATGGCTCATCTACTACATCTCTCGGCCCCTCGTCGGGGTATGGGACGAGGTCAAGATTGTTCCTGCCGTGCTGGTAGAAGGGATCGCGAGAAAACAGGCCCTTGAACAAAGTCAATCGTCAGCCATCGAGGCCGAAGGCGCCATGCTTCCCCGGAAGAAGGACATCAAAAGCTTCCACGACCTGCTCAACCACTTCCCTATCATCGCGCGACAAATGCAGCCCGGCCTAGAGAAGCTGTTTCGCGAATTTACGACCGTTTTCGAAAGACCGCTTCCCCCACCACCCTCGGCGATGCGCATACCCGATCCCGAGCCCGAAGGGCCTATTGCGACCGCCATGAAGAAGGCCCGGTCCAACAGCATGTCTGCAGCGCGGCGGCCAAATACTATCCCGAACGGCCTGCCGGTGACAGAGAACTTTTACGCCGAGGACGACGAGGATGTTATGAGAGCCTCTCTCGAGACTGCGGTAACGGCTGCCATTGACCTGTTCCAGGGGGTCGACAAGCAACAACTCTCAATGCTCGGCGCGACAACTGACCTGACCGGACCACTGGTAGAGAGGCTCATCGAGCGATATGTCACCGAAAACGTCCACCACCTCTTGTTCCCGCGCCTCAGTGCGTTGAAGAGGCCTTATGATCTCGAGCTGGAGGCGAAGATCCGGCAGATGGAATTTATCGACTTGTCCCAACTTGGCATCCCGATTGAGGGCGGCTCTCGAGGAAAGCACGATTTGACAATACAACTGGGTCTCGCCGTGGAGGAATTTAAAAAGATGACGAATGCCATGAGCCCCCAGGAGATGCTAGACCTATTGCTGTCAACGCTGAAGTCGGTCACTCACCTGACAGACGCGTCCCCATCGCAAGCATCCAAGTCATCAGAGAAGCCCACACTCACCTTCAACGCCGACACCCTCGTCTCGTTGCTGTTATTCGTAGTCATCCGGGCGCAAGTCAGAAACCTGCATGCGCGCCTCATCTACATCCGCCACTTCATCTTCATCGACGATGTAGACAATGGCGAAATGGGATATGCTTTGAGCACTTTTGAAGCCGTTTTGGCCTATCTCGCTCTGGACTCGTCAGGACTAAGGAGAGCCAGCAGGCGAAATAAGGCTCTGTGGGACGCGACATGTAACGGGGCTTTGGACGAAGTCAAAAGAATAATGGAGCCCGACACACATGCGATAATCGACGATGACATCTACGAGTCACCTTCATCAAGCCGACGGCCGTCGGGTACGTGGAGCTTCACTAATGGTTCCGCCTCGCGACGATCCTCGACAGCTGTCACAATTTCAGATCGCTTTTCGTCAGGCTCGGGCCTAAGCCACGTGTTTCCGTTCCAGGCCGAGGACAGCGACCTCGAACTCGACTTCCCGCTGCCTCCGGTGCCACGCAAAGTCAAGCGAGTGGCCATGGACACCAGAAGCATGTCAAGCGGCTCAGAAATCTCTTACCACTCTAGGACGACGAGTATCGGCACCATGGGCAGCGCGCTCGAGGGCGACATTTCGGTTGATCGGCTGTCGCAGACACACAACTCTTTCGGGGAGTCGCTGCTTATGATGGCTGTGCAGAATGAGAGACCCAACGTATTAAAGTACCTTTTGTCATTAAACGAATACTACCAGGCCGCGGCCATCCTGGAAGATATCAACAACGAGGACACAACGTTGCTTAGCGCCGCGGTTCAGCTGGGCCATACAGAACTAATCACCACTCTCCTCGATTTTGTCATTAATAGTGCGTCAAAGGAGCGTCTAAAAGAATACTTGGCCCAGCAGGACATCTGGGGGCGCAGCTGCGCGCATTACCTGTTCCACGCGCCGTTCCTCATCTCTCGGATCGGGAAATTAGTCCCCTGGCGGCAAAAAGACAAGAATGGGCAGACGCCGCTCTTCGCGCTGTGTCGGTCGTATGACCATGTGCACTACCACGAAATGGTGGATGCCGGCCTTGATGCGGCCACGGAAGCGCAGGGTGACGGGCTTCCGCTCCACGTTGACGATCATGTGGACGGCAAGGGGAACACGCTGCTTCACATTGTCAACGATCCGCAGCTCGCGGCCAGGATTCTTCACCAGTGCGACGTGGATGTCAATGCGACCAACGACAAGAAGTTCACGCCGTTGATGGTCGCCAGCAAGTACGGCAGGCTGGACATGGTCAGGACGCTGTACGTGGATGCACGCGTCGATGTTGCAGCCCGAGAGCTCCGCAGCCTGACGGCCGTGGAACTGGCCAAAGACGACGATATCCGAAATAAGATTGACGACTTGGCGCTGTTTAGCATGCCTCCTGCCGCGGATGCCCGTATTACCGGTGTCGTAAGGGCCTTTTTCGTCGAAGATGCGACCATTCGCTTGGTCTTAAAGTCGGCCGCCCCCGCCGACCACATGAGCTACACCGTCACGACGAGCCGCCGAAACCTCTCCGATTTCGAGCACCTCGGCAATCTGCTTGCGCTGGAGAATCCCGCATCATGGATTCCCGCAGTGGCCGGGGTCCGGTCGCCGTTCCAGATCCCGTCGAAGCCGTCGAGGGCTGTTTTACGGGACATTCAGACTAGGACAGACTGGTTCCTCAAAATCATGCTCAACCACCCGACGTTTGCGACACACGAAATGCTCTGGGAGTTTTTCCTCGTGCCCGACATCCAGCTCGGCATGATGGAGCAGAGAAGCAACCTCAAGGCCGAGACACGAGCGGAGAAGGTGCGGGAGGAGTACGAGCCGGTCAAAGACGTGCGTGAAGTTGAACAATTTGTCGACCACGCGAGGGAAATGGTGCGCAGCGTCAACTACTCGACCAAGAGCGTGGCAAGAAGAGTCAACGCCGTGGCCGTTGTTGCATCAGGTAAGTTTTCACACCCCCTCGGTCGGTCGGAAAGTCATGTTCGCCGCTTACAAGTCTAGATCTACACGATGCATCGGCTCTTCTACACCGAGCGGTCTCGACGCTGCAGTTCCTGCCACCGGCTTACATCACAGCGCTGGAAGCATACGTCCGCACCCTCACGCCGATGCAATCAAACCCTTACGGCGTGTTCCACTCTACATTCTTGGCATCACAATCGACGATTCAAGGTCTACTGTCAGCGCTGTCGCGTCCGCCGGCGCTCATCTCGCAGATATCGGCGGCGCGCAAGGCGGTGGAGCGAAACTACAATTCGCTCAACAGGTCGACGCGATGGCCACTAGGACTCCTGGACGACACGCGACAACGGCTCAACGAGGAGAGGGAGGAGAAGGCGCGACAATCGCAGGAGCAGGTGGACGACCTCGGTCGAGAGCTCCGGTACCATCAGCAAGTGGTGGCTGGGGAGCTCGCGGGGTGGCAGGATCTGCACGAGAAGATGGGGCGACGGGCGATCAAGGAATTCGCCAAGGGCATGGTGATCCAGGAACGGCTCCGGATGGACGGGATGCTAAGGGCGCTGCGCCGGCTCAGGGAAGGCAAGGCGGAACTCGAGACGTTGGCGGAGGCTGTTTCAGGAGAGACGAGTATGAGTCAATCGACGCAAGACGGCACGAGGATGGGGATGGGGATGGGGATGGGGATGGGGATGGGGATAGATGCAGGTGAGGGAGCCAGCAGCGCGGCGGCGACGACGAACGGTACGAGTACGAGTAGTACCAGTACCAGTACAAGTGCCAGTAGCAGCAGCAGCAGCAGCAGTAGCAGCAGAGTGGGCAACGGAATGGTGGCGAATGTAGCGGCATTTTAGCCTCGCCCCCGGCTCCATGTTGGTTGTTCCGCCAGCGTCACCTAGACTCGTTCTGCCTGGGATGATGTGCATAGACGTTCTTTTTGCTGGAGCACCTCAACACCAAGAGCGACGCGTGGTATGGGAAATCCGACGCGTTTTGGGGGGGCACACGCACACATTGGGTGGTTGTTACTGGGTGACGGGTGAGACGACTGAGCAGCTCGGTTCCGTCGGTGCAGTGGGCAGACTTTGAGGTGTGTGTGGGAATGAATGACTGGGGCCACCTCACCTCACTTCACCTTGCATGAGACAGGGCACTTTTTCCCGGTCTCATTCACCCGAGTTTTTCTCTGAACTCACTCGTTTTGTGTAGCAAAGTAGACACCAGACACCACCTGCGAGATTTGTTTCTCGTCTTTTTTTTTTCTACGGTTGTTTTTGTTTCTTTCCTTGGGGGGGATACCCTTTGGCGTCCTTGGCGTGGGTATACTAGACGGCGGGAGACTTTGGTGTCTTTATGGGTATATTTTTATTTTTTATTTTTTATCTTATTTTTTTCGCCCTGCTGTCCCGAGGACAAGGACAATAGACGAAATTCTGGATACGTATGTATGCATGGATACGTTTTTTTTTTGTTGACGTGTTCGGACAAGCTTGTTCCCTGGTCTGGATGACTGTTTGTCGGTGTATGGGTTTTTACATGATTCGGGAGCCTGAAGTGGACGATATTTTCAACGTAGGGCATTACCGACTGCGCCGTTCTGCATCGTCTTCACCGTGGTGAAGGGGTTTGTTATCCCAGCCATCTCCATTTTACCTCCACACATCCCATGTGTTTTTGCTAGTAAGCATGTAGTAGAAATAATGAAGTGCCGGGGGACGTGGCATTTTTCCAAGATGGGATTTTTTTTTTGCTGCCGGGTTTCATGCGTCTCAACTCCACATGACAAGGACATATACAAACGGAACTGAATACTAGGTAGTAATAAAGATGGCCAGCGAGATGTGACTCATTTTTCCTGGTTTCCCGTTTTTTTTTTTTTTTTTTTTTCAAGCTAAGGATTAAGAGGTCATTATGCATATGGCATCCTAGCAAGTTTAAGGGAACAAAAGAGAACGATGGATGGATGCTCTTTCTACCGGACCGGGGACGTACACCTGGAGAAACAAAAAGGCGGTCGTGAAACATCCCGGGAAGACGGCTGGGCCAATGAAGCGGTCGAGACACGGTTTTGGAGAGTGTGTTGTCGTGGACCCGATTGGTCCGTCTCGCAAACTTGGAGATCTGCGGCGCGTCGAGATTGGGTAGATCCAATGGGCGCGTGGTGGTTGGCCAATGAGAGTGTGTCGAAGGCAGGTGGGGCGTTCAATGGACGTCGATTGGTGAGAAGTGCACGGGCCTCGCGGGACGGGAAGGAAAGACAGGCGAGGGGGGAAAGGACGGACGACGGGGACGATGGACGAGGACGGGGACAGGGACAGACGGAGAGGTGAGTGGATGTGGCGCTGGGCGCTTGAGAGAGTGGTTAAGCGCCTTGTGCGGCTGTGCATTTTTGTGGTGTCTGGTAGTATTACATTATGTCTGTGTCTGGGAGTAATAAGTAGTACTGGGGTTTGGTGAAATGGGTCCTGATAGCCGAGATGGCTAGTTATGCGATGTGCGAATCATAGAGTAGAGATGAGGTTAAAAGAATGATGCTTGCCGCCGTTTACGCAGTCAGGTCTACGATCTTACTTTGGAGAGGGGAGAAAGCGGAGACGAAGTAATTCCATTCAAGACGGACTACGAAGTATCGTCATCAGTATTGGAAGGGCGGCTGTAGGTAGGCTTAGACAGTCACGAGAAAACAAAACCTACGCGGCTACATCGTCTTCCGATCATGGTGAGGGGACGAACTTGATCACCAGCTTCATCGTCAGCTTCAGGCCCGACTTCGGGGCCCCAGGATGAAATTCTTATGACCCCCCGATTTGAGGGCGTTACAGAGTGAGACTGGTAATATGGCGGGCGGCTGGCTACCTCTTCCTACGATCCTACCTACCGAAGCCCCGTATGAGATTGAAGGTGCCCTCGAGAGACAGACCCGCCTGATTTTCGTCCGACCCGGCCCCGCCTCTCGTGCAACTTTCTGTAAGCGCCGTCCGAGGATCGGGGATGTAGCCGCCCGGGCGGTTAGCAGGTTGCGGCTGTTTTAGATTGCGAGTAGGTAGGGGTCTCAAGGCTGGCAAGTGGTGAGGAAAAAGAAAGAGAAACAGCCGACCCCGCCGTCAGAGTGGCGACACTAAGGATGCTTGAAGCCCCCCCCCCCCCCCCCCCCCCCCCCCCCCAGGAGAGTACGACGTAGTAGTAGCAGGCGATGCTGTGTGTCTTACTGGGAGGACAGGGCATGATACGACAGCCGCCGGTAATCTTGGGAGCCGCTCAGTTTAGATTGCTGAGATGAGCGAGGTGGTATTATTTGATTATTGCACGGGAGTACTCGGCCGAGGTTGAGAGTAGGTCTATAGTAGGCCAGCTGAGATGAAAATGAAATGAGGCGGACAGAAAAGAGGAGGTCAACGCAAATGCGAATAAAATGTAAGGCGAGGCTGCGAGGTGTGCTGGCAGGGACAGAGCACGGGCGGACGGGACGAGTTGGGAATGCCCTCGCGAAGAGTCGCGGTCGCTGGCTTCTCTCGACAATGACAATCGACGACGCGGAAGACACCACATCGCAGCGCATCGCATCGCATGTCACGGCGACGCATGACACCGCGTCGGATGATTGTCCACACGAGACCGCGTCTAGGCGTCGTCCGTCGCCATGTCGCCATTTGTTGATGTTTGTGTGGTGTGTGTGTTCGTCCAGTGTTCCCGCGGGTGTGGGGGAAGCTAGAGGAAGAGGCTAGTGTAGAGCTACTGTACCTAGTAGAGCAGTGGATAGATCCATCGACAGACAGACGCCAAGATGTGGTAGTAAAGCTAATGCACAACCGGCTGCCATGTGTCTAAAAATGAGTCATAGGCGCTGTGCAGGGGGTGAACTTTGAGAAGGACGATGATATGGAAGATGAGTGGTTATAGGGTACGGTGTCTAGACTTCCGATTAACACGGCAAAAAGGTAGTAATTCTGCCCCCATTACACAGTGCACGTTTAAGCGAGCATCCCGTGGCTCCGCCTCTTCTAGGACCCACTTTCCCGACCAAGCAACCTCCACGCCGGCCGGGCCAAATGTCCTGATACGCCGCCGAAGAACACACTCCAAGAAAGACTGCAGAAACCTGCTACGTACATCACCATTCTTCCCTCACCTTATTTTTCCCTTCCCACCTTTTTCCCCCGTGTTTCAGATTTTTCTCTCAACGCCTTGGTGGGCCGGTCTGCAGCCTCCACCGTTCCCTGTAGTGCAGAACAAGCTGCAGTAGCTCCAAAGTCTTAGTCCCCCATCTCGTGTTATGTGTCGTTCGTGGCCGCGCCGGGGTCTGATCCCCCCCATGTCATGCTCTGCTTTCTCTGATGCTACCTATCGAAGATCGTTACGTATCTTTTCGTCTTTCTATCTCTGTCTTTGGAACTTTACTTTGCTACTTTGCATGGTAGACATCCTAGGTCTCGGCCCATGATCCGTCCATGAACCCCCCGGTATACTACCAAGCCGGGCATGCGCAGCCACCCCATCGCTGTGTTGTACCAGACCCTCTTCGAGACCACAAGCCCTCGTCAGGACCCCAGCTGGCCATGCTGGCCGCCGGTCGTCAGTCGCGCGCCGCATCATCATTCCCAGATCCATTGGGCTGCGAGCGAGCCTCATGTCCAAGGATAAAGATGCCCTCCCCTCCCCGCGTCTACTGTCCCTTTTTCGTTGGCCCTTCTCTCTTCATTCCTCATCTGCGTCTGTCGTCTTCTCTCTCATCTCCTCTCGTCCGCATCTCTTTTTCAGTCTGTTTGTTTATTGCTGTCTTCTGCTTTTGCTAGAAACCCAAAACACAACAAGAATCAGAACCATACATACACTTAGATCCCGGACACTGTGGTCTTGTTGAACGCGGCCTCTGCTCCGCCCCCCTGCTTCACGGCACTCTACTGTTTTTTGCTCATCTCAAACAACACCAAAACTTCTGGAGCCGGTCTCCTCTTTCTGCCTCTCTCACAAACGACTCTCGATAATTCCATAATCGTGTCTGTCGCAGACACAACTGAAGCACATCCACAATGTCCACGTATGACGCCCCACTGCTGCCCCCCGTCACTTACACCCCTTCTGACGCCCTCTCCAGTCTGGCAGCGGACAACATGTCCTTCGACTTCGTCTTCCCTTCATGTGAACCCTCCACCCCGCCGAGCTTCTCCTTCGACTCCTCTCTCATCGACATTTCCTACCACCAGCCCCAGACATCATCAACAACAACAAGTCTGGGTCACGCCCGCTCCCGCTCCAACGGCTCCGTCTACTCTTTCGTCTCCACCGCCGAGTCTACCCCGGACTCTGTGAGCACTCGCATGACCACCCCGTCCCGCGCGTCTCCTCCCATCCGCCAACATGGCCCTCTTCTCCTGCCCAAGATTCGTTCCCAGGACCAGGCCATCGAGTCGCCCCCGAAGCGGGTCAAGACCTCCCCCAAGTCCCGCATCTCGGCCCCACGCCGGAGCGTAGTCGCCGCTGCCTCCTCCGCTTTCCGCCCGACCCACGCCCGGAGCTACACCAACCCGGAGACCTTCACCTGGGACATGCCTTCGTCATTCTGCAGCCAGCCCGAGGAGCCCACGACCTCCTCCCTCCTCTGCTCGCCCGTCATCTTCGCAGACGATATGCAGTCCCGCCGCGCCTCAACCTGCAGCCTCGACGGCCCCTCGCTTGAAAAGTACGGCTTCCCCACCTACCGCCAAATGCCGTCATACGTCCCCTCCGCATCCGCGCCGGCCCCCCAGCCCACGACAGAGGCATACATGTTCCCTTCCTCCTACACCACGGCCCCGCGCGCCCCGTCTCCCCTCAGCCTCTCGGCGACCCCGGACCCGACGCCCAGCACAACCCTGTTGACCTACCTCACCGGCTCCAACCCGGCCCCGTCGCTGGTCCGCACAATCTCCTTCCCGCTGCGCGACCCCAACGTGAAGCACTTTTGGTGGGACGTCCGCCAGATCCGCCCCTGGGCATCCTTCAACATCGCCTCCGTCCTTTCTCTCCCTGGTGCTTCTGCCCTCCTTAACTGCCCCGTCCCGGCCCCCGTCCTCCCCACCCCGCCCCAGACGGCCCGCCACCCGGAGACCGAGGCCGCGCTGCACTCGATCTACGCCGCACACTACCTCCCCAAGCTCAACGCCGCGCTCGCCATCTCCTCCAACAGGCCAATGCAGATCTCCGCCGCGCCCTCCGCCGCAAACTCCAAACAGACGGACCTGCTCTTCACCGCGTCCCCCGCAGGCGAACCTGCCTCCGCGGCAGCCATCTTCGGCGGCAAACCCACCGCCCGCGTCGTCGGTCTCGTCCGCTCCTTTGACCGCTTCAACACGGGCATGCGCGTGGAGGGCAACATCAAGCGCGTCGAGTACCTCCGCGGCCTCGCGGCGCTGCACCACGCGATGCGCGAGCACGGGTGCAGGTACGGCTTCATCCTCACGGAGATCGAGCTCGTCGTCGTGCGCAACGGCGCCGACGCCGTGCCGAATTTCGGCTTTCTCGAGGTCTCGTCCGTCCAGCTCGCCGCCGTCGCCGACGACGCCGACCTCGAGGTCGGCGAGATCCCGCTCACGGCCTGCCTCGCGCTGTGGGGCCTGTGCATGATGGCCGGCGACGACGCGCCGCACGTCCACTGCCAGGGCGTCGCCTGCTGGAAGGCCGAGATCGGCGCGCCTGCCGAGGGCACGCGGAGAAAGGCTCTTCCCAGGGACGAGTGGATGCCCAAGCCGCAGTTGGCGGAGAAGAGGGAGGCCAAGAGGTCTCGCGGGTGGATTATGCCCGAGGACCCTGTTGGTCGGAAGGAACTTGGTAAGAGGGGTGTTCGGTATGGTGCTTGTTAATTTTCGGACTTTCTTTTTTCTTGTTAGTATAGACTCTGGTGGAAGGGAAGGGCGTTTATCGGGGTATTGGCTGGTTCCATGCTCTGAACGGAAAACGGAAAATGTAATCGGGGTGATTGGTAATGATTTTTTGTTGGGTATGGGTATATGAGTGGATGAGGTTTATGAGTGATGATGGGGGGGTTATTTTGGAGTTGCAAGTTTTTAAATACTTGTAATCATAACAATCTTTCACGTTCAGTAATCTTCTACTCGCGGTGCCAACATCTTCGGTGATACGTCTCGAAATCTTGTTGGAATAAGTGATATTCCTGATATTGAGTCTTTTCCAGATTTTGGGAGTCGTCTGGGTTCAGTGTGAAGAACATTAGATGGTTATGGTTGTGTTCTCGACTTTAAAATCTTGAGATTTGATACGCCACATTGATTATTGTAGTACTGATGCTGAATGATGATACAGTTGTAGTACAATCCTCTCCTGGCTGTCGACAGACTAATCGTTAGTCTGTCAAGCAGGCTAGACACAGTACATGACCTCCAACCACTTCCAACAAGACTTCCTACTGCCTCCTACGTTCAAAAATTGCCCTGATTCCCGTGACCGCAACCCAGCCGATTACGACCACAGTCACAGCCAGGCGGACTTCCCTCGCGAGGTCGACCGTCGTGGGTGCGAACTGGATGCTGTGGAGGTGCTTGATAGCACCCGAGTGCACCGATGACAGCGCAAACTGCTCCATCTGTGTTTGTTAGCAATTACTAACAACTTGATGGTAGAGAGAGCGACGAACGATGAGTTGGAGATGTCGAGGTTGATGAGATTGAGATGAGATGAGATGTCTGGTGTTGACGAACTTTTTGGTGGGTCTGGTGTTTACGTCAACGAATAGTGTTGGAATGTTGTCCTCAGGCAGCTAATTGTATAAGTGATCTAGTGAAAGCATTTAGTGACTGATTTATAGTTATTTTTATTTATTTATATTTTTCTATAGAAGAATCCCATTGTATCAATTAAGTTAGGAAATTATGTTTTGTGGACTTTCATCTACTAGTCAAGGTAGTTTCAATGCCGCATGAGATGCGTTGACGACATGGGTACCTCACTTATGCACGTTTAACTAGCAGTCTTCAAAATGCCTCCTTCATCTGGATGTCTTTTCCAAGGCTAGGAAATATTGCTCCCATTTAAGTGAAGAGCTGGATTCAAAAACGTCTACTTTAAAAATCCCACAGACTGGCATCCCCAGGATCTTTCATCTTGTTTGCAGCGTTTCTTTGCCCCACACGAATCCCACCCTATCATCATTGTAAGTCACGCCGAAGTGCCAAGCCATTGGCTGCCTGGATTCAGTATTTCTGCGCCGCAGGTGTGCATTAGTGTATCTGATGTGAAATCCAATTTTGTATTTCAACTTGGTTTCATCCACCTTGTTGATGTCAGTCTACATCTCCAAGCTTTAACCTGCATCCAAGGTCTAGCCAAGCCCTAAACATCTGCCATGACAACCCAATCGGATTCCGCTTTCGAAAATCTCCCGACCGAGATACTTGAACAAATCATCTTGTACATCACCGATCCAGGATCTATATACCATCTCCTCGTAGCCAGCCCCGCTGCTTCGCGCGTCTTCAATGTCTCTGAAGCCGGCCCCAAAGCCCTCGACAATGCCCTCGCCGAAACAATGGCACCACAAGTGTGCCGTTTCATACGGCTTGTTGGCCTCATACGCACTGCAACCTCCGAGAAGCCCCTAGCAGAGTCACTCCGGGCCTTTGCGGAACAGTACACGCAACGTCTGGAGGGGACCCATCTTGGTCCTGTTCCGCCTCTCCCGCGCTCATTTTGTGGCGAGCACCGTCATGCAACCCGAAGCCTTCTCTCAACTGTACGACACATCATTTTCTTGGCATCAGACTGTCTGGAGCACTATCGCAGACGATGTCTCTCCATAAAACCCTCCCACCTTAAGAGTCGCTTCGTCTGGGGCTCCGGGTACGCGAAGCCATGGCGTGAGAAACCTCTTGGGGAGCCATACAAGCCGCAAGATATTGGGCCCCCCTGTTGGGTTGAGGAACAGCGCGTGATGCGCGGATTCTGGAGATTGCAGTTGCTGAACGAAATGAGAACGGCGGCTTCCGAAGGTCGACTGCGCTGGGCCGTCGAGGACGATCAAAAGGAGATATCTGCCGATACGCTATTCCTCGGCTGGAACAGACCGAGGCAACCAAAGAAAGAGGAGTTTCTCACCGTCGTCGACTTTGTAAACCATACGCAGAGCGGCCCTATAAATGCCGACTACCCTCTATGCCTTCCACCCTCTCCTCGGGGGCACAATGCAGTTGGCAAGTGGCCAGCCTTGGCTTTATACCAGCAAGTCGATAGTTTATGGGAACGAGATACATTATTAGACCTGAACCCCGCTGGCTTCGGCTTCTACATGAGATTGTGGGGCTCCCATTTCTCCCCTATCCGCGGCGTTCCGTTCCGGCCATACCGCGAGCTCGGATTTGCCATATGGGAAACAGACAAGCTGACCAAACTCAAACTATGGTGGCCGCACGAGGCGAGTAGAGACGGCAAAACTAGGCCGCTGGATAAAAACGATCAAATATTTGCATGGAGGAGTCTTTTGAGCCAGGAGCTTTTGGCTGAACTTGTAGAAAAAATGGACGAAGAATATCGGCGGACCGGGCGTTGGTTACCTCAAGATAACCCGGATATGTGAGAGATTCTTGATACGAGCCTCCTGTATGTGGTTAAAGTGCGGTGCTGGGAAGAGCAGAGAGGCGGAGCTTAAGTCACACGGAAGAAATCGTTGTAGCGGAGAATGACATGGCAAAGTCTTATCATTGGGACACTTCTGCGCGCCATGTTATGGCGTGATTCTCCTGGTAAATTGTTCTTGACCACCTGTCGGGTAGTTTCTTTCACTGAAAAAAGCATGAAATATGCATAGCTCAACATGTTAACTTACTATGTAAGGTGGATGGACATTGGTGACCTTATTCATGCCTATAACCACATTGTATGCAATATACTAGTATGTGAATGAGCAAAGATTAGACTCTTTGCTTTGGGAATCAATGCTACTCATAAAAAAACAGAAGTAAAGATTTGACATGTTGCTTTACACCAATTCGGTTTAATACATTCGTGTAAACCGACTACTACTACCTCATTTGCATAGCCTTTAAGTCTGTAGAGAGCAACTAACTTGGTATTTTACTCTGTACATTTCCAAATATTTTCTTTCGATTACGTTATATGTAACTCAAACGCTCTCTTGCTTATAGGCTTGGGCACTCTTTGATGTACCCAACTCTTTCATCGCCAGTTCAAACCTCAATGTTTTGCTATCTCCAATGGCGGTTTTGCGCCAGACATCATCTGTCAAAGTGTTGGATCTAGCCCTTTTGTATGTCAACTCTGACCGAGTTGGGGAATTCCTGTGGCAAGTTCTCAACTTCCAAGCGCTCTAACACCCACTTGCCTTCATCGTCCTCATCACTATCATCGCTGCTCTCCTCCGCTCCATATTTCCCGCCGCTTCTGTGCTTGTATGTTGGCTCACCGTCCCGCTTCACCTTGATCCGAATCACCCGGTAGGCGAAGACAATTCTGTTGACAGACTGCCCGTGATCCACCGTTCGCGCCCTGCCAACAGCAAGCCCCAGCCCTGGACTTGCTTCGACGGGTAGACCCAGTGCTTTGCCGCTTGGCCCGACTTTCAGGCTGGGACTGTGCCGCGTTTCTTTCGTAGACGACCTGCCGAACCCAGACGCAATCTTAAGTCCGGTGATCATATACACCCTCTTCCTGCCGAAGAGGCTGTTTTCTAGGAAGTTTTGCACGCGGCGAGATGCGGCGATGCTCTCCGACACGAATTTCTGGTCGGGTTCAAACTCAAAGGTTTCGAGAAGGTCACAACGATAAGCATCCGCCTTGTTGTTCGCAAACGCGTATATGAGTTCCGCGGAGAATGGAATGCTTTGGCTGGTTATGGCTTTGAAGCCGACCTCGGTTTGGAAACTCTGATCGAGCGTTTCAGTAAAGTTCGTGATGGAGCTCTGGTTTTGAAGTCCCAGAGGAATTGTTAGTTGTTCATTTTGGTTCAGCGGAGCCGTGAGTTGATCGACGGTGGAAAAGATGCTTCCAAGCTTAGGTGCTGTCTCGCTTTCGGGGTTGATGTCGAAATTGGGAGCCTGGAAATAGTAAAGCTTACCCATAGTGCTTGTTCATGAAGTGATTGTGAAGCATTCCCTGGAATCAACAAGCAGTCAAGGATGACCACAATCACTGCAAAGCAAGACCTTCTTGCAGCCTCACGCCTGATCGCTATAGATATTAAACATCGGGAGAGTGCGTCAGAAAACGGGCGCAGTATTGCATATTCCTAGGCTACCTAGTCCATATCTGGTTGCAACGCTATCGCGTATGCAAATTGGGTCAGCATGCAAATGCGAATGTATGCTTTTGATTGGGTTTCGAACCTCAGCCTGCATGTAAGAATCAGCTCATGTTCTGAACCCGGCACATCAGCTGTTCATAGGCATGAAATGTGTATGCATGTTTACAGTTTCAGACACCCCTTGGAGTGGACGGAGTGGACTTTGCTTCTGCTTTACCTGCCCCTTCGCTCTGCAGATGCGGCTAGAGGTAGGCTCGACATTCATCATGCCCAGCAACTTCAACAGTCAGGAGCAAAATGCAATCATATTACTCTTTTAATCTTCCTCTGAAGTTCCCATAAGCTAATTACATAAAATTGTAGAATAAGTATGTGTTCAAGATATTCTCCGCGTGAATTAAGCCTGCATGAATTAGGCCCAGACTACCTAGGTTCGGTCAACTGAGGTATCGTTTGATCTCCTCTTGAATCCAAGTATCGCTCTGATCCGGATCAAACAGCGTCCAATGCTTAATCCACCAATATCCATCGTGACTGTCTGGATCTCTCATTGTATAAAACATTCGCCGCATGGGTCCTGTTTTTCGAAGTCGGTCCCAGTCCTTCTGACTCAGAAAACCCCTTGAGTAGTCAAGGACGGTTGCTGCTATGCCGGCGGCGATCGGTGCCGCGCAAGACGTACCGCTCATGTGCTTATGATTGTTGGGTGAACTTAGTTTCTCCGGCCACGCCGAGTTGATACATTCCCCGAGCACCATGATCCGCATATTGTCTCTAGGGCTCGGTGTGAATGCAGAGCGGTTCCCCAGGCCGTCTGCAGAGTGGACGCAGATGACGTTTTCTTCCCGTGCGGGCCACGATATACCATCTTGTCTATTTTTCCCTCCATTAGACGCGGCTGCAAACATTAGCACGCCTTTTCCAGCCGCCTTCTGGATCTCTTCGCACAGATGGTCGTTTCTACTACCGAACCCGAATGACATGACTACGATATCAACAGCCCAGATGTCGACCGCATGTCGAAGAGCCTTATCAGGTCAGCAATAGTACATTTTGTAGAAATCATATCAACAACTTGCCTCGGCAATAATTTGTGCAGATGCGTCGCCTCGCGGCTTCTTTTTGAAGACCCTTGCTACGTAAATTGCAGCGTTCGGTGCAACCTTTCGGAGAAGAATGGCAAGGTGCGTGCCATGTCCAACGTCATCCCTCCATTCGGGATCTTTGTCGACCCAACTTCTGTACGATATTCTGGGCTCGAGGTCGTACAAGTCCCGGTGATCCGGAGTTAACTCAATGCCGCTGTCTAGAATGGCAATTCTGACCTTCCGTGTCTGTGGTATTTCCGAATCGTGCAGCTGTTGATTTATTCGAGAGAGAATATCTTGGTGATATCCGAACCACTCTTTTGTTCTAGATAATCTACGGCGTTTATGTTTAGCTGTGTTTCCTGGACAAATTACAGCATATTTGACGCTGAGATGAAGCGGGAAGAATATTCGGACTCACGCTACTCTGTCAACTGCCACCTCGCTCTCACCACAATCTGCCATGAGGCATAGCTCGTTTCTCTCTGAGTTTTTCGGTACGGGGTCGTCTTTAAGGCGTAGGTCAGCTAAGGTTTATAGTACAAGCCATGGTGAAAATGTATCTTACCTCTTTCCTGCTCTGAAATGCCAAGGTCATTCCCTGGCAAAACACTAGCAACGTTGTTTGGTCTTTGTTCTCCAGTCACATCGAAGCTCTTCAACTCCTTTTCCAAGGAACTGTGAAGCTCTTCTAAGTGAACTTTGTACCCATCCACAAGCTCCGATGCCAGCGGTAAAATGATACATGACAAGATGTACTGCCGAATAGGGCCTTCCTCCAAAAGGCTATGGCTTGGAATGTTGTGCGGAGGCTCCAGTTTTATGCAAGCGCGAATTACCCTCAGCAGGGTAGAAGATATCCGTTTAGATCTGTCGCGCTCTGCCTGCAATTCTAGCTTTTTCAGTAATCCCCAAGCCTCTTTATGGTCGTCGGTGCACTGCTCCTCGGTAGGTATAATTGTTGCGTAAGGTCTCCGCGGGAAGCAAGCCCCTGTGGCGATTTCTAAGAAGAGTATGCCGAGTGCCAGAATGCTTGGATGAGCATGGGATTGCATATGGGGCCATGTGATTCGAGTAGGTTCCTCTATTTCCTGCATATCAACTGAAAGGTAGGGGAAGTTTAGGGCGACTGGTTTGGATGCCGGGGCATTCGCCCGGCGGATGAAATAGACCTTGCTACTATTCCATGCCGTGTGTAACCAAGATCCAGGATACAAAAACAGCATGGAGTTTGCCAGGACGTAGCAGAGAATGAGATTCTCTTTTGGCGTATACCTCATTATGTGAGAAATGGACATGCCATTCCCCAGAAGCTGTTGAAGAGGTTCCATGATCGTACGATGGTCGACATCGTCGGAAATTTGGGGCCGCAGATGCCAAAATTTGTCATTCTCTAACATGAAGTCGACTTGGTAGCCTTTACTCTGCTTCAGCCACTGGCAGATGTCTCGGCTAACATGATGCCTTTCATGAGCGACTTTTACATTGCAGCTATGCTCGTGTCAGATGATATGATGGACATTGTAAAAGAGGCTTGGGAATTGTATCTTACGATGCTTCTTTATTGACCTCCACATTAGTCACCTTCCACTCAACCTGTTCTTTGCATACAGGCAGAAGAACTTCGTACTTAGCCTTTTGAAGTAGTCCTCGAGAAGAAGTTCTACCTGAAGAGAGCTTCAGCGCCAATATATGATGTCGGATTAAACTGAGCCTCGCTTCTCTTGCCCTCTCTGGCCTGGTAGCTCTCTGATGGCAGTTGCATTGCCAGTGGCGCTCCAGCATACTATAAATCCTGTTTGCTGCGTCCCTCATCCCACTGCTGGGATGCTGAGATAGACTCAGTTCAGAATTGCCATGTGTCGACCGGTCTCTGCAATACACATTGGACAGATGCGTGGCAGCTATTTTGATCGGTGTGATGAACTTCTCGCGCACCAACTTGGAGGTCTTCTCTTTCCCATGAAACAACTCAACTTTCATGTCCTGACGAATGATGTCCAGGTACCTTTGCCGTTGATCTTCTGTCTGACTGGACAGTTCGGCGCAAGCATTGTAACCTCCGAGGCCATGCGATTCGATACGTGTGACGATATCATGCAGCTTTTTGAACGGCCGCTGTTTCGTGTTTTTGTCAACAGCCATCTGTGAAAAAATAAGCTTATGTGAAATTTCGATGCCTGTATACCGAAGAAACCTGTTGGCCTACTGCATAAGTCTTGATGAATTCAAACGGCTTCCATTTTTGTGGCAACCGGCTTTCCAAAACTTTCAACAACCTTTCCACCTCTTCTCCTCTGAGACCAGGTGACCACTCTCCACATGATGCGACTAGGGCCGTACCAATGACGACGATATCACTGTAGCAATCATTGGCATCACTGGTGAGATCCGCATCATTGTGATCGCGGTCTATAAACTCTTTTCCCAGTGCCCCGAAGGCTGGAATCACCTGACAGAGAAGCTCCAACTGCCACATTAGATGCAAAGCTACTGCTCAGAGGATCCAAGCCTTCCTTTCGGGTTTATACAAATTGCAGAATGAGGGAATGAAAGAGAACAACGGCTGCGCTGGTGCGCAAGGCTTCGGTCGGCCCTAATGGCGCAATTTACGGAGGAAAAAAGGCTGACTTTCCAGGACGAACTTATGGCCGCGGGCAATCAGAAAGAACAATGTGGGTGGCGAGACCAAGAGGGAGGGGGTGTATATTGATAAAATTAGGCAGGTGTACATCATGTCATCCCCGCCGCATTTCTAGAGCAACCTGCCAGCATTTGATTGGTTCTTCTCCGTTCAGCTATGCACCTAAGTGTGTCGACTCATATTCAGTTGAAAAGGCTGTGGTAGAAATCATCGGACAACCCCTAATGGTATTTTTTCGCTGTGCTCTTCGCCAGTATAATTACCAGACACGGCTGCCTTTGCTGATGACCTATGCCTTTTGTTTTCGATATGGACCTCGAGACGGACCCCAGAGACATTGAAAGTCTCAAACAACTTGCACAAGGATGTGGGAGACTTCTAGACGTGATGTTTCAGGAAGAAAATGCTCGAGAGAGCGATCTTGACGCTGAGAAAGGCTACTGGGCGTCCCGCCAGTTCGCCGAGTTTAACATGTGGTGTACTAAGATCGGAGTAAATGACCAAGGGTCTCGCTCGATCGATGTTCGACTCAAAGACGTGCCTGATATCTGTAACATCATCGCGAAGCTACTCCATTCTCTCTCGAGAGATCTAGAGAGTCAGTGTCTATTCCGCCATGTGCGCTAGGTTCCTTGAAGCTGACCAACTTGGCATGATCAGAACTTCAGCAACCCTTTGTTGAGACCAAGGTTTCTATAAATACTGAAATCGACGTCAATGATGCCTACTCTGATGTTTCTTCGGAATCTTTTGACTCTCTATCCTCCCTTGAGCACACTGAAGTCGAAAATGCCATTGGAGAGGCTGGTTCGGAAAATGAACAGGTTCTTTGTCTTCAAAAGCACATTGAAGACACGATGGACCGTCTCCATTGCCATGCTCTACATATCGAAAAGGTTGGACTGACGCATCGTCAAAATAGAATCAGAATTTATCAACAAAAAGAAACGCCGAAGTTTGCTTTTGAAGGTTTCAACAGGATTGGGTACCACAAGGCAAAAGCAAAATTTCCATCAGCAACAGATGCCTTTCATCAAAGAATTGCTGAATCGTTTGTCAGAAGGAGAATGCGTTTTGATTACTTACGAATGCATCGCAAGAAGAAAGCCATCGAAGCCATAAAAGCGCAACAGATGTTGCCCATACATCCACGGCCTGATACGGACCACCAAGATGGCGATCTGCAGAGTGTTGAGCCTAGGACGCAGGACACGCCCCAAAATGTCGAAGATATTACCCAATTATACCAAGAAGATCAACAAACTATTTACCCAGCTACAGTGAACACGAAGTTGGAAATACATCCTGAAACAAAATCACAAGAGCGGGCAGACAGCGTCGTTTCGATCGCACTGAGGCATCCGTGCTTCCCACCGCCCCCACAGTTCACCAGTGCGAGCTTTCAATGCCCCTATTGTCGACTCGTATTTCGAGCTGCTGAGGCTGAAAAAGCCAATTGGAGGTAGACTGCTGTCCTTGATTATCCATATTAGCATGTATCGCCCACTAACAATGAGTTTGACAGCCAACACGTCATGCAAGATTTTGAACCCTACTTTTGCATACTTGAAGAATGTAAAGCACCATTTGATGTGCCAAACACATTTGATGGCCTGTTGAGACATCTGCAAGACCATGTTGAGGAACGCTTTCACGTCGATCTTTCGAACGGTGAGCACAAGATCTTTGATGAGATGGAATTTGAAGAATACTGCACCCAACAAGGCAACATATTTGCGAGGAATCGTTCAATACTAAAAATTGCAGCCCGACGAAAGGGAGCCTTCATACTGGAAAAATGTCCCTTTTGCGGTGGATATCCGGATGTACTTGAAAAGCGCTATCCAGACTCGAACGACCCGGAAGCCCAGATTGAGTTGCGCCACCATATCAAACAGCATATGCAAGACATTGCACTATTCCTTCCACCTTATCGTGAAGATGTCTTAAGCAAAGACGATGACTTGCCGGTTTCTGTATTATCTGGTGAACGGACAAGTACCAGCAGTTTTAGCGAATTAGAACATTTCGTAAAGGTCTGCGAGAGAGAAAGTTGCGATTGTAAAAATGATGGAAGATACGCGGAGGAGTTGGGTGAATTACCGGAAAGATCTAGACCGGAACACGACGACACAGACTTTTGGGCGACTCTGTTTCCTGAGGCCCTTCGCTACGATAATACAAGCTTGACCGAGGAGTCTTGCCTGAAAGATAAAAACCTCAGACACTTGTACACAGAGAAACTCCGCCTGACGCCCAAGGTGGAAGCTGCTGGTTCAACGAATGCTATCACGTGCCCGGTCATTCGCGGGATAAGCGATTATGCCGACTTGCACAAAGATAGAGAATGGCAAAGCTTTGCTTCAATGAACGGCCGGGGCGTACGCAGCAGACCTTCTGCGTCAGATACAACCCAATGAGGTTGAAAATGAGAGACGGATTAGTGAAGCTATCGGTAAGCGTTCGAATTTCATGCTTATCTTGGGTAACTTATAGCATCTAACTTATAGGCAGTTAAAGAAGATACTGTTAAGGAAGAATTCACGTTTGCCGGAAATGAACAACTTCGCAGAAACAGATTCCACTCGTTGTCGCCATCGGATGCATCAGAGAGAACGCCGATATTTTGATATTGGAAACTGGTTTCTAGCAAGTGCAGTCTTCCAAGAGTGGAAGGCTGGGAAGCGTCAACACCTGTGGCTCTACGGCCTAGCAGGATGGGGCAAGACAATGTTGAGTACAAAAATTCTGGATTTTCTTACATGTAATAGCGTTAATCTCGTACTTTCATTTATCTTTAACTACAATGAAACTGGGAAGCAAACTCTTGATCATCTTTTACGGTCACTTGTGTTACAACACTGCGATACTGGGGAAAGACTTGCAACGCTGATTGATTATCTTTACCTAGCTTTTGATAGTGTTAAGAGACAACCAGACGTCAAGATCTTATCTATCTTTGTTGAGCATATAATGCAATCATCAAAGTTTGTTAATGTCTTAGACTCTCTAGATTAATGCATCACAGCATCGAAACTTTTGACGTGGCTGCAGGGACTTACGATTAACGATCCAATTGGTGGCAGCAATTTAATCGTCACCAGTCGGCCTGAAGCAGCATCTCAACGTGAAATACTCTTTTATTTATCAAGATAACTGCACATTACTAGACAAAAGGTCAATAAAGGCAGACACAAAACCATATGTCACCACACAGCTTCAAGAACGGCCAGAGTTTACGGTCAACTCATTATCTGATGACCTAGTGAAAATAATCATTGATAGTGTCGGTAATGGGGCCGATACTATGTAAGTTTTTCCCCCACTCGCCTAAGGTATTACTGATGCAACGTTTACTATAAAATATAGGTTTAGATGAGCAGCGTGTCAGTTAGACACTCTTGCCAAATGCCGTCATCCCCAGCAGATTGAAGAATCTCTTATTACCGTCCTTGAAAGCTGAGCTTAATTAATGATCGAATGCTTCAGAATATATCGGCAGAGCTGAAGAGTGACGCAATTCACCTGCTGCAGTTTCTCGTTCATGCGCTACGGCCTTTGTCATTACCTGAGGCGATAGATATTATAGCCACGCTAATCCAGGAGGAGAAGTCAATTTTCTACCATTCCCAAGCGGAACGGGCTGAGAGCCAAATGTTGTTTCCGCTATTGTCAATGGTTGTTCGTGATGAGAAGTTCACAAGCGCTTGAACCAATGCATCATACAACCTAGACTGAGGGGTAAGTTGAGTGAAGTGAAGGTCTCCTGTGTTTTCGTTTTTCTTTTGAGAGTAACAAACAATATATGCTCGGTTGTCTCCCTTGCCTTCAAGTGCATATGTGCCGCTTAACACTCTATCGAGACTTAGCTTCATGCTGAAATAAAGTTTTCCGAATGCAATTCGGCGCTGTGAATGGACTTATGCCAGGGATATAACTTGATACTGCTGCCATTATCCTCAACTGAAACTTCAGAAAACGCTGGAAAAAATCTTCACCAGGGGTCTGCTGTGAGCAGGACTGATTTAGGAAGGCAGCAGCACAGTAACAAAAACCAATCACGACATATCATGCATACTTGAAATAACCGCTTTGCGATGTAACCTTTCAGGCGTTAGTCTCCAGAGCTATTTTGATTAATAACGAATACGGGGCCAGGCAATGAGTACGGTAGCTTGTCCGCCACGATTTAACGTGTAGTCATAACTTAGCCGTGGCAATCGCCGAGAAGCAGCTCGGTACCAGAAGATCTTCGGTATTGTCAAGATGAGGTCGACCCCTGTCTCCCAAGACTTGGGGGTGCATCCGCTGCGCGATTGACCTCTGAACACGGCAGGTCAATAATTTCACTGACATGAAGGCGACATTTTTTGCGCCATTTAGGCTATTGCGGCCCGCTAATTGCTTTTTCTCCCATATGGCGACATACAGCGCTTTATCGCATGGCTTTCGATCGTGGCCGTGGTACTTGAGGGCGCGAATCCCATTCTTGGCCCGCCGTGAGGTAGCTTCCTAAGCTCCCGCTCTTCCACCTGCATCTGCCAAGTTGCATTGCCATTGGGAAAATGCACGGCTTTGAAAAAGTTTTTCTGTGCTCGCTTCTGGGTTCCGTAGCTGCCCGGCAGCGAGGAGACGGGCCCGATCCGACTGTCGCTCGCTTTGCCAAGAGCTACATCGTCGAGTTCAATGCTGTATGTTGAAGGGTGAACACTTGTTTTGTTACTCCCATTTTTGATCAAAATTGCAGGGAAAGTCAGCTAGACTCAGCTCCTTGGCCTCTGAAGGCGATGTCAAGATTGTAAAGAGCTTCGACAGCGAGATTTTTACGGGCGCGAGTGTCGAGACAAACGAGCTTAACCTTGACAGCCTTCTTGACCTACCCGATGTTGTCAATGTTTGGCCCAACAACCCTGTTTACCTTGATCCAATCGTGCAGCAGGATGAAAGTTCCGCCGCGGTACCTTCTATCGTTCATACTGTAACTGGAGTCAGCAAGTTACACGAACAGGGTATATACGGAAAAGGAGTGAAAGTGGGTGTTGTGGACACAGGTATCTGGTACAACCACGAGGCAGTAAGGACTTCAAACCATACCTGTTAGTGGTAACATTGAGCGACTAATCATCTTTTTCATTGAAGCTTGGTGGCGGCTTTGGAGAGGGCTTCAAGGTTGCTGGCGGACATGATTTCGTTGGTGATCAATGTAAGTTTAGGAAATTTGCCGGATGTGACTATCCACGACCAGAGGCTCACTGCAGGAAAAAGACTGGCCCTCAATTGGATACGAAAAGGAACCCGACAAGGACCCGATCGATCTTTCGGGACATGGTACCCACGTAGCTGGTATCATTGCTGGAAAAAGCGACGAGTAGGCCCTTATTGATAGTCTGTTGCGTAAAGATTTGGCTTCTGACAGTTGAAAAAGTTTCACTGGAGTCGCTCCTGACGCTACACTCTACGCCTATAAGGTCATGACTCGCCAGGTAAGGCATTTCTCATCTAATTGATGGCCACCAGAAGCTAATGGGATTCAGGGTGGTACTGATGCGGCTACTCTTATTGAGTCTTTCATTGCAGCATACAATGATGGAGTAAGGATTGCAACTTGAATATTAAAATGAATATCATCTGACAAAGCTTCAGGTTGACATCATAACCTCCAGTATAGGAGGCGCTGGTGGCTGGGCCGAGGAGGCCTGGGCTGTTGTTGCATCTCGACTCGTTGAGCAAGGAGTTGTTGTGACCATTTCCGCCGCTAATTCAGGCTCGCAAGGAGCATTCTATGGCAGTAGCGGATCATCGGGCAAGAATGTCCTCGCAGTTGCTTCCGCGGATGCCCTAGCTGTGAACACGACTCGGGCATCGTCATTCACGTCCTGGGGGCTTCTTAACGACCTCAGCGTCAAGCCCGATATCACCGCTCCTGGAGGTTCGATTTACAGTACTTACCTCAACAACGGCTGGACTACCATGAGCGGAACATCCATGTCGTGTCCCTACGTTGCTGGTGTTGCGGCTCTGTACATTAGCGCTTCCGGCGGTCGACAAGTGCATGGGAAAGACTTCGCCTTGAGCCTCAGCAAGCAAATCATTGCCAGCGCTAAACCACTTGCGTATCATAATCCGGCTTACTCTGAGCTTGCGGCGCCTGTAGCTCAGGTAGGCAACGGACTGATTGACGCATACAAGCTGCTCCACTCCAACATTACGCTCGATTTCAAACCAATCGCTCTGAATGACACTCGCTATTTCAATAGATATCACGACATCACTGTTAAGAACATGGGATCCGAGCCTGTGACGTATCATCTTTCTGCCCAGGATGTTTACGGCGTTGACACTTTGGCATTGGATACTGTTAATGGTGATAAAAGAGTAAGGCTGCTATCAGAGTTGGCCCCCAAGAAGCTGCCGGTTGAAATTAGCCTCCCACGCGACTTTATCCTAAGCCCAGGAGATAGTAAAACCGTATCGTAAGTGTGATCGATTGTTGAGATACTACACAGCGTGCGGACTAATTACTCGAGAGCAGCGTCAACTTTAAGAACCCAGAGTCTCTTGGGTGGAGCGCGACTGTCCTACCCCTTTACAGTGGGAAGATTATTGTCGCGGGAAACAATGGGGAAGAGCTTTCGGTACCCTACGCAGGTGAGTACCGGGGTTGAATCTATGTTTTGCAAGAGAGGCCTCTGACTTAGTCAATCCAGGGGTTGCGGGAGACCTGAGAAAAGAGCTCGATCCGCTGTTCCGCAAGGGCCATCCTTATCTGGTATCTGGTGAGCCTGCACAAACGGGCAAAACATCGTAAGCACAACCCCTTGGACATGCGGTAAATAGAACTAACAACTTCCAGATTCACTTTCAACCTCACTCTTGGAGTACAAGACTTTCCAAAGATATTCCATAACATCATTTGGGGCACTAGACAAGTCCGATGGGATGTACGTGCTTACTTTTACTTTGTTTGGGTCTTTTGTGGTACTAAACTCCTCCAGATTTTCGAAGCGGGATGGACTGAGAGACAGTGGGCTTATCCTCCTGTCGTTGGCGAGAAAGGGTACATCGGTTCAGGTGCCTACTGGGTAGGCTCGGGACAGGCGCCCTTCTTTGACCCGACGAGATGGGACCCTGATGAAACCTTGTCGTACCCCAAGATCGACCTCCCCAGAAGCAACTTCAACTTTGAGAACTGGTGGTTTGGTAAGCTTGCGAATGGTACCAAACTAAGCCTCGGAAATTATGTGTACGTCATTTAAACGTTCCAACATTGTCTGATATCTGAGGTGGCTAACTTTCTCTGATACACCAGGCTGCGGTATGCTGCTCTGAAGCCATTCGGTACCCCCGATCACTCGGACAATTGGGTCACCTTCACAACGCCAATTGAAGTATTAGGACAATATTAAATGATGAAAAGGAAAGGATGATCATTTGACCAAGAGTAAGAATCATTTGTTCTCTTTACTGTTATGAATCCTCAAGTACACGCAATGAAGGCCTTCTTTGTTCCGTTATTTCAACAAGACATTTTGGGAGATACTAGTAAAAACATGGTCTTCTATGATTAGATACACGAGTGAGTTACAGCATTGGAACGATAACAAGAGGATAAGCATAAATAAGCAATAAATATATGGAGCTAGGATTACGGCTATATTCTGCCATACTGCAGCGCCGTGCACTTCCATAGACGGCTACTATGAAGACCTGACCGTGTCTTTCGATGTAAATTTGGGCCCTTCATTTTAAAAAGGGAGCTAGCTTTTCTTGATTTGATTACCCTTGTAGAAGGATATGGTATGGTCTATTCGTTCATGGGGTATTTCAACAGGCCACTTTAGGTTTGGCACTACTGCTTACCTAGGGCAGGTGCAGTTAATATCGAATGGAAGACGACTAAATCTTTTTCATTCTAACTGGCCAGCATTAATAATACTGCAGTGGCATCTACGGAATTACTGCCTTGATGAACGCGCTCTAGCTTGTGAATGCCCACGCATCCCGTGCATTCCGCGCTATCGGATTCCATATTCCGAGTAGCGCCAAACGGGACCTACAAAGTATTCTCAACATTAATAATACAATTTTATGAAGGTGATTTCTGCGGATAAGCCCAGGTATAAGACATCTTCCGGTCAGTTGGGTCTCAAGAGTTATATGGCTGGCCCGCACCGCCTATCAAATTTGTTCCTCTCATTTGATCCATAGATCGCTACACAACCCCTTGTCCATCATTTGCCAATCAAGAAGAAGATGAAAGTTCTGGTTATAGGAGGCACCGGTTTGATCGGCGGCCATGCTGCTCTCCACCTTCGATCCAAAGGACACGACGTCACCATAGCTGGTCGTCGGACACCCTTGGAAGTTCCTGCGCTCGCTCAGCTACCATTCCTTGCGGGAAGCTACCTCCAAGGGGATTTTACTGTTGAAAAGCTGTCTTCATTCCAGGTTGTTGTGTTTGCGGCAGGCAGTGACGTTCGACATGTGCCGGAGGGCCAAACAGCCGACGATCACTACCTCCAAGCCAACGGGGAAGCCGTGCCAGCATTTGCTCGCCGTGCACGACAAGCCGGGGTAAAGGTCTTCATACATATCGGAAGCGCCTACCCCCATGTCGTACCTGAGGTGGTAGAAACAAGCGCTTACGTCCGCTCACGAAAGCTGGCAGCAGACGGGGTCGCGGCTCTTGCAACTGCCGAGTTCCATGCCTGCAGCTTGAACCCCCCAATTGTTGTCGGCACTGTGCCCGGCATGGAGGTCCCGATGTTCAAGGCTTATATCGACTATGCGAAGGGCAAGCTTCCCATCCCCCCATTCGCGCCTATTGGGGGGCTGAACTTCATTTCGACGCAATCGCTGTCCGAGGCCATAACTGGAGCCATCGAGAACAGCAGGTTGGTATCAGGAAGAAGCATTCTCCTTGGGGACGAGAATCTTAGTTATGCTGAGTACTTTGAACTGTTCTTCTGGGCTGTTGGTAATCCGCAGAAGTTGCCGGCATTGCAGCAAGACCATCCATTAATGCCCAAAGACATGTTATATGCGGGCGACAAGGTTGTAGCTTACGAGCCGGACGTTGCAGATTGGAAGATATTGGGGTCTTACCGTCGGCGTGACATCAAAACCGCAGTCCGTGAGATTGTCGACGGACAAAACTAAACCGAAAATGCGGAAGGGGAACAGGGGGAGGGGGGGTTGGATTTGGGATCAAAGAAAGTGGATGCTAAGGACCACATCAGCTTGTAGGCGGAGTTCATCTTATCTCGATTATGGCTGTCATGATTTGTAATTCTGCAGGGTCAATGGTGTAGTCTTCCTATGAGCTCCACAGGATCTTCGCGTCAGTAAGACAATGTAGCCTAAAGCGTGGATTCGTCCTAATCAGTTACCGCCCTTCCCCAACTGCGTGTCCAGAGTAAACGACATCTGCCCCATGTACGTATTTTGCCAGTCGTCCACGTGAAGCTCTGGAAAGGTGCCTGATTCCATCTGAGTGTCGAACAACGGCCAGTTTTCAGTCGTCGGCTGCTGTAACGGGAGGTTTATCGTGTTTTCCACGCCTCCTTCTAAATTCACGATGCCCTTTTTTGACTTGATGTACGCTTCTGCAATGCGGTATAAAGATTTGCAAAGCTCGTACTGTCTTTTGCAAGACTCCATCAGCCCGCTAATCCGTTCGCTGATGTCGAGCGCGCCTCGCAGCAGCTTCAGATCGTCGACACTCGAGTTTCTGATGCAGTGGAGGAAGGTGATGATGTATGGGGTGAAGGAGGAGTAGATTTGCGTCCTGGTCAGCCTTGAATTAGCACAGAACTACAGAGGCATGGGAGTATTATGCGCAATTACCAAACTGCATAGCTGAAAAGAGCCGCACGGCCCCCTGATGCGGATCGAGGGAAGGCAGTTGCGTGAGCTGTGAGCCCTTTTCTTGCTGCGTCGAAACACTCTTCAGAAATGGCGCCGGCACAGTTCGATGAACTGGACCCCCGATGCAACAGAGTCAGGATGGAGTAGTATACCACATCGATACCCTCAAAGGTAAACTCAAAGAGCTCCTTGCGGTAAGCATCAGTGTAGTCAACGATACGCCACTCATCATACCACTTTGCGAGCCGCTTCGAAAGATCCGCCACCGAAGCTTGCCTTTCTTCGTCGCTGGAGCGTGTGGATCCAGGCGAGTACAGTTTCTCGTATATTGCGGCTCGTATTCGTCCGAACTCTATAAAGGTAGCAAAGGATAGGTCCCAAGGCCGCCTTTCGGGGTTATTGGAGATTTCGAAATCCTTGATGTCGATATCGAAGTCCTGAATGATCGGGGCTTTCCCTTGGCTAAGGGTCAGGCCGCGCTCTGCGAAGTAGACGTGCCAGAAGAGTCGTCGCGCTCGGCGGGCTTCTACGGCAGGTAGTGCTGATATCCTCGCTTCTCTGTGGTAGCCTAATGCAAGACATTGCCTTGCTGCCGCCGATATCACTGTCCATTGTAAAGCTAAGTTGCCGTCCAGCTGAGACCGTAGTGACTGCATAAATGTGATCAGTCGATAAACTTTTGTTTCAAGGAATCAAAGCAGTTCAATGGGATCTAACCGCAATAGCCAGTATTAGTGTATGCTCTAGTGTTGGTATTGCCATGACCTCGTATGTTTCGATTCCAGTCTTAAAATTCGTATAGCAGAGATTATAGAAGCGGCTTGTTTCTTCGGGGTTGAGTTCCGGGTGTTTTTCGAAATCGATATCGCGCAAAAGCACCGACAAGCAACCGTTCAGGAGAGTGACCTGTCCGGTGGTTACGGGGTCGACAGAGAAATAGACCTTCCGGCATAGTTCTTCGACCTGTAGTCGGTTTTCGATTGCGTAATACAGAAAGAGTACTGATTGCTCTAGACACCGTGTTCAGCAAGACTCAAGCGTGATGGGACCTTTTTTTCTTGGCTTACCAGTAACAGTACGGAGCAGGCGGATGACGAACTCCGAGGGCGGTAGCTGAAGTTGGGCACCCTTTCCCACGTGTGCTATTCTTCGCGTCTGCTTCGTCCCTGGTAGTGCTTCCTGGCTCTGGTAAATTCCTCGCAGAGTTGCTAACTCGTCCACAACATGAGGCGACTGAGCAGCCTCGATCTTTAATTCCTCTACCTGACTGGCCAAGTACGTCTGCTGTCTAAAGGACGAATCTCCCTCATAGGAGAGGTGGTGGTCCTCCCACAGGCAATGATGCGTTGTTGAATCATCTTCGACATTCGGCGTTGCGGTCGGAGTTGAAGTTGGTGTGACTCTACTTGCTTGAGGGTCTGCCTGGCTGCGAAGGGCTTCTTCAACGACTTTTAACCTCTCATGTAGTTGCTGGATACTAGGATAACTTCCGCCGCGTCAGCTGAGAAACAGTAATCCAACGCCCTGTTTCCCCGTACCTTTCAGGCCTCTCATTAACCACACGTTGTGCTGGTTGCCTTCCAGCTGGTCTACAGGGGATCTTTGACGTTATGCAGTTTGAACAAGGAACTTCTCGATTGCATCGTGTCTACTTCAGGTCAGTTTGATAGGTTTCAGATGCATCGACGTGAAAGTTAGATAAGCGAAGCCGCGGGCTGAAGAAATTGGATTCAATCCGACGAAGGAAGTAAACCACAGTTTACGCGTATATCTACTTACTTTGCGTATCCGACAATTATGGCACTAAGACAGACAACAATAAGTAGTAGTTAGCGACCATCCACGTATAAAGGTGACGGTCATGATCTCGTTAGGCGGGACTTACCGCTCTCGGAATCACACTGGTCCTGGGAGTGTGGTCCGACTCCATGGTAGTGCGTAGCCAAGGTCCCTACAGAGAGGGCTATTCCTCATACACACTGTACAGGGTTTTTCGGCATTCGTTTACTGAATTACGTATGGCCGCAGTTGTGTCCGTTTGTCCAGTCCTTGGGAGTTCTTTTGTTTTTAAGCCCCGTGGACTCCGTGGTAGGCGCGCGTAGTGCACGGACTCATCCCCGAGACAGGGTTGTCCGTGGGCTCGACTGACTAAGTTAAAACTGCGGCCCTTCCCTGCGGGGTCTCTACTTATCAGAAATACGAGGCTTCAGTTTATGAAAGCGATACCGAAGCCGAACCAGAAGCGACAGCTTGCGAGTAGGTTCATCATTTTAGGATAACATTCGCCGAATACCTAATCTAGGTATCACCTTCGCGTTCCGACGAACCCGTGCCGGCTTGCATTGGAAAAGATACGAATACAATAAAAAAAAAAAAAACACAGCACCAGCCAGTCATAATCTCAGATCTACCAATCTTTTCGGCCCTATGCTTCTTTTTTAGTTTAGCGGTACCTGTTTGCCTCCTGAGTGTGCACCCTTTCACCCTCTTCGGACTAAAACTCGCTGTTTCCCCCCTCTTCTTCTTCAAGGTATCTATCACGTCCTGGAGCACAGTTACAGTTTTGGGGTAGTCGTTATAGAGACCCGGGCCCAGTAGGAAGCCGCAGGCTCATCAGATGGAGACCGAGGTCCCCGAGCTTAACTCTAAAAGGTGTTGCTGCTAAATTTAATGCTTTTTAGGACTAATGAAACTTGACGGATAAATAAGCATAGGGTGTATTACTAATCAGTCACCCAGCTGTAATGAGGTGGATCACAGCATATGTCACTCTCGAGTTTTTAAAATCTAAAATGATAGCTATTTGTATCAAAAGCGCTGCATGGAAGCAATGTCACGTGAAAAGACTGGACTTGAAACTAATTGGGATACACGGCACACGTTCAAGTGGCCAGCACTCGGCAGTTGTTTATCGTTATTCCCAAGTTATAACTGAGATGCTTCATCCTAGCATAAGGCTTTAAGTTACCTTAATGATGAGTATTATGCATGACAAATCGGAGTGTCAATGTCAGGCAGAGGTTGCTAGACGAATACGATCATGATTCATTGCTTAAGTTCCTGTGCCATTGAGGTCGGGATTAGGGTAACGATCATCCTGATTAAGAGTTTAGAGCAGCAATGCACGCCCTCCTAAGTCTGTCATCTTGCATGGGAACATCCTCGCCACTGCACTAAGACTTATCTTGTGGTCGGTTCCGCCTAAGGTGTAAATACTCATTTTACTTTTTTCTGTTATGTATAATGGTTTTAAAGTGGCCGCTCTAGCACGATTTGCGCAGTCGGGTTTCTCTCCGTACCCCGACTTTAGTCGTTGTCTCAGGCACGTTGCAGGCCACCTTACCAAAGATCTTTGCAACACAGCGATGATCAATGCTTTTTTTTTTAAACCAAACTTTGGATACCTTTACTTATCAAAACCTCGCAAACCTTGCGAAATCGGATCCTGTAGCCTGAGATATACCTGCGCAATCCGGGTGCGGATGCTTTGTCGATCTTATCCGAGCCATTCTAGCATTCTAGATTTATACTTCTGCTTTGCAGGTCTAAAGGCTATTTACATTCGTGAAGGAAAGGAAGCAGATAACACATGGCAAGCCTCGAACTTCAGGACGAAATATCAATTCGACATATTCTTTATGGCTACTTAAGTGGGAAGATTCTTGCAGGTTATTAAACGTTAGTGTCAGCCTCACAGTTGATAGTGTTTCAAAAAGACCGATTTGGATGTGACACAAAAAACACCTTCAGAACTGAGATTCAAATACGCACGTGCCGTAATAAGTGACATCCATGACTCCCACATCCGTCGTATCGTCTATTTCAATTGATTCTGTGTTTATTGCCGAGACTGGTGAAATCACAGAATGGCCTTTCCTTCCCACCGGTAAAACAAAAAAGAATTTTAATTTAGACAAGACGAATGGAGACGAGTGAGAAACTAAGCCTAATGTTCGGAATCCATCTTCGTACAATCACGCACAAGATAATTTTAACGGCATCTTGGCCGCGATAATAATGTCAGTCCACTCTCTTCCTAGACTGTAGCCGATTGCCGTCGACCTTAAGTGGTGATACCTGCCCTTGGCTATTGTACCACCGCAATTTGACAACTGCCCTCCAGACAATTTCTAAAGCAAAAGGTATCAGTGTAGATAGTGACTGAGTTAAACACATCTCTTGTATTTTGTGTGGTTGGCCCTCAGATAATCATAGATAGCAGCTGCAACAGGTTATACATTGAGCTTACGGGAAAACTGCTTGGAAGGTTGGATAGCATAGTATGACTGTACCTTAGGCTGGGCAGAATTGCACTGGTTTTCATTCATCATGTGATGCCCCAGGGCCTACTGTCCTTCAAAAGATCATGTAAGAAGTATCTCATAGGTTATAGAGGTCCTGAAGACATAAATTGCGCACTGGTCTTTGAGATGTGGTGAGGGAGCATGGTTTCAGCGGCTCTCAAATGAAATCAAGGTCAATGGAAGCATATACTTGCAACGGTACCACGTTTACTACCCCTTCAAAGTATTGGAAAGTGTCGCCGGTGGTGGTATGTACTGCAGTAACTTATGAACAACGATGTAGTGCCCTATGCCACCTCAAGCCTCGAGAACACTCATCAGTTCTAACCCAGCTAAACCGCTTCCATATTGTCTGTCTACAAGAACTCTAGATGTTGACTTCTTCGATACAACCAGATGAAGTAGTACATCTTGCCAAATACCACGAATCTCTAGCCTGTAACCACTCCTGTGGGGCTGAACCTCCCATGATTATGGCGCAGGTTCTTCGGCCGTATCAAGCGGACATAACAAGACCCTGAAATGACAAACCTCACTCAAGAATGCAGAGAGCTTACATACTACAGTACTAAGTCTTAGCCAGGCCAAGACAGCCACGCTGGACCCTGCGCTACTCACCTGGCACGTGCAGCGGGAAGTGCTTTGAAAACAATGTGAAAAGATGATATGAGATTCAACCCTTACAGAATCCCAAACGAGTAGTGTACTACAGAAGAAAAAAACATGGTCACTCACTGACGAATGAGCTTTCTTCGGTCACAACCCCGAGCTCGATCTGCACTACCACAGCCACGTTCTGCCCCTTTTCGCAAATCGAGTTCAAAACAAAGCTGCCCCCTTCCCCATGTTCCTGTTTGCGCTGAAATAAGCCCGGCGGCCGCCAGTCAGCCACCACATGGGATGCAGAGTCAGGTATGAGGAAAACACATGCCAGCGTGGAGTCCATCAGTCACCAGAACGATGCATGGACAAGACCGGTACAACCGACACTCTTCACTTACTGAGGTCATTACAGGTATGAAAATCTGGGGAAAAAAATAATTACATTTAAAAAAATCAAAAATCAAACAGATTGTTCAATCTGTAGACTAAGATGAGGATATACCGGCAACCTACGTACAAATGCCGTCATTTACGATATCTCGGATCGCGTCATTAATTTCATTTTCATCTACAAAACGTAGAGCTACGATCAGATAAAATCTCGACTATTCATCAATGTGGAAATCGCCTGCTAATCAACTGATAGATGAATGACAGACGAATGCGTAATTACTTTGAATTCCTGCTGGCATCTCGACGAATGCATCGTTCCGTGATCGTCGACCCACTTTCTCGTTCTTGTCACACGCGCTACGTACCTCAAGAACCTTCGATGGACCTCGTATCACGCCTTTTCGATCCACTACCGTGCATTTATTTCATCAAGAGACAGCAGATAAACGGCTTAAAAGGAACTTTTCAGACTTTTAACCTAGATTCCACACGCTTAATCAACTGACATAATAGGTTAGAACAAGCGGCTTATATCCGAAGCCTCACAGGTGCCGTCACATCACATCTACAGCTAGCTCCGAAGCCCCGGTTCAAAGCCACTGTTGGAGTTCACCAGCTCATGTTGGGCTGTCGAGTAGCTGGATTCAGATCATAGCTTGGCTTAACGTGTATCTAAAACCCAGTCTTTAAAAAGCAAAGTCGACGGAGGTACTCCACTGCGGCAAACCTTGATGCTGGCTTAGGCCCATATTGGCAGCCTGACAGATGCCTTTCAATCGGACTGGATGAAATATCTACGCTTTAAGTTTAGCGTATGTTCAACCTTAGCGACTTCTGAATCAGTCTTTGTGAAAACAAAGCCACACAATGACAAGTACAGAGCAGTTGGAGTCTTTTAAAAGGGCAAATTGCGCCCTGCATCGTTCATAGCCCACTAGGGGCCTTTCTCGTCTGATCCCAAGCAACAGGTACCCATCAAGCATCGTACCACGTCATATCTTTTCTAACGAAACCTCTGTTGCTACAGCTCAAGATGGCTGGTATCCAGTCCGAGGCGCTGATCGTATGTACAGTCGACCCGTTGGCTCCAAGTAGATGCCCAAACTGATTTTTCCTCTCCAACAGGCTGTCGAGTGGTTGTTACTCGGCATTGCACTTGTGCTCATACTTGCCCGACTCAATTTGCGAATCAATCACCTCAAGGCAGGGTTCGTTCTCGGCGATGTCTTCATTCTTGCAGCATTTGCTGCTGCAGTTTCTTTAAATGCTGTGGACATCACGCTATATCATCGAGGGATCTACGAAGCGGACATCGACTTCAAAATGACTACTTGGGTGGCAACGGAAGAAGAGTCAACTATTGTTTATAGGGTAAGCAAGCGTGTTGGAAGAACTTGCCATGCGTTTGATGGGGCAAGAAGTGTTAAGAGCAAATACTAACTCTTGTAAAACACAGACGCTCTACTACCTATATTTTCCATTCTACCTTGAACAGTATTTCAACAAAGGCACGCTCATCGCTTTATATTACGAAGTTTTTGGTGGTGGCTCTCGCAAGATTAAAGTCTCACTAGCTGCGCTCACCTTCTATTGCATATCTGGATTCATCACGACTATCTGCATTATACTATTCTTGTGCGAGTGGGGATGCTACTGGTAGGTACTCTCTGCGTATACAACTCTGTTGATGTTGACTTGTGAATCTAGGTCATATGATAATCCATGCCCGCAACGCTGTTGGAAAGTCAGTGATAACCTGGGCTGGGCTTTTCACTTCTCATCTGATATCTTTAGTAAGTTTACACTCGTCAGAAAGCGTACCTTGGCTAATATATGCAGTCTTCATTCTTCCACTTGTCTGCATTAGCAAGCTGAATATGACAAAAGCACAAAAGATCAGTGCTAGTATTACCTTTTGCATTGGATTTATCAATATTTCAATCACTTTCGCGAGATGGCTTGTTGTTCAAGCCGTATTCACTTCAGTACCAGCTCTCAATACGGGACGTAAGTTATTCGCGGCCCTTTGCATTGTGTGTACTAAAGCTGACTATGTGATGCAGAGGCAATGGCAATTGCTGACGGACACATCGGCCTCATCGTCAGCATTCTACCTTCACTCCGACCTTATCTACGAATCTGGTCAAAGAAGCGTCAAGACGCCAAGTCATCTAGGAGCACTACCGAATCAGATTACAGTACTAAATAAGGCCAAATCATTTTGTTCATGGGGTAATATTATTAATGTACTTGCTGGAAAGAATGGCTGGTGTGTGGACCGAATGTTTCGAAGCGTCATGTTGTATCCCGACAGATATCATAGTAGCGCTTGTACCAAAATACATTTTTAAGTCATGTTGCAGCCAAATTTCTTATCCCTGCCATATGACACAGCTTTAAATACCGTTGTTTCCCACAAACGTTCAACAGCTGCGTTAGGTCTTCTCAGGGTGGCACAACATAATAGTTCAAACCCACGAAAGGGCGTGAACATTTACCTACCTAAGGTAGGCTATAATCCATTTTAAACTGTACCTTTCAAACAACCCTTGCGGTCAATTAAAGCTGCACAAAGTTTAGCAGTTCTAGTGGCGACCTTGCTGTAGGTGATACTTTTGTGCTTTCTCGTCGTACGGTAACCTTGTTGCTGATTGAGACTTATCTTATAGCCCGGCGTGTCTTCTCAGGTTGGAAGATCCGCTCATAAAATGGATAGACCCCGAATTTGAAGTCATATAACTCGACCATGATGTAAAATGCCGACTGGATGGAAAGCTGCGGTTTTGAATAGTATTTAAACACACCCCGACTGTCAAAGATTTATAAATTTTCCTTGAGTAAGCGGTTGCTCAAAGAAATAAACAGCATCTAATAAACAACGTAGGGTGAATAAAAGGCTGATGTACATCCGACTAGAACGAAAACTGCGTCCAGCCAAACTCTTGAACTTTTCATCCTCTATTTCTCCTCGATCAAGGCCCTAAGCCGTTTCTCATCCAAAATTTCGCCCTCAACTAACCGTCCGGTTTCCTTTACCTGACCGTCTACACGCTGATAGCGGACGATGGTTGGAACGTTATTAACGTTCCACTTTGTTCGATAGACGTTAGTGGGAACCTTCCATCTGGTTCAGGGTTAGTTATGGAGATTCTGAGAGCCGTGACGCAAGAATTATTGTTGACGAACTCAGGTCTCTGTCCAACTTCCACAAATGACATTTTGGGTGCGCCTTCAGCCGAGAAAGCGGCGTTAATTTGAGGAAGAGCAGCTCTGACATCCGGACACCATGACTCTCCTGTCTCTGGGAGATTTGACGTAGTAAAGGTAATAAAAAACGCAGTGCTTGAGTCTTCGGGCAGAGCCAGAGAGTCCACGGACTCGGGTAAAGAGAAGTTGTCAATGATAGGCATTTTGGTGTCGTTGAATGAAACTAGGATGACAGAACAAGTTGGTTGTGTCGCAAGAATTCGTCACTTCGAATAGCTGCTGGTGATTTGCAATTTGTTTGGGAACGAAAGTCTATGTACAATAGATTTCCAGACTTACATCTCCAAAGACCTGTAACCGGTAAATGGCGTGATTGTTATCCACTATTGTGTGGCCCGTCGGAACTGTCCCGACCCCGGCACATTCCACCATGTGCCGATCCTCGGAGGGTGTAATCAAACCCAGTCGGTCTTCGGCACACCGTATCGATTTCACGATCTAGGCACTTTTAGCCTGATCTGAATACTCAAAGTAAATTCTCGTGTATTTCATGGTACAACTCTCGACACTACAACCCGAAACCCATTTCCACGCCAGAATCCGCCAGGCTCAAGACTACCACGGTAGGTGCAGTTGGCCTTAATCTTCGGGCTTGAGAAACAGCCTCCGCGCAATACACGACGAATTTGCTCTGGTGCATCCATTGATTCTCGACCATCATCTCGCCAGGGGTATTTGTAGATCGGCTCGGCCATATCATCTCCCCAAGCGGTTGTACACCATTCCCAAGCATGGCCCGCCATATCATGGCAGCCGTATGGCGAAATACCTTTAGGGAAAAGTCCAACAGCACATGTAGTATTGAAACCAGTCTCTTCCGAGTTGCTAGCATCATCAATCCAATCTGTGCCCCAAGGGTACACTAGTTCATCATCGCCAACACTTTGTTGGTCTCCGCGCGATGCGCGTTCCCATTCAGGCTCCGTGGGGAGCCGAACCTCTTCGTTTGGAGAGATCTTTCCGTTCGTACGCCAAAGAGCTGTTAGCCACGCGCAGTATGCTCTTGCATCGTGCCATGTGAGATCTGTTGCAGGTGCATTCAAAGTTGCCGGGTTATGGCCATCTGGGCTGAACCAATCTCGGCCGGTGGCCCGGACAAAGCTCAGGTAATCCTTATTTATAACCGGATAAACGCCAATACGAAAGGCAGGGAGCTGGATAGGTTCCACAGGTTGCGAGTTGGGATGGCTGCCGGAGCCCATGGTAAAGGTTCCTGCGGGGACTTCGGCGAGTATTTTGAGGTCGCGAGGATCCCCTAAGCGAGAAAGCAGATGACCGGCTTGTTTTCTTTCCGCTGCAGGTAGTTTCCCTTCAGTTATGATGTCTAACATAAGACTGATGATTCTTTCGTTGATTTTCGAATTTTCCGGCACAAATTTGGCGACAAGAAGACCTGCTCTTTGGGCTTCGGTGCCAGATGTACTGAGAAGTGCCTCGATTAAATCGTTTGACTTGCCTATGGCATTGAGGCGAGTCAAACAACTGCAAATAATCTGCTTCGAAGAGCAAGGCTCTTTTAGAAACAGGCTGACTGCACTGCCTATAGGTAAAGTGGCTAGGTGTTTGGCGAAAAGCAGCTGCTGAACAATGCCACAGGTCGACACTGACGTTGAAGCCAGAAAAGCGGGATCGCTGCCACCTAGTTTGTCGTAGCTTGGTGTACTAAGAGTATCGTCATTGATCCGCGATGCAGCTAGCTCTGCCTCTCTTCTTTCAGGATTAAGAACTGATAGCCATGAATCCAAAAGCTCTTCAGCTTGATGCCCTGGATGACTAGATCGAAGTGCTAGCGCAAACAAGCCTGCATTCGCCGAAGCATCACCAATTCCAACACCTGCTTGCGCAGCCTCAAAGCCCAATAAATGAGACACTGCCTCTTTTCTGTGCGTTTTTAGGAGCGGTAAGAGATCGTAGCGAACAATATCTGAGGGAAGTTTCCATGAGTGACAGGTGTCGGCTTCACCGAGCAAAAGGACTTTGACGTGGTCCAGAGCGCGAACCAGTCCGACCACAGAGGTGATGAACCGCAGAGCATCATTGCCTCCTTTGTCAATCGCATCAACCACAATCACAATGTTGGCGTTTTCTCGAGCTCCCGATTCCAATAGTCTGGGTATGACAGAGTTTTCCAGTGACTGGAGAGATTCGGGCCTTGTAACTGGGAAATAATAAGGCAATGTATGTCCTGCGTCCCAGACCTCTTCTCTTGTGTCGCCGAATTCATTGCGGATCAACGACCGTGGATCTTTGAGTCTCGCAGTTGCTAAAGCGAAGCTGAGATACTTCCCAAAAGTTGTTTTCCCACTGCCGCTCACACCTGACAGCAACAAGATCTTGTTATCGCGCACAAGCTCAATAGCAGTAAAGTAGACTGGCTGCTCCAGCTTTTCGCCAACTTTGCGCTTCCGAAGTCCTTTGGCCGCCTTGTCTTCAAATGTAAACTGTGCCAGAAGTGGAATGTAACCGTTGGCTAAGTCGACAATTTGGCCGTCTGGAAGTTCCAGAAGTGGTTCAGTGCCGAAAGCGACCCCTGCCGATCTAGAATGCTCGAGAAATGCAGCGTCGGTGTTTCCCATGTTGATGCTGTCTCAGTCTTTTCTTCTATAGCCTTGATAGAACTTTCTGATGGCGTGATCAGCTAGCTTTATACATGGCTACGTGTGATGAGTGGGCCTCAGTTGTCGACTCTGGCGTGGATACGCCATCGGTAAGCAGCAGTGGAATGAGACCGGGGACAGACCGGGGGCCCATGGCCACGAGCTTTCTGGGCTCCGCATGCTACGTGCTTAACCAGTTAGTCTGCTACACGGCGTGGCATTTCACCATCCTACATCTGGCTGTGAAAGGTATTACTTGGCTCAAAGATGTATCACCTAAAAACGCAACCAGATCCAACTCATGCCACTTCACACAGCCTTATGGAAGAACACCGTAAGATGCGTGATGAACACACGGGGTGCGACTGCAATCAAGCCAACTAAGAAGCTTGGGAATGCTTATTCTGCATTTTGTGAAATATGTTTACCACTAGGTTATGGATTGTCTAAGCCACAAGTTATTGCTTGGCGGGATCTCTGGCCTAGGTCCGAAATCATTCGTATCTATCATCTAAAAGAAGACACCAGTAAGAAGAATGTAACTTTCTTCAGTAATCCTTACACTTCATAAGCGAGCCTTTAGTGTCCTGCGGTCTTCTCATCCTCTGCGAATTGACCACCTTCCGTACCCTGATCTTCTTGCTGAGCCTGTCTTTGACTGTGAAATTTTGTCAACTACTGTGAACTGACCACTTGTCTTGCTGAATCAAACTTACTCTCTTCTTCTGTACATGTACCACATCAAAGTAACGCTCATAATCGCCAGACCTCCAAACAAAATGAGAATCTGGTAGCCATACTTGTACTTTGGCGCATCGTAAGTCGGAAACAAGACCACTAGTTGTCATAAGAAAGCTGTCATATTGGTAATGTTTTGGCTAAACTTACAGGGCACCCAAAGCACAAAAGCATAGGAGACAACATTTGCTGTGGCCACTAGCAGTTGTCGCAAACTGGGATCGCCAGCGTTAAGCCTGTTTGCCCAACTCTGCACAAAGGTCAGCGTGGCCAACTTTCTCAGCAGAAAAGACAATACTTACGATCAAAACAGGAGTGGCTGCGGAGCCAGCGTAGGACAGGTAGTACGCGAACATGAGTGCACCCTTTGGAATAGTCCAGACCGATAGGAGGATGTTGGATAGAATCATCAGAGCTTGAACGATGATGATCATGAGATAATTCTGACCAGTATGGTCTGCAATAATGCCCCAAATGACCGTGGCGACAATGTTCAAGGCACTACCACCGGTGGGCAAAATGTTTGCCTGCACCACGCTGTAGCCAGCCGACTTCAGCCAAAGGTTGAAGTAGCTTGTAGCGGTGTGACAGGCGGCGACCATGCTGCGAAGATGTAAGCATTCTAATTCAGAAACCTCCGAGTCAACTTCAACTTACGTATAAGGAACGACAAAAACCCAAATTTCCCAACCAAAGTATATACGCTTGGCCTCCTTCAAGGTTAGCTTTTCCTGGGCCCGCTGGCCAAACTTTTCAATTCTCTCGACACCATATTTGATGTGCTACGAAGTGTCAGCCGTATCAAGGAACAACTTGAACAGTAGATGGACTTACATCAGCAGACCAGTAAAACGCCTTGGTGTTGTGAGGGAGGTCTGGCAACCCAAAAAAGCCCCAAAAGGCAATGGGCAAGGAGATGATAGCATCCATGATGAACAACCACCGCCAGCCAGCCAGGCCGTGTCGGCCATTCATGCTCGTGTAAAGCCCCGCCTGCAGGTACCCACTGAACATGCTGGCAATGGACTCGACTTGCAGAAGGATAGCCAGTCGTTTGGTAAGCTCTTTGGGGCCGTACCAACCGCCAAGCATGGCGATATATCCGGGAAAAGCGCAGGCTTCAAATAGGCCTATAAAGAAGCGGAGCGCATACATCTGTCACTGAGATCAACTCAACAAGTCCTAATACCCACTAGTTATGCAAATACGGTGCGATGGAAACTTACGGTTTGGATATTCTTTGAGAAGCCCATGCCAATGACCAACAGAGACCACACGACCTCACAAGTTGGGATGAGGATAGAGGAGCGAACGTAACTGAGCTGGAACATCTGTGCTGGTATGCTGCCGACCATGATGCCCAGACTGAACCAAGTATTCAGCCAATTGCGTTCATTGCCGTATAAACCAAGGTCCTGTTGCATGCCGCTAACGAAGGCATTGCCTGGGATAAAAGTTAGAGTGGCTTATGACCATCAGAGAGATTCTGCTTACTGTAGTTTGTTTGGTCCAAATATTTGATGAAATATCCGAGGCAAACGGTTGGGCTGAAACACGAACGATTAGAAATGACGGGGAAACCGCTCTGATGAACTTACAAGAAAAAAAGGTCCAGTCTTTGCACGTATGCACGATATTCCGGATCTCCCTCCACGGAGTCCCAGACATAGCTGAGGATTTTGCGCCACCACACTGTGGTCTTAACCTCACCAGCATGGGACTCGACGGCGCTCACTGGACCAGCTGCCTTGGTGCTATTGTCGAGGTCAGACGTTGTGTCCGATACGGCCACGGGGGCAATGACTTTGGAGTCTGACATCGTAGCCAGTAGTTTGAGGGGGGCAGAAGATGCTCAGATGCGGCAGTCTGCTCTGGTCCCCCTTGCAGTAGCTTGGTTTCCTCCAGATCGCTATATACTTTGACATGTTTGAGAGAAACGATTTTTCCCGATGAAGCTAACCAGTTGCAGATCGGTTGGGACCCAGCCTTACATGGTTTCTCACCGTTCAAAAACGCTGATTTGCTGCGAAGAATGGTGTCATCGCGCTCCTGGTATATCAAAGTTGTAGAATCCTTTTGCCCCGGTTTCGATCACGCCGTTCGAAACTACAGGTGGATAGTGCGACAATTCATTGCGACGTCAGTGGAGATGTTTTAAGATGTCCTTCTACTAAGTAGAATCGCATTTAGCCGGCAGGCACAATGTAAGTTCAAGATGCCGCTGTCGGAGCATACCGACCGCCAGTGCGGCTCGACCCCGACGCATGTCGTGACTGGTGACCCGCAATGTCGTTATCAAGCTCCGCTCTTTCGCCTTTCTTCATCCCGGCATGGTTTGCCGATGCCAACGGATGACCATAATAGGGAAAAAGCATACGATTGTCCTCCAGAATAAGAAAGTATCAAATCTGTGAATTAGGTTCAAGTTGAAACCCAAAGGCTTTCCTCCGCTTTCGAAAAGTTGTGATAAAATGCTTGGTTTACAATGCTTCCCTTTCGATCGATAGCTATCCCTGTTGAGTTTGAAAATGACCTCACGAAAGACATCCAATCTGCTTGAAAGCACAGTGCTTCATCCCGCCCTACCTGCATAGGCGACTTGGTCGTACCCACAGCTTTGCCCCGTTTGCGTTCCCGAAGGTACTGCATCACCACACTTAAACCAGTGACGACCCAGTGCTATCGTTCGTGATCGTACTACCTCCATTCGACATCGGTACGGAGTTTATTTCTGGCACCACCTTGACTTTACTATCAGTCACCACGATAAGCGCAGCATACCCACAGCCATAAGACCACAATGACACCGGAGGTCCTCCGTCTGTCTCTCGAAAACGTCGATTTCCGTCTCCCAACGCAAGTCACCGACGACAACAGCGTAACAGCTCTCAAGAGTCTTGTCTTCGAGCCTCTCCTGCGCTGGAAACCCCATGGTAAAGTCGAGGCTGGGCTGTTCGATAGGTGGGAGCACTCTGACGACGGCCGGACGTGGTACTTTCACATTCGCGACGAAGCCATCTTTCACGATGGTAAAACCTGCACTGCTGAAGATGTAGTCAGCTACATTCTGGGACTCTTGGATTCACGCGACTACTTTGGTATGCGATGGAGTTACAGCCGCTATTTTGCCAATGCCACGGTATCAGCACACAATGACCGGACAGTGCAAGTGGAATCGCCGGAGCCATTCGCGCACATCTTGGACATATTTTGCGAGTTCTGGCCCGTCCGTCTGAGCTCGGATGACAAACCGGTGCTCGGTACAGGGCCCTACCAGGTGGTGGAGTTTGAGAGGGAAAACGGCGTCGGTAGAGCAAAGTTGCAGCGTGTGAAGCCATCGCGTCATAGGACGCCTCACATCGTCCTGGCGACACAAGAGTCTGATGCGGCAAAGAGGCTGAAGCAGCTTCGAAACGGCGAGGTGGACGCGGCCTTGAACTTGGAACGGGTGGAAGACCTCGACCTCCTCGACTTTGACGCTTCGCTTCGATGGGGAAAGACCACAAGCACCTTGTCGGCTATCTACTATCTTAACTGCACCGAGGGGATTTTCCGTTCCCCGGAGGCTCGTCTGGCGGCTAACCTTGCCATCGACAACGACGCTCTCGTAAAGGAGGTATACCACGGCTTCGCATTGCCTTCGGCCACTATAGTCAGCACCTTCCATCTCGGCTTTCCGGAAGCACGTCTCCAATCGATACCATACGACCCAGCACGAGCCAAGGAAATTCTTCAAACTCTGGATACAAAAACGCCTCTTGTACTTCGGACACCGACTTATATGCCAGAGCACGCACAGAAAATATCCGCTTTCGTTGCCAAGTCTTTAAGGGCGGTAGGATTCGAAGTCGAAGTCAGGGTAGAGACGAACCGTCCAGAGTACGCCCGTCAGATCGGCCTGCACAAGCAGATTGGCAGCTTGGCCCTCTTTGATTCTACGCCTAACAGCACCTTCCGAGTCCTGGATGACAAGATTTCGAGCTCCTCTCACGCTACATGGTGGCTGGGATATCACGATGACGATGTTCAGCGGCTGTTTCTGGATGCGAGAAGCAAGATTACGAGAGAGGAGCGGGCGGAAGCGTACGCGGCTTGTCTGAAAAGGTTACACGAGAATCCGCCATGGCTGTACATTGCACATCCTGAGGTTGTTTGGGCAACAAATCACACTACATCTCTCAGTATTGGGCCTTCTGGTATGCTTTCGCTTGAAAATTAAAGATGGGTGGAAGTAGAGGTTTTTACAGTCGGATTATAGTCGTCAGACAGATATTTACTTAGAGGCAGACCACCTCCTTATGCATTTGCAGGTTTCCTGCCGGAGACAACGTACCTGTAGTTACAGTCAGTACATGTTACAGCAACCACCTTTGAGAGGATTGCACTTACACAGGCCACCAAACGTGAATTGACGGGTCCCGCATCTCCTTTCTGGCCTTGGAACAGAGCACCAGGACTTCTTCCCTCGACCAGCCCTTGATATTCGTCAACGTCCCCAGAGCTGCCGTCTCGAGGAAAGTATCCAGGTTGGCGAGGCCCCAGCCTCCGATATCCTTCATGACCTTGTTGCGCGGCCACGTGTTGGTAGGCCACTTGTAGATGATCTCCTGGACGTCCTCGAAGCCACGGTCAATGAGGAGCTGTTTCCACATAGCCGGCAGGTTGAGCGATCGACCAATCTTCTCCATGGCGTCTACTACCTCGACGGCCCATTGCGCAAGGAAGCTGTTTTCCGGGATGGTGTTGTCGTCGCTGCGGGCTTCCATGAAAACGTCCTGAGACTCGAACCAGCCGCCTGGTTCCAATTGGCTGGAGACCGGGGATGTGAGTGGTTTGTATTGGAGGAAGCGTGGGAGCGGGGAACTCACTTGTAGATGCTGTCGACGAGTTTTACCGGGTCGAGGATGCTGCCGCCGAGCGTCCTTGAGAAGATGAAGTCGAACTGCTTGGACCATGTCCAGGGCTTCTCGATATCGTCGATTTCGAAGGAGCAGTTGGGGGGCATGCTTGTTTTATTGTAAGCATGACCATTATTTCATCAATGGTTGTGTGTGTGGAGGACTTACAAATCAGGCTGTACTGGGCTTAGGTCGACTCCGATAACCTATCATTCTTCTAGTCAATTTTCATGGTGTTGTCTGTTCTTACAATCTTACCTCGGATTCAGGGTTCTCCTCAGCTGCAGTATCTCCATGTGAGCACGAAGTAGTGATAAAAGGACCAAGATGATTCACCCACCATACTCAAGGGCCCAAATGCCGGTACCAGTTCCCAAGTCAAGGACCCTCTTAGCTCCGGAGACTTTCGGGCAGGTGCAAAGCTGTCCTCTGAGGGTTCTCAAAAAGAGCTCGTGTTGCAGATCCAATCGATCTTGCTCGACCTAGGGGGGAATGTAAGCATCGTGAGCAGCACTGTATGTTCACTACGCATAGGAGATAATCTGACATTATCGTGGGGGAAGTAGTATTCTGTTTTCATGTTAGTACAAGATGAGACATCGGGTTTCAGAGCCACCCACTTCCGCGAGAGTGGGAATGATACAGACGACCGTTTTCGTCTTCGAATTCCAGCAGAGAGGATCGAATGGAGGTGAGCGAGTCGCGAATGGACTATGGGTGAATAAGTTTCTTTTTTAGCTTCTTTTCATTCATTTCATCACAAAGGGGAATGTTTCTATTCGCGGGCGGACTAGACATACGACGTTGATGGCCGAATCTACCTCACTGTCATCCGGGGCCTTTCGGTCAAATCACGTCGGTCAGCAAATGGAACAGTGTTCATTTTATGAAGGGTGCGCGCCGATCAAGCCCGTACAATGATGCCAGTCGCCGGGTTCTCGGCCTCTTGATCAATGGTCGCTGCCGGAGCGGCGGTAGCGGGAGTAGTAGTGGTCGCCGGAGCAGCAGAAGCCGGTGGCGGAGACGAAGGCGTCTCCTCTCCCTGTGTGGCCATAATTCAAAAGAAATCACGCGAGATCCAGCCTGTATGTCGAGGAATGGTGATTGCTGGGAATGGCCCTGTGTGATTTAATTAAATCGTAACAAGGGTTTAAGAAAGGCAAAAAGGAATTCGCGGGGTGGGCGAGGAGCTTTCTGTTTCGGTGGGCAGCTGAAGTGTTTTTATCCACCGAGCAGAAGCGTCTCTCCCCCCCCAGCAGTCCGGGCGGTGCCAGATCCCCACCATATACTATCAAGGGTTAGTGCCCCTCCACAAAATCGAGCACAGAGAGATCCCATCACACCACGCAACGGTAAGGTAAGCTAGACACGGATGTGTGTGTGTCTGCTCTGCTCTGCTCCGTACTCCGTACTCGTACGTGTGATTCTCGGACGGGGAGCAATTTAGCTGGGCTTGTTTCTTTTTGGTTTGTGGAGTATTATCAGCAACGTTCATCCAATAACCACCAACTGGAGCCCTGTCGATGTGCATGATGCTGGCCCACTGACTAAGGATTACTGAATGCCAAGGGGCATTGACACGTGCTATAGACTGGTGAGGGGCTGGGAGAATTCAAGGGGTGTGGGGGGAGTCAATCGTTTGTTACTGACCATTGACCAGTCCTTTTTCTTCTCAGCGAGAGGGAGGGGCAGTGGGAAATATGTGAAGAACCGGGGATTTGGAGACGTGGAAACCTTGCCGGCATGAAGCTCGACCCGCGAACCAGGTACGTGTGTTCATCTTTTTTGCAAAATTCCCATCTTGGCTTTCTGTTTGCAATTTGACATGCAGCAGAGAGAGACAAGGGGGGGCATAACAATGGTTGAAATTACGCCAATATTGAAATGATACCTTGGTAAGATTGGGCTCTTATCAAAAGGGACTTTCGTATCTTTGTGGCGATGAATTCCAAGGTTCTCCCACAAAAGCGACGAGCCCGACTGCTGTGGGCTTTTCAAACTCGCTGAGCTGTCAAAGTCTAACCAATCATCATCAAGAGTCACCGACAATTGAGACCCAGTGGGTTGCAAACATACGCCCGCATTCATCGGACGCGCGGACTCGCAGCGAATCCTACACAAAATTTTTTATTTTGCCATGTGGGTTTTGGTTGTCCTGCCAGGCTGGCCCAGCACAGATAGGGATTCTCCCGTCCTGTCCTGTGGACTGATGTCTGACCTTAGCTTCGCTACTACAGCATTGGCTTGAGAAAGTCATGTACACTAACTAACCAAGCGAAGCCACTGGCACGAGAGTGGTCTGATCTTGGCAGCCCTGGAAAAAGCGAAGCGGGGATGCCGGCCCGTGCCGTGAATCAACCCACAGCCGGATACCCGTGAGCTTGGGGCTGGCTTACACTCAAGAATCAACTTCTGATTTTACCAGAATACTTTCGCGACTTTTTTCTAGAGTCATCTAATCTAACATGCGATTTCATCCAGACAGTAACTAACTCCCCTACAGCGCCGCCCGGGGTTTCTCCTTCCTCAAACGGGCATACATTTCATCCTCAAATGCTTTAATAAAAGGTCGAACACCCTCTTCAGCGGCCGGCAACATCTGAGTGACGAAAAAGCCACACAGCCCAGCTTGACGGTCAATCCACTGTTGCAAGTTAGCAAGCACTCGGGTTTTTCACCACAGGGGTACTCCGTATATAACTCACCCAAAAAACATTAGACGCGCCACTCCACATCAACGTCCCGCGGCTCCGATTAGGATGCTTGTCCCCGTCCACAAGCAACCCTCCAAGGCCCCAATCATACTCCCCGGTATCTGGGAAATGTCCAACGGCCCACTCGGGAGTCTCCATCGCCTCCAGGAGACTCTTCGCCGCCTTTTGCGAAAGTTGAGGCTTGAGCATCTCCGCCGTCGTCGCCGACGTGAGCAACTTGCCGTCGTCCAGGAGCAGCGACTCCAGCACGCGCATAACGTCAGGCGCAGAGCCGTACACCCCCTGTCCGCCGAGACAATCCGTAACTCCGTGGTTGAGTTCTCTGCCCTTGTGCAGGGTGATCTTGCCCGTGTTCTTGTCGCGCGTGTTCATACCCCATAATCTCGGCCTCACCTTCTCCACGTCAAAGGTAAAACTGGATGCTCCAAGCGGCGCCCAAATGTTTTCTCTCATGTACTCTTCGAGGCTCTTTCCCGTGACGGCCTCAATTACCTTGCCAGCCCAGTCCGAGCTCGAACTGTACGCCCAGCTCTCCCCAGGCTCGTAAATCAATGGATACTTGAAACGTTCTTCGACCGTGGCGCCGCGGGTGGGTTTGATCCCGTGGTAAGACTGCCACTCTCTCGTAGCCCCATCGAGGAAGTCATAGCTGTTTCCGGCGCTGTGGGTGAGCAGACGGCGAAGTGTAATTGGGTTCTTGCGCGGGACTTCAACGGGTGCGCCGGAAGCTTCGAAGCCGACCAAGATTGGTTTTTGATCCAAGGCGGGGACGTGTTTTGATACGTCTTCGTCAAGGGATAGAATGCCGCGCTCGACGAGTTGCAGTGCCGCAATCGTGGTCAAGAGCTTGGTGACCGAGGCGAGGGTGAGGATGTCGTCGGCTCCCAGCGGCTTGTTGGTCTTTAAATCCTTGCCGTGGATGTGAGAATATCGAAACTTGTCTGCTCACTCAGTCATTTGTGTCTGCTTATATGAACAAAGGACTCTTACTGGACTTGTCTCGAGCGTAGAGCATCACACCTGGTATATCGGCATTTCGTACCGCCGTATCAATGAACTCTTCAAAGGTAGACATGATGTGTTGGACTAAAGAAAAAAAAAAGACTTGAATGGGAAACTTTGCGCTCCAATCAGAACCTTCCGAGTTCCTGCACAAAAGCTTATGTTTACTTCTGCAGAAATCAGCAACGATGGAAAAAATAACAGATTGTCCAAGACACAAGTTACAGCGGACACACACGCCAATCTTTGCTACACACTGATGAAAGATGACTAAGCCGATGTCCGCAGATCCCCCGCAACGAAACCCCAAGTGTTGGGGCGAGGACCCGCAGTTTACCTCGGTATCGGCTTGGCCAATGAAGCGGATGGCAGTTGAAGTTCGTCAATACAAGAGTGTATTCACAACTAGAATAGCAAGCAGAAAACCGCTACTTAATCTATACACAAGAATAAAGAGTCATCATCGTCCGACCCAAATCCTCAGCTTCAATCATCATCAATCGTCATGTCCGAGCTGTCTCTGCTTCGTTCTCAGACAGTGCTGGTCTGAAGAAACACAACACCAGAATTCCATTTTCGAGTTGATACGCTTAGCAGCCGACGTAGATGGCTAAAATCTGTTAGTCCAGTGTTCAAGCTCTAACACTCTAAGATTGGAGCTTACCGTTGGCGAAGAGGGAGTAGGTGTCGGCCTTATTACACAGTTAGTATGAGAAAACAAAATTTACAAAGGTCACATACGTGGTTGAGGTTCTGGGCAGCAGACAGGCTCTGGACGCAAGAGTATCCGTAGCAAGACGACTGGTCGGTGGTTCCCTTGATCTGGCTCAAGTGGGTGACCTCGTGGACAGCGGTAGTGGCCTAAAGGTGATGAGTAGAAGTCATAAAACAGTCAGTGGACGAAATGCTAACCTGGTCCTGAGCGTGGCAAGTGCGGGAGAGGGCAGTCATGGTGAAGAAGGTCGGGCAGTTGACCATGTAGCTCTGGGAAGGCAGCTACAAACGTATTAGCATCCTCGACACCAACTTCAAACGGATACCGGACATACAGTGTAGGCAATGACACCAGAAGAGCAGGCAGGGTAAATGTCAGTGCAGTACTGGCGGGAGACACCAGAGGTGGTGGAGCCGCACTCGCTCGCAACCTTGGCGAAAACACCAGCGACGGTATTACGGGTGGCGGTGCTGCTGGACTTGAAGTACTCAGTCATCTTAGCAGCAGGGCCGGAGACAGCAGCGGAAGAGGCCGCAGCAGCGAGGGCGCGGCAGTTGCTGAGGGCGTTGACGGTAGCAGTGCGTCTGGTGCCAGTGCAGTCACTCTGGACGGTGGTACGCTTGACGTTCTCGTGGAAATCACGGCGAACCTTGGCGGCAGCGGCACCGTCGACATCAACGCTCAGAACGTTGGATGCGAAGGAGGCAACACCAGCAATGTCGGTGCTGTCAGTCTCAGCGTAGGAGAAAGAGCCCTTGGCGGCGACATCAAACTTGCCACCGGCGGAGAGATCGTGAACCTCAGCCACATCCCACTCAACGGAGATGGTCTGGCCGGCGGGGATAGTCTCAAAGGCCTCTTCAGCAAGACCTGTGGTCTGAAGACGGAGGCGGATACCGTCAAAGGCAACCTGCTCGGCTGTAGAGATGACATGTTAATATCACGTGTTGTTATATGAAAGGAGACTAGGTGGACATAGAAAGCCACAATCAGAAATAGGAAGGAGCTACTTACAGCCAGTAAAGACCTCAGCCTTCTCGACGGCAAGCTTGTCAAGAATGGAACCAGTCTTGAAGACCTTCAAGTCGGTAGCACCCGTGTTGGTAATGCTGGCCTTGACGCCAGAGTTACCGACAGCCTCGATCTTGACGTCGAGCGGGCTGTCGCGCTTGTTAAGGTCGACAACAGCGGCGCTCGCAAGAGCGGCGATGTAGGAAAGGCCGGTGATGAACTTCATTGTTGCAGATGTTACCAAAGACTGGAGGCAGGAGCTGACTGGTGTATTGCCGAAGCGGGTGTGAGATGAGTGAGTGATGTCCTCTAGAGTCTGACCATCAAGGTCCTCACGAAGGGGATATATATACTCGTCGTGATGCCATGCTTGGTGTTTGAGCGATGATAAGAGAGCCTCTCGATGCTCACCTCAAATCACAGCACTCCATATTGCCGAAAGTCTGCCAAGACGGGACGCAAGACAAATCAGGAATGTGCGAAGTCGGGCAGCTAGAATTCCTCTGCTGATATGAGGGGCTGTAGCGAGTCTAATGCAACGAGTACCGGAGCATGGTGAGGATCAGGAAGGAAGCGTGTTGTGGACGAGCAACACTGGCGATAATGGAGGGTACCAGCACTGCCAAGAGGGAAACCCGATCTGTCTGCTGCCGAGAGCAGTCCATAACACTATCTAGACCTGCGCAATCTGGGGAAGGACGTTGCATTAAAGCTCTTGGCATGTCGCCGCATGCCGGAGTTTACTCCACTGCTCATATCTCCTAGAAACCATAAACGCCGCTAGACAGAGCAGCCGAACCTTGAGTTAAAGGACGATCTGGTGATGGGGAGTTCAGAATGATCAGCTGGCACTAGTCCAGGGTCTCGATTAAAAAAACAGGAGTGCGGCGGATTCCATTACAGCTGAGTCCCTTAATATGAGCTAGAGTAAGATAGGCATCTGACAGAGACGAAGGACTGCAGTAGACAGGCAAGGCAGAAGTCCTCTTGCCACCTCAGGAAGGAGGTAGGTCTCCTTGCTCTTTGTAAAGAGACTGGTCAGCGTCTATTTACCCTCTTCAGTTATGGCTCGGATGGCCAGGAGGTACGTGGCAGGATAATGATCCTCCCGGTCTCCTCCCGCAGCAACAGGGAGCGAGGGGTTTCACGACCACCTACGGCTAGGCAGGATATACCTGGCATTTGACTGGTTAGTCAGTAGAATTTCCGCGTTTTTCTCCGGTCCGCGCAACGGACCTCTGCCTCGATCAAGATGTTATCGTAACAGGGGGTCGAAACAAGACCACAGGCGGGAAGCTTATATTGTCGATCGACATTCCAGGTTGTAGTCACTGCGGGGTAGCGAATATCGGAGCGGAGTCTCCAGGGCCTCTCTAGGGTTCTGTTTTACGAGGGAAACCCTTTAATTTTTATTTCTTTTCCAGTATCAATTACTCGTCAGGTGGTCGATGTAATTTATTAGGTAACGTTGGCAGATGTACAGGTAATTTGTTGAGCGTAAGATCAAGCTTCCGCTACCTTCAGTTAAGGTTGTCTCCTCTGTGAATACGACCATGGATACGGCTCTACGGCAGTTTTGGCGTCTGGGCACTGCAAGCAGCGCCGTTATGCGCTATTGTCAATCAAACTGAGGCGACGCTGTCCGTCGACCTTCCTAATCCGATCTTATATGCCGGGTCTAGACAACATAACCTAGTTCGGTGGGTTCCGGCGCACTGAACACTGAGTGGCACCAGCAACATCTGACATGGATGCCCTCCTTTCGAACCGCTTTCAGCAGTTCAGGCTACTTCTATGTGTTTATCCCATAGCCGCTTAGGTGAATGCTGCGTTGGATTTAAGGTCAAGTAGAAAAAGATGACGGGTTTGGTTGGCGAAAGGGCAACTGAGTCGCCGTGCTTGTTATCACGTAGTATTTGATTACCCAACGTTCCTAGCTTTCTCTCCGGACGGAGCCGATGGATGCACTGAGCCGTAGACGCTATGGATCCCTCGGTAATGTCTTGCACACAATAAGCCAGGCCTGAAGACCTTCCCAGGATGAAAGAGAACTGCCGCTTAAAGACTAGTTTCTCGCAGGCGGAATCAACGTCTCCGTTGAATCCGTTTGTGCTGACGCATCATTTCAGCGACGAACCCTTTTCCGCTCCTGCGGCTATACCGATGTCGGTAGTAGATCGGAAATGGCGCAGTTTCGTGCCATTGTGCCGCAGTAGATTTTGGCGGCTCTGGGTCCAAATGATGACAACATCAGAGAAACTAATCACGAACAGAAACAATTCTACCTTCATTGAATGAAGTCGCGTTCAATGAGATGCTGTCGTCACCTTTCAGGGGATTCTGTCTTGGCTTTTCCTCTCCCCAAAACTAAGCATTTGCCAAGTTGCCAAGGGAAACTGGCAGCTGGGAATGGCGTGCGTCTGAACTGCAATTGCACTAAGCGATTAAAGGAAGGCCTTTTCGCACTCTGGTAAAGAGTGGCTGCAAGATAAGACGAGCAATTCTGTGGTGGTGTGCCGCACGGCAGCCTGCCAGCTCATAACTAGAAGCTCTCCCACAAACATACTCTTTTCTGTTGCTTGTCCTATCCCTCGTCCATTTAAAGGTGTCAACTCAGCTACCCCATGCCAATTCCTCAGTGAGCTGCCTTTTCAAAGCTGCCGCTTTTCTGCTGGTAGAGCTTGGGGTGACAGGGTCTTTGCACTCTAGAGGTCACACACTAAAATCTGACCGACTTACCCAATCCGCGTAGCGTCACTTCAGCTGCTTCACTCACTCATATGGCATGTTATGGATTCTTTCCGGCTGATGGACTGGCCTAGGCATTCGTCTGACCCGTCCCCACTGCTTGGTAACAGGTTACGAGAAATCCGCCTTGGGTAAGACAATGACCTACGGCCGAATTCCACGATTTGCAATCAACATTGGAGAATCAATAGCCATCCCTATCCTTTGAGAGTTAATAAAAACAAAATGCAAATCTAATTTCTATTGTCCTAACCTCTGCCTTTCCACATACAGTATCTGGCGTGCGACCGTCTTGGTGGTTCTACTTAGGCTTGCAGGTATAAAGTCTAAATAAAAGCATGGCAAATGCTTAAAAAATTTATCAACGGCGAGTCTAACATAAATCGCAGCACGCCCCCGCTTCTCTTGATCAGCGAGTGACCACAACTGACACACATGAAGCATATACATACAGTTGAAGAAATAAAACAAGCCTAGAGCCGCATTAAGAGCCCAAACTCTACTATGCCATAAGGTTAAAAGATGTACAAAAGAAAAAAATAATAATAGACAGTATGTAGGCTACCGCGTTGCTGTATCGTACTCCCTGTGCGCCAGCAACAACGACTCTGCTCGGACCAGAATCTTTTGGCAGAGCGTTGGTAGGATCCAACGCTACACTTGGGTTTCCGAGGCCTGGGTTCACTCCTTGGGAGTTGGGATTCGGGATAGGACCCCCTTGGGCAACCTGCCCAGGAGTATTTGGGGCGTTGCTCATGTCTAGACTAGCCAGGGCGTTAATATTCCCAGCAACCCCAGCTGGCCTGTTGTTCGGATTAAGGTCCATTGGAATAGCGAGAATAACGATGCTTCTTCCGTTTTCACCACACTTGTCGCATTGAGCAACATAAGGGGCCATAGTCACCGTAGGGATGACCTGTGTTGGACAATGGCAATCCTCAAAGTAAAGTGTGGTGCCGAGCTCCACAGGAATCAAGGCAGTAGGCCGTGCTGGATCAATAGTTGTGTAAGTGATGGTAGTCACCACAGATGTCATACCGGCGACAGGACTTCGCAGGCTTGTTAGCGCCCCTTGTCCTGATGCGTTCGCAAGTTGCGTGACGAAGACGCGACGGGTCGTGACAACAGTCACAACCGGAGGAACAATGGTGTTAGGTCCACCAAGGACAATCGCGCCTGTAGGTGGACCGGAGACAGCAACTGTAGCTGGTATAGAAACTACCACGTTCGGACCAGGGACCGTGACAACCTGTCCAACAATAGTAGTGGGTGGTACTTCAACAGTCACGCCAGAACTAATGACGGTACTGCCTGGTAAGACAATAGCGATTTCGTAGATTGTAAGCAGAACATTCGGGGGAGCAGCACGCTTCAATAGGCGCGGTCGAAGTAAATGCCGTGTGCCGAGCCTTGTGCCGTTTACGGCGGCTGCATTACCGCCACAGATCTGTGTAGGATCGCCAGGACATGGAATGCTACAGCCAGTCCCTTGAACAAAGGTTGTCGCTTCGAGAGACTCAGACCCATAGCAGGTGCTACAGAAAATCAATATAACGCACAGGTTAATCTAGAGTTAAGACCCTACTTACTCGAAAAATACTCCGGAGTATCTGCGTCCTTGTGCTAAAGCAATGCACTTTTGAGGAGTCATGGCTGCATCTCTACCAATTTCAACAAATGTGGGATAGCCAGCTGGAGAACCCAAACAGCCGGCAAAGTTGTAGCCACTGATTGTGACCAAGTTGGACGGGTTAGGCTGCGCAGTTGATGTTGTAGCCGAGGAGGTCGTAACCCTGTTTGCTACACTAATAGGGCTTGGACTGGGAGTAAAAGATGCAGATGGTATTGTGGTTGGTGATGAGGATATGACTGAAGTCCTAGGTGAAGTGGACACCGGAATTGAGAGATCGGTGGAAGGGTCAGAGAGTGATAAGCTTGTTGTTAACGATGTAGTATCCAGTCGTAGCGTAATTGTAGTCGTAGCGCTCGAGGTCAAGCGTGATATGGTGACGGTGGCTGAACTGCTAGGAGACTCAACAGCCGAAGATGACGTTGTGCTTGAAGCTGAGCTTGATGTAGACTCTGATGTAGAACTTGACGTGCTGGTTAGTGCTATGCTTGTTGTAGGATCTGAGGATGAGAGTGTGGTAGACTCTGACGTCGAAGTTGATTTCAGGCTCAGGGTTGAGCTTGTTGTAAGCTCTGAAGTTGAGCTTGAAGTACTGCTCGAAGTGGTGGTAAAAGTTGAGGTAGTGGTCGAAGTGGAAGTTGAGCTTGACGTACTGCTGGAGGTAGCGGTATCTGTCGAAGTTGAGCTTGATGTCGTGCTCGAGGTAGTCGAAGTCGAGGTTGAGGTTGTGGATGGGAAGAACACAGGGTCAAGTGGAAGTCCAACGATATCAGCAAGTAGAGCAGAGTCGAAATCGCCGTTGTTTGCCTCGCAGAGCACGAAATCCAAGTGCTGCTGTGAACCTGGCGTGACAGGAAATTCGTAACTTGATATTGCCCCAGCGCGAGCGTATGACATTCCAAACATTGCACCAGTGTTGGTCAGTGGTGATTGGGCTGTTATACCAGTTTGAGCTTGCGCTATCCCGTCCTTGTAGATAATCGCCGAGTCTTGGTTTCCTGTGATGCTATTGTTTGTTAGACGGAGACGTTCTGACATCTTCTCGACAGACCTCACAGTCAAGGATGGACTAACAGCTCTTGAGTTAGAAACAAGTAGTTGACCCTGAGACTAGTAACGCCTGCTGGGATGTTGATAAACATTCCGTAGTACAGGTTCTCCTTGCTGGTCCCGACCCCGCAGGGTCTGAGGGGATCACTTTGTATGTAACCAAAGTTCGTATTAGGAATCCTGCCCAGCTCTGCGTCTTTAACAAGTCCCGTGCTCATGATAATTCCCGATGTGAGGCCTGTAGGTCCATCCACAAAGGTGCCGATAGCATTAGGATTGGGCGGAATAATTGGGTGCTCTTCGTAGGTAAAACGGCTATCTTTGACTCCTGCAGCTTCCAGGCCACCAGTAGGTATGCCAGGCGTGACCACTATGCAAGCCGCAACGCCAACCAGTGTTGCCGAGGCGAAGAGTCTTGTGATAGTCTGAGGCATTGTGCAAGAACATAAATAAAGATAGCCCGTGGCCTTGGACGCCCGTATGCACGCGGGGTGGAAGATTTGGCAATTGTTTCTTCTGGCGCCCACGGCGACTTATACCAGAATTTTGACGGATAACAAGTCTGGATTCTAGATTCATTTTCGTTTAAAAGAGATATGATGGAATCTTTAACGGGATTTAAATCTGTTTCATCTGAAATTCTTAGACGAAGCGAATGGGCGAAGCTGAAGTGAACTCACAGCGGGCAGATACGGCGCAGAGGTTAAGGTACAGCCAGGGGCTGAGACAGGAGGCCGATTTACAATCACAGATCGTCTAGAAATGTCTTGTGTTAGAACTGCGCCCTTAATAGATGGAATTAAAGGGCTGTGTCCAAACGACGCAGACGAAAGGTCCATATCGACCAGGAGCCATGTGATATGGTGCTCCACTCTTGAGCGACTGCACCAACATCCATGATTCCAAGACTGGGCCCAACTATTTACAGAAACGTGCATGCCAACTGGTCCACGAGCATAAAAACTGTGTGGTTGATTCAGCAAGTTGCAGACCGTGAGATGGGGAGTTTAAATGGAATGAGCTAGAATCTAATTGCATCCGGTCGTTCGGGCAACTTTACTGACCAACCGCCACGGTACATCACCAACATATTCTTCTTTGCTTTTCCTCACTCCCTTACGATGATGCAACCCCTAGATTGAAGCAACCACTTGCGCGCCAATCAAAATAACCTTTTCATTAGTGCCTAAGCATTGTTAGATTTGTCACTGGAATTTCGATAGCATACATCTAAGGTATCTAGGGTCCACTGACCATTGCCATGGACTAGCACATATCATGATCAGAACCAGCGGCAAACCATCACCATAAGCACCCAGATGTGTTGGCAATCGCAACAGAGTATCCCCGAGAGGAACCACCCGCTTGTGGTTTTGCCAAAAGAACAACGATAACGCGATTCTTTTTTTATGACTGCTCATAGCGTCATATTCGTTGGATAATCGCGGTTACCTCACAAACTCCCCTTCCCCAACGACCTTTAGCAGACGCATTCCGATGGTTGTCTCAATCTGCATCTAGCCATTCTCGGGAATGCACAGCTGAGATCCAAGTGCTTGGAAGGGCAACCCTTAGCTGTGAGGGGCATCCATGAACGTGCCTGTATGCCATGGAATGCGCAACCCTCCCTAATACGTAGTAACACAAACTTCCAAGAGAAAAGAATAGGGCTGACCAGTTTTGAACAATTGACTAATCAGAATTCTGGAGGCGTCAAAACGTTTCTAATCTACATTTTTGGTAAGTAAGCCATGATAAAACCGGCTCGACGCTTTTTTCCCGCTGATTTTCAGATTTGCGGTGGATGTGGTTGGTCATGACGATCGTGAGCGAGGGGGTTGCGATCGCAGCAGATCTGTGGTGCGTACTTGTGATCGGCGGTTCACAGGTTATGCTTCCAGCTCAAGAGTTCTTACCCATACCTGGGCTCCAATCAGTTCAACGATCCCCTGCCAGACAGTGATTACAATATTATATGTTTATGAGTTACATTTCACGCAAGCTAGACTCGGAGATGTCGCCAGAAAAGCCATCAACATCCAAATTCAAGTCGATCACACACAAACATGATGAGGTCAATGCCCTCACTAGACGAAGTTGTTGCGGGCTATTCCTGGATAGAAAGTTAAGGGGGTTGCTAGCAGTGGGTAATAGTAATCCTCCCACTTCAGTGCAGCAGAGTAAAAAGCTCGCAGCCGGTGGTCAAGTACCTTACGCATCTATAACGGACGGTTATACCAATGTCGGCTGCAGTATTCATTTCAAAGATGTCCGACACATTACAGAAACTCTCTTTTTCCTAACCTAAGTAAAGATATGAATATTCAGTGGCGTTCTGGTTGAGTTTCTTGTGGAAATTCTACATTCGCCCCGACAAGAAGCTCGGTTACGTTTTACAGTCAGCTGTGCCGCAGTATGGTTCTACTGAAATGGGTCAAGGTTGGAATAGAGAGAACTAATTCTTATTCTGAGTGAGCAGCATTGCGATCTCAGCTACATTTTGGCAAATAAATACCAACCAGGAACCAGGTGCTCTATGAAAGGAGTCGAGCCTGGTCTGTGGGAACGCCTCCATTGCTAGTTCTGAGGAGGCGCTGCTATACCCATCAGCTTCCAACGTTCCCAAAGGGTTGCCATGCCAAACCTCGCCGATGAGAAAATCTCCCGGGCTTTTCTACCCTACGTCTGTCTCAAACGCAGATGGCACTGCATCGCGGTGTTTTGCAGTCTCCCCTGAAGCCATTCAGAACAAAAACAAATGACAGTCCGAACCTTCACAATGACGCCAAGACCTTGCTACCAACAGAATAACTTTTAACGCCTTACCGAGCCCCTTCTCAATAAAACACGTTTTGTTTTCTGGCCCTTTTCAGTTGTAAGTGGAATTTTGGTTTTCCCTGATCAAATGCCCTCGAAAGGGTCATGACGTTCCTGGCAGCCTATCAGGCTGCATGCGTCCGGCGGGTTGTCGATATCCAGCACCAAGTGCGCATGGATGGGTTGGCCGTCCTTATCCGGCGCCAGCCTGCAGTATGTGGAAACGACCTCGCGTCTCTCGAGATCCCACTTTGCGTCAGCCCAAGTCCACCTCGACCCGGCCGGCACGAAGCCATTCTCGTCCATCCCACGCTCCTCCAGCATCACAACCCCGAGCTTGCCAACAACCAACGCTTTGCCATCCCACGCGCCGTCCCTCCATGACAGGCTGTTCATCAGTCTCGCTGCTTTGATACGCAGATCGTGGTCACGGCATTTGGCGATGATGGTAGTTAACGGTGTCGTCAAGCCCTCTGCGAATGTGAACGCGATCCTCGAGAGGGGCTCCGGGTCGCGCATGAAGCGCATGACCATGCCCAGTAACTCGCGGAAGTCATCCGTGAATTGATCGAATGCCATGTCGGTCTGGTCGAGGCTGCAGCTGATGAGGATATAGAGGATTACTCGGTGGATCTGGATCATCTCGAGCGCCCTGCGAGTAGGCTTCTCCATATTCGGGTCGGCGAGGTAGATGTCCAACGATAACTTCCAGAGTTTTAAGTACTTGAGAAAGGTATCCTGCTCCTGCGTGAATGTGACGAGGTTTTTTGGTGCTGTGTATGTCAACTGGTGATGCATGCCGCGCATGATGAACACAACAGCGCGGGTGAAGAATCTCCCCCATAGGACCTGGAGTTTTGCCGTCGTCGTGATGCCAGGCTGCGGGATCTCTGTGGAAGGTGTACTGTCCATGGAGGGGATGGTATCACGATGTGAGTTGAAGAAGTGGGTGAAGCCGCTCATGAGGGACAGGCATGGTAGGAGGTGCTCGATGTCGTCCATCTCCTCTTCGCGTGGGATGTTCTTCAGCTGCGCGAACAGTAGCTCATCTTCCTTCTTTTCCGCCTTGCCTTCTAACTTCTTAATTGGCCTCTTCATCAGAGTAACCGAGTCCTCTATCAAGCGCATGCCAGTCCCCATGAGAGAATCAACTGACTTCATGTTTCCTTGGATGAACTCGAAAGCGATGAGCAGTAATGTCATAATGATGACGGACCTCGGTGAGGATCCCGCAGTGCCTAGCTGGATCCGTTGTCTGTATACCGAAACCGCTTTGATGTGGTGCCGCAGGGCGGCTTTGTGGTGGTGATCGAGGTAGCCGTCAGTCGTCACCAGCTCGCCCCAAGGACGGAGCGTAGGCGGCTTGCTCCCGAGAGTATTGCCGGTAGATGAAGCAAAGAAAAGCGTTTGAGAAATCGCCCCAATGGCCAGTATCGACTCCTTCACGCACGGGTCCCTGGCGCTCTCATTCAGCACTATCCGGGACCAAAAGTCGGAGTGGCATGATCCCGACAGGTCACGGACCAGCTGATTTCGGAAAAGGTCAAAGTACGACACGTCGGCCCCATCAATCTGTACCAATGCTGGATTGGCACGTATAACGGTCTCGGTGCGCATCGCCGTACTAGCGGGATCCGGCCGTGGGAGGATCTGTCTTCTCGCCGTCTGGGCCGCCAACATCATCTCCTTCCGTTCGGCAGCCCTCTTCACTTCCGCCGCGTCCTTGACATAGCCATCGCACTTGATGTCGGCCTTTTGGCACCGGAAACATGTGGGTTTGCGCTCGTCACATTTGACCCTTCGGATCTTGCAGGTAAGGCACCCGGATCTGACTTTCGGCTTGCTGGCTCTCTTTCTCTTCGGCAGCGGCCCGCCATCAGGTCCTCTCAGGTCGAGCTGGATACGATGGTTAAAGAGCGGGGTTGAAGGGGGAGTATGAGGGAGGACAGTGGTCATGCGACTCTTGATTTCTCCCTCGGGACTACTGGCTTGTGGTGGCGTCGCGATCTGGTGTTGGTTAAGCTGCCTCATCACGGGCGGCGACGCTGGCGCGTACGATGACAGGACTGGCTGGCCGCCGAGCCCGATCGTGACAACATCTGCTGACGTGATGGTGGCTACTCCATGGACTTGGTTGGTGAGCGGATTGCTGACGTGGAACAGCGCGGCGTTGGACATGGTTACAGCTGGCTGTTCCCGCCCTCTTTACTCGGGGTCAGATAGATTTCGAGCTCCAGAGATTTGGGTCATCAGGCACATAAGCGGCAAAAGTTGTTTCCTGAGAGGGGTGAGTAACGGAATTACTCTAGGTTTAAGCATAAGAAACGGGACAATTTTCGATGCTGCCTGGTATGTATGTATGTAGGCTCGCTCGCCTGTTGGGCGACCAGGGCGAAGCACCGCCGCACCACCCACAAAAAGACCACCCCGGCACTAACAGGTGGGCTTCCAAATCTCCAACAGGGTTGGCCGTTTCTTGGCCCTGTAGTTCGCTTCCGGATTGTCTTCGAGAACATGGCTTTCCATTGGGTTGTGAACGGTCAGCCAATGGTGATGGGGAATCCTGTGTGACCTGAGCTGCACACTTCATTGGATATGACGCGCGATTTCAGCCCAGGGAGGCACATGCAGTCCACTCGACCACCATGACCAGCTGAAAATAAATAACATTATGATTGGATGAAAGTAGAGAACACTACGAGTTCAGCGTTGTCTTTCGCCTGTTGCGGAAGTGTTTCCTATTGTAGAAATGCTAAATTAGCTGACTAAGTTAACTGATGAGACTAATACCCATGAATATCGTTAAGAATGGGAAATAGGTCGATAAAGTAGATCAGGAGGGAAACGATCAATTGACACGCCCGGCATGCGGCCAGGACTCGTAAGCTTACCTGAATCACCAACATGGCCCCAGTCCCCCAAGAGCTGTCTCATCTCCACTGCATCCGAGGGAAGGGAAGCGAGATGAGCGGCTGGCATTTGACAGTCATGGATAAGCGTTCAAATCGTGCGTCTCCGGAGCACTTTTCCTGTCCATATAGGGAGTATCTCCCCTTGGATCTTCGCACAAATACATGCAATTACATGTGTACTAGTATATGCCTAGGCAAAGGCACAATCATACCCGAACTCCCGGGGCCCGGGTTGCGATGACGACATGTAAGATTGCCCCAGCATCGGATCAAGACCCTCCGCAGCCGACGCAGTCATACGCATCCGTCATCATCAAAGGGGCCAGATAAGGCTGGAGCGGGTATTACCAACCAGACTGCCGCATCGCCACTCCGCGGTGAGATTTCCATCAGTCTGGTAAATCCTAAAATGGCGAGATCTTAATTACGGTACCGATCAAGCGAGAGCAACACGCCCAGGATGGAGCGGGGCGTGGGATCTGGCACAATGTGCTAAATATTGCTCTCTGCATTCCTAAGGTTGTCAAGCGCTGAGTAAACAGCCCCCCACGAAATCCAAAATTTACTTTAGATGTCATGGCCACAACCCAGGTGTCGCTCTCCAAGCGCCTCCAACTCCTCAATTCTAATTACATCATGCTCGATGCTGCGGGACTGCAGGGTGTTGAGCATAGTTGCGTTAACAGTTGTCTTAGGGATGAGGGAGGTTCCGTTTAGTGACAGAACCGTGAGGATGTGAGCAGCAGCCTTTGCGCAGGTCAGTTTCACATATTCAATCGTCAGAAGAGGACTAGTTGAACTACTCACCTTGGCGTTGACAGTAATGGTGTTGGGGTCAGGGTTCTCGATGGTGTCGCAAGCTTGGTGGTAGCACGGGTCTTGAGCAACTCCAGTGCCAGTGTGGAGGAACCCGAATGGCTTGTTCAGAATCTGCCAGAAGGATGCATAATCACTGCCGTTAGTAACAACAGCAGGGGTGATCTCAATGCCCTTGCTTGCGAAATACTCCTCGTAAATATGCTCGACAACATCAGATCCGGGTGGAGCGACAGAGCCATGGGTGCTGCCATCGGTGTCGGCGACACCAAAGTAACCCTTTGCAACCATGTCGAAGTTGAGGTAAACAAGGAGATTGTCCACGTCGGATGGGGCAAGGTTGGAGCAGTAGAACTTGGAGCCCAGCAGGCCGTTTTCTTCGGCTCCCCACCACGCGAAGCGAACCTTGTTCTTGGTCCGGTACTTGGTCAAAGCGAGGAAGAGTTCGAGAAGGAGACTTGTTCCGGAGCCTGATTTTCCGATGTTAGTTGAGGTTTTTACTTGAGATTGATGCTTGAGATTGGTGAATACTAACCGTCATCGTTAATGCCAGGGCCGGCTTGCACACTGTCCAAGTGAGCACCAAGCTGTAACTGTTAAACTTTATTTCTTTGGTCACGTTTGGTTATTGGAACATACCATGATAACGTTGTGAGGGTCGCCTTCCTCAGTCTCAACGAACACATTCTGGGTAATGCGCTCCTCCACAATCTGAGTCTGCTGAAAGTGCGCCTCAACAGTTTCACCCGCATCGAGGCGCTCCCTAATCTTCACACCATCCGCCAGGTTGATAAATCCAGCAGGCACAAAACCTTCAGGATCAGGCGCGCTAAGCGAGCCGGCAGTCGCATTAGTCGTGATGTCGTGGTAAATAATAACAGCAGCGGCGCCAGCAGCGGCCGCGGGTCGCACTCTGCCAGCCAGGGTGCCTCCCGTAGGGCAGCGGAAGCGTTGGACGAGAACAATCTTGTCCTTGACGTCCAGACCTTCGTAGTTGGCGGCATCGCAACCGGCCGCACCATCGGGTCCGAGAACGACTTGGGCGGTGATGCCCTCCTCGCTCGTGGATGGGGAGTACGTCAAGCCAAAAACGTAGATGGACTCGCCGTCAATGTTGAAGTCGATTGAGACGACCTGCCCAAATGTCGCCGAGAAGTCCTGTTTCCAGGCCTTGGTGGCGGGGATCGAGGAAATACGGTCCCAGACATAGTCAACTGACGCAGCATATCCGGGCAGTCCGAAGGCGCGGTTTCCACCGTTTGCGAAGGCGATTTCGTTGAGTGCTTCCAAGTTGGCCATGAGGCTTTGGTAGGAAACAATTGTCAGTCAATTGGATCAACAAAACACAAAAGAACGAGCTGGATCAGACAAAAATACTCACTTTTCGGTCTTGAGATCGGCCTGGAGCTTCTCAGAATCAATCTTGGGTCGGCATGTGGCGTCTACAGCGCCAGAGCCAGACGCCAACGACAACAAAGTCGCGGCGGCCGCCTTGGAGAACTTCATAGTTGCTGACTGTGCGTGGAAACTCGAGAATTGTACAGCAAAAGAGCTACCGAAGAAAGAAAAGAGCAACCAAAGCAGGCCACTCCAGAAACCCGGGCTGGAGTGCGCATTTTATTTACCTGGCAATTGTTTTTTGCCATGCCTAGTCTTGTACATCATGTACAAGGACTTAGTGTTGCGGTCAACAACGGTCAACCCAGAATGACCCGCAGAGCCGATTAACAGGTTCTGTCCACATCCAATCGGCAGAGAGCTGTTGGGGGTAAATCCACGAACCCATGGTCCGATCAGGAAGGTCGTTGGGGATGATGAGGGGAAAATCGGAGCCGCCAAGAGCCAAGCTATAAAACTCGAAGGTGGCAGTAGTCTTGGCCCGCGATGTCGTCAACACAGACTGACAGTTTGGTCCGTTTCTCGGGATTTCCCCGTATGCGTTGCTGATTGCGAGTCGGTTACGTTGCTCGGTACCAAATTGGACAACTAATGTGAGGGGAACTCGGGACCTGCACAATTGGGACTGGATGCCAAGCATGCGGCGACAAACTGCCAATGGTTCCATTGGTAGGCCACCACCATTATCACTCTACTAGATGTTAAAATATCATTTGATTAGTCAATCAGAGACCCATTTTGTTGTACTTTTCAGACTCGCCCGTTATCTCCAGGTTTCTAGTATTTATGGAGCCGTCTATTGCATGTCTCATGCTGTCAGGCCGCCGACTAACCTTTCTGTTCTGCTTACTACTTTCACATCAGAAAGCTGCCGATAGCTTCGGACTCAGTTCCGGACTACTGCGGTATACAATTATTGAGCTTGAGTGTTTAAGTAAGATAGGCCGTAAAGAGGTAGGCTGTACGTGTCACGTTCACAAGTATGACGGTGGAAAGTTCACTGAGGTGAGTTTATCAGCAATCGATGGCAGCGCAATAGCTCACTAGACTTTTAGAGGATAATTTGAACTGCAAGCAAGGTTGAGATGCTCATATCATTGAGCATTCCTCGATATAATTGATTTCATACTGGCAAGACTGCAATTGCTGTCCACCTAGTATACAACATAAACGACTTGCCAAAATTGATGAAAAGAGTTCTATGAAAACAAGGAAAGACCACCAAGGAACCCTAAAGACCCAGAGATTTGACCTTCTATTGATGATTCAATTTCCATTCACAACTCATAGGTACATAAGTTATGATCTTACAATCAGTCCCATTTAGGTCCACCTAATTCATCCAGGTTACCACAAACTCTACAAACCATCAACTATTCAAATCTTGAGTACTACCCATAATACGTCTAGGTTGTGGTAGCCTTACCTGGCTTTTTATAGTGGCCAAAATGCAAGACAAGAGAATTTCTGGCGGTCTCATTTCAATATTTCCCGTTTATGTCGGTGTTATCCTAGTTTCATCAGAATTCATTCTCTCTCAACAATGACACAAGCAACAGTTCTGAGAGCATTTTGTAAAAGAAAAGGCAGCTCCCATAGCCACACTCTCAAAAACGTATAACGAATCTGAGATGCTTCTGCTGAGCCCACGAACAGTGGTATTGTCAATCCGTATGCTTGAAGAGCAATAATTCTAGCAGAGGTTAAACCCAGCAATAAATCCTATCCATTTAAACTAATGAAGGTATGAACAGCCTTCCCCTACTTTACAATCCGCACAATTCAAGAGCACATCATGCACTACCTTAGTCATTTAATCCTGCTTTGAATTATTACTTGACGACAGATGAGCCCATTATCGACCAGTCATTTCCTCTTGATTGATTCGAAACCGAGGCCACAATTGCCTCGATGAAACACTTTCACTCTCCAAAAGATGAAGAACTTTGTCTTGCCGACTGGAGATCCACTTGCATTCCTAACGGGGTTCTGGCTGCCAAATCCTCCGATAGTGGCGTTCTTCTAGTTCTTTCATCTTCTGTCCCATTCCTACACTGAGACAGCAAGCCTTCGAAAGACACAGAATTCCTGATAATGCCTTGAATGAGGCTAGACGTCTTGCGTCAACAATATGCCATGTCCACATTGTCCCATAACTCCTCATTTCTTCCCTTCGGCCTGGTTGTGAACTGGCTTGTGCTGACTGAGAGGTCATGTATAAAGTATGGAGCAGAGGATCTCGACCGTCTTTGAACTTAAGACTCTAACCATAGGGGTCACTGACCATTGAAGAGTGTTTATTCGGTTCGTGCTTCACCCATAGCAAGTGCGTCAAAAATGGAAATAAAAACCATTTCTCAGTCGCAACGTGTTCTCGTTTTCTTCACAGGCGGGATAATCGCAAAAGTACCAAGGCTCCTGATGAAGTAACTTCACAACGTCCGAAGAGCGACATAACTAATGCCGTTTCCACATAGATGATATTCAAGCTGAGCACATGAGAATACGTATCTCATAAACAGCGTCTACTATCAGATCCAAGTGATACGACGTTTGAGCGTGCAAACCACGTTTGGCGGCGACGTCGTACCCCTTGCGCCTATGGTGGCGTGAATACTCTTCCGAGCGATACCTTACTGAGACTTTGTTCACCATTGTGATGGCTGCCTGAGCGATATCTCTGTCGAGTGCAGGTAGATGCCTGCCCCGAAGGTGGAACATTCGCGGCCCAGAACCCTCCGGATATATCAAATCATGAGAATGGAGATCGTCTCCGACGGATCTAAAATCGAGTAACACGATTTTGATTGGTTTAGCACCGGATTCGGGTCACTTGACGTCAATCTTGACTCGATGGGATGGATGATGTAGATTCAAGATAGTCAAAAAGACGGATATCGGTGGCTTCCCACTAGGGACTGCCAGATGTCCACCCCGCGTCTGTGCTCCCGATCGGGCCGACGCATCTACATTCCTCGACGCATTAGAGCAAGTTTGATGGAACTAGTTAGAAACCTTGAACGCTTTCAGATCACCAACTGAGACACCCGCATACTTACACTCCCAAGATGTGTAGCCTCGTGAATGTCGAGTTAGGAATTGGACTGTCCTGCTGCTATGTTGCATATAATGTTGGTTTGCTACTTTTAAGTACTGAGGGGGAGGGATATTGCTCCCGTGTTTTTTTGCATCAATCTCACGCACTTCTCGTCCCCGTCTCCCCCAAATATTTCGATGAATGGACATATCTGGCAGTATTTCGAGTATCCTCACTAGAGCTGTCCTCAGGGTATTGCCTCCTTGGCAATAAATCCACTGATTTCCCATTCGACAGACGACTTCAACCTTGTGTCACTTAGCTCTTACTTCTTTTTCCTCTTCCATTCTTGTCACTCCTGTATCCCAACATGCCGAAAGGCTTCAAACTGGGTTTGTGGGCTCGGAATGTGTACGAAGAATCGCTCGACACAGTACGCAGCTGGATCTTCGTAGACCAGTCTGGAGATGCACATCTTGCCTTGCTCAGCAACGAAGAAAGAGGCACCTCGGAACACCTACCAACCCACGAACCGAAGCCGCTACATCGAAGACGAAAATGCCGCATCGGTTGGAAACCAAAGGATGCACTGCGTCTGTTATGGGCTGTTGTGCCCTCGTTTATAGCCAACGCATGCGGCCATGGCGAATCGCTGGTCCCTCCAGCCAACGAAACTTCCTATCTGAACGGCCTCCGTGGGATTGCATCTCTCATCGTAGCTATTCAACACAACACGAACGATGTGAGTACAGATTAACACTGAAATATGTCCTTTGTCTCTTTCTCCTTCTGGAGCATTCATGTGCCTAGTTATCCTGAGAAAATGCTCTCGCAACATATCATACATGCATGGTTAACTACCTGAATGACCAACTAACAAGCTTGTTTACAGTACAAGTACATATATCGCGGCTGGGGCGAAACTGAGTTGGATCGTTTCTTCATGCAACTCCCATTTATCCGGCTCGTGTTCTGCGGATCTTTCATGGTCGCAGTCTTCTTCGTCATCAGCGGTTTCGCACTCACCTACGGTCCACTGAAGAAATCCCACAACGGAAAAGCCGACGCCGCCATTGCTTCTCTTCCATCGAGCATATTCCGCCGCCCATTTCGACTTTTCCTTCCCGTTATTCCCGTCCTGATCATTACGGTCGCCCTAATTCAGATCCAGTGGTTCTACCAAGGCAACGCCACCCTGCCGCCACTGGTGGGAGGCTTTTGGGCCCAGGTGTACTTCATTTGGGCTACATTCCTTCTCATTCTCACGGCTGGAACGATCAAGACAATCATGCCTCAGGCCTGGACACTGTCGACCGAGTTCGCAGGATCTCTTCTCGTGTTCATGTGCTGTATGGCATTTGCACGAGCGTCGCCTGTGGTCCGCATCCCGTTTGTCTTCATGCTCCTGAGCTTTTTCTTCTACTTTGGCATGTGGCCGCAAATCCTCTTCCTTGCGGGAATGATTCTCGCTGATGTGCGGCATACCCGGAAGAAGATACCAGGCCTAAAGGGCGCAATGCGCTGGATCGCTACAATAATGTGGTCCTGCTTACTTGTGCTCGCGCTATTCCTGGGCGGATGGCCCATGCTAGGCAATGGATACGCGGCGGCAGGATACTCATGGTTCGTCTGGGTGCCTACGTCGGGTATGAAACCGGACCGCTTCTTCACAAGCATGTCGGCTATCGCGCTGGTGGCCTCGCTAGAATACTTGCCCCTCCTGCAGCGCATTTTCAATGTCCGTGCTATCTTATACTTGGGAGAAATCAGCTACGGCCTTTACTTGGTTCACTGGACTGCTAGCAGTATCTGGCTTACATATGGGGTCAAGCTACGGCTGCTGGAAGCCGGCTGTAGGCACGAGGTCGCGTGGAGCATCGGTTTCGCCTTCTCCGTGGTGCTTTGCATATGGGCCGGAGATGTGCACTGGAGATTGATCGACAGGAAAGCAGTGTCGTTTGCACGCTGGCTGAGCGACAAGTGTGGCATATAAATAGTAACTAAGTGGGCGATCAGGATATGTATCTGAGCGGAAACAAAGTATATTAAACGTACGTCAAACAGATCATCATGCTTCACTCTTTTAACCAGTGAACAATAAGATATAATCAAGATTCCAAAGACGGGCTTTGATCATTGTGTATATACTGCCTATGCAGTTTGATGACTTCTCTTGTTACCTGAAGTTCTTATAAGGAACATGACGTAATCCAAATAAGGTCTGCAAGAGACTTGTGGATGATGATTTGTCGGATGTCCCCTGTCATATTCCCCGTCCTGGATGCATTGTTGCCTAAACGTCAGCCACAAAAGAAACATGACCTGTTTTTATCAGAAACGCTGCTTCAACTTGTATCACAACTGTGAAAAATATCGTTGAGCTTTTTCCGTTTGTCAAACCAAGAATCTGCGGCATGTCTAGCCCACCTTTACCAGTCGGATCCGCCAAGGGTTCTTCAAATGAGTCGGACATCAGAGAATACGAATTTCAAATTGCGCTCGATCAGCTCGTCGGCGGGTCGACAGAAGCGCTCAAAGTATACTTGGCCCGCCAGGAAGGCCTTGATCCAGCTACAGTGACCCTTCGTTCAGGGCCATGGCAAGCGAGCGAAGGGAGTGAGTTAACCTTTATTGGTAAAATGGACAATGTTGGGCCTCCTGGTGAGGTCAAAGACTCCGGCTTCGAAACCTCTAAACCAGCACCACACGTTGCCCTTGAAGACACAGGAGTACCCTACAAATATACCCCGCTTGATCCGGATTGCCGGCAGTTCCGTCTTTTGAAGCTCGGATCACCTGACGAGAATGGCATTACCAGTCAGTTTCGTCTCGAAACTTACAGTATCGATGATTCGCCGTCATATTTCTGTCTCTCGTATGTATGGGGTGACCCTGCGCGATTCCTAAGCATCAACTGCGATGGGGAGATGATCTCTGTTACGCAAAACCTCTTTCATGCCTTGCAGACATGTTTTACCCGACATCCAGATTCTTGGCTTTGGGCAGATGGCATATGCATTAATCAGGAGGATGTGGCCGAGAGGAGTTCCCAAGTCCTCCTTATGGGTACCATCTATCAACATGCTTCCATGGTTTTGGCGCATCCTGGTCATTATAGTTATAAACAAGTCAACAACAGGGAGTCGTTAGACAACCGACTTGAGGAGCTTGGGAGACAAGATATGATGAGCTTCGGTGTTGATGAAACTGACAACCAGGGGGCTCTTACCCAAGCTCAGAATCCTCATGGGGTTCCTGAGTTTACCGGCATCTCCGTTAGTAACGCATACAGTTCCGAGAACGCCCAAGGTGCCATTAGTATTATGACTTTATTGAGACGGATTTGGTCTGGAAGAGACCACGAAAAAACCGACAAAGAATGGGAAAATGTCGGATTACCCACCCTTGACACTCAAGAAGGAGAAGAAATATGGGGAAACCTGCTGGAGTTTTGGAGCCAAGACTGGTATTTTCGAACATGGGTTCTCCAGGAAGTCGTTCTCGCTGCGAAGGTGGTTGTACTTTACGGATCAACAGCCATCAGTCTGGAGGCTATCACCGAGTTCTGGTCTCTAGCTCGCCAGCGCAGCCTGCCTCGAGTTCTTAGGATTGGCCCGTGTGCCGACATATTCAACAAGGTTCTACACTTAAGCCCTGTCAGCTCCTACAAGACGCTTCGAGACCGACGATATCCAGATGATCAGGAAGACGACGGAACAGATACACGACAAGCAGCACCTTCAACACCTTCAACACCTAGCCTCTTTGAATTACTGTGTCTTGCTAGAAACAACTTGGCAACCGATCCGCGCGATAAAGTATACAGCCTCCTAGGTCTTACCAATGACGGCATAGCGCAATCGATTATACCAGATTACTCTCCAGAAAACACGGTAGCAGATGTCTTCACAGGGGTCGCCAATAAGTTGGTATCTGATAATGTTTTGGACATTCTGCATTATGCCGGCATTGACCAGGATGTTTTGGGTTTGCCATCTTGGGTACCCGACTGGACCAGGCAATCACGATCGACACTTCCTACTCATTTGTATCAGTGCATGAGCAAGACAACGCCGAAATTCACCATCATAGAGACGGATAACAAGCCAAAGTTGAAGATCAGAGGCGCCATCATCTCAAGGGTGAATCAGGTGGGAGCAGCGTGGAAATATTACTCTCACAATAGAACTGATCTACCATTCGGCGGGTTCAAAAACGCCCCTGAGGTTGAGATACCGCCATTCAACGACGAGGATTCAAGAAACTTCATCCTTTCCATGGCGTCGCAAATGGAAGAAGGCCTTGCTGAGAATTATAGCAAAGAGGGGTTCAACGACGCACTGGTACGCACTCTGGCCGTGGACTGCTCAAAGACAGGTGAAAGAATCGGGCCCAGGGTTGTACTCAAAAGCGCCGAAGCCCCTAACACAGTACAGCTGCTGGAATCCACCGAGACGGAACAACCGCCAAGTACTGTCTCGCATGAGTTCTTTGATGGCGTAGATGCATTCCGGCGTTTCTATGCAAGAGGTCCTGATTCTGAAGACGACTTAGTCGCGCCTGGAATCAGAGTCCACCAAACCGCAATATTCATGTGGCTTCTTGACTTTGACGAAGAGGTAGAAGCTGATCTCCAGAAACGCATGGTCGCATACACCGTTCCTGTCCAAGAAGCCCAGCGAGGTCGGCGATTCGCGACACTCGGCACGAGAGTTAAACGGGACACTAACGAGAAGTCTGGAAAAAAGAAATTACTCGACACAAAGGAATTGGAAACTCACTTTATGGGTACTTTACCATGGAATGCGGAGGTTGAGGACTATGTTGTGGTACTGGAAGGCTTCAAAACACCATTTGTATTGCGAAAATGCAACCAAGACACGGGAAACGGAGAAGTAGAAGGCTTCCAGCTCATTGGCGATTGTTATGTTCACGGCATCATGGACGGAGAACTCTTGCAATTGGCAGATCAAGTGGATGAACAGCTTGCATCGGAGTACTTCGGTTCGAACAACGAGGGTCAAAGGTATGCAGTGAGGGCGCCGCAAGGATTCGTACCCTTCACAGATCTCACCTTGTATTAGGTAGATTAAGATTACATCCTACTGATCCAACGTACCCAAAGTATCCCCCCCTTTCATCAAGGTCATGGGCTATAGGGCAAGATAGTAACTTGGGGCGTTGACCAGATATGCCAATTGTCTGAGTGCGCAGGATTGCTAAATGGTGTGAGCGCAGCAAAGCGCATTCTACCAGCAATTGGTCAGCTTTGGAGTCGAACCACGAGATATTGTTTGTCAAAACTCACGTATAGTTTCCTGGAGCAATGTAGCTTCCGTTCGCCATCTTTCCGAACCACCAAAACCGGTCAGTCAGCTCACTCCAAGATGTCGTTCGCTCCACTCCCCAAATCGGGAATGGCAGCACTTTCTCTTTGTCCATAGTCGCAGGGTCAAAGGTGGTTGCTCTGACGGAATATGTAGAATAGGCAACTGCACCAATGTAACCATCCTGCCCTACGACAGGAGGGTATTTCCAAAGGTTTTCTGTATATTCCGCGTCGAATATCTGTTGAAGTCAGCAAATGGCCGCGGTTTGATGTGGATAACAGAACAAGCCAGCAAAAAGTGCTTACATCCCAACGCAGCTCTTTGGTTCCCCATTTGAGCTGGGTGTAAACCTTGGGAAAGTCTTGAGCGACTCGGCTGGTATTGAAACCATAACTATGATCGAATCAGCAAGATATAAACCTTATAGAAAATTGTTGCATATTTACGTGTGATATGTTTTGATATCCTGGCCGTTGGGACCGGATCTTTGTATTGGGTATCCGTCAGGGAACATCTTGCCCCTCATTTGAACCTTTAAGTTAAATGCCGCCCCTTGAAAGCTGTGTCAATGTGGCAATCCAGCGACGATGGAAACCCCATGGACTTACCTAAGTATGGAATGGAGAGAGTTTCATCTTTGCTGCTACTGATAAGAACTTTACCGCTGTAGATCGGCAACTTGGATTCATCATCAACTTTGGGAAACATGAAGTTGAATCTGAACCATCTTGTCAGCGCGTTCTCTTCTAATTTGCATATAAGGTTACTCACTGTGCCTGCTTGGTTTCCCCAGGATTGACTTTGAAAGTCCCAGAAGGAAACCCGACTTCCGGGACAAGGCCGATAGGCTTAATGTCAAGAACGTCCGCAAGTAGCCGGGGCGTGCGTCCCTGCGCGTTGAAGCCTCCTGCAGGCTGCAATGAGAAGCTATAAGTTACCGGTTGATCGCCACTATTGGTGATGTTGACCTTATGATATCGACTGAATGACCCGGTGTCATTCAGAGCGATTTTGTCAAATGATAGAAAGGTTGTGGACTCCAATAACTTTGTGGCGTTGATAAGTCCGTTTCCCACTTGTGTCACAGGGGCAAAATATCCAAAATCGACCGGCAAGGCTTGAGGTTCAATCACTTGCCAAGGGAGGGATTCGCCACTGGAGATAATACGCTTGGATAGCTCTTTGGCAAATCCTTTGCCATGCACAGATCGTCCACCATGTTTGCTTATATAGAGCGCCGCCACTCCAGCAACATAAGGTGTCGCCATGGACGTACCGCTAAGGACTTTCCAAGTCTTACCGAGATATGTGCTGTAGATATTGGCCCCCGGCGCGGCAATGTCGGGTTTGATTTCAAGCTCATAGGTTCCTCCCCAGCTTGAATACTGCGAAGGAATACCACCAGCCGCATCGAAGAACCCAACCGCCCAGTTGGGATCATCAGGATTCGTGAAATCCGCCGTCACATTCCCGCCAGCTTTGATCGTTTCAATGATTGCTGCACCAGCTTTTGCGTCGATTAGGGCCATTTGCGACTTGTAGGCGGAGTTAGCCACCAATTCGAATGGACGGTAGTCGTCATTGTAGAACAACACATATTGTGCGCCGAACTTTTCGACATTCGTTTGTTTGACGTAAGGGGTGCATGATCCTCGCCGAATCAAAACTATCACATTGGAGAGATCTGGCGTCGTGTCAGGAAGCGGGCTGCATGCTTCACCTGTAATCTTTGTGTCGAAGGAGAGAGGCACAATCGGTAGGCCACTGACGTTCCACGCAGGTCTGTTGACGGGTGGAATATACGCAAGCTGCGTCCTATTCGATTTGCCGTCAAGATTAAATGTTGCGTGCCACGGCTTAGAAGGAACCCGACTTGTGTCGACTGAGGCCACTGCCAAAACTTCCTTGCCAGATGAACCACTGCTGGCGTAGAATGGCCCTTCATCTCCGTCGTTACCGGCGGCTATGGTGACTACAACGCCTTGCTCGACAATTCTGGAGGCTACTGTTGCCCAAGGACCATCGGAGAAACCAGCTGCACGACCAATACTCGCTGTAATGATATCTGCCTAAAGGACGATTAGTCAGACGAGGAACGGGAGAACCGAAGTCTCATAACCCACTCCAGATTCATAGGCCATGATGGTTGCATCAATCAGGGTATCTTCGTCAGTGCCGTCGACCTAGAGAATACGGTTTAGCCTTGCAGGTTCAGATTCAAGGGAGCTCTTTGTCATACTGCACCAAAGACCTTGAAGGCGAGAATTTCTGCCTCTGGAGCAACACCAGCGTAGCTGCAATGGAGTGAGTACAAACAGACCCGTTGCATCATTCTTGATATTTGAAACGTACAAATCACTTTTACCAGCGATAATTCCTGCCACATGGGTACCATGACCTAACGCATCAAGAGGGTCTTCATCAGGGATTTTGTCGTTGGATCCGTCGTATTCTGCCACCAATCAGTTATTCAAAGTTGCAAATTGCTCAAAGCTTGACTAACCTTGACCAACGAGGTCATATCCGCCTGATACTTTGAACCCAGGGCCAAATCCTCCGCCGAGCTATGTGTATTAGTCACTTAAGAAGAGTTGACTGTGGCGCATAGGAGAGCCTACTGCTGGATGATTATAATCGACGCCAGAGTCAATTACTGCAACCTTTACACCTTTCCCAAAGACCCCAGATTGATGGACTTTGTCAACCCCTGTGGAATAATGAATGGACCAGTTCTGCGCAGTGGCATCGTCACTAAAAGAGGCCTGTGGCGTAACAGGTGAAAGCCTGTATGTCTTTACTGGCCACGCTTGAGCAACCTCTTGAACGGTCTGCAACGTGTCAAGGTTGTCATCTTCGGATTCTATACTCAACCCAGAGAAGATTTCGCTGTTAAACGACTTTAGAATCTTCGCTCCGGTAGCCTCGATCTTCCGAGACAAGTCTGTAAGAGCAACACCCTACCAGGACATCAGTAGTGAACAGCAACGCCATGGAATTAGTAAGTGCTCATACGGGCTCGGCTTCAATGATAAACTTCTTGGTCCCGCTCACGGTGGAGTTTTGGGAGTCATCTGTTCCTCGATGGCGATGTAGGGAATTGGCTTTAACTACACCAAGGGCAACTGCCCAGAGGAGAGGACTGAGACGCATATTTGCGATGGGTGCGACTCATGAATGCTGCAATTATCGAGCACGGCGATACGGTCTCATATGTAAGCTACCTCCTGGAGAACCCGGATAGCTCACACGAGAGGACCACCTGTATCCCGCTTTTTCGTGCACATGAATTTGCTCATACCCTGCAGTTTCTAAGTCTTGTCGTGCCATTTAGGAAGCCCGGAGCTGCGGGCAAAGGCTACTAGCCACCTACAAAGTGGGCCGCAATCTCCTTGAAGCTGCAAAAAAAAACTACCTCAAATGCAGCCCAGGAATGGTTCCTGGCAGGTGGTTAACTCGGCTGCCAAATTCGGACTATCGGCCCCCTAATCACTTTGGTCCCTGGCATTGCAGGGTTACAATGAGTACTGGAAAGAGGTCGTTCGGCCGAAAGCAACTTGTGCGCGCCACTACTTCCTCCGTGTTCACGCTCCCCTTAACCCTTCTGCTATCGAAAATGGTCGTGGGTAAGAGTTTTCAAGTAGCAAGGCTGGAAGGATTGTTGACGAAGTTGATTACACAAATAGAATAGCCACGTAAAGCATCGCAAGCCTTGTCTGCCACTCTAGAACTATGAATTTAGTGCAAACTCTCAGCTCAAGGCAACTCTGAAATGGAAAGGAATGAGTAAAGGGCAATAGAACCAAAAAGATCTCCCCGAGGTGGGCTCGAACCACCAACCTCCAGATTAACAGTCTGACGCGCTAGCCAATTGTGCCATCGGGGATGATGGAACTATTTGTTGAAGTCCTCACGATGGCAAGTGGATTATTACCCCAGACCTAAAGGTGTGGTTGTGGGACGGTCGAAACTTTAGCGAGACTTGATGAGTTAGTTGTGGGACCATTACGAGGCGAAACAGCGTGAAAAATCTCGCTAAATAGGACATCTTCCTACTGACCAGAATAGATATCTGAAGAGCTCCATCACTCTTCCGGATCTGAGCTCGAGGGAAGCCTAAAGTGGATAATCCCGAGAACCTTTGGTGGCAGGGATATCAACACCTTCTTATACCAACAGTAACTGTATCATGGCAATAAAGAGCTATCGATCTTATTGGCTAAAGTAAGGTAGGCACCTATGTACGCCTATCCTTTTCACAAACACGTGTACAAAAACTGTTTGTTGGTCTCACAGAGACAATTTTTCGTTACAAGCACCAGATGTAAAGGACAAATGTTGACATAAAAGTATAACATATGATGCGCCATAACCGGTAAAAACGCTCTGGATGTGCTAGTGAAATTCACGTTTGGTAAGCCCTGAATGCAGCTGGGTTTGTTTGGTTGAAGAGAAGCGTCCATCTACTCTTCAAAAGTCAAGTCATCATTATCCGACTCGCTGATAGCATCTCTTCGTAAAACACTATGAAATTAAACTTAAACGAGAGTTTTGATGCTCTGCAACAGATGGCGTTGACAGCTTCCATGCCGACTTTGAGTTATTGCATTTTGTTCAACTGCAGTTGAAAGCTAACTTGGGTTATGGGACGGTTGGGTCGAACAAACTTCATTGTAATAGACAAGGTGTTTTGAGAAGAACTTAAGTATCTTCCTCGAGCTATGATGACACTTCTCCGTTGTCGTTACTGCTAGCTGTCTTTTAGGTGTGTGGCTGATAGCGTCGTTTTACAGAGGCGGTCTGTACTCAACAAGTAAGGACATTGGAGTTTGGATGCAGAGCCGTTCCTCCATGGTGAGACAAATCCGCGGATCTTCTCCGCTCGGATTTGTCATCGATATCTGCCGTATGTAAGCAAAGAGGGGAACCATGTACTTAGCGTGGGTTTCTATGATGATATGAGAGCAAAAGTCCAATTGACTCTCGGGCCGCTTTTTCCATGGATTGCTGCCTACGAGTCTCCATCTGACCGCCTAATGTCAGTTCTTTTCTCGATCTTGGCATATAAGAACACACTAAACGCTTCAGTCAACTTACCTTGCTTACTCAACACACCTAATCCGGTTTCGACACATCGCATATCACAAAATGTCTGGCCAACACATTCTGTTTGACATTCCTGACAAGAATGGCGAAACATGGTCTCTTAACCCATGGAAGAGTATGTCTTTTATTGTCTTCAAAACAAGAAAACCCTTCGCTAATAATCTTGTTAGCTCGGCTGGCTCTGAACTTCAAGGGCATTGATTACAAGACAGAATGGCTCGAATATCCGGATATTGAGGCCAGACTCAAGCCTACTGGTCTAGAAGGTGACCCGGATCAAATTGCGCTGTTCACATGTCCCACGGTTCAATTCCCTGATGGCACTTATGTCATGAACAGTGCCAAGATTATCAAACGTATCGAAGCCGAACACCCAGAGCCGCCTCTGTATCACGACCTGGAATTGACGCAGACTTTGTTGCAGTCTGCTCAAGGTCTCATGGATGCCCTGGCGGCAATCTTGTTGCCAATCGCTCCTCGTAGAATTCTTAGCGAGCGTAGCGCCAAGTACTTCTGGGAAACGCGCAAGGAGTATCTTGGAATGTCGCTCGACGAGTTTGAGGAGCGTTACGGCGGCGAGAAGGCGTGGGAAAAGGCCAAGAAGCCTCTAGACGAAATCACAGCGCTTCTGAGCAAGACAGAAGGGCCTTTCTTCCTTGGTGATAAGGGTAAGTCTTCTCCATAAGTTATGACGTCAGGCTGACACATTGCCAGTGGCTTATGCCGATTTCATTCTTGTTGGTTTCCTGTTCTGGGCCAAGAAGTTTGACGAGGAGGTCTACCGCCGTATCACCCAACATTCGGACGTTTTCGAAAAGCTGTATCAAGCCTGTGGGCCGTGGCTGGAACGCCAGGATTGATTGCGTCGTTACGAAATTCCAGAGGCCGGTTCAACTTGTGCTTGTCTCTCAGAAGCCAGGTTTTTGGCCATCTCATCGAGATGCCCCACGCGGCAACAAAGATGAAGAATCGACGTCTGTGTTGTAAATAATTTACATGGCGATGCCGCAATTCTGGCTGATTCCATGGTTTTTTGTCGAAATAGGCCAGTTTGGAGATAGTTGAAATATTTGACAGCAGTGGAGATGCTACGGATGCATGCATATTTCAAGAAGGGCTGAAAAAGATGGTTATGGTAAAATTAAAGTGATTCGCTGCGAAATATCAGTATCGGTATTTCGTAATGCTTCGACATTTACAATCTCATCGACTACAGACTGCCCGATTATGGTACAGTCGTATGAGGGGCAACAGCCGCTTGAGCTAGCCAAGGCCGTTTTTAGCCAACCGTATAATGCAATATAACTACAAAGTACCTTCCTTATATATACTTTATAAATACTATAGTAGTGCCGGGAATCATGTGAGTCACCAGTTCCGTAGCAGACGTGGCTGGGAAAACACTGCTGTAAGTGATGTACCGTTGTGCATTCCTGTTTTAAGGGAGGAAAAGTGGAGTGAATGCACTGTAATCACGCCACAGTCGTTAGTAAAGAGCCGGACTACAGGCTGAGAATAGTCTCGTAGCTTACTTAGGCCCAAACTCTTCCGTAACACATCCAAGGCCAGTCACCGTTGATTTGCGTTGTTCCTTTACAATTTAGAAAATCAAATCAAGAATATCATTTCTGAGAAAATTGTCATGACTCCCGCCCCAACTACGGTTAAGATGCAGATTTTGGGTTTCTTGAGGAGGAAAGATGACAAGGCTTCGATGGATCTTGTCAGCTGGTTAAATTAATGTGTCTGTACTGTCTGAGAAACACTCTGCCTAGGGAGCTTCGACCGTGTAAGTGTGTGCAGCGAACACAACATTGTAGGTGCTGTTAGTCGCTTTGCTGTTTTAAAACCTTTGATAAAGAAAATTGGCTATCTCACGGCTCTACGGAGACTCTGCATATTCCGACCTATCATACCCTGTTAGCTATTCAATGCATTTTTATATTTCCCTTCAGGAACATGATCTATAGCCGGTCGAGTGGTTGAGAACTTACAAGTCAAGGCTCTGAACCCCGACCTTCCACACTGGCCCCCACAACACACAACTTCAGAAACAAGAGGGTCTCCATCGCCGTCGTCGCCAACCGCCTGTCCGCATCAGGATATCATACAAATCGATAGCGCCGATGGTTTAGTGGTAAAATTCTCCGTTGCCATCAAGCAGCGTCGGGGAGCCGGGGGTTCGATTCCCCCTCGGCGCATCTTTTTGCTTCCTAGGGCCAACGCAATGCTTTAACGCTGAATGGACGTTCAAGCTCTTTTTCAGTATGTGTCAGCGTCGAAGAAAGTCCTATATCCCGTAGCAAAAGAAGAAGGCGAATTTCTGATGTTTAGGGCTGAGCAGGTCAGCAGTCCGCTGTGCTTGCAGCGTGCAACGCTGCTACGCCTCTTGGCTGCAGACTGAGGTCATTGGCTAATGGTATATCGTGCAGGTTGGCCACGCCCCGAATGCCTTCAGACTCACTGCAAGGCTCTAACCATTCGACTTCGAATTTCCCTCCTACACAGTAGATCACGACTTACTGAGTTATTAATTCCAGACGCCTTGGATTTCCTTCCGCATGGTAAAAAGAATCGCAGATTGATAACCCCTTCTATTGTAACTTGCACAACGTCCATGGACCCTCTCTCAATCATCGCCAGCGTGGCTGGAATTTCCCAGGCTGGAGCCTTGCTCTCCAAATCGATCTATGACCTTATCAGCGCCACTCGCGGCGCGCCTAAAGAGATCACCGACATTGCGCGGGGTATTTCCGAGCTTTCAGTCATTTTGAGCGAGTTACGGCGCGTGCTTCGGGATGGGAAGTCACTCTTCCGTCGACGGTTGCTCAGAAACATACGCTCGACGATAAAGAGAATCGGAAAGATTCATCATGCCGTTGGAAAGCTGATAGACGTCGGCAACGGAGCAGGCCGTCTGAAATGGGCATTTCGACGATCGACCACTACGCAGCTACTGTACCAGATTGAGGCACACAAGAGTGGAATCAATATGGTTTTGCACACAATGGTGCTCGCTATCCAAATTAGAATGATATCTAGGTAAGTTTTACGTTCATATCTTAGGGGTTTATGCATTAACGAAAAGTGCTCTCTCTCAGCTATTCTGAAGGAGATAATACAGGTGTTCCCCGGGCAGAACTTAAACTCGAACGAGATCTCAGCCGCCGACAGACAGAAAACCAAGTCGAATCATCCTTCCACGCTCTCCGACAGCTTACTGCCTCCAGTTCTCCTTCTCCGGAGGATGCAGACATAGAAGATCAAGAACCAACTCCGGACGAAATAAAGGATGCAAAACAAAATCAACTAGTGCTGTGGGATGGTGGGCCTGATGATACCGCTGCTTGGCTTTATCGGACGGTGTTTTCTTCGTTTACAGAATCGTTAGAGGCAGACAATGAGCTCGATTCTGAATCCCTAGGTGAATCCAAAGGGGAAGAAACGGGGTCGCCGCCATCTGTAGTGAGCAGACAACTTATCGGTATTGGTACGGCGTTCAAAAACTCAAATGGATCGAAGCACGTTGTAAATGAACTGCTCGCGGAATGGACAGTCTTAACGAACGAGGAGATCGATGGCATCGAACCCGACTCCAAGCCCCAGAAGGCTGAGGTCTTGGCCAACAAGGGTTCGGCGAATATGGAGGAGCTAATACACTTGAATGATGCAGTAGGAAGGAAGTTCATATTGCCGTTTCAAAAAGCCAAAACTTGGGAGGTAAGTTACACGCCCTTTGGGAATTGGTGTGAAAATCCCCTTTTTTCATATAGTTGTTCGGTATTAGCAAAACTGATTCTGTCTAGGGCCTTACATCTTACTTGAATGAGGCATTCAAGCATGTGGATATTGTTGGACCCCATGTTATGGAGGGACATTTCGATATCGTTTCGAAAGATTTGGGAGATGTTATCTTGCTTCCCAGTATTTGGGGCGATCTAGTCAAACCTGGGTACGTGGTTGACATGCGTGTCTGGCCTATAGAAAAGCCCAGACAGATACCGGTGGCACATCGAAGACCCTTCCCACCACCTGGGATGCCTGCTGGTGCCCTGCCAAAATCACCTGCTCCAGAGCCTCCCAGTCCGGCCAAGTCGCCCGAGCCTCAGCCAGAGACAGCCAAGACTAGAAACAGTAAGTGTTACCCCAGATTCGAATTTCCTTGGTACTAACGATTCAGCAGAGAAGAAGCCCATTGGCAAGGACGGCTGAACTCTCTTGGAAATCTATTAAGCCACTTATAATGGAGAGAAGCTTGGAACATCTTTAATTTTCCTGGTTAGTGGAATTCGACCAGTCGAAAAGTGTTAATTGCTCTGAATCGCCCGCGGTAAAGGTAACGTACACGAAGTGTCGCGGTAAATGGCGCTGCCTACTCCTCCCCCGCCTTTACTGACCGTGAAAGATGAGGGATCAGGCATCTCATGGACATAGATGTGAAATCAACATGTTGTCTTTGTTGCTTTCTCTGGAGGCGTACACAATGCTTAAAGCCACATTTTGAGAGTTTCTGTGCGAGATTTGCAAAGAAGCATATGAACCCTATTAAAAGAATAAAGAATTAAAGTAGTCGTCACTCAAACCCCATCTACTCGTTGATCTTGTGTCTCCAAACCTGCTGTTCAGCCCTCGCGCTGTAAGTGCTCGCACCCAAGACAGCGCTCAACTGTTCGTCGCCCAGGAACATGACGTTGCGTGCCACGAACCAACGGATACCCTCAGTGCACGGGGGACTTGTCAGACTGCCCTGGTAGGTCCAGAATTCACCAAAGTAAGAAACCTCCTTGAGTGCAAGATTGAGGTCGAGCTCAGTCGGCGTCGACTTGTCCGTCTCATTGAAGCCGATCATCGGCGGCATCTGGGCGAAAAATTCGTCGTTGGCGCTGCTGGGGTCGAGCCTGAACGCCAGTACAGCGCTTGGTGTGCCCTTCTCGTTGACATGCACGAAATGCATCTCAGCTCTGGACCTCCATCCGCTAACGGTGTGGTCAGCCGGCGTGTGGATGTGCCAGCCAGAGAGGTAGACGGTGGTGTTGTCGTATGTGAATGACGGGTTGCCGGAGTAATCCCCTTCAGGATGCTCGATGGTGAAAGCTGGTCCGTAGTTCCAGTTGTAAAAGGTTCCCTTCGTCTTGCCCTCGGGGTAGTTGAACTTGACCTGGTGCTTCGTCGCAAGACCGTTGTTGAAGCCGATGGCGATAGGTGATTGCTGGGTGCCAGCCTGGCAAAGCCTGTAGTCTGGTGATATCATTAGCGTTCAAATTTCGCTGCATAACGAGACACAGATGAGTGCATACTTGAGTTGACACGTCCCCAATCGAAGGATGCTTCGTACGCCCAGTCTGCCTGTTGAGGTTTCTTGTAATCCGCACGCTTTGCCAGTTTTGCAGAACGGAAGGTCGAATGATCTGCACAGGCGGTGACCATTGAAGCCCCCAGGAGGGCGGCGAAGAAAGTAGGTGCGACCATGATGTGGGAAAAAATATATGTAAAACGAGTGTTACGAAGCTATAATGACAGCCTAAATTGTGAAGTAAACAAGTTTGTCGAGAATATTCAACGACGATGCTCCTTCTCAGCAGGGGCGAGCCCGAATTATACGTGAAGGCTTTTCTGGGGCACTCGACTCCCTCATTCCTGGACTGCGATGAGAGCAAAGCCCCATTCCGGCCAATTGCAACCTCCTGAAATGCCAGGTCAAGTTTTGTAAAAGCTCAACCTACTCTTGGCAGGGAACCTGACGAGGCTTTAGATCTACTAGGAAACTTAAAACCTGCGGCTGCACGCATTCCTTGTCAGATTGCTCAACAGTAACGTAGTTGGGTTTTCTATGATGAAGTGGCTAATGAATGTGCGCCGATGGCCAACTAATTAAACTATACATGGCCTCACATTTAATTTGCTTGGTATTATGTGACAATCGAGGAATGTACCTCCCCTAGAAACGGTGGGGAAAATTTACTGAATCAGATTCGGTAAGAAGAATCACCCAGAGATGAGAGAACATAGCTCAGTTGCACAAGATCGGTTTCCCCAGACATGCAGGTTGCCCCCGTAGGGCTACCCCTTGCAGATGGACAAATCTGGCTGTCGAGGCTACCAACGATGGAGAATGACTGGCATGTAACTCGAAGTCCCATGTTGTGGGCGAGAACCGGCACAGAACGCTCAGAATGGGAAAAGTGGTGTTGTTGGTTGGAAGAACTAACTAACTGGCTAGAGGGCTGTGGAGGCTGGCTAAGACCAGTGGTGGCGGCCGTCAGCCCACGTGACGGGCCGGCGAGGCCTGCCACCCACACATGTGAGCACATGTAAAGTGGATCGTATCCAAAAGAGGAAAAGGCTTTCCATTTGGATTTCAGCTGTCTCCAAGTCACATGTAAGCCATCACGGCCAGCAATGTGAAGTCTGACCCCTAGCCAGTCACCATTGAAGTGACGGCACAAAAAAGCTCAACTCATCTCGTATCCGACCTCAACTGAAAGAAATTGAGCCTGAATCGCGCCTCTATTCAGATCCAGTTAAGTGTTGGGCATATGGAACTGCAATTCCGTCGTCGCATTTAAGAACGCCTCTGCCGCATCAAACTCAATGATGCGCAGTCCCAAAGTTACACGCAAACTAGGCGCCTCCAAGCATATGCGGCGGCTAATGATCGGTGCGATTTGAAGCAGGTTTTTCGATTGTCGTGGGCACAAGACGCCAGCAGCCCAACCCCAACAGAAGTCAGGCCCAGCTTCGTATCCGAGGTGTAGCCAAAGGCAGAAGCTCATTCTATGGCACTGTTCCATGGTTCCATTAGGCTTCTGTACGTAGTTCTTCGAAGGCACTTCCTTCTGTACCTAGTAGTCGGGATCCACCTGAACGCGCTGCTTTGCATGTGTTTGCCGGCATCCAGACTCTCAGGGTCGTATAATGAGGGCTAGAACCTGAATATCCTATACTCTTGGAGCATTTCCTTATTTTTATATACATAGATATAAGTTAGGATGTTTAGAAATTGTTTTTGTTACAAACCGGAATTTCGGGTTAAGGTGGCAAGCAACCTCAACTACCCATGTGACGGGCCGCTGTGAAGGGATCTTTTTCTACCCTCTTGAACCCGCGGTTCCACCGCGTATTTATTCATAGGTAAGAACAGGTTTTTCGCCGTAGCATGAGGTGGAGTCTTCTTCTTACGTCCGTATTGGCATTTTGTTGCATCAATAGTTTTCATCTGAGCTTTTATGTCGTCCGTACTCTGCCTCGTGAAGTACCCATGATAGATAAAAAGAAAACACTCGGTTTATGACCTTACTCGCTAGTCTATGATGGTAACCAAAAAACTTGAAAAGAAATCAACAGTTACATTTGAAAGAATGAACAACTGCTCGTTATTCATTTTCCCAGTTCTAACGTGTGGTTCTCACCGTCTTTCCAGCATGATGCTTCGCTCCTCCCTGAATCCGTCATTCTTGAAGCGACCCACATCCCGAACCAATCTCCCTGGATGAATCCAAAGATACAACGCCATGATAGCAACCATCAATACAGCATCGAAAAGATAGATGAAAACCTCGTGCGACATTATATATCCTCCTTGTCCTTCGAGGTATTCGATGCCCCTCACCAAACTTCTGATAAACATCAAAAGTGCCACAAGGTATGTCATCCGATAGTACTTGTTCCAGTTAATCCCGGCATGGGTTGCGTTGAGGTTCGGTCCCTCTCTTTTGGCCCATCGATGTGAGTGCCAGCAAGATAGTGCGAAAAGACAGATGACAATCAATTGCGCCAGCAAACCACCCATAATTAGTTTTTTGCTCATGTCAAGGGCGGATGGGTCTCCTGAAGCTGGCATTATCGAACCAAACACCTGTGTCACAAAACAGCCAATGTCGACAACAACGTAGAAGAAGGCGGTAAGTCGAGGGCTAATTATCGCATGTCGTCGGAGGTCAAGTGCTATGACGATACGTCCGAGGCTCATATAGATTGTTGCAGCGAAGAGAGGCGGAGATCCGAGAATGAGGAGGTTCTGCATGATGAAGGGTCCGACGGCGACGGGGTCTTCGGAAGCTTTTGCACGGCCATAGTAACCGAACGCCTCTCCTGTTCGTTCTGTTAGATTGGGATACCCTCGAGGAACGAAAAGACCCTCGACAGAGGGAGACTTACCTATGCCACCCAGGATGAAGGGGAGGAAGTGCCATGCTCGTAGCCAGAACATGTAGCCTGTATGCAGGAGAGATCCGGCAGCGAATAGGACAAGAAATGTCCAACCTGCGCCAGCATTTGGTCGGTACTCGTAGAACACGATTTGAGTGCCGTTAACGACGGGGCCAAATGGCCCATCACCATCGTTTACCATAATGGCTTGAAAAGCGACGGCAAAGATAGCAATGGTTTTTGGTACACAAAAAGAAGCGAAAGACTATTCTGGGAAGAAAAAAGAATGACAATCATGGAGAACGAAAAGCTTAGCATTCTACCTAGTTCTACTTCTACTGCGATATTTTAAATAGAGAGTATTTTACGCATAGAAAGGCCCACTGAATGGTGATACGGCTTTTTCGTAAATGAATACGATAATTCCGACAAATAGGTCATTGAGGTGGGTCCTCGTTGCTATTTATGCCACATTAAAGAAAATGGTAACAAGTAGTAATTGAAAAGAGTCAATGCTTATTCCCGTGATCGATGCGCTGAAACTACCTTTGTCCTTGTTACCTTACTGGGTTGGGTAAAGAATACTGGCTACCCCTTTTGGCAGGGAGTACCTGACCTCCACTCCGAACGAAGCGTATCGGGGATATTGGCAGGCCAGCTTTAAAGCCTTGCGAAATTGTCTCCTTTATTTTCCCTGTTATGTAAACACGGACAATATTTCTTCAAGGTTTTTCTTTCATATAATTGTATTTCATTGACATGCACATTGACCATTGCTCCGGCGATCAGCAGCTTGATTGTTTCAACAGACTCAAACACTTCAGCTTGTAGCAACTCACACCTAAGTACACGCATTGATTACAGTATTTGGTATTCCTGATCTCAATTTGATGAAAGACTGGAATGCTCCAAAATACGACTAATGAAGGAATGATTAAGAAGCATGTTGTGATCACTAAGGAAGTTAGTGACCAAAAGTCATACACATATTGGGATTATGGGCAGGGTCTTGGTCACAGTAAAGACCCGATTGTTGTTGCCGGTAACCTGACCAAAATCAAGTTTTAATTTTGATTGTATTGCATCTACATCAATAGGAAATGCCCTCGCACAACGTTTCATTGTCTGTTGGCCCCGAGAAGTGAAATGTAGTTTTCTTGCAGTCGAGAAAATTGGCCTGCCTTGATTAATCTATTTTTGCCTCACACATCCGTAAACCAAATATAACTGAGCTCTGAAAATCGGGGACATTTCGCGCAGGTCCTGGTAGTTTTATCTAAGATGTATTTACGAAATAAGATGCTCAACTTACCATCGTCGTGTCTTTTTCTTGGCATAAATGATGCCTCGGAAGTACCTAGGTAGCCAGATAGGTTCTAGCGCATTATGCATCTCTCGATCGTTCCACCACTGTGCTGCACACCAGGATGATAGATCTCTTTCTTAAGGAATGTATTAAACATGGATCTGGACAGCTTGTACCTGATTGCTCAGATGCATGACAGACTGTAGATCGTTAATGTCACAGACAGCTATATTGTTTGGTCTGGGTCGGATTTCTGTAAGAAAATTAGTTCTTTTAGAGTGATATTCGACGGGACCCCGACGGCTCGTCTATCAAATGCTCGGTGGTGATTCCTCTAACTTGGCTGCCTGAACGATTTTAGGTATGGAATGACCAGGACAGGACACGCAGGGCTTTGGGAATCAGGAGTGCGGGTTCTTTGTAGCTTGTGAAAAGCGCATGTAGACTCGTCGGTCATTGGTGATTCATGGTGATGTTGAGTGTAAGAAGTCAAAAGTATTTCAAATAATAAAAAAAGGGTTCCCGTGACTGTTGAAGAAGGGGGCTATGGGGAGAACGAAAAATGATGACATATTGAGTGGGTCTTGTTTTTTGGTGATCTACCATCTGGGTAAGCCTTTCTCCCACTACTGCAGGTTATGTTCAATTGGAAATGTAGCAATGTACTACGGGCATCCACGTATTGTCAGCTCCGGTTAATGAGCCATGAGTAGTTCAAAGGCGTGAGTAACATGGGGCCAAGTAGGTACAGATTACTTTGTTCCTAGTCACTTATACTATAGATGTCGTACCACATCAAGCTAAGGCAAGGTAGAGTCGGCTGGTGTCAATATTCTTCAATCTCAACCCAATTAAACGGTTTTAACGTTGCAGTGTCAGAGGCCAAGCTCAGACCACAGACGCCTAATGAAGTGGTTACCTTAGATGGGACTCGCAGCGCACCCACTGGCTACAAATCTGGTTAATTCCAAGTAGGTGAGATTCTTGCTTGTGCCGGGAAAATGATCTAGTTTGGAAATGAACCACGTTTCGGCGTCAGCAGCCTACAGAGAGACCGAACCGATCCAATCTGAACCGCAGCTAGACGGATACGCGCAACAGCACGAGTCCTCCTAGGCAGGGGGGGTTTGTGCATAGGATAAGCGCCAACATCCTCTTCTCTCCACTCTGGTTAAAAAAAAAAAAAAAAACGGATATGCAGGAGTCCTGGGAACGTTTAGGCTAAATTCTATTGCCGGTGTTGATCGTGTTTAAAACATGGGGTTCCCACACGCGGGGTAGTCTCCCCGGCGTGGCTTAAGATAGCCGGGCGAATAACTTCACGCGAGCCAGTCACCTCCGGATTGGTTAATGTCTGTTCGAGACGTAGGCGTGATTGGTGATTGGCAAAAACTCTCGTATGCCACTGTCTTCGTTGGGTCAGAATCCTATCCGTCGCGACAGGGTTCCCTACGGAAACGTAACATGGAGGGGTAGGATCTTCTGTCGCTGAGCTCACTCATGCGACCTGTGCCTTAAACTTACAGGGGCATATTGCACAATAAGAAAGCCAAGTTTCCCCATCGAATCTCGAAGAAAAGTTCGTTTCCCCAGCTATCGCAATTCTCTCGCCCCCTGTGGACTTGAACAGAAATCTGAAGAGGCCAACGCCTGGGTCGCGCTGAAAAGCTGCAAAATCGAAACCAAAAATGGGAGGCCACTCGTCGGGCAATGCGGCCTACGATGCTGCTCTTCAACGGCGTCAGGCGCTCATGGGTGCCAGTGGTGCAAGGGCGCTCGTGAAAAACTGGAAGGTCGCTCGTATCGCTGCATTTGCTTGCATTGGAGGTTGTTTTCCACAGCATGATTCGACGAGCTACAAGAAAGCTAACATCTTCCTAGGAGTCCTCTACGGATACAACCAGGGCATGTTCTCCGGTATTCTAGCCATGCCATCTTTTGAGAAACGTATGTTGAGAGAAGTCTATTTCGATTGTGCCCGAAATCTTTCGACTAATGCGATGTCTCTGGGATCTAGACATGGACGGATATACCAAAAACCCAACACAGAAGGGTTGGCTCACTGCGATTCTTGAGCTCGGCGCTTGGGTTGGCGCTATCCTCTCGGGATTCATCGCCGAAGTGTGCTCCCGGAAATACGGCGTCCTCATCGCGACTGGCGTTTTTATCATTGGTGTTGTTGTGCAGGTCACATCTATCTCTGGGGGCCACGACTCAATCCTCGGAGGAAGATTCATCACGTAGGTGCAACATAAAATGGTGATGCGCCTGGAGATGTTTTATACTGACTTGGGAATAAAGGGGAATGGGTGTGGGAAGCTTGTCCATGATCGTCCCTCTTTACAACTCCGAATGTGCACCCCCCGAAGTTCGAGGTGCCCTCGTCGCCCTGCAACAGCTTGCAATCACCTTTGGTATCATGATCTCATTCTGGATCGACTATGGCTGCAACTACATTGGCGGGACAACAGAAGAAACGCAGTCTGATGCTGCGTGGCTGGTTCCTATTTGCTTGCAGCTCGGCCCAGCTGCCATTCTGTTGATCGGAATGATTTGGATGCCATTCTCTCCCCGTTGGCTCATTCATCATGGACGCGAAGAGGAAGCCCGAAAGATTCTCGCTGACCTCCGCGACCTTCCCGAAAACCACGAGCTGATCGAGCTGGAATTCCTCGAGATCAAGGCGCAGTCCCTATTTGAGAAGCGTAGTGTTGCTGAGCACTTCCCTCATCTCCAAGAGCAAACAGCATGGAACACTTTCAAACTACAGTTTGTGGCTATGAAGGCGCTCTTCACGACCAAGGCCATGTTCAAGCGAGTCATTGTCGCCACTGTGACGATGTCAGTATCCTCCCTTTCGTTCAAGTACTGAGATTAACAATCGCAACAGGTTCTTCCAACAGTGGACTGGAATTAATGCAGTAAGTACTTTGGATCATTCTATACCTACGCTCTGGGCAATTGTTAGGGAGTGTAGTCTGTGTATGAGCTGACATGGCGACAGGTTCTATACTATGCCCCTCAAATCTTCGGCCAGCTTGGCCTTAGCCAGACCACAACTTCGCTTCTTGCCACCGGAGTTGTAGGCGTTGTCATGTTCATAGGTACGTCAAATGTCGACAATTCACAGCGCACACTTAGCTCACAAGGTGTTTAGCGACGATCCCGGCTGTCTTGTGGATCGACCGTGTCGGACGAAAGCCGGTTCTCACGATTGGTGCCATCGGCATGGGTACTTGCCATCTGATTATCGCCGTTATCCTCGCCAAAAACATTGATCGTTTCCACGAGCAACCCGCAGCTGGATGGGCCGCTGTCTGCATGGTGTGGCTCTTCGTGGTTCATTTTGGATGTAGGTTTTCTATTTTTCCGTGATCCTTGATCATTCATCCCAAATATTTTGTACTGGAGACTGACGGCTTAATAGACTCATGGGGTCCATGTGCTTGGATTATTGTTGCCGAGGTTTGGCCCTTGAGTACTCGACCATATGGTGTATCTCTTGGTGCTTCGAGCAACTGGATGTAAGTCGGACAGGCCATGTGGGCTTCGGTCCAGGCTAATCACAGTCCTCTAGGAACAACTTTATCGTTGGACAAGTTACCCCCGATATGCTTGTTGGCATCACCTACGGGACATACATTCTGTTTGGGCTCTTGACCTATATCGGAGCGGCGTTCATATGGTTCTTCGTCCCGGAAACCAAGCGTCTGTCGCTCGAGGAGATGGTATGTTTACGCTCATTGCACGACTTTACTGAAGCAATCACACTAAATCCCAATTATAGGACCTTGTTTTTGGCTCCGAAGGCACCGCCCAAGCCGACTTCGAGCGTATGGAGGAGATCAACCATGAGATAGGTTTGACCGCAATTTTGAACCGTGGCTCCCCCAATGCAGGCTTCGCGGAGTCGGCCGACTTGGAGAAGGAGAAGCTATAAAGCGCGGCTATCGAGAACCGTTTAATTTGATTATGTTGATTGTTTGGCAGTTTATGTATGAAATACCATTCCGCTATGCTCTGATCATGTTATCGGTGTAACTATCCTCCGTCTGACAGGTCATTGGTTATATGGTGCAATTGGCTGGGTGAGGTATGGGATCGAAGGAGGCTGAGGCCAAATGACCACTAGTTAGTTACTCTCAGCCCATGCATTTCGCAAAATCTCTACCCCGCTTTCTGGTGTGCTTTTGTCGAACCATCTGTAAAAAGGGCATGTTGGCCTCACAGTTTGCCTGTATACACCGAATCGTGCCATGCCTAAGATGCCCCTCATCCTTGAGTTAGCGTGCTTATATATGCAAGTCTGCCTTGGAGGGTAACTTTTGGTTGGATGCACTGTTGGATGGGTGCAGGTGCTGCCTACTTTGAGTTTCATACACCCTATGATACCTCGTCATTCTAGGCTTAGTGAAGTGCAGGCTGACAGGCAGCACATCCCACTAATGCAAAAGAGGGTGCAAGGCAACCTAGTCTATGAGTTTTCGTAGGTTCTTGGATATGTCAGATCGAAAAACCGTTGAGGTTGAAAAAGCCACTAAACCCGCCTTCTGATTCTGAACTCAGCCTGATGGACTTCTTGTTCTACTGTTGAAAATCTTTCCTTTACGTGCGCCACGAATAAGAGCCAGGAATCAGCAGGCTTTGCAATATGTCTTACGAGTCCGATATGAGCGACTCGTCCAGACTCGAGGATGACTTTTCTGTCATAGAGCGTCTTGCTGATGCAATTCGCGTTGAAGAAGACATCAAGATCAGCCAAGAAGACCGCAACACCATCGTCCAGGATCTGTATGAGGGTCCAAGGCAGTGCCAATGCTGCATCAACTGGATGACAGAATGTCCCCATGATATCGACCTCACCGAACTCGAGAAGGATGATGAAGCACCTGAGGAAGGCAATCCGATCATTGTGCGACGTCGTGTGATACCCGGAGCAGCGGGAAGCGTCGTCTCGATTCATTCCATCGAGGTCCGCCACGCCGCAACTCGCAAGGTCCTTATCGACGTTTTCAGCCCCTACGACGACATTGTTCAGGACATTAAATACCTCTCTTTCCTTGCGCCATTCCATCAGTTCTACTGGCGCTGGGAGCATTTCGAGCGCGCGGTGGCGGAGGAGCAGGACGAAGAAGTCAAAAAGATCCTCCTCACGCTCAAGTGGATTGTCAAACGCGAGCTTGCCGAGGCTTTTGCCGTGAGCAGAGAGCTCACTAGTCATGGCGTCATTAACTACAAATACCTCTGGACTCTCTTTCCTCCTGGCGAGCTTGTCTACTCAAACGATGAGGATGACCATCGGTTCTTCGTTGTTCAATCGATGAGCTGGACTCAGGTAAACAATTACAACCTTCTTCTCACCTATGTTGACTGGAACGGCACCAACTTTGGCACGTCATCGAAGTCCCAGGGTCTTTGGAACTTTATCGGGACACAGAAAATCAACAGCCTGGACATTTTCCCTGCCAAGTATTTGAAGAACTTTGAGGGCATGAGGACAAAGCTGACAGAGAGAGGCCGCAAATTTGCCAGCCTGGCTGGGAAGCACTACAAGGCCTATCACTCACCTAAAGGAGCCGATGCCAATACCGAACTGCGCATCATGGTCGACGGTGACCATAGTCAGAGCCGATCCTACTTGTTCGCTTTCATTGGACTTTCCCCTGAAAATTATTTATTCAGACAGCAAACAAGTCTGATCATTCAGGCACCGGTTGACTCGCCTCCTCCAAATGGGCATATTCCCCTTCAAAACGAACGAAGACGCCGTGGTAACAACCGATTCGATGACTGGTCTGACGATGAACCGTTGCCACATCGCCGTCACCCCCGTCCCCCACCCCCTGCCCGCCCAATGCCAATGCCAATGCCAATGCCTCCACCGCCACCGGGAGTTGTACCCCTGCCGCCTGGAGCCGTTGGTATACCGCCTCCGCCTCCACCAGGAATGCGTTATCCGCAGACCAGGGGACGCCCACCGGTCGAAGTTATAAGGAAAAGAGGAAGTCGTCGACGCTCTGTATCCAGCTCGATCAGTAAGTGTTAGATCTTTCCCCTATATTTTAAAATTTTATTGACCAGATGCAGACGGAAGAATCGACGACTCCGCACTCGACTATGCTAGAAGCCTATTGACTGATTTTCATCTATCTCTTTGTGTTCCCTGTGTTATGGGTTACGACTTGAAGTCCAAGACCTGGAGTAAGTTCAAGTTTCATGTCAATGGTAGCACGAGGTTTTACTAAAGTACTTTGAAAATAGGGAGTTTTGAAGTGGACTATATCTGTGATATTGAGTGGAATACGGAACCGTTCGAAAGCCTGGTACTCCCAGACGGCTACAAAGATCTTATCCTCGCTTTTGTCGAGAGTCAGGTGAAAAACAAGGACGCCTTCGATGACGTGATCAACGGGAAAGGTATAATCCAAAAGCCATCGCTTGATAATCTTGATAGCTAACGACTTCAGGTGGCGGCCTCGTTGCTTTGCTAGCTGGTGAGCCCGGTGTAGGCAAAACCCTCACAGCCGAATCAGGCAAGTAATTTCCACTCCTAACGGCACAGCAGGTCAAATACTAACACAAACGACAGTGGCCGAGAAAATAAAGGCTCCTCTGTTCAAGATGGAACTGGGGGAGTATAATGAGGACGAGGGCAGCGATTACGAGCGTTCCAGGAGCCCCGCTGCCAGAGACACAGGAGCCAGACGTAGGCAAGGAGACTTTACCTCGGCCTTTGAGCTTGCAGCTCGATGGGGAGCTGTTCTTCTCATTGACGAATGCGACACGTACCTCGAGCAGCGTAACGATAAGTCGTCGAAACGCAACAGAATGGTGTCTCGTAAGTTTCGCATCTAGCTCAGTTTATTCAAGACTGGCACAATTCTTTTTTCAATTTTCCTAACCATTGGATTACAGGTTTCTTGAGAGAGCTAGAGTACTACCCCTCGCTCCTCTTCCTCACGACGAACCGCGAGCGATGCCTTGACCCGGCCGTCTACTCGCGTATCCACCTGACGATCAACTATCCGGCCCTTGATCAACCTTCCAGACTCAAGATCTGGCAAACGTTTTTGGAAAAGAACGGTTCGAACATGTCTAAGTCGGAGTTGGAAGCACTCTCCGAGATCGAGGTCGACGGTAGACGTATTCGAAACATTGTCAAGACTTCAGGAATTATGGCTAATAGAGAAGGCCGTCCAATCCGCTTCGATGACGTGAGAAAAGTCATGAAGATAACTGAAGGACTTGAGTTGAAATCATTTTACATTGAGTTTTGAGACTAAATTGTCGTTAACTTTTGTCACTTTTTATTTGAAATTCGGCTTGACTAATGACTCGACGGCCTCGGATTGAATTATAACCAAGATCATGTACAGAATGAAATGAAGTATGAGCGAATAGCTTTCATATATCTATCTTTAAATAAAGGCTATATTATGACTTTCGATCTTGTCTTGATTGTAATTGGTAGGCTTTTTAAAGAAGATATTTCTCCATTCCTCATTTGAAAGGCTTCGTTAAGCAAAATGGGAATCAGTTGTCTTCTTCATGTCTTTGGCGATTAGTTGGTGAACAGCCGTAGTAGGCTGTATGAAATTCATCCAAAAGTACTGGTTGGCGTTTCCCTTGATCATGCAGTCATCCCATTGTGCTGTCTCGTCTCCATCGCAAAACTGATTCAACGGCCTTGTAAACCCATAGCCTGCTGGGTCATTCAAAATCTGCATCATGAAGCTGAATACGTCATAGTATATAACCTTGTTCCCAAACTCTTCCAGGCTCTTCTTTATAGCGGCATTGGCTTGCATGATAACCCGCCCCCAGGTAGTAATGCAACCTGTGTTGGTGCCACAGAGATACTTTGACGTTACGGGGGCCAGATGTTTAGGGTAGATGTTGGCAACCATGACATGCGGTGCACCGAGGTCGAGCAGGTTCTTTACCTGCGCCGTGATCTTCGCTGCAGCGTCGTTTGAGAATTTGGCATTGTTTGGGTCGCCTAGCCAGAAAGCGTCTGTGTGCATGCTGAGGTCATTCTGGCCGAACCACAGTAACTGCAACGAGGACTCGACCCCCTTGGATCCACTGGCTGTATAGTTTGTAATTTGACTGATCATGTCTGTCGCGCCGGCGGGCGACTTGGTGTATGCAGTGTCAAACGTTGCGCCGAAGGAGCCGCCGCCGCAACAGCCGCCAAAAGCATAGTCAGTTAATGGAATACCGAGAAGATCAGCGAGGTAGGACACAGCTACCGGGCCATTGGTCCAAGTGCCAAAGCCGTAGACATTCGCCGGGTCACCAGTGATGCCGTGGGCAAAACTACCGTTGCCGTTGTCGCTAAGCTCGTCACCGTACGCTACTAGGGACTTGAAAGGATGGGTAGCACGAGGACTGTAAGCAGCCTTTTCGACCGATCGCGCTGCGACGGAGGAGAAAAGAAAGGAAGCGACCGCTATCTTGAGCAACATCTAATTTTGACGAGAAATGTCTCGGCAGTCGAAGAAAAGACGGGAAAGAAAATGTGAATAGTACAGGGGAAACCAAAGAAACGTCTGAATAGAGAACTCACACAGTGCCATCCAAGTGAGGGTAATCAACAGCGCCTATTAAAGGTGGTGATGCATATAGGCATCAGCAATTTCGAACTCATGGAGCGTAGACCGGATCCTTTAGGAATGTTAGAGGCTCCTGTTCATTAACTGTTCTAGTAACATTGCTTCATGGCGGCACCGGCGCGAGGGAGATTGTCGCACCAACACTAAAGGCACGCTATTTCATTGTGCATTGAAGTAGGGCACTGACTGGAGGCCATACTGGTGTATCAATGTAAAATGAGACTCTGTCAACCGACATTCTACGTCATAGGTGGAATTACCTTGCGTTATAGATATGGATATAGGGAAAATTGCTGCTTACCTCACTAAACATCACGTCGCCGGAGTTACATGTAGTAAGAGCATATATAGTCTGGCAGAAGTGAGAAAAGACGTCTTTTCTATTCAGAACCTTTTAGAAGTGCTGCAACTTGTGCCGCTCTGGGTAGACGCTGCTCAAATTCATGGCCGAAGCATTTCAATGTACTTGCAGAAAGGGTTTTCCAACATTGAGAAAGTATCACCAACAAGAAAGGGAGTTGTAGATAATAGAAGTCGTTGTCAAAAATACCTACAATGGAACCTTTGGTGAAACCATGCTGCTTGCACGTAGTTCAAGAAAAAGCCTATCAGGTCGAGACTATTGCTTGTGCGTAGTATTGTATGAAAGGTTCATTGGGATGGGTCGTCCTTGTTCTACAAGTTTGCGTTCGGGTTATCGTATCCCCACCACGGGTGTCTATGATGAGCATATCACAAGAAACAGGCCGACTGGCGCAATGGTAGCGCGTCAGACTTCTAATCTGAAGGCTGCGGGTTCGAGACCCGCGTTGGTCAATACGGATCTTGGGAAAGCTTCTGAGTAGCTCCAGTGATGGGGACATCTTTTGTTTTTTCTATGTGAAGATTTTTCCATTTTGTGCAGGGGCCCGGTGGGCCGCCTGGCCGGTGCGGTGTGAGAGCTACGGACCCCCGAAGCGGGGCCGCCTGCACAGTATGGTCAAACCCTGTCTGGAATGCCGGGATGGCTCAAGCTGTCATGTCCTCCATTCGGGTCTTCTCTTTTCCATGAATGCCGTGATGCCTTCCCTCGCATCCGCACTTCTCGCATGCAGAGCCATGACCCGCCCTGCCCAGTTCGCCGCATCCTCATACCCATCACCTCCCATCTCGGCTGCGTCTCCTTTGATCCCGATTTGTGTCCAGTATGCCCATTTACCAAAAGCCATGGGTTGCCCTGCGGAGCCTGCCAACCGATCTACCACCTCCTTCACGCGACCCTCAAACGCCGCGGCGGCAGTATCCGTGGATTCTGCGTGTTCAGGTTCCTGTACAACATCTACCGCGCCTTTCATCGCATCAGCGGTGACAGCTTCCGCCATCAATAGCATTCGATATGTCTGACCCGGCGGTAGGCGACGAGAGACAGCAGTCGCAGGACTTGTACACGGGAGCCCGATGCTTGCGCCTGGAAGCTGAAACTTGGCGGTAGAAAGCGCAATGGGATAGTCCGTAGACAACGCGAGCTGCAGGCCGGCCGCAGTTGCTAGCCCATGTATGGGACAGATGACAGGCGCTGGACTGCGACGAATGAGGGACATTACTTCGGCGCAAAGAGAGAATGTATGCTTCACTTCGGCTCGGGAGAGCGAGGCAAGCTGTTTAAGGTCATGGCCTGATGAAAAGACGAGACCGGAACTGCGGAGGACAAGCACATTCGGAAGGCCTGCCCGCTCTTCGGCCCACGCATCGGCATCTACTAGCCAGTTGTGTCCGGATTTCTCTTTCGATCCAACACTGGTCGAATCGCTAGCTGCCTCCAGGTCTCGTAGAATTCCTGATTTGAAGGGCGGAAGGGTCAGAAGACGGCCGCTTTTAGGTGATGTGAGGTTGCGGAGGAGCTGTGAGCGGAGGTCTTCCAGGACCTCGAGGCTCAAGGCATTGCGTCGAGCGGGGTTATTGAGATGGATGTATGCGGCCTTTGCCGGAAGTTTTGGGAAACGCATCTCTGTGATGGAAGCACAATGTCTTTCCTACGTCAGTGATTGAGGCGATTGAGGTACGACGGTCAATTGGGGGAGAGCGTCATCCGGATAGGAGTGTTGGTTTAGTTTACCCCGCAACAGTAAAATAGTGGACTTCGGCTAAATGCTCCCTCTGTGTACGACTGATTTGCCTCAACAGCATTTCATTCACTCTTTGTTTACTTGGAATTGCCTCGCCCACCTACCCCCGAATTGAAGCGCTTTTAATGCGATCAGGTGATGACTGAGCCCTAGAGGATGCGCCATAATTTTCTAACTCCAGAAAGAAAGCAAGATTGGTGTCAGGTAGCCTCCATCAAGCCATTGGCTTGCAAGCGCCATTCAGGCAATGTAGAGCAGGTTCTTTTAAGGGACCGGTTGGCGCCATAGCCTTAAATTATTTCACTAATGATAGAGATTACAACAGTTGAATATGGCGTGAGTAATCTGACTTGTTTTGAAAATAACGGCTAGTGACTGTTCAAAGTATATTCAATTATTTGGAACTCCAAATCCGCACATTATCCTACAGCTGTTCTTCCTATTCCATCTCTTCTTTGTCACAACTACTTGCATTCTGTTGAAATGCCTAAGAAGCATTCTCGCACTTCAAGAGAGAATACGCACGAGATAACCAACAAGCTGCAGCCCGTGTTTTAACTCACAAACTGCTAACGAGTTCAAATTCTTTCAAATTCACGACGTAGCGGGGAGTCTCATACGCCCAAGGTCCCATGCTCAATAGGCCGTTTTCGTAGCTAACAGTGGCACTGCGGCCCTACTGGCTATGAGCTAATGTCACATTCCGATGCTATTCGCTGGGAAACCGAGGAATGCAAGAGATGTTATGGTATAAGGGGATTCGAGGCCCCATGAGGATTAGGAGGCCAGAGAGGAATGCAATCACTTTGGGACCCATACCTGAATTGTTCACTTGTACCACACAACTCTGACAGCTAGGCTGCAGTAAGTCCTGTCGCCTGTCCAGACTGAACGTGCACGAACTACGGCCAAGTATATTTAGGGTAGAGCTAAGAGAACCCATGGACTCCGAATTAGAACTTTGGGCGGTGGCCCCGGCCAGCTTGCTCAATGTAAGAGGTACAGACTGCCAAGTTGAGAGTAACGCATATGATTGAGCTCACCGATGCGGTGACGCTGGTCATCATGGCCACAATTACGGATAGCTTCTGGTGGCTGTTCATTCCGATGTGGCTACATTGGCTGAAGTTGGCGCTAACGATCATCAGTCGTCAAACTCCTGCCTCCCAAACTACTATGACCCGGATAGTGGTTGTTGTCGGTGGCAATAGAGACGTCAAGTTGTACAAAACAAAAAGTAAGGGATCGTCTCTATTGTTGATAACAGGCACCTGATTATCTCACCGTACCTTAAACTAGGCAGTTGTTGATTGTTGGCAATCTGCTACTGTTTACACCTTGGGTAACTCTATGCTGTTTGCTAGTTGATGGTCGTTGGTTGTGGGATACGCCAGACCCGAAGCTCCGCCTCAGTATGAGCCGCTAAACACAACCTTCATTGCACTCTGATTTACCTTCTGGTTTGAATTATTGATCCGCGAGGCAATCATCCAGCTGCCTATGTGTGTTAGAATCTCGCACATGTATCGATTCCCCATCTCCATCTCAATAAATGATTGTTGTCATCCATAATCACCTACAATACGTCCGCTCTATCTAGTGACAAGTCATAGACGGTTTCCCTCCCGTTTTCGCCAAGATTATTCGCGTCTGATTATTCCTGAAGCCGTGGGCGTGCACGGTTTCAAGCGCACTGCACGTCTGCGCTTCGTAAAACTGGTCGTGAAACGGCGAGGTAACGGAAGCTACAGTAAAATCGGGAGCTCTCGACGGCCACGACTCTGTTGCATCTTCCCCCTTGGGTCCAGGTATCTCAATCTTCAGTTGCGGCAAAAACAAAGCTTGCTCTCGCGAGAGCCTTGGGTCATCCGTCAAATAGCGCGGCGCGTCGTTGCTTTTCGCAACGAGGAGCCAGACTCCGGGGCCCCTGAAGTAGTACGTGCATATCTCTGGGAAATCTATCAGTTTCCACTAAAATACAACACATCCATATCGAGTTGTAAGACCGGTTTGAAGTGTTTTGAGAAGATGGTTCCCATTTCCGACTCGAACGAGGATTTCCAAAGAAATCCGCTTGCTGCTGCAGCTGCTACAAATAACCTGGATCTCGTCCGGGCGCTTCCCTCTCAAATGAAGGATTGTTTGATCTACCAGAACGGCGACTGTGAACACGAGTCAGTCCAAATTAGACCCTAAGCGAGAGATAGTGGCTACGATGCCGGTATTGACTGGGTGCGGACATGCGTACGACATGGCATTTTTGGTCGAAAAGGGGGCACAAGCTGGTTGTCAGTCACTCGAGGCCTTAGGCAAGAGAGTGAGCCAGTTTTTTTGCCTATCAACAGGCGCTGTATATTGCGGAAAAGGAGAGCTCAAATGTCGATGACTTGATTCGTTGAAGGGTATAGTTGAGATAGCTATATACTTACTGGCAACCCGGGGCTCTTCACATTGAGATTATTCACAGTTTAGGGCGGTGATGTTAGCGTAGCTTGAGGCCGAGAATCAACGTCGCGGCAAATATTCAAGACTTTTATTATTGCCATTTGAAAATGGTCTGTGGTGCTCTGTTTACTTTGGCCTCCGTTCCTGTTTAGGTCGACTAAAAATCTCCCTCTATTGCTCAAATAGGTAGCTATGTGGCCCTTACTCAGCTACCCCTTATTGAACCCCCTGTTATCGTTTCCATTCCCCGTGTTCTAGCCTTCCCCTGGGCTTTTTCTCTTCTCATAGCACCAGTGCGCAGCTGCATTCAAGTATTATCGTTGCAGATGAAACTCTGAAAGGCTAACAAAATCATTGCAGAGTTACATCTTGCCAAGATGTCATGCGGTGCGGCTAACAATACGGAGGGCTCAAGCCAAGTTTTGCACTCCCCTTGTAACTGTCAGCTAAATTATCCGAGAAATTCGACATTTGTTGGAAAGTTATCACACGTTCTGGTCTTCAGATATCATTTCCATATGTTACGCCGTGCCTTGTAATTCTCAAAAGTTGTTTGCAGAGTTTACTAATAATCATGCAAGCAATCAGTACCATATGACACTGGTTTGGGGAAAGCGACCAGTAAAGAATGCCTATTTCATCGAGAGCCAGCCATACCAGACAGCCTCTCGTCATTGAACATGTCACAGAGGCATCCCGTATCCAGAGGTTTCGTTGATAGTGTTGTGGAAGAAGCGCCGATCTATTGAAACGAGTAAACACCCGCTGCCTCTCACTTTGCAACGCAGAATCCTGGGCATGAATCAAGACAACGAAATGATCACTCTAGAGCCTCGTGCATGCTGCGAGAATCCACACAATTCATACTGCATGTCATCTACTGAGGCTTGGCATAACATAAGTGGAAAACGACAGAGTTTTCTCGAGGTGAAAGGTGGCCAATGCTTTGAGAATCACTTTGGTTTGCTAACGACTTGGTCGGCCTCAATATTAACTCCGAACGGTGAGGTACCCAACAGCCCAACTACGTGATATAACTGCTGCAAGAAAGAATCAAAAACCCACATAGACCAGTGGATATCGGAGTAATAAACTCTGGTGTCAATGACTGAAGCCACGCGGACAAAAGGTTTGATGCGGCAATGACCCGGCTCGGGAATGGTAAGCCCCCCATCTTCCTCACATAAACAGAAACCGGGATAACGGAGAGAATTTCTGCCCTACCGGGTTTTCCAGTTGAGCGGTATCGCAACACCACACTCATCGGTTATGTCCCCTGTATTGCGGCTGGCCGCTAAAATCGCTAAGGCAGCGCTACACATTACTAGCTTAGATTACGACGAGGCTTCACTCAGCTAGCCTGCTCGCTTTGCCCTGCAATTGCCCTGACTAGGGGATCATCAAGGGCTGAGCAACCACGATTCGGTTGAGATGTTTCTATCTGAGGGAAAAGAGCCTTCCGATCATTTCTCGCGTAGTCCAACTCCACCACAAACTTCGTCCGTGTCACGCTGACATTGTGATTCCATATCCCGGCAGCCTGGTGGGTAGGGACTGGAATCTCACACGATGCCAAAATGATGCGACCTGGTGGGCAATGATGACGGGACCCGCCATTTTTTCCATGGGCGGCTGCAACACTGGGGAAAGATTCCCTTACGGCCGTACAGGGGTTTTGCACAGCTGGCAAACTGCACCTACGACTCCACCAAACCTGTCCACGAGAGGAGCGGCCATTCCGTCTGAACGGAGTCATGAAGAGTCGTATACGTTCCCAGATCCAATCACGAGAGCAAGCTCCATTAGGCTGCCGATCAGTTCCTACGGATGCTGGGTTTTCCGTTGAATGGAAGATTGATAAAAAAGTGGTTTGGAATCATCTAGCCTCAAACGTTTCTTTTTCGCCTTATAGCCCTGTCTATGTTCAGGTATATTTCGACGTTTGGAAACCCGACGATATGATCGATTCGGTGGCGCCGCCACCAGCCAGACTGATGGAAATCTTGGGGGACCAACATCAAACGGTCGGAGGGATGACCGCCATTATCGGAGAAGTTCCCGATCAATAACGTGGGCAGCCTGCAATATGACGAGACAGATCAGATAAAAAAGCTTCCCAATTTGCTAGCTTCAATGGTGGGCAAAACAACATCTCCCATGAGCCATGAACGAGGGAGGGAACATTTCGAAACAGCCTAGAGGGGAACGGTAAAGGAGTTCGCGTGGGAAGCTAGGAGTTTTTTTGGACGTTTACATATCAAGCCTAGCGTATTAAAGTCTCGTTAATGGTGACCATCTTGAGCCTAGTGTCAGGGTCCACAACGTGGACGTGCCCAGACTATGGCTGAAGAAGCCCAAGTGAGGAGAGAGGAGAATGAAAATGTTGCGTAAAACAACCATGACAACCAGTGCAAGAAAAGGCAAATCACAAAACCCCCCACAAGAAGCATTCTAGGCTTTGACTTATGGTACCATTAAGAAGGTCCATCTCGGGACTCAGGGCACGTCAGACTCATGCTAGCGGGTTTCTCCAATGTTCCTGACAGGCGCCCAAAACTCCAAAAGGGAATTTTGCCCCTGGCCGTGATGTTCAGTCCTCCAATCAGAAGAAGCGGTGGCGCTTTGCTAAGGTTTGGTCTAATGTCCTTGGCACCAGTTCGCTAAGTCGTAGTTCAGCCAGGCCTCGTGGCAGCCCCCTTCTGTGCTACCCTGCTTTGGGTGTTGTCAATTCCCCTAACGAAATGAACACTCACAGAAAAGATTTAGCCTCTGTAACCGTTTGAAGTGATCGAAACGCACATCATTTCTGACATGCAAACCTTGCTGTACGAATACGTCTGTCTGTTGTTGGGAGGTTGCTTTTAAGTGTCTACTACCATACGTACCAGCAAGCTGTACGGATGACACGGAAGTTTACTACTATGTACAGCTGGCAGTTGACTTTGACATGTGTTAATATACAGGCACCCACTGCGGTGCTCGCCCCAGACGGGCGGCAGCAAATCGCCCCCCCTCTGGGCCCCTCAGGATCCCCCCCCCCCCTCCTCCCCATCTGCCTCGCCTCTTATTCCTACACATGGATTTTGTCGATGGGAAAGGAATCAACCTTCCGGGATTACATCCCGTTTAAGGTAGGCGGGCCCGCTCTATTTCCCTTCCTCTGATTTCCCATGGGCTCTACGTCCGGAAGTTATCCATGCAGACATGCCCTTCTCTCAGTCGTCCTAGTCAGTCCGACTCAGTCGTCTGCAGAAGCGAGCCCCATCATGAGTTCGTAGCCTTCTTCTGCCATCCACTAGGTCCCATCCTTCTCAGGGACAGGGTCTCGATGATCGTCATGCTTGGCCTCCGTAGGCTTAGGCCTGGACCGGACCAGAGCTGCCAAAGATCATTTATCATCTGGTATGCAGCCACATTTTGTCCGGTGCCGTCCTGGATGAACTGTCACTCCCTTTGGCGTTCAACGGCATCACGCAGCTAAGACTGCATCAACTGGAAGGACTGGGTTAGGCACCAAGTTCATCCGAAAGGCAGCCCGTCCGTCCATCAATGTCTTGATCCCATCCACGCCAGCCTTTCCCTCCCGAACGCCACCCGGCGGCGCCTTGTCCTCCGTCCGCATCTCGCCATGGACCCCCAAAGTCGGACACTGACGCCACTGCCCAGCGTCCTCCGGCGCGGCCTTACGGCCGTCTCCTTCTTCGGCTTCCTTTCCTTCCTCACCACAACAGCACTATTCTTCGTCCTCACGTATAGGCTGTTATCATGGTACTTCTCACCAGCCCCGGACTTGCCGCAGCGCATGTCCGACGAGCGGAATCCAGATGCCGCGCTGGCCGAAGAAATGGGTCTCCCGGAAACCGTGTATGAGGCCGGCAACCGGAAGAAGACAAAGCGGGATGCGCCTAATCAGTTTCTCATCCTCATTTACAACTTGTTGCTGGCCGATATCCAGCAGGCCCTGGCCTTCTTGCTCAATGCCTCTTGGCTCGTCAAGGACGGTATCATGGTCGGGACCTCGACGTGCTGGGCCCAGGGTTGGTTTGTATCGACCGGCGATTTGGCTTCGAGTGTCTTCATCACCACCATTGCCGTGCACACGTACCTCTCGGTTGTGAGGCAGTACAAGTTGCCCACGTGGGGCTTTTACACAATGATCTTGTCCGTGTGGTTCTTCATCTACGCCCTGGCCGTGGCTGGCATCATCATCACCAACAACGGAGCGGATGACGGCGGCTTGTACGTCCGAGCCGCTGCTTGGGTATGTCGCAAATCTCTTTCTTCTTTCTTTGCCGTTTCCTCATTTCCTCTTTCAAACAAACCAACTAACACTCGTAACAGTGCTGGGTCAACGTCCGCTACGAAGCCATGCGTCTCTACCTCCACTATCTCTGGATGTTCGTCTCATTCTTCGTAACAGCTATTCTCTACATCCTCATTTTCAACCACATCCGTCGCACGGATCCCTCTCTTCAACTCCCTTCGTCATCCAACAACTCCTCTTCGTCAAAGAACACCCGGGGTCGCAGAATGAGCCATGCGCAGACCCTCTCCCAGTCCGGTATCCCCAAGACCTCTGCGCAACAGCAGCAGCAGCAGCAGCAAGCGTCATCCCCGAGCAACGCCGGCCACCACCCTGCCTTCCTGATCTATCCCATCATCTACATTCTCTGCACCGCCCCCCTGGCCCTGGGTCGTGTGATCACCATGGCCGGAAAGGAGGTCTCGCTCGCGTACTTCTGTCTCGCGGGTGCCATGATCGCGTCCAACGGCTGGCTCGACGTCCTGCTCTTCTCCACCACCCGTCACGTCATTATCTTCGGCGCGTCGCCCGACTACGAGGACACGGGTCTCGACACCTTCGCTTTCATGCGGACTCCGGCGAACCGCCGATACGGAAACATGGTGTGGGTCCAGGGAGCCGGAAGCAACCCCACCCACCTCACCCCGAGTGACGAGGGCACGGGCGGGTGGCTCTGGAAGTTGTTCCGCCGGGGCAGTCGCCGGGGCATCAAGAGAGATGGCCACCACCGAGGTGGCGCCCACCGGAGCATCAGCCAGGAGTCTCTGAGACGGCGTGGCGCGATGGAGGGCATCCAGATGGAGACAGTCACGACTGTTGTGGTCGAGAGGGAGGACCAACCCGGCGGAGGCAAACGGGCCAACGGCCGTTCACAATCTATCGAAAGCATCGACAAGGAGCGGGCGCAGAGCGTCGGCAGCCTCTAAATCTCTTGAGAGTAATGGTTTCTTGCATATGAGTGACGGATCGGGCGGTTTACGTGTTTACATTATTATCATGTGTCAGGTTTTTTTTACATTTTTTTGTTTTCTTTGTCAGCATATACCTACACCTAGCGTTGATTTCCATGGGGCATAGACAGTCAGAGCGGTTTAGCATATGGGCGGTCATCTGTATTAGATATACCCTTTTTTTTTGTCGTTTATGTAAAATCAGTCAATACAAACTTCTCAAGTTACCTTCCCGAATAATCTCATTTTGTAAACTGTCTGGGGTTGTCGTCGGTATCGGTTTGGCTTTCATCTGATCGTTAAACTTTCTTGGGGGGGTTTGAATTTGGACTCCCGTTGCCCCACGACTGTGGGTTGGAAGGCTAATCAAGCCGATTAAGCGTAAAGACTTTGTTTGGATGCTGGCGAACTCTGCCGGAAACTCTGGAGGCTTCGGATTTTATCCGGAAATGGTGAGGACCATTTTGAGCCACGTTGAACAACGAAAGCTTATAGTTTGAAGACATGGATGTCTGGAGTAGGTAGCTGGAGCATACAGCAGCAACATGACACTGCTGTTGAGAGGGGATGGGCTGTAAAATTTCAGCGAAACACTCTCAAAGGGCGACGATCATTGTCAGGATGAATTGCATGCGTCAGTAGTTGCGTGTTAGTATGTTTAAAGATACTCTCTTGTTTCAGAAGGCCTCACCACGCCCGTCTTCAGAAGATTTCCGGGTAAATTGTCTACATGCCATGTCTGGTCTGACGACTTATAGTTGGGTGTTACCCGCACGAGTCCAAATTAGGCTAGGGATAGTTGGCCTCAGAAAAGTGTACTGTCATTGGAACGCAGATGTGAAAATCAGCTTTCGTTCAACGTTTGAAATCTGTCCGCTGTCTGCTCGAACCGGGCAGGGTTTGGGATTGTTGCATTTACTTCAGTTTCTTTCGTTCTAGACTTGATGAGAATTCAAAAGTAACCTTGAGGCGTAAGGAGCACTTCGTAGATCTGATCAGACAGACAGGCAGACAGACCGGGAATACGAGAAAACTCGTCCAGTCAGTAAGAAACTCGCAAGTGACTGAATAGAAGATTCTTGTAAGTCTCCTAGGCCTGACCACCGAGCATATAAGGCATATCGAGCCCGATTCAAGGATGTATAGGTGGCGTTCTGTCCTCTGTTGGCCTGATCAGGCTTACGGGAGGGGAGGCTCCAGTTCTGTCCATCAAGACGTTCAAAGGTTAGTTGTAGGTAATGTGTCACTCTAACGGACCCGTGACTGGGAGTGGATGAGACGATCGGCAGTTTCATAAGGTATTGTGTGGCCTCCCTACATACCTCGTCCCACTGCTCTGGAGTCCTGGTATTCGGGACCCTTCAATCCCAATTGTCGGCTATGAAGTACGTGGCTCGACAAGCTGGCTCACTTTTCAGCGCCGAATGCACACCGAGGAGAACTAGATCTCTGAGTTTCATGATTCTGTCGGCTCTGTAGGTTTAACGCATTATCCCGCTGTCCTCCAGCCGCTAAGAAATAATAATTTTCTCTCGTGGATTTCGTCAAACTAACCTAAATGCCGATCTTTATACGGTCAGCATGGCAAATTCTCCTATTGTAAGGCATATACAGGGGAAATGGTTCGGCCGTGTGCAAAGATCTAGCTTACTACTGAAAAATGAAAGGCTTTTGTCTAGGTTTACTTTCAAAAGTAGTGGAGCGTCTTTGGTAAAGAGGCATCCTCATATTACAGCCATTCAAATAGAAGGATAGCATCTTCCAGGACCCCGATGGTCATGTCAACACGCGTGTCATGCATACAAAGCAAAATGCTGTCCTCACCTCTCTCAATCTCTGAACGTCCAAGGTCAGGTAATTGCCAGTTTATGCTCGATGGCTACTTGATGTGTAGTGGTTCGAGATGCCACAGCATGAAAGTCAAGTCATTAAACCCGGAACCGGAGCAGAATATCCAGTAGAACATGTCACGCTGGGCTTCTCCTTTTGGCGATATCAACAGTCATCGAATCTAATGCTTGAAGTAGAGCTTGTTTAACAAACTTGTCGTCGATGAGACCTCCAGCTAGGCTGTCTTGAAGGTTATGTGTTCGTCTGACCGCACCTCAGTGAATGTATAAATCACATTTTCACTTTCGGTCTCGTCTCTTTGAAGTTGGAATCGAATTACCCCGAAAAAACGCTTTCATCGATTGCCCAGAAGACCTTATAGGGAATGCATAGCCACGGGGTATCTAGATTGAACTAGAATATGGCAAATAATAGCCCCCGCATCACTTGAAGTCTATCTACAAGTTGATTGAGCAGGTACGGCACACCATTCTAAAAGTCATGGTCTGGGAAGGCGGGATGTACATTTAGGCTTGGGGGGCAAGAACAGCTTGGTGCTAATCAGCGAGACGAGTAGAACTGGGGACATTGGTTCTATTTTCCTTCTTAGCTCTTTTACTACTTATCTATCTTTGACCTAAAACCTACGAATAAGATGTTCTTGAGGGACGTATCTAGGTAAAGGCAAACTCGACTTTAGAATGTGTGAGCTTACACAATAATATCGAGGCTTATAATCAAAACGTCGCAGCCCTTATGATCATCTCATTCACACAGATAACATGGGCATCAATATACGTCTTCCCGTACAGTCTGCAGTGCAATTGATAAGATAATGGTTACGTTCCACTGGCACAATAAGGTATCATCAGGCTAAACGGTAAAACCCAACTACCGAACCAAGCTTCGCTGATCTACGGACAGCCGTGCCAGGCATCTTCGTACCGTCAACACCTTAGCGCCCTCAAAAAAACAAAAACAAAAAAAGAACACCAAAATCCAACGTCGAAACAAGTCGTAAACAAGCAGACTGCGCATGCAGAATATAGCCGTTTGCCAAGCCCACACCGCCGTTTGAGCGGCTGCGAGCCAACAAGTGCCGCTGCATATTCGAACGGCCGTTTCAGTCAGTGCGTATGACGAACATCTCAGCTTCTGCTGGATTGGCCCCTACGAGTTCTTGGCAGCAGAGAAAGAACATCAAAAAATATACAGCTAGAAATAACACGGAGGATCGCAGTCGAGCTGGCGGCCGCGTCTAACGCCGGCATGGCATCTGAACAGTAGGATATCCATTTACTGGGCTGACATCCCACGATAAAGGGCTGCCTGATGTTAGCTTGGCGGGGCTGGTAAGCAGGCAAGCGTTTGTTGCATTGCAGAGACGGAATGGCCTCCTGGCTCTGCAAGGCTGCAGGGCTGACTGATGACTGTGTATGGGGCAGTGCAAACGACATATGGGAACTCGTAAAAAAAAAGTGAGTGAGATTCAGTGTAAAGTCATCTTGAAAAGCCCGAAATCACTCCGACCAGCCATGGTGAGTCTGCGCGTCGAACCGGAGAAGAAGCGCCGAGGCGCTGGTGCTCGCATGGAGGCGCTGGCTGTCGGGGCATCGAGTTTTGAGCGCAAGCTCAACGAAAAAAAATACATGCACAGTAGAGACATGGTCATTTAACAATCCTTGTTAGAGGCACTGTATCTCCGGCAACCTGTCTCAGCAGGTCTCTCGGTGATGGGCACACTGAAGCGGTTAAGCACATGGCGTGGTGAGACAAAGCTTCGATGGGAGGCTTGTCTATAGATTGGTTGTTTCAGCTGGGCAATTGGAAAGTTGCTTCTTTTCTCGAAGCCATGATGTCATTGATTGGTCTCATCAGGAGAGAGTGGAAATATGAGGCGGTAAATGGATTACATGGCCGCTAACGCGTCTGGTTCATGACGCGATAGCCGGCGTTTCTCTCCCCGAACGCAATGCAATTGTTGATGCAGGTGCAACGTTGATTAATTGCCGATGGGCGATTGAGATCGGCAGTGAGGAGATGTAGACAGGGCTGTTCGTTGGACAACATGAGTACGAGAAGTATGATCCGATGGGCGAGGATGACCTGGCTTGGCAACAAGGGGGGGGAAACCCTTTTGTTCTGATTTTTTATGTTTAATTTTTAATCTTTATTTACCTTGGTTGGCGGTTGAAGTACTTTGTTATTTGTTATATTGTGGGAGAAGGTTAAAAGATACTGAAACGACGGGATTGGCTGCTTTGGCGGATGAACATCTCTCTCCCTTCAATGGGAAATTGGGTGGTTCACGGCCAAGGTAGGGGATTCAGCATACAATACTACGAAGATGAGACGGAGAACAGACGACTCCCCCAAAGAGCTTCAGTACCGGATGGCGTCCCGAGAAAACGGACGATCCAAGGAAGGCGCCGCACGGGAGGTGTTGCTCGGTTGGGTGTGTTGAGTCCAAAAATAAGACAAGGAAATAATGCACAAGAATAAGGAACAGGCGGCCTTGGCTTCTGTGTTTGGGATCGGGGGGGTCTCACAGTCAGTTCCAAGCAGCTGGCAGCTCAAAGTGGCCTCACCCTCCTGCCCGAAAAGAAGGGAGACATGGAATTGGGTTTTCCTGGGGTGGGTGCTGTCTCTGCTAATGCCTGCGTGCCAAGGGTCTTGGCTAGCACAGCACAAAAGCTAAGGCGGTACGGAGTACAGGCGTATAATTCGTCCCTTGGCGAGGCCATGGTGCCTGAAAAATATACAATCTTGGACTGAAGGAAGGAGCCAGGGGGTTGTTGGCGTGTGGTTAGAGGGGGAAAGTGCAGCTCGTAAACAGGTAGTGCAACCAGTGTGGCGCATTATGCAGCCGCACAGTAATGCGCTATATGTATTGTGGTAAATTCACAGTGCGGGGTGGCGTGTATCTCAAAATATCTCTGGTCTTGCCTCATTTGGATTAATACAAAAAAGAAAACCTCTGTTGCTATTGCCGTGTTAGCGTTGCGTTGGTGAGGGAAGGAAAGAGGTCGGTCGGGTAGGGAGGGATAGGGGCTGACCTAGAAGGAGGGATGACAGAGTGCAGTTAGGAAGGAACACCAAGCAAACGCACGTGTCGACTAAGGAAGGCGGACATCAGCAGCCAGTGGCAGAAATGGCAGTCACTGCAGAGAAGGCAACAGCAACACCTACCTGGCACCTCAACATGTACATGACAGGCACCTTACAGCTAGGCTGATTGTTGTGCCTGATGTTGTGCCTGGCAAATGTATGTTTCCTTCCGATAATAATCGTAAGGCTGATGAAACCAATCACATCCTACAGGCATGCAACCTTCTCCCAACTACGGGTTACCTTACAGTGAGGTCACTACCACCGGGCGCTCGTCCTTGCCCTACCCCTCTCTTTCTCTCTCCCCTGCCTAGCCACAGATGGCGCCGCCACGGTTTCGGCACCTCGGCTTCGGGGAAAAAAAGAGAGGCAGTAGGCCGGTTCGATTCAGGGCCTCTGTCCCCTACCCCCTGCACCAACTCCAGCGTTGCAATGTACTGAGAATGGAGTATCCGTACTGCTGACCGGAGTGCAGGTTTGTTCTGCTAGCATGCGTTGTACAACGTCCCCCCTTTCACCCGTTGGTCGTTGGTCGCACTGGTGGGTGGAGAGGGGCGTTCAATACGAGGGCAATTCCACCCATTCATATTTTTTACAATTAATCTGACGTCGGTCAAGACCTGTAGCAAAGAACCGTCGGCTCGAAGCGGAGTGCCAAACCTGCCATTCTCTCCACATGGACGAGACACCGACAAGAACAGCGAGACCAGGGCCTGTCGTCCTGGACAGCTAACCCGGGCACGACCGAGACCCATTTCCATCACATCAACAGAGGGCCAACTCTACCCCTACCTGCGAATGGGATACATGCCGCGGCACAGCAAACAATTGCAGGATTTCACAACCAGCTGGCCCTGCAGGTCGCAGCCTGCTAATCTGATCATCTTACCGAAGCTGCTCTGGCCCCTGGAAATGAATGACTCCTCGGACTTCAACGCGAATTGGGCAAGCCTGATCACATTCGCTGTCCATGTCAACGCCGCCAAAGGACTCAACGACGGTTGACAAAAACAATCCATGAAAAGAAGCAATGGAAGCCTCTACTAATCCATCGTCCGTCTCAAAGTCATCCTAGCCAAAGACGAACGGTGCCTTGACACCACGAAGCGACCCAGCCACGCCGCCGCCACACCGTGCTCCTCTAAGCTTTTCCGCTCAGTCGCTCTTACAGGCGCGACAAACCATCTCTCTCTGGTCCTCTTTCAGCGTGTCACCTTGAATAATCATTTATCGTACCTTTTGAGAAGTACATCGATGCCTTGAGCTGACCCCTCCTATTCAGGTGCTGACGGGTTGGACCCCCAAATCACACGACATGCAAGAGCCATAGTAGGTGATGCTGACGGCCAATCATAGGTTCCGCGTCCCTTGCGTCAGTCCCCTTTCATACGAGTCTAATGCGCCAAGGCCTGCACCGTCTCGCACCCTCTTCTCAAATGCTTCCTGTATGACATCGCCAACTGAGAGACCTTCCAGGATCATGTTCGTACCTTGTCCAAGCCTCAACCACGGCCAACCAACCTGTTCCATCAAGCCCCGCGCCGCACCCGCTGCCTACCATTGTCGCTGGGCTTGCTGCTAAAGTACCCTTTTCCTTTGCCATGGCTTAGCATCTGCCTACAAACCCCGCCCAAACGGTACAAGCCCACGCCGCGTTTTTCGTTCTGACAAAAAAGTCCCCCCAATGTTGACCAGGAAAAAAAAGAACCCAGGGCACTTGTGCCGAGTGTGTCGGGCGCACACCACTAGAACTGCAATTTTGAAGCCCAGTAACTCGGTTTGTCACTGCTCGTATTCTCGTCTTCTCTGCCTGCTCGAGTCAGGGGGGGTACACACGAAAGGCATCGGGATCTCAAAAATTCAAAGAACTAACTTAAGTCTAACCCGGTCGTCTTGGCTCTCATTTCTTCTTCGTCTGAGTCCTATACGTCGATCCCACCCAAAGAGGTCCAATTAGGTACTTTTTTTTTTCTTGCCTTGTTATTCTTGATTGCTAACAGTATCCCCGCAAAAAGTTCTAGTTCTATGCAGCGGAGGTTCCGCGCTGGCGTTGGCTTGATCACTGGCTTGCGCATCGACATTTTTGGTCGATTTTTTGTGCTGCCCGTTTCTTACGATATCAAGCCATGTCGTGCCGATGCGCCCCCTCGATGGTGAACCAGCCTTCCTTGCAAGTTGCAAGACAGCTTATGCGGACGGACTCCCCCCCCCTTGCGTGAGATCCTTCTCCTTCTAGGCTGATTCAAACAAGAGGCCAATCCGCACAATGACTTTCCCTGCTCTCCAACTCGCCCGGTAACTCGGCCGCCGTTGGGCGCGGCACACGGACTAGACGCCGTCTTTGAGGTCACCTCCTGCCCAGCCTTCTCCACGCGCCGCTCGGCGGATTTCCCTAGCACTTCATTTCCCACTATTCCCCGGGGCTTGTTATGCAGCAGCAAGTGTGTGGGCTGCTCCCCCCCAGCATCGTGGGTCTGGATATAAGTGTATTCTCTTCCCCCCCATGAACCTTATGCTAGACCAACGATATCTCGTCCATCAACCACAGTCACTCACTATTACCACTTCCAACCGCAACGATGCTTGTTAGAGTACACTCGCTTTCTCTTCTGGCGGCCATCGCGGCCTCAGGAGTCAACTTGGCTTCCGCCGCCCCCTTCGAGTCATCGTCTGCTCTCGCTCCCAGAGACATGCCGCGCCCACGCTTCGGAAACGTCCCCTACGGTGTCGATATCACTCACTGCACCACCAAGGGCAAGGTAGCCCTTACTTTCGATGATGGCCCCGGCGAGTTGACCGAGAAGATTGTCGACACTCTCGAGAAGAACGGCAACATCAAGGCCACCTTTTTCCTCGTTGGCACCAACGGCAACAACGGCATTGCCAACGCCGCCTACACACCTCTCCTGAAGCGCATGCTCGACGCTGGTCACCAGCTTGGCAGTCACTCATGGAGCCACAAGGACTTCAACACCATCTCCCACGAGGAGAAGATCCAGGAGCTTGTTAAGAACGAGGAGGTTTTCGCAAAGGTGCTCGGCTTCGTTCCCACCTACTTCCGCCCCCCTTACACCCACTGTGACGGAGCATGCCTCGCCGCTCTGAACGAACTCTCTTACCACGTTGTAAGTAAAGGAAGCCGCCGCTTCTATAGTTATGTCGTGAACTAATCCCCTTCAGACCGACTACAACCTTGACACCAAGGACTGGGTTGACGGTGGTGCCAACTCCAAGGCGACCTATGCTAATGCTATCAACGGTGGCAACCCGTCGAGCGATTCCTTCATCTCTCTGGCCCACGACATCCACTCTTTCACCGCCAACGGTTTTGTCCAGTACATGATCGACGTCGCCAAGGAGAAGGGCTACCAGTTCACCACCATTGGTGACTGCCTCGGCGACCCCAAGGCTAACTGGTACCGTGACCCCAAGAGCGGCGAGCCTTGGTCCGGCGTCAAGGAGGAGCCCAAGCCTACGACGACTACCAAGTCTGCTGCTCCCACTTCTTCGTCAGAGACCAAGAAGGAGAGCAAAACCGAGACCAAGACCGAGACCAAGACCGAGTCTGCCACGGCGAAGGCCACTCCCAGTAAGAGCGCCTCTGAGGATGACAACGAGACTGAGACTGAGAAGCCTACCGGCGCCACAACCGCCAAGCCTCCAGGCCCTTCCGCTACCATCAATGGTGGTGCCAACGTCGGCCTCGGCCCCGTGACGCCTACCGGCACCACCGGCGGTGCAGCCCCAACAGGCACCCCATCCGTCGTCGAAGTCAACGGCGCCGGACGCGCCGTCTTCTCCATCGGCGGCGTTCTTGCTGGCGCTTTCGCCTGGGCCATGATGATCTAATGATCAGACTGATTTGCGTATCCAAATACCCTATTATCGTGGGAAAAGAACATATATTCGTGTAATATTTTGGGTAATCCTTAATTAGGGCCTGCAGAATGGCCGATTGGCCTCATGATCTCACGGTTTGAGATTGCTGATGGAGATGAATACATGATACCACGCCTTGTATGCAGTGGCAATGTGTACTAGACATAGATGCAAAACTTAGCGCGCATTTGATCGGAAAAACATACTTATACCAAAACAGATTTATACTAAATTATCATTCTCTAAATTGTTATCCAACGCAAGTGAACTCAGAATGCTGTTGTAACATGTTGGAAACTGCCGTCGACTCCTTGCACCGACATCTCGAAGCTGGACCATTGACTCGTCGCTTAGGAAACCATCCATCAATCAAGACGTTCCATTGTGAACCCTCATGGCACCTAGACGTCGGACGTCGGATACTGGCGCTAGAGTTTGCCGTGTGAGCCGCCAAGTCCCCTCTCAGGCTCACTTTGTGCGCTGATGTTCGCCCTGACCTGTCTGCTCCATCTGCCGGCCGTCGTCGAGGGAACTAACTCCGTGCATAGCTGGCGTCCGTCCGAAAAAAGCTTAGATGGTATCGGACGTCGACCACGCACGAGCAGGTCCCAGCTAGAACAAGATGTCCGGGTGGTGTCTGGTTCTTTTTTGTCGGCCCTCGGCATCTTTACTCGACGACTGTGGGTGGTCTTTTTCCAGCGATCAAAAGGGCCTGGGCCGTGGACGCCATTGAGAAACCTCCGGAGTGGTCGGGAGGGGACGGCGCTTCGTTTATGGTTACTTGGTTGGCGGGTCAGGTCCCCCCTTTGCAATGAAATTAGAGGGGCGTGGAGAAGCAGGGATTTGGGTCGTCTGAAAATAGACTTTCGATGAACTTTTAAATGTTACTTTGTTAAACTTTTTTTTTCTTTTTTCTTTCTATAAACCCGGCTTGATTGACGTTAGCTAGTGGAGGAGGTTGATGGTTGAGGCTGATTGGATTGACCGGCGAGTAGTTTACTTATTCCGAGGTGCCTGCGAGCTTCTTGAAACCCTCCAAGGCTTCTGTCTTTGTGTTTTGATATTCTTGTTCTGTTGCTTGGTGAAGTTGAGAAGACTTACCATCGTGCTGGACATGACGAAGAGGACTTTTATCCCATCGAGGCCTGGTTGTACATCATGAGCAGAATTAGCCACATAGGAGCCAGCCAAAACCTTCTTCTAGCCATTCAAAAATCTCCATTCGAAAGGTGTTTTATTGTATCTTCACGTCCTGACTATGAAGTAAGCAGCAGCTGTTACCACAGCTACAAGAACGCTGCCTAGCGCGTGGTCATGTATCTCTAATGTGAGGGGGGAAAATGGTTATAAAATCGGTGACTATGTATCTGTATCCAACCAGGCTTCGATGGGATAAGTTTAGGAGTTCGTCATACAACTGCCGCTGCCAGGACATCAAATGCTTTCAATATTAGTTTCACGTGGGGGCGCCAGGGCGCTTCATCCCGACAGACCGGACGATTGTTGTATCTGGTACAACCAGTGGAAGTGAAAAGCGAGTGTTTTCGGTTATGAGATGAGTAGGTTTTGATGAGACAGACAAGTCGGACGTCTCAAAGTACCCAAGGCCACCAGGGGAACTAGGATTCAGTGGTGCATTGAGAGATGACGTGAATGCCACCCTTGCGAAGTTTGAACTTCACCTTGTGAACTGCGAAGTGGCTGTTTTGGTCCGAGGCCGTCGATAACTTGCGGTGACTGGTCTATGGGTCGACGGAGCTTCGTTGAAATATCGCCTGCCAATATATGCTGTAGCCGCTTGTATCAAATGATGGAACTCGCTTGGGAACGAGTGAATAGCCAGGAGACGACGTTTCGCAAGATGGAACTGGCCATGCTTTCCGAGCAAACCTGGAGGGCAGGGCTTGAGACTATGGAGGAAACGGCTTGGTTCGAAGTGGAAAGTTTGCATGTTCGTGCATTGCTTATTGAACCTCATGAAGCGGAGGCTCCTAAAATGTGCTCTTTTGTCTGATGGAATATGTCCAAGATCCTCGGTAAACGGTAGTTAAGGAAGGCATGCCCGATTTTGAGAATGATGATGAGGACCTGAGTGCCCTCTGGCTACAGGTAGTCATGGCCGACGTCGACGACCAATATCGCAACCAAAGAAGCGGCAAAAAAAATACTGGACCGTGCACCTGCTTCCTAGAAGCGGCGGGGGATTAAAGGTAACAGTCTATGCTGTGAAGCATAGAGGTTACCTCGCGACAGCTTGCGTGGCTACTGATGTAATTTTTCCCCAGGAGAAGGCACCGAGAAACTGGCGAGGAAGGACAAATATGAGAACGGGGTCTGTGAGAATAAAGACGAGGCTGAAGAGCTTCACTGGAAGATCCAGAACCCGATTTTTTTTAGTTACGAGTAGGTAATGTGCGAGAGAGTTGTGTTGCATTCAAGGTTTCGTCAAGTCTCGGCTTGAAAGATGATTCTGAATTTTGTTCACTTGTTTCGAGCGGCATGTCCACTAGCTTCGGGACTCGCAATCCCTTTGAATGAACGCGGAAACGTAACATGATATACTTGCAAGAAAAGTTCCGTAGTATGCTGGATTTGACCGCATTCGTAAAGGCAGCTGATACCGCCGTGGCCTGGTGAAAGTAAAGCTTTAGGCGATGAAACCTCATTAACCTCCCTTTTGGGTATAAATATCAAATCAAGCAAGTAACTGATCAAACGAGCCTGGTCAAGCTTTCACATAATCAAACAAGAGGGCCGTGTTTGATTTGTTTGATTCGATTCAAGCGCTCCTCTAAGGCTGGCTGCGGTCACCCACCATTCACAATATGCTTTATCACGTATGGCTGTGCTGCAGTCCGTAGCTATAAGCGGCTACCATTATATTTCGTTGAATTATTGACGGATGGCTGAGAGTGAGATGCCTGTGGTTTTACTTACGTTGTGAGCTTCTATCGCTGTAGAAGCAGCCCTGGGTAAGTAGATCCTAGGTCTTGGCTACCACATCAAAAAAGCTAAGCGAGGCTAGCAAAAAACTGTCTTTTTTTTTTTTTGTGAAATTTTCGAGGTTCATTTCACGTTTCATAAAAGTATCGTAAACGACATGGGCTAATTTTTGTGGCGCGCTGTTTCTTTGCTGCCTAGCTCGTGGGCCTATCAATAGGAATGCATTCGCTCAACGTGGCCGCACAGGCCTCATACGAGGTGATGAGTGAGCACCTTGCCCAATTGAGATTGCAGAAAGGAGAACAGGTATGCAGTACAGAGAACGCCATCTGGCCTCAATATATTTATCTGAGTGATCTATGGATAATAGTCGCGAGTCTGAATAGGTATTGAGATTGAAGTGTTTTTTCCTCTCTCTAATGAACAAGAGCTGAAAAGGATTGAAACCCTTCACCAACGAGTCCGTTTGCGTGTTTTCAGCGTTGCGCTCATGAGACTTCACTGCAAAAGCACACGTCATTTCAAAAGAGCCCAGCCATGTCGAGGTGGTTGCCACATCGCGGAAACCCCAGACTTGACTTCCTCTCTACGCTAGCGCTTCTAATTTGTGTGTTGCATTCTGCCCGGGCGGAATGTACAGATAGCCCAGCGGACCTTGTTTACGGCATCGTAAGCCTCCCTGCCAATCACTTTACCTACAGTTGGCATGAGTTTAAACAATTCTAACGTCCATCTGCAGAATATTGGTCCTTCTGTCTCCAGTGTTGGACTTGTAGGCCGAGGAATCATAAGAGTACCCACGGAAAACCAGAGTCCGTCTACAATATGTCGGGTTCACCATGTTTCCAACTAATCTTGGTTTGCAGATTGGATATACTTTCCACAGCAAACGTATCATTCACATGGAATTAATCATACACAAACAATAGAAGTTCCAGAGTTCTTTTTGTCCGGCCAGGAACCCACTCTGCAGAATGCTCTATTCAACACAAGGTACAGGTCCTCATTTACCTAGCCACCACTATGCTCATCTCAACTACATAGTCACATGATTTGCCATAAAGACGAGCCAGAATACTTTATCCAGCGGGTGGTCCATAACCCATCATCTTACCGCTCATCCAATGACGATTTTTTGTCCAACGACACGCTGAAAACTCTCTTTCGCCAAATGCAAGATATCGCGGAAGGTTGGTTCGGAGAAGCAGCGGACATGGCAATTGTCTCTACTCCGTACAATTGGCGCGAAGATTCCTCCTTGGAAACCATCAGAGCTGCCGGAAGAGCTGTGGGTTTGAGAATACCCAGGTTTACTTCCGCACCCAGTTCCGCTACTATTGGCCACGGGCTGGACGGAGTACTGTGGGACGACGAGTACTTGCTCATTTTTGACTTGGGCCGAAACAATTTTGAAATTACTGTGCTTCAAACCGAAGATGGAGTAATTGATGTTTTTTCCTCTAGCAGAGACTCTGTCCTGGGCAGAGAAATCGGAGCCTTTCATCAGCGAAGAGTCGGTGAACGCATCAGAGCCAGGGAGGAACTGCACCAGGAGACGATTCATCACATTGAAAGTGTGTTAGCGGCTGCCAACATCACAAAGGAGACCATTTCACACGTCGTTCTGAGTGGGGAACATACTCGACACCCATTGGTTAAGTCTCTTCTAGACGGCTTCTTCAATACAAATCCTGCCCCAGTCCACTACCACGTTCTCGATGAACGGGACGAAGCCGTTACGCTGGGTGTAGCCCTGCAAGCTTGGTTGCTTGCGTTGCCAGATTGTGCAGAAGCTCAGTATATCGAAATTATGCCCCGTGCCATCAGCATCGCTGGCGTTGGTGGCCAGCAGATTGAAATAGTTCCAAAGTACAATATAATTCCGTACCGCGGAACACTCAACCTCACAACCGCTACCGACAACCAAACTTTTGCGTCGATACCAGTAGCTCTCGGCGGCTTCAAGATCAGCGAGAGGAATGACCACCTAACAACACTGAAGCTGGAAGGCATTTCACCTGCTCGCTGCGGTGAGCCAACGATAACTCTCGAAGTTACGGTTGATAGGAATAACTCTCAAGATTTTATCTTGAAGGTTGAAGCCACTCTGTTAAATGCTGACGGGACTGCTATGCTCAAAGATTCCGTTTTCATTGGCGATTGGTGGCGCTTTGAAGAACCGGCGCTCACACAGGTCCTTGAAGAAGAAATCGCTGTCGCGGAGTTTTTCAATGACACTTGCCCTAACGAACCCTCTTGCAACTCAGAATTCGATGCCGCTGTTGCAGTAAAACTTTTCGACGATTTAGACGAGTTCAGCATGACGCTACGTGCCAAGGAAGAAAAGGCTGCGGGAAGATATGCCCGCGCCCTTTGTTTCTACGAAAAGTCACTACCTTACTTTCCAATTGGGCATCCGGAACTTCTGAAGGAGATAAAGACGCTAGGAAAGCAAGTAAAGACAGAAACTGATTATTCGATAATCTCAAGGGATTACTTGACTTACTTTCGTCACCCATATAGTATCTTCTACACATGCGAGTTCGAGTTGTAGGATGTTGTATTATAGACATAGACGAGATGTCGTTTTAAAGAGACAGTTCTTATTCGGTCCATTTCGTAAAACGATATGCTCTGGAACATGGCCTTGCCTATCCCAATACCTACTTCAGTCCCCGAAAACACCTGCTTAATCATTCAATACGCAGAACTCCGCTTTTCAATCTCCTCAACCTCCAACTCCTTGCCATTTGACTGGGCATTCGAGTCTTCCAAAGACAACGGCTTTCGCCGAAGTTGGGCCCAGACAATCTTATGGGTAGGTTTCATGAAGAGGGCGTCCATGTCTTCGAGAGAGATACCTACGTCAAAAGTAGAGTCAGCCAATGACTAAATATTATGTAGACGACCCGCGATGGCTTACCCTTAGTTTCAGGGACAAAAATGAAGGCCCAGATGCCCATGCCCACGAGAATGGCGCTGAAGAAAAAGTAGGCGCCGTATCCCAAGTCCGAAATCATGTACGGCGTCGTTCTCGCAATGATGAACGAGCCCACCCAAGTATCTGCCGTAGTAAGCGACACACAAAGCATGCGGATGTCCAGAGGGAATATCTCAGAACAGACAGTCCAAGTGATTCCCTGTCGCATGGTTAATATCACACAGTTTCTTGACCTTTATAGAGACGACCTAGATGAAGAAAACTGACCTGCCACGTTGCGGTGATTATGAAGCCGTGAATATAGACACATGTAATGGCGAGATAAGCCCAACCGTCTTTCGCAACCGGTTGACCTGCTGCTGCCGCGGCGATAGGATTCGCCTTCATGACGTATCCGCCAATGTACCACATCGGAACACACCCCAGGGTCGAGCCCCAGATCATTCCTTTCCGACGTCCGACTTTCTCAATGATTAGGACTGTGAACGTGATCATGCCGAGAGTCTTGGCGACTCCATAAAAGCCCGTTGAGAAGAGCTTGGTGGAAGTTCCAGTGACACCGAGGGTTTCGAAAATACGAGGTGAGTAATAGGTCAGGATGTTGACTCCCGTGAAACTCTGGAGGAACATCAGGGCCAAACCGATGCCCATGCGGTTTCGCACACCCTTCTGGAACAGCTTCTTGACCTTTGCCGTCTTGCTCATCTTAGTCGTGCTTCGTTCTTCGATTTGGGCCCGGATTTCAGACATTTCGTTTCTGATGTAAGAGTGGTCACGGGGTAAACCTCGAAGTTTTGTAAGAACTCGCTCAGCTGCCTCGAAGTGGTCGCCTTTAGCTAGCCACCTGGGACTCTCGGGGCAGAAGAGCATTCCTATGAAAAGGAGGACTCCAGGTACCAACTGAAACGCAAGAGGGACAATCCACTGGACTTTTGAGTCGTCTGTGACAGTTTGATCGGCAGCATAGTTGATCCAAAACCCAAGCATGCCGCCACCTTGCGATGCGATCTCGAATATTCCGATGAGGCGACCGCGGATAGAGGGTGGGGCTGTTTCGGCGATATACACGGGCACAACAAGAGCGCAGGCACCAATCCCAAGGCCAGCAACTGCTCTGCCGCCGATGATCATGTTCATGTTACCGTTGGCGGCGGTCATAACGGCTCCGCCTAGAAGGAAAACGCAGGAGGCGATGAGGGTTGCGCGCTTTCGTCCGAGCTTCTCGGCGATTGGAAATGTCAAAAGAGAGCCGAAGAAGCAGCCAGCCTGTCTCAAAGATGAGCAGCTCTTCACAAGTAGTTGGGGGGGGGGGGTTGGGTTGAATGGCGCACATAGAACGTGGAGACAATATTGCCCTGGACTTCGTCTCTTTTGGACTGTTCGGCCTCAAGGAGCCCAAAATCTCTTACGAATGAGTCAAGAGCCATTGTGCCTCCGATGACAGCACTATCGTAGCCCACTGTAGCTATGGTAAACAACTTTTCAAACAAAACCATAGCATGCAGAGTCATTACTTGCTAAAGCGGACATGGATGCCACAAGTGCAATGAGGTGGATGCGCCAGTTGCGAACTTCCGGAGGATCATTCGTCCCTGCGGCGTGAGTATTGAAGCAGCCCATCTTTTCTTAGTCGAGCGTTGTCTTGGGTGGGAGGTGTTTGAAAAACAATATGGCAGTCTGAAGTCTTCTATGATGAACAACAGGGAGAATCACTGCAACCAGACGAAGATTTGAGCAGCGCCCTCATGAAGTACGGAGGAAGAATATGCGATGATGGATCCATCTCATGCTTTATAACCTTTGTCGGCTTTCAAATGTGTCTTCCGCCATTCGGATATGTCCGCATTGTATTCTCACGAGAGGAAACATCAGCCATCAGGGGGCATGTGCCAGGTTCCCCGCAACTAAGAGACGAATCTGGGGAAGCTTGGGGTAAGGAGAACGAGCATAAACGGACAATGAGACTGGATAGAACCAATACTGGGTCCGGGGTATGCGGGTAAGTGGCCTCCTGGCTCTAAGCGATGACAACTTTATTCACACAACAAGCCCAGTTGCCTCATAAGACTAGCGTCAGGGATACCAGAAAAGGGAGCGGGCTTGTCCCGTGTTAACCTCTGTAAGTGATGGTGCCATCTCATGCCAAGAACCTGCCAAGCTACATAAACCACTACTCTTTCCATAACAACCCTTTAGCTTGGGCGGACGAACTCCGACTGGCTTACAGTATGGCAAGAAATGAGAGTTGAGATGGACCAGCTAAAGGGAGCATTTATTCACAATTGACTGTCTCGAGTCTCGGATTAGAGCAGCATCATCGCCCCTAGTGAACATTTTAAGTCTCTCCAGTGCTGCTACGAAGTTCTTCCGTCAACTATATCAGCACATCGCCGCAGTAAATGTTGCCAAGGTCGAAACCATGCTCAAATAAGTCATTCCAAGGGATATCAGCACTTGGCGTCGGCTGAACCGAACCCTGGTCTGGCGGATGATGCCCCTTTAGCCCGAACCAAGACATGAATTCCGTATCAACCTGGTTATCCGCCGGGTCTACTGCGCTTTCGAAGAATGCAAGAGTTGCCCTCCCCAGCCTTTGTATAATCTCAACACTCCTCTCTACTACAGCTCCGCCATGTGATATGTCCCGCAGCAACGTTGTACATGACCTGATATTAGATTCGACGATGTCTCTAGTGAGCTCTTGTCGGAGTGTAGCACTCGCTCTTAGAGAGTACAACATTGTGACCCCAGCCATGAATAGCGCAGTCAAAGCTACGAACGTATAGGTGACCTTATTTTTAGCGTAGAGGGCTCCATAGCAACTGATTAGACTAATGGAAGAGTCTGCGCAGTGTCGTAATGCGTCAATAGTGCTAACTGGTGATGCGTGTGACGGCCTATAAAGGTTCATGACTGCCTGGTGATAGGCTATCTGGAACCACTCCGGTGTTTGGTGCATGGATGCCGGGACAAGATAGCGCGGGGCAGAAACTAGCCATTGATTTATTCTCGTATGGAGCTGAACACGTATAGCGTCAATGTTGCTTCCTGCAAGGTTTGTGTCCCCGGCCGAATGGAGCGACCTGTAAATCTCCGCGCTGATGCGGCGGAGTTCGATAATGTGGAGGAATGTTGAGAGGTCGTTGACGTCGGGGCCAAAGTTGAATGGCGTCTCTTGAATGGGATTCGCGAGTACATCATCCGAGAAAGAAAGTGGAAGTGGCATTGTGATGTCGGAGTCTTGTATTCCTAGTGGAAGGCCCAGGGACATGGAGATAGCCCGATCCATTGTATAGACACACCAGAATAGCCTTTTACTCATTTCTGCCTCCAGAGGCTCTTTCGAGGCAATAGCCTCAACCCGGTGGAGATTCATCCCTACAGCTAGGCGCAGAGCCAGTCCAGTGGCATACCCTAGATTGACTGACTGTGGCTCATTGCTTCCGTATATGCATAGAAGAAGCAGACATTGAACACAGTCAAAGTCTTCTGCCTCCAAGACACTTTGGAGATGGTTGGTGGCGGCTTGAAAAAAGTCCTCCTGAAGGCGGCGATGACGTTCATCGGTGCGAGCCTTTTCGGATGCTGCGATGGACAAGACGATGTTGACTTGAAAGGAAGAGACGCCGCTTACTGTATCGCCTCTCGAAAATGGCAGATAATGCTTTTCGAGAAAGGTAGGCTTGTGAAGAGCGGGAAATTGCGGCCATCTCCGACTAAAGAAACCTTCAATCAAAGAATTACTATCTTCCAAACTTGGAGGCACGGTAGCACTGGGGCATTCTGGCGTCCGCCCTGTGGCGAGTCCGTCCCATAAGCGGGATGGGCTGTTGAAGAGACTGTCATCTGCAGCTCTTGCTGCCCCTCTCCTTGAAAAGGTTGGGCGCAGGAGGCGATCAATTTGAGCACCGCCAGAAACGGGGTTACCATAAGATGGCTGAGTTGCTGGAACAGAAGCCGAACCTCCGGTGATCGATGTATGAGTTGGGTGGGCGCTTTCATCTGCGACAGCAGCCATCAAAGCCTCTAGCTGCGCAGTGAGACTATCCACCTGACTTCTCAGGCGCTCACACTCGCAATCATCGTTGGACAATCGCACGAGGAAACGCTCCGAAGGGACACACGGTGTGCCCGCAGCTGAGCACTGCCTGCATATCGGAAGTTGTCCGTCGCACTTTACAGATGCCCCTGTCAGTATAACGGAAGAATATCTGGGCCCGATATTTACATCCTTTCATACCTTTTGCTTTCTCCTCCGACACCTTTCACATGCCGCAACACCCCGTTTGAGACCTCGCCGGTGCGTTGACTTCGGCCGAGTAGTGGAACTGGGAGTTGGGATATTATCGGCATGGGCCGGTGATGACATCGGAGAGCGGCCATCAAATGCCATATCTTCTGCCATGGATAAGATGATTACCTTTGAAACGGCAGTATTCAATCCTTAAGCCTCACTAGTGGAGCAGAATTTTGATGGAACTGTTGTTTCGCAGCCTGGGGTTGATGCTCTTGGGAGGACCTGAGGTCACAACAAGATTCGGAACTAGCCCGTCGGATCCTTCCGATGTAAAAGTGGAGATTGCAGCGCTCGGAGAAAAGCCGCTTGGTGACGGGGTTTATCCGTCAGTCCTGTCCTACAATCAATCACGCCTGGTTATGTTGAGTGAAGCATGTATCAGTGCGTCATATCTGCAGCGAGATCCGTCCACAAAGGCTTCCGCACGCCTAGTAGGATTAATGAGCCGGGTTGTATGTTTAGGAGACAATCCTCAGTTCCCGCAATGGCAATTATTGAGAACAAGTCAACGGCGTAAGTCCCAGCAAATAAGACAGGCATGTGAGCGCGACTCTGGGTCTAATGCTTTGTGAAGTGGTTTCCGGCTTCAGTCAGAATCATCTAGTTCCGGCAAATCGGGGATCGCCCTACCGGCTGGCTCCTGGGATACTCATGTTCACGTCTTTGATTCTACAATTGGACCCTTTGCGTCTTCGAGGTCTTACACGCCTGCCCAAGCGAATCTGCGACAACTCTTGGATTTTAGCTCAACCTTGACAGGCAATCAACCTCTCAACATCGTCTTGGTCCAACCCTCTCCGTACCGTAATGACAACACAGTTCTACTCCATTTACTCCGCAAATTGCGAGACGATGGTGCAAAATCTGCACGTGGTGTTGCAGTCGTTGACATTGACAATACAGGCGATGAGGAGCTCTGGTCGATGCACCAGTTAGGCGTTCGTGGTCTCAGAATTAACATGCAGGCGGATGGAAAAAGCACCGACGTTGCAGCTTTGCGCAGTGTATTGGAGAGGACCGCTTCCCGGATCAGGACGCTTCCAGGATGGAGAATCCAGCTGTTTTGTGCAGCAGCAATTTGGGATGGTAAGTAGCCCTTGGCCTCGCAGCGAGTTTAGGGATGTGTAATGACTGACTCGAGATTCTAGAGCTGTTCGAAACTATCTACAATCTCCCTGTAGAGGTCATCGCAGACCATGTCGGGGGTCTTTATGGTTCTTCAAAACTGCCGTCAAAATCGGACAGCAGTGTCGTTGACTGTACTAAGCAACCTGGCTTTGCATCGCTTGTCAGACTTGCCAAGGACTCAAAAGTTATTATCAAAGTTTCGGGTCTTTATAGGCTTTCTAGTCAAACAGACACTGGATACGATGATATGGAGCCGATAATCAAAACTCTTGCTGATGCAGTACCTGATCGCCTGGTTTGGGGGAGTGATTGGCCTCATACCGGCGAAGGCCACGATCGGCTAAAGAGAGGCAGAAACGCGATCGAGGAATTCAGGGAAATCGACGACAAATCGATCCTACTGAATCTCAGAGAATGGGTTGGAAGTGCAGATGCTTGGGAAAAAATGACGTTGATTAACCCAAGGAAATTGTACGGATAAAATACATGCCTCACCCTCAACTCGCAGTGCTAGCGTGTTAATATGTCTGTTTCCCAGCACCATGGATGATTTATTGGTGAATTCGAAGTGTTGGAAATAATTTCATTGTCAAACAATTGTCTTTCTACGTCAATTGAAAGTACAAAATTGCTGGCATCCTCAACGCAAGTCCCAAGCATGCTGTTACGGACCCTATATTGTCATCGGATGTAACCGACATGGCAGCTCGGAGACCGATGCGCGGACTAAGCCCGCCCCGGGCGCATTACCGAATTTCGATCACTTAATGCTCACAGTACCATCTACCGAAGCTCCCTGACATCCAATTCAACCAACAAAAAAATGGCATCAATCAGATCTCTCAGCGGCCGCTGCATCCGCCCGCTGGCGGCCCTCAAGCAAACTACCACTGCCCCTTCAGCCCGTCCCGCTCAAATCTCCTCAAATATCCGCAGCAAAATGCAGCTGCGGGCTCAGAGCAGCCTCCCAGCGGCTTACTACCGGGGCGGCACCTCTCGGGCCATCTTCTTCCGGCATGAGGATCTCCCGGCGGACCGCTCCGAGTGGGACCGCATTTTTCTCGGCAGCATCGGCAGCCCGGACCCGTACGGTCGGCAACTTGACGGCCTTGGCGGCGGCATCTCCAGTCTGTCCAAGGTCTGCGTGATCGGGAAAAGCACACGGCCCGACGCGGACGTCGATTACACCTTCGTCTCGCTCGGTATCAAGAACACCAATGTAGATTACTCGAGTAACTGCGGCAACATGAGTGCCGCGGTGGGCCCCTATGCCGTGGACTCGGGACTTGTCGAGGTGCCGGAGGGAGCAACGGAGGCGACGGTGCGCGTTTTCAACACGAACACTAGCAAGGTCATCGAGTCCGTATTCCCGCTTGATGGCAAGGAGGCGGCTGCGCATGGCGACTTTGCGATTGACGGTGTAGCGGGGACGGCGGCGAGGGTCGAGCTGAGGTTCCTCGACCCGGCTGGATCGCGAACGGGAAAGCTGTTCCCGACGGAGTCGAAGGTGGACGAGATTGAGGGTATGAAGGTCACTTGCATTGACGCTGGTAACCCTTGCGTATTTGTCCAGGCTGCCACCCTCGGAGTGGACGGAACCATCACTCCGCAAGGAATTGAAGATCATCCGACTCTGCTGCAGACACTCGACAAGATCCGTCGCGCTGCAGGTGTGAAAATGGGTCTCGCAGACTCGATTGATAAGGTTCCTGGCAGTGTGCCCAAGATCGCGATCGTATCCCCGCCTGCGGATGGGAGGGAGAACACCTTGGTGGCGCGGGCAATGTCAGTTGACCAGCCTCACAAGGCCATTCCTGTCACCGTTGCGCTGGCGGCGGCGGCAGCAGCCACTGCTGAAGGAACTGTGGTCTCTGAGTGCGTCAAGATGGGCTCGAATGGTGGTGGCGATGTTACAATCTTCCACGCCAGTGGCACGTTGGATGTTGCGGCGGATTATGGAAAAGATGGTGCTCTTGAGTCTGCGACTGTCTACAGAACGGCTCGCAGGTTGATGGAGGGTAGAGTGTTTTGGAAATAAGCAGCGATGTAACTGTACAGTACAATAATAAACGAAGAACATCATGTAACATAAATGGTTGAAATCGTTTTCACGCAAATGTGTGCTTTCGAAATGCTAGATATTTTTATTCCATCAACTGTAGTGCTGAACACTCCTACCTGCTCTTCGTCAACTCACGAATCTCAAACTAAAACTTGAACTAGGAACACTGATTCAAAAACCTGAGAACCATTACTCTAATTATAACCAACTATCAATCATATATGGTCTCCCTATACTTCTGCCTCCTTCATCTGTTTCCGTTTCGCCATCAAATTCAACGCGCTCCCCTCCCGGAAATACTCAATCTGCTCTCCGGTCAAGGTATGACTAGCTTCGATACTAAAGCTCTCCCTCCCCTCGCCTTCCGGCGTGATTCTGACCTCCACATGCTTGCCAGGTTCCAAGTGCTTCAACCCAACAATACTGATCCGGTCCGACGACTTGACGAGGTCATAATCGCCCTCCTTCACGAACTTCAGCGCCAGGAGCCCCTGCTTCTTCAGGTTCGTTTCGTGGATTCTTGCAAAGCTCTTTGCGAGAATAGCCACGCAGCCAAGGTACCGCGGTTGCAGCGCAGCATGCTCGCGCGAAGACCCTTCACCGTAGTTGTGGTCTCCGATGACGACCCACGGCTGTGACGCCGCCTTATACGCCCTCGCGGTCCCTGGGACATCGCCTTCTTCGCCGGTAAGCCAGTTACGTACTTTGTTTACTTGGCCCGTCTCGGCGTTGACGGCGCCTATGAGCGTATTGTTCGAGATGTTACCCAGGTGGCCCCTATACGCGAACCAGGGACCAGCGGGTGTGATGTGGTCTGTCGTGCACTTTCCCTGCACCTTGATGAGGATGGCGCAATCCTCAAAATCTTTGCCGTGCCAAGGCTCAAATGGGGCGAGACGTTGCAGTCGCTTTGAGGTTTCGGTGATCTGCACCTCGATTGCTTCGCGGCCTGTCGATGGTGGTGAGCTGTAGACGTAATCTGTGTTTTCGTAACCTTGGGAAGGTAGAGCGTCTCCGCTTGGTGGTTGGAATCGAAATTCTGATCCGGAGGGGGTCATAAGTGAGTCTGACGTGGGGTTGAATGTGAGGTCGTCGGAAATATGGGTGGCAGGGTTTCCGTCTAGACGGCCTGTAAAGTTGCGGTTATATGATGTGAGAATAGAGTTCTTAACGCCCTATAGATGAAGTCAGTAAAAGTAGTTTCTCTTTGTTTAACCATGAGAATCCAGCTGTCACTGACCTTTTCCATGTCCTGCCGATCCCAAGAACCGCAACACGGCCCGCAGGCATTGGTGAGAAGTTTGCTACCCAATGTTTCAAATACCTCGAGCACGCCGTTCTCCTGCAGTGTCTTTCTGGTCTGCTCGCTTCCAGGCGAAACAAAAAGGGGCATCTTGGGCTCCAGACCAGCGTCCAAGGCCTGCTTTGCCAGCTCAGCCGCCCTTGACATGTCCTGAAACGACGAGTTCGTACAGGAACCGATGAGTCCCGCCGTGAGCTGCTTCGGCCAGCCTTCCTCGTTGACAGCGTTAGAGAGCTTCGAGACGGGCGTCGACAGGTCGGGGGTGAAAGGTCCGTTGATTATAGGTTCCAACTCTGAGAGGTTGATGTCGATGACCCTGTCGTAATGGGCGTCTGCATCCGCGCGTAACTCAGCGGAGGCGAACCGCACGGCTTCGGCGACATCGTGCCGGTGAGTCGCTTTCAAATACGCGTTCATAGCCTCAGAGTACGGAAAGATTGACGTAGTGGCTCCTGTCTCAGCGCCCATGTTGCAGATGGTAGCCATGCCCGTCGCCGAAAGAGATTCAGTACCGGGGCCAAAGAACTCTATGATTGAGCCAGTTCCCCCTTTGACGGTCAAAATACCGGCCAATTTGTTGATGACATCTGTTCCGAGTTAGCAACATATCCCACTCGGAAAAATCACAGCCACTCACCTTTAGGAGTCGCCCACCCCGAAAGCTGGCCTGTCAGCCTAACTCCAATTATGTTTGGCGCAGTCAACTCGAAAGGCAGCCCAGCCATGACATCAACTGCGTCGGCGCCACCTACACCAATAGCAACCATGCCCATGCCTCCCGCGTTAGGAGTGTGCGAGTCCGTACCAACCATCAGGCCTCCAGGGAATGCATAATTCTCTAATACAGTCTGGTGGATGATGCCGGCGCCGGGCTTCCAAAATCCCATGCCGTATCGCTTGCACGCGCTCGAAAGAAAGTCGTAAACCTCCTTATGCGTTTTCAGCGCCAGAGGCAAGTCCTCGTCTTGGCCAGTCCTACCGACGATGAGATGGTCGCAATGCACAGTTGTCGGCACTGCCGTAGAGTCCAAACCTGCGGACATGAATTGGATGATGGCCATCTGCGCGGTTGCGTCCTGGCATGCTATCCGCCTTGGACGGAGCTTCAGCTGTGTTTTCCCGCGCTCTAGGGGCTGGTCACCGATATTATCTGCGTGGGCGAAAAGGATCTTCTCTGCATACGTCAGAGGCCTTCCAAGTCTGCGGTTGGCGTTAGTCTAACTTTTCTTAGAGGGTTGTTCTTGAAGGGCGAAACTCACATTCGACGACTTGACTCGATGCGCTGCGCGAGGTCGCCATAGTTGATAGTGTGCACCCTCTCAAATCGACTCAACTTTGCCTCTGAGCCTGCAGAGCTCACTGTGGCGAGCTTTCGTCTGGCGTATGTTTGCTTTGGCAATGGCGAGCCTAATGCTAGGCGTGCCAAGGGTTTCGAGGTCCGCATGTACATCGTATACCACCAATGATACCAATAACGAACCCTGACTAATATCTTATACAGTATTCGCCAATCGTGGGACACTTAATTCTTTTCGAATAAGTCACCCTCGGGTTATAAAGCTGCTGTAAAGGCCGCGCGCTACCACAAACAGCGCTCATCGGACTGTTCCGATCCTTCAAGCGACGCCATCGGCCTTATCCGGATGAGGCGTATGAAAGGGGTAAGGTCAAAGCGGCGACAGGATTTGCTTAAATATTTTTACAATTAACTTAGAGCTGGGTTTTAAATCATCTATTTTGATACAATGCCAATAGTTCAACAACATGCACCTTTCCTTCAAGAGTAGTCAATCATCTGTGAAACTGTCAGGAAGCGATCCGCGTACGGCGCCGGGGCCCACTTTCGGTATTAGTGGGGCAGGGAGTAAAAAGGAGATATTAGGGTTATAAGCGCGGGCGCCGCGAGTCGGCAGCGCACAAGCTAGGCATAAGAAGGGGAGTCGAGGGATGTAAGAGGGGGGGTAGATTTTAGCGTTAGCACCTACCTAGACCTACCTTAGCAATATAGTCTTATCGTCCTTACTCCGTCTATTCTACTATTGATAGTTTAAAATCTCGAACTTTAAGGGAGATGGACCGTTGAGCGATATAGTAGCTAATACCTAATAAGTCAACCGCGATAACGCTTTGCTAGAATAGCAAACGTAGACTTAACTACTCGCGTCTAACGTAAGGTTTAGATAACCTAATAATAGCTAGGCTATGCCTTCGCATATACGAATAGCAAGCAAGCGGCTAGCCTTCCTAGAGTAATAAGAGAGGGAACTCGAGGAGGAACTTGCCGTCGTAAGGCAGGAGGCGCGGATCCGAAGCAAACTAGCTAAGCTAGCACGCTTCCGAGGTAGCGATAAAGGAGATTCCGCGCCGTCGAGACAAGGCCCCTTGCCGGCAGGGGAGCTAGAGACCTAACCTAGACTTATACTACTGCTAGCTAGCTTTATAAGTAAATAGCTAGAAAGTATCGTAAGTAATAATACCTTATAGCTATATTAGCCTTTAGTATTACTAACCTTAGAATATTATAGAAAAGCTTACTAAGAATTATAAACCTTCTTATTCGATTACTATATACGTTTCGACTTATAAGTAACCTAGATATTAAGCGATAGCGATAAAGTAGCGTTTATAATAGGTTGCTTTAAAAGCTAAGTAAAAATAATATAGATATACTATCTTAAAAAGAAATAGCAAAACCTTTTCTTCTAAGTCTTATTAATTATATAGAAAAAGTTTAAAGATTATCTTAAAGTAGAAGTAGTAAACCTAGGTAGCTATTTTATTAATACTATGTTATAGCTTAACTAAAGCTATTAACAACTAGACTAGATAGTTAATTAATTTATAACTATTTATAATGCTTTTAAACTTAAACTACTATATATACTTTTAAAGAATAACAAGTCTCCTCCCTCCTAAATAAGTTGCTATTAAGCACCTACGTAGCGATTACCTTATAGCTATTCTTCTCCTAGACGTAGGCGGAACTAATTATGCTAGCATGCCGGATCGAATAGGCAGGCCGCGATAGTCAGACTTCCTAGGCATTATAACCGCCTTACCGATAACTATAGCATGCTAAACTAGCTATATAGCTAGCAAACAAAGCCCTTAAGCTTCTTACTAAGGTAGAAGGCATAGCGATTAAGAAGGAGCCGCGGGGGGCGATTAAATGCTATAACTACGGGGAGGAAGGCTATATAGCCTTACGATATCCTAGACCCTTATAAAAACGAAGATCCTGCTATAGGTACGGCTAGACAGGTTACCTCGTAAAGCAGTATAGTTTAAGGAAATATTACTAGTATAGGAAGGCTAAGTACTTTCGGAGGTATTGCCTTAAGCTCTTAATAACGTCCCCGAACGGTATCTTAGTAGCCGTAGCAAGGGAGTAGGGGGTAAGTTAAAAGCGCTGCTTAGAGATCAGACTATAGCTATGCTTAGGCGGCTATTAGCAACCTAAGAAAGCGTTAGTAGACTTAAGGTCGGAAGCAAACCTAATTAGTACGAGTTACTTCTAAGTATATAAATCGTAACTATATATCTACCCTAGCCTCTCGATCGTTAACGTTAATAGTAAGCTAATTCCGATATATAGGAACTACTACCTTTAGATAAAAGCTAGGGATAGTAATAAAGTAGAAGAGAAATAGCTTTACTACTTCGTAATCGCAAAGCTTATAACGCTAACTCTAATCCTCGGTATCCCGTAGCTAGAAGATTCGGACCTGATAATTAGCTAGAAGGCGAAGGCTTAGCGTTACCTTCTTTTCGAACGATACCTTAGCCTTGTCTCGACTAAGAAAGAGCTACGATAACTCGTAGTCGTAGCAATAGCATATATTATATATAGCAAGCCTATACCGACGACGCTATCGAAAAGACAAAACGATTTAGATAAAAAGTAATAGAAGGAGTTTTATAGCGAATTCGAAGATCTTTTCTTAGTAAAGAAGGCTACCGAACTACCAGCTTACTTAGCTTATAAGCATCGTATTAATCTTAAAGAAGGAACTATAGCGTCGTAAGGTCTTATCTACTTATTATCGGAACGAGAACTTAAGGTTTTACAAGACTATATTACGAAGGCAGAGGCATATAGGTAGATTCGCCTTTTAAGCAGCCTAGCTAGGGCGTTTATTCTCTTTATACCTAAGAAGGGAGGGGAGTTACGACTTTACGTCGACTACCGCGCTGAATAAGATCATACGTAAAGACTATATACTACTACTACTTATAAGGGAGATCTTAGACTATCTATCTAGCGCGAAGGTATTTATAAAGCTAGATATTAAAAATACTTACTATTAGGTATATATCTACGAGGGAGACAAGTAGAAGATAGTATTTCGTATATGCTATAGATATTATAAATATACCGTTATGCCTTTCAGCCTAGCAAACGCGCTAGCTACCTTCTAAGTATATATTAATAAGGCTTTAGTAGGATTAGTAATATTACGTATATCGTTTACCTTAACGATATCCTTATATATAGCGCTAACCTTACTACTTATAAGAAAGACGTATAATAAGTTTTAGAAAGGCTATAGTAGTAAGGTCTCTATTTAAACGAGGAAAAGTATAAATTTTATAAGTTATAAGTAACCTTCCTAGGGTATATAGTATCGAAGGATAGGGTAGCGATAGAGTAAGAACGTATAAAGGCTATTACAAAGTAGCTATTATTAAGTAGCGTTAAAGATATATAGACGTTCCTAGGGTTTATAAGATTTTACTAACGCTTTATTAAGAACTACTTAAGAATTATAACGCTCCTTATAAACAAACTATATAGTAACCGTAAGGGGCTGTTATAACTTAATAACTAAGTAGTATAGGCTTTCGAATAGCTTAAGAAAGCCTTTATAACCGCGCCTATGCTACGATACTTCGACCTAGCTTTACTTACGGCATTATATATAGACGCCTCGGCGTTTACTATTAGTATAGTATTAAGCTAGTTATATAAGGGATGCTAGCACCTTATAGCTTTCTAATTACGAAAATTAATAAAGGCGGAAATACGATACGGTACCGGCGATACTAAGCTGCTTGCTATTATCGACAGCCTAAGGAACTAGTAGTAATATATAGGATACTTTAAGAATACTATTACTATATAGACTAACTATTTTAACTTCTAGTTCTTAGAAACAAAGAAAAGACTAAACGCGCGATAGCTATGCTAGCTAGACGACCTAGCAGCATTTAATATTAATATTAAATTCAAACTAAGGGTATAAAACCTAGTAGACGGCTTGTTAAGGAGACTTAACTATAGTAACTATAACGCCGATATTATAGCGAGAGACTTAGCTTAGAAGATATACTAGCGGCTAGAAAAGGTAGCTAAGGAGTAAGAGCTACTACGGGTTATAGCGGTAATACGCTCCTAGCGGAGGCAGCTAGAAGAAAGAGTAAGCGATAGTAGAGGGGGGGTAGGCACCCGGCCCTAGCCTGACTCGGAGGAAGGGACCTACCGGGGGGCGTAGGGATAAACCCCGCGTCGGAGACGCAATAGAGCAGTTAGTTAGCTGCTTAAGCCTATCGCTAAAGCTATAAGTCGCGAATCGTACGTTCTATAGGTAGGCGTAGAAGTATATATATTCGAAATAGTAAGTATTAAACCTCTACCGATAATAAGCTAAATGCTAAAACTATAGCGAAAAGATGCTTTCGTAAAGGAATAGTAGTAAGCTAAGAGGCAAGTAAGTAGTATTAATACTAGGGGTAAGCGGAGAAGGAGTAGCCTAGAAGCTTAGCATACCGACTATAGGGGACTCTTATACTACGGGGAGTAAGTCTACGTCTTGAAAGGAGAAGGAATAAGGCGGAAGATACTTAAGGAATACTACGACGCGCTAATAGCAAGATATCTAGGCATAATAAGAATAATAAAGCTATTATAATAAAGCTACTTCTAAGATAGGATATATAAGGATATAAAAGTATATATTAATATATATAGTCTATTAGTAAACGAAGGCTTAATATTATAGGCTATACGGTCTCCTTATACCCTTTTTAATACCTTAATAACTATATATAGAAATTTTAATAGATTTTATTACTAGCTTACCCGACTTTATATCGTTATTAAGAAGGAAGCCTTGCGATACGATACTAGTAGTAGTTAACTGCTATATAAAGCATAGTACGTATATTATAACTACTTTTAAACTTACGGCTAATAGACTAGTAGACCTTCTATTCGTACGCGTGTTTTCTATTTTCGGGATCTTAGAAGGTATCGTATTAGACTAAGGGTCTTTCTTTATAAGTAAGTTTTAGATATATCTTTACTACCTATTAACGATTAAGCGCTAGCTTAGTATTATATTCTACTTATAAATAGATAGCTAGACGGAAAGGCAGAACTAAAACGTTAAATATTACCTCTACTATTATAGTTCTTCCTACTAGTACGTAGCTATAATAAGCAGAGGTCGG